AAAAAAAAGATAATACTCAAAGAACAAAAAAAATATCAATTATTAGGTGGTGGATTTTAAATTATTTTTTTTTTTCTGCTGCTTCTTTTGAATTAGTATATTAAACTGTATTATGTAATGTATTACGTAAAAAGGACCGAATTCAGTCAATCAAGCTTTTAACACTGATTTTAGTTTTATCCTCTTCATCTTCTTCAATAGAGGAATCCACTTCTCTCTTGACACTTATATTGGTGCCTTGGGTTGAAATGGAGCCGCCATGGTTTGAATAGATTGAGGATTCACTATTTGAATGAATTGGTTTCAAGATTTGATTAGGAGAAGTATTATTACTCAACGGATTTAAGCCCGAAGCGCTTGAAACTGAAAATCTTTGTTGAGGTGTCAAAGAAGGAGAATTGAAAGAGTGTTGACTTATATTACGTTTATGATTACTTTCTTTTAAGGGATTAGGGAAAAAATCAGGAGCAATTGATGATCTTCTGGAAGTGGAAGAAGAATTATTATTGGAGCCAAAAAATTCAATTGAATTATTTCTAGTTAAATCTTGATAGGGGGAATTTATTGGTTGTTGGTGATTAAAATTTGTAGTATTTGTAGTTGAATGCCTTCTTAACAATGGATTATGTTCATCTAATAATCTTCTTTTAGTTGGTAAAATATTTGAACTTGTAGAACTGGTTAAAGGAGGTAATATTGAATTTTGATTATTTATATCAAAACTAGCTGACCTTATTCCAATAATTTTATTATTTGGAGGAGGAGTTATTGAAGTGAACTTATCTCCATTATTTGAATTATTACTACTACTGCCAAACATTGAAGTATTAAATGAAATTTGAGGTAGATTATGAACTTGAGGATATTGGGTTGGGGTTGGAGTTGATTTTTTGATTGAAGTAATACCAGTATTACTTTCTAATTGATGATCACCAGTATCATCGATTAATTTTATTGGAACATTTGAAGATTGTCTTCTTCTTCTATTAGCACCACCATTCCACCAATTTTTTATAGCATTATCAGAACGTCCATTCAAATGTCTTGCGATTTCAGCCCATTTTTTACCATGTTTGGCCACCAATTTTTCAATTAATAAACCTTCTTCTTGAGTTATTGGAGTCCGATTTAAACTTGGTTTTAAGTTTTGATGATATCGTTCTCTACATTGTTTTGGAGTTCTAGTACATAAACTGTTTGAAATTCTTACCCAATTTGAAGGTCCAAATATCGATATTAATTCCATTAATTTTCGATCTTCTTCGGGAGACCATGGTCCTCTTCTAGTTGGTCCGGACTGAGTGGGATGGATGGTTACTGGTTCAACCAGGGTTTGTTGTGGATGTTGTGGATGTTGTTGCTGCTGTTGCTGCTGTTGCTGCTGTTGAATCATTATGGGCAACTGAGAAGACAGATGAGAATGGTTGAGATCAGGCCGTGAAGGACCAAATGAATAGTTTGAATTATAACTCATAACCCAAAAGACTTAAAGCTGGTAAAAAAAAACGAAGTTATCATATAGAAGAAATGAATTGAAAATTTAACGGTGCACAGCACTAATAAATGGAATAAAATTTTTAGTTATAAATTAATTTTTATGTAGAAAAAAAAAATAATAATAATAATTTAAAAAAAAAAAAAAAAAAAAAAAAAAAAAAAAAAAAAAAAAATTATTTTTGTTAAAGAAAAAAAAAAAATTAAAAAAAAAAGTTAACAAATTTTTTTAAAAGAAAAATAAAGAAAAAACTACCAAAAAATAAAACAGAGACCCAAAAAAAACCGTATGTACCAGAAACGCACCCAAAACAGAAAAAGCTTTAAAGGAGTAATAACAGTAAGTACTGAACTATACTTGATCAATCGTATAATTACTCTAATCAGAAAAGACCTTGATTCTTTCGGCAATCCTGGTGATCCTGCTAGCACTTTGATATAAACAATTGATATTATCAATTAGAGAATCTCTAACAATTTATTTGTGGAACGGTCATAGAAAATTAAATTAAAGAATAAAGTTAGTATTCTAATATGGCAATCAGACGCAGATCAAATTAACTATAAGTTTGACTTTTTAAAGCAACAAAACCGAATGAATAAATAAACTAAACTTTATATAATAGAATAGTAGTCAACAAAAAAATGTAACAAAGAAACATTATAAACAGACAATAAAAGATTTTGGGCAGGCGTGCGCCGCTTTAAAGACAAAAAAGAGAACAAAAGGAGAACAATAGAGACAAGGAACAGGAGAACGAAAAAAGGCAGAACCAAACGCAAAAAAAGAGTGTCATTTCCGAGGGTGAGGTTAGAAAAATTAAAAAATTAGATAAAAAAAATTAATCAAACAAACAAAAATATTAAATGAAAAAGCTAAATTAAAAAGTTGAATATAAAGTTGAATATAAAGTTGAATAAAAAGTTGAATAAAAAGTTGAATAAAAAGTTGAATAAAAAGTTGAATAAAAAGTTGAATAAAAAGTTGAATAATGATAATAAAAAACAAAAAAAAAAAAAAAGCGGCTAAAAAAATAATTTTTAACAGAAAAAATATTTTTACACCAGGAAAATCACCACTGAAAGCGGACAAGCATAATAGATTACAAGATCAACATTGCTACACACCATTGGTTATTACAAACAGCGATCGGTTATGTTAGTGAATTTTGCCTATTCAAGCAGATGAAATCAACGATCGATTAAGGAAAAGATGAAATCATCAGATGAAATTGGCACTTGCATTCAGCATGGGCGTTGGTTGGTCGTTGGCATTTGCATGGACACTTGCATTGGCGTTTGCATTGGCGTTTGCATTGGCGTTATTGAGCAACCGCTGATACTTCAAACTGAAGCCAGAAAAGTGGTGCTGCCATGGTGGGGGCGTTATATGCAAGTAGGACCCTACCCACCGATTGCCCCGATTGCACAACAAGTAGACATTGTTAGAGCGCCCGGGTGTACTGGTGTCCTGGGGAGAGTAACAAACCGCGAGGACCGGCGTCGGTAAATTCTGCTCGCAAATAATCGCGCAGCGAGATCTAGAGTCGGCTAATAGGTCTAGCCCACCGTTTAAGCAGTATAGGCTATGAAGTACTGCTATAGGCTATGAAGTGCTCAGTAAACGAATCATGGGCTCGATGCTGGCACATTGTGTGGGTGCAAAGAGGATGAGGCAACCTTGAAACTGTTGCAATGGGGGAGTGGGGGAGTGGGAAATTGGTTGAAAGTAGTCTACAAGTATACGACTCGGAAAATTGACTTGCATTCAATTGTCTGTATATAACTTACATGTATGTATATAAAAGGGCCTGAGCATTAGCGGGTTGGGGGCAGGCCGGTAGTGCGGATACCCAGATGATATGGCAGTATTCTTTGATTAGTCGGACGTAGTTCTGGTTCCTTACTTGTCAAGAAACTGTTTCGTTTCTCGACAATTGGGTAATAATTCCGAATAATCTAAGATCTACCAGCAATCGAGTTAGTGCTATGTTCATCGTGTGGGAAAGAGTATTTCTATTGTACTTAGAGTTGCTCGTCATATTTCATCTATTATTTGGATTGAATAATTTGAAATGGCTGAATTTCACCAAGGCTCCGTTAATGCACTTCTTGTAAAGTAAGCTATTCTAACTGTTCGTAATATTCTTCTAAATCTTCTGGTTCAAAAATAACCTTAACCATTAACGAACAGCTTGGACAAACCGCAATTTCTTCTCCATCTGCCAAATCATCGATTCCAATAGCAAACTTGTCTCCACATGGACACGGGTACTGGAATAACTGGGTTATTGGGTCAAATGTAAAATCTTCAATCTCGATTTCATCATATATCGATTCCATTTTATGTGCTACAAGAAACAAATAACTTGTTTGATGGTTTAACGGTGAAGAGGAAAAAAAATTTAGTCTAGTGAAGAGGTTTATGTGCACTCTATTGATGACCTTGCCATAAAAAAAAATATAGGCTGACCCGTACACCAGGTGAAAAATCTCTAATCTACTTCATTTGTTTCTCTAAGTAATACCTTAAACAGCAAAGCACCGTTTGCAACTGGTCTAACTAAAGCAGCAAGACGAGGAAGGGTTTTTTCTTCTTTGGTACTTTTGTGAGGTACGGGTGTTGAGTGGGTGTCGCTCGCATCTTCTTTTTTTTTGGCCACCGAAACGTTAGGGCTGTTGCCCTCACAAGTTCATGGACTCACGTGCTGGTTTTCTCTCTGAAGATGAAAAGTTTTTGCAAGATTTTTTTTTTTTTTCTTTTTTAGTGCGAATACATTTTCCAGTCGCACTAATCCTTAACTATGGCAAAAGCTCTAACTACACTATCAAATTTTCTCTCACCTTGAATTACTTGAAAAAAAATCTAAAAGAAAATTTTTATTACCGTTTTTCCTACCCTTCTTACTCAATCACCAAACTTTAAGAGTATGTTCCAATAGACTATAAAGCATTCATGTCAATAGTCAAACAGTTGTACTAGATCGTTGTTGTTGTTTCCCAGTTTACTACTTGAAGATTTCCAAAGTTACAAGAACTGATTTATTAAAGACTATTGCTTGGAATAATTTATTATTTACAAAACTCAATACTAACTAATATTATAGACATACAATATGGGTATTTCTAGAGATTCTCGTCATAAACGTGCTGCCACTGGTGCCAAAAGAGCTCAATTCAGAAAGAAGAGAAAGTTCGAATTAGGTAGACAATCTGCTAACACCAGAATTGGTACTAAAAGAATTCACACTGTTAGAACCAGAGGTGGTAATAAAAAATTCAGAGCTTTAAGAATCGAATCCGGTAACTTCTCTTGGGCTTCTGAAGGTATCTCAAGAAAAACCAGAATCTCTGGTGTCGTTTACCATCCATCTAATAATGAATTAGTTAGAACTAATACTTTAACTAAATCTGCTATTGTCCAAATTGATGCTACTCCATTCAGACAATGGTATGAAACTCACTACGGTAAATCTTTAGGTAAAAAACAAGCTACCGAAGAAGAAGAAGTTAAAAGATCTAAAAAAGCTGAACGTAAATTAGCTTCTAGATCTGCTTCTGCTTCTATTGAAAGTGCTGTTGACTCTCAATTCGGTGCTGGTAGATTATACGCTGCTATTTCTTCTAGACCTGGTCAATCCGGTAGATGTGATGGTTACATTTTAGAAGGTGAAGAATTAGCTTTTTACTTAAGAAGATTATCTGCTAAGAAAAACTAAATAAAAAACTAATCTGTATTTTGTACCTTTCTCCTTTTAAATAATCAAATATATATAAAATTATCATAGTACTTTGATTCTTGTATTTCTAGATCATCGTAATAACCGTTAGCTCATCTTGACTCACTCAATAACTCAAATTCATAACCTCATTAAATCAAGTATCAAATTCATTAAATCAGTGAGGAATAAAATAAAAACAATAAAACATTTACTATCTACATTGTCATAACTCTTAAAATTGCTTTTATTAATTAAATAACTATATAGTCTAAATGATTTGTTAGTATATAATTTTCAAAAATTCAGTAAATCCAAATTTACAAATGATTGTTCAGTGTTAGGCAATAATTTTATCTGCATATCTATTAACTCGTAAGTTAATAAATCAGTACAGGTCTGTGTTATTTTTTATCATCAGCGTAATCTCATTCAATTCATTTGGATCATTATCATATCTTAAACATACTCTTTAATCAATAAAGTTGCAATAAAGAAGAAACGTAATTGTAAATTGTAAAAAAAAAAAAAATTTCAAGTCGTCGCTTTATATGAAAAAAAAGTAGTGCGGGTAACTGAAAAGAATTACTGCTAAATTTTTATACTTAGCCCTTTCATACCAATTCAACTTGATCTGAAAATACTGCCAAAGCACCCATTGGATCCCACGGAGGTAACACGATGTTTTTGAAGTCATCGTCGTGCATCTCAATGTGTTCTTGCGATAAGTCGGCTTTGTCAATGACTACTTGGTAAACGTAGTCCTTGAAGTATTGATTATCCATAACGTAATATCCGTTTTGACCTGAACTATCACCCCAAGAGTTTTCAACTTTCCAACGAATTGGTTCATTGTTTGAATCTAAATGAACGGCAGTAATAACCATGGCATGGGTCATTAATGATTGCTTATATTGAATTCTACTTGCCTTTGATTGTTTTGTTTCAAATCCAATCAACTTATAATTGAATAATGATTCATCCATAATACCCTTTTTCTTATCCATGTAAATAGGAGTATGGGTTCCGAAAAAAATTGCCTTGTTGTTTTGGATACTTTTAATGGCATATTGAATCACTTCTTCAATAGGTAAATTAAGATACTTAACTAATTTACCTCCTTGAACATTTCCTAATTTATCGATTTGAACATTGGTGTTGTAACTGTTTCTTGGATCATTAAGCAATGATACATAATTGGTAAGATCAATGCCGAGAGTTTCTTTATAGAAAGAAATTGGAGTGATTTCCAAAGATTTAACCTCATCAGACTTATTTTTAAATTCCCAAGTTAACTTCTCATTAATTGAAGGTGGTTTACCAAGGAAAATAACCATAAGACGATGAATTTCAGCTTGCATTTCTTCAATTAATGGTTTGACTTTTTCACCTTGGGATTTAGCTGTTTTCAATTGTTCTGCAAATTCCCTCAATTTTGTTTTCAATAAGAAGTTAAGAGCTCTTGAAGCAGTTGATGAATACGTATCTGGATATAAAGAATGGGGAACCAACCCGTATTTTTCAACGATATTGATGAACATATCAAATTGCCCACCATCACCGGTGGGATCGGTTAACATAAACTGAATCAATCTCGAATCAATGTCATTCCCATTATTATCAATCTCGTCAGCGAACTGATTTAAAAAAAAATTACATTTTTCTAGTTTATCGAAAAAGAATAGATAGTTTTGACTGAATTGAAACTCTTTCAAGTTGAATTTTTTCATGATTTCCAATCGTAAAACATTTGTTGCTGCAAATAACCAACATCTACCGCTTGATTTTTGATTTGTTATAGGAGATCCTTCAATTTCAACCGAATTGTTGAAAATTTTTGTAGTATTTTTAATGAAAACATCCCGATTAACTAATGATTCATCTACATTATAAGTTCTCAATACTGCGGCAGCTAACTGAGTATTATTATCACCGTCTAACTTCTTAGACCATTCTTGTAAAGACTTAACTGATAATTCTGACATTTTATGTGTTAAAAAAGGAAAGCGGAAACTAACAATAAAGTTCGTTTTTCCAAAAAAATCGTTGAAAATATGTCAAAAACTGCGAAAACGATTATCTTGTGATAAACTACTTGATAAGAACAAATACATTATAATTATACAAATTTAAACACGATTAAGTATTAATAGTTTAAACACGATTAAGTATTAGAAGTTTAAACACGATTGAGTATTGAAAATTTTAACACGATTAAGTATTAGAAGTTAAATTCAAACTTTGAGACTCTATACCACTAAATTTAGCACCACCTAAAAACCTTGATCTTCTTTTCAATTTTTTATCAAACTTATCCTTTTCTTTAAAAGATCTAGGACTTTTAATACCAGAAGAAGAAGAAGAGCTAGGTGAATCTTCTAAAATGATAGCATTATATCTACTTATATGACTTAACCCCACATTATAATTTGAAATCAAATCTTTTTTATTTAAATTTTTCAGAAGAAATCTAACCTTAGTTGATTTCAATCTCGTTTTATAACAAAATTCACAATGGCAATTAGTTAAAAATTGATTAAAAATAGACTTGAATTGATTATTCAGTTGAACAAAATACTCATTAGTAGCATTTTTATCAAGTTGTTGATTTCTATCAGTTAGTTTATTGGCTAAAGGTAGTATAGTTTGATAATAAGAATATAATGATAATTGGTGAACATGCCAAATCAAATCAATATCTAAAGTTGAAATCACATAATTCAAATTTTTGAAAAGAGTCATGAACTTTAGATATTTATCTAAACTTTGACGATATACTTTTTCGATATGATCACTTTGCAATAAATCTAATTGATTAAGTTTTGAAATGAAATCTTCTTCGATGTTTATTAGCGAAAGAACGTTACTTGATATTTCAATGGGATATACTTTTTTCAATTTATTTGAAGGAATGGTTAAATGCCATAAGTTATAAGTTTGATAAGTTTTCAAAACTTGAAGATTATTCAAATTTGGAGATTGTGATATTTTTTCAAATAATTGAATGAGTTGTTTTAAGTTGGGATCATCATTTGGATCAAACGTTAAATCTTTGAAAAAGGAATCATCGCATTCAATATCGATATCATTAGGGTTCAATCCTTGTAATTGACAGAATCTTTGATTATATATTGTTGGCATTGGGATACTAGGATCTTTATTCAAGTCAGCGTATAATTGTCTGATCTTTAAATTTTCATGAGTTATTATCAGATTGAATTGACATTTACAATTTGAGTCACCAATATCAATTTTAAAATTTGAATCAATAAAATCAACTAATTTACAATTATCAATTAAAGTATTATAACAATTGGGACATTTCACTGGGAATTGAATTGATAAATTATAAAGATCATCAAATGGTAAGTCATAATCGTATTCTCTAATTAAATCTTCAAAATTATTTTTCTGGAATTGCAGTGGATTATAACTAAAATCATCATTTTTAATCGCCTTATTCACTTGATATAATGGGAATGGATGAAACAAGAATTTCGTGAAGTTATTTCTTGAGTAATTATCGTAAGCTTCTCCAATAAACATATGGAAACAATACCATACTAACACTATATCAATTGGTGGTAATAATTCATTCATAGTCTTACTAAATGACGAGGTCCCCGGTTTCATATCAAACAACTTATTAGTACTCATTGGCTTAACCAACTTTGGATCGGGGAATTTGGCCTTTAATATACTTATGAATATAATAAACCTTCTAATCGCTTTACCTAAGAAAGCTTTCCAGATAGTATTTGAGCTAATACTGGGATTTTTAGTATGATGATACTTCAATACCATTTTTTTCATATTATTAAAACATTTGAATAACTTAAGCAATGTTAAAACTTCTGGTAATCTTGGAGTATGTGGATACAGATTTTGACTAGTTTTATAGTACTGATAAGTACCAAAATATTCTTCATCCTTAAAGTCATGAAGTAAATAGACAAATTGGGGTGGACAACTATGTTCTTGGACCTGTTTGAACACCGGAGTGGATCCTGAACCCGTTTCACTCCCTGAAGACGTGGTTGTGGATTTACTGCTAACTTTAGTATCCTTAGACAGAACCTTATAACCGTCAATTAATCGTTTACCCAGCATTTGCTTCCCAGCGAGTATACTTTGCTCCATTCCTTCAGGTGCCGTGGCCCATGACACAACCGACAGATTCGACGACTCACTCATTCTTGCCGTCGTTCGTCTATAAAGAAGCTTACAAGGATTATATCTAATGATAAAATTAAACGAGATTAACAATAAAACTAAACCTGTAGGCCGTATGCAGGTTCTTTTGATAAACCACCAGTGTTCCTGCCCTACCTACCTTTCCTCTACCTTTATCCTATCGTTTCCAATAGATAAGATAGTGATACCTACGCTGGAGGGGGCACCCAACATCCAGGCTGGCCAGCAATTGCTCAACGCCTTGGCCCAATATCCTCAGTGCTGGCTCTCATTTCCTGGCAAACTGCATCGAAGAAAATCTGATGTTACTCCCCGTTTGTAGGTATCCTAGTAGACCCCAGACTGCTCACACGTGTGGGCCCACAGTCACATGCTCCTACACTCGCTGCCCATCTGCTGCTTGCATTTACCTAGCAATACTCTGCTGCTCTACTACCTCCACGCCAGGGACTACCGTTGGTACGGGCAAGTCAACCGTCTCTGATAAACTGGCAAGACATGTTCGTCCGGACACGACCCGCCAAACCCCAAAACGTGATTACCGCTTTTGGGCAATGCAAAACTGAATCAGTGGCCGCGCGGCTAAACTTAATCTTACTTCTGTTGAAGTTTCTCTTTTTCTATTGGTTTCTCTTTCTATTGGTTTCTCTTACTCTTAAGCTTATCAATGTCTGACTTGGGTAATAGTTTGTATAGAAAGGTGTATCTGAAGGTGAAGCGTCCTGTAAATACGCCGTTTGCCATGGTGCAGTCGGGGACTTTTGTATATCCACTCTACGTTTGTAATACCTTGTTTATAGCTGCAAAAAAATAACCTACTAACAGTTCAGGGAGTTCAATACTTTTTATCACATCCCGACCTTTGGCCGTTTTATCTTAGTATATTTGTGCCTCAGATGTTGGTGATGATGCTAGTTTACGTTTTGATGTATGTATTATTCTACCCGGCGGTAGCATTTATCTCGATATTAATTTACGGGCCCTTTGGATTAGTGAGTGCCTGGTTTATTATTCTTCAGCAATCAGGGTTTGTTTCAGTTTTGATGGTTAGGTCGATCTTGATGCCCCAGATTGAAAAGATTGCGTTTGATGCGGTTTTAAGTAGAGAGTTCACCGATGATTTGGTTCTTATGGGGAAATTAAGAAGAATTGTGGTAGTGCCATTTATTGTCAAGTTTGTTAGACAAATTATATTGGTTCCAAGTATGTTTAGGTTACCGATCCTTCTACTTAAAGTAATGATGATTTTTGCGCTTAATATGATTCCATTTATTGGTCCAATTCTAGTGGTTTTGTTTCAAGCTCCTTCTAAAGGATTACACGCTCATTCAAGATATTACTCTTTAAAAGGGTACGACCAAAGACAAATTAGAGCAATTTATAGAGAAAATACCGGTGCTTATATGGGGTTTGGTTTAATGGCATTGTTATTAGAAATGATTCCTTTATTAAGTATATTTTTCATGTTTACTAATACTATTGGAGGAGCATTATGGGCAATAAGTATTGAAGCCAAAAATGAAAAATCAAAATTATTCGTATAAGTAAATGTTATCAACACAACCAAATCCGGCAGCAACACCACCTTCATTGGAAGAGCTGAATTTACTTCTTAATAAATGTCCACTTTCAAAATTCAGTTTAATTTCCCCGGTGGTTTCATTGAAAATAATACTTCCAAAGATTCCTAACTCTGAAATGATATCTTCATTATATATTTCATCATTTCTAATAATTTTATTGGAATATTTTGGTGGATGAATTAATTCCATTAATATATATGCCCCCCAATCTTTCTCGTCAATTTTTTGTAAAAATTTTGGGATATCTTCTTTATAAATATTATTCCCACCTCCTTCTCTTTGAGGTTTTAATACAAATTTGGAAGAATCTTCAGAAATGATTTTTTTAGCGTACTTACCTTCTTCAGAATCGTCTAATGGATATATCTTAACAAAAGTTGAAAGTAATTGATTATAAGTCTTGGTATCAATTTTTGGTAGTAATTTCTTCAATATTTCTTCATTAGTTAATATTTGTTGGATTTTTTTAGTACCCGATAGTTGAGTTAAAATTGATGGACATTTAATTGCTAATGTTTTCTCTAATAAGTATCTTGATTCCCAACATTTCGATGATGTATAATCATTTGGTCCATATCCTGATCTATAATAAACAACCGATACTTCATCCATGGTTTGTTTGATATAAAGCTTATCATTATTGATTACAACTTCTTCTTGTACTTTTTCTAAACTTAATCTATATGATTTTAATTGATGGTTTTCAATTAACGAATATTCTATATGTCTTTGATCAAAAACATTACGTTCCCCTTCTTGAATAATAAACAATATAACCGTTTTAGTATTATGGGTCTGGTCATTATAATAATAATTGGCTTCATTTATTCCTTTAGCCAATTTATTAATTGAATTACTAATTGGTATATGCTCATTATCATAATACTTCATCGAATACTTATCATCATAATATCCTGAATTATTCAAATATTGATGTAATTTCCCAACTTTACTTGATAATCCTCCAAATGATACACTAATAGTATTAAATTCAATTTGTTTGATCGTTTCATCTACTGAATTGATCATATAATCGCTTCTAAATAAGCCTAAGCTCAACTCTTGCTTCAATTTACCCCCATTCTCCGATAAAATCTTTTGGTAGATGTTGAACAATTCACCAGTAAAGCTTTGGTCAAATTCACTCAATTCTTTTATCTTAGCTATTAACCATTCTTTTTCTTTACTGATCACATTCACATATAATTCGTTGAAAACCTCTTGAACTTCAATGGCATTCTCATATAACTTCTTGGGAAATGGTGTTGGGAAGAGTGTAATTGGTGCATTATTAGCTTGGTATTTGGCATAATTTGGTGGATACATTATTAATCCATTACTCAATGACCAATGCAACAACGATTCAACCAACTCATCCTCGTGCTCTTTCAGTAATTCTGGAAATCCCTTGGGTGCCATCTCTGTCAGACGTTTAAAGACCTTTGTCAAATTCGAATCTTAGTCAAATCTTTATCAAATCTTTCAGTACTTTGGATTCCGCTTACGCCATACTTAGTGATTATTGATAATACAAAGCCCGTACATCAAAATAATATAACACCCAAACACCTGACGTGCACGGGTCTTTTCGCTGGTGTATTGCATATCACGTGACAAGTGTGACTGTTGCGAATCTTTCAACTTTGTGGATTTTTCTATTCTTCTCTAACAATTTTTTTTTTTTCGCTCGTTGGGAAACTGCACTGTGAGAGTATAGTGAAAAATAAGATATTTTCATTGAACTACTAGTGCATCTTATAGCTACGTCCATATACACCAAGATAGTTAAAAAGTATGTAATATTGAACAGGAAGTGACGGAAGATAGTGTGGAAAAACACGCGGAGTATGTGGGAGTGGGGATCCTTGAAGAATGACTGATGAAGCCTATTGCAAATCTTTAATTTAGAGGTTTTGACAAGATATTGAAAGACACACCTTTTCCATCATATTAGAATTAGGAACTATATACTAACAACCAACTTTAGTGAAATACTTAGCTGCTTACTTATTATTAGTTAACGCCGGTAACGCTTCTCCATCTGCTGCTGATATCAAATCAGTTTTAGAATCAGTTTCTATTGAAGTTGATGATGAAAAAATTGCCAAATTATTAGGTGAAGTTGAAGGTAAAAACGCCGAAGAATTAATTGCTGAAGGTAACGAAAAATTATCTTCTGTTCCAGCTGGTGCTCCAGCTGGTGCCGCCGCTGCTGCTGGTGGTGCTGCTGAAGAAGCTGCTGAAGAAGCTGCTCCAGAAGCTGCTGAAGAATCTGATGATGATATGGGTTTCGGTTTATTCGATTAAACTCAATAATGAAGATGAAATCAATACTCACGAATCATTTACAAATCATAACATAGATGAAAAAAAAAAGTAATACTTACAAAAAGCAAATATCATTAACGAACCCTATTATAATATTATAATAAATTTATTAATCGTAAGATACATTGTATAATCTATTGTAATCATATATTTTAAAGTTCATCAGCAACTTTTCTATAAGCGTTCTTGTTACCAAATACTTCATGTCTTGCTCTTAACATTGATTTATCAAATTCTGGATCAGTGTTTGAATAAAACTCATCTCTGGGTTTAGCATTATTTTGTCTTGTCATTGACTCTTGACTTAACCACTCAATGAAATTCTTGTTAGGCTTTAAGTTATTATCTTTTTGATGTAATTCAACCAATTTATTGAATAAGAATTTGAAATGGTCCTCGGATTCAATTTTCGAATTGGCTAATTGATCTTGCAAATAGCTTGATATCTTATGATCAGGAGATACCGCTTCCTCAATTGATCTTTTATCAAAGGATTCATTATTATTAACAAATTCAATTAATCCTAAGTCTTCAAAAATATTAATAATTCTTAATTTTGTTGATTCTTCAACATTTGGGAAAATGTCAATCAATTTCAGTATACCAATAGTTGGATTATTTTTATTGAAAAATTTAAATTGAAATTGTTCATTCAAACATAATGCTTGTAATATACCCAAAATTCTCTTTTTAACAATGTCTGGTATACTCGGGTACTTTAATTGTTCGAAAAATACTTGAATAAAAGTTTCTGATTGATTATTCAAGACATTTTCAATTGCTTCAGGATTATTTCTTAAACTTGAACCCATTATTCTATAAATCTTTTCATGTATTTCATGATTGATTGGAATTATTGCTATTATATGTAATAGAGTATCAAAAGTTTGTTTGCTATTAGTTAATTTAGCTCCAAATTCAATATCGTGACTCAATTCAATCAAATTGTCTAAAGCTTTTTCCAATAGTGTTAAATCTTGATCGTATCGAAATTGATCTAATTGTTCAACCGATGAACCAAAATCGTTCAAGTCTTCAATTGAAACTTTGGACTTCTTGGGAATAATCTTCTGCTCATTGTGTTCGTCTTGTTGCTTCACTTTGAAATCTTCAATTTTCTTCTTTAATATCTCTTGTTTTTGCAATTCAATATTATCATCATTTTCTTGCTGTTGATCGGGCTGGTCGTTACTCAACACAAGCTCGTTATTCTCAGATGAAGCTTCAGCGTCCATGAGCTTTGCTTCTCTTTGCAAAGTATCGATGTTCAATCTAACATGCAAGCCAGGTGGAATATCTTGACCTTCTTTTATAGTTTGCCATTCATTTGTAGGAGTGAATAATTTTGGGTAACAGTCGTGGGGATCACTTGGAGAACACACAATTTCCACATCGGTATCAACGATCAGCGAGTTGACTAATCCTAATATGTATATAATGTTTAACAAGGTCGATAATCTCATATTAAATTAAATAAACGAAGCTGTAGCTCTTTCAAATATATGGTTTCATTTTTTTTTTATATTTGAGCAGGCAAAAACACGTAGTCGCACCAAATTAAGCTGCTAAAAAAAAGAGTAATTGCAAAAAAAACTACAGAAGGTTGAAGAATGTTCGAATGAAAGTATATATTGATTAAGAATTAAAAGTCTAGTAATACAAGTATCTACAAACCAGCAGCCTTAACTTGTTCCAAAGCTTGTTTGACATCGGTAAGTAAATCGTCAGTTTCTTCAATACCAACAGATACTCTGATAAGATCATCATAAACACCGTAAGATTCTCTTTCAGCTTTTGGAATACCACCGTGGGTCATGATGGCAGGAACTTCAATTAAGGATTCGATACCACCTAAGGATTCAGCCAAGGTGAATAATTTAGTAGATGAAGTGAAGATAGAAGCAGCTTTAGCACCACCATTAATTCTAAAAGAAATCATACCCCCACCTAAACCATCTCTATGTTGGTTTAAAACAACAGCATGGTTTTGGTGAGATTTCAAACCAGGATAGTTAACTTTTAAGATTTGCTCATTTGAGGATAAGTATTCAGCAATTTTTAAAGCAGAATAAGAAGCTTGTCTAACACGTAAATGTAAAGTTTTTAAACCACGGTGAGCTAACCAAGAGTCAAAAGGAGAAGGAACTGAACCAATAGCATTTTGTAAGAAACGGAATTTATCATGTAATTCATCACTATTAGTAGCTAAAACCCCACCAACAACATCAGAGTGACCATTGATATATTTAGTGATTGAATGAACAACAACATCGGCACCAAAAGTTAAAGGATTTGAAACATAAGGAGATAAAAAGGTATTATCAACGACTAAAAAGATTTTGTTACCAGTTTTTTCATAGTGATTATTTAAAATTTTAGAAACTTTTGAAATATCAGTAACTGATAAAGTTGGATTTGAAGGAGTTTCTAACCAAACTAATTTAGTATTTTCTTTAATATTTGATTCTAAATCTTCCACTAAATTTTGAACAAATTGAGATTGAATACCATGACTTGGGGCTACTTTAGTAAAATAACGATGAGTACCACCATAAACATCAGCACCAGAAATAATATGAGAATTAATTGGTAAAGATTGGATGATTAAAGCAGTAGTAGCAGAACCGGAACTAATTGCAATAGCATGTTTTGCCTTTTCTAAAGCAGCAATTGCAGTTTCAAAATTATCTCTATTTGGATTAGCAGATCTTGAATATTCATAAATACCAATTGGCTTAGAAGGTTCTGATTGAGCAAAAGTGGTTGATAAAGAAATTGGTTCAATAACAGCACCAGTGTGAGGATCAATAGGAGCACCGGAATGAATGGCTTTGGTACCAAAACCAAAATCTGAAGGAGTATTTGAATCAACAGTCATTATAATATCTATAGTTCAACCGGTTATAAGTTGAATTATTGGTTTTTGGTAAAATTGAGAAAAGGTTGGACTTTACTTTTAATAAAACACTTGAGCTTAGTAATAAAAGCAGATTTTAGTCGAATATAAATGAAAAATTCGAAAGCAGAGCTTTTTATAAGTATGCCTTACAACAGACAAAAAAAGAAAAAAAAAAACAAAATAAGTGCCGTTTCTTTTAGAAATATCCATCGGACATTAATGGTTACAGGGTCTACAGTGGTCCTTTAAAGTATATAGCCATTACTAAGTATACGGTGAGCTCAGGTACCGTGACATGACGTTATACGGGGTGATCTGATCGTGGTGGTGGTGGTGGTCAGAAGGTGTCAGCAGTAGGAAAGCACGGCAGAACTGTGGCGTCGAAATAAACACCCGTACACCCTCATCGCGTGAGCGAGCGAGCAAGCGAGCGAGTCGTGTAGGTTTGTCGAATTTTCTGGTGCACGGGTCTATAAAAATGTCGAGACCTAAAAGACAAGGACTTGGGAAATGACTTAGAAGGACAAAACTTAGGAACTTAATGACCTAAGAAGAACAGGGTAAGGTGAGAAGAAAGACAAAGACAGGACTGCAAAGACGTGATATACAAGAGGATGAGATGGGGGCTGATTCGGTTAATTCAACGGTGAAATGAATTTCAAATGTACGTTGACTAAGCGAAGCTATACCGAGCGAATTAACGTGTTTGCACTAATATCTGAAAAATCAGATAAACATTTAAAGTGAACAGCAGCATGACAGATGAAAGACCGAACGGAAACAGTTCACAAAGTTTTTTTGCAACGCTTACTCGAGCAAAGATAGCCGTTCTTATAAGTAAGGAGTTGAAACAACTTCGGTTTACAACTAGATAAGATGCAAATTGATATCCGTTTCTGGTGGTATTGTGATTGAATAACAATGTACAAGGAGTAATCGTAACCGTTCCAACTCGCTTCCAAAGGTATACCTCTAGGCGAATAAGGAACCACTGAAATTTTTCATTGTTTTATAATCCGATTGTGTTGAGTTATGAAACCTCTTTGTATCTTTTATTTTCGAATCAGTTCGGAGAGGTTTTCGAGTGCTATGGACTTCCCTACATAGTTTCGAATTCTATGGTCTGGCCTGATTCACTTCTTGCAACTTTTGGCGTACCATTCAAGCTTCTGACGAGGTCGATCCCTCGCACCAGCCTTCCCCCCCTTTGATTTGATACCAGGGGCCCTTCTTGGTGTTCCCTTCTTCACTAATACCAATGCTAGACACAGCTACATCTGACCCTAATCGGCGTAATCCACTTGTATCTTTGATTAGAGGTATTGTCACCGCATCGCTCCTTTGTTCTCGGAACAATTACTATTGTTACTGGATTTTTGTGAGAAGAGTTTTTTTGCACCAAAACAAAAAAAAAAAAAGATTGATGGATTTTTTGCACCACCAAAGACAATTGACGATAATTTCGTTTAATATCTAGAATTGCGTACAAAAGAGTGGTTGTTTATGCTGCTAACTGTCCAATCATCAAGTGCTGTCGCACGGTCAAGCCCTCGGTACCACGGGATAAATAACCTTCGAAATTTGACATAATATCGGAGTACATAATTGTGAAAATAAAGGGAATCGTACATGAGGATGTAAACTTTTTGGCAAAAGATCCCTTAACAGGCTTGATACAAACCCACGGTAAGACACCACAACGACGCCGTTGCTGGGAAAATAGAATAATGCAAAAAAAAAGTCTATTAAGCGGAATTAGACCTAGATTTGCAAAAATTTAATGGACGTTCAGTGCATAATGCAATCAATTTGATAGACAAAGGAAAAAACAATTCACTTTCGTACCTTTGGCAAAATATTTACCTCTGATAAGTCGGCTCTATTTACTTTTCACTCAGGAATTGTGTTTGTTCCTCTTGTTTCTTGCTTTTCTCTTTTATTTTTTTTTTTCTTTTTTGTTTCTAATTCGTTTTTTTGTATCTATCCTGCAACCTCCTTGAAGCCTGGTCCTGGGGTACCTTAACCTTTACTTATTCTTTAAGAGGCTACCAGGTGAAATTTTAGCCATTTGCTTATTCCAATGGAAAAACTTTGAAGGCTTTCCCAAAATGCACATATATAAATGGGTGTGAATATCCTATAGTTCATTGTAAATTGGTTATTTGAACGTCAAATACAATGCAAGTGATTCATTTAAGTATCTTCTTGATATTATCAATTGTGTCTGCAAATCCGATTTGGTTTAAACCGTTCCCATCGGAAGAACCAAAACCCGTAATTGCACCTTCACTTTCAATTGAAATACAAGAAACGGATTCTTTCTACATTTCTATAGGACCAATCGTACCTACCGAAGAACCAATACCAGTACCAGAACCATCATCAAATGCTACCACTCTCTTAAAGAAAAGATTTTTTAAAGGTATAGATAAAACTACTGTAACTTTACCAACTCTTACCTTACCAACAATTACTTTACCACCTCCCTTACCTACTCTTAACTCAACTTTATTTTTCAAAAGACATGAAACTGAAACTACAACTGAAAATGAAGCTACTAAAACTGAAATGAAAGTTCCAAGTACCGAAAAACCAGACATTTTCCATCATTTGGGTGCTTATTTAGATAATTTCCATAATCCTCAAGAAGCAGTTTCTTTTGCTAGGGATGTTAGTTCAAATATAGCTTATGCTAAAGCTACTCCTACTTATAACGCTAAGTCTTTATTACGTAAAGTTTATCAAAATGTTCCTACTCCAACAAGTACCCACACTTTTGAGGATTTAATCGATGATATCTACGATGGCCATGATGCTGTTGACAATTTAATGGACTCCGTCATCCATCCTTTCTTAAGACATTAGTGTCTTCTACGTTTCTATTTTAGGGATTTCCTTTCTTTCTAAATTAAGCTTTCGTATATCACCAAATTTCACATTCTCTTTCTCTTTTCTGGCTCTTTCTCACTGGTGAGTCAATTTACCAGTATTTCTTTCTCCATAGTTATATTTTTCTATAGTTTTATGCTTCTAAGGTTTTTCCTTTTTTTTTTTTTTTTTTTAATTCACAATTTGAATTAGGGAATACTTTATCTTACGCTACAAGATTCAAAATACCCCGTTTTATTTTACTTCGACACTCTTTCGGTTACCATGGATTAATAGGTTTATTCTTTTCTTTCCCATTCTTTATAACAATAAATGGATAATTTGATTTTCGTTATCAACAGTGTAGAGAATTATCGCAAAAAAAAACAGAAGAAAAACAAAAAAAAAAAAAACGCAGCATAAGGAACTCCCGACTGCGAATTGCAAAATTATTTCGATATATGCTTGATATCGCCCATTCTCTTTCAAACTATTTTATTAGACCGAAAAAAGGCTCAACACCCCACCAAATTTATCCGTGGAAAGTGGATAGCTTACGCTGCTTCGTAAGTGGTTGAAATCATAAAAGTTTTGAAGTTGCTTGAGTTTGCACAGGATTGGTTTATTATTCATCATCCTGATAAGGCTTATCGATTAATTGTGAATTTTATCATTTTCACAAATGAACAGGAGGCTGTTTGAATAAAATTAGCGTGATACAATTATGCGAGATACGTAGGAAAGTGTCTATTAAACAAAGTTTTATTTTATAGGAAGAAGTGAATCAAAAAAAAAATACCTTAATTAGATTTCAATAGATAACCTAAGCGAGCATTGGACAATGGCCCGTTTGATATTTAATATTAGGTGATGATCGTATTTTCGGCCCACCGGTCAGATAAGTAATGACGAACATAAATTGTGACAAACGTGCTGGGATGCAGATTCGACACAGTTTCTCGATATAAGTCATGTAATGAATTCTAGAATGCAAGGAAAAGTACAAAATGAATTATCCATGGAAAAACCTCCATATAATTGGACTGATTAAAAAAAAAGAAACAAAAAACAAAAAGCATAATCATGAAATCGAATCATTAATTCTTTAATTCATCCAAAAAATTTGGATTACTAACCAACCTATTCTTAAACTTTTCCCACCAAGTATCAAATGCTTTCATTGGAACTTTCCCGGTTGCATCAACAAACCCACTCAAATAGTTATAAGCATGGGTAACAATTTGATTAGCTAAGAATGCAGTATCTTGAGGATTTTTAGTATTACCAGAAGTTGATTTTACTGGCACAGGAGTGAGTGCCGAAACATTGCTTTTTGCTTCCGCCAATAAAGCTTCCGCCTGTGGTGTTGGTTCAATTGAAATTCCGATATTTATCGTTGAAGCAGCATTTGCAGAATCATTCATATCAATATCATCCAATTGGGTCGCATTTTGTTTACTATTATCATTATTATTAATCTTATAAATTGCCGAGGGTTTCAATGGATTTAATCCTCCTAAGAGTTTAAATTCAGTTGAATTTGGTAATTGGAAATATACCAATGCCGTAAAATTCGAATCAGTAAATTCAGTTTGGGGCAATAAGAAAACAGTTACATAATTAACATTGGATGAATTTGGTATGGCAATAACGTACTTGGTGGTTTCCACCTGGTTTGCTAATTGAATTGGTCTTCCCGAACACACTGCTCCAAACATCTTCTTGCATTCAATCAGTGATTACTCTAGGGTTTATCCTTATTATGTTCCAGTCACAATTTTTTGAATCTTTCTAAAATCATAATGGATTACCCGCACCTTAATATTTTGCTGATTTTTTTTTTTTTTTTTCTTCCTTTACTTTAAAAGATGAGATGGAAATTTCGAGATTACTCTGGAAAGCAACTACTTCATTATTGGTATACGTTGTGTTTACAAAGGATTGTAAAGATGAAGTATACTTGAATGGATAAACAAGAAGATGGTTTATCAGTTTTGATTTGTGTTAATGGTTTGAATCGTATGATTTGGATCAGACGTGATTGGAACTATTGATTTATCATCGATACACTTGTCCTATAGAAACCACGTCGAACATATTTTCCATCTTTGAGCAGTTGATGTCTTTTCATCTGGTGCAATAGATGAATATGGGAAAGATACTTCGTGACATTTAGACTGTAGATACTATAATCCAACTAGTTGCACAACCACAACCTAGTAATATAACATTAGAACCCGAATAGATTTCGTTTAGGTAGTTGAAAGTGACTTGATCCTCTAGTTTGGATGAGACTGGTTTTGAGTGAACACCGCAATTGCCATGTTCGCCCCAACCCCAAGCATAGACTTTGTTATTTGCATGTAAAAGGCCATGTTCACTACCAATTTCGAAACTCCTTGGACATGGACTTGTGGATGGAATTAACTGACCATGGCTATTATTACCATACGAGTTGATTTTGGAATCACAAGTATAGTGAACTGAAGACCACATAGATTTTAAGGAACCAATTGGCTTCTCTACCGTAAACAATTCTTTTGTCTTACCAAATATATAAACGTGAGTTCCCGAGTAAATATAGGTAACGTCTCTACCAATGTCAAAATCAAGAATTTGCTCAACCCCAAAATTTAGCTTAGTAGGGGAGGTCAAGGTGCTGGGTAACTTACCATTAGCTTTTGCAACCAAAGTACCCAATTGACCTTTCCTGCAATTCCCCCAACCGTGCAATTCCCCATTTTGCAAGATCAAAATAGTGTGATTCACACAAGAACGAATTTTGTTAATTGGAGAAGGGAATTTGATATCTAGCTTTTTCATTTCTGTTCTGGTGATGCTACCCAATCCCAATTCGTGTTTCAATCCCAATCCACAGACAAATAACTCATCGTGTTTGTTAACCAAGACTGAAAACTCCCATCCTGCACTAACGTCTTTCCAAGAACCTTGCACCTGATGGAATCCAACTATATGTTGCCTGCTGGCCAATGCACATTGGCCATAGGTGTTCTGTCCACAACTGTAGAGTGATCCTGACTCAAACAAAACAAACGTGTGATTTCCTCCACACACGATCTTGATTGGTTTGTCCGGCATATCACTAACCACCTTATCATCTATATGGAATTGGGCGGCTTGAAGGGTATTGTAGTCCTCATCGTCTGATATGCCTAATTGGTAATTGCCATTAGACCCACAAGACAATACTTTGTATCCCATTTTGCTACCGATCCGACCCGAATCCTGGTGCTATCACTTTCCATCAAATAGTGAAACAATCAACTGCTTTTTTGTAGTAGAAAACAGTGGCTTCAGCGTGTTTATCTTCGATCCAGTACGTTTTTTTCTATTTTTTTTGGTGAGTACACCAATGATGGTGCAATATTGTACTTTTTTGCAATCACTAACTGTGGCTATTACAGTTAGCTGATTGACCGGGTCGGACTTGAGAGAGATTCCATCTTTATATAAGATGGGGATGCTTGGATACTTGAGATTTGGAAACCTGGTAATTCACCAACCATGGCACCAATTGCAGCGGTAGCTTCCAGATACGATCCTTCTCAATTCAATAAGAACCATACTGCTTACACGGCTCAAGGAAATCTTACGGTTAGTAGGGAAAACAGCGAAAAGGCCAAGTACCCCGAGTTTTTGCCAACATGGAATCCAGATGTTAAGTATCCTCCGTTAAAATTTCAGTCATTAGATGATAAGGGAGTTTACGGAGATGATGGGTATTCTAGTTTATTGGAACATGCCGGAAACGGCGAATACACTATGAAGAACGTTACTCCCAAATTTGGAACTGAAATTGAAGGCATTCAGTTATCGGAGTTGGATGAAAATGCCAAAAACGACTTAAGTTTATTATTGGCCAGAAGAGGTGTAGTAATTTTCAGAAACCAAAACTTGTTGCAAAATGGACCTAAATATTTTGCTGATTGGTCAAGATACTTTGGTCCTTTACACATCCACCCTACGTCTGGGGCTCCAGAAAATGTACCTGATTTGCATGTCACCTTCAGAGGAACCTCCAAAGACGAGTTAGAAAGTGCTTTTAAAACAAGATTAACTAATACCCAGTGGCATACCGATGTTAGTTATGAGAAAATGCCCCCTTCTTATTGTTTCTTTAGCGTCTTACAAGGTCCTGAAAGTGGTGGTGACACCTTATTTGCCGACACCGTTGAAGCTTATAAGAGATTATCCCCAGAGTTTCAGAAACGATTACAAGGTTTGCATGTTTTACATACATCCGAAGACCAGGCTCATTTGCAAAGACAACAAGGTGGTTTTAGCAGAAGAGACCCGGTCTCCAATATCCACCCTTTGATTGTTGAACATCCAGTTACAAAGGAAAAATACATCTTTTTGAATAGAGAATTTTCCAGACAAATTGTTGAGTTAAAGGAAGAAGAATCCACTTTCTTAATGGAATTCTTATATAATCACATCGAATCAGCCCACGACTTGCAGTTGAGAGCCAGCTGGGAATCTAAGACCGTTGTTTGCTGGGATAACAGACGTACGGTCCATTCTCCAACTGGTATTGACCAATCAGCTACCGACGAGTTTGGCAATCCAGTTATCCGTTTTGCAGTAAGATCATCTCCCCAGGGCCCTAGTCCCGTGGCAGATTTACAGCACTTCAACGACCCTCACTACTTGGGGGAACTATATCTCAAGCTAGGAATCATCCCAAAACACTTATAGTACTCTTATAGGTTAAATCTTTGTAATGTCAAATGTATGTAATGTTAAATGAAACAAATCTTAATAGAGGAAGTGATATGAGGTGTCGTACTATGCAGTATTTTGAGTTTTTTTGCATCCAAAAAAGAATATAAACTTCTTCATGTATGAATAAAGAGAAATTAGTGTAATAAAAAGGAAAATTAAGAAGTTGACAAGTTGACGAGGCAGTAAAGATTATAGAAATTTGAAATTTGTTGATATTTGTAAAAGTTTTGGAATGGTGAGGATCCAATACTGAATAAAATTAGTGAAATTATGGAGTTTTGTTTGAAAGTTACAAATTTTCCAAGAAAATAACAAAAATGACATTAAATGAATAGTCAAGTGGGAGCAATACTTAATTACTACTAATTTAATGCTTGCTTATTGTAATAATTAATACTATTGTATTACTAAATGAACAGCTTGACGAAAAATAAAAATCATTAGCATTATCTAGAGGGATTAAGCTCTATCTATATTGGTAATTTGATTAGAAGAGTAAGATAAAAGCCAATGTATAATGAACAAGTTCAATTTTAAAAAGCAGAGGTAAAAGAGGTTCTGAAACTCACATTTGCGAAATGTATGGTAAACCTGCAGCTGTTACAATTAGCTAATGAATCTAGTTTTTTGATCATCCTTATCACTAAAATTGAAACTGAATGGGCGAAGGATGATTTATCGACTAGTTGAGATCACATCATATATCTGGCATAAGATGAACCTACAAAGATAATTTTTTGATCGATATTAGTGAAGTAATCATTCTATTTATACCAATCTTTTACTATATTGGCACTACCTGCCAAAGATTAGCTTAACTTTTTATATGATCCTTGGAAGCTTACTATCCAATCTACGGCAATTAGAAATACCTCAGGCTTATTTTGAAAATTTATTCAACAAACTAGTTTTCTTAAACTTGTGCAGCTTAAGCAAAATTTGAGTTTTTTCGTTTTTTATTAGCCCCTTAATAACATTTGAAGATACTACATATATTCCAAAGATAAACATTCATATATTATTAAACCAAATATAAATTATTTTGTATCAGGTTTCGTAGGCTCTGTTCAATCGGTGCTTGGGAATTGCACCTCTGAGAATGGAGCTGATGCAACTGTGGAATAATTATCATCATCGCTTTCTTCGAGTCTGTTGTACTCATAAATGTATTAAAGATCATGAATATCGTCAGAGTTATTGTACTTGGGCTCCTGGTTCTTAGCATGAGAGAAGTCCAAGAATACAATATTGCCATTGGCAACTTTGCAGTTTCTCTTTGCAATATCGTGATGCTGAATTCCAATATCCCCCATCAATTCGAGTTGTCTGCATCCATTTTCAACCATTGACTTGGTGATATTAGTTTCATCTTCCTTGATGTACGATATTAATAAGTAAAATCCCTCGATAGGGTCCAGGTCTTTGACATTCATATGGAATTCTCCATAGTAATAAAGAGTAGGAGTATGGATCTTCTCATCCGCACTTGCATTGTGTTTTGCAATCAGTTCGTAACAGGATGCTTCTTTGAGGAAATCTTGAATGCAAATGTTGATCTCCTTCATGGTTGGATTCGGCCAACCATCGAGTCTAGCAACAACATCCGGAATGAAAAGCTTCATTACCACCAGATCGTCTTGTTTCAAGCCTGTGAGGACTTCATTGAAAAATGGGAAAAACTTGCAAAGTAAGTCAAACTGGAACTTATAGACATGTCTCCGGTGTCCTTGTCCTTGTAATATTTCAAACCCAGTCCATGATTCACATTCACCTTCAACATGAGAATGGCTCTTTTGGGTGTCAATATTACGGTTAGCATTGCTTTCTCTAGCAAGTGATTTCCCTATTCCAGCACTATTTGACTTATTGTCAATATCCTTTCTTACAACCTTCAAAAAGGTACTGACAGTTTCCTTTTGTCTTTCTGCATGAAGATTTTCCTCTTCGGTAGATTCAAAGAAGAGCCAAGATAAGAATGCTGCTTGCACCGTTATACCCACGCTGCTCAAAGTGAATAATCTGTAGCGAAGCGGGATCACTACTTCAGTTTCAGCCATAAGCTCTTTTGATAGTTCACCAATTTCTATAAAAAGGGAGTGGTGGAAATTAGTTACTATCGCACGAGTAGTATTACAAGCAATGAAGTACCTGCCTATTTGCCTTATTATTGACTTAAAAGCGTCGCTTGGTTCATAAATTCCATCTTTGATCAAATCACTAAAACCAGGGCCCTGGAGTCCAACAGCTAATAAAGGGACGTCATTCTTGTAATAAAGCAAGTCTGGTATACCGCTGAAGTCCGACAGTCGAATGCTGCCACTAAACTGGCTGTCACTAGTCCTGTGATGTGCATATACTTCGATAGGATGACCTGCAACAAAAAGAAAATCGGTGGATGGATCGCCAATGAATTTTTCGAAAAGCTTAAGACTCCCGGCTTCATTTTGCGGTAGAGACCAGGAAGACTCTAACAAAAGTGCTAGGCGAATCTTCCCCCACTCTTTTCGACAGCTCCTTTCATCTAGATTCAAAACGGCTTCTCTAAAATACCGCTGGAAAGATTCTAATTTGTTCAAATTTTGATCACTTAATTCAGTTTCAAAAGAAAACACGAAGTTAGATAACCTGCTGTTGGAACTAGAGCCATGGACACTCAGAACTGTATTTATTCCAATGCTTTTGAAATCAAGCTCCAATTGAATAATAAAAAATGGGAATGCAGCATTAGCAAGAAGTTGTAAATCAATCCGACCTGAACGATTTATCTCCAGCACCAAATCACCTTTTATATCGTACCTTTCCTCGGGAGTCATTATTTCCAACAATTCAGGTGTGATACTGTTGATGTATACCAACTGCTCACAGAGATACTTCTCGTTCAATAATTCGGCCGTGATTCTATCAACATAATCAATTCGTTCAGAGGGAGTATATCCGGCGATTGGGATAGAGCTGACATACACCAATCTAATATCTGACTGATTGTTTTCATACCATCGGCTTCGATACCTTTCTATCATATCTTCAGGAGGAATGTAGTTGACATAAACAATGTTATCAGAAGGGAAGATCTCCATCAATTTCTCGGGTGGAATGTTGTAGTCATACTCAATGAGCTCGTCACAATGACTTTTCAAGATCTTAGCATAGTACTTTGAATTCATGTCTTGAATTGATGAGCTCTGACTCTGAGGATTATCTAGTTGAAATTGGAAATTTAAAGGTTTGTGGTAAGTTTATAATTGCAACTGAAATAAAAAAAGTACTCTGCTTCGGCTGCAAAAAATAAAATATGTACGGGTGTGTTGATACAATCGATAGCTTTCTAGTTAAATGCAGTTTACATTGCCTCTAGTACAGTTTGTATTTTACGTTTACAATTTATTTCTTATTGCAAAAACTTACTCTATCTCTTTGACACTATAGCTCTATAGTCCTTAAATTACAGGCACGATCAAATGATAGCCACCTTTACTGTCATAGCTAAATCTTTAGTTTGTGATTTACTCCCTTAATCCTGTTTTTCCTAGCAATAAATATTGGTTTGAAAGTCCAATATTTCAGATCTTGGAAAGAACAAGCCAGTTTTATCTTCTATTCTGCATTATATAAACTTTGTTTCAACATATTTTCTTAAATACGAAAGTATCAAATATTACAGGTATTAAAAATACATATTTCAATATATTATATTTATTTTTCGTAGCATGCTTGATTTTGAAAATTTATTCAATAAAGGTACTCTTATCACTTTTTTTTGTAGGTTTAACTTGATATTAAAGGGACTTTTCATTTGAAACAACATATACTCCAAAATGAACTTTGACAGTCAAGTCACGTGGCTACCTTATTGTATGAAAAGTAATTTCTCTCTCTCAAAATCTTATAAATATATATTATATTGCTTGATAATTTACATTATTTTGTTATTGTTATAAGACCAGTATATTGGATCTTCAGGCTATGTTACATTCACTATTGCGGCTCTACATACAAACTCAAACCAACGAAAACCAATGCAAACCAACGCAAACCTCAACGGGAGCTTCCGAAAAATGTGATTGTCCAGGGATTGTTTCAAACTTGATCTAGAGGATTATAATGTGGTTGATGCTCCTTCTATCAAGAATGAAGTAATACACATTTACCAATTAGAGTTCTACAAGAACAAGATTTTAGGAAGATGGTCAGTAATTTTTTTAATTTCAACAAAGATAGCAAGAATCAAAACCAAAGTGAATCACCGGATGATACTATGTCAAGCACTCAGAATTTACTTCGGGTTGAAAGAGGCCACAACCAGGAGAGAAACAAGGAACGGTCGAAGCCAAAAAGACTTGAAGGATTGTCTTATTTCGAAAATCGGCCTGGGATGTTTTACAATCTGACAGCAGATGTCGACGATGAGATCATATTCCAGGGTTCATCACTGAGATCTTTGGCAGATTCGATTAATCTCGAAGAAACGGCAAACTTGCCAAAGAATAACATTTCGGAACAGGCTAATCTAGAGGAAGTTTCAGAAACCTCAGAAGCTTCAGTAGACTCTGAAGAACAATTACAAGACGAATGGGGCTGCCTTGATTATTCAGAATATATGAAGGAATTCAACAAAAAAATGAATGAGTTACCACTAAATTTACAGAAGTACATCAAGTCACAGCTAAATGGAATAAAGAGCCCTAGGATGAATAAGAAAGCTTCTAAATGCCTTTTAAAATATGGGCTCTTATTGAAAAGACAGGAACCTTTCAATATTATACCAATTTATGTTTGGGGTTTAAAAATTTCACATACTTTATTTTACCAATTTTCAAAAATGTGTAAACATCCTTATAACAAAAATCTTTTGGATACTTTGAAAATAGCCAGTCTTAGATCACACTTGTAGGCTATTGCCCAGTATCTTTTATTCTTAACCGAAGGTGGCTATGATACTATTGAAGTACACGGTGACCTATTGCTTAAATATATCTCTTCTCGAAGAACGGTACATGGGAGAGACACAGGCCAGTTCATAAGAGTGGGAAGCATGAAAAAAATTCGAAATGCAATGATATTCCTTAGAAAGATTTGGGCTATCAAGTCAAAGATGTTACTGACCGGAAAGTTGGAGATCAAAAATTCGATCAATTGAAGGTTATGCCAAATTCAGAATTAATAGAGCAACACATCAAATCTTGTGAGCTAGGTGAAGAAGTTGCTATAAAAGATGATATTAACGACTATTCCGATCTTATTGATATTTTAGTCTTCATTCCTAAGGAAATGAAGGAAATGTTTATAAAGCTTCACCAGCAGTCAACACGGCGGTCTTCGAATCCTTATGAATTACATAATAACATGAACTCAATAATTGAAATATTATTAGGTGAATATCTTCTTATTAGAGGAATGGATAAAAGGGTATTAAGCTTCCGGGACATTAAATATGATAAAGGCAAGTTAAACCAGCCAGATGTGTTAAAGTTTAGGTTGACCGAGTCAAAGGCACAATCGTCTTCTGTCGTCTTCTCAAAAATACTCTCAAATATCTTGCGCTAGACATAAAGATCCATTGGTTTGTCTAGTTGGTGCTATTGCAATGAATTATTGGTTCAGACTTGAATTCAATGACGAGCTCTTACAAGGAACAGTGAGGCCAGATTTTACAAATCCTCATTCGTACTATCCCATCAAGTTACTTTATTCTCTGCAGTCTAGACAAACGAACCAGATTAGTCCCACTCATGAGATCAAGTTGAATGAGGATGCATTGTCGCTAATTTGTAAGACTTCTAAAATCAAGTCTCATTTAGGGCGTCATCAAGGGTCCCGTAAAGCAGATAGAGCTAATGTTCCTGAGCTTCAGATAGAAAGACAACGTGGATGGTCAACTAGAACGATTTCGGCAAATTATTTAGAACGGTCGTCCTCACAGTTCATTAAAGCAATGGCTGGGTTCGATACCGAAAATAAAGAAGAGGATTTCATCCTTCGTGAACACACAGTTCCTCCTGACTCTTTACAAAAAAAAATATTAACCTTTTTAGAAGCAGAAGAGGAAAATTTTGAAGAATTAGACTCCAATCTACCAATGAATACCCCCCGTGATTTATACACTCCTAGGCTTTTTGAATTATTGAGATATTTTCGTATTGTGATCTTGCAAGACTTGTGTTTCTACTTGAATTAGTACCGGAAAGCATATTCTGTCAACATCCAATTGTCAACGATCCAGAATTTCAAGGGTTTAAGCATAAGATGGATATGGTAGATATAACAACCACCTTTTTGGAGTCTCAAAAGACCCCACTGGATGTTGTGGATTCATTGATTCCCAGAATAATAGATATCAACCAAAAGACATATAAATTTATTGCACTGTCACAGAGTAGTATTCTAAGTAACTTCAAACAGTTATCTGACCTTGGGAAAAAGATAGAAGGATTAAAAGTAGAAACTCGAGATATAAGATTAGAATCCAAAAACTCGAGTGAGAGCCATGATAAAGAAATTCCAGAAGTGAAGAAAGTAGTTGAAGACATCAATCAAAAATTAGGTCAGTTATTAGCAAATTCTTGCCCTTCTAATTCTGGTGGTGCTCTAGCCGTTGTGCCTCCAACTTTTACCTTTGTTGATGAGTCTCAACCTGGTGATGTTGAATCTAGTGGTCAATCTGGTGGTCCTTCTAATTTTACATTTGTTCAACCTGGTGGTAAAAAACGTTCAAAGACAAGCCTGAGCACCTACATAAAGAAAACAAGAGTAGATCTTGCTCCATCATCAGTATGCTATTTCAGTATGTATCAGTCAACAGTGCCCGAGCTTTTGGAGCAGTGGTATCATACAGTTGGTGATGTCCTCTCCATCGAGGAAATAGATAGAAAATATAGAAATGCTTGGAGAAAGGATGTGAGGACAAGACAAAATTACCATAGAAGACATAAGATTATTAGGTGGTTAAACTCATTTTAGCCGCAATTAAGCTACTAATATCTTTGAATACGTCAGACGTGAAGAAGGGATCACTTTGTATCAATTGTCTACACATAGTGAACTGGAGAGAATAGTAAGAGAGGCATCTAAGTTAGCTGACGATTCATATATTACGAGAAAATTAACAGAAGCTGGATAAAAACTTCAACATTGACTCAGCTTATGTAGAAAGTGATATAAATGCAAATAATAATATTACTTGATAATACCTCTATATATTATTTTAAGTATTGCTTGATTTAATAGCTATAAATCCCATGGTTGCAACATTTAATATTTGCAGTCGCGTCTTGTAAAGTTTCGATGTGACGCGAGGGCGATAATGGTACGGGTTTCCCTTTGTGATGCGAAGAAGTGAAAAAAAAAAAAAAAAGTGCTACTATATACATTTTGTATTCAATGTAAGCTTCTTCTTTTTATATTGATCCTTTTTCACTTTCGTAGTGTGATTATGAGTCAAGAAGATTCAGCCAGAGAAACCCCCAAGAAGTCCAACGGATCGTACGTGCAAGTTCCCAGCTCTCTGCCTATTAATATCAAATCATCTCCAAGTAGTTCCAATTTTATACCTCCAAGTATGACAACAAAACCTTTGACACCGTCTTCCAAAGAAGAGGAGTTGGAGAAAAAGAGAAACTCAATCAGAAATCACCAAAACTTCCCCATGATCAGGAAAAAGTTTTATTATTTGAACGAAAGCGATATTTTCAAAGGTTTTATCAAAGGAAAAGGTAACCTAAGAGATATAAGTCAATGGTTGAGCGATAATTATGATAAATCAGCGATTGTATCAAAGATTGAGAAGGAAAAGGAAGAAAACTTGTTGAAGGAAAAGAAAAGACAAGAAGAATTGAATAAAGAAAGATTAGCCAAACAAATGGAAGATTTAGCTCGACATCAAGAATTACAACGAGAAGAAGAAGAAAATCGTAAAAATAATGCTTTAAATGAAAGGCAAGCGGAAAAACCAAGCCAAGATGAAGATGATGAAGACTCCTCTCCAATAAAATCAAGAGGGAAAGCCAGATTGAAGGCCGATTCTGCATCTCCTCGTAAACCAATGAGATTATCTTCATTAAATGATAAATCAACCAGAGTTAATTTAGGTAAACCTAAAATGTCTATTTTGGAAAAGTATAAACATAAACCTAAACAACAATTATCGATTGATCAAGTCTTTAAGAAACAAGATGAAAAAACTGAAGAATCTCAACCTAAAAGAAGAAGATTGGTTCGTGGTAATGATTCAACTTCGGCTACTCCAGATCCTGAGATATCGAAAAATTTAAGTGAAAAATTCAAGTTCAAAGATCCTGAATTACCTAAATTTAACTACGATAATAATAAGACTAATTTCAAAAAGATGAAATCTGAAGATTCTGATAATGATATTGTTGCAGATGACGATCTCGATAGAATCGAAGAGAAAATTAAACAGAATAAAAGAAAGGCAAAAGCGGAAAAAGTTCATGTTATTAGCGATGATGACTTAGAAGACGATGACGCTGAGGACGATAGTATGTCTGAAGAAGATGAAGAAGTTTACAACACCGGAATTACTTCAATTGATTCCCAAATTTTAGAATTCTTAAATAATGCTTCAACTCAAGATATAGTTGAAATTAGTAATATAGCGCCAAAAATTGCTGATGCTTTAATATCTCACAGACCTTTTAATACGATTTATGAGATTTCAGAGAATAATTTCGAAACTGAAGAAACCCCTGAAGCGGAATCTAATACAAAGAAAAGAAAAACTTTACGTAAGGCCTTAGGGTTGAAAATTGTTGAAAATACAGAATTCAGTCTTAAAGGTTATAAAGCTGTTGATTCGTTAGTTAAAAAGTGTTCTGAATATGGTGATCTTATTAAAGAACAAATGTCTAAATGGGGAGTGACTGTTACTGGTGAAGGTGAATTAGAGATGACTGATCTTGAAGTGATAAGTAATAAAAAGGGATTAAAATACATTACTAAACCAGCATTACTTGATCCATCTGTTGATTTAAAAAATTATCAATTAGTTGGTGTTAATTGGCTTAATTTATTATATCAAAATAAATTATCGTGTATTTTAGCAGATGAAATGGGTTTAGGAAAAACTTGTCAAGTTATATCCTTCATGGCTCATTTAAAGTCATTGGAAACTAAGGGACCTCACTTAGTTGTGGTTCCATCATCGACTTTGGAAAATTGGTTAAGAGAATTTCAAAAATTTTGTCCAGAATTCGCAGTTCAAGCATATTATGGATCTCAAAAGGAAAGAGAAGAACTTAGATATGATTTACAAGATGCCGAATTTGATGTGATGGTAACTACTTATAATTTAGCCACTGGTTCAGCTCCTGATTTTAAATTTTTGAGAAATCAAAATTTTGATATGATTGTTTATGATGAAGGTCATATGTTGAAAAATTCTAATTCTGAGAGATATACGAAGTTAATGAGATTAAAAGCTAATTTTAGATTGTTATTAACTGGTACTCCATTACAAAATAACTTAAAAGAATTAGTATCATTATTAGCATTCATGTTACCGGATTTATTCAATGATAAAAGAGAAGATTTACAAGGTTTATTCAAACAAAAGGTATCTATTGATTCAGAATATAACCCATTATTATCTATCCAAGCCATTTCAAAAGCCAAAACCATGATGACGCCTTTCGTTTTAAGACGTAAGAAGGTTCAAGTTTTGAAACATTTACCAGCCAAAACTCATGAAGTGGTTTACTGTGAACTAACTAAATCCCAACAGGAGATTTACGATAAATATTTGAATCAAGGTAAAGCTACAAGAATTGAAAGAGAGAGAAGAAAACAATTAGTAGGGAAAGAAGCAGAAGAAGCACGTAAAGTTGCTATTCCAACCTCTTCAAATGTCATGATGTCTTTAAGAAAAGCATCAATGCATCCATTATTATTTAGACTAATTTATACTGATGCAAAATTGGCTAAAATGTCCAAGTTAATCATGGAAGAACCTGAATACGTCGAGGCAAATCAACAGTACATTTTAGAAGATATGAGTGTTATGTCAGATTATGAATTAAATAACTTGTGTGAAAAGTTCCCTAAAACTTTAGGAAAGTATATTTTAAAAGATTCTGAATTCCTAAACAGTGGGAAAATTAGTAAGTTTATTGAAATCATCAATCAAGCCATTGAAAAAAAAGAAAAAGTATTGGTATTCTCATTATTTACTCAAATGCTTGATATTTTGGAGAAAATCTTCAGCATTCATCAAATCAAATTCTTAAGGCTAGATGGACAAACCACTGTTGATACCAGACAAGATTTAATCGATACTTTTTATGACGATAAGACAATCCCAGTGTTTTTATTAAGTACCAAGGCCGGTGGTTTCGGTATCAATTTAGTGGCTGCAAATAATGTCATCATGTACGATCAGTCTTATAACCCCCATGATGACAAACAAGCCGAAGATAGAGCTCATAGAGTTGGTCAAACCCAAGAAGTTAAAGTGAATAAATTAATTACGAAAAATACCATCGAGGAAAATATGCTACAATTAGCAGAAAACAAACTAGAGTTGGATCAAAGTATTAGTGGGAGCGACGTCAGTGAAAGCAAGTTCGAAGAGAAAGCTGCCTCCATGTTTGAAAAGATTCTCTTTGGTAATTGAGTCATCGGGGAGTCATCTTGCATCAAAGATGGAAAAGATAAGGGATTGGCTGCTGAGTTCCGGGATTTCCCGAATGTCGAAGAGATTTTCTTTTTTTCAATGAATTCCGGGTGTAGCCAATCCGGGGTCGTGAACGATTCACTTTTTTTTTTTTTTTTAATTTGCCTTGAATATAAACTGACTAATAGACAGAAGTACTTAAGAGATCATCACTAGACTGAAATTTTTTCTTCTTGGTATACCCGTTAATAGCAGGACTAGATTTATAGATTAATATATACGATATATTCCAGATGTTTGCGCTAAGAAGTTTCAATCCAAGATTAAGAAGCCTCAACCATGGGCTAAGCACCAATTTTTTAAGAAGTTTATTCATTCAAACTATGGAAACCCCCAATGAACATGCATTAAAATTTTTACCATCGATGAATATTTTAGCAGAGAATGAGACTCGAGAATTCTTAAGTGGGAGAGAGGCAGCCTGTAGTCCATTAGCATTGAAATTATTTAGTGTTGATGGGATCAGGTCGGTTATGTTTGGAAGTAATTTCATTACCATTGAAAAATCTAGTCAAGATTTGAACTGGTCATTATTAAAGCCGGAGATATTTTCAATTTTAACTGAATATTTAACTAATGGAACCCCAATAATAAGTGAAGGACATGAATTAAGTAATGATATGGAAATCAGTGAGGAAGACGATGAAGTTATATCGATGATTAAAGAGTTAATCTTCACTAGAATCAGACCGGCAATTCAAGATGATGGAGGAGATATTGAATTTGTTAATTTTCGAGAAGATGATGGAACGGTATATTTAAGATTGAAAGGGGCATGTAGATCATGCGACTCACTGTCAGTAACATTGAAAAATGGAATTGAAAGTATGTTAAAGTATTATATTGAAGAAGTACAAAACGTTGAACAAGTTGATGAAGATTTTGAAATCAATACATCTACGAAAGAAGTTGAGGATGAGGTTAAATTTGATAGTGAGGTTAAATTTGAAAGTGCTAATCTATCACCAAGATCTAGAGATGATCCACCAAATTTGTAAATAGAATAATGACTTTAGTAATGAAAATATACATTGTTTGAATATAAAGTATAGTATTTACAGATTTTCGTATTGAAAAGGATAATAGTAGAAATCATCAGGAACAAAAGAGTAATTAAACATTAATAAAGGATTATAGTAAGCCAAATGAGGAGGAGGAGGAGGAGGATGGGGAGGGGCAGCGACAAAAGTTTCATCGGGGACCCCAGTATGAGAATGACGCGGAATCATTGCTGGGTCATTATTAAAGTTTGAATGGAAAAAGTAATTTGAATCTTGATACACTGGTAATGATAAATTTTTTTGAAATTTTGGGCGATTATTAGTTGTTTTTTGAATTGCAAATGAAGTTTGAATATTGATAATTTGATTATTTGAAGGGTTGATTAGAGTTTTATTATTAGTTAATAAAATGGCCCTTAGGGCCATTTTAAAAGAAGAATAAAATACAAAACCAATTTTTCTAATTTGATCATCGGTTTTTGAATAATTATGATTTAATTTAATTATTTTAGCTGATTTTATATTTGAACCAAATTGGATCCAAAATTTATTCCACAAATCATCGTTATTTTGGAAAATGATTGCAAAATTATTTACATAAACATTTGTTTCTTGTAAATTTGATGATTTTGAAAATTTTGCAATGATTGATTTATGAATTGGTACATTGAGATACCCAATTGACACTTGATTATTAATATTATAAAGAAATAATTGATTTTTGCTAATTATTTGATAAAGGTAGTGATTATGCTTATGTTGACTAATTGCAATCTTCAATCCTTCTGGATGTACGGGTTCTTCTTCGGATAAGTTTAAATCTTCTTCAATACTATAAATTTGATCTGGTTCAAAATGCATAAACTCTTCAAAATTCAAGTTGGTAAGAAAATAAAGGATTTTCAAGATATTTTCGTCCATTTTATAATGATTAATAAAAGAGATAAAGGCAAATTTGGGTGGAGAAATCAATCCTTGATCATTTATTGATTGAATTGGAATATAAATCGATTCAATTGGATTAAAAATTTCAAATTTATTAATGAATTCATTAAAAGTATTTAGGGTTAGTGAATTGGGGAAAAAATCATCCAAATCTTCAAGAATGATTGAATTATACTTATAATCACTACTTAATGGAGGCAGTGGCTGGTTTTGTTGTTGATCATTTAATTTACGTTCTTTTTTACTAAGATATCGATTCAAGTAAATCGATGAGTTAGTATGAAACGGATTAATTGAACAATTTAAATGATCCAATAAGTAATCAACATCAAGATGATTACTAAATTTCAAAATTGCAAATTCATCTTCACTATTAGAAGAATCAAATATATTGATTTCTTTCAAAGATTTATACTTACAATGATTATTGAAGTATTCTCGAATTTGCTCCTCATCACTACCCCGATTCAAGGGCTTTATAAATAAATTGCCTGGATGACTAATAAAATTACTATAATCCAATTGGTATTCTTTCTTCAACTCATTCAAATATTTCACAATCTCATCCCCGGCTTCCTTATGACCACACTGGATAACCTCCTCATTAATCATTAACCCCAACTCCTGACATTTGGACTCCACCAATTGATCCACCGGGGTATGAATCACTAACGGGAAATCATCCACCTCTATCCCCTCCGCATGATTGAAGATCTGGTTGTTAATGTCTCCTATAAACTTACCCGAATCCATATTTCTATGTAATCTAATGCTCGACTCCTCTAAATTATTAACTTGTTCTAAATTTGCATCTTTATACTTTATCATATTTAAAGGGAACTGCGTATCGGATTCGGAAATAATTATTCGGTTCACGGCAGTACCGGATTCACCCACAAACCAAAAAAAAAAAAAAAAAAAACTGAGTGGAAAATGTTTAAAATAAACTGATTTATATTTATACAAACAACGGTCTCAATACGAAAGTAACTCCATCGGGGGCAAAGTATACATTAGGTAACACCGATCTGACTAATATCTGAGGGTGAATCGTGGGACTTATTGGAGTTATTGGAGCTATTAATATGATCATCGATAAGTGTATTGAGGTACTTGATTGTGAGTACCAGGTAGTTATCAATAGGCCTAGCCAGGAGAAGTCGCCAATTACGGTTTATATCAATCAGATTTCAAATGCTTTGGTCAATTGTTACATCTACACCATTCTGAATCCATTGACCCACCAGGTTTATTCGACGGTTCTACAGAACACCGACAACCACCAATTGTTTGACATCACCAAGAACCTCGGCCACATGTTAACGAAGAAGTACCAGTGTCCGAGCTACGTTAACATCAACGGCGACTTGACCTTGGAGTATTACACTATGTTGCTCAAAGCAGTTATTGATATTATAGAGTCTTAAATGGGTTCCGTTCCGTTGTTGATGTTGGGGGGCCGGCTTATTTCCGCAGCAATTTCCGTTCGGCCCCTTCCCGAGTCGCCTCGGCTATAAAGGAGATTATCTCCGTGCGAGAACTCCACGACACGCCCGTGCACCATTTTTACATCCGTGCACCATTTTACGCCCGTGCACCAAAAAGCCAAAACTTATCAGTAGATGAGATGAGAATTTTTTATAGCTCATCTCTATGTACATACGTTTCTATATACGTTTCTATATACGTTTCTATATACACTTATAATATACTATCATGGAGGTAAATAGACCGCAGCAGTCACAGAACTCTAGGAAGGGGAAGAAAGCCTGGAGAAAAAACGTTAATATCGACGACATTCAACAAGGGTTGGAAGAATCAAGAGAACGTCAAATATTATTGGGAGATGATTCCAATGATTTCATAATAGATGATGAAGGAGATTTGAATTTAAACAAACAAGCAAAGAAATTGAAAAGTAATGAGATCTTAACCAATAAATCCAAGATACCTGCTCTTGAAAACGGGAAAAATAATAAGATTCAAGGAGTTAATAAGAATAAAGTTCATAAATTGATGAAATTGTCGGGAAGACTTCAAAATGAAAGTGCATTAAAGGCAAGAGTTGATAAAGACGGGATAATCAAAGCAGCATCCAAAGATCCCTGGGCACAAGAAAAAACTGAAGATTCAACTCCTAAAATTTTGAAAAAATCAGCAATCCATGAAAGAACAAAACCAACTCATGCACCAAAAACTTTAAGTTATAAATCAATTGAATTAGATATACCACAAGACCCAGTTATTGAATCAGGTAAATCGTATAACCCAACTATTGAATCATGGAAATCATTAATTAATAAAGAATTTAATTTAGAAAATGAAAAATACTTGAAAGAATTGAAAATTCAAGAATATCAAGCCAAAATTCAAGAAATCATTGAAAATTCAAATGAAAATGAAATAATGGAAGATTCAACTGACTCCAATGAATCTGAAGCCGAAGAAGATGGCAAAGAGGAAAATTATAAACTTTCAGTTAATCAACCAAATCAAATTAAAATTAAAACTAAATCCCAAAGAAATAAACAGAAAAGAAATAAGCAAAGATTAGACTTGGAATCCAAATTAGCCGATTTAAAACATCAATTAGCCGATTTGAATAAATTAGAAGATTATAACAAAGAAGTTGATTCAAAAAAACCAGTTCCAAAATTGAAAAAAACTAAGAAATTATTTAAACATAATTTAATTGAAAAACCTTTAGAAGTTAAATTATCAGATGAATTAACCGATAACTTGAGAAACGTTAAAACTGAAGGTAATCTCCTTTATGATCAAATGTTCAATTTACAAAAATCTGGTAAAATTGAATCTAGAGTTCCAGTTTCAAGAAAGAGAAAATACGGTAAAAAAATTACCGAAAAATGGACTTATAAAGATTTTAAATAACTTACATCTTCGTTTCGTAACTTACTAATATATATTTGAATAAATAATCTTTTTTTTTTTGTTTAACTAAAATCCCATTCTCCTGTAACATAACCTCTATATAATCTTTCTCTAAGGACAAAGAATTGGTCTCTGTATGGGGTCCAGTATCTTTGGGTAGTGTATTCAGCGGTCTTGAAATGCTCTGGTGCTATTGGATCACTAGTTTGTCCTCTTTTAGTTCCGGTTAATAAGAAATCACGATGCATCATTTTTTCATCAAATCTGTCCAAGTCAAATCTATCATTTTTCCATCCATTATCCCAGTATCTAATAAATCCAACCCCATGACCGGCTAAGCCAAAGAAACCGGTCATTATCGCATAGGGCAACAACCCTTCAAATGGTACTGGCATTTTAATATGGTGTTTTATCAAAAGAGTAATTAAGAGTTGATGTTTTTCAAGTCCTTTTTTCGCTCACTAAGAAGGTTTCAAAATTATTTGATTGGATGGTTGAGAATGTCACGTGATCGACCCACCCAACCACACCGAGGCCATCTACGCCAACTACACCAACTACACCGGGGCCAACTACACCAACTAATACAGTCTACTCAAGGTTTGTTAACTATGTAGGCAGATAAAGAAAAGCAAAAAAGAAAAAAAAAAAAGTAAGTCTAAATGCAATTATTCAAGATCCCCCCACAATCTCTTGACAAACTTATCCATACGGACTTTTACATCTCTTTGACCGATGCACCAAGGATGTTGTAACATTTGTCTTGGACTTGGTCTTTCATCACTATTTTTCTTCAAACAATATTGGATGAAATTTTTAAAAGAATCCGACCAGTGAATGCCTTCGTCGGGTATATCTTCTAATTTTGGTTCGTATTCCAAAATTAAAGATAATAATTCAATGGCACCAAACATATCATTACCACCATCCATTTCAAACGGGAATTTAGCACTGGCCACTTCCAAAAGAGTCAAGCCCAAAGACCAAACGTCACAGGTTATAGTATAAGGTTTACCCATAATTCTTTCGGGGGCCATATAATATTGGGTACCAACAAACGTAGTTGCTAAAGAATTAACAACTTCCCGACTAACACCGAAATCACATAATTTAACATTACCCTTTGTGTCTAATAAGATATTCGAAGGTTTAATATCACGATGAATAATTCTTTGTTGATGTAAATAGTTTAATCCATTTAAAACCGATTCAGCAATTTTACCCAAGACTTTTTCATTTATACGATTAGTTGGATCTAATTGGATTGCCTTTTTGTAGATGGCATCTAAAGATTTACCGGCCATAAATTCCATTGCAATACCAATCATTGATTGTTTTTCCACCATAAAAGTACCATAATATTTAACTATATTTGAAGAAGTACAAGAACGATTATATTGTAATTCTCTAATAATTTGTTTTTGGATATCAGGATTGGGATCAGCGTTAATCAATTTCAAAGCAAATATCTTAGAACCATGACTTAATTTACATTTTGATACTGAACCACCATTACCTTCACCCAACTTATTTAATTCGATAATTTGATTTGTATTAGCAAGAAGATTCCAATCATCGGGATTTAATTCATCAATGTCTTTTTCGTGCAAGCTTTTATCATTAGAGTCATTAGAAAAATTTAAAATTGGCGTATTAGTAGTATATACATCATTCATAGAAGGTTGGGGTGAATTGGTACTTGGAGTAAATGAATGGGATCCATCAATTCTCAGAAAATCAATTGGTGGCGGTTTTCTTCTGGGACCCCCACTGACATTCTTATTGGGTAGAGGGGGTTGGTAATTGGGTATATGAACATTATTACTATTATTATTATTAAGATTAAGATTATTATTATTAATGGAAATTGGTGATGGAATCGATAAATTAGGAAACTTATTATAGTTAGAATTCTTATTCTGGGGTATATTGAAAAGTGGACTAGACATTCTATCGATTATCTTATTATATTACTTATATTATTATATTAATTATTTCTGTTATTGTAATCTTTTAATTGATCATCCTATGGGCGGCTAATTGGGATAATTTTTTTTTTTCAAAATTTGGCGGATTTGAACGGGCTTTTCTTTCTTTCTCTATTAAACAATTGGATCCTATGATACCCGGGTATAAAACTAAACCGATCACTGTGGACGACGGGGTAACACTCACTTAAAGAAGAAAAGAAGTGATTTCTAAAAAATGGCAGGGGAAAAAAGGAGTAGCAGAAAAACAACGGGATGATTTTGTTACGGGTTTTTTGATCCTTTCACAAACTGTAAGTAAATCGTTAGAGCACAAACTATCTACTGAATACACTAAACCATACACTAGACTACATGGTACAATAGGGTTAGGGTTTACCGCGGTCAGACCAAGAGTATCAGGGTTGAAACAATACCATGGTGACGGGACACACTGAAACAGGCGGTGGTGATGGCAAAAGCTTCCCGAGCAGGAATGTCGAGATCGTTGCCAGTGAACGAGGATGGCTTTCGGAATGGCATTGAAACTGATTTGCAATTCGTAAACGTATGGGCTTGTGATGGGCAAGTACGGGCTTTTAATCATCTGATAATCAGCCGTCTGTGGCAGCTATTATGTCTGACGTGAAAAAACAAACAAAAAAAATAGTCAAGCCAATAATCTTGCTAATCTCATCAAGTATGGCTTAAGGTTGCATTGTCACCCTCTTACAACGTGCTGACTCGTGTATATACGTATCGGAGACCTGGTTACTTCGATAAACGAAAACAAGCACTACAATAATAACTACAACAATAGCCAAAAGGTCAAAAAAAGTAAGCAAAAAATTGGCTTTGCAAAGAACTCCTTGCATACTGTACAAAGTATCTGCGAAGTAAGCTATATTCGTTTACTTAAATGGATATATGTAGAGATTATTTCTTTTTCGGCTTTTTAGTTGGTTTTGATTTGATTTGCTTGATTAATTTATCTTTTTTAGCATCGATTTTACCCTCATCTTCAACTTCTTCAATTTCATCGGGGAGATTTGTATCATCTTCAATTACATCATCAAAGTCAACTTTATCCTTTTTAGTATTTTTACCCAGTCCCAAGGAGTTCCCGGTTCTATAAATAGCAACTGGATGATTGGTTGAATTGTACTTTCTTGTGAAGGACGTTTTAACTTTTGTTGGGATTTTTTTCAAAATGGCATCTCCTTTTGAATTACCAATACCCAAATCGATGATCGATTCCCAGTCTTCTTTGGTTAAGTAATAGTAATCCATCATTTCGATTACTGACTCAATTCCTGATTCTCCATCTTGTAAAATTGGTTCAGTTAATCTGGAAAGTAATAATGGGATATAATCTAATCGTAATTCGGTTTTATCAGTAGATGTACGTAATCTTGAATGATATTGAATTTCTTGTAATAACCTTTGATATTTTAATGCTTTCGAATTTTGTCCTAACCATCCAGCAAAGTTAATTCGTTGACTTATACTTCCTGCAACTTCCAGTGATGGCTTAACCGAGGACATGATTGCATGGAAGGGTAATAAACTCCATTGTTGTTCACTAGATCTAATTAAACTATTAACTCCGTCCGATATTGATATATCATCGGCAGCTTGTGCTACCCTTGCCAAATGATCTTTACTAGATTCTGCTCCACTCGGTCTGGTGTAAAGATAATTTTCTTGAATCATTAATGGTGTAAAATCAATATCATTAAAATATAAATTTATCTTATCATTTAATGTATGATTCGAATTAGCATTATATATCTGTCCATTTAATAATCTCCCAGTAATATCAAAAGGTTTTAATATAGTATGTTTTTGCCAACTTTTAGCTATATCTTTACTTTGTTCTGGTCCAATCTTTTTCTGTGTCTTTGAAACCGTCGATAATAAATTTATCATTTGTCTAATATCGTTATGAGTAGCGGCAACTAACTGTCCAATAACAATGGGATCTAATTTAATTCCTTCTCTCATGGCTATTGTCATTAATCTAGATTTAACCTCTTGTTCCAGTGGCCTTCTAAATGGTAAATCATAAGTAACCCTATCAAAGGTTCTCATCTTTGGTAATGATTTATCATTACAAATTAATATTAATGGCATATTAGTTATACGACAAAATGCTGATAATGCTCCTGCTCCTCCATGATCACCACTTGACATACCATCAACCTCATCCATAATTAAGCAAAATTTCCGTTCATTTTCATTATGCTCTTTATCATTTTGATGCTTGAAAAATCCAACAACTGATGTATTATTTAAAACCGATTTTAAATTACTATTTAATAACGATTTGGATCGAACATCAGATGCATTTTTCTCTAATACATCAAAACCTAACTCTTTGGCAATTATATGTGCTGATGTGGTCTTACCAATTCCTGGGGGTCCACTGATTAAACATGCTCTTGATCCAGATCCATCTTTACCAGTCTCTTTAAATCCTTTTTTCTGATTAATAAACCAGTTGGATAGCCAGGTTCTTAATTTTTGTACTTGTCCTTTATTACCGCATAATTGGTTAGTGTTTGTCGGATGGTATTTAACCGTCCAAAGCTTTTCACTATTTGGAATTACTCTTGCTTCTTCTGGTGGTGGTCTGGAACCCGATTGGGAGTTTTTCAACTTGTTTTCACGTTGTTTTTTTAATTTCTCCTTTTCTTGACGCTCTTCTTCTTTGGCTAAGGCTTGAGCTTCTTCTTGAATTTTACGCTCTTCAGATTCTCTTCTTTCTTTAGCTGCATTGGCCAATGCCCCATCACCTCCTTCAGCTGGCATACTATTGATCAATTGAATAAAACCATCTTCATCAATTGCTTTGATCTTCAAATCTTTGATTTTCTTAACTTTAGATGGACCCGCTTCTTCTCCAAGTACTACTAAACTAGTTTTACCAGAAATTGATTTGGTCACTTTTGCGCCATATCTTTTAGCTAAATTCTCTGAGGCTTCACGGTCAAGTCTTGGTAAAATACCAGTGAAGACAATGGTTAAGCCAGATAAACAAAATGGCTTTGCTTCGTTCAATTCAACAGTTTCACCAGTTTGTTGAATTTTACTTTTACTGGCCATTGCCGCATGGTAATTGAAAGTTCCTTCCACTGGCTCTGGTAATTTGGCATCTGGAATCTTCGCCAATATTTCTTCAGCAGTTTCTCCGCTGTCTGACTTATTATTCAGGGTTGATTTAGATTCTGTTTTGGCGGTGGTTTTCTTTGGAGCAGAAGCACGTTTCTTTGGAGATGGCTTGGGTGGCTCAACTTCTTGCAAATCGTCTTTGTCATCGTCTTCTTCTTTCACGTCTCCGTCATCATCGTCCTCTTCTTCTTCTTCCTTCCCAGGTTTATAGTCATCCTGGTCGTCATCCATGTCTTCATCAGAATCTAAATTGACATAATTGGGTTTTGCTTTATTTCTTGAAGGTCTACTTGGAGAAGATTCCGATTTTTTTGAAGAAGACTTTTCACCAGAGCCAAAGTACTTACTTGCTTCAGTTTTGGTGGTTGTCTTTGGCTTTTTCAAAACCGGACCTTCATCCTTTTTAGTTTTGGTAGATGCGGTCTTCTTCCGTTTAGACTGTTAAATTGTTAGTACACACTTTGATGCTTCCAGCAAGAAACAAACATACCCCCGAGTCGCCTTTTTCCAGGAAGAACTTCGTTATATCCATAGTCAATGAGTCGAACTTAACTTGGAGTACTAGTAAAGGACGAGTTAATTAAAAGAGTGACGCGTTTGCTTTTTTTTTTTTTTTTTTCAGTTGATTTTGAGCTACCGTTCCAACAGAGAATAGGCTAACACAGTAAAGTACAGAGACCCTGGTGATACATGCTGCTGATACATATCTACATAATAATAATTGGAATTCTCTTAGTAGTATTAAGTGACCAGAGTTTTGGATCAAAAAAAAAAAAAAAAAAAAAAAAAAAAAAAAAAAAAAAAAAAAAAGACTATTCTACTGTAAATTGCATTAGTTTGTAAGTAAAACTACTTTGATGATTCTTTTTCTAAGAAATCAGTCCATAGAGAAACAAAGCTTTGTCTTGCTGGCTTCCCGTCTTCGTTTCTGTTTGCATTTGCTGAGGATTGTTGATTGTGGGATAACCCAGCTTGAACTTTTCTCAGTTCGTCCCATTCTAAAAGGGCACTTATTAATTGTAAAGCCTCAAATTTCTTGGAGTCACCTCTTGGGAATTGTAAGAAACTCACAATGACATTTGAGATCAATTCTTTATCGATAGTATTATTTGTATTATTTGATTGTTGTTTTAACATGGTAAGAGATTTGGTTAAATGTTCATTCAAGATGATTGCTTCATGTCTTAATTTACCAATGAGTAATTGTTTGTTATTAACTTCTGTGGATAATTCATTGATCTTATTTGAATTTTTGGATAGTTCTTCGATTAGAGAATCTTTTTCGTTCAATTGGGTGGTTAATGATTCGACTTGTTTTTCAAAATTGCCAGATGATTCGGTCAATTTGGTCAAATTTGATTCATAATTTTGTTTCAAAGAGGAAATCTCAGCATCTTTTGACTCTATAAGCTTATTAACGTTTAATATTGTTGAATTTAATTGATTTATTTCATCATCTTTAGAATCAATTTTATTTTTCAATTCATCGATTATTGAATTTAAATCTTTATTTTCCATTGAAATTTCATCTTTTATTATTTTCAATTCTTCAAATTCTGATTTTAATTCGTTAAATTTTTTCGTTAACCTAAATTTTTCATTTTCTAAAGTATATTTTTCATCTTGTAAATTATCATCTTTAGATTGGTATTCTCTTCTCAAGATGGTTAAGGAAGAACTCAATCTTTCACACTCATTATTCAAATCATTTGATTCTGTTTTCAATTGATTGATAGTATTATTCAAGCTATTATTTGAATCGTGAAGTTTCTTAGTTTCATCTTTTAATGAATCTCGTTCTTGAGTTAATGTTTCGAGGGTTTCCCTGGTTTCTTCTAACTCAATTTGGGATTCTTTCATTTTACTGAAAACCGATTTCATCCCGGACAATTTTCCCAATAATGCATCATAGGATGATCGTGACGAGTCTCTTTCTTCTTCTGTTTCTTTCAATTTTGTTTCCAATTCTTTTATTCTTTCATTGGTTGAGTCTGGCTGTTCAAGCTTCAACGTCAATTCATTGATTTTTTCCTGTAATTGGGATACTTGATCTTCATTATTATTTGAAGTTTCGTTTGTAGGAGTCTCTATATCACTATTTGAAACCGGTTCTTCATCTTTTTGACCATTCGACTGTTTCTTTTTATTCTTTGCCATATTATATACAATGCTAAACAAGATACTAATGCAAAACGGGGACTAAAGGACGATTCAATGAAGTAAGTCTTCAAATTTGAAGATTAAAAAACATAAAAAAAAAAAAAAAAAAAAAGCCAACGAACAAAATTGTCCTGTACAAACCATTCAAAAGGTACAGACTCGTACACCAAGCTACCAATTCTACAAATAACCGTAACCTGGCCATAGAAGATTCAAAAATTATAAGAGTTTTTATTATAATATATAATTCGTATTATTTAACATACAATAAGGTGAAAGGTAAGTAAGATAAATCAATTATTGATAAGATGATAAATTAATTTAAATGTTAGATGGATACAACATAATTCTAACGGAAGCACCGAAAGTTTTAGCTGGTAAGTTTTTTCTGAAGTTAGCTCTAACAACACCGTTAGAACCGTGAGATCTGGTAACTTTACCCCAAATAACTCTGATTTTAGAACCTCTGATTTCTTTAGAAGCTCTGTAAACGTAAGCAATACGTTTACCTAAGTAGAATTTAGCATCTTGAGCATTGTTAACACCTTCAATTTGAATCAAAGAAACGTTTGGGTTGTTAACGTTCTTAGAACGTTGGTAAGATAAGTGTCTACCCTTAACGTATACTATAATAATAAGTTAGTATTTATTTCATAAATTTGCAAGCGGGAGTAACAATAATCCAGTTGTCGTCCATGCGTATCTTGAATTATCCTTTTCAATATTTCATTTCATATTTTTCATCAATCAAGTCTTCTTCGATTTTTCACCTTCGATGGGCCCTTCCTTCATTTTCCAATCTTCATGACTTTACTCATGGCCTTCTGCATCGACATCCTGCATTACTGTACTCCCTCCACTCATTTCATCCAAACATACATCTGTGAGATTCAGTCATTTTATTATATTATGGTGATGGTTCTAATATTAAGACTATAATACAAGTACTGAAGTATATAAAATAGTATAAATTTTTTTTTCGTTCTTTCGAGTGAGAAAATCTCAAATTTTTTTGTTAGAATTTTTTGTTAGTGCGAGCGGTTTTTGTGTGTGTGGGAGTTTTTTTCCTTTCCCAAAAATGCCTATGTGCAGGTAATATATGGGGAGTGTATATAACCAACCCTAGGTGACAGCACGTGACACACCACCGAAAAGCCCTAAACAGCTGTACGGATCTTTATTTTCAATTTTTAAATTAAAAATAAATTTTTGATTTTCTTTTCTATTTTTGGTTTATTTTTTTAATGCAACCGATTTTGCACCTACAAACAAATTTCAATCTATCATATATTGAAGTATACAATCAAAGTTTAATTTCGGATTCGTTTTGCCATTTGGAAGGATTGAATCTCCAGTGTTTGGCATCACCGCTATCGTATTTACCGCCTTTAACACTACCGGAAGGACAGTTTTTTATTGATAAATTAGATAAATTGATCAAGTTGGTGAAAGCATCACGGTAAGAGGAGTCGGAGTAATCGATTGAGTCAAACCATCTGGTTTCCCATTTGATATCTGATTCTTGTTCCTTTTTCCTTAAGTCACGTTGTTCATTTTCTAATTTCAGTTTTTCGACATGGATTAAATCATAATCGGATTTTTTAATTGCTTCGGCCACTTTTGACCAAGCTTTTCTTGATTCTAATTCGTGTTGTTCATCAATTGGTTTAACAATCAATTCTTCTGGTTTTTTGTATTGAGCGTCATAAAATAATTCATCTGATTTACTCGAAGGAGTAGTGGAACCTTTTGCAATATAAGATTTACCCGACCATTGACCACTTATAGTAACCAAGGCGTTTTCTTTATTTGAAGAAGATAAAATGTCCCTATATATACGAGCCTTAAAAGTATTTTTTTTACCGGAAAAATAACCTCTTCCCGAAAATTCAAAAACAACAATATAACCACTGGAAGCTTGGATATAAGAGGTTCCTTCTAATTCAACAAATGGAGAGGCAGTAATTAAACCTTCAATGTGCAATGGTGGCAAAGTCACCAAATAATCTTCATTCAAATTTTGATAATTTAAAAGAGCGTGTCCGTATTGCTTAACATTGATTGAAGTTGTTGAAAATGATGATCTAATTCCATTATATCCTTGTAATAAAGTATTGTTTTTTTCATTATAAATACTATAAGCAGTAACTGGGGGATGATGACTAACTTGTTCACTTAATAAATTAGTAGTTCCAATCTTACCATCTTTTGATAAATCTTGCCATTTACCAACGAAAACTTCTCCTAAAAATGGATTGAGTGGTTTTTTCTCCGATCCCATATTTTCATTACGAGAACAATATTGTGATCTCAAGGTTGAAATAAACCATCTTGCAACTGCAATGGTTCTTTTCAATGACATAGCTTCAATCTCATACTTTTCGGCATTCTCGGAATTGGCCAAAAAGTTTGGTTCCATTAATAAATCTGGATGCTCTGACCAGTATTTGGAGTATTCACTTAATGAAGTTGGTGATAAAATAAATGGTGGTGCAGTTAATGATGATAAATCTCCATTAAATGAAGCAATGGACTTGAGAAATGATGTCCATGAACTAGATTGTGCTACGTTTGACATATTTATAAACTTACCTAATTTCAAATAAAGTCAATATCTTAACTATTAAACCCAACAATTCAATAATTAAACTCAATAATTAAACTCAATAAGTCAACTCAATTAGTCGACTCAACCTATTAATCACTAAAATGGCTCGCCTGAACTATTTCAAATTCCTACCAATAACAGTATCCAATTGATGGGTCTTCCCTGGTAAATCCCAACTCTCAAATGATACTTTGTAAAGAAAATGGCAATCAAATGATTATATATTTTTGAATATGAATTTGTCCCTCTCATTTTTTCCTCCTGTTTCTGTTCTGGTTTTTTTTTTTTTGAAAGCTTTTTTTTCGTTTTGTTAGCATTTCCTCGCTTTCGTTGTCTTGCGCTTTTTTTCGTTCAATCGTATAGCCATTTAAGCCAGTACAAGCCAGTAGCCATCATCCAGTAGTCATAAGCCATGAGTGTGGGTAGAGAACAGCTTGGTGTCCGGCTCGCAGGCCAGCTGGGCCTCTGGTCGGTCCGTTTAGCTGGGTTTCTTGCAGTGGCTCGTGACGTGAGCTCCGTACATCTTCATTTTGCAGTATTCTCGTCTACAGAGGTTGGTACTGCTGTTGCACCAAAGACTGTTGGTTGTGCAAGTGGGTGTAGATATTCAGTATGCTTTTGCAGTAGGTTTTAGTATAAAGGAAGAGGTTATGTGAAAGTTGCCGAGTATTTGTAAGTAATTAACGATGAAGGTGTTGGTATTGTTGTTTTTTGCAGCTTGGGTGTTTGGAGTTGATTCGGATGTTCTTGTTCATAATAATGACCCCGACGATTCGTCAACGTTGTACGTGATGAATTCGATCGGCCAGATGCAGAGAAAAGACTGGGGCAATCTATTGAAGAATCATAATAATAAATTTTATTTCAAAAATGAAAAATTGAATATGTATTATGACTATAAGGATAATGATTGGTACACTGTTGAGTTTGAGGCGCAAGAACGTTCAATCAAGTCTGCTCCCTTTTATATTCCGGTGTCTGCATGTATCGATAGTGGGTATGGGGATGGAGGATCTATTGAAAACTCTTATGAGGCTACAGTAACGTTTACTAATTCGCTTGAGGCTGCAACTTCTTATAATTATTCGAATATTCTACTTGGTGCTAATTTGGGGGTTGAAGTTGGTAATTCCTTCTCATATTCTGGCTCTTACTCCTGTAGTGTTTCTAAAGGAGAGTACTCTCAATTAATGATTAAACCATTTTACGTCGACGTTCCGAAAAGTACAAGAAGAAGAGCCATTTACGATAAAAGCGAAGGTATGGTTATTGATGGCAAGCACAAAGAGGAGGTAGATACTTTTAAAATGATCATTAGCCAAAAACCAAACCATTATTGTATGACTGATACAAATCCATCCAACTTAAAATGTGCTGATGTAATTGCAGGTAATCAAGAAATTAAAATTTAATGTATTAATATATATACTTGCTCTATAATTTGATATAAATTTTATAATGATCTAAAACTAATGCTATAGTGGTGAAAGTGGCTGCATAGATTAAAAGTACTAAGAATGCAGTAATCTCATTAGCTTCCAAAGTATTGGTGGTCAAATTAATCAATCCAGTACCTAAATTACCTAAAAGGAAAATAGCTAACCCATTATTATTAATTGCATTAAGAACCCTCGACTCACTTTCACCAATATATTTTTCAATTAAGTTATACCCCAATAATAATGTTGAATTATATGAAATAACCCAAAAGATATATGGTAAATTTGCAAGTCTACGTGAAACACTTGAATTTTGCAGAATAAACCAGAATATAAGGTGACTGGAACATGTCATGATAGCTAACCCTTGAGTAGTTGATACACTAAACCATTTTTCTAAAGTTGTTCTTTTCTTATTGGCTTTAGATTGATTAGTTTGTTTCACCAGGGTCATTTTAATCAAATTGAATGGAGTCTTATACCCAGTTAATACAAAGGATCCAAATGATTGCCCAAATATAAATATACTCAAGTATCCTGCAAATGAGCAAATCCCTTCTTTGTTCATACTGATGATATTATCAAATCGATTATTAGATTTCAAAATATATTGAACCAACCCACCATAATTCAATAAAGCTTCATAAGCAACACCAATGATGGCTGCAATTAAAAACCTTGGTAATAAGTTTAATAAAGGATCAAGAATCCCAAGGAATATCGGTAATAGCCCTAGTGTGATGAAGAAATTCCAATGGATACCGTATTCAGTGGCATGTTCTTGATATTCCAAAGTCTTAACACTGACTAACCTAATCAACCCCAATCCAAGAACCGGTAATGCTTTAACAGTATTATGGTAGATCAATTTCAAATGTTGACTAACTTTGAATTTATAACTTGATTTATCCGATGATTTGAATCGTTGCTTAATCACTGATCGACTATTAGCAAGTCCCATTGAAAATACAAATGACCCGACTCCCATATCCATAAGTGATGTCCCCCATGTCTCAACTTTAGCAAATCTTCTTGGGAAAATTTTATAATCAACTGCTAAAATTGCAATATTGGTAATGATAATCATATGAGATCTATAAGCAGTGATAAATGATTTTTTAGGTAAAAGGTCAACATTAGCATTCTTCTTCTTTGATGATTTATGCTGATTCAGTAATCTAGCTAAAAGATAAATTATAATCCCAGGAATCCCAACTAAGAAATGTAATGAAGTCACATTCTCAGCATATAAACTAATCGATAACAAAAGACCAACTACCTGCAAACTGAAATCAATTGGAATGGCAGTGGATTGTCTATAATACTTATACATCAAACTATACGTGAAATATGCCGTTAATGAGACCGTAGTAATATAGTAGATCTCGTCAATTGGACCCCCAGTCAAATCCGATACAAACTGTTCCTTCTGCTGCTTCAAAGACGCCGCAAGATTGGCTGCTGCCGCCACCACGGGATCTTGCTGCTGCTCTTGCTTCCTTCCGAATCCAAACATCTCTGGTTCTCTTTCAAATTGCACTCTTTATAGACGTGTTATTTTGATTTATGTCTCTCTCGTATAATGAAATTTATCATTATTCGTGGTGTCCGGGTCTTTCATTTTGAAATCGAACCATACAAAAAAAAAAAAAAAAAATAGAAAAGGACATTATCAATACAATTTATGAAACAGAAGACTTATTACTCTTTCACAGTCATTCATTTGTCAGGATATCCCACTTGGTTGACATCGCAGTATCAGGTGTAGACCCATTAGTACGCTGTACCCCCGTCTTTCACATTCAATCTATTGTCTGCTTGTTTGAAATCGTATGGCTCATCCAGTCTAATTTTCTCCTGTTCTTGTGACCTATTGTGAAATTCCATTTTATTGTTTTCTTCAACATACTTTGTTGATTGATATTGATTTTTCCATTTCATTACTTGAGTTTTTTGTTGATACTTATTGATCCTGGTGTTTAACTACTTATCCTTCCACTTTTTTATGCTGATATAGTACTTTTAAATCACGAATACCGTCTAATGTCTCAAGAGGAAAGTGAAGAAAAACATCCCCATGCCGATACTGGCCAGACGACGCCAACGTCATCTTCTATTAAGAGTGTTGAGTCCCCTATAAATGATGGGGATTTAAGTACCACCCCTTCGTCCCCCAACATCACTCATGATAAAGATTTCAACTATTCTTCCAGGTCTAGTGGTGATGTAAGATCTTCGACGTCGTCCATGGAATCAATGATGAATTTAACTCCATATAGTTCTAATAACTCTACCAATCAGGATGATTTTGTGATTTACTCTGATTCTGACGTGGGATCTCTGAACTCGCTTTCATTACCCCATAATTATCACTACCATAATAATAGTTCTAGTGCATCAGAAACAGATTCCACAATTTCGAAAACAAAAGACCGATTGAAAAAGAAAAAGACTTCTCCCAGCTCTCATCTTCGTTCGTCTTCAGTATCTGACTCAAGGAGAGATAGTCTAGAAACAACTCCAACACCTAAATCTAAAAAACGTATAAGAAGAAAATCCAAAAATTCGGATCATGCAAGTGAAAAATCATCCATACGACATCCTCTTTCGAATTCTTCTTCATATAATTTGAATCATGAATATCAAACAAGTAGTGGTTATACCCTGACTCCCGCCACTGGGAAAATTTTCCGTAATTTATTAATTCTAGAAGAAAGTTTAAGAGAACAAGTTATTCAACAAAGAGCTTTAAGAAGAAAATATTTAACTTTCTTATCAATTTTATGTTCCTTAATTGCTTCAATTTCTCATCACTTATATTTCAGTAACGATGTCAATTCATCTTCAAATGGTGGTCCAATTAGAGTAATCCTACAGATCTTTTTGCTTTCTTTAATCGTTACTCTCATGTTATATCATTTATCTGGTGAATACCAAAAGACAATTGTTCTACCTCGAAAGTTCTTATCATCAACTAATAAAGGTTTACGTCAATTAAATGTTAGACTCGTCAAGATTAAAACTCCTTGGACTGATAGTATAATTGATTTAATTCGTGAATTTGTATTATTATTGGCTACTATGTGTCTTGATAGTCTACATAAGGTTTATCCATCTATCAAGGGTAATAAAGACTCAAAAGTTGAAGTCTTTCTCGTTTCTTGCCAACTGCAATGCCAACCAAGAATTGGGGTAACTGATGTCAAACTCGTTTTGAATGCCCGTGTTTTCAATACGGATGTAAGAGAAGGTTGGGAACTATACAGAAGTGAATTTTGGATCCATGAAGGTGTTAGAAGACGAAATGCAATGATGGCTTTTGTTAATGAAAGCTATCAACGCGACTCATTAAATAGAGAGAGATTATTGAATAAAGATAAAAAGGATCGTAAAGATAGAAGAAAATCAAGTCATGGATTAAGTGAAAGAAACTTGAATCGCTTAGCAAAACTTGAATCTGCTTCTGATCAAACTACAATGTCATAAAGTGACTTTATTTATTAATGCATATACACCAAATTAACTAAAGTTTGTATTTTGTAGATATATGTTTACCAACAACTGTACCAAAGACAACACATTCTAATAATGAGCTTCCACCTAACCTATTCCCACCATGTACTCCTCCACTGACTTCGCCAACAGCATATAAGTTGGGTATTACTTGACCATCCTTATTCTGAGCCTGCCCGTATTGGTTGATCTCAATTCCACCCATTGAAAAATGAATCGAAGGAGTTACTAAACCATAGTATAATTCCTGTTCCAAAATGAACTCATGACCAAAATCCAATCTTCCGTAGCGATCTCCTTGGGATTTAATGATTTTGTTATAATTAATCAAAGTATTTTTCAAATCGTCTTCTTTTACTTCCGTATATGGGTTCAAGTCTTTAACTCTCTTTGCTAAATCTTTGATTGTTCCTTTAAACATTAAATTTTGGAACATATAAAAATCAATATGATTCTTAGCCTTCAAGTAGTCCTTTTCGCCTACCACTATCAAACATATCTTTTTATCTTCTTCAATACCATAGAGATTGTTTTGTGAAATGTGACAGTTCTTATTTATGGCATCAGTCACGATATCTCTTGTACTCAACTCATTCACAAACCGACCACCAGTTTGGGGAGAGATTAAAATACCACCAATACCACGAATCAACTCACCGCATAAGAACTTCCACTTATTGGCAGCGGATGAAAGTTCGTCGTTTGGCTTTAACTGAACGAATCCGGTTGGATGAATCTGAATTTGGTCCATGTGAATCAATTTTGCACCCACGTCTCTCTCGGCGATTCTTTGGCCGTCACCAGTGGTCTGAACTCCGTTCGTCAGTGGTAGATTTAATAAGTCAGGTCGGTACTTCTTTAATAAGCTTTTATCTCCATCGAAACTAGCAGAAAACCCCCCGGTGGCCAACACAACTGCTTTAGCCTTGATTTGGTGGATTTGGTCATCCAAAATGTACTCTACCCCATTTACTTGATTGTTTTCGAAAAGCAATTTTTTCAAACTGGCTTGTTTCTTGATTTTCAAATTTTCAGCTTCATTAGAGTAAATTTCCAACTTTTTAGTCAATTCTGATATGATTGCAAAACCTGGGGGTAGTTTACCACCACCTCTATGGGTTCTTGCATGTGAATGACCACCTAGCTTTGTAACTTTGGATAAGTCGATTCCAAGATAGTCTCCACTAAGCCATTCGATGGCAGCTGCTGAGTTCTTGGTCAATGTCTTAACTAAATCAGGCTTTGAAAGCCCCTTTCCTGACTTAATCGTATCCTGCTGAAATGCTTCAATTGAATCTTTATTTTCTTCACTCTGGAACTTCGTCTCAGCTCCGTTAATACCAGATGATGCCTTAGCAGAGTTACCACCAAACTTGTCGGTTTTTTCCAACAAAGTAACTTTAATCCCTTTCTGTAGTAATTGTAATGTAGTAGTAAGACCTGCTAGTCCACTGCCAATGACAATGACCCCTTCTAAATCCGGTTCAACTAAAGCACCACCCATTCTATTACTACCTGTCATTACTGAACCTACCGCAGAGGCAGAGCTGTTTCTCAAAAAGCTTCTAATCACTATGGATGTTCTGCAAAAATTAAGCACCAACAAAAATATAACAACAACTAAAACAAGCTTAAAAACCCTTGAATTACGTGGAATGATGACTATAACAATAACACTGTTCAGGTATAAATCTTCACACTTATACCAGATATGTCTCTCCGCAGATTATTAATGACTTTTCTCTTCTAAATGGTCTTTCTTCAAGCATCCGTCTGATATTTATACCTTTATCACCAAATAAAATCATCTGATGGCTGAAAAATCCTGCATAGGGTCCCCACACTATTAACGAGAGAAAAAAAAAATATCTAAAAGAACAAAAAAACAACTGGAGCTGATGATTAATCATTAGAGATAATCAGCTTTTCCTTCATTAAAGTGTATTAGAATACTTTTCATCCATAAGCATACTAGGTCATAATGCTACAGCATAATCCCATCATACATCCAGACACGAGAAACAAACGGTTCAAGTTTGAGCCGTTCCTAAGGAAAGAATATAATTTTGGATTAGATCCTGATCGTCCAGTTTGTCAGTTTTACAATCCATTAAATCCGTTGAATTCCTGTCCTAATGGCAATGACTGTCCAAATAAGCATGTTTCGGCCATGTACTCGAATAAGATTGTGTGTAAGCATTGGTTGAGAGGACTTTGTAAGAAGAATGATCACTGTGAATTTTTACATGAATATAATTTAAGAAAGATGCCAGAATGTTTATTCTATTCAAAGAATGGATATTGTACTCAAACACCCGAGTGTTTGTATTTGCACGTTGATCCTCAACTGAAGATTCCTGAATGTTTCAATTACGAAAAGGGATTTTGTCCAGATGGTCCAAAGTGCCCAAACAGACATATACGAAAGATTCTCTGTCCGCTTTATTTGACCGGGTTTTGTCCTAAAGGGTTTGAGTGTGACTTCACTCACCCTAAGTTTGATAACATTCCTATCAAGTTGAGAATCAAGCCTGATACTGAAACTTTAAACGAAGAGGTTGTTGAAAAAGAAAACGAAATGTTAGAGGAACAAGTTGAAAAAAGTAAAGAGAGTTCTGCTGAACTCACAAAAAGTGCTCAAGATAGTCCGACAAGTGCTGTTGGAAATGGTTCCAAAGAAGCTTCTGAATAATAGTGTATAGTTAATTATATATTCAAAATCTAATTTTATTGTAGAGTCTAAATACTATATGCGATACTTTCTGAATTGATTTCTTTCTTGAGGTGTTAAAACCCAATTAATACCTAATAATTCTATATCATCTTCATCTTCATTATTATCATCTTTAGGTGGTTTATTTTGAATGCTGAGCTCGTATTCATCTTCATCCATACCAATTAACAATACGAGCTGGGTAAGTCTTAAAAATTTTTCTCTTAACTCATAATTATCTTCACAAACTTCATTAATAATAAATGATAAATCTTTTTCTAATTTTAATGCACCTAATTCATTAATTCTGAATTTATTTAACACCATAGTTAATTTTTTTTCAATTAAGTTAGCAACATTAACAACTAAAAGTCTGCATAGTTTATCGTAAATCAAAGATTTGTGGAAACTTTGTTTATATGGTCTTATTAATGACTGCCAACTATTTGTGAATTTCAATATGGAGCTAGTATCATTAAGACTATTTGATGAATAAATGATATAAGCGGAATCGGTTGTATCTGGGAACATTTCATTGATAAAACCTATTATTTTATTCTTCAAGGATTGATTATAAAAATTGATTAATGAATCCAGTATAATTTTACCAAGAATAGTATTGAATGGCTCAACTAATTCATTCTTAAGAATGTTGAAAACTTGTTCGTTGTTTTTACCAAATGGATAAATTGATTTTAAGCTATTCAGGTTACCCTTTGTTATATTTTGAAAAATTTTCGTCATATACTCTTGACCCATTGCAATGGTATTTAAATAAATAACAAAGTTAGTTAACTTGGTATTATTGGAGGTAGTTGTCGCAAGACCTGCCGCTGCTCCACTAGCTCCACCAACAACATTACCAAGAGCACTTGAAGCGCCTTTGAAAAATCCCATTCCCGTACCTGCAACGTTTGATTCAAGAGCGGGAGTATTACTTCTTGAAATTCCAGGACTGGTATTATTGCTCAAGGGTCCGTTTTGCGATGTAGAAGAAGCAACTAAACTCAAAGTTGCATTATAACGTGGTGGATTATCATTTATGGACTTTATTAAAAATCCATTGATCAAATCATTTTTCATTACTGGTAAACAATCATTGATAAAGTTTTTAACCGATGTAGATTGACCACAGTCAACTATATTTCTTAGTACTGAATGTAATACTAAGGCAAAATCTTCAATCACAGAACTAACAGGAACCTGGTCTGGTGATTTTGGATCATTAGAAATGATCAAGCATGAATCCAAAGGTGGTAACTCTTCAATTGTTATTGCTTTCTCAAGCGAGCGACGGAAGTAAAATTTATATAAGGATTCAAATGCTGTGATATATTTTTTATGGATCTTTTTGGTGTAAGAAGAGTTTAATAGGAGATCGGGAAGTTTCAAATCTTCCTGTTGTTTATCTGATTCTGATTTTGAATCCGAAAAGTAATTTATTGTTATGAACTTACAATACAATGCCCAATGATGGAAAATAGAGGCAAACTCATTGATTAAATCCCCTACCTCAACAATCGAAACAAATTCTGCTTCATCCTCTTGACCTTGTTGATTTGAGTTATTATTCTGGTCAAAATGAACCCCTGCTCTCTTTTTCAAAGTTAAAAACTTATGAAGTTTAGTATCTTGCAAAATTTTTTCAACTCTTTTCAAATCATAAAAACTGTCAGTTATTAAACCTATTTGTGAATCGATTTCTTGTTGAATTTTACTAATAACAAATTGGATTGCATTGGGATAAGTTGAACCATAATACCTATTTATCAAAGGAGCATGCTGAGAAATCATCACGGAAACATTTTCAAATAACTGCATACTTATTGTAGCAAATAACCCGGATTTAGGACCATCGCCGGTAGAAGAAGCAGAATTTACTAAAGCACGGGATGTATCAGATATAATTGAGCGAATGAACTTAGAGTAACAGTTCAAGCCAATTTCCTCCTGTCCTATTAAGGGGAAAAGTTGAAAGTATTTGGTCAATTCTGGTATATCACGTTTAGTGGCAGATTCATTGAAGTTATTTTGGAATACCTCTGTCAATTGTTCTGTCCATTTCTTCACAGTAACATTTGGTAGTTCAGGTATATCTGTTGATGGAATGACTACTGAGGCAAATTCACCATTGACCAACTTATTGTCTAATTTATTGTTAACAGTATTAATACATTGAGAAGCTAGAATCCAATTTTTATGTTCGATAGCATAGTTAGCTTGATTTATATTGTTCTTCAATGTTTGAATATCAGTGACAAAGTTCAAAGTCTTATTAACGTTACCAATCTCCAGATCCAACGACTTGATCTTATAAGTTAATGAATGTCCAAGGTTATTCGCTGATGAAAAAATATTATTTAATTCATTGGAGTTGGTGATTGCAGAAGATAACTTGGCTCTATTCAATTCAATGTTTGTAATTTCTTGTTGATGTTTCTTCAATTGAATTGCCGAGTATTGGTTGAGTCCCAAGTCTATATCTTGAGTAGCAACGTCTATTTCATTCAATAATTGACTTAGATCATTCACTGAACTTGCCAGTTTGAACCGTTCCTCGAGTCTTATATAGTTTTCTCTCAATGATTTTTCATCTAGAGTTGGGAACAATGTCTGTGAGTTATTCCGAAGTTTAGACATGGTTAAACACGGTTATGCCAGCTATTAAACCACCAACTCTGTACCTTGGAGTGAAGATAAGTAGTACTTTTTTTTTTGTTAGTTTGCGTGTTGACTTAAAGATTCGTTGATTTTTTGTACTGCGAAAAAACTATAACTACTACAAGAAGACTATAACATAAAAGGCATATTATTCTCTGTTACATATTTAAGCTAAGGCACCCAAAGGATCGTAGAAAGGTAAAGTAACAAAATCTTTCTTTTTGTATACGTCATAAAGGTCTTTGTCGGTGTACTTTTTGTTTGTAACGATTTGAAAAACGTATTCATCAAACCAATCATCAGTCATAAGGAAGTAGCCTTTATCACCAACGGCATCACCCCAGGAGTTTTCAATTTTCCATCTGACGGGTTTTTGGGTCTTAGGATCCAAATGAACACCGGTTATGACCATGGCGTGAGTCATGGCAGAAGAACCAGTTTGGAGTCTCTCCAGTTTCGTTAGTTTAAAATCGGTGCCAAAACCTAATTTATAGGAGTAAGCATTTGTATCCAAGATCCCTGAATCACGGTCGGAGAATTTGCCAACATCGGAACCAAAGAAGATAGGCTCGTTGTCTTTCAATTGTTTAATGGCGATTTTTTTCAAAGTATTCGAAGAGGTATTGATATACTCAATTGGCTTACCTTCGTAAACATTGTTCAATCTTTCAACGGTGTATAACTTATTAAAATCATTTCTTGGGTCATTTACCAAGGAAAACTGTTTTGAAGCATCGAATTTAACATGGTTGGCGTAGAAATCTTTAGCGTTGGTTTCAAAGTAATTGTATTTGCCATTTTTATCGATGAACTCCCAAGTAAACGAATCGGTTGGCTTTGGAGGAGTGCCCAAGGACAAGGCAGTGATATTATAAATCTCCTTATTGAAGGTATTCTTAGCATCATATATTTCTTTATTACTAGCACCTTCATTAATCAATTTTCTTAAAATCAAGGCATACTCTCTTAATTTTTCAGTTAAGACATGGTTGAACCCAGATGACGACACAGCTTGGGCGTTATCGGGGAAAACTTCTTGGGGAACAACCCCGTATTTGTTAACCAAATTAATAATCAAATCCCATTGACCACCGTCGTTAACCGGAGCACTCAATAAGTATTGAATTAATCTGGAATCCAAGGGTTCTTCAGCAGTATCAATGATGTTTTCCAAAAAATAATTGGCTTTTTCCAATTTATCGTAGAAGTAAAGATAACTCTGAGACAATTGGAATCCATCTGGTTTTAAATTATAATTCTTGATAACATGACTTCTCAACACGTTTGAAGCAGCAAAGATCCAGCAGCGTCCCGATGACTTTTGATTATCATAATAAGAAGGAGAACCAATGGTTTCTACTTCCACATTGAAGAAGTATTGATCCTGTAAGCTCTGATCAACCTTAGTAGTATTAATAATGGCAGTGATTGGATTCTTAGCTAATGCAGTCTGAGCTAACCTATTTTTTGGATCCGACAACAAATCGGCTTCCCATCCAGATAACGAATCGACCGAAAGTTCACTAGATTCATTATTGGCTGGACTCAAGGCCAATCCTCTCATTTTAGCTTCAATGTTAGTATCCTTTCGATAAGCAGCTTTCTCATCAACGATTTCCTCGCTGACCCTTGGTTCGTATTCTTTAGACGTAGTAGATCCCATTATGAATAAGTATAGTACAGAGCTACCTGGTGACTGAATAGGGGGCAAGTACCTGAGTATTTATAGTCCCCTTGGTATAGATAAGGGGGTTTGTATGGCTGACAAAATCCCCGGACGCGGAATCCACAATTTCAATACTTTGCAACATTATAACTGATAAGGTTGTAATTACATTGAATATAAGGACAATTAGAATGCTAATTATAAGAGATGACTAACTAATATACAATTACTTTTTCATTTGAGCTCTTTCTTGTTTAAATTTGGTACTACGTTCTCTGATTCTAGGTTTTTTAACATTACCCTTTTGATTCTTTTTTCTTTCACGGTCACTTTTCAAACCTTTAATACCAGCAATGGAATCACCTTTATGGGCTCTTTGACCTTCCACGATGGTCTTGGATTTACCTACGGTGGCCCTGTCGGCTTTACCCAAGACTGATTGAGCTCTCCCTAATTTAGTCTTTTGTTGATCAGATAAATTTTCGGAGTTTTTATGTCTTGGTTTTTTAACTTTGATATTTTTCTTTTGATTAGGGCCTTTTTGATTATCGATATGATTTGGAGATAAGATTGAAGGTTTGGCATTGGTTTTAGCACGAGATATACGTAATTTACGCAGTTTCTTTTCGTCATTCATTGGTTTATCGTTGAGTAATAATGCTTTATTAACTGATAAAGTATCTTTAAATTGGACAAGGGCAAAACCTTTACCTAAATTAGTTTTAGAATCTCTCACTACTCTAACTGATTCAACGTCATTATTGGTGTTTTTATTGAAGTAGCGCCATAAAGTTTCTTCTTGTTCTTCAAAATCAAGATTCCCAACAAAAATGGTTCTTTTATTATCTTTTGGTGATGGATGAGTGATATGATCAACCCTGATGTGATTATCATCAAATATACTGGCATTCAATTCTTTGGTTGCCTTTAAGCTTTCTTCTTTGTTCTGGAAAACAACGTACGCATTGACAGTATCTCTTGCATCGTGTAACGATTTTCTGGCAAATGCAACCTTACGAGGTACGGCATCATTAAATGAAATTGATCTAAAACGTATCGATAAGATTTTCCCATATTCGCTGAACAATTTTTTGAATCTCTTATATGTTTGTCTTGAGGTGATGACTCCGTTTGATACGTTACCAACAAAGACTGTCTTTTCAGCTTTTTCTAACTCTTGTTCTTTCAAATCAATGGTTTTAGCCTTGGTACTTTTTTCCTTACTTTCTTTACTTTCTTCACCTTCACCTTCACTATCGCTTTCGCTATCACTTTCTTCCTTTTCTTCCTTTTCTTCCTTTTCCTCCTTTTCTTCCTTTTCCTCCTTTTCTTCCTTTTCCTCCTTTTCTTCCTTTTCCTCCTTTCCTTCCTCTACCTTTTCCTTCTTTTCCTTCTTTTCCTGTTCTTTCTCAGGCTCATTATACAATTTATCAAAGTACTTAGCTTCTAAGTCGTAGTTTTCGTCCTTTTGGGTCTTGGCCTTCTTCTTTGCAGGCTGCTCCTCCTCCTTCTCTTCTTCTTCACTCTCTTCATCACTCCCGCTTTCTTCTTCCTCTTCACTTTCTATATCAATCTCAGTTCTGCTTGGTAAGTTCTTTCTACTCACCGGCCCACTGGACGCCTTGAAAAGCGTAGCAACTTCTTGGTCCACCTTCAGCGGCCCTGCTCCAAACAAACTCGAAAACGCTGACATCGTATCCTGTTCTGCTGTTATCCTCTGAATAGTTCCTTTTTTTCAGTAGTTTTCAATAATTTTCATTTAGTCCCTCATCTCTTCGCTTGAACCTTTTTTTTTTTTCACCCGATTCTCTTTTGGTGCACGGGTGCGGCATGATGCGCTGGGATTACCTGCACACACCAAAAGAGCTACCAATTGAACAAAACAAAATGCTTCATTTAATGAATTTGTATTTCAATTCATCTACTTTTAACCTTTGAATACTTGAGATTATCAATCAATACATTGCTCGTTGGCTTACAGTATTGTCGGGACTGTTCACAAGCCATTTGAATATTCGTGCCGCGTTCTCTATTGATTTCCTAAGAGTGTCTTAGTTTTTTAGCTTCCGAGTTTCTTAGTTTCTTGAATTTGTTCATTGAGTTGTTTCTTTAAGAAGGAAAACCTTGAGTTTTGATCATATATTGACTGAGATTTTGATCATCATCCAGCTTATTCTACTGAAATTAGAATAACGTTTTTGATAATTTTTTTTTTTTTGATTGACATTATAGATACAAACCAGTATATCTGATTGTACACTGCTCTTGTTTATATTACTTGGTTCTTTTTATACAAATGCCGACAGAAGATCCAGTTATTGAATCTTCGTTATCACCCCCATTTTCAACAAATCCCGACTCCAATCATTCTTCTGGGAAAAACGAGTCAATTCCTGAAGATAATCATAATAATCATAATCAAGATATAGACTCCTCGCAAGTCCAATCGGGTCCAATTACAAAAGACTCTCCTTTGACTGACATAGCTACATCACCTCCTGTATTCGATTTAACACTAGGTAATCGTGATTCTATCTCCTCTGACGATCATCATCCTCGAATTGAGCACGATTTTTTCTCGACTAACAAAGAAGGTAAAGAAGGAAATCTAAGGGATAAATCCTCTAAAAAAAAGGATAGAAAACATAGTACCACCGGGAAAGATAGCTACGAGAGCTCGGAGCTAAGTGATTTGGGTGAAGATTCTGAAGCAGAAACTGATAAAATGGATTTTTTAGATGATGATCATACTCCAAATGGAGAAAAAGTTTCTGATTTGAAAGCGTTATTTGAATTGACTGAAATGGCTCATTTGAAAGAAGTTGATTCTGATGATGATTCTGACCTTGATAATGAAAATTATCAATCTCCTTTAAATAATGATGAAAATATCAATAAATCAAATGCAGTTAAAGAAGAAATTGACGATGAGGACCATTTGGCATTAAATCCGAAAGAAAACAAAGAAGCAGAAGAAGAAATCTCAAAACATATTGATCAAATTAAAAATGAAGTTGCTGGCTCAACAGGCATTAATTCTACTTCCGTTAAACGTTCATTATCAACGGCGTCTCATAAATCTGGTGAAGATGACGATGAAGAGAATATCTCGAAAAAACAAAAAACTGATTCTATTGAAGAGGACAAAGATGTTGATATACCGAAAGGTACTGAAAATAATGATGCTATAGAATCTTCGAACGACCCTGAAAAAGAGCCGGATGAAGCAGATCCTTCAGACAATGATAAAATGGAAGCTGACAATGATGAACCTGAGGAAACTACTGAAAAGACTGAGAATAATGGGGAAAATCTTGATGAGGAAAAAGAGGATGATGAAAATAATGAGCATGATTCAACCAATAATAGTTTACTAATAGACCAGGCCAAAAAAGTTTCTAAAGATGAAGATGATCCAGAAAAAGTTTCTAAAGATGAAGATGATCAAGAGGCTGAGGTTGAAGATAACCACGAAGAAGTCGAAGCTGATGACGACGATGAAGTGGAAGATGATGAACCAACTAAGGATAAAAATGAAGATGTAACTCAAGAAGATATCGATATGGATGAACAAAGAAAACTAGCCATTGAAGAATTGATATCCATTGAATCATCATTTGCCCAATTGAGAGATAAATTGTTCCAAGATAAATTAAGCTTATTAGAACATGAGTTACAATTATGTTTGGAAGGTTCCCATCCAGAATTATCAAAAATTTATTTCAAAATTAATGAATTTTATCAGGATAATATTAAATTGGCTAATGCTAACTTATCGTATAATTTGAAGTGTATTAATACTCAAACAGTTGCCACTAGAACTTCTATTCATCAGGATTATCTAAAACAATTAATGGACACCAAAAATGATATGATCACCGATACTACCTCACTATGGTATAAAATAAATAAAGAACGTAACCAAATGGATCAAATTGTATCTGATTATAACTTCAGTGCAATTCCAATGATACCTAATGTTACGGTTGCTGCTAATTATCAAGAAGATGTTTCACCGATGCCCAACACCAATGGAGCATTAACCAACGGAGTCAATGGATCAACGAAACCTCAACTAAATCAATTCCCTAATGAGTACAATGTCGACCTTCAAGAAAATCAATTATCTCACCAAGCTCCTCTAACTAAAAAGGCAATCAAACAAAATACTCTAATCGAGTTGGTACAACAACGTAATAACGTTAATCAGCAATTGGGTATACTCAATGGATTACTCGAATTCCACGGGCTCCCAGCTGCAGTTACCTCCAGTCTATCGGATGATAAACCTGCTGCTGCAAATGAACTACTCTTACGCAAAGCTTCTGAAGATGAAATCAATGACGATCTTCGCGCAATGGGAATCCCAATATGATCACCATCCACCTTACAGCGTCATCCTCACATCCTACTCATATCTGTATATTCTAATGTATCAATAGCCTTACTGTATCAATAGTCTTGTAGTATGTTAGTTTTGCTACACGACCAAGTTTTTCACTAAGAAAAAAAAAAAAAAAATACGTAAACCATTAAAAAATCGAAAAATGTGCGGATATGACTTGGTATCAATTCCAAAACAACCAAGTATAATAAGTCGATACTTTGGACAATTGTTATAGTTGAAATACTACGGTACGAAAAAAACTCAAATGGTTGAAGTGTCATTGACGGTTGGTAAGCTTGATGCTTCCTTAGCCTTACTTTTAACAAAAGATCACCATTTAATAGAATTTCCAACCATATTATTACCAAATGGTGTTAAAGCAGGATCAATAATCAAAATTAAATGTGATCAAGATTTTGAAACGGAAAAGGAAGAACAGAAGAAATTTCAAGAAATCCAGGATGAAATATTGTCTACATTTGGCAAAAACTTACCTAAATCTCCAAATTTAAAGATCAAAAACGTTACTCAAACTTCATGTGTTTTAGAATGGGATCAATTGGAATTGGGTACTTCTAATTTGAAGAATTTGATTTTATTTAAAGATGGGAAAAAATTAGGAGTTATTCCTCAACCTTTAACTAATAAAACAACTAAATTATCTGGTTTACCAATTGATAAAACTTTCCAATTCCAATTGAGATTAGATACCACAGCCGGGGTTTATCTGTCTGATATAATTGAAGTAACCACTCATAAAATGACTGATTTATCCGGTATCACGGTTTGTCTTGGTGAAATTGCACCAAATGATCCTTTCACTGTTGATGATATACAAGATACTTTGAAAAATATGGGTGCTCATTATCCTGCTCAAACTTCTGTAAAAGTTGACACAACACATTTCATATGTACAAGAGAAAGTAAACAAGATTTAGAATATTTGAAAGCTTCAGATATGAATATTCCAATAATCAGACCTGAGTGGTTAAAGGCTTGTGAAAGGGAAAGAAGAATTGTTGGTGTTCGTGACTTTTATGTTAAAGATTGTGTTCTACCTGACATTTTTGCTAAAAATTACTGGAGTAAGAACTCTACCGCAGCCACTAATAATTCAGGTCCTACTGAAGCTGACGCTGCCACAAAAGAGGAAGAACCACAACCTGAAGAGACCTCTGTTCCACGAATTGAAGTACCTGTCGAAGAGCCATCCACCCAGGAAACTCAAGAACCAGCCACTCAAGCAACAGAAGCATCTACTCAAGCTCAAGAGCCATCTTCTCAACCTACTGAAGATTCAACTCCTGGTATAGTTGAAGAAAAACCTATCGAGTCTGCTGAACCTTCAACACAAGAACCAAAGTCTAATGAAGATTCCGAAAGTAAAGAGTTACCTGATACTCCGAAAGAAAACGAAGAAGCAAATAATGAAGAGTTCGATGATGTTTCGATTAATGAGCCACCTAAGATCATAGAACCTGAATCAACTGAACAACCTGAATCAACTGAACAACCTGAATCAACTGAACAACCTGAATCAACTGAACAACCTGAATCCACTGAGCAACCTGAATCAACTGAACAACCTGAATCAATTGAACAACCTGAATCAATTGAACAACCTGAATCTCAAGTACCATTTGAAAATCCCCAAGATTTAGCTGAAAAAGTCAAATCCATAACAGAAGATACCAAGCAAGAAGCTTTATCTCCAGTTATGAAAAGTTCAAAAGCAAAAGCAGTTGAAGAATCCGATTCTGTATCTAAGAAAGCAATGAATGAAGCTAAAGACAGTGAACTTCTTTCTGTAAATGGTTCAGGAATTGATCCATCCAAAGCTGATCAACCGGCTGAAGATTCTACAATTGCATTGGATCGTGAAGTATCTACTGGAAATATTAAATTGGACGACCCAGTCGCTGATTTGGAAATAGGAACAAATGAAGCAGACGCTGATGATCAAGAAGAAGAAACCGACGAAAGCAAAACCGATGGATCTGTTCCATCAACACCAGCATCTAATAACGGTGGGAACAGTAATAAAAAAAATAAAAAGAAGAATAATAAAAAGAAGGGGAAAAAAAATTAATAATTAGCTCCCCTATAAAAAAAAATTTATAATAAAGAATTGTTAGATTTTCGATTATTATGTATTGTAAAGCGTTAATGTCTATATTACTAGAGTTTTGACTATTAATAAGAAATAGAGATAACAAAATCGTAACTTGTGATGAAAGTATAATGAACAGCCATAATCAAAGGTTGCCAGACCAATTACTCAAGTTTGAGCGTAAATGAAAAGAAGTAAAAGTGATAGATGTTTTCGAGATTCAACGATTATTCCCCAAATAATCTTCTTACCTTCTTTAAAATAGAATCTTTTGAAGGATCGTAAGGATGATCTTTAGAAGGAATTTCTAAAATAGCAGGAAATGCATTAGTGTAATTATCAACTCTATATCTTATCAAATCAGCTAAATGTTGGTTGATGAGTAAGATGGCAATATCATCTCTTTCACTAGTGAATTTATCAAAAGCTTGTTCTATTTCTTCAACAGAAGTTTTACCTGGAACAACAGTTAAAAAATTGGTTTCTTTACCACTTTCAGTCGAGACTTGTCCAACACCGGCCAATAATAAACCAGTAACAGAATCTTCATCGGCAATGACCGCCAACAAAGAGCGCTTGGACATTGCTTCACTCATCTTGTATCTTCAATTGATTATATACTATTCAAAGATTAAAAGCTATGTTCAATCGTTCTTGTTCATTTTTTTCCTACTCCTGTTTTTATCTTTTCATATTGAGCCAGGCACACTAAAATTAATGAAAAAAAAAATTATAGATGAAAAATTTCAGTTTTTAATAGTGTTTGCTGGGTTATAATACAAGAAATGATTGGGAGAATACTTAGAGGAACAACTATTGGACGCCAGAATGTCAGCCGTTTCCACACAAGCAGTTTTGCATTGGCTGGGCATTCGAAATGGGCCAATATCAGACATGATAAGGCTAAGAATGATGCTAAAAAATCAAAAGAAGCTTATGCCATGGCCAAAAGTATTGAAGCCAGTGTTAGAAGTGGAGGAGCACAAGGAAACGCCCAATTATTGACGTTGATGGATAAAGCCAAAAAATTAAACGTTTCCAGAAAAATTGTTGATAATGCAATCAAGAGAGGAACTGGAGAAGTTAGTGGAGATTCTAGTTCACCATCAGAAGAAGTAACCTACGAGTTTATGGGACCTAAGGGAATAGCATTTATTATTGAGGCATCTACCGATAATAAGAACCGTACCATTGGACTTGTTAAGAACGCCATGTCACAATTTCGAGCATCATTGAGTCCATGTTTATTTATGTTTGGCAGAAAGGGAGAAATCATCTTTGAACCAAAGACACCAGAAGAAACTGTTGACGATGTCTTAGAAGTTGCCATTGACATTGGTGCCGAAGACGTGGAAGAATATAAAGATCATGAAGAGGAATATAACGGTGAAAAATTATTCAGAATTATAACTGATCCATCCGAAGTTACCCAAATCTCAAATAAATTATCTGAACATGGATATAAATTGAAAGATTCTACAATTTCATATATTGCTGAGATTGATAATCAAGTCCTGATTGAAGAAGATAGTATTCCAAATCTTCAAAAAACCATTCTCAAGTTAGATGATGTACCGGAAGTTACTAATTATTATACCAATATCAAAGAGGATGATTAAAATCAATTCTGCATAAACTTATTCCTTGTATAAACATGTATATAGATAATTTTTTACAATGATTATTATTGAAACGTACGTAAAATTAATGACAACGTGAAAAAAAAATGAATAAACTAAAACAAAAGCTTATTCAAAATTACGCTGATACGGAATATATAAAACACCCAAAAATTGATGGGAAGAAAGGAAATTAAACTTCATAAAAGTAAGACTCAAGACAAGATAATTATAATGCAAACAAAAAACAAAAGAAAAACTAAAACGAGAAACTTCAATTGATTATCTTATTCTTCCTACTATAACTTTTACAATTGATGAATATTTTTGATATAGAATTGAATAAATTTTGCTTCTTTAAAGATATTCTTATCCATTTATTCAGAAGATTTTTCGGCAGCTTGTTCTTTTCTTGAAGCATCATTTAAAACATCATCCAAATTAGATAAATCTGCGTTTTTCCATAATCTTAATTCTTTATCATGAGCAAAATGTCTGTAAGTGAAGTAACATCCAGAAGCAACTGCAACACCAACAGCAGCAAATAATGGATACATTTCAACTGGAACTTGAACTTTTGGTTGAGCAGCGCCTTTCTTAGCGGCATTCAATAAAACACGGGAGGCTCTCATCTTGTCAATTTGGTTATTAGATACAATGTTATTCAAACTTTCTAGTTGATTAGAATCGTATCATAAATTTAAAGATGAGAAAAAAGTTGAAAAAAAAAAGTCGTGTGTTTTGGTAGCAAATAAATCAGACCTAGCGTTAATTTGGTTGGCTGGGGGGGTTCGTTGGTCACGTGATGTGTTACATCCGTACCCCCCATATATTATTACTACTAGCATGTTATTTTGCAACCTGATTTGTAGAGTTCATCTAAATTAATGAATATATAGTTATACAATAGAGAAGGTTGTACAGAGGTTGTATAAAGGGGAGGATGGGCTACCATTTTGCAATGGCGTCTTTCAAGCTGTCGTAACACAACCAGCTGACGGCCATGGAAGGAACGATTTTATATAGATTAGCAGTTAAGCCTTTATAAGCACCAAAGAACCCTTCGCTGGTGAAGATCAGCACCAAGGCATGCGAGACCGAGCGGTATTGGAAACCCAACTCGCCCCCAGCCATACTGGCAACCTGGTACCTTTTCCTTAATAAATCCAAGGGATAAATGAGTACGCCCCCGATAAAACTACTGAAGGCACCAGCCAGTAGTTTCCAGATTGGATTACTAAAGTCTTGGGGGGATTTATCCATGTAATCTCTTAGTTTTTCGTATAATGCAAAATTAATAGCCACGTAGGGAGCAACACCCATTGTAGTTGGTATAATACCTCTATATAATGCTAAGAATCCACCTTCATTTTGATAAACTGTGGTGAATGTTTCCCAGACCCCTGGAGCCTTCACCAACCTCCCTTTATTTAATTTTTTCAACGATGCAGTTTGAATGGTAATACGAGCCCTAATCAAATCTAATGGATATGTTACTAAAACAGATATAATACCTCCAATTGAACCAGCTAACAACCTTTCTGATGCATATAGCTCCTTATTGTCTGGTGACTTTCTGGATATAAGATACTCTTTACACTCTTCAAATACCATGAACTGAACCGCCGAATACGGAAATATTCTTATACAATTTAAGGTATTTCCTCTGAATAACCCTTTCCATCCTTCATCTTTATACATTTTCGCAATCGTAGGAAGCATTCCTTGATACGCGTGTTGCTGACCAGGTCCTTGTAATTGTAATAAGATTTTGGCTCTCTCAAATGGTGATACAACAGTTCTTGAGACTGCTCCAGCAACTCCTCCCGATATAAATGACGAGTTGGACTCCTTCTTTATAAACAGCTTCATCTGCTCATATCCCCCCGTCTTCTCCCCTGCCCTGCTGGCTATCTGTATCTCTGACATACTTACAATTTCAACTTCAAATCAACCGGAGCGTTTTCGGAGTACAATCACACGGATTCTTAAAAGGTCTTGTTCGGCTTCGTTTGCTTCCTCTCAATCCCTCCAACTGTACAAGCAAGTTTCTAGATGTTACCGTTCTATAGAGCCAATACAATTTTTACATTAAAAGAAGAATTCTACTTATCTATTTAACCGAGCTGATTGCACTATGATTTTTGATGTCGATCTCACTGTTTTTTTTTTTTTTTGTTCGTTGTTTTTTTTTTTATTGGTGTTTTTGACAGGCCGAAACGGCGGGGGTGAACCGTTTGGCTGCGCAAAACTCCGGGAGACTCAAGTATACTCTTCGTCTATGGTGATTATATTGGTTGGTTCTTTGGAATCCCCGTTGACGTAGGCGGGTGTGTTCCATAGAAACATACGGGAAAGAATGCCTGAGTATATTTGTAGACTGGCTTCGCGATGGTCAATTAACCTTTCGGTATAGAAACCAAGAATACTCCAGTTATGGACTTGTGCAATTTGCTTGTCGACTTTCAATTTGACCCCTGACTGGGTTAGAAGTTCGATAAAGCCTTCGATATCTTCTTTTATGCATTCTTCGTCTCCGTAACTGATAACAACACCTTTCTGCGGCATGGAATTTCGCCAGACTTGACAATCTTTTATGGTTGATGCGTCTAGAAAGGATATTTGTGGGGTTCCCATGATGGATTTGTCGATGTAGTTTGCTGCCCATTTATGGATTGTGGACTGGGTGAGGTAGTCACTTGGATTTGGGGTATTGGTGGGTGGAGAATGGAAGAGCTTGGTGATTGGGGAAATGAATATTGCAGCATCGGGTTTAGTCATTAGTTGGTCTTGGGTGAAACCATTCGAAGGGTGGTTCATATTCAAAAGCATGGATATGGCTAGAGTACTTCCCGTACTATCTGACATTAGAACTATATGGGTGTCTTCGTTTCTCTTTTTTAATAGATATTGGTAGTCTTTCATTAATTGTGAGATTTGTGAAGGATACTTTTCAATTTTATTCAGGAATATTGGTACCAAGATTCCTGGATTGCTAAACCCTTGTTCTAGAAGGTTTATGAGTAGAATGGATAAGTATTCGTTATATAAATGGCCGGAACCCACGCCAAATCCATTACCACCATGGATATAGAAAATCAAAATATCGTGAGCCTTGGATATGACCCTGCTTCTGGTGTAGATCCAGGTTGCATGGCAGCTCAGTCCTTGGTTAATGCATATATTCTCTATGGCGGTATCACCCAACCCATCATTGCATTCTCTCCACCGTCTGATTTTGTTCAATAGCTCAAAAGACCGTCCATCGAAAAAGACCGACCAAGCAGGCTGCCCTTGTGAATACTTAAAGTAGTGTTTCAACATCTCAACAACAACAAACTCGTAGTCTGTCGCTCTCTGACTGAAATTTGTCTGGTACGGAAACGGGAGTAATCTTCTATAAGCCAAATAATTATAGGGTAACTCAACTAGACTGAAATATGCATTTTCAATTAACCATATCAAAAGCACCCGGACTCCGTAATCGTACGCAATAAAGTAGTAACTTAACAAGAAATAGAGTAAGAAATCCCGGTGGCCGAAGTTTTGCATCTTGCTTTGCTTAATGTTAATACCTCTGGTTTTTTTGAAAAAAAAAAAAACCAAAAGTTATCCTTATGTGGTTTTTCGCAGCAATTACAAATACATAGACACAGATAAACCAATACACTGACAACTTCCATGAAGCTCTATAAAAGAGAATCCATATGCTTTTTTTTGGATTTGGTGCAAATTATCGTGAGGGTTATTGTACATTTTATTACAATTTTGTAAAAATTTTAAAAAAATCCATAAATATCTAATTATTTACAATGCTCTAAGATACAATTCTATCGTACTTCCAAGTAGGCTCAACTAAAGGCAAGTCACTTGACTTCAAAGCTTTTTCATTAATTTCCCAGTTTTTATCTAATTCTTTGAATAAGTTAGAGGCTGGCTCAGCATACCATCTATCCCCTTTGTAGTCAAACCAACCAAGATGTCCACCAATGGTAGTACCAATCAATACAGTATAAGGGTTTAATTTGATTTCTGTTTCCGGTAAACTCTTATAACTTGCAATTGGATCATCTTGAGAATTTAATAAGATTGTTGGAACTCTTATTTTAGAAATTCTATTTGAAGGAGATGCATGCCTATAATATTCATCTGCACAATTGAAACCAAATAATCTTGAAGTAAAGTTATCATCAAAATCTTTTAATTTTTCAACTTTATAAGATTCTGGGTTCTTATGGTAATCATCAACAACATTATCATATTTTAAATGACCTTCATAATGATTTTTCAAAAGTTTTAACAAATTTTGACACATGGCTGGAGAATATAATCTATTTCCTAACAACGATTCTTGTAATCGGTAACTTGAATCCGGGAATGACCATGGCGATGAAACAATTATACTTGCTTTAATATTTTTAGAAACTGCATCGTATTCTTGACCTAAATAATTAGCAATTATTGCACCCCCCAATGAAAAACCTATAAGGTAAATTCTTTTATTAGGCCATTTCTTTAAAATGTGCTCATTAATTAAATACCTCAAATCGTTAGTCCACAATCCACAAAATAATTGTGGTGAAGTAATGGTATGATTAGCACAACCCCTTGAATTAAGGACTAATGCATCAAACCCATAAGGCTCCTGAGTAATCTTATGTACAAAAGCTCTGAGATATGATTCAAATGATCCTCCGGACAATCCGTGCAATGCAATAACCAAGGGCTTTGATTCATCGTCAAGTAACGATTGTTCTTTGGATGGGTCTAAATATTCAGTTCTAGGAGGTAAATCAAGCACTTGCGATTCGGGCTTGAATCTCTCATGTTCTTTATCCTCATTACCTGGAGCTACAACATAATCAATTGCAAATGTACTCTGCCCTTCCCAACGGTCATATGGAAGTTCATCATCATTCACTTTATAACGAATATCTTCAACAGTCATTAACCTTCTTTTATAACAGACCTCATCTCTGTTCTCAAACTTTCTAACTGCTGTATATGCTGTCTGTAAATGCCCTGATGATAAGAATGGGTACAGCCAATACGAGTACCCTTCACTCAATTCTTTTACCGACTGCTTGATAATATCCGGTAATCCAGCTTCAGTTTGATCTTGTTTATTTACAAATGGGACCGGTTTTTGGGGAACAGTGTTAGTCACATAGGACTTCAAATAACTCAACACCATCTTGATAAAACTTAATTGGTTCAAGTATGTGCTAACCGTGAGCCTGAATGAACTAGGAATGACTTTATCTGATTTTTCACCCGAAATTTATTCGATGAAATAGAAAAAAATGAGAAGTATTTCGTTTAAATCCGGGTCTCCTACAAAAAAAAAAGTAGAACAAGACTGCAAAAAATTCTGTCTATTAAACTTATACACAAAAAAATCTGGATAAAATGGAACCGGCTCTCGGCTGTGGGAGAGTAACGACAAGGAAAGGACGGAAGGAGTCGTTAAAACACCCAAAACCAAAGAGTCAAAGGCTCAACCTAATTAGCATATATGGCGTAGCAAGATGAGTAAGCCCGAGATATAGAGCTAGATCAATTCAGTTATATTTGAAAAAGCATTGATCTGTGATAAAGTAAAAGAGTGAAGTGTGGACGAAGTTAAGATGTCCCAGGATTAGTTGATTAGTATGTCACCCACCTTGACATGGCAATTAACCGAAGAAAAAGATATATACATGGACTGAATATGTTATATACAAGTTTCTATGAGCTGGAATCATGATAAGTAAGTGATATGACTTCATCTGAAAGAGAAACTGTCTCAAAAAGTGGAATTGCACAGATACTTCCAACCAAATATAACAAAAAGGTGAGGGGGGAAGGTTACCCTTTCCCCCAAGAAGGAAAAGATTCAAAAGATATTTTTCCAAAAAGGTCGAAACATTCTCTTTATATATATATCCTTTGTATATAATTCAGTGTTTACAGATGCAAATGGTAAAAGGTTGCAAAAAATCAAAAAAAAAAAAAAAAAAAAAAAAANAAAAAAAAAAAAAAAAAAAAAAGATAAGCACAAAACGGTTGCAAAATACATATACTGTTAATATCTGTTGAAACACCAGCAGATGTTTTTATCTATTAATACATGAGCAAGCTCCAATATAAGCCGTACACTAAGAATTTCTATATACCATCATGAACATAATTAGTAACCGGATAAGATTTTTTCGATACCAGCAACCAAGATATCGGCATGTTTTTCTTCGAAAACCAAGGTTGGTCTTAATCTGACTGAATCTTCAGCACAACCACCGATATTGATACCAACAGTTTTCATATCAGCTAAGAATTTGTTTCTGGTAGCACCCTCTTCAAAAGACCAAGCAATGAAGGTAGCACGATTTTTACCTCTTAAATCTTTAATGTATTTAGGGTATTTGTCAGCCAATTTTTCTAATTTTTCATATAAATAGCCACCGACTTTAGCAGCGTTGGCAACCAAATCATTTTTAACAATTTCTTGACCAATGGAACCGGCTAAAATCATTCTAGCTGGATCACCACACCAAGTATTAAATTGTCTGTAAGCGATATTTGGAACGATTTTTGGGTCATGGAAATAGTAACCAGCAGATTGGAATTTTTTAGAGAAAGTAACCATATCAGGAGCTGGAGTTATATTAAAATGTTCGTGTGCCCAGAAAGAACCAGTGGCACCAACCCCGGTTTGAACTTCATCAATGATTAAAAGAGAACCATGTTTTAAAGTGATATCTCTTAATCCTTGGAAAAATTCAGCTGATGCATGATTGTCTCCACCTTCAGATTGAATTGGTTCAATTAATAAAGCTGCAATTGGAACAGACCAATTAGTATAGATATCATCAACAATTTTCAAACAACGTTCATCTTCCTTTTTATTTTCAGCTTCATATTTATCCAAAGGATATTTATAAGATGGAAATTCAGCTTTTGGCCATTTGAAAGCTGGTAAATCTAATTTGTGAACTGGTTTGGAACAAGTGGTGGAAGCAGATGCAAATAATCTACCATGGAAGGCTCTTTGAAATGACAAAATAGCCAATTCTGGAGATCCGGGAGCTTCATTCTTCATAACGGATTCATTTTCTTCGTTGGTAAAAGCTGAGGCTTGTCTTTTTTGACCTTGATACCACATGAAAGCAGCTTTAAAAGCTAATTCATTAGCATCAGCACCCGATAAACCAGACCAAATTTGATTTTGACCCTTTGGTGCAATTTTTAATAAATCTTCAATAATTTCTTGACTATCCTTACCGGGGAAATTACCTAAAGCTGGACGATCAACAATTGCTCTAATCATTTTATCGGATTTGGCGGTTTCAATTAATGCAGGGTTATTATATCCTAAAGGAATTGATGCAATTTGCGCATAAACATCCAAAAAGACATTTCCATCAACATCAGCAATGTAATTACCATTGGATTTTTCATAATCAGCAATGAAATAAGCTGGTCTGGTATCAAAAACTTTACCCAAGGATTTGATCTCTTCAGCTGATTTTGGTCCTGGGAATGAAGATGTTTTAACTTCTGGTTGCTTTGGTTCTTGTGGGAAATATTTTTCACAAACTGACATCTTTCAATGACTTCTAATGACTACAATTTAATCTTTCTTCTTTTCTGAAAAGTAGATTTATCCTACTTTATATACCCTATTTTTCAATTTAGGCCTCGATGGGCGCAAACTATTAGTTGATTTCCTTAGCGGCTAGGCGATTTTAGCGGGTAAAATGGGAAAGTGGGTAACAAAATCGGAAGCGGCAATTTTAGCGACACCAACCCGTACACCAATCTAGAGCTTACCCGTACACCATTAAACATCCATACACCAATTTTTGTAAACAAAAACATCATCTCAACAAAAAAAGACAAAAAAAAAAAAAGGCTTTAACTCACTAAGAAGTACTTCCTAGGATACACGAGCAGATTGATGCCAACTCACAAAGTACTGGTAAATACGTATCCACATAATAATTGAAGCTGAACTGAGAAAAAGCTTAATTCTTTCCACTTGTCAACCGCTTATTTTCGAGTACTAGCCGCCGTTGAATACCCGTATTTTTTGTAAATATATTGAAACTGATTAAAATACAATCATGTCAAATCAAGAAAGTGATACTTCTAGACTACAGCCAAGCCAAGAGACTGATCATTCCACATTGGAGGAGAGCACGCCGTCGAATCAATTGGACCATATAAAGAACGTACAAGATATACTGCCGTCAAAAGAAAGAGAAGAGCCAGGAAACTTACATCAGCCAGAAGTAACAGGACAAGCGGAACACTTAGAACAACGAGAACGCAGAGAACAGCACCAAGAACAGCACGCAGAGCAAGTGCAAGAATCAGAGATACAATTGGAATCACAACCAGAGTCAGAAGCACCAAAGAAGGCGGATGTTGATGGATCCACTGACCAAGATCAACAAATTTTAGAAACTACCGCAGATAAAACTTCATCAATTCCCCATACATCTGTAGAAGAGAACCACAAGGACTCATCTACCAATAACCAACCAGTAACAATGGACGATATAGAGAGAATTTTCCATGAAACAGTCCACGAAACAAATTATGAAACAAGGAAAAGATCGATTGATCAGACAAGAATTCCAGCAAACGAGAATGACCCCAACAAAAGAATAAGGAATAATCAAGGAAACCAGGATCTAGATTTAGAATTTGAAAAAGCCATACAAGAACATAGTGAAACCAAACCTGAGGATCACCATAAACATAACGATATAATAGTAAATGAAAAAGAAGATCTTCAAATGATTGCCAATCAACTCGAGCAGGCTACTACTTCAAAGAAACCTGATATTGAAGATGGTAATAACGAAGATGAAGATGAAGATCTTTCTGACCCTAAAAACAATTCACAAGGACACGCAATTCAATCCAATGAACATGATAAATCAGAAACTGAAATTGATAATTCTAAAACAAGACATTCATATATTCCAGCTGATTCTGAACTTTTCAAAACAAATGCTGCATTTGTTGCATACAATGAATTATCAAGTCAATTACCACCATTAGCTGCATTATCAAATGCTCAATTAACCTTATTACCATTACCAATTGTTGCGCCAGATTATTTACCACCTCGAATTCAATTATTAATTAATACATTGCCAACTCTTGATAATTTGGCTACTCAATTATTAAGAATAGTTGCCATTGGTCCCTATCAAAAAATTATAGATTTAGCTTCAAACCCAAGTACTCCGGCAGGGGCAACTTATAGAGATTTAACCTCACTTTTTGAATTCACTAAAAAATTATATAATGAAGAAGATCCTTTCTTAACTGTTGAACACATTGCGCCAGGTATGTGGAAAGAAGGTGATAAAACTCCAGAAATGTTTAGAAATAGAGAACAAAGTATTGAATCAACTTTAAGAAAAGTTAATTTGGCAACATTTTTAGCAGCTACTCTAGGTACTATTGAAGTTGGTTTTTTCTACTTGAATGAATCATTTTTAGATGTTTTTTGCCCAACTAATAATTTAGATCCAGATAATGCATTATCAAATATGGCATATAATAATTCAAGTTTACAATCAATGAATGCAACTATTGGAGAAACAGTTGGTAAATTATTAAAACCTCAAGCAGTTTTATATCTTGATTTAAAAACTCAAGCTTATATATCAGCAATAGAAGCCGGTGAACGATCTAATGAAGAAATCTTAGAAGATATATTCCCATCAGATTTAGAAACTTACTTACAAGCAAGAAGAAATACAAAAAGCTTAAGTCCAGTTGAATTGGATTTCATTGATCGTTGTAAAATAAGAAAACAAACATTGCTAAATTATTCTCCCGATAGAAACTTGGGTGAAGAATACGAATGGTTCACATATTTAAATAATTTATTTGATTATGTTGGTAAAAATATGGGATTTTTGATTTGGGGTAAGAAAGGTAGAGGTAATTTCAAATTTACCACTACTGGTTCAAATTACAAAGTACCTACTGGAGGATTTTCTCCAAATCCAACCTCGTTATCAAAGAGTAATGAAAAATCAAATAAAGATAATGCTCCTCATAGTGCAGAAATGTTAGATTCTACTAAAAACCAAGACAAAATTGATAATGATCACATTGATACTACTAATAAAATTCTCGAAATTGATGATAAAGATCCAAATAGAAATAGGCAAATTAAAGACCTTACAAGTGCATTATTACCATCAGAAATTCAAGAACAACAGATTCATATACGAATTAACCCTAGTACTAATGTTAAAAGTTTGCATAGAAGACCATGGTCTAGAGAAGAAGAAAAGGCTTTAAGACACGCTTTGGAATTAAAGGGCCCAGCCTGGTCAGTTATTCTAGAATTATTTGGGGCCGGAGGTAAAATTTCAGAAGCTCTTAAAAATAGAACTCAAGTGCAATTAAAGGATAAAGCAAGAAATTGGAAAATGTTCTTCTTAAAATCAGGATTACCAGTGCCAACCTACTTGCAGAAAGTTACCGGAGATCTAGAAAGAGACGATAGACTGAGAGCAAGAATCAATAGAAGTAAAAAAACTGCTGCTGCCCCCGTACCCAATCCGGCCCGTAAAGGTAAAAATAAAAATGCAAATGATACCGAAATGCATGAGGCTATAAGCGATAAAAACAAAGAATCAGATCTCAACAACACGGTGAACTCTACGACCGATGTTAGCACAGCTACGGGCCATTAAAGTATTATTCAATAGCCCTAATAAATTTTTCTTTTTTTTTTCCTTTTTTTTTCTTTTTTTTTTTTTTTTTCACTCTACATGATTATTCTCCTTCTATACCAAGGCTCTCCCGATCAGTTCGGAGTCAAAATATACTCATCTACAGACTTACTTGAATTGTAATTTAGTCACAGGAATTAATTATCTTGTGGCCTCCTAACAATAGAGAAAAAAAATAAAAAATAAAAAAACTGCAAAAAAAAAAAAACTGATATAGGTTCGTAGAAGGCCCGTACCACATACCACCTGAATCCTAATTCCCAATTACTTCTTGTCACTTCAAGTTACATGGTTATTTCAATTAAAGTTTCTTCAATTGATTTAATCCTGTTAGATTAAAAGGTGATATATCACGGTAAGTGATAAAGTTTCAAAATAATTTCCTCTTTTTGGGTTGTTGATTTTCAGATTGAAGTTGCAAAATAATTATATTTCAATCGAAATGCCATCAACGAATGGATATGAGTTAATTGGCGGCTCGAGTTCGAATGATATTCAGCAGAAGATCCAAGTTGCCAAACAGGAAGCTAGAATGTTATTTAACGAAGTCGATAAAGTACGCAGATCTATCCAAGATACTACATTATATGAGATGTCCAAACAAATTAGTCATATACCAAATACTAATGACATCAAGTTATATAATACCTTGAATGGACATAAAGATAAAATAACCCAAATAAAGTGGTCTCTGGATTCATCTAGAGTGTTATCAGCAAGTCAAGATGGTTTTATGATTATTTGGGATCCAGTTACTGGATTGAAAAAACAAGCAATTGTTCTTGAAAATAGTTGGGTTTTAACTTGTGCCATTTCACCTAATGGTCAGCATATAGCTAGTGGAGGTTTGGATAATATTCTTACAGTTCATCAAATAAAACAAGATCCTTTTTTGGAATATTCAGCAACTGCCAGTGATGGGTCAGATTCAAATTATAAAGATCAATATATAAATCAAGGAAGCTATCAAATGTTTGGAAATTTCAATCATTCATTAAAAGCTTTATTCAAATCACATTCTGCTTACATTTCGGATTGTGAGTTTTTATCGGATAATAATGTAATTTCAGCAAGTGGAGATATGACTTGTGGTTTATGGGATATTAATCAGGGGAAGAAAGTAAGAGATTTCATTGATCACTTGGGTGATGTCTTGACAATCTCAGTTAATAAAAATTATCAACAATTCAATTCAAATCCAAATATTTTTATTAGTGGAGCATCTGATGGTTATGTGAAGATATGGGATTTAAGAAGTAAATTACCTGCTCAAAATTTTTCAATTTCAAATAGTGATATAAATTGTGTTGATCAATTATGTGATGGAAATTCATTTGTAACTGGATCAGATGATGGGTTAATACGATTATTTGACTTAAGATCGGATTGTGAATTGAATAGTTATAGTTTACAAGCCCAATTAAAAGCAAGAAAATTTACTAAGAACAATTCATTTCAAACTCCTTCCATTCCGCCTCCTTTATCATCACCTAATAGTTTCAGTGGCTCGAATGTAAGTTTGAATACTAATAGTATCGAATCAGTTTATAATACACCAGGAGTTATAGCGATCGATTGCAGTAAATCAGGAAGATTAATCTACTCTTGTTACTCAAATTATGGTTGTATTGTATGGGATACTCTTAAAAATGAAATAGTCGGTACAATTGGAGCTGATGATCATTCAAACGTTATTAATCAAGTTAAAATTAGTCCCGATGGTATTGGATTATGCACATCATCTTGGGATTCTACAATAAAAGTTTGGTCAGTTTAGACGTTAGCCCAAGATACACTTTTACATAGTTTTATGATCGATTTGATTCGAAATTCACTATATTAATACACAGAAATGATAAGGTTAAACTTTTTTTTTTTTTTTTTTTGTTTTGAAGTAGTTTTAAAATTTTTTTTTTCAAAAATTGACAAGACTAAGTTCTATTAAAAACTTATATAAGACAACAAAAGATAACAGGACAGGATAAGAAAAAAACTTAAGCTTCATTGGTACGTTTTTTAACATAATCCCATAAAGCTTTTAATAAAGGTTCTGGTAAAGTATATAAATCCATTGTGAATTCACCATTTTCAAAATCATTTTTAATATTCATTTCACTAGTTTTATTATCGGTAACCATTTGAACAATAACAATTAAATCATCTTCGCTTAATTTAGTCAAACCATTAGCCAATTTTTCTAAATCAATATTACCTTTTGTAGCACTGCCATTAGAATTTTTCAGTTTTTTCAATTTTGAAGTATTCAAATCATTATCATTTTTACGTTTATTATCATTAGAATCACTAGTCAAACTTGGCAATGAACCACTTTCAGCTAATAATTTATTCAATTGAGCATTTTTAGTTGGAATATTAATTGGTTTATCAACAATATATTTTTCTTGTAAGAAATTTAAATCATGATTGAATTTTCTTTCACCTTGTTTACCATTCAAGCCAACTAAGTGTATAGCAATTGGAATATCAAACTCACCCCAACCTTGTTCTTCGACTCTGAAAGGTTTTTGTTTAAGACTTCTTATTGGGTTAGCAAAAGTTGGATGTAAAGTATAAGTAACTTTATCTATAATATTAGCAGGTATTTCTTGACCTTGTTCATTTAACATTGAAATTTCAACCGACCACTGTCTCATTGGATAGTTTTCTACTGGTGGTACATCTTTCATAATATGCTGTTCAGTGGTAATTCTGATTGTTCTTTGTACCTAAATTGAGTTAGTATTATGAATTTGTTTCATTTCATTTGATCAATTCAACCACTGAATTTTATCTTCCAACTCAAAAAAATCACCATTCCCGTATCGAAAGCCAGCCATCTTGACTATCATTTGCTACGGATTTCCTTTTAAAAAGATCAAATAGAAATTAAAACATACCTCAGCCATCTTGTAATTATCTGATCAGTTTGTTTCTCTAACTGTTACTCGGAAATTTAATATTCCCAGTGAAAAAATTAATGCAATAGAGATTCACTTAATTGCGTCAACCAACTATTCTACCAGTAAGACAAGTCTAATTCTATTACTGAAGCTTTGGGATTAATTGTAAAAAAAATAGAGAAAAATTGGTATTTGTTGCCTATTTTTTTCCTCATTAACTTTTGCTGGTTTGCAGCATTCAGTTTGCAGTTTGGAAGAGATATTTACAGGTTGTTACACGATGATTTACAGATTGAAGGGGATTTCATAAAAGAATACATAAGAACAAGAGAATTCCAAGGATTGAAGAGTAAATTTGGAGTTGGTATTGATTACAGGAGTTCCGATAGGCAATTGTGCGATTGGAGGGTGGAAGAATCGGGTTCAAACGTGATAAATTAAGAGGTTGGTTGGTAATAGTTTTCGTTTTGGTCTTCGGAGTTTTGCTGGATTTTAACTTAGTTGATGTAGGTTTATTTGCATAGGTTAGCTTGGACATAGGTTTTCTGGTTCTGGGTGTACGTCTCCAGCTTGCAGTCTTTGAGGAAGACGACAGGGTAGTGAGGGTTGGAAGAGGTTCGGATTCCGAGGAAGAACTTGAAGAACCAAACGACACGATCTTTCCAATGGACGGATGCAAAAAGGCTATTGAAGATGTTGTTTTGCGTTGAGTTTCCTTCGTTTGGCTTGAAGTCGGAGTATCAGTGACAATATCAGTAATATCAGTGACAATATCAGTGACAATATCAGTAACCTGATTGTCAGGTGCAAGTGGAAGGGAGCTTGTGATTGGGAAGTCAACTCCTGGAGTCACCAGGGGAGATGGAGCAACCGTGAACACTTCATCGATTGAATTTGGTTCCGAAGAAATCACTTGCACTGAAGATGAAATTGGTTCCGAAGAAATTGAAATTGGTTCCGAAGAAATTGAATTTGGTTCCGAAGAAATTGAATTTGGCACTTGCACTGAAGATGAATTTGGTTCATCTGAAGATTTAGAATTTGATGCTTCTAACGGAGTTCCCACCGAGGAAGAGGTTGTGGAGTAAGAGCTCATGGTTGAAGTTTCGGACGAAGGAACGAAAGTGTGTACTTCTTTGCCAATTCTCAAATGGCCATCGTTATCAAACTGCAAGCCATACTTTCTAGTTGGGAATGGCTGCAACGAGATCGGTGGTGCCGTTGGAAAAGGCTTTTCTGTAGCGTTCAAAGCAGTAGTATTACACCATTGAGAAGTGAAATCGTCTGGTTCGTCCACAATTATTGTTTCCACCACCGTTCGGGTCACCACCGTCTGGCCGTACCTGAGCCCAAGAGCACCCAGTGCCAACACCATCCACACGCTTAACTTCATATTTGTAGTTGTATAGGTTGTTGCTCTGTGGTTACCAACTTGTTTTTTTTTGCAACTTCTTTACAAACGCTACACCCGTGCACCAAAGTAATCCTAGGTATTTATTTATATGGTGATATTTACAAGAAAGGAATTAGGACTACTTTTGAAAGACCTGTTTATAAACTCTGGGGACAAACGGTTTGACCAAGTCGACCGACGAGTTCCACAGTTTAGCCAAGTCGTCCAGAATCAAGGGGAAGATCTTAGACATGTGCAAGTTATGGTCTTTTGCTTTAAGGTCAGATAAGAAAAGGGTTAATTTTTCAATAATTTCGTCATTTGAAGCAATCTTCAAACTTTTAACAAATTTTTCAATTACTTCAATTTCTTTAATTTCATTATCGGCCAAGTCTTGACGGTTTTGATTTTGATAATCAATTGACGATTGATGACGCTGTTTAATCATTTTATTCAAGACTTTATATAAATTGAACTCGTTTTGTTGGGCCCCGTCAATCTCGCTATTTTTAATATCAGACATGATGCAACGAATAGTGTTTTTCGTTAAATTTTCCTTTTTGATCATTGCCTGTTTTAAATCTTGTTTTAAAAGACTCATAGTATCATTATACACGTTTGTTGATTGAAATCTTCTAGCAACATAGGACCAGCTGCTCGACTTCAAGGAGGGTCTGAGCAAACGAGCGTGTCTAAGCATTTTCTTATTGTCTTGTTGTTCTTGTCTTGTTGTTCTTGTTGTCTTGTTCTTGTTGTCTTGTTCTTGTTGTATGAATGGAGTTTGTTCTCCAAAATTTTTCACTTTCCCATACATTTTTTTCTCTCGAAGGGGAAAGCTTGACGATTACATAATCGCCCTTTGTATTAATATATGGGGGAAGTCGACCCATACAAACATCAAAGAAATGTTCATTACATTGACAGATTACTTGAAATAACCAGATAATTCCGGACAAAGGAAAGAATAAGTTTTTTTGCACCAACTTGAAATGGGGGGAGGGTCTGATACAAGAGTGAAATTAACTGCGTGAGTCAACGCAGCGTAAGGTATCTAGATTGATTTCCAGAATCAATTATTCAACCGAGTAACGTTGATCCCGATATGGGAGTCAGTTGGCAGTAGCAATTCACTTGCATGCCTCAAGCGTGCAACCGTTGGTAGTCGAAAAAGGTACCTTTCCATAGCCAATAGTGCTTACATGATTCGGCTAATACTGCTACTTACAAGGCGCACTTGAGCAGAAGCTTGGATACAAATAGGTTCGTGCCATCTGCAAATGATTTGAGAGTTTCATATTGATTAGAATGGTTGAAAGGGTCTAGTGACATGGACACCGGTGTTTACCACTACTCACGAGGTTAAGCAACTTCAACCGTAGTGCCTTGTTTTTGCTGTGGCAGAATGTCTGGACTCGTTGGGGTGGCTGTAAGGTGTCCAACCTTTCTTTTTTTGTTTTAGTCGTTGTTGTTTTCGCCTCAAACCCTCAAGTCTAAAATAAACATTGTTAAGGTTGGGTTGTTATTATTGGAAATACGTGATGGCTCCCGTTTAAAATAGTTTTTTAGTCTTTGAGGGTTTTGCTAATTGTATTGTCGCCCTCCTGCCCCCCAAAATAGGTGTTTCTATTGTTTATTACATTTGAAATGGATATTTCCATTACTGGTTGAAAATTTCCATTTCCATTTTCATTTCCATTTGACATTTACATTAACCTTGGAATCCGGAACCCCCTTTCCAAAGGTTTTCTTTTTTTAAACGACTAGACCGCATTAATGTATCTTTAAGTATGTGTTTCTCTGCAAGTAGCTTGTTTTGCTCATTGGGTTTATGCCGGTGCATATCTATCTATATATATATATAATTGTATTCCCCAGATAATTCTATTTGATTTGGTTTTCCAATATTGCATTCTCTTTTGTTTTCTTTCTTGTTCATATCGTCAATTGGTGAACTGGCAAGATCGTTAACTCTTGAAACCGTTAACTCGAGACCGTTAACAGCCTGTCAACTTGGTCAACATATCTTCCATTAGTCACTGTCAAGTTCGATACTAGTCACAATCAAAGTCAATACTAGTCACAATCAAAGTCAATACCAGTCACAATCAAAGTCAATACTAGTCACACTCAATACTAGTCAACACTCAAAGCCAAAGTCAACGTCAACTGCCAATCCAATCATCTGATTGTTGCCAACCAAATACCACCTGGCCCGTGTTTCCTCAGTTGCATTATCCTCTGATTGCCCTGGTTCTCCGTTGCATCACTTGAGTTGCAAACAATACCCTCCGGTGACCTCAGTTGCCACACCGTATACTACACTTTTATAAAGGCCTGCCTTGCTGTTTGCCTGTGCCCATTGGTTATTTTTCATCCATAGCATCTCGCGGGCTTGTTATCTAAGGGTTCTAGACATTTTTACCCGTGCACCACGAGCAGACCGGACCTGTCAAAATCTTTTGGAAAATCCCGCAATTTGCACCCGTTTTATTTTTATCTTCATTTTTTTTTTACGAAGTTATTCATTCAAGCATGAGTCAAGGCTTCATGGAGTACGTGGTCAACCATTCACATGACTACACCAAGAAGTCGCCTTGCACCAACCAGGTTAACGACGAGCCGGCTGTTGTTCCTAGAAGTTTGAAGAATGGTGAGTCGGCTGTTGTTGAAAGTGCTAAGCTTGGGTCCGGGTTGGTTACAACCAATCACGTCAAAGCAAGAAGCAACTCGGCCCCCGAGGTGGCACGATTGGAGAAGGAGTATGTTGCAGTGAGTGAGTATGATGGGTGTAAGAAGTTGACCAAAGAGGAGGAGGAGGTTTGTCGACGCCAGGCGTCGGAATTGTTGATTAATGTATTTAATAAGGAGTTGGAGGTGTATGATGAATCGATTACTACGAGGTCCAAGATCTTTAAGATTACGACGTTGAATCAATTGAAGACGTTGTTGAATTTCACCTACAATGACTATCTCAATCCATTACCTTCAAGTGATGAAATGTTTCCCTATTTGCATGGGTTGAATAACGTAAGACAATGCTCATTTTTCATTGATAAGCTTGACTACGATCAGCCTTCAATGAATGTCCCTTTGCCATTTGAAAAGGAATATTCGGAAATACCGAAGTTATCGTTTTTCAACTTGTTAACTATTGATTGTTGCGAAGACGGTGATTGGAATTCTGGAGAAGATCGAGTCAAATTGACCAATTCAATTTCGTTTGATTCTCTTTTAACTCAACGCCGTGAACACGGTTCAGTTGACACTATTGACGAAACCAACGATGATCATATCGAGTATATCGAATACGAGCCATTGGACTCGATTAATAAGATTGATCGTTATCAATTTCAATTGAATAATCGTAATTTTGATCATCAAATTAAATTGCTTGCTCCATTATCACACTTTTTGGTTTATGATTCGGATTTGAAACATGATGATTCTGCCACTAGCTCTACTGCAGAAACTTTATATCATTTGGTCAACCCGGAAAGAGGTCAATATATATACGTTGTTGATACTAAATTGTTGAAGAATTTTGGTAAAAGTGAAGAGTTGAAGAGTTTTGTTGAACCCTCAGGGGATTTGGTTAATCAACCAATCAGTTCCATTAATAATAATCCTTTCCATTGCAAATTATTGAAGATGGAACAAAATATGATCTGGAAAACTCATAGTGTAAGAAAGGTTTTCCCAAGAACATATATAGGGAATTTGATTGATTTTAGTTATTTAACTAATTCTAATTTAAAGAGAAATAATTATCATGCGGGCCATGATTTTAAATTATACATTAATTGTCATGAAAATGCACAGTTCCCCAATATTCGAATTTTGGAAGAATTGCTAAAGAGTATTGATAACGGCAAATTAAAGAATCGAGAAATCTTGCTAGAATTTCCATCCGCTGGTTCAATAAATTGTGACACCATAACTTGGAATGAGACTTTGAGTTTTATTAATACATTGAAGGTTATATATAAGTATGTTCATGTTTTGAAACATGATGTTTTTATATTTTGCTTTGACGGTTTTACAGGATTATCTTTATTAACTTTGGCGTTGGGATCGTTATTTGATGGTGATTTTTTTGAAGATGTTGTTGTTAATATATTTAAAAGAAGTCAAATCAAGTTGTACTTTTTCAAAAATGATGTTATTTTTTTGAAAAGATTTGAAAAATTCTTATATTGGTTTAAATTGAAGAATTTGAATGATGATTCATTATCGAAAAATCTTGTTGATGATTTGAAATACGAAGAGATCGATTCGCTTTATTATAAGCTTATTTCCAATAAGTTGAATAACTCCAAGGAAAGTACTTGCATTGGCCATGCCGGTGACTGGTTTGATTGGGAGTGTGATAACAACTTTCCCGCACAAATATACCCCAATTTGTATTTGGGATCATTATGCCATGCATCTTCATCAACAATATTGAATACCTATGGTATCACTCGGGTGATATCAATGGGAGAAAAACCGATTTGGTTTAATGAATTGAATGTGGTATTTGAAGCTGAGTTAACTGGTGAAACATGCAAGAAGGTGATTAAACCAATTTATTCTTTTTACAATGGTAGTTCTCAAGGTGATATATACGAAGTTACTTTGGGAAATGATTTAACCAAGGCTGATTGTCATCCACCTAAAAGTTTACCTCAATTAAGGAAGATTATTTATATTCATAATGTTAAAGATGATGGTCGGGATAGTTTAATGCCATTATTGACTGGATGTCCCGAAAGAATACAGAGAAAGGTTTTGATTAGTCCCTCTGATCAAGAAGAGAGTTTAATTCATTGTAAGATTGGGGTCTCAAGGTCTGCTACTTTGGCTATGGCTTCAGTTATGAAGTATTTGAAAAAGGATATCTTACAAGCATATATGTTTGTTAGAATTCGGAGATTTAATATCATTGTCCAGCCTAATTTAAGAGTGTTTTATGAATTATTTTTATATGATGAATACTTGAGAAGAAAGAAGAATCGTGATTTGAAAAGGCGGTATTGTTGGGCAAGCTTGTGTCATGAAATTCATAAATTAAATAGTCATTATATTCATTAGATTTTTATTACTAACGAAAGCAAAAACACGTTCATACTGGTATGAACTTATAGTATATAGTAAGTAAATATATAATATTTAATTTCTTGTATAATACGCGTATTTGTATTTGAAATCACCCTCTTGAATAAAGTCATTATTTACTTGAATATTAGTATCACCTTGATTAATAAAATGAGATAATTTTTCAGTTGGTTGTTGATTCCAATTACTCAAATTCCAATCTAACCAAGTATCAATTTTACAATCTTGATCATTTTCAACTTGAGTAATTAATAAATCATTGACTTGGTCAATTAATGTATTATATAATTGAGCACCACCAATTATGAAAAATCTGTGGATTGGTTTTGGTAATTCATACTTACCAGTATTCAAATCTTTAATAAATTGGTTTAAATCATTGTAATAAAAAATGCCCTGATTTTCATCAAAAGTGTTATTATAACTTCGACTTAAAATGATATTTAAGCGGTTCGGTAATGGCCTAAACTTTGCAGGTATGGATTCCCATGTTTTTCTACCCATTATAACGGCATTTATTTTATCAGCAGGAGAGTTAGTAGTGACGTTTTTGAAATACTTGATTTCTTGTTTCAAACGCCAGGGCATCGCGCCCTGGTATCCGATCCCCAACTTGGGTCCGAGAGCAGCAACAATCATGATCATGGGCGGTCTAGCCACCGACTGGGACAAGGTCATTGTTATTTGGTGAAGTCAAAAGAAGTTGGTGAAGTTAAAAGGTGAAATGGAAAAAGTAGGACGCGTTAGCAATGAACCCGTACCTACACAAAGTCACGTGCCTAGATTTACCCATTATGAACAATCATAAGCAACTAAAGTCTATTCCATCCCTAGTTTCAGGACGTGAAGGCTATTTGACTGCAAATAACGTTTAGCCAGGGCTGGGGTGGCCTAGAATCGAGTGGATAGTAGAGGTCTGCCGGCTAGAGTCGATTACTGCAAAAAGAGTATTCTCGTGCACCAAAAAACTTTATATATTACAATTGGTGAATAAAACAATATACACTAAAAATACATAGCCTTAGGGATTATATATAAAAGAGTCACGGAATAAAGGAAAAGAAAGAAGGAAAAAAAATGGTTAAGTATAAACCTTTGACTAATATACAGAAGTTTCCGACGAAAAAGAACCAATAAAGAAGTGAAGAATAACTGGGGATTAGAGAGAATTCAATTCATGAAATTATTTTTTTGCTGCCTTCTTTGGAGCAGCTTTTTTAGTTACTTTCTTTGGGGCAGCAGCCTTTTTCGTGACTTTCTTTGGAGCAGTCTTCTTTGGAGCAGCAGCCTTTTTAGTGGTGGTTGTCTTCTTAGTGGTGGTGGTTGATTTTTTAGCGGTAGCCTTCTTTGGAGCAGCAGCCTTTTTGGTGGTTGTTGTTTTCTTAGTTTTGGTGGCTGGTTTAGTAACTTTAGCGGGCTTGGCCTTAGTGGCTGGTTTAGTAACCTTGGCTGGTTTAGCTGGAGGAGAAGTTTTTTCCTTTTTAGCGACTTTGGTTGGTCCAGAAGGACCTTTTGGTTGGGCGAAATCACCGGTTTCCACCCCTTTTCTTAAAGCGGCATTGAATAAAGCATCGAAATTAGCTGCTTTGATATCGTAGTTTGATTGGACATATTTTTTCAAAGCTTGACGACTTGAACCGTTTCTTTCTTTCAAAGTGACAATTGCAGATTTGATCATATCTAGAAAATGTTAGTATATAAGCGAAAAGAATATCAACAAACACGACACACCTTTATAGGTCAATTTGGAAGGGCCAGCTGACTTGGCAGCAGCAGCAGATTTAGATTTAGGAGCCATTGTGGTAATAGAGGAAAAGTATGGAAAAGAAGAAAAGAACTAGAAAAGAAGACAAGTAGGAAAATGGGGGGATAGTAGTAATTTTTATAATCACCCTTTTTTGTTTGTTTTGATTTTCAAGACTGTTTTCCAGTGCGCTTTGGATGCAAAGTTAATTCGCAGTTAAACCCTGGTGTACGGGCGCGTGATTCTAATTTTTTGGGACCATTTTGACATCTACTCGCGAGTGCGTATATTCCATACCCGTTTTTACCTTTCTTTATATCTTTATATCTTTATATCTTATATTATATGTTATATTATATGTTATATTATATGTTATATTATATCTTATATCTTTATATCTTTATATCTTGTATTATATCTACTTTAGATGTCTAATTGTAGGGAGGTGGAATCTTTGTAGTGTTGAGTCACTTGACCTTCATAAATCATAACGTCATATCTATATACACGAATTACGGACAAACTTCCTCTTCACTCCAATAATGGTGGTCGTCTTTTTTATAAATATACCTTCTATCCTTTTCAATTTCGACAAAATCAACGTAATCGATGAATAAACCAACACAGGAGAAATTGGACAAGCCGCTTTCTTCCTTTTTACCGTCAACCCCTCTGCTGATTTTATCAATTAGTTTTTGATTTTCCAATGTCATTTTGGTCTTTGGCATTGGTTTTCGGAAAGTGCTTTTCAAGTTCTTGGATAAGTTAAACCACTGTCTTTTGATTTCCTGTTCCCATTCTTGATTAGTTGGTGGTTGATAGTCTAGATTGGATAAATCTTGTAAATTTGTATATGATATTTGTAAATTATGATTATCTTGTTGTATTTGTAATGCTAGTCTAGGCAGAATCAATGGGTAATTGATTGGTTGTTTTTGTATTTCAACACCTTTATATATTTCACTTGATGATCTCGATGTTGACGGTGATACTTTGATTGATAATTCTTCCTCTTCTTCTTCTTCGTCCTCATCACTGCTACTACTACTCCCACTATTAATATTGTTTTGTAAAATGGTCTTGGGCTGTATACTAGACAAATCAATCTCTGGCTTATAATTATCGTCAATAATCCTGGCTCGTCCTCTCAATCTGAATTGTTTCTTCAATTTCCCAAAATAAAACACCGCTTCAAACTTATCATTAGCCTTTAGCTCGTTATATTTATCCATTCTTTTATCTGTGGTGAATGTAATCACATTGGTACTCTTATCGTCAAATAGAAACCCTCTATAAACCAACGTTCTATTATGGGGGTATCCTTCTTTATCAACCGTAGCAAATTGGAAACTAATGAATGGCGGACTCCCATTATTGGCTGCCAGCTCTCCATCAATAGCACTATTGAAACTTGGTACCCATGGTGCCATATACTGAAACTGAATCATTGGCCTTATCAAAGAAACTCGGTATAAATCAATATATATATATATATATATACAAGAATCAGTTGATTATATATAAGGATTTTTTTTTTTTCTTCGGTCGTTGTGTTTTGTCCCGGTTACTTTTTGTGAAGTATGGAAATGGGAACCTTCAGAAGGGCTGTATATCACTTAATTAATTTACAATCCTTCGAGTATCGACTCTACATTATGATCCTACAATTAATTACCGATCTGAAATGATCCTTTGTTGTAGTGTGATCACTAATTAACGAACCTCGTGGGTCCGAAAGCATAGCAAAAAAAAAAAAAAGACAAAAAAAAAAAAAAACTCGATGAGACGTCCGAACACCTGATGTACGGAGGTCACATTTACGAAATGGGTGCAATTTATACGTATATTGATCTAACTAACTAGGACTTTTCTGATTTTTCGGTGTTTTCATTACTGGCGACCCCTAGTATCACGTCGTATTTCTCGTCTTCCTCTACTGAACCCACTTGCAAGTCACCAGGGTCCAAGTTACTCTTTGGCCCTTCGTACCACTTATGAGCATCGACCAAAAACCAAATTAAGGCCATTAGCATTGGGCCAAAGTAAACCAAAACGGTCCAGTTCATTTGATCTGGGGTCAAGTCTTTACCCCTGACAGTAGGGAAACAAAGAATGGGGATCATCACGGTGACAAAAGCCACTGAAACGTAGCCAATTGGCTGAGACCAACGGCCCAAATTCCAGGGACCAGGTTTGAAAAAAGATCTAGCATAAGTAATCTTTAAAAGGGTAGGCATGGTGAAGGAAACAAAACCACTAATCCCACCCACGGAGAAAATTGCCCCAATGGCGGTATCACCGGCAAACAAAAGTAAAAGGAATAACTGACCTAATAATAGATTAATCCAAACGGCATTAACTGGAGTTTGAGTAAGGGGATTAACTTTTTTCCAATATTTCGATAATGGGAATAAATTATCACGGCTATAAGCATAGGTGACTCTACTTGCAGCCAACATACAAGATTCCCCCATGAAATATGAACTTATTATGGTTAATGCAATTGCAGCATTGAGTAATTTTGATTTTAAAATTTGTGCTAAAAAACTTACAAATGGTTGGCCCAAACCTTGTGGATCAGCAGAAATTTCATCTAAATCAACCGTGGTATAAGCAATAGCCAACATGAATAACCAACCAATCAACCCACCAAATGTAGAAGTCATAACAATGGCTCTTGGAGCAGCAACGCTAGCGTTGCTACATTCTTCCGATAAATGAAATGGACTATCGTAACCAGACATTGCCCAAATAACTCCCAAGAATGAAGTTAACATTGCAATACCAGTTGGAAATTCAGTTTGGTTATATAAAGACCAAGCCGTTGAATTATCGTTAAATTTAGATAAATCTTTAACCAAGTGTTCAGAAATTTGAGTTCTTTCATTACCAGCAAGAATCATTACAAAAACAATCACCAAAAAAACCATATTGACCCCGGTACCAGCACCATTAAAATAAGCCAACCATTTTGTTGGTAATGAACTAATGATACCATGGGTAATTTGTATGGCCGTTGCTAATCCATAAGTTTGACCTGCAGTGGGAGAATATCCAGTTTTAGAATTATAACTAGCCAAGGCTAAAATCATACTTGCACCAGAATAATTCACTGAAGGAGCTGCAGTAATTTGACATAACCAATTTGAGAAACATGTTAACCATGTGAGTAAAGCTGAATATTTAGGTGGACTTAATTGTGAAACGGCATAAGGGGTCCCTGCTGATGTTGGGAATGCTGATGCAATCTCGGCCATACTTAATGCCACGGATGTAATAAATATAATTGCAATTAACCATGGAATTGGACTTATTCCAATCACTAACTGTTGATAATCAAACGTCGAAGCAATAGATGGAAGTAATCCTAAAACTGAAAAAGATACTGCAAAAATTGACCATAAGGAAAATTCTCTTTTAAATTCTTGTTTATAACCAAGTGCTAAGATCATGGCTTCATCATCGTTAATTACATGATCAACGTTGATAGTAATATCTTGATTGGACATTATTGATTGAATGTTTAAATCATCAACATGAACCCGGGATTTAATGGGATGAATCCCAGATCCTGCCTTAGACTGAGTGGCTGATAGTATTGGAGATCTTATTGACATCTTTGCACTTTTATTAGATAGATTTTGTCTCAACTGAATCAGAATCCAACTAACATCAACTGCTCTATATCACCAAAAAATGAAAAAACCAATACTAAACAATGTCAAGGTCTGATATAAATAACTTCATCACCCCCGATGTCTTGATAGAAGGCAATTTATTTTGCAAATTTCAATCTTTCTAATTAATAGTTTAAGATAATTAAAGATGGCCGCTAATCGAAGTAGCCTCATTCGGTAATTCGTGCCAGAGATAAGCCATGTGCAGGAACCCTCTCCTAGTCTAATTGATAGGCATCAGAACGGAATTCTTCACTGAAGTCTTATTTTCAACCTCCCCCCACAACTAACTCATTTCCCGCTAGGTATCCAAGAGTTTGGCTGTCACCCTTCTCCTCCTACTTGACCGTTTTGCTCTATTGTATCTTTAGCTGATAACAATAAAGCCTGCCTGCACTGAGTAACTTTAATCGGAATGACATTCGAAAAACTCTTGGTGTACGGATGGATGCGAGTATCACGTGATTGTCGGCCATTCTATTATGGTTAGCGCACGCCAAGTACTTACTGGCAATCAAAAGCTAGTAGAATGTCTTTCCTTTCTATAATAAAATCCAACCAGGTAGCTGCTTATGTGAATACAAACCTAAGTGGCCACCTAACTACCTAAGTGATTACTCTTTTGTGAATCTTTACTGTTCATATGGTGGTTATTGACGCGTACTCACCGAATTGAGATGTACGGAGGTTGGGGTTGAATAAAGTGAAAAATTTCGGATCGTGGGAGGACTGGCCATGGCTTCTCCAGTAAAATGTCATATATATCCCAACTAAAGCCCTGTATACCATTGAACGAGGAGTACGATGTCTTGCACGTTCAGACTAATCCGTACGAATGCAAGCATCTTTTGATCTACCCGAAAAAGGACAAACCGTCGAGAACGTTAAAGGTGAAGCATTTATTAGTGCTAATTGATACAACAACAAAATTAATCGTATTCGGAATTGAAGTTTATGTTTATTTGACATTTTTTGATTCTCGGAATCATGTTGATCACCATATATTTGTGTCAAAAGCAGATACCACCGGGTTTACTAGAGATTCTATCCGAGTAGCGGATCTAGTAAGTCAGTTTGTCAAGTACTTGGTTGAATTGAATCCAAGCGTATATTTTACGAACGTTCAGTTAAGGCAGGAAAGTAAGGAATCAGAATCAAAATCACAACTGAACTTTGAAAATGAAACCATCAAAAAACTTCATAAAATCATTGATAACTTACGAACAGACGCGTCTTACTACCAATCAATTCCATTTTACTCACAGTCAGGAGGAGCCACATCCCAAAATGCTGATTTACCATTCCCAATTGATAGCCAACATACTTTCAGTACCTCGACTAGGCTTTCGCTTTTCACTAGAGCGGCAAATGAATATTTATTCCCAGTTTCTCATAAAAATCCTAATAAACACTTAGTTGACGGTGATAAACTATTTACATGGTGGATTCGATTGATTGACAAGATTAGCGGTTCCGATTGGGCTAATAAGATAATCATTCCGGGATCTGACTTAAAATCCACCCAAAAATATTTAACTAATTTGAAAAATTCCGATAATTGGGAAGTTGGATCGTTATTTTCGAACCTGGACCAATTGGCAATTAATCAAATCCCAGTATTCCCAGATGACCCAAAGGGTAGATTCTTGGAACATTTAGTTGTTGAAAATAGATATAAATCAATTAAAACTAATCAATTTTGGGAAGAATTGGGTTTTAGACAAGAATTTAGATTAGGTAACGTTGTCGGAATTATTGGATGCCAAATAAACTCAAATGTTTCGTTAGCTAAAACCGACCCTTTAGATGAATTGGTCATCCCATTTCTGGCTTATAAAAACCTAATAACCATAATAAAAGGTGAAGATTTCAGTATTAAAGATGATATCATATCTCTCGTCCAAGATCAGATCCCAGTGAGTTTGAAAAAATTCACTTCAGAGCCGTTTATCACTGTTAAAGGCTCGAAGGTACAAACAAACCAACCTGCTCCATCAAATGTAAATGATTTAAATGGTATGATTAAGAAGAAGAAACCACCGGCTAATAATTTAAATAATTCTATTAAAAGAAAATCATCTGGTCCTCCAGTTAATAATTTAAACGGTTCAATTGTTAAAAAAAAATCAAAAAGTTAATTATATATGTCGTTACGAATACATTCTCAATATAAACATTCCATGTAAGCCATAATAAAGATCAACTGACACCATTAATGAGAATGGTATGAAAAAAAAATAATCATGATTTTGCCCAGGATCGAACTGGGGACGTTCTGCGTGTTAAGCAGATGCCATAACCAACTAGACCACAAAACCCTGATTTATGAGTACATGCTAGTTTAACAAGTTGGCATTTAATACAGGTATCTTTAAACAGGAAGTTTTTTCGGCGCCCCTATGGGCTTGAGCCTACTTGCTTTTGTCTCCATTAACACCTTCTCCAGAATTATTTACAACTTGGAAATGTGCATTCTCCACCAATAGTTTTCAGGAAATAAAAAAATAAAAAAATAAAAAAAATCTTTTTTTTTTTTAAGATAATGATGGCTTTATTACATTAGAAGTGATAAATAGATTCTTTCTATCTGAATATGTATGACTATTGGCCCTCCCTGATTCCAAAGCATAATCTTTCTGTCGTTGGAATCACCAAGACCCAAAATACTTACTTACTTCTGTGTCTACGATATTTCATGCATGTTGAAGACCTCAGGGAAAAGATCTTAGGTATCGTTCAAAAGACGTTACTGTCGAAGTTTTGAATCTTTTATGATACTCTAAATCTTAAACTTTCGACGCTTTCCTTCTTATTAGATTTATCTTACTTTCACACTTTAAAGGAACATATTTCTCTTTACACTTATCTATATATAACCATATTGTAAAACTCGGATGAAAACAAGAAAAGAATCCGATAAACCTCAGGTGAATTGAAAGGCTGCAAAATTAAATTTGACAACTTACGATTTTATTCCGCTATAATATATAGCGAAAGCTATGTTTTTTTTCACATCTATGTTTAACAGAAAGTAAGCCAATTCCAGAGCCACGAACCTCCATCAAGTAATTGAGTCTGTCTATGCAGTTAGATCTCTGACAAGCAACGTTTTGGTTGCTGGTACCTTCTAACCCACGAAGGGACACCGCATGGGGTCGATTTGTTACAGCAACAACAACGTCACGGTTACCTCAATCACTACAACATAGGGGAAATGGAAGTAAAAAGGGTCAGCAGCAAGTAATACTAAGTATTTGTGTGAGAGAACCATCTATGGAATTTTCCAAGACAAACGGTTTCGCAGTAACCGCAAAAAAAAAGACATGATTTTAGGCTTGCTGAAGAGCAACCCTATTCAGCTATGGGATGAAAATTGCTATCATAAGCTCATGCTTTATTATTTTCATGACAAAAAGGGATGTGGTCCAATAATTATGGGGATTCTTATAAATATAGCTATAAATAACATTATGTTTTAGTAATCTCTTTAACATTACTTGTTCAATTGAGTATCAAGAATCAAATTCAATACAAATGTTTCGTCAATTAGCTTTACGTCAATCCAATGTTTTAAAATCCACTCAAGTTAGATACTTGAGTGCTAGCGCACCAAGATCCTCTATCCTTGGAGGTGTTAAGGAAACTCTACAAAAAGTTAATAAGAAGACTGGGGAAGTTTTAGCTGAAGGTATGGAGAAGGCAGAAGATAAGACTCCACATGCATCCAGTGTCGGTGATGCTGCTTCGAAGATTAATAAGAAGACCGGAGAAGTGTTGGCTGATGGTATGCAAAAAGTTGAAGATAAAGCACCAAATGTTGATAGCGTTGGAGATGCTGCATCTAAAGCAAACAAGAAGACTGGAGAAGTATTGGCTGATGGTATGGAAAAGGCTGAGAAGGTTGTTCCAACTGCTAGTAAGGCCGATGCTAAGAAGAAGGTTGATGAAAATGTCAAAGGGTATGACAATTTACAACATAAAGGAAGTAATGTTGAGACTGAGCAAAATCGTCCTGATGATGCCGTATAAAGAATCTAAGCAAATATTTAAAATTATTATCTAATTAACGAATATATGATTACATGTTAGACATTTGAAAAGATGATAATTGTAGTAACTCGTAATGTGTATTTTAATGTACAAAGAAGATAAAAAAAAAATAAATAAATTATTGTTGGAATTTTTGAAACTCATTTACATCAAGTTTAGGTTTTTCAACATCAGGAACCTGCTGATGTTGAGAAGGTTGTTGTTGAGGAGGTTGTTGATCTTTTGATTCAATTGCTGGTAATTTTCTTTCAATAACTGAAAGATAATTCAGGGGAACGTAACCAACTTTACCTGATCTTGATCTTACTTTCCACCATTTACTCTCATTACCTAAGGGGTCTAATTTTGATAAAATGGCCACTAATTCATTTGGTTTTAATTCAATTTCTATATTTGGGTTTTCTGGATTGAATTCGTACAATGATTTAGCAAATTGTAAATTTGAAGGATCAAGCAAATTATTTGAATTCATTGATTGTTGTTGGTGTAATTGTTGGTCATTAAGACGACGTTGTTGATTTTGTTGATTTAATTTTTGAATAGCTTTATTTAATAAGTATGGGAATCCAATTGATGCAGCTAAAAATAATAATAATGGTTTGAAAGATATTCTTGATTTAGATGATCCATTTGGACTTTGTTGTTTACGTAAATTTTCTTCCAACTTCTTTTGTTTACTTTCAAATTTACCAAATTCTTTTAAATTTAACCCATTATTATAGTTTTTACCAGTTAATTTATAGAAAATTTTCTTACAAAAATTTATCAATGCAAAAATCCCCAATAATGATCCAAGAGCGTTTTTCAAATTACCAAATTGTTCAGCTAATGAAACCATGGTGAAAAATGATGAATGGGTGGCCATGTAAGTAGCCTCCAACATTTGGGCAAATCCTCCAACTGCACCTATTATCGATTCAATAAGTTGGAAAGTGGCTTGAGTTCCTTCACCCAATCCTCCTGGACCCATCATTCCACCATTCATTCCCATACCATTCATTCCCATACCACCCATACCGTAACCACCCATACCATAACCTCCTCCATACATCCCACTACCATAACCACCGTAGCCTCCACCGTACATCGAGGATCCCAACCCACTTCCATACATCGAGGATCCCAAACCACCACCATACATTCCGCTACCGTAGCCACCACCGTACATTCCACTCCCGTAGCCCAGGGATCCGTACATGGACGAGCCGAGTCCTGAACCATATTGCGAAGAACCGTATCTATTATTGAGGGAGGAAGAGTTATTAAAGTCGCTAGTCAAACTAGTTGGTCTTTCAGGTATTGAAGTATTATCAGCTGTGCTTGTTGCTGGAGCAGCAGCAGAGGAAGCATCACCTCCGGTAGCTGTAGCTGCCGAAGTTCCAGAAGAGACTTCCCAAGGTTTAGTTCTTGGAACTGACATTATGACGAAAGGTGATAAAGTTTATAAAAATCTCTCCGAAACCTTTCTGCGCTTCTGCTAATTAACACGAACCCAGTCTATAAATATGAAGAACGAGTAGTACTTGTGATGAAAAGAAGTAATAGAAAAGAAGTTGATGAGTATTAGGATTTGCTCATGTGAAAGCCTCGGTTGGGAGGGGTCGACAAGGTGGTGTGACACCCGTGCACCAGGGATTACTTCAACTACAAATTTGATTGCAAAAACATCACTATTTAACGTAAATTAGGGAAGCGGTTCACTAGAGCTACTTAATCTATTTAGATGAAGGTAAACATCGGTCCCATAACCTTCCATTGAGATAAGTTTCAAGTCCCCACCAAAGTATTGGGCGTATAATCTTGAGATGGGTAAACCGTAACCGAAACCGGCCATTGGAGCTTTAAAGCTAGATTGATCATATTCTGGTTCTAAAACCGGAGTTTCGTCAACGGTGGTATATAAATAGGTCCAAATCAAGGGGACTTCACTTCTGGGGATCCCACCACCTTCATCGCTAATTTTGATTGCGATATCTTCTACCCCTTCTGAGATGATAACTTTTATTGGAGGGAAGTTTAAATCATTTAAATCAACGTCATCGGGTTTTAAATTTGGATTATTACTTTCTTCAATAAACTGTTTTTTCAATCTTGGAGTATGGAATTCAATAGTGGCTCTTAAAGAGTTTTTCAAAGTTTCAAAAAGCATATGAATTAAATGACCGGGGACGTACATAAAGCTAATTGGATTATGAGGAGCAATTAATTGAATTTTAGGACTTTCAAATAACCCATAGTATTCTTCACAAATGTACTTAGCGGTTTCAATTGCATCTTCCGCGATCTCACCAACGTTACATTGGGTACAAATAACCCCCACGTAGTTATTTTTCGAATTTGATAACGAATTTGAAACATTTTTCGATCCATTCAAGAAATTATTGATTCTTGATTTTGTAGGAGAAGCCTGGGACATGTTGAGAGCAATGTGTTGGCCAATCAACATTCTGATCCCGATTCGAGACATGTAGAACCGGTCCAAAAACGTTTGAACACTTGAGTTGACCCGAACGGTTTTATTTTCAACCTTCCATTCCTGCACCCCTTGAGCCATAGTAGCAACGGTAGCATCGTGTCTTTTCTTGATTTTGCTCAAAGTCTCATAAACCAATTTATTATAGTCATAAACTTCTTTTGGCCAGATGATGTTGATGGGACACGGAGTGAAGTATTTCTTACCAAAAGTGGGAGAGTCAACGTGTTGTTCGTAGTTATCTTGTTTAGTATTAAAATAGCTATGATGATGCAGTCTAACTACAATTCCATCATCACTGAAAGCGTTATTCAAAGCAACGTTATTCAACTCGTTGACCGCCGGGTTGACTTGTTCATTACTGCTGGTTTCTTCATTTTTCGAATATAATAATTTGGACAAATTTTCGTCAATACTGGGTTTGGGTAAACTAGTCAATTCTTCAAATGATTGTGCGTACCAATTCTTAACTTTGATTGTCGAGGGGGCATTGGATAATCCCAACGGCGCATTTTCCAAGTCCTTGACTTTTAATGCTAATCTTATTGGCAATTCTTCCACGATAAACTGTGAAGCCAAAAAAATCGATCCTGGCGACGGGTTTGGGCCAAACTGAACCATTTGCCTTAGTGATACCGACGTTTGCTGGTAATTAGCATATTTGTAAATCTGTTCTCTTAGCTGCTTGGTAAGCTCCCATCCAGTACCCATCTCGGTGTCCTTGATTCTGTTAAGTAGCCTCAGTATACTTGCTAACCGGAAACTTGGTGAAATAGCATTGTAAAGGGAATCCATTTTTTTTTTCCCCAGATTATATGGCCAATCTTCTGTTCGCTTGGTGTGGTGTCCGGGTGTTTTGTCTTTCGGGAAAAGGGTCGGTTTTGCATGTGGTTTCTAACTCCCGCTTATGTCAGCGCGCCCTTCTACAACCGAGCAGCAAAAATTCAAACCGCGAAAAAAAAACTGGGAAAAGATTCTCGGGCAGACGGGGGGCCCTATATAGGCGGTGGCTCTGCCGGTGCACCCGTGCACCAGGGGTGTACTAGCAGCACTAGGGGGCCAGGGACCAGGGCCGTCCACTGCCACTGCCAAGTTTGACAGGTTGACTACAAGTTAACGGTTGCCCATGTGGATAATAGACTGAATACGGTGGATAAGCGAATAGTGAATACCGGTCGGTGAGTGATAATCGTGATCATTGAGTGATTGATATTGATGGGTGAATGATTGGTGGGTGAGTGATTGATGGGTGAGTGATGGGTGATTGATGGGTGATGGGTGATTGATGGGTGATGGGTGATGGGTAGGCCGAGGAGTGAAACACCCATTGCTCCGGAGATTTTAGAATGACTCAAATTTTCAGTGATCGCAGGTCCGAACCACCGAAAGTGCGATTCCTATTATCCGGGGTAAACTGGTAATACGGGGGTTATGCAGTTATAAATCATGAAATGATTACGGATGAGCATATAAATATTTGACTAAATTCCAGTTTAATTGATTTCCCAGTTATTCCTCATCTGCTAATTATTCTTATTCTGCTATGTCTGGTCAAAAATTCTTAAACATTTCATCTTTCAAAACCGTTTCCAGATGTTGGTTGCCAATAAACCAAACCATCAAGGCTGGTCAAAACAATAACTTACGTTATTTTTCATCGAAACAAAGATGTATCAATTTCAATAATATCAAGGATGCCCATCTTGTTGCTAACGACGGGGTTTTATCCGGTGAAGAAGCCATCAAGGCTGGTTCGAGTGAGGAAATCTTTGAGCCAACCATTTTTTCTTCTGAAGAAATTCACACTGCTGGTCCAGTAAATAAAGCTTAATCGTTCTGGTAATGATAATAAATGATTTATGACTATTGTTCTTGATCTTGTAGTTTGCCCGTACATCCTGTAGGACCCCCGTACACCTGTAGGACCCCCGTACATCAGGTACGTATATATAGGCGAGTGGTTGGTGCGCAATAACGGGTGAAATGCCGCTGGGAAATCGTTATCTAAATTATATCTAGTCGTTAAGGATGAAGATTGCTTGTGGACAGTTGTGTTCACTGTCCTCGTTGAAAGACAACTCGAGAATCGTGATTAAGCTCATCAAACAGTCGATCTTATCCAAAGTAGAGGTGTTATTTCTACCAGAAGCCACCGACTATATACTGAAGGATGCAAAAGAACTGATAACCTTGGCCTCAAAAACCCAGCAAGATTTTTTAACCCCAATTCAAAAAGAATTGAAGTTGCTCAATGAAAGAAATAAGAGTCAGTTAAAGTTGGCAATTGGCATTCACGAACCAACAAGTCTTGAGAAAGTCCGCAACATTCAAATTTGGATCAATGAAGCTGGGTTGATTGAACAGAAGTACGCTAAGATCCATTTATTCGATATCAATATCCCCAATGGACCCAATTTGAAAGAGCTGGATTCGGTGGAGCCCGGCAACTCGATCTTGAGTCCGTTTGCCGTTCGCAATTGGAATATAGGGTTTGCCATTTGTTATGATATTCGTTTTATCGAAATGACCTTGAAATTAAGAAACTTGGGAGCCAACCTCATCACTTTTCCTTCGGCCTTCACCACGAAAACGGGCGAAGCCCACTGGTTGGAACTAGGCAGAGCAAGAGCAATCGACAGCCAGTGCTACATAGTAATGGCGGCCCAGTGTGGTGAACACCAAAATGGGTCTGATAAAAAAAGAGTTAGTTACGGACAGAGTATCATTATCGATCCTTGGGGGGAGGTGATTGCCCGCGGGGCCAAATATAGCGACCCGCGATCTGTGGACGATCAGGGGGATTACTATCAGCTAGTCACTGCCGAGATCAGCCATGAGTTGGTTGAGCAGGTGAGGTCCAACTTGCCAGTCTTCAGCCACCGTCGACCCGATGTTTATTAAGGTGTCGAGTATGTACGGTATATACAAGTGTTGCTGACAATATTTGCAGTATTGATCAGAGTATATAGACTGCGAAGTAGAACAATCTTAATGCTGAGATACTAAATATATTGCTATACTATGTATCTGACCTGATTACTGTAATGTATATTAACGGTCAGATAAGAGTCACATCGATCAACCTGTAAAGCGTAAACTGTAATCCAAAATAGTATGCTGCACTGAAGTATTTAACCTATTTTGTTCTGTTCTGTGTCTCATATTGTTCGGTGGATTGTTCTGTATATTGTATCTTCAGTATGTTCAGTATATTGTATTTTGTATTGTATAGTATATTGTATAGTATATTGTATTTTGTATTGTATAGTATAGTATATAGTATACTATATAGTATACTATAGTAATCTTATATGTATAGTATATTGTTGAGCAGGAGGGGAGCGGATTAACTAGGAGGGGTCGGATTATCTTGCAACCGCCCCAGCAAAAGAAACGCACAACTTTTGTTGGAATGGTCCCCTCATCCGACATCCCCTCCTTTGCTGTTGAGTCAACTCTGGTTGATAGATAACGTGGTGGTACTTGCCCGTGCTACATCTAGACTGATCGATGAAGATCGACCACTGGCTGGGGCCACATGATAAACTCATAAACTGCGTAAGCTGCTTAGCTAAACTGCTTAAACTGCTTAGCTAATTTGGGTAACTCAAATAACTCAGATAAACTTGGATTGACTCCTCCCGTTTGTTGGCTCTTATCGTTTAGCATAGCACCAACTCAGCCAAATGCGAAAGAATGCGAATTTTCCAGCAAAGAGGGGATAAGGGCATTTTCAGTAATTATATAAACCAGGAATCTTATCTTGCAATTAGCCCAATTTCTTCTGCTTCTCTAGTTAAAAATGTTTAAATCATTATTACGTTTTGTTAACTCGACTCCCATCACCTCCCCCAACACCCCGATCACCACGTTGAAAGCATGCACTTCAATTCCCTTATCGGCCTTTTCATCGTCCGCCGTTAACGATAAACCAACGGTTACCTTTTACCATAACACCAATTCGACTCTTTCCCACCACTTGGCCAAAAAACTAAACTACTACCAGAGCAAGTTCAACGTTGAGTACAAGATCAACCAGGTGCCCAGTTTTGACGATTACCGTTTTTTGCACTTGCAGTGTTTACAAATGCATCCAAATAATGGAACCATATTCCAGAAAATATACGGGGCACTCCACGCCAACTTGCACGAATTGGAGATGCTCGAGGAAGGCGACTACGCCAACAAGGTGGAGGGAGTGGAGTTTGCCACTCCGCTTATCATCGACTACTCCAATAGTTTATTGGCGATGAACGATGAGGACTTGGATCGCATCATGGCGAATTACACCACCTGCGGGATCCAGAACCTGAAGGATGTCCATGACGATAGTAAGCCAAACTACTATGACCACGATCTTACCAACAAGTATGGCCAGCGCGTGGTGCATCCCCATATAGCAGAGTATGCGGATTTGTTTTGAAGGGTTTAGTTCTTGTATAATAATTACTTTAGTTTAATAATTTTAATATTTTAATAATATATTTTAATAATATATTTTAATAATATATTTTAATAATATATTTTAATAGCTTAATGATTGAATTTAATATATTTTAATAGCTTAATGATTTAATAATATATTTTAATAGCTTAATGGTATAATTTTATATATTTTAATAGCTTAATGATATAATTTAATATGATTTAATAGCTTAATGATATAATTTAATATGATTTAATAGCTTAATGATATAATTTAATATGTTTTAATAGCTTAATGATATAATTTTATATATTTTAATAGCTTAATGATATAATTTTATATATTTTAATAGCTTAATGATATAATAATATATTTTAATAGCTTAATGATTTAATAATATATTTTAATAGCTTAATTACTTAATAATATATTTTATAGTTACACACCCATTCTTTTGGAGACGTATTCTTGGGCCAAAACGGCAAAACTAAGGCTCAACCCGTCGTTGATCCATTCCTTGACCCACTCACCGGGCTCGATATCCTCTTCGCCAGTGAAGAGCTGGTCAAACTCCGGGTGTTCGCCTTGTAACCACCTTGACCATTTCAAGGGGAATGGCTGCGACTTGTTGATAATGGTGATGTTGTTGGTGATATCCTTGAGGATCATGGTAAACACAAACGACTCGCCGTTATTTGACTCGATAATGATCGGCGCGTCTTCCCCCAACTTAACCTGACTGCTAACGTTTATGGGCTGGATCGAAATGAAAATGTTGGACTTGTTGATTTCACTGATCTTTTCATCGCTTTCGTGGTCGCCGATTTTCTTCAGCTCTTCTTCTAAATTCATCATCTTGATATAATCCTTAATTGATCCGTCTAGATTGGCAAAACATAATTTTTCTCCGTCGATTTTTTGGCCCTGGAACATATTCAAATTGATCTTATCTCCCTTGACTTCATTCTTATTATTGAAGTTGTTTACACTAACCTTAATTCCTCCTTCCACTTGATTCATCACCTTATGGAATTTCTCATAACATAATTGATCTAAATTATGTAAATTTTGGAAATCGTATATTATTAATATATTCAATAACTCATCTTCGTCGCTGATCAAGCCTTCTTTGATTTGCTGGGACATGTTTAGCAATATCGAATTCAATCGATTGCTTATATTAATCAACTCGTCGTTATTAATTATATCGGTAACCCCTAAATTCTCCTTTAAAAATTTTTGTCGTTGTTGACTGATTTGGTTACTGGTAGTACTGGCAATTTGATATGTGGTTTCGCTGATCGTGGCTGCATTCGACGTAATTGACCCCCATAAGGAACTCACCTTATTAGATCCTTCTTTACTCCACCAATTCGAAATACTTCCAATTGGATCAAGCTCTAATTCTTCATTGGCATTAAGCACTGGCTTTTCTTTCTCCTTTTCGTTTTCTGCAAGCTTCTCTGGAACCTTTTCGGGAACTTTTTCTGCAACCTCTTCTGGTTTCTTGGGCTCAAACTTCCCCTTACTGGTCTGCACCGGGGTCCGTTCATGGGCAGTCAATTCGTCTAAAAAATCTAATAGCTCCTCCTTATTCTCGCCCTCTTCCGGCTTGGGGGTCCCCGATTTCGAGTCCGGCAATGAATTGATAAAGTCCAATACATCGTCGGTGTCCTGTTGCTTCTTGGGTGGTGTCATGGTAGCTTGGAAAGAAGTAGTTGTCTTAAGAAAAAATAAATATAGAAATATATTTATATTTTGATCAAACCAGGGGCCCGTGCACCAACGATTCAAAGTCCTTAAAAAATTATCATTAAAAATCACTCAATTCTTCTTTTCATCTAAGCTTAACAAAATGCATCCCCAGTTAGATAGAAATAGATTTGATACTTGCTCCCAGCTCATGGATGCGTTGGAAGAATGCCATCGTCAAGAGTTTTTGAAACAAGCTTTGGGAATGTGTAATTTTGAAAAAAATGAATTGGTTAAATGCTTACACCATACTAGAAGTGAAGATGCTAAAGAAAGAATTAGACAATCAAGAGAAAAACAAAGATTACAAAAACTTAAACAACAACAAAGAGAAGAAGAAGAATACGGGAAAAACGCTTACTTGAAAAAAGTTATTGAAGAAGCTAGTAAAAAACAACAATAAAAAAAAAATCTTGTTATTTCCCATTAACGAATTACGGATTCATTTTGTATATAGCATTATTAATAAACATTTAATTTATATAAAATTAATCTTGACGAGTTTTCAAAACTCTTCTAACAACTTGATCTTTAGTAACAACATAAACTACTGCACCCCAACCCGATAATGCATCTCTATCAACCGCATTTAAAAGGGCTTGACTTATAGTTTCAAATAAATCTTCTGGTTCCAAATTTGGTTCATAAAGTGATTCACACATACCGTATAATTGATCGGTGGCAGTACCACTAACTATAAAATCTTTGGCAAAATCAATACATCCAATTAAATCAAATCCACAAATAAATGGCTTGTTGGTTTTCAGTTCTAATCCTGCAACAATTGGTCCAACAAAATATGGCCCAAATCTTCTTTCATATAATGATGAACTAACTAAATTTGCTAATGTTTTGGGTTCAATCTCTCTTTCTTCTCTTAATTTATATAAATTGTTCTTGAATCTAAAACTTTCGGATAAAGTAATAACATCAGTTGCTAACCCAGTTAATCCCAAAAAAGTTTTATCCCCATATTGGAAGATTTTTTCAAAATTATTAGATAATCCTAATGATTGGTTACCCAAACGTAAATCACAAGCTATAGCTATGCATTCTTTACCAACCATGGCAACGGCGGACCCACCTATTCCTCTTGTTAGTATATCCTATCCTCCTTTCGGACAATTCTCTAAATACATACCATTAATTGAACTTGGATCTGACATCTTCTATTATATATGACTAAAGTCTCGTAACTTATCTGTGTATTATCAATATGTGAAATTCGTATGCCAATTGGGTCTGCTGGTATGGCTTTCAACTAATATATGTGAAAGACTCGTATAATTGTTCTAAAAACCTATTTGATTCTAATGATTATAGACTTTTAACCTTTAGTATTTCGCCCTCACTTTAATCTTTGGTGGCGGTTTTTTTTTTGAAAAAAAAAAGGTGTTTGGGTGTTTTGCTCGGTCGTGCGATGCTTGTGTTTTTTTTTTTTCGTTACAAATGGCTGCAATACAACAATTAATACAAGTTTTATTAGTATATTTATATATAACATAAGAAAGGGAACAGTTTTATGGATTTTTTTAAAAGATTTTATATAATTTTGAATAGAAGCAACGATCTAATTACAGAACACAATGAGAAATGAAACAGCAAAGTAAAATTAGTGACAGAAATGCTATCATTAGTGAATGAAACATAAACTGTATTCGAATAACGGAAGAAAAGAAAAGGTTTAGTGAAAAAAAAAAGTCTTGAAAGACATACGAAACGAAGGGAAAATTAAAGTCAAAAAAAGTAACAACAGGAAAGAAAGGAAAGAAAGCAAATGCTTGTATTATCATATTATTTTTTTGAAAACAGTATTAGGTTCATAATTATTCACACAAGAAATCGTTTATTTTAAAACATGAGATGGTTGTAAAGTTTCTCCAGATGGATTGTTTTTGGTGGAAATAGTGTAGTCATTTGCAGTTTTGGTATCATCGGATTCTTCAGGTTCTTCTTCTTCTTTGATGGTATTAGTACTGAAACTATGCATTAAATCATTTTTATCTCCTGAATGAAGATGGTTATTGCTATCAATGGTTTGCAACAATTGGTTTATTGGACTTTCATTATCATTATAGTTTGATAATGTAAAAGTTTTGGGAGATTTCACTAAAGAGAAACCTTTATTTTGATCATCTTCACCGCTTCCATTATTTGCAGGATGTTGATGAGGATGATAACTTGGATAATAAGCGTATTGATGTTGTTGTTGTTTTGTTAATTCAATCAAGTTATTAATTGATCTACTTGATTGGAAAGTTGGGATAACTTTACTAACGTCTTTCATACTTGTGAATAATTTTCTAATCTCAAATTTAACAAGTTGAGTTAATTCTGAATCTTGTTCATATTGAGCAATGAATAATTTGGTAGCTTCTTCATTAATATCCTTACCTTCTTCTTTTAAAGTAGGATCATTTTCTAATTGATCTAAAATAGCTGCTTCTCTATCTTGTTGTTCTAAATCAAATCTTAATTGTAAACCAAATCCTAAAATAATTAAATATGTTTTATACTTATTTAATTCTGATTTATACTCAATAATTTTATTTTCATAATTAGCAATTATTATTTTATAATTTGAAGTATTAGCAAATTGTTTAAAATTTCTCAAAAATTTAACCTTAGTATGATTAAACTCATTATATAACTTTTTCAAATTGTTATAATATTTTAAAGTTTTAACAAATTGTTTCATCATACCTAAATGATTAGCTTCATTATCTAATGAGCTATTTGCAACAATGTAATTACTTAAATATACCCCTCTTGCTAATGGTTCCCATTTTTGAATATATTTGGCCTTTTTAAAATTATCTTTTCTATGAATTAATGCATCTAAATTAGTCCAACCATATTCAATTGACGAAATACTTTCCTCTAAAGTTGGGATAGCTGTTATTTTAGAAGCCCAAAAATTACAAGTATTTATAAATTCTAATGCAATTTCTTTAGTACCAGCTTCGAAAATAAATTTCTTAGGTTGTTTCTTACTAACTTTGGGGAAAGTTAATGACCAATAAATAGATTTTTTAGCAAAAGAATTACCAGTTGTATTTCCATTGATTTTTTCTAATTGAGCATAAGTTGAACATAAATTATAAGAACCAATATTTGCAGCATTCTTTAACCAATTACCATCACCCATAACACCATCTTCATCTTCTTCCTCTTCTAACATTTGTACAATTTGTTTTTGTTTTAATTTTCTAATCTTTTGTTGGTGTTTTTTAATAACTTTAGGATCAAATGAATATAATGCTAATTCACCTTTGGAAACAACAACAAAACTTTCATTAAACTTGTTAGGTAATAATGAAGAGGTGTTAGTACCAGTATGAGTTGAAGTAGCAGCATTTGCGGCTGCTGCTGCTGCTGCTGAAGTAGCATTTGCGTCTTGTTTATGATTATTGTTTGAAGATCCTAATCTATTAGTAAAGAATGAGAAAAAACCTCTTGCACCATTTCCAGCTCCGGAAGCAGTTGAAGCAGCAGATGAAGGAGGAGGAGCAACTTCACTAACATTTGAATCTTGTTGGTCATTATTTAAAATTTTCAATTTTAATAAACCTTCTTTCAAATAAGGAGAACCTTGTAATTCTAGAGTGAGATCATAATGATCTTGGTAATCTTCGACATTAAAATCTTCTAAACCTTGTTGAGGTTCTGGTTCCTTATTTCTATCATCCAAGCCTTCAATGTCAAAGTTATTCATATGAACTGTGTCAAAAGATAATACACTAACAGTATCATCATTATTGATTGATCCAACTGATTCTTTACTTATAACTGAAGCACGAGAAGATCTTCTATTTAATCCATTATTGGTTGTATTATTTGGTTGAGTTGGAGTGTTATTATAATTAGTATTTTGATAACTTGGCATGCCACGTAATTGATCCAAAGAATGTCTGTTTCTTAAAGAATAAGGAGTACCATTGACACTTGAAGCTCTTGAAGCATTTGGATTATTATAAAATTTATTATCAGAAGCTAATGCTCTAGTAAAACCAACTCTATGAGTTCTGCCACTGGCAGTTGAATTATTTGTATTAACTGCAGTATATTGAGAAACATTTGAAGTAGCACTTGGCATACGTTTCATACCAAGAGATGAACGACGATTATTATTAGTATCAGTTGACCAAATAGAAGTATCAGAAAGTTGTCTAGTAAGAGTTGGGAATTCTGATTCAGTTGGAGTACTAAAATCAGGATTAGCAGCTTGAGTTGAAGGAGGAGCATTAATAGTTTGAGGCAGAGAATTAGCAAAATTATTATTTGAAGCCAATTGTTGGTTTGGAGGATTAGAAGAGATTGAATTAACTGCAGCAGCGGTTGAAGAAGTATTTGAAGGTTGAGAAGATTGAGTATTTGAAGAGGTTGATCTTATAGTTTCAGCAACTGACATTCTTTTCAGTTTATTTGAATTTTTAGTAGCAGAAGATAAATTAAACTCATTACCATTATTGAAATCATCTGATTTTTTCAAATGTAATTCATTTTTCGATAAATCTTCATAATAATTACTTAATTCTCTTTCAATAATAATTCTTTGTTTAATTGATAATTTTTTCAGAGATTTTGGATTTTGTTGAATAAAAGTAGTGAAGGTATTTCTAATATAATCAGTTTGACCAATTTTTGATTTTTTGTTAACTTCAGAATTATGTAAAGCAGTATTTAATAAAATTAAACTGTATAAAACAATATAAATTTTTTCAAAATTTCTTGTACAAAAAACGTTAACTGGATGTTGTTTAATATAAGATTTTGTGAAAGAAGATAATATTCTATCGATTTCTTGAGATTCACCTTTTAAGTATAATTTATGGCATAATGTTCTAGTTGATTTTAATAAATTTGAATCCCATTTAAATAAATCCATATAATATTCTCTTATTCTTGAACTTTCATTATCACTAGCAGCTAAAAATTGAGTATATTCTTCTGGTTGAATGGAAACAAATTCTTCATTGAATAATTTTAATGCAATATCCTTATATTCTTGATCAGCGGATATGGTTGAATCAAGGTTTTCTGAGCTATTATTTGCAGAAGTTGCGTTACTATTTGAAGGAGCTACTATTTTATTTGGTGTAGCAGAAAGAGGAGTATTAACATCCAACATACTACTTGGTCCAGGATTAAGGGTGGTATCAATTGTTAAAGGTTTTGATTTTTTAGAACCTGATCTATCAGGTTGGTCTGACTTATCTTCTGACTTATCTTCTGGCTTATCTTCTGGTTGTTCTTCTGGTTTTTCTTCTGATTTGTCTTGTTTATCTGCTGGTTTATCTTCTGATTTTTGTGTTTCTGAATTGGAATCGACTACCTTTTTATTTATCTCCTCACTGGCATCAGGAGTGGATAACGGAGGTGTATCGAATTTGCTGAGATTATTACTTTCATCAGCAGAAGGAGAGGGTGGAGTCAGTGGGGGAGTGGTTTTATTTGATAATTTTTGAGAAGATTCAACAATATCCGATTGATTAGCGGTAGAATCAGCAGAATCTTGCTTGCAATTGTCACTGGCTTTGGCGGTGGCAGCCACTGCAGCAGCTGTGGCTACTGACGAGGTCACCCCATCAGAATTACCTTGAACCAGCTTAGTATCGGCCATCATAACACGTAAAACGATGGTTTAAAAAAAGACGATATGAAAAAAGTCAAAGAGGAAAAAAAAAGGGCCGAAGGAAAAAAAGAAAAAAAACACGAGTAAATTGAAAGCTAACGGCTGAACACACAATTAGTTGGCAACGTCTAGCTAGAGCAGTGGAAAGATATCTGGAAACAGGGATGAGCGTCGAGATAACAATCGGAGTCAATCCACTGGAAGAAGAAGATATCGCTAATTAGAAAGTATGTTTGATATTGTGTTTATTTTTCTGTTGATCTCGATCTTGAGCGTGTCAGGGTATTAAGAATTGAGCTCCAAACTTTCAAACCAATTGGAAGCACCGAAATACTCGTAAGAAGTAGTTGTAGTAGTAGTAAGAACAAGAATGAACTAAAGGTAAAGGTTAAAAAAAGAAAAGAAAGGTAAAATGAAAAACGAAGTTATACAAGTTGATTGAAAAAGGGCGGCTAATGGGCGGTTGATCAACAAGTGCTAACTGGGTAGATAGAAATCAATTGAAAGAATCTAAGCTGAAGAAAGAAGAAGAGATATACAATTTTAAAGGAAAAAGAAGTAGTTGTAGTTAAGAAGGAACCAAAATAACAAAAAAAAAAAAAGAAAGTTGAAGGAAAAATTCAATCAACTTAAAAATCAAACAATAAAAGAATAAAAAAAGAAAAAAGGTTGAATTCCAACAATTCAATTGTTTAAAATCTTATGATAAAGAGAAATCAGACAGGAAAGATAATAAGAAATGTAGATAAATAACTTTTACAACTGGATGAGTAAACAAGAAAGCGATTCACAGAAGAGCTTCTTTCTTTTTCGGCCAAAAGTGTTCAAAACTACATGGTGAAAAGACTTTAGGCTAAACTTTACTCAAGACTAGGTGTAGTTATTTAGGTGTAGTTACATGCGTTTACTTTTGACAGAAGTAATACAATACCTCGAGTAAGATAAGAATGTGGTGCTAAGTTCCAGGGGTGAATGATTACCTCCTGAGGACTCCTGAGACGAACCCTCCTGATTACAATGAAGGGAGACGTGGTACATTTAATTTTAAAACCATCATAAAGGCAATCTGAAAAGATTGAACGGCAAGTAGATATTCGTTTATGCTGTTTTGATTAAATGCAGTGAAGGATAAAAATATTACTTACCATTTCTTATTTTACTTTATTTTCTTTATCCTCTTCATATTATACTGGATGAATGTGATTATTACCGGGAGGAGGTGCCTTGCATAGTGAAAGACCGTTGCTCAATTGGGTTAATTATGTTGACAATTGTTACCATCCTTCCCAGTACCCCATGAAATAAACGAAGTTTCTATCATCACCAACTCTATTTACATCTTAACAATCTCGTTTAATTCTTTTTGTGGTGTCTTGAGGCTATTTCGCCGTGGGATCTGCTGGTGGCTTCTCGTGTAAAAATTCCGATATATAACACCAGAATTGTCTTTGTATTGATCTACTCGATAACCCTAACGTTCACAATAGATGGGCATCAACCTTTATACAATGACCTTGCAAACGAATAAAGAGACCTCCGTACATTCGGTCTTCTACTATTTAATAATAACTATGAATATGCGTATAAGGTGAAGTAACCTATTAGTAAAACTATTAGTATAACCATTAGTATCGTAACTCCAAGTATGTATAGTTTAATAGAACGCGTACGTCTATGTAGGTACTAAAGGTATTGGGGTGTGTGTGTTTACCGGTGGAGGTATGCACCCGTGCACCGGTGCTTTGCGACTTTTGTTCGAGTTCTCGCGACATTTTCTTTTTTTGCATCGGCCCGCGACATTTATCCTACCCTATAACCCAGGGTTAGCGGCAAAATTCTGGTTTCTAACAGGCATTTCCAACGCAATGAACCAAATCAACTTGACGGAATTAGATCAGACAACAGCAAAGGTGCTTCGTCACTTGCAAGAAGTGCAGGAACAGCTAGAGTCTGGGGTCCGGGACCCGGACCTCGATGACACCCTTATAAATAATTTTTGCAGAATGGTATCCAATGACAAAACGATTATTTTCAAGAAACAACTGGAGAGACTTGACGAAAATCAATTTTTGATCAGTTTCATTTCGGTGCTTACCAATTTGTTGATTTTCCCAATCAACCAAGATTCACAATCTCCTTTGATTGATCTATTAAACGTTATTTTATCGTATCTATCATTTGATCAAATCACTTTTTTCTATCCAAGGGAATTCATCGTTTCGAGAATTGAATCAGCGTCGCCAAACGCAACAAACTTGATCATTAATATATTGAGTACAAAATTAAATGATACTGACTTGATTGACTTTTTGAGAGATACAAGTATCTTGGATACTTTGGTAACTAATCACTTATCGACCGATGATTATGAAACGTTACCATTATCGGTGGTAAACAATACTGAAAAATTCATTTCAAGGATCGTCAACTTGAATATCCTTGCCCTTATTGAATCTAAACTATTCAGTAATGAAGCTTATCAACTTTATGAACAGACTCGTGGCTTGAAAAATTCAACGTTAATTACTAGGTTATTAGACTTACTCATCGTTCTTTTACCGTATTGGAAAACCTTTAGTTTGAACCCTTCTCTCTATACTTTCAACTCAAATGATTTGAACGATTTGGATGATCCGTTCTATCCTTTATTAATTATACAATTTTATACAAATCTTATAAAAAACTTAAAGCATCTTGAAATCGGATCAGAAGAGTTATTCAACAACATAAAACCCCCAATTGATCAAATCGTGCAGTTCTATTTATCCAAAAATTCCAACCCAATGATTGAGTCCTTCTATGTGACTCAAATCATTGAATTGTTCGAAACTCTTTCTTATTCTTCCTTGTCTTATTGTCAATCTTTCGTGGCAGAATGTATCACCAAGCATAATTTGTTCAAATCCTATAACTTGTACCTAGATAATGAGTCGGATGTTTTGTTACTTAGTAAAATCAATTATCAGATTTTTGGTCAAAGTTTTTGTCATGATTTTTTCAATGATAATTTAACTAAAATTTCCTTATTTAATAAAAAATTCTTCACCATTTTCTTAAATTTGATCAAATCTGAACATTTGTTCAATCTCATCATTACTAGTGATGTTAACTATTTTAATTTTGAAAAAATTTCAAAACTTTCAATTGATCAAATTTATTATATCATTTTGCAAATTTCAAAATATAACCATTCAACAGTTTATTTGATCAATAATTTACCAACCATTATAACTGATTATCTTATTAATTCGCCTTTTGAAATCATCAATAACGAAATTTGGAACTTGAAATTAGCTTGTTTGGAAAATTTACTTTTCAATTCAGATATAGATTTGAAAATTTGGTTAGATGATTTAAAGAAAACTTATTCATTAATGAAAAATGGTCATAATATCAAATCTATTAATCCTCAAGTGGACATTGCAAGTGATACTATTTAGTTTTTTGGCTTGCCTTTTTAACCTTTTTATCAACATAAACTGCAATTATACTCATCAGTATTGACATAACCACAATCCAAATAATTAAAATTCCTATATTTCTACCTAGATGTCCTTTCCATGTATTGAAGAATACAACCTTCAATGCTTCATATCCATTAAACATTGGCATAACATATCCATATCGATAAAATCTTGGTGATAATTCTAATGGTGAAAATGTAACCGATATATTAAATATCAAATATGAAACTAACCATACTGGTATCCATTGCTTCTGTCCTGAAAACATAATTATTGTACCAACTAATTCATTTATCGAAGCACTAGCAACAATAAATAAATACATAAACATCCAAAGTACTAAAAATCCTGCTTTGCCAAATGCCACATCAATTGGAGTTCTAAATGCAATCGTAATTAATGAATAAATCAATGCAAGTATAAAACAATTGACATTGGCTGCTATAATTCTCCAAATAACAAAATGTTTATACTTTAAATTTTTCCTTAAAAAACTGTAGACTTCAACACTTAGATTAAATTGATGAAATGAAAACATTTGTGCATAAATTAAACCTAATTCTGATGGCCCTAATATTGAAGGTGAACTTGATGGCCTATTATCAAAAAGTCGCATCATTGGCTTATCATTGATTATAGTGGTACCATTTTCACTTTGCATTAAATCTGACCTCTCATCTCTAGTAAGAATTTCACTGACTAGTGGATTATAAACTTTCGATCCTCCATAATAACTTGTCCAAGTATCCAGGATTAAATATAAATTTTTTGTAACATATTGACTCAATGCAGAATAATGACGTCCACTTTCATAAACACAGGTGATTAATTGGTCAATTGCCTGTGATTCAATCAATGATACATTTTGATTAACCATACTCTCATAAATTAATTGGGTGCTATTTGGTGCAATGTAAAACGCAGCCCAATATTTTTGATGATGTACCTGTCTGACAACTTCGTCATAATTAGAACTATTATGTTTTGATGCTAGCTCACTTATTTCAGAAGTACTCATGTATCTCCAATCACCAAGCCTGTTTATGGTTTCATTATTTGTAAACATATCTCTTAACGAATCATATATCAAGGGCCTCACTTCAGTCCCATTACTCGTGGTAAATGATATATCGTCGGATACAACCAATAACTCAAGGTTCTTGAATCGACCAAATCTATGGAAATAAGTTCCCCAATAAAATGCACATATTGATATGAAAAATACAAATAAAAATAAATATACTTGTAGTAACTTGTATCCTACCCCAAATATGCCATGCCATTTTCTATTCTTCTCGGGTTCCTCTTCTTTGGTTTCGCTTAGTTTTTCGTCCATTCCTACCTGGTGTTTCTTGTCAGCCTCATGAGAATCTGTAGATGAACCTTGGTTATCTTCTTTATCATACGACACTTGACTTATATTCCTATCTTGGCCATTCTGGAAGTTTTCTGACTTAATTGCCTCACCACCAATATTGGCCCCAGATATATATTCCAGTAGGTAAGTTCCTGACGGATTTGGAGCTGATTCTGTTTGTTCAAACTGTTGTACCAAGTTGTTTTGAGGTGCGGCTCTATCACCATTATAAGACCCTTGAGATTCATCCAATGGATCAATAGATTCTATTCTGTTCCTCATTAGTTCTGTAGATGGTCCAGCTAAGTGTAGTGGTATACTATTGTTTACTCACTGGCTGGCAGAGTCGATTTTTGGAAAAGATTGGGGAATAAGATGAATTTCTCAAGACGATTACCAAAAAAAGAGGCATCAAAATAGAGCGGAATTATATCAACATATTTTCATTATAAATCCTACTACACACCAGCATAATATAAGACTTTGAAATGAACAGAAGTAACTCTCGTGACAGTAGCTCGCTAGCTTCTTCAGTCGACAGTGAAGAAATTGAAGCCAGACCAGTCCAGCTTGATGAGTCTAATGTGCAACCACCTCTGAGGAGGCAGTCGTTGGTAAGAAGAATTTCATCTAGTGCTACTAATTATTTCGCTGATAGCCATTCAAGCAGACATAGAAGTAATCTGATAGCTTCATCCAGAAATTTTAAAGCTAGAAAGTTGAGTTCCCAAGAAAATGACCCTATGAATATATATTATGATGAGCTAGATTCGGATTTTTTGTTCGGCCATGATCAGATAGGTAAATCTTTTTCTAGAGTTCCAGATGAAGAAGAAGAGGCTGAATCTTTGGGATCTACCGATGATCAAGCAACCCAAGAAGAATTTCCCCGGATATATGAGGGCTTTGGTGAGAGACGAGAAAGTTCGTTCACAGAGGATGAAATAAATCGTCAACAATCAAGAACAAGCAGAAGAAATACAATTGCTTCTACTATACAAAGTGTAACAAGAAAATTGGGTTTCTGGGATAAAGATTTCCACCAACACAGAATAAATATTGTAATAACGTATTTGAAGAACTATGCGTTCTTAATTGTTGGCTTGGTTGTCACTTTGTGTATATATTGGGGAACTTTTTATGAACGGACTGGTAGATTTCATGATCTTCATTTTGCTGTGATCAATGCAGACAGACAAGTTGGTAGTTTGCCTGGTGCTATTGGAGAAGTTGTTGAATATTTCTTTGTTAATGTTACTCAGGTTCAGTCTTTAGGAACTTTTGAAATAATAGATTTCGATACTATTAATAAGGCCGCTCTTGATCATAATAATTCGATTACAGAAGAAGTCTACCATCAAATCCACATTCAAAAGTACTGGGCTGCTTATTATATCAAGGAAAACTCAACTTTAAGAATGTACGAGGCTTTAAAAACGGCTTCTGATCTGGTATCACCGTCTGATAGTTTCATGGAAGTAGTTTATGAAACTGGTAGAAACTACAATGCTGTTAACAATTACGTTAAAAGTATAGTAGGGAGAACAAAGTTAGCATTTGACAGTTTTATTCCTCAAACACCTTATTTGAAAAGTTTATTGGGTCAGCTTAATTCAACTGAGATTGAAAATGTTTTAACAAATGCACCCAACTTAGTCACCACTAATCCTTCCTTTGTCAATGTCGATAGGCTTCCTGTGAATAACCCAGTGGTACAAGCACCTTTCCAAATTGGACTCGTGTATTTGATGTTGTTTTCCTTCTTTCAGTTTGTCTTCCTGATCCAAATCCATACACTCATTGCTCAAAGGATAAAAGGGTTTAAGTACCTTTTATATAGAATGGCTGCTTCTCATTCTTCATACGTTGTGTTGTCTTTGGCTTATGTTGTTTTGAATGCTGCATTTGGTATTACTTTTACTACAACATTTGGTTACCTGGGCTTTTTAGTCGTCTGGGCTTTTGCATATTTAACTATGGCATCTTCAGGAGCATTAATGGAGGCTCTTGCTTTGGTTATATTCATGCTTAAACCCCAATTAATTGGATTTCTTATTGTCTTCATGGTTGTTATAAACTTGGCTCCAACCGTTTCTCCCATTGTCCTATGTCCCAATTTCTATAGATATGGGTATGCCATGCCGATTTACAATTCCTATGAATTAATGCATGTTCCATATTTTAATGCTTATAAAGGACATATGGGACGAAATATTGGTATTTTGATTGCATGGATTGTAATATCTACCCTTACCATGGTTATAATCATGGCCAGGATCGGGAAAAAAATGAAAGCTGCTGAAGAACGGTCGGCTCAAGAGAAAGCTGATCAAGAAAAAGACAAAGCGACTCAAGATGAAACTAGTCGGGAAGTTGCACAGGATGAGGCTCTTGGGAAAAATAACGAAGTTAATGATCATCATTAGATTTTTACTTGTTCGAGTTGCTCATAATGAGGGCTAATAGCGTTTATTAATACAGAGATACTCTATTTATAAAATAGCATTAAATGTAGTCAAACTTTCATTTTTCACAATTTACCCATGCGCTACCACATATACAAGTTCTTTGAAAAACCATTGTCCACAATCCGACGTTAGATGGAACATCAAAAACTAAAGGATCAGTTACTGAAGAAACAGATCTGCATCTGGTACATTTTCTAAGTTTGGCTAACTTATTATTATTATTCTTTTTGGGAATGACGGTGGCCAGATTTGGATTTAATTTATCCCCAACTTTTACGACAACCTTTCTCAATGCATCGATACATTCAATTCTATTGTATTGAAGTCTTGGGATTGTTGTTCTTTGATCCTTTGGGTCAATATGTATCACTGGATTTTTACTTCTAAAAAAATCTTCATTTTCTATTCTAGACATCGTATTTTTGGCAATTCCAACGTCAATCCAATTGACGTCATAGAAGAAAAGTTCTGAAACTTTAATGTCTCTGCTTATATTAATTGAATGTCTTTCTATCAATAGTTTAGCAATCTGAACTAAGTCATCGGATAACTCACCCTGGCAAACTAGTTTTTGTTCGATTTTCAACGCATATCCTCTATCCTTATTAGCAGCTCTTGAGGCGATCTCCTTAGAGACATAAGCATCACATTCTCTTAAAAAGTTTTCTGAGATGCTGAGGTTTAATGGGGAAGTATTACAAACCGTGAAATAGCGATTCAAAGCTTCTTTCATTGGAGTGAAAAGCTTATTGCTTTCCGAAAGGTCTTTATGCAATTTTTTCAAAATTTCATGGGTCTTTCCAATAGATGACCAGGCATACATAAGGAACAACCGTGGAACTTTACTTAAAATTATTGGTAAAACAATAGAGTTCTTATAATGAAGTTTGGTATCAGTACTATTAGTGTTTTTCACAAATGCTAACTGCAATAATTCTTGATTTAAATAGATCATCAAGTCAATTAACCATTTAACATTTCCAACTAAAGACATAATGCATTCAGCTCTGGTTATCGAATCTTGTAAGCTATCTTCAGCAGGTTTCTTCTTCGATATTTGACGGTATATACTTGATAACGAAAACATTATGCCAAAACTGGTACTTCTTAAATTCAACACTATCCAAGCGAGATCGCTTATTACATGATTGGAATTTTGCTGTAATTCACCTAAGACTAATTGTAAAGATAACAATTTTTGTAAAGGAGGATTAGATAAAAGTTTATCAACTGAGTCTTTCCCAAAAGCGTCTAATTGGAAATTTATAGCTTTATGAGACTCACAAATGATCGATTCAATGAACCGATTTAATATGAGTTCTAAGTTTGATTCTTTAGTTGCGACAGCTTTCGCAAGTGAATTTCCTATTCTCTTTATTTCTGTTTGAATCAATGCCACCAAATCATCAGCACAAGTGTTGGTATAGCATGAGTAAGCATGACGGAATGCAAAACCAACTGATGTAATGAATAATTCTTTTGGTGATATCTCACATTCAGGTCTTTTTTCAAGGACTTTCAAAGTCAATTGTTGTGTTTCGTTATTTACTTCAGTATAAACAAGAGATGTCAAGTTGGGAGAAACACTTACTCGTAAAGGGTTTTTGCTAGTTCTTTCAATTTTTGGGAACTGGAATCCAACATCGAAAAGCGTCGTTATAGTGGGAGGAGTACTATTTTTGTTTTCTTGATTATTGGAAACAAGCGATAAGGTTTTTCTATCCATCAAATCAATTTGGCCGTCTTCATATGTTATTATGATGAAAGTCTCAGCAACTGCTGTATCAATTGATTGAATTAAATTAGGTCGAGTTAACTTATCTTGTAAAGATAACTCGTAAGTTATTGCACCATTTGGCTTTGAAATATTTTTACGCAATCCCAAATCAACAAAAGCACTTGATATCAAATCCAGCGCTTTTGTTATTGAATACCGATAGATTGTTGTCAGTTTTTGCAGAGTAATCTCATCTAAAGTTTCGTAACTGATAAAAACCATTAGTTGATTTTCTTCTTCGAAATTAGTTGATATTATATTAATCGAAGAAAGATTGCTAAGTGTCGTTCTTGTTTCATCGTTATTTTTATCATTATCATCAATGTCCATTGCGTCTTCATTTTTAACTGATTGAACTTCAATTTCAAGCAGTGGTCTGGGTCTCATTTGATGAAACACCCTCAAGTTTAATTTTGGAGGAGTCTGTAGTTCTTTTGGAGTATAATAATGAGGATCAACTTTTTGTTTTTTACTTGACTCGATTAAGAACCCCCATTCTATATCAACCAGGAATGAAAAGATAGTATCCAGTATCGAATCATAAGCGGTTGCAATTATTCTTTTTGAATCAAACCCGATTGAAGCCCGAGTGAACGAGACTATTTTTTTATTTAAAACTGGAACTGATACTTTATGGTATTCAACCTTATGTTCCCCTTGAAAATATAAGATGAACTCACCATTTTGTCGTAATGCAACACATGCTTGCTTTGTTGAAATCGGATGACATGCTCCATATGGTTGATACTGGGTTACACCATAAGAGTAAGCAAGAGGAGCTTGGGGCATTTGTTGAGATTGTTGAGGATCTGTGTTAACAAAAGTAGCTGGTTTATTAATGATTTGGGTCTTTTCGATATTGAGCCATTTAAATGCAACAAACTTTGATCGAGTAACAGAATTTCCTGTAAGGTTTGGACTAATTATATCACGATATATCATTTCTGTATGATTATAAGAGGTCAATTCATAGCTTGGAAAATTACCATTCGACGATGGTGAATTCTTTTCTGTACCATTTTCATTTATATTTCCAATTCCACTCCCGTTTTCTGTTGGCTTACCTTCTCCATTCTGGCCCAATAATCCAACCCCGGCCAATAGTATATAAAAGTTCCCATGATCATCACAAACGGCCAAATCAGTACTGAGATTACTCCAGAATATTGAAGATAAATGGGGTAGTTCACAATCGTCGTTGGGTTTCATACTCAAACCCTGTGGCTTGGCTAATTGCCATGTTCTTCCATCAATATTTTCAAGATACGTTAGAAATAGGTTATACTTTGAATTATGAGTTGGAGCCATGTACGCAATGAACCCATTTTTAGACCAAGTTATACTATGGGCATTTTCCTTGGTTGGCCCAATGGAAAATTCCGATAGAGGAGCACTTGTGTTTTGAGGCAATTCCTTTGACACCATTGTGGAGCTCGAATTAAAATTAAAGGTCAATAGAGTCTTCTTTAAAATTCCAACTTTTCATTCCTCATTTTTAACTGCTCTTTTTTTTTTCTCTCTGATTTTTTTTTAGCACACCGTTTTTTTGGTGCTTTATTCACGCGTACGGACGGAGTTTAATGCTACGAGACGTTAGGGTGGATATGAGTTTTATCGTTCATTCAATAATGTACATACTTCGTGGGATGCTTAGAAAAGAATAAGATTAGAGGTATAGGCTTACAAATCACCTGGAACAGGGTAAGAAGAGGCCCATTCAGAGACTTCTTTAGCCAATTGTTTAACTTGATCATCGTTATCAGCTAAGGATTTAAAAGAAGCTAATAATTCTTTTGGAACTTTACCTTCTTCTTTAGCTTTCAAAGCAATTGAGATATCCACGGCTCTTTGGAAGTAATCTGCAACTCTAGAGAATTCATCAGCACCAAAACCTCTTGTAGTCATGGCAGGAGTACCAACTCTCAAACCAGAAGGGAATAAAGCAGATTTATCACCAGGAACGGTATTTTTATTGGCAGCGATGTTAGCTCTTTCTAAAACTGCTTCCACTCTAGCCCCATCGATATTTTTAGATCTTAAATCAACAAGGATTAAATGGGTATCGGTACCACCAGAGACTAATTTGAAATCTTTAGATTCTAAAGCTTGAGCGAATTTTTTAGCGTTATCGACAACATTTTGTTGATATTCTTTATATTCTGGTTCTTGAGTTTGTTTTAAAGCAACTGCTAAAGCAGAAATAGTATGATTATGAGGACCCCCTTGATGAGCAGGGAAAACTGAAAAATTAATTTTTTTCTCTAATTCATAAGGAATTTCTTTACCTTTTTTAGTAACTTTTCTAATACCTTTTCTGAAGAAAATCATAGCACCTCTTGGACCTCTTAAAGATTTATGGGTGGTGGTAGTAACAATATCGGAATATGGGAAAGGAGACTCGGTAACTCCAGCAGAAACTAAACCAGAGATATGGGCCATATCGGATAATAAATAAGCACCAACCTTATCGGCAATGGCTTTCATTCTCTTATAATCAATAACTCTGGAATAAGCAGAAGCACCAGCAACAATGACTTTTGGTCTGAAAAGAATTGCATTAGCTTCTAAAGTATCATAATCAATTAAACCAGTTTCTTCATTCAATCTGTAAGGCATGGTTTGGAAGTACTTAGAGATATAAGAGATCTTGGTACTTGGGGTTTGATAACCGTGGGATAAATGACCACCATGAGGTAAATCTAAACCCATAATTCTATCCCCAACTTCTAAAACTGCTGAATAAGCGTATAAATTGGCTGGTGCTCCAGATAATGGTTGCACGTTAACCCCCCATTCTTCTGGATTCAAATCAAAGGCTTTCAAAGCTCTCTTTTGACATAAAGCTTCGGCTTTATCGATGATTTCATTCCCACCGTAATATCTTTCACCTGGATAACCTTCAGAATATTTATTTTGCATTGCTGAACCCAATAAGTCCATAACAGCTTTGGAAGTGAAATTTTCGGATGGAATCAAAGTAATAGAGTTCTTTTGTCTTTCTTGTTCTTGCTTCAAGATACTAGCCATTTCAGGATCAACGTCTTGAACCGATTTAGAAATTAAGGCTTGAGCATTGGCGGACAATGCGTAGTTCCTGGCAGCATTGACGCTGGAAGCGGCTGGAACTCTTCTGGACTGGAACCTCAATGAACGCAAGGTACTGGAAAGCATTTTGTAACGGCTAATTGGAATATATCAATGAAGAAAAGGATTAAAGAAGGTGTCAAAGATGCTGAAAAAAAAAAAAATTGAAAAATCCCCCTCGAGATGCTTCTTACGAGGGTATAGGTCACGTGCGAATGTCTTACAAACTCCCAGAGTTACGACCACCGGTGGTCCAGAGTCTCACGGAGTCACCGCTTTGTATGGGAGCCTGCGCCGAGTCAGGGGGTCCCTGGGGCCCGAGTCGAGGGTGCTGCTAGCTGCTTTGCTTAAAAGGGGAAATGGTTGTGAAAACCGGATGCTGAGGCTACGTTTGGAATATGATGGGGGGTTGTGTTTGAGGAAATGGTGGTATCATTCGGAGGGAAGTGGAAGGCATGATGAGTCACTAGAAGGAAGAGTCTGATTGGTCAATTGAGTAAATATCACAAAAAAGTACCAACCTGAGAGGTATCCAAAGATTGGATAAGGGTAATTGAATAAGAACTAGAATCGCAAGCGAATACGTTGTATATGGTCACATATAAAGTGAAAACTTTCCGAATGAATTTTTTCCAAATAATTTGGTTTTACGGCGTAGCTGAATGTAGTTTTTAGGGGAATTCACCCAGTTTTTTGTTGAAAATGCCAAAAAACTTTAAAATTTATACTAATGCGAATATATAGATGCAAAATTATATAATTACACCAGTACGAGTCTGGAGTGATCAAAGGAGCAACGGGATGATTCAGTACAAGAAGCAACTGCATCAAACCAATTGTCGTTGTAAAAAAAGTCGATACTACATCTGGTTGTAGGATCAATTTGAAAAATATGACTTAGCAAAGGAATTGACTCGCGAGGTAAGTTTCTCAATACTGACTCAATACCAACTTCTTGATTTTCACTATTCATGATTGGATCAGGTAGATTGCAAGTATCTACCAAATGGTTGTTTTGTTTGAATGCAACATAAGTTGAGTCTGATAATCTGGCTGATTTCCAAGGAAACTTATGATTCAATTGATAGTATAACATGATACCAATTGACCAAATATCGGATTTGCCACCATCGTAATAGATGGAGGTAATGGTTTCAGGAGAGATATAATGGTCTGACCCTACTACGCCGATTGACTTATCGCTTGTGGAAGTGCAGGTAGCCATATCGATTATTTTAACGAACCCATTCTTATCAACCACTATATTTTCTAGTTTCAAATCTCGATGGCATAAGTGGTTAGCATGCAAGTATCTCACTCCGTTACATATTTGTTTCCATAAACATAAGTTTTCGGTTGGTTCAATCGTATTTCGTCTCAATAAATTGAATAAGTTATCACTACCGGTTTGCATAAAAATCTTAACATTTAAACCATTGAACGACACCGAATACTTATAAACTTTTATGAAGTTTATGTTATCAATTTGACTAAGCACTTGGTATTCGTGAAGAACCCGAGCATGGTATTCCTTATTGGATTCATATCCTTCTTTACAATGATACGTTTTAACAACGTAAGTAAACCCAGCAATTTTTTTCAGTTTATACAAGTCCACTGAACCAGAAATGCCTTCACCCAATCTCTTTATCTTAGAATCCTTTTTAGAGAACTTCAATCCACTCTTATCACTCCCACCAGACTTATGTCTCATTCGAAGTAGTCTCATTGGTGACAAGACAATTTTTCAGTGCCAACCTGTAACTGCCAATAACTATTCCACCAACCTGTAACTGCCAATAACTATTCCACCAACCTGTACAACAGCTCAATAACCAGTAGAGTCCAACCTGTACGGGCCAACCTGTAACAGCCAGACCCGTAAGAGGTTAATAGAGCAATGGCATTGCTTATCAGGTCACAAGGTCGTGGCGTTGCGCATCTCTCCATAAAAGTCACATTCTCATCCCCAAAGAGAAAAAGGTATGCTGGTATAAAAAGCCGATAGGGGATGGCTTCTTTTTATATAAAGAGTAGTTCTTTAGTGGCAATTTTCAGAACTTCTCTTACTTTTAATAAACGATGAAGTTATCGGTAATTGCAGCAGTTACTATTGCTTCGAGTATTGGCTCAATTGAAGCGTTACACATTCCAAATTTTGGTTCTTATGTTGATAATGTTCAACAAAGATTAGGATTTGACTTTGATAGAATTACTTCTCAATATCATGACGTTGTTAAGTCATTTGATTTTGGAGAAAGTAATGTTTTAGAAAATATTGCTAAATATTTGAAACAACCAAAGGAATACATTCCAATGGAAACCAAGGAATTATGGCTGGAAATGATGATGAAATTCCCCGATACTATTAGTTCGATGGATTTTAAGTCTAAGCCAAAGAAGTTCACTAAACAATTGAAAGATAAGTTTGATTTCCATGTTAGTGATGCTAAGCATCCAAATCATGAATTGAGAGTTAAGAAGACTCCAAAAAGTTTAGGTATTGATAAAGTTAAACAATATAGTGGTTACTTGGATGTGGTTGATGAAGATAAACATTTCTTTTATTATGTATTTGAATCTAGAAACGATCCTAAAAACGACCCAGTTATTTTGTGGTTAAATGGTGGACCAGGGTGTTCATCATTAACTGGTTTATTTTTTGAATTGGGTCCTTCATCAATTGGTGAAGATTTGAAACCAGTTCATAACCCGTATAGCTGGAATAATAATGCTACGGTTATCTTTTTAGATCAACCAGTCAATGTTGGTTATTCTTACTCTTCCGAATCAGTTTCTTCGACTATTGCTGCTGGTAAAGATGTTTATGCCTTTTTGGAATTATTTTTCAAACAATTCCCAGAATATAATAATTTACCATTTCATATTGCTGGTGAATCTTATGCTGGTCACTATATTCCAGCATTTGCTCTGGAAATTTTAAAACATGAAGATCGTCACTTTAATTTAACTTCAGTTTTAATTGGTAATGGTTTAACCGATCCTTTAACCCAATATAAATACTATGAACCAATGGCTTGTGGTGAAGGGGGAGAACCTTCAGTTTTAGAACCAGAAGCTTGTCAATCCATGGAAGATGCCATTCCAAGATGTTTATCCTTGATTAACTCTTGTTATGAATCTAATTCTATCTGGTCTTGTGTTCCTGCCACCATTTATTGTAACAATGGTCAAATGGGTCCATACCAAAGAACCGGTAGAAACGTTTATGATATCCGTACCATGTGTGAAGGTTCTAGTTTATGTTATAAAGGCTTGGATTATATTAGTGACTATTTGAATTTACCTGAAGTTAAAGAAGCTTTGGGTGCTGAAGTTGATGAATATGAATCTTGTAATTTCGATATTAATAGAAACTTCTTATTAGCTGGTGATTGGATGAAACCTTATTTCAAAGCTGTCACCGATTTATTAGAAGAAAAATTACCAGTCTTAATTTATGCCGGTGATAAAGATTTCATTTGTAATTGGTTGGGTAACCAAGCATGGACTAACGCTTTACCATGGTCCCACCAATCAGACTTTGAATCAGAAAAAATTAAAGATTGGAAAGTTGGTAAGAAATCGGCCGGTGAAGTTAAAAACTACAAGCACTTTACCTTCTTGAGAGTTTTCGGTGGTGGTCACATGGTTCCTTATGACCAACCAGAAAATGCTTTAGATATGGTTAACACCTGGTTAGCTGGTAATTACGGTTTCCAATAGTTGATTCATATACTATCTAGTTTTTTTTTTTTAAATCTGATTTTTATGTCTGCAGAACCTCAGTGAGAGTGTTTTGCAATTTCAAGTATACGTTTAACGCTATCATTTCCCATGTAGATTACAAAGTTTATTACTCGAGAAGTTAATCTAACAATACAAAATCGTAATACAAAATAAACAGACGAAGCAAGTTCGATTATTATACTGTTTAAATTTCTGTTTTTCAATAAAACAATCGTTGAAAGTAACATAACAGTTCACATCACAGTACTCTATAGCCATTACCGTACGATAGAGCACACTACAGTACAGTAAAGTAGAGCTACAGTAAGGTGAAGTAACGGTAGTGTTTATTTGGAACCTTCCAAATTTGGAACAAAAAAAAATAGCAGTGTTGACATTTGTTAAGAAACGAGCGAAAAGACGCAAAAAAACTAAAAATTAGCAGTAATTGTTTTTGTTTTTGCTTAATTACTACTCTACTTTGATGATACATGAGATGTCCAATTATACTAGCGGTTGGATGGGGTCACATAACCCTAGGGTGCTTCTTTATTTGTTATTATTATCATTGTAGAGTCCCATAGTTCTTTCTAGACAGTCGAGAAGTCGTTGTAAAGAGAAGCTTAATGACTTCTATTATGTATGGGTCCACGATGGATGATTGTAGCAAAGATATTCCATCAATAAAGTAGAAACAACAAGTGTGTAATCATTGCTAGACAAAGTATTGATAGTGTATTCCATCTGTACAGTTTCCTTTCTCCTTGCAGATTAAATTTCATTTTTTGTTAAAATCTTAGTAAACTGATTTCGAGGCTAATAAAAATCATTGACTTTCAGCTTATTTCTTTTCCTTCCTATCTTTTCTTAACCTTTTTCTAATCTTATCACATTCCCTAGCTGATTTCTCAGTTTCTTCCTTCGTTATACCCTCAAACGTTTGGCTGATTTCTGGTACTCCTGTCAACGCATCAATTTTTTGTCCTATTTCACCCAGCAGGAATTAATCAATTGTCATCTCGACCTGGCTAATAATATCCACCAATCCCATTCCAATTGCCATTTACTTGTTTGGAAAGTAATTTCACTTGAACCTCATCACAACCCGCTTGTCTCGAGTCCTGGATCCGGAATTATCAACCAGCATTTGGTCTTTAAATTGCTTCTTCTTAATGGGATATTAAAGCAAAAAAAAAACTTGAAAGACAGCTGGTAATTCGTAATTAAAAGCATCTGTACATACAACAAAAGGAATCAAATATTACCATTCTTTGACCTACTTCAATATCTTTCATTTTTGAAAAGATATTCTTTTCTTTATCGGTGTACCTACATTACATTCCAGAAGTTATTATTATTTTTTTATTCCCTATTCAAAATCATCATTAGTATTATCAGGCCATGCACCCAATACATATTCCAATACAGTTCCTTTTGATTTCATCTTGTGTGGTAACCTCAACTTTATCAATAACCATCTATACTAAATCCAACCATGAGATAATATTACTTTTATTCGTTATAAGTGGATACATAGTATCTTTCTTTACTATACTACTGTTAATAGTGAATGTTTTCTCAAAAAATCATACAATTGGTAAAGATATAATAGACTCTTCATTAGCAATACCGAGTTATCTATTTCATACTGTGATGGGTATTTATTTAATAATTAAACTTATTCAAGGTATTTTAAATTTTAAAATAATTCCTCCAAAACATTGTGAAATAATAATACCAGTATTATTCATCTTTTCAGTATTATTAATGGGGATTTCAACTTTTCTTTTGATAATAAGTATCATTACAACAATAAATTGTTCTCAAGATCAATTTTTTGCCAATGATCAACAGGAGAAAATGGAACAATTAGATAATTATAAAGATTCTTATGATTTAGAGTCTCAAATCTCAATTGAAAATAATAATAATAACAGTCAATTAACTTATAATCATCCGATTAAACAATTCTCTGATAAAACTTTGGCAGAAGCTGATAATCAATTATCTCCTTCGAATATAATTGATCAACAATCTAAAAATACTTCTCCTTCTTATGGAAATAGTGATAAACCTCCTCAAATAACTATAAATGATCCTATAACTGATGAATCAAATGTTCTTGATTATATTATTAAAAATTCAATGGATTTGAAAAATGACTCAAATTCAGAAGAATACCTCGATTATAATAGAAACAATTGGATGAATTCAAATACAAGACTCCACTCTTTAAAATTGAACGAATTTGATTCAAATGACAATATAATTGATGGTTCAAATGAGTTACCAATTACTAAAAGTAGGAAAAATACCTTTAATTCAATCTTTGGATCTTCATCAAAAGAACCTTTTAAGAAAAACCATCAAAAAAATTTATCAAACGAAACTATTTCTTACTTAAAATACTCAAAAAGTCTGCCAACTTTATGGAAATCTCCAAATTTTTTGAGTTCAAGAAGTCCAACTAGTTCAAGATTCAATGATTTCAAGGATAGATTTATGGAAAGAAATTCGACCCTTTTCAGTTCAACATCAAATCTTTCCTTTAATAGCCCAACAATTCTGAACTTTAGTGATTCAAGTCCAAATTTGCATAGTAACGTTATTAATAATCAAAGGATTTCTAAAATGATGATTGGTAATGCTTCGAAAGCTTCTCTCTCAACTATCTTCACCGATACTTCAAATAATTTAAAATCAAATGAGAACGATTCAACATCTTTTAATAATAGAAGAGTATCAATGATTAACTCAAACAGAAACTCCATTCCTCTTGATGCAATGCAACTTAATAACATCGAAGAAAAACCTTCACAAATTCAAGATAATATTTCATCAAATGTGAAAAGATCTAAGTCTGCAAGTTATATCAAAGATAATACCAAACGTATCAAGAGAAGAGAACAGACTTGGAAATCAATAAATGATGAAAAACTTTTCGTTCAAAATTTTAATGAAATTCTTTTACCTTCAGTTCTTAAAAGTGGTGAAAGCCCAATCTTAGAAAGAAAAAAGCAGCAACAGGAATTGTTAGAAAAAGAACAACAACAACAACAACAACAACAACAACAACAACAGCAACAACAAGAAATGATTATCCAATCGTCAGTAAACGATAGAATTCAAGCTGAATTTCAACAACAATTTCCAAAGCCACCAGCATTAAATATTAGTGGAACTCCTCCAAGAGAACAATTCAAAAAGATGCCATTTTTGAGTCCAGTTGGTGAAAATGAAATTGAGTTTACTCCAGCAGATAACGATGGTGCAGCTCAAAACAACGAAGAATCCATCAAAGATGAAAATGATTCTTCTATGTTTGAGCATAACTTACCTCATTGCGGAGATTTTGATGAACCAATTAATGATCAAGAGTTTTCTGGTTTTGATCAAGAAACTGTTATCATGAACGATGATCTCCCAATGGGTAAAGAAAACATATACGTCAAGAATCAGGATAGTTCTGAGACTATGGATGATGCCAGGGTCTCTGAAACTGCAGAAGATTATTCTAATACATTGAATGGTTTAGAGAAAATTCCAATTTCGAAAACTGCTTGGTTGCCAAAGGCAAATAGTCAAAATAAATCATCATCTATTCATAATATTTCTTTACAAGACTGGAATGAAAACATCGACGCGTGGAACGATCAAAGAAATAGATCAGGAGCCAATTTAAATATTCCAGGGATAAATAGATTAGTGAGTGATCAAAATTTGAAAAATTTTAATGAAAAAAATGATAAGGGCAGCTTACTTTTACCTCCTGCCGATCCAAGATCGGATAATATTGATAATATTAGTGATTTAAATAGTGGGAATGAGGGCTCAACAAGATGTCCTTCTTATTCGATTCTGAGTAGATCGTACAGTGCACCATCGTTACATACATATAGAAATGTTTCGAATAGAAGCTCCAGCACCAAAGCCAGCGGGCCTGGTATTGAGTGTGCAGAAGAAGCCACAGAGTCAATTCCTACTCATTCTCATAAAGAATCGATTCTATCCTCTCTGGATAACACATTAAGACATTGCGTTACTCCTACCGAAAATTATACTTCAGCTAATACGTCACCAATTAGAAAGATATTTAATATGGAGAGTCCTAAAAGATTAAGCAATGTTTTCCAAAAGAAAAAGGCAAACAGAGTAAGTGCTGATCTTAATATCTTGAATAAATTTTCGGCACCTGGTCATAAGCATAGCGAATCTGTCATTTCAAATCAATATTCAGTTACTTCGGCTGTCTCCTCAAAATCTAGTTCTCCCAAAAAATCATTAAGGTCCATAATCAATAAGGGTCATCGCCAGTCACATTCTTCAAGTGCATCTTTCTCTCTTCCAACAAGACCCCCATGGTCCACTACGGTAAAATCAACTTCTCAATCACCCAATGAGTATAACAACTTGGAACATATCGAGCATATATACGACCCAATAGACTTTTGGGATCTTGACACCGCTCCTAGCTCGGATAGGTCGAGAGTCAGTTCTGCTCCTAGTGCTGTCATTGGTGAATATGACCGTGAAAAATGGAGAACCTTGAAACTTTTACAAAATCAAGAGAAAATGTCACTTGAAAACTCTGCATAATACACATACCCAAAGTCTGTGACTTACTAGCATTTTCAGTTTCTTTTAATAGCATAATACCATTTTTTTGTATATATTAATAATTAATTTAATATTCTTAATTTTCCATAGTATCACCGTATTGACTGCAAAATTCGCTCGACAAAATGTACGGGTGTGACAGAAATTAAGCAGCCCGTGACTTTTTTATAGCGCATCTCATTTAGTTTTTTTTTTTATTTTTCAAAATGATTTTCACAATTAAAGCTATTCATCTTTAAAATAAGAATCTTATAAACCATTGAAAATGGATGGTGATGATCTATTTGACGTTTTTGGAGAGGCTCCAGTAGCCGTTCCAGAAGTCATAGAGAAGAAAGAGCCTTCAAAGACTGATCAAAAGGAAAAAGAATCAGTTTCTAAAAAACGTCAGGCATCCGATGAGCCTGAAGGAAGTAAAGAAAATGGCAAGGAATCTTCAAAAAAAAATAAGCAAGCCTCGAAAGAGAAGTCCAAGAAAGAGATAAATCCCGTTGTGTTTGACTCAGTCGAAATCGAAGCCTCAAGAGAAGTGGCTGCATCAGAAGGTTTAATGGCAAGTGCTGAAAAACCCGAAGGTCAAGGACAATTGAAGTTAAGACATCAAGTTAGACACCAAGTAGCCGTTCCTCCAGAATTTCCTTACGTTCCAATCTCTGAACATAAACGTAAGGACGAGGCCAGATCATATCCTTTTACGTTAGATCCTTTCCAAGATACAGCCATATCTTGTATCGACAGAAACGAATCAGTTTTAGTTTCTGCTCATACTTCAGCTGGTAAAACTGTTGTTGCGGAATATGCCATTGCTCAGTCTTTAAGAGATAAACAGAGAGTCATCTATACTTCTCCCATTAAAGCTTTGAGTAATCAAAAATATAGAGAACTCTTAGCTGAATTTGGAGATGTTGGTTTGATGACAGGTGATGTTACAATTAACCCAGATGCTGGTTGTTTGGTTATGACCACAGAAATTTTACGTAGTATGTTGTATAGAGGTTCCGAAGTCATGAGAGAAGTTGCATGGGTTGTTTTTGATGAAGTTCATTATATGAGAGATAAATCCCGTGGGGTTGTTTGGGAAGAAACAATTATTTTATTACCAGATAAAGTCCATTATGTTTTCCTTTCTGCTACTATCCCAAATGCCATGGAATTTGCTGAATGGATTGTCAAAATCCACGCTCAACCATGTCATGTTGTTTACACCGACTTTCGTCCTACTCCTTTGCAACATTATTTATTTCCTGCAGCCGGTGATGGTATTCACTTGGTTGTTGATGAAAAAGGAGTGTTCAGAGAAGAAAATTTCCAAAAAGCTATGGCATCTATTAGTGATGCTGCAGGTGATGATCCTGCTTCGGCTGAAAAAAGTAAAGGTAAAAAGGGCCAAACCTATAAAGGTGGTAACAATGATGGTAAATCAGATATTTACAAAATTGTGAAGATGATTTATATGAAAAGATATAATCCTGTTATCGTTTTCTCTTTCTCCAAAAGAGATTGTGAATCTCTTGCTTTGAAAATGTCCAAGTTAGATTTCAATACTGAAGATGAAAGAGAAGCTTTGACTAAAATTTTCAACAATGCAGTAAACTTATTACCTGAAGCCGATAAAGAATTACCTCAAATCAAGAATATCTTACCATTATTAAGAAGAGGTATTGGTATTCACCACTCAGGTCTTTTACCAATTTTGAAGGAAATTATCGAAATTTTATTCCAAGAAGGCTTACTTAAAGTCTTATTCGCAACTGAAACCTTCTCTATTGGTCTTAATATGCCTGCTAAAACAGTCGTTTTCACATCTGTTAGAAAATGGGATGGTAAGGGTTTCCGTTGGGTCTCTGGTGGTGAATATATTCAAATGTCTGGTAGAGCAGGTCGTAGAGGTTTAGATGATCGTGGTATTGTTATTATGATGATTGACGAAAAAATGGAACCCCAAGTGGCCAAGGGTATGGTCAAAGGTCAAGCGGATAGATTAGATTCTGCTTTCCATTTGGGTTACAATATGATTTTGAATTTAATGAGAGTTGAAGGTATTTCCCCAGAGTTTATGTTGGAAAGCTCATTTTTCCAATTTCAGAATGCTGCTTCCGTTCCTAAAATGGAACAAGAACTTCAACTTTTAACTCATAATTCAAATTCTATCAAAATTGAAGACGAATATAATGTTAAAGAATACTATGACCTCAAGAAACAACTTCAAGCTTATGATGATGATGTTCGTAAAGTCATCACCCATCCTGGTCATATATTACCATTTTTACAACCAGGTAGAGTTATAAAAGTTAAGATCGGTGAGCTTGACTACGGTTGGGGGATGGTTACTTCGTTTACCAAGAGAACCAATAAAAGGAACCCAACTCAAGAATACACTGATCATGAATCTTATCTTGTCAATGTTTTCGTTTACACGATGTTCGTTGACTCTCCAGTAAATCTTATCAAACCCTTCAGTCCTATGTTACCAGAAGGTATAAGACCTTCTAAAGCAGGTGAAAAATCAAGAGCTGAATACATTCCAATTACTTTAGATTCAATTGAGAAGATTAGTAGTGTAAGATTAAGAGTTCCAGAAGATATTAAGAGTTCAAATGCTAAAAGAACCTTGTTGAAAACTATGAAAGACTTACCGAAAAGATTACCAAAAGGTATTCCATTAATGGATGCAGTTGAAAGTATGAAAATTGATGATGACGATTTCAAACTTTTATTGAAGAAGATTAACGTTTTACAAGAAAAAATAACGAACAATCCATTGCATGATTCAGTTAAATTGAAAGAGTCTTTTGAGTTATATTCTCAAAAGGTTGAAATTGAACAAAAAATCAAACTGTTGAAGGAAAAGATTTTAGAAGCTCAAGCTGTTATTCAATTAGACGACTTAAGACATAGAAAAAGAGTATTGAGAAGATTAGGTTTCACCACTCAAGAAGATATAATAGAATTAAAAGGTAGAGTTGCTTGTGAAATTAGTACTGGGGATGAATTATTATTGACCGAGTTGATTTTCAATGGTACTTTCACTGACTTGAATGCAGAACAATGTGCTGCCTTATTATCTTGTTTTGTATTCCAAGAAAGAGCTAAGGAAGTTCCAAGATTAAAACCCGAGTTAGCTGAACCTTTGAAGTCAATGCAAGATATGGCTAATAGAATTGCAAAAATTTGCAAAGAATGTAAAATTGAAATTGTCGAAAAAGAATATATTGAATCATTTAGACCAGAATTAATGGAAGTTGTCCACGCTTGGTGTAAAGGTGCCAGTTTCACTCAAATCTGTAAGATGACTGATGTTTACGAAGGTTCATTAATCAGAATGTTTAAGAGATTAGAAGAAATGTTGAAACAAATGGTTGTTGCTGCAAAAACCATCGGTAATTCTGAATTAGAAGAAAAAATGGAAAAGGCTACTGAATTGGTCCACAGAGATATTGTTTCTGCCGGTTCCTTATACTTATAGATTCATTATATATATATATACTTACTGTAACATAGAATAAACATCGTTTACACTTTAATCCCATATATAGTTTTTCACCCTTACCGCAAATTGTAAAACCAAATTTGCTTTCGGTCATTTTTTCTCTATAAATAAAAAGGGCTGCGCATATAAATTATGGATCAATGAATAAGCACCCCTTAATTTATTGATATTTAACTACAATTCTTTAGTTATTTGGTACACTTAGGGTGCAAAGTGGATAATACTTGTGGAAAATGCCGGCTGATAATACTAAGGATAAGAGAAAGTCTATTCCTTCGAATCAGGTGGAATTGTTGTTTGCGAAGTCAAAGGTATATCTTCATCCAACTCCAAGAAAGGCAGATAATATATGTGGATTCCTATCTTTGAGCAGAGGTGATACCAATAATCACACTTCTAAAGACATTTTGTTATCGTTTACTCCGGTGGGTCAATTGAAACCCGAAGATTTGAAAATTTACGAAACTGTGGATATGGATGATAGTCTTCTAGTGGATTCAAAATCTTCCACTACCAATAAGTCAAATAATTACCTCGTTAGCAAGCCACCAACATCTACATTAAGTGGATATAGCTTCAGTGTACCATTGTCATACATCTATTCTACTCAGGTGAGAAAACCTGTGAATGATTTATGGAATGGTTCTTTAATAATACATACCATGGAAGGTGAAAGATTACCAATTGTTAATTTCCATGATGAAGAAAGTCCATCGACAAAACAACGTCAAAAGTATTTAAATCAAAAGATGGAGATTTTTGACGACGATGGAGAAATTTATTGGGGTGGCAAAGACTTTGTTAAGGCTCTTGGTAACTTTATTCATATTGAAAAATCTACCTTAGAACCAACCGTTTATTTGATTGATCCTGAATCTGAAGATATGAGAAATTTTTCCCCTTTTCAAAAGAAACTGGAACCTCCAAAGAATGCCATTGAAAACTTTAAATTGCCTGATGTGAACAAGATATTTAATGATGCTAAATGGAAAGTTTTAGAAACCGTTGCAACAATAAGTGCAAAAGCGAGACACCAAGTGGCTGATATAATTGAAGAAAATGCTCCAACCCCAGTTAAGCAATTAATTGGAAGACCAGAAGTTATGAAAATCAGTAATGAATTTGATAGTGCCAGAGTTTATTTAGCCAAATGGGCAGCACAAGTGAAGGTGGAATCCGAGCAAGCTCAAAAAAACTTTCAAATTGATGATGCTTTGTATGATAAGATTAATAAAGAATTGGGGGTGAATTCCAAAAATCCCGATATTTTAACACCAGAAGAAGTTAACAAATCATCCAGAAGAAAAGCAATCAGTTTGATCGAATGGCAAGGATTCTTTGACCACTCAGGCAGGTTATCGCTTACTGTGGACGAGGTTAAAAATCGTATCTTCCATGGTGGATTAGAGGATGCAGTCAGACCAGAAGCTTATTTATTTTTATTGGGAGTTTATTCATGGGATTCTTCCAAAGAGGAGCGTGAAATACAAAGAACAAGCTACGAAACTGCATACGAGGAATACAAACTCAAATGGGTTACGGATGAAGATAAAAGATCTACTGATTTTTGGAAAGATCAAAAGCATAGAATTGAAAAAGATGTTAATAGAACGGATCGTCATTTACCAATATTTCAAAATCCTAAACCTGTGATTGAAAATCATTCTAATAGCGACCTGGAACCGGAAACTCCAGATGAAGATGAAGATGAAGATTTTGATGTTGCAAATATTAAGAACCCTCATTTATTCAAAATGAGGGAGATTTTATTAACTTATAATGAATATAATGAAAACTTAGGTTACGTTCAAGGCATGACTGATTTATTATCGCCACTCTATCTTCAGATAAAGGATGAGTCTCTTACCTTTTGGGCATTTAGTAAATTTATGGATCGTATGGAACGTAATTTTGTTAGAGATCAACTGGGTATGAAACAACAAATGTTAACGTTGAATGGGTTAGTACAGTTTATGTTACCCGATTTATTCAAACATTTGGAAAAATGTGACTCTACTGATTTATTTTTCTTTTTCAGAATGTTATTGGTTTGGTTTAAAAGAGAATTTGAATGGGAGCAAGTTTTAAGATTATGGGAAATCTTATGGACTGATTTCTATAGTGGTCAATTTCATTTGTTCTTTGCATTATCAGTTTTGAGCGATAATGAGAGAATAATCAAACAAAACTTGGTTCGTTTTGATGAAGTTTTAAAATACATGAATGATTTGTCAATGAAGATGAATTTAGATGACTTATTGGTTAGAAGTGAATTGTTATTCTTGAGATTCAGAAGAATGGTAGATATAATCGATCGCGAAAATACTGCAAGACAATTCAATCAAGACGTCTATCAATCTACAAATGAAACCGAAGGCCAGGACCATCAGGTATTCAAAATCAGCCCTGACTTGAGACAATTATTGAGTAAAAAACCTATCATTCAGAAAGAAGGACCTAGACCCGAAGGTGCTGGAGGAGGTTAATTATGAAATTACAATTTTGGGTTATAATAAGGCTTTATTAAGACTAATAAACAGTTTAGTACTATTTTTATTATTTTTTTTTTTTTTTTTAATTCATTGGTTATTTCATTTCGTTAACTTCCTTCCAATTTCTCTACATTTCTACCTATTTATGGTTATACAACGGGGCTGTCTATTCAACGTTCCCAGGTGAGTTTATTTCTTAGTTTTATACTTTCGGTTAATACAAGGTTTTCGTTTTTTGCAGTTAGGTTGTAAGAAAAAAAACCCTCATTAACGTAGAACGTGCGTAATGAATTGAAGTAGTACACAAAAGACGGGTTAATTAATGAGTATAATTAATACGATAATTCATGAACTGTTAACTACAATGGTTGTTAATATTTCGGGAATATAGTAGACAATAATCTTTCAGAGCACAATATACTTCTAATTACTGTTTCTCAAAAATTTTTATTTTTTTTTTTTCTTTTCTTTAAATCAAAAGCCGTGTAAACTCATCTTTAACAAGATACCAATTCGTGACCTTATAAAAAGCTACAATTTGGCAATTAACTAACAAGTATTCGTTTTTTATGAAGATATCGGTATAATGGCTGCAGCAGACAGAACACCATTGCTAAATAACTCAAGGAGACCTCGCGATGAGGAAGAGGTTATAGAATACTATGAGGAAGAAGAAGAATGGGCTATGAGTCCAAATGTCAAGTATTCATTGTATACGCTTGGAGCCATTGCTACTATTGGGTTTATTTATTTGTTTGCATTTTATTTACCGCAATTATTCATTCCAGAATCCAGAGAAATAGAAGGAATTGTTAAAGTTGGAGAACTAGGCTCTAGTTTAGTACCGATTTCAAGTAAAAGAGTGAAAGAATTGGGGATGAATTCGGATATTTCCAATTTAGATATTGAAATTGATGCTGAGATCCAAGCAAAGAAGTCTAATGAGGTTGAAAGATTAATATTCGTTGGGGATATTCATGGTCATTACGTTGAATTTAGAAAATTATTACGTCAAGTCAAGTTTAATCCTGAAACCGATCATTTATTGGTCATGGGAGATTTCATCACCAAAGGACCTGATTCATTAAAAGTTTTAGATTACTTGATTGATCATGATATAGATTGTATATTTGGAAATCATGAATATTATGTAATGAATAACTATGCAACATTCCACGGATTGAAATCCCCACATTTTATGAATGAAACTAATGAAATGCTTTCAATCAAGGACGGAGGCTTCAATTCTGATCCAGAATTTTTATTAGCGAAAAAATTGCAGCCAAAACATATCAAATACATAAACCAATGTACCATAATTAAGAAATTGGGTCAGGTTCCATTTCATAAATTCAATGACCGGAAAGATTTAAAAGTTGGTGGTGATTCGAACAGTTTACCAGGTTACGCAGTTCATGCTGGTTTAAGATGGGATTTATCAATAGAGGATCAAGAACCAATTGAATGTTTAGAAATGAGATCCTACATCGGACCAAACTTTAATGAAACTACGGATGATCCAGATACCGATAATGCAGTTAGCTGGTCCAAAATATGGAATTCAAAACAAAAAATTGCAGCCAAAAAGGATGCAAAAATCATTTATTATGGTCATGAAGCAAGAAGAGGTTTGAATTTGAGAAAATACTCTAAGGGATTGGATAGTGGTTGTGATGGAGGGGGTAAGCTAAGTGCAATGGTCATTTGGTTACAAGAAGCCCTCAACTCAAAGGGTAAACCGGTTACTCTTTATCGTGAACAAGTCCATCAAGTATCTTGTAAATAGATTATCATCTCTCTTCTACGTATGAGAAGCTGTATACCTTCAGAATAGTCAGCGTTGCATACATATCTAGCATGAACTTTGTCTGTAGATCCGGATCACCCCAGCATGATTCGCTAAACTCGGCGTAATGGCCTATAAACTACATGATCTGTTGAGCTGCAGTCACTCAGTCTCATACTGGGGGATCAGCTCTTAATCAGTACTTGCAATCAGTACTTGCAATCAGTAAATCAGTACTTGTAATAAGTCAGTACAGAATCAGACTTGTGATGGAGATATCGCAAATAAACACCCATACCACAAATAAACACCCGTGCATTTTAAAGGAAATCGAAAAAAAATCACATCCCGAGTCGTGTATATACACAATTATACCCAGCGCACTACCCGAGAGAAAGACCCAATCATCTGGCGCCATTTCCCCCTTTTCCCAATTTTCCCCCCAAAAAGATCGGTACCCACACGCAAGCAATTTTGAAAACGAGGCGAACGAACAGAAACCCAAAAAAATCAAAACATCCAAACCTTCAAAAATTGTCTTCCCATTTTAAAAACATCCAAACCTTTGCTCTGTTTTCAAAACATCCAAAACTTTTGTTTATCGCTGTGTTTTTTACAACCTTTTATCAATTGCAAAGAGGTTATTTGGATAGAGTTATTTAGCTGGTTAACAAACTTTTCAATAGGATCCAAATTGGTTAAAAATACTGAAGGAGCTGAGTTGTTATTCGTTGCTTTTAGAATATTTCAAGAATTGTTGATATTGTTATTATTAACCTCTCTAGTTAATTATGGTTAAATCATCTGAAGAGGCTAAATATATTAAAGCCGAACAAGGGGAAAGAATTGACCCAAAGCTTTTCACTGATGATAAGGGGAATCCATTAGTTTTCAAAATTTCATCTAATGAAGTTCAAGACTATAAATATAAAATTAATCAGTATGGGGGATCAGTAATTGAAGATGATTCAAAACTTGATTCAAATGAAAAGGATACCTTGATTAAATTAAGTGATAAACCAATTGATTCAGTTAGTTATTCAACTGATTTTATTGATGAATCAATTAGAAAAAATGAACTTGCTTCATTACATAATTATGCTCAACCAACATCAAGAAAAAGAAAAGCTACTGATACTGGAGATGAATCTGATGAAACTATTTCAAATAGAGCAGCTATTCAAGCCGCCACTGCAGCAGCCGCTGAAGTGAATGCTTTATCTCATACTGATGAAAATTTAGCCAATGTTTTAGCTAAAGCTGAAGCAGTTGAACAACTTAATAAAAACGATATTGGGTATTTTGGTCATCAAGAATCTGATCAATGGAAAAATGGTGGTGGTAATCAACTTAGAAAACATCAACCACGTAAAAAAACATCTAAATTTAATGAAGAAAAAGATGCTTTTATTATTGAACAAGTTAGATTAAGACCTCGTTATAGAACGAGTCATAAATTTTATGATGAATTAGCAGAATCCGATATTTTACAAGGCCATACTGGACATTCGGTTAGATCAAGATGTAGGGTTCATTTATTACCCAAAATTGATTATGTTTATCAAACTGATGAAGCTGGTAATTTAATTTTAAATGAACAAGGTGAAAAAATTAAAGTTAAATTACTTGAGGTTCCAAATACTTTGAAAAATAGATTTAGTGCAGAAGAAGATTATTTATTATGTACTGAAGTTATCAAACATGTTTTAGAAAACAATGATAAATCAAAATTTGAAAATCGTGATGAACAAGGATTTTTCGATGAAAAATTATTATCAGTTGGTATTTCATTTTTCAATGAATTTGCAAATAAATATCCAAACCATTCTTCTCCTTCTTGGAGGGATCGTTTTAGAAAATTTGCTCGTGCTTATGGTGTTCAAAAATATATTCGTGATTATCAAGAATCAATTAAAAATCAACAAAAACCTGAAGCAATGAAGAATTTAACTAGAAGAAAAAATAGAAAAAGAGACGCCCCAGAAAACCTTGTTAGTCAGGCTGATGATGATGCTGCAGAAGCCGATTTAGATCAAGAAGAAGAAGATGAAGAAGAAGAAGAACAAGTTGATGACGTAAACGCTGCTGCTGCTGCTGTTGCTGCTGCACAAGCTGCTGCCAATCAACCCCATCATCACGATGGTGCTTTAGATGAAGAAATTGGAGAAGTTAAAAGTTCTAATATTGATGAAGCTATCAAAGAAGTTGATTCAAAAGCTAAAGAAGCCAAAAAAATGAGAGAACAAGAAAAATTAATTAAAGAAAGTGAAGAAGAACAAGATGATATTGATGGAGATGTTGAAGGAGAAGAAAATGATATTAAATCAAGTCAAATTGGTAGTCAAGATCACCAAAGTTATTTAAAACCAGGTTATAAAATGGGAGATTTATTTACTGAAGCCTTTTGGAAACCAAGAAGCCATGATGAAAAAACCAATATAAGTTTAGAAATCATTAAAAGTATTGATGGATTATTTGATCAAGATGTATTAAATGATGTATTTTTAAAACATGGTATTAAATCCCCATTAGTTTCTCATATATTAATGTCAACTTCAGCAAATCCAGTAAGAATATTCAAATTTTTAAAATATTTATATAATGATTTACAAGAAGAAGGTGATTTTAATCAAACCACCACTGATGAAGAAAAAATTTATCAATATTTATTCCCAGAAAACAGAAAAGGTATCTGGACTCCCAAATCAGATAAACTTATTAAAAAGGGTAAGTTAAAAGAATTGAAAGATCTTCACGGCTCTAAGAAAATCAATGAAAGAAAAAGATTCTTAGAGAAAAATAAATTATTATAGTTCTTCACCTTGTCGGTTCCTCTTTTTTATTTTAGTTGTAAATTAATTGTTTTGTTTAATATACGTTATGTGATTTAAGATTATTCTAAATATATTTCATCGTCAATGCATCGTACTCTATCGTAGTACGTCGTACAATACTAGATCGAGGCTCGTTTCAATCGCTGGAAACTGAGCACTGGGGAATGGAAAACGGTAACAGGGTTACTGTATCGAGGGAACTCCTTTGTACAGGATGTTGCAGCTATTACGCGAAAAAAAAAAAAAGAGAATTCACAACATAATACAAAAAGTAGTTAGAGCTATTCATATATTTTGACTAAAAAGGGGATATCAAGAAATTTAGTTTAATCAAACTAAACTCAAAAAAAAAAGGGTAAGAAAAAGAGAATAGAAACATAAGAAGAAACAAGGCGATACTAAGAGAATTAGTTAGAAAGGATACCGTAGAATTTTTCGGCACCAAAAGAACCGTCAGCTTTCCAGTAATCGTTGAAAGCAGTGAATAAAATAGCATCATTACCACAAGATTTCTTGATGGAAGAGATGGCTGATTTTTGGTTAGATTTAGAAGGAACGGCAACCCCATTGGATTCACCTTTAGATGGCCAACCGGTTTCGGTAATGTAGACGGATTTTTTATTTGAACAAGCGGTGGCAACTCTTTCAATTTGTAAAAGAACCCAGTCACCGGCGTCTTCGGCGGTAACGTAACCATCAAAGAAAGCATGGGCGTTGACGGCGGTATAGTCACCAATATCACATAAACCTGGGTTATTAATAACAGCAATAAAAGTATCAACGGCAACAACTGGACCAGAGTAACCAGCGGATTTCAAAGCAGATTTAGCGGTGGAAACGTAGCCTTTAACTTGACCAACGGTGGCTTCACCAGAGTTGACCAATTCATTACCAACAGAAACGGTATGGATGTGATCCCAACCACCATTAGCTTCAACGGCTTTAGATAAAGTATCAACCGAATCTTGAATGTTGGCAACATCGAAAATCCCAGCGAAAACTTTTTGGGAAGGTTTTTTAGCAGACATAACTGCGTTAACTTGATCACAATCAACACCGTAAAGTCTAAGAATATCAAACTCAGCTAATTGTTCAATTTCCAGTTTGATTTGAGAAGATGATTTACAACCACCATCATTAGAGTAAGGAGAGTAAGTGATACCGTTACCAGAAGCAGAAGAACCACCAGAAGAAGATTCGGTGGATTCAGAAGAAGCAGAAGATTCGGTTTCGGTTTCAGCTTCACTGGTGGAAACTGAAGCAACTGAAGAAACCGCAGTTGGTTTATTTTGAGGAGTGTAAGTGGTATCAGTGTTAACACTAACAGAAGAACTTGGTTTGGGTAAATCAACGTGTTGGAAAGTGGTTGGTTGACCATTACCAACAGTGACTACAACAAGATTGGTTTTGGTAACTAATTTAACGTCTCTTTTATCATGTTCATGATGTTGGTGTAAAGGACGAGATAAAACAGAAGCAACGAGTGAAGCTTGAACTAAGGATTTAAACAACATAGTGAAGGACTCAAGTTGGAATTAAAAAGGTAATCTTCTAGGGAATGATAGTATTAGAAGGAACGACTGTAGAAAATTATCCTCTTAAGCGATGGAAAAGACCTTTTTCTTTTCTTTTTCAGCCAAAGTGGATTCCTAAATGTTTTTATATGATCAAACGCAAATATGGGAAGAATTTCCCTCTTGGAAATCATGAAACTTTGGCTTTGTCATACCTAAACTTTGTTTTGTTAAGCTGCTTTTGTTATTTTTTTCTGTTTTCGAGGCATTCTTAGGTTGTTTATTGTCTTTCCTTATTCGAGTGTTTTGTTTTGGTAAAAATTTTTTTTTTTTTTCACGTTTTTTTTTTCATGAGCTTCGGCTTTGGTGTAAGCCTGTAATACACGAGACTGCTTGAGTGCTTGACTACTTGACTGGGAGACTGCCGGACTACTTGGTTGACCAGCTGGTTGGGTGGTTGGGTGGTTGGTGTAGAGCTATGATTTGCAGAGTTAAGAGCATGGTTCGATGAGCTCGAAAATAGCGATGGTCTAGACTAATATGCAAATTTCTTTATGTATATCGTATAAATTTTAAGCCATTTGATTGGTGGGACCAGTGTTTCAAAATTGATAACTCAAGAGATTAATTAGTCCCAATTCGGAGTGCCCCTTTGTCTGCCATGGTAACTCCCAGGAGTTGTCTGCATTGACAGTTTTCCCAAAGTTCCATATGGGGGGATTTGCTATCACTAAATGAGTAAGCTTAGCTGATGCGTCTTATATCTGGGTCTGGTGCTCGAGTACCGTAAGCCTCAAGAGCCTTTGCTCGCTTATTTGGGTTTACGCTCATCCATTCTAGTTGCAAATAGGCTACTACCCGGATGTAACAATGTAGTCTAATGGCCCGGAGGAAGCATGGTAAGCATGGGAGGAAAGGTATAAGGAGTTACGTAACGGAAGAGTATTTCTTCAAACACAAAAGTATACAACATTAATCAATACAACATTAATCCAAAAATCAATACAAAATTAATCCAAAAACTAATAGTTAAAAAATCAATACAAAATTAATCCAAAAACTAATAGTTAAAGGTGATTTCAGCAAAAAGAAAGTCTACAGCACGATGGTTTCCATTATGGTCTCCCACTAACGTACTCAGCATCGCTCTCAGCAGCTTAATAATTATTGATCGGACGGGTAATCATGCTTTATGCTGGATATGGCCGTAGACATTCGAGTAGACGTTTCGGTTTGCTATACGTACGGGAAGCTGATGAGGAGGAAAATTCGATTTTTCCTGAAAGGCGAAAAAAAAAAAAAAAAAAAAAAAGGCCTTCCCACTTAATTCAACATGGGTTTTCTTGACTAAACATAGTCTTTCCCACTCTAGGTATATATTAGTAAATAGCTATTAAATATATATTCTTATATGTCAAAAAAAAAAAAAAAAGCCTTCCAATGGCGGTATTTCAGCGAAACAAACAGTATGCTGCGAAGACTTCACCTCTTTGGTGTGGAATTGACTAGCTGTACCGACGTTGTATATGCGTGGTCAAAACTATACCGTATTATCACTTCGCAATGCCGATGGTTCATATACCTTGTGAGCTTTCTCGAGACCTATAGGGGTCTACATAATCATGTAGTCTCCGATTGCTAGTAGGATGTAATTGTTAGTGCTCTTGCACTCAATAGTTTTACACCGTCGGTTTTGCAGCCATATTTCTTTACCTTCACTCTGTGCTCATCGAGCTTTATAAATGGTTTTAGCTGTAAAGGTCTTAGTGTAAAGGTTTAGCTGTAAAGGTCTTAGTGTAAAGGTCTTAGTGTAAAGGTCTTAGTGTAAAGGTTTAGCTGTAAAGGTTTAGCTGTAAAGGTCTTAGTGTAAAGGTCTTAGTGTAAAGGTCTTAGTGTAAAGGTCTTAGTGTAAAGGTTTAGCTGTAAAAGACTACCAAATGCTTTCATTTGAACTCATTAGAGACATCAACAGATCGGTTAACTATTGTACACGTTCTGTCTAAGTTTCTACGGCCTACATTTGTCTTCTGCCTAAGTTTCTACGGAGTACAGTTTTTTCTTCTGAAGTTTCTACAACCTACGATTCTGTCTCTGGGAAACTATTCTATACTCTGGTAGGCTTCTTATATTGAATTTATGGACTATCCAATCTATAATTGCTCTACTGAGTAGTGCAAGAGTACAAAAGCCGGCTCTACACAACATCTCCTAAAGCAAGCATCCTTCCCGCTTCCTATCCGATCAAGATCATTAACCTGCCAAAGACAAACTGTTCTTCTTCCATTGCAAGACTTGAATAGGAATAAAATTGCAAAAAAAAATTCGATAAAACCCAATCCTTTATTCACGTGACCATGTTTACACCCGTACACCCATAGAAAACCAAAAAAAAAAAAACATCCCACAGTTTCCCTTAGAAAAAAAGTAAAGGAAAAAAAAATAAATGATCCTACTCTACAGCATTACCTTATTCTACTTTCTTTTCAGATTCCCACTTAATTGACTTGTTAATTCTTGCTCAAAGTATTGAAAAGATCAATTGTCTCACCTCCATTAGAGTTCTAGACCTGGCTCCTTTATTATTACTCTACCTTGAGTTTATCACCTTTTTTTTATCTTTTCTCTTGGATCAAAAAAAAAACGTTTCTCAAATTTGATTTTCTGATATCTAATCTTGAGTTCCAGTTTATTAACATATTGAATCAATCTCTAGTCAATCAAGTGCTTACTGATTGAGTATTGATTATCTACAATTGCCTACACGTGTGTGCTCGTAGATTATTGAAGTATTGAAGGATCAATCATTTTTTTGCCGCCGGTAAAATTTACGAAGCAAAATTATATACAATAGATAAACTAGAAGCAGATCAAAGGAAGATCTACCTTATTGATATCTTTAACATTAATTAATCCAAAGTGTCTGGAAAGAACAATAATTCTGGGTTTGAAACTAATTCAATTGGTTTAAAACGTGATTTCATCGATATGATTACTGATTTGTCATCAGATGATAAAGAAAATAGTAATACTTCTTATTTAGATAAAATGGATGAATCAAATAGCCCTCAAACCAATCATATAGATACAAAAAAACAAGTCACCAATAATAATAACCCTTCAATTGAATCTAAGAAAATTGATGAGGATAATATGTTGGATGATTATGAAGTAATCCATGTTAATGAAGAAAAACAATCACAACAACATCATCATCAACAACAGATTGTCGCTGGACAACAGCCTGGCTTAGATGCAATTGGTGTTGATGATGATGACGATGAATCTGATGAAGATTCAGATAGTGACGTGGACGATGAATCAGATATAATTGAAGTTGATCCTCAATCTGTTTCAACCACATCAAATAATCAAAAGAAAACTCAACAATTACCATCTGCTGATAATCATAAGGCTTTGGCAACAAGATTATTAAAACCAGTACCTGATTACCCAGTGAAGGCAGAAAACTTTAATATATGGCAAATTAAAGATTGGTATGGTTTACCAAAAGATAAAGTTAGAGGTCCTGCTTTTACTTGTGATGATTTTAGTTGGAATATCTTATTATTCCCCAAAGGTAATAATAACAATCTGATTTCGATTTATATTGAACCTCAACCATTAGATAAAAGAAGTGAATGGTATGTCTGTGCTCAATTTTATCTTGATATTTGGAATCCTTTACATCCAGATTCTCATACAGTAATGTCTTCTCATCATCGTTTTAGTAATAATGAAACCGATTGGGGGTTCACTGCATTTATGGATTCAAAACAATTAAGTTCAATCCAAAGATCTCATCAATACCCAATTTTGGAAAATAATCAACTTAATATCACTGCCTATGTTAAAGTAATTGATGATTCTTCAACTGGAGTTTTGTGGCATAATTTGGTTGATTATGATTCAAAATCAAATACTGGATTTGTCGGTTTAGGTAATCAAGGTGCAACTTGTTATTTGAATTCTTTATTACAATCTTATTTCACAACTAAATGTTTCCGTAAATTGGTTTATCAAATCCCAACTGATTCCGATTCTAATAATAATAATAATAAAGCAGTACCTTTAGCATTACAAAGAATTTTTTACTCTTTGGCTACTTCAAATGACGCTGTAAATACTTTGGAATTAACTAAATCTTTTGGTTGGGATTCTTCAGATGCTTTCACTCAACATGATGTTCAAGAATTAAATCGTATCTTAATGGATAAATTAGAATCAGCAATGAAAGGTACTTCAATCGAAAATTCTCTTAATGATATTTTCGTTGGTAAAATGAAATCTTATATCAAATGTGTTAATGTTCCTTATGAATCTTCAAGAGTTGAAGATTTTTGGGATATACAATTAAATGTTAAAGGTTTTGATAAGTTGGAACAAGCTTTTGCTAATTATATTGAAATTGAAATGTTGGAAGGTGAAAATAAATACCAGGCTGGTGATGAATACGGATATCAAGATGCCAAAAAGGGTGTTGTTTTCCAATCCTACCCTCCTGTTTTACATTTACAATTGAAAAGATTTGAATATGACTTTATGGTTGATGATTTAGTTAAGATTGACGATTTGTATGAATTCCCAGATAAAATTGATTTAAAGCCTTACTTAGATGAAGAAGTTTCAGATGAAGTTAAAAAACAAAATTGGAATTACAAACTACATGGTGTTTTGGTTCATCAAGGTTCAATCTCAAATGGTCATTATTATGCTATGATCAAACCTAACGCTAATGACAACACTTGGTTAAGATTTGATGATGATAAAGTTTGGAAAGTTACCCCAACTCAAGTCTTCCAAGAAAATTTTGGACATGATGAATTAAGTTCCGATCAATTAAGCAGACTCTCAAGATTAGAACAAAATCAGTATTTCACTAGTAGAGTTACTTCTGCTTATATGTTGGTATACTATCGTGAACTGGAGTTGGAAAATATTTTACCAATAGATGAAAATAAAATTAACTCTTATGTTCCTGAACATATTCCAAAACAAATACAAGATGAAAGAGATGAATTAGAAAGATTAGAAAAAGCTAGACAAGAAGCTCTTTACTACCTCAATGTTAAGTTCGTTACAGTCGAAAATTATAATAACTTTAATGGATTCGATATGTATCCTGACCCAACAGTAAGTAAGTTTTATGACGATAATATTTTCAATGAGAAGAGTTATCCAGTCCAATTGAAAGTCAAAAAAGATGATCCTTTTAGCTCATTATACGAATTGGCAGCAAAAGAATTTAATTATCAAATCGAAGAAAGCAATAAGGAAGATTTATCGAAATACCCATTCAGATTGATTTTGGTAAATCACCGTAATAACCATACAAATAGAGCTGATGCGCCTGTCCCAACTGAATTTCAAAGCTTGACCATCAGCCAGATTTGTAATAGATTTTTTAACAAAAGATATGACGAAATGGTATTTTATATAGAGGAAGCACATAAAGAATTAAAATCCGTGAATGAATCACACAGTTCTATTGAGGAAGAAATTTCTCCAGAACAATTTTCTTTTGATAAAGTTTTCTCGAAGATTAACTCATCAACTGACGTAAAAAATAATGAATTACAAGACATAAGTGAAGGATCTTCATTTATTCAAATTTATTTGAAGTATTTTGATTTAGTTAGTAATGAGGTTAGGGGGTTAACCCATGTTACTGTATCAAAGGATGATACTTTATTATCGTTAATTAAACCAGTTAATAAGTTATTGGGATTTGATGAGAAAACTCCGTTAGAAATCTTTGAAGAATTATCCCAAGTTAAGATTGAAAATGTGGATATTAATTCGACTTTTGAGAAAAACGAATTGAGCACCGGTGATATATTAGTATTCCAAGTTGCCAATGTTGAAAATGGAACTCTTGGTAAAAAATTTGCTAACATTAAAGAATATTACAAATTTTTACTTACCAGATTACACATCTTCGTAAAACCTTTTAAGGCCAGTACTGGCGATGAAGATAGTGATTTTGTTGCCGAAGATGATGATGAAAAACAAGATAAGAGTGCTGAATTACAAAACAAGACGGGTTCAGGTAAATCACCTCAAGAGGCTAGAGAAATTGAATTAGCTAAAGAAATAAGTAAGTCTTTTGATCTTTGGATTTCAACACAATATTCTTATCAAGATTTAGCTATTAATATAGCTAAAAAGATCGATAGTGAATTAGATCCAAATTACTTGAGGCTTTTCATAGTCAATAATCAAGGTGTTAGATACCCTTTGAAATCAAGTCACAACTTATTACAATTTTTCCCTAAATCGGTTTCATTGTCATCGATTACTAACTTTGAATACGAAATTTTGAATATTACTTTGAAAGAATATGAAAATATGAAATCCGTTAAAGTATACTGGTTAAACAGTATATGCCATTTTCAATTGTTCGATTTCTTATTACCAAAAGATGGTACAGCAACTGATTTAGTCAATAAATTAGTTCATAAATTGAATATTCCACAGAAAGACTTGACTAACTTATTGCTTTATGCTGGTTTTGAAAATAAGTATATTGATTTGATTAAATTCGATAGAACAATTGAATCCATTCACGATGAATATGAATTATACGCCGGTATATTCCCAGCAGAGGTTGAGATTTTAGCTAGCCACGATTTGATAAAGAGATTCACCAATACTCCACCAAAAGCCGATGAAATTGATGATGAGATAACTAAAGATGAATACTTGAAGACAGTGAATTACTCTAAGCATTTGAATATAATTCCAGTATTCCATTTTTATAAGACCATCAACAATCAACATGGGAATCCATTCCTCTTCCCTCTATTCCCATCGGAACCATTTAGTGAAACCAAGGATAGATTACGTAAAAAATTAGGATTAGGTGTTCAGGCTTTTGAAAAAATCAAAATTGCGCTAGCCGATAACAATGCCAAAGGTAGGTTCATCGATCAAGAAAATCTTGATTTGAACTTATTTCAAGAAGTGGCAACTTTTGCCTCAAGTGTATCTTTGGCTTTAGATCATCCCGATAGAGCCCCTCGTCGTGTTAACCCATTTGATAAGGGTATTTCTATCAAGTAGAGGGTTTTTTGATATACATATTATCATTGTTTTAGCTTTGATTGTTTTTATTTCTTAGTGTTTAGTTACGGTACAAGTTTGCCAAATTTACGTTCATTCATGCCAAATTTATTATCGTTCATTATTAATAGAATTATAATTCATAAACTATATGGCCATTATTTTTGTAGGTTTTGAAGCTTTTCAACTTCTATCTCTCTTATATCTGTTGAACTTAATTTTCCTTTCCAGTTGTTTTCCTCATTACCATAATCTGAACCAATCACTTTAATACTTACAGTATCAAGCAAAGGAAAACCTTTCTCTTTTCTCACTTTATTAACAAAAGCACCCCCCTTGGATGATTCGTAGCTTAGAATCAAGGCATCAATCTCTTCGATATAACCAGTAGGACCACAAACGTCATTAATTTGAAAAATTTCGAATTTTACCTCAGAAGAGATATGTTTTTGAATAAAATTGATAACGACTTCCTGCCTTTTTTCGTATGACTCTAATGCTTCGCTGAATTTCTTATTTGTTAAGAGTTTTGGCCCTGTGATTCCTACAATCAAAGTCTTACTCGTTAGAAATGCCGACATGGATAGCAAGAGCTTATGAGCATCGTGTAAATGATCGAATGTTCCACCCACAGCTGTAACATCAAAACACTTGAAAGTTCTTCCCGAATCTTTAATCTTTTCAGGTACATGTAATTTTGAAAGGACACTTGCTTCGGGTATTGTCACAACTTTAATCAGTTCAGGTATGGAATTATTGATTGCTTCATTTTCTAAGTGATATAATACTTTCCAGTTTTCTCTTAATTTTTCAAATTTTGTCGAATTAAAGAACACGTCAATCTGAAAGGTGTAATCGAAGCCAAAATCAGAGAGTATTGATCGTATCTTGCTATATATTGTGGAAAGCAGCAAATTCAATGCCTGTGAATCCTTAATCTGCGATTGGATGAAAACATCAATTGAATGCAGTTGGTCCTTGGATGCTTTTATATCATCGACAACTCCATGGAACAATTTGCTGTAATCAAGACGTAACGGATCATTGACCACAATCACTGGATGTGCTGAAGTCATCTTATAGTAGGAAAAGTACTGGAATTGATCAAAAACTGGTATTCAACTCCTTTCTTATAAATAATTTGTAGAAAAAAGTTGTAAATTCAACAAAATTCTCACAATTTGATTTTTACAGCCATTCTTTCATTTCAGAGCGTTCGTTAAACTTTTAATTATTATATACAAGGTCTATTTACAAGGAAGTATTGGTCATTAGATAGAGTATAAAGGTTGCAATGACTGGCTAGCATCTATAAACTTGTAGACGTTTCTAGCGTGAGCATTGAATTTTTCCAAGGCTTCTGGGGTCTTAGAATCAATTTGGAAGATACCTCTTAAGTTAAGCATTAATTTGGTATCATTTTTACTTAAATTTTGGGTGGATTTCAAATAATCATAAACATGTTGCATCGATTTCAAAATTGGTTTGGAGAATTGCAATTTTTCTCTTGGATCAATTAAGTCTTGGGGTCTATAAAACAAGATACCTGATTTCAATATCGACTTATGTAACTGGCAAACAACTGCTTTGTTATCGTGAGGAATAAGCCAGGTAGTGTCGTAGACTCTTTCTATGATTCTGTTATAAGATTCAATATGATAGTTAGGTAAAACAACTTTCTTTGTACCTTTGAATGTATTTGCATCATAAACAAGCAAACAATTCATGAAATCGTTTAAGTTTCTCAAGAAATAGTGCAATTGATTATCATCAATTGATTTCTTTGGAGTGTTGTCTTTGACATTCCTCGAACGGTTCGACTTGACTCCTTTATCGTAGTTGTAGTCATTGAAATCATGAAGCTCTTTCATTAACACCGAAAATATTGAGTGGAACGTTTTCAATCTCGGCTGCAAGCTAGAAGACAAGTTTGTCTCTTTATTAACAAGTACTCTTAGAATTTCTAAAATCAATTGGCTGCCATTCTTGCTATGGATATTTTCATGAATCTTATATATAAAATTTTCAATCAACATAACATCAAGTATATCAGAGTCATGTGGAGGTGTAATATCAAATCTTTCAGCTCTTGGAATATCAGTGAATGATTTTTTATCCATATTTTCAGACTTGACTTCCTTGCCTTCATTTCTATCAGTCTGATGGGGCTCAACCATATAATTTTCGTTCAAAACACCTTTGGCAATACCTGTTTCTTGAATGGTATTGATTATATCAGTTCGACTTGCGTATACACCACCCCATTTTGTTATGATATACCAAACTCCAAGTATAAATGCTTTTTCATTACCCAAAGCTATTAAACCATCCAAAGCTAATTGTAATAAAAACTTGTTAACACCTTTTCTTTTCTCTTGGGTGATTTTCTTGTTACTAACGCCTTTCGAGTCATTAGAAGTGGTATATATATCAACAAACCTTGGTCTTGAAAAATCCACAAGTCTTTTTTCCTTTGGAGTAAGAATAGCTCTGTTTTTGTTCTTGGTATGAGAAGGAGGTGGGAATATCACCGTTGGATTTAATTTTGATTTATCATCGTTCAATTCAAGTGTATTCGGATTAATACTTTCATTGAAATTGTGCATTTCAGGTGATTCTAGGGCAGTGTGGATCCGTAAATCAGTTGATCTTTTCAATATATCATTTGGTTCGAAAATTGAAGATTTTGATTTTTTTGATTTATTGATAAAGTGGAACATTGAATCAATTTCAGGACACCAAGCTGCTAGATAAGTCAAACCTTGCTCCACAAACTTATAATGAGAACCCAGTCTATGGCTCGTAGAGGTTCCGGAAAAGTTATTTATATAACAGGAAAGAAAACTGGTGGCAAGGGCATGGTCAATGTCCACAAGTTTAACTCTCAGTTTCTTCTTATAATCAGCAAGTAAATTAGGATCAGCGTCCGCTTCTGCCTTTGTTGGAGGTTTTTCAGGGGTTGCTTTCTTTAAAGCATGTTGAAAGACTTGTTCGGCTTTCGTAATCATTCTTCTTTGATTTGACAAAAGTTTCAAAGTTCTTTCCTTTGATGATAAGTTACGATCTTTTAAAATTAATTCAGCTTGATGAGTGTGGTACTTCTTCAACCCATTGATGAAAATAGTATACGTTTGACTATCTGGTTGAATTCTTGGTAATTTATCAAACTGGTCGGGATCAACAACACTATTGAAAAAATCCCAGGCAGTCTCTTGTTCGCTATCGAAATTCTTCATAAGGACACTAAGACAGGAATTGAAATGTTCAACAGAGCAAATAACTTTCCCTTCCTTTTCACTGTCCTTTATGGATTTATTATTTGCCCTTATAGTTTCAAATTGTTTAATACAGGTTTCAATAGTCGATTTTGGCATCTTACCCCATTCAGTAGATTTTGCTAAACCATTAAATAAAATGATATGGGTATAATTATTTGGCTGGATATTCCATTTTTTACGATCATTATAAACCTTGAAAGCTTTTGCATGATCTCCCTTTTCCAATAACCATTGTATGATAGCATTCATACCCACTCTTCCTTTATCGCCGGCCAATTTACATAATTGCTGAGCTCTTAAATGATCTTCATCTCTTTCCAAGAACTTAATCGTATCTTTTGTAACGACATGAGAGTCTTTCAATTGTTCAGTAGTGGTACCCAATAAAAAAGTCAATAACTTTGTATTAAGACGATCTTTATTCAATTTCTTAGCGTTTACTATTGAATGGAATATATCTTTGGAAACAGGTGAAGTGATCTTCAAGTCGTTAATAGTTAATTTATCAAGTATAATAGGATCACCATTTGATTTTTGCAATATACCATCATCAAACTTCGATTTCAATGTAAGTAAAGCTTTTTGGGGCGAATATGAGTTCTTCGAAATGTCAAATTTGGTTTTTTCAAACTTTTTATTCAACTTATTTCTTTGTTGAATAGGGGTTAACTTCATGATTTGTCCAGTATTTTCAAAGTATTCTAATTTTGCTTTTAAATGAGATGATGTCTTCGATTTTTCATTTCTTATGGTAACAGCGGATGCTGTGGCATAACGTGCAGCGAAACTTTTACACAACCATCGTCCATGGATGATACTGCCACTAGAGCGACTCAATAGCTGGGACATGGTGCTCGGTGTCAGTGATTTTGATGGAAGATATCATGAAAGATGGAGATGAGATGAATTTTTCAACCTTTTTTTTTTATCGAAATCGCATCTCTGAAAAAATACAAAACATACTAAAGGAATATTTTATAACTTTACTACATCATTGGCATTAGACATGGCTTCAGAACTAGCCTGGAAGGAATATGAGACGTTAGTTCACCACCAAAATAACGGCCAGCAAATAACGGCCAGCAGATTTGAGAAATTGGGAGAGAAGATTGAATCTAGTAATGAGTTTGAGTCTGACTCTTATCAGAGATATAAATGGATGAAGTTGAGAAAAGATATCGAAACGCTTATATTGCAGTTAAGCCGGGAGAATATAAAAGACACTGCTGTGAGCTTGTTTGGATTGAATTTGAACAGAGGTAAAGGGATACTTATACGAAGTATAATCAAGCAGCAAATTGAAGAACCTAAAAACACGGCAATATATTCTTCATTAATATCAATCATAAATCTGAAAATAACCGATGTGGGAAAAGTATTGGGGAGCAGATTGATCGTGCAGTTTAAAAAGAACTATATTCGAAATAACCGAAGGTTGGTTCGTAATTCCATTACGTTTATGTGTCAACTAGTTAATCAGAGAGTAATAAATGAGATTATAATTTTAGAGATACTACAAATCTTGTTGGATAAGAAACCAACGAGCCAAGGCATTGAATTGAGTTGTGAGATTATAAAACTTAATGGTAAGTTGTTAATGGGGAGTGCCAGAAGCGCATTTGATATGATTATAACTCGATTAAGGAACTTAATGGGAGAAATATCCATTGACGAAAAAGGGATGCAGAAAATTGAAAATATTTTTAGATTGAGTAGAAACCAATTTCGGTTCTTCAAGATTTTAGAAGAAGATTTAGACTTGATCGAAGAAGAAGATCAAACCACTCATATAATCGATATAAACGATGAAATAGACATGAAAATTGATCAGGACTACTATGAATACGATGGAAACTACGAAGATAATGAAAAGGCGTATGAGAACATACGGAAAGACATATTGGGAGACGATGAAGAAGAAGAAGGAGAAGAAGAGGAAGAAGACGAAGAAGAAGTGGCAGAGGAAGGGGAAGAACTACAAGAATTCAAAGATATGACCGAGTCCAATCTATTGAATTATCAAAAGACCATTTATTTAACCATTATGTCAAGCATGTCATCGGACGAAGCAGTGCACAAGTTGATCAAGTTGAATCAAAGCAACCAGCAAAAAGATGAAGTTCTAATTGATATGATTATCAAATGTTGTTCGCAAGAGAAGACTTATTCTAAGTATTATGGGGTGATTGGAGAAAAAATGATTTTGATGAAAAAATGGCATTCTATAATGGTTCAACAATTTAAGCATACGTATGGGAACATTCATGAGTACGAAAACAACCAAATAAGAAACGTAGGGAAGTTTTTTGGACATTTATTTGCCAGTGATAAGTTATCGATTGAAGATTCATGGGACGAGATCATAATGACCGAAGAGGAAACCAACCTGGCAAGTCGAGTCTTTATCAAGTTTATATTTCAAGAAATGATTGAAGAGATTGGACTCAAAACGGTTCATAACATGATCAGTGATGATGCAGTCAAGGGCAAAATCAGTGGGTTATTCCCGGTGAATGGGTCTGACTTAGACCACGTCAGATTTCTGATCAATTACTTCACTGCCATTGGGCTCGGGGTGCTAACCGAAGAAATGAGACTGGGGTTGGCCCAACTGTCCCGGGGACGATCCAGGTCAGTTAGCAGCCATTCGAGTTATTCCCGAAGCGGTTCCAGCTCAAGGTCGAGGTCCTACAGTAGGTCCAGATCCAACAGTCCATGATCCTCCCATTCCACATTTACATAGATTTATATAGATTTGTATAGATTTATATAGATTTATGTTCATATATTCATTCATATACTAGTATAGGGTTATCCGGTGTACGGATCCCACCAACACCAACACCCATACACCACCCAAAAGCAAAGCCCGTTTGCCAAAGACCATCCAGAGCAGGGTCTGATGGGAGCAGCAGCAGCAGCAGCAGCAGTAGCAGTAGCAGCAGCAGCAGCAGCAATAGCAGGTAGGAGCCGGACGGTAAAAGTAGGAACGGGACATTAGGACATCGGATGTACGGGCTGGCTCTTGCGATGGATTACCGCACCTGCATACCTCAGCCAGCCAATAATAGACAAGTAGTTAACAACCAAGTTATTTGATTTGAGCAAAAATGAAATGGCTGATGTCTGACTCTTGAACGTATAAATATGAATTTATTTCTGGAAAAAAACCCGGGTTGATATTTCACTTTTTCCTTTTTTTTTTCTTTTCCAATTTTTCAACTTTAATTACTACATAATGCCAGCTCCATTCGAAAAAGGTTCTGAAAAAAAAGGTGCCAACTTATTTAAAACCAGATGTTTACAATGTCACACTGTTGAAAAAGGTGGTGCTCATAAAGTTGGTCCAAATTTGAATGGTGTTTTCGGAAGAAAATCCGGTCAAGCTGCTGGTTTCTCTTATACCGATGCCAACAAGAAAAAGGGTGTTGAATGGTCTGAACAAACCATGTCTGATTACTTGGAAAACCCAAAGAAATACATTCCTGGTACCAAGATGGCTTTTGGTGGTTTGAAAAAACCAAAGGATAGAAATGATTTGATTACTTATTTGGCTAAAGCTACTAAATAAGTTGCTCAACTACGTGGTCATGATATACTTTTAGAAAAGTTCCTTTACATTTTTATTCTTTTATTTATTTAAAATTACTCATATAATTCTTTTATCTTCTTATATTGCTAATGAAGGCTTTTTTCTTTCATTGATTGAAAAGGTGCTCATTGGCTGAAAAATTTTCCACTTGTCAATTTTGAACTATAAGAAGAGGAAAATCATAAAAGTAAAGCTATCTCTATTCATTTTGTTCTTTGTACATAATTACTTAATATAAACTTTGTTACCTATGGATGACTGTAGACCTTTAAACGAAAACGATGGAAATTTTGCAAAACGGCCAAAAGAAGAAAAAAAAAATGTACGGAGGTGAAAAATTGAACAATTGACAGCATCTTCTCTTTAACAAGGATGTCTATGAATGACTTTAAGGTCCCAGTGGAGGTAGATCCAACTGAAGATACCGAGTGGAATGATATCTTGAGAGAGAAAGGAATCATTCCGGAAAGACCTCCTTCTCCAACACAACAATTAGAGGAAGCGTTGGAAGAAGCCGTTAGAAATCAACACGAAAATAGATTAGAATCAAAAGATTTAGATGAACTAGATGAATTAGAAGACGAAGAAGATGAAGCGTTTTTAAACGAATACAAATTCAAACGATTAGCAGAATTGAAAAAACTAAGTGAACGAAAGAAATTCGGAACAGTTTTCCACATTAATAAACCAGAATACGAAAAAGAAGTAACTTTAGCCTCAAATGAAAATCAACCGGTTATAGTCCACATGTCTTTACAATCATCTTTACAAAGTAGATTGTTATCTTCCCATTTCATCCAATTAGCCACTAAATTCCCCGAACTAAAATTCGTTGATATCCCTGCTAATAGATGCGTTGAAAATTACCCAGAATCAAATTGTCCAACTCTATTAATTTACTTGAATAAAGATGTGATTAAGCAATTCATCACCTTAACCCAATTAGGTGGTAATGATACCAAACTAAAAGACTTGGAGCAAGTCTTGATCAATGTTAATGCAATTAATGAAAATGATAAACGATTACTTATCAACCATCTAGATGACGACTTGGAAGATGACCGCAGATTGCGATTCATGAAGAAATCAATCAGAGAAAACGATAGTGACGATGATTTCGATTAATCTGCTTGTATATACCTTATATAGCTCTTTATCATTATATTTATATATATATATATATATATACTGGGTGCACGGGTCTAACACCCAAGACCCTTTGGAAATTTGCAGCGAAATGTCAAGCCTTTCGAATAACTACCTTCTTTTGGTATCTTGCCGATTCAACTTCCACCGCTTGGATAAACCTTGGAGTACACTCAGATAACCTCAAATATACTTATAGATCCACCCGTCATCGTAGACTCCCACTGACTCATTCAAATCAATCGACTCGGCTTGTTCCTCCGGTACGAAAAAAAGAACCTTCAGTTCCAACTTGTTACCAAAAAAACGTCTCTTCTTTCACCGTTTCCCTCAAACAAAACCCACCAGGCCGCCAGTACCCAGGTCTCCGTATTACCGTCGTGTGATTGCTCTGTCGTGTGAACCTTGTGGTTATCATTTGCTTCTGGTTTTGGTTCTGATTTGTCGTGTACCGACCCCATCATCAAAATCACAAATCTGATTTCATTTTGTTTCTTTCATTCAATTGCATCAGCTATTTGTAATTACCAAACTGCAATACTTTGTCTAGTCGTATCTCTCTGCTTGGTCTTAGTTGGTTGAGTTTGACTTTCCGGTTCATTCAGTCTGGTTTTGAGTTTTTTCTGTCACTCGGTCGTTCGTTCAACGGTACGCAACTCACTTACTTCCATCAAATTTGAAAAAAATAATTGGCAACAAGGTTAACTCACTTCAGCCATATAGAAAGGTTTCAAAGACATAGATAGAACTGCTATCACATATTGAAATAAGATTCCTTTCTCTTCCTTTTTTCTGTTTTTTTTTTTTTTTTATTTTTTTGCATTATCATTTTCATGTTTGATATCTAAACTCCAGCCATGTCATCACGGAAAACTGTTCCTGGGAAAGGTATTACTACAAATGGGTATCATAATGATCTCGATTACGAGAATGGTGAAATAACTCAGGAAGTCACTCCACCCCCAGATAATTTTGGTCATATCAAATCTTGTCAACATATCAAATCAGTCTTGGACTCAAAGGCCCATGATAACGTTTTGATAACTTATAAGCAAGCAGTTAACATAACCGTTACTAATAATAAGAACTATAGTAACAAGAAATTCACAATGAAGAAGGACGGTTCCTCAATATTATCTAATAAGCTACAAGATTTGAAATTGAAGTCATTAAAATGTACTGATTGCTCACTCAATAATTTTTATAATAACTTTATTTGCTTACAGTGTCCTCATGTTGGATGCTTTCATAATTCCAATCATGCTTATAACCACTACAAGTTGAATCAACATTTATTTGCTATTGATTCATATAATGGATTACTATATTGTTTTTCGTGTGGAGATTATGTTAATAATTCAAAATTAGAAAAAATTCGGTTAAAAATTTTAACTAACGATGATTCAGTTGAAAAATTCAATAAAATTGAAAGTAATAATGATAATAATGAAGAATATTTATTACCTTCCAAACAAGCAATGAATGGATTAAAAGGATTCATAAATCTCGGATCAACTTGTTTTATGAGCTGTATTTTACAAAGCTTCATTCATAATCCAATTTTAAAATATCAATTTTTCAATAATGATTATCATTTTCTTAATTGTGATAGTAATCATGATTATATGAATGGGTTAATTGACGAAAATAATGCATGCATAACTTGCAGTATTGATAACATTTTTAAAGGTTTTTTCACCGCAAATAATCCTGAAGGTTTTGGTATGACTAATTTATTAATGACTGCTTGGTTCAAAAAAAAATCATTAGCAGGATTTCAAGAACAAGATGCTCATGAATTTTGGCAATTTCTTTTAAATGAATTTCATCTGGACTATGAACGAATTAATAAGAAATTAAATGCCAATCATTTAGTCGATGATGATTTTAATTGCAAATGTATTACTCATACTACATTTTCTGGTCAATTAAATAGTTCAATTAAATGTTTGAATTGTGATTCAATCACCGAAACTATTGATCCTTTAATTGATTTATCTTTAGAAATGAATCATTTGAATCATTTAACAAATCCAACTTTGTACGATTGTCTTGATTTATTCACAAAAGATGAAAAATTAGACGTTATGTATACTTGCCAACATTGTGAAACCAAATCAAAAGCAATAAAATCTTTGAAAATTAAAAAATTACCTCCAGTTTTATCAATTCAATTGAAAAGATTTGAACATAATTTATATAATGACGTTTCTTCTAAAATTGAAACTCCAGTTAAAACTCCATTATTCTTAAATTTAACAAAATATACTTCTGACGTTTCTGATGATGAAATTGATCAAAACAAAGTCTATGAATTATTTACGGTTGTTTCTCATATCGGTAGCGTAAATACTGGTCATTATATAGTAATGATCAAAAATGGTGATGGTAAATGGTTCAGATTTGATGACAGTGTCATATCAATTGTTTCTCAAGATGAAGTAATGAATACAAATGCATACCTCTTATTTTATATAACTCATAGAATATAATCTCTATTTTTATCGTTTCTCACCCCTTTACCTCGATAACATATTGCATATCTTCCAGTCTTTTCTTCTATATACATAATATATTTTTAGCATTTCAAGATCCAAAGGGTTGGCTCCTTGGAAACAACAAAAGCTCATAAATTACCAATAAGCCCTTTTAAATGCTAAAAATATCCTGGCAAACTGGTCTTATGGTCTTGTGATCCTTAACTGGAAAAAATTAACACTGAAATCAACGCACCAGTTTCCCGTCGTTCCCTCTGTTGATTGTGTTTTATTACGGAAATATACCCAACTAAAAGGTCAAGACTGCATACCTCTAGCTCACCACCTCCCATAATCCTCCCACCACCGAGATCAGGGGTTACGTGAAATTATTCTTTTAACCAACCCTTTGAATAAGATGCGATTAGCGACTCACACTCGATACCTTTAACGAATGACCATCGGCTCATACCCTTGCCCTATTTGTGGCAAACGTGAGTGAACGTGTGGTTTGATAACCGGTTTCATCATTCCTATTTATCTTCAAAGCAGACTGAATTAATTCATTTTACACCATTTACAAAAACGCATCAAGCTCCAAAGGGTAATCTAATGGCGTGCGTTGCGTCAAAAATTCTAGAACTGCAAAAAAACACACCAAAAACAAAAAAAAAAAGAGAAAAAGGTTGCAATATCTATGCAGGTACATGCACCTTGTAGCGAAAGCACCAAATTCAATCAATTCAACGTTCGCAGGATATGATTAACAGCAGCAGCAGCAGCAGCAGCAGCAGCATCACCACGAGAGATGAGTAGCGATGAGAATGATGACAGTACTGAGAATGATGACAGCACTGAGAATGAAGGGGCGATAAGAATGGAAGAGGATAGGAGAAAAAGTAGGTTTGTATGCACCGGTGGGCACCGGTGGTTTGTACCTTTCGAATATTAAAGGCTTGTCGTGAAATGAGGTATTGAAATGTGGTACTCTGAAATTACGGATACTTTTAGAGAAAAGTAGAAGAGAATTTGCTTATCAATCGGTTGAAATCCAATGGTACCTTGCTTGTACCTTTTATCGGAACATTTCTTGTGAGTTGCTCGAATGGATTGGCCATAATCCGATCAATTATAATACCGACAATCGCAACCGGGAAGGATAAACTATTAATGCACGAATATAGTTACATTGTTGACGCGTTCAATACAAGGGCATTAATTTCTTCTATTGTTGTGAATTTTTTTTTGATAAAACGGATCAAGTAAATTACTCACTATACATTGGGTTAAATACGTTTCTAATCGAAGGTTTTCAGAAGTTGTTTTAGTACATCTTGCTCTTGCTGAAGTCGCTTGCTATAGGAACGTTTTGTGATAATACTTTTGAACCGACAACGTTTCTTCAAAAACTGAGCAAGTCTGTACCGTTCATGTTCAAGCCTGCCCTCTTCCTTAATTCTTTTTCAATATGAGCTAATACGGTGCCGAAGTCTAGGATTTCTTTTTGCTTTTTATTTTATAGTCTTGTTTATTGTTTTGATTTTGCATTTCTTGAAACCTAAAATAATTTAGAAGGGATTATTTTCCAAATCATTTGTACCTTTTCGTAAAGCGGTATAAATAGATTCACCAAAACCCCCACGCGTGTAATTAGTTTTCAGTTTTCGATAGTGTATAATAATATTCGAAATATCTTGTTTTTAAATCATTATTTGAGTTTTTTCCTTCGTTTTAACCTTTCTCTTAATAAAAATGTTATTTTTTAGCTTGAGTATCTGGATTTTTTTTGTTGCAAATACCTTAGGTGCTCCTTCAATTGTTAAGAAAGATGATGATTTAGATACTACCACTGCTTTTGCTGATGCGGTTAATGCTACTTGGGATACTTTTTGGGATAATTCTAAAAACGCTTGGAATGTCGATGATCCAGCTTGTGGTGATTCGTTTTCATATCCTTCAGTTTGGAAAGCTGCTGTTGCCAGTAAAGCCATTAGTGATACTTTTGATAAAACCAAAATCTATGAAGTAACTCAAAGTTTGATTGATAATTATAAAAATTCTGATGGTTGGTTTTCTGCAACTACTGCAAAAGATGATGATGTCTACACTGATGATAACAGTCAAGTTGTTTGGGTCTTACTTGATTCTTATAAATATACCGGTACGATTGACCATTTAACAGTTGCAGAAAAAGTCTTATCAAATATAAAAGATCAATGGGATTCTTCTATTGGTGGGGTCAAATGGAGTATCAATGGAGATTATGTTGCATCTATTTCAACTGCTGAATCTGCTTTGGCTGCTATCAGATTATATCAATTAAACAATGATGAGTCTTTACTTGAATTTTCTAAGACATGTATCGACTTTTTATTTGATAAATTACAAGATCCCTCGGATCATCTCTTATATGATGGTATCACTGTTTCTTCAGGTGAGGTTAATAAAGGTAAACTTACTTATACCGTCGGTACAACTATTTCAACCCTCTCTTATTTGATTAAAATTACCGGTGATCAAAGCTATAACGATAAAGCAGTTCAATTAGCAAAAGCTGCAATCAATAAAAATGGTGCATTTTACACTAACGGCTATTGGAATAACCAATTGCAATACATTCATTTATTATACGCTGGTTTTGTTGACTTGATTACTGTTTCAACCGCTAATAATCAGAAACAAAGTGGGTTTTATCAAAAATTAATCTCTGAAATGAATAGACAGGCTACTTATACTTATGATTATTTGCAAATCAGTAAGGGTTACTATTATCATAATGTCTACACTTATACTGACCAAATGTATTCTAAATATACCTCTAAATTTGGATCTTCGAAATCTTACAATGCAAACCCAAAAAATTTCTGTGGTGGTGATGTTAACGGTACTCCAAAGAAAGATTTAATGGATAACGCATCAGCTGCTCAAATTTTTTATGAACTCAGTAGAGTTTCTTCTTAACCTCCTTTAATTCTTACATTTATTTAATTTATTTATCTTCACTTATTTTGGTTTGGTTTCGGTTCGTATTTTATAATATATTTTTATCTTTTTATAGTTATTAAATGAAAAAGTTAGCTATAGTGTTTCAACTTTAACTCAGAATCGTATCGTATTACAAAAAGTAGATTTAAAAAGGGTATAATAATTGTACATTAATAAGGTAATCATATAAGATAAATGCAAAAGAACTGAATAAGGTAATCTTGGAAAACGTTAAAAATAATATAATACAAGCTTTATCTTGAAATTAAAAGAAAAGGCATAAAAAATTAATACAAATGTTCAACAATCTCATCACGACGTATGTTAGCCTTTTCACACATATTTGTGAAGACACCATTTTTATCAAAAAGTTCCAAAGGTGTTCCTTTTTCGACAATGCTTCCGTTATCCATGACAAGAATTCTATCATAATTGAGAATTGTCTTTAATCTATGAGCAATTGTTAAAATGGTACACTGAGTAAATTCGTTCACAATAGTTTCCTGAATTTTAGCATCAGTACCATAATCAACAGATGATGTAGCTTCATCTAAGACCAAAATTTTGGAATTACGAACTAAAGCTCTAGCTAAAGCAAGTAATTGTTTTTCACCCAAAGAGAAGTTATTACCATCATCTTCAACCAATTGATCAAGATGGAATTTTGGTAAATCATCGAGGCCAACATTATTTTCGGGATCTAATTTAATACCTTTCATTTTGAAGAGTTGAAGTTCATCAATCAAATCTGCTCTTCTCAAGGAATCCCACAAAATATCATCATCATATTGATCAAATGGATCCAAATTTCTTCTGATACTACCTTGGAACAATACTGGGTCCTGTGGAATGATGGATAATCTTGATCTTAAATCGTATAATCCCATTTGACTGATGTCTAAACCATCTATACGTATACTACCAGTTTCAAGTTCATTTAACCTATACAAAGCAGTCATAATCGATGATTTACCAGCACCAGTTCTACCACAAATACCAACTTTTTCACCAGGGTAGATGTTAAAGTTCAAATTTTTCAAAACCAAAGGTAAATTTGGTCTGTATCTGATTGAAAGGTCTTTGACTTGAATAAATCCAGCGGCTGGCCATTCTTGTGGTGGTTTTTGTTCCGGGATTTCGTACTGTGCTTCTTGAGGCAAGTGGAATGCATAAGAATGTAATCTTTCTACTGAATTCATCTCATTTTCAACTTGAGTCATTGATCTAATAGTTAAAGATAATAAACCAACAATCTGAATAACATAATTTAACAATAAACCAGTTGACGAAGCACTAATGTTAAATTGCTGAGTGATACATAACACACAAATGATTAAAGCAAATAAACTAGCAACAATATCCAAATGAACACTTAACCATCTTTGGTTAGCAATTGCTAAATAATAAGCTTCATTCATTTTGTTTAAGAAATGATCATTCTTTTTAACAAAATTATCTTCACACTTATATGCTTGAATGGTTGTCATACCAGTTAAAGTTTCATTAAAGTTATTATAAACAACTGATCTTTGTAAAGCTTCCAATCTTTTAATTTCTCTTGAAGAACCGGAATAAAAGTTAGATATGAAAACGAACATCAAACCCAAAAATGGAACAGCAATAGCAAACCAAGGTAAATAAATAATACATAAGATCACGATACCAATGATCAAAGCCAATGGGAATAAGAATAATCTTAATTGTTCCCCAATTTCATTATCCAAAGAATCAGTATCTTTAGTAAATCTATTCAAGATTCTACCCATTGGATTAGTGTCCATGAAACTCATTGGTGCATGTAAAACTTTAGCAACAGCTTTAACGTTCAATAACTCTGCTGAACGATTATTCATATAGGTTAAAACAGCGAATTCAATAGCAGTAAAAAATACCGTTAAAAATGCAAAACCAACGTACCATCCAACATAATAATGATCGGATAACTGCTTAAATTTCTTTTCAGTCCACCAAGATAACCAGGTATTGGTGAAAAGTTGACAGAAGGTAGCTAAAGTAATAATTATAAGGAAAACAGGAACAGCCAAGTAGCCAAAAATACCAGAACCAAGGTTTATATATCTCTTGTAGATTTCCCAACTAATGGCATTAGTAGCTCTGTCTTCGTCTTCTAAAGTTCTACCGGTTAAGTCACCTGGTTCTGGAGCATTTGTCTCTTCTCTTGATAAATAAAGATCTTCGTTGTAAGGATTGGTAGTGTTATAGATTTGTTCGTTACTATAATTAATTTGTCCAAGAGGAGCATCGTTAGTGGGTTTGTTTGAATCCTTATAGAAATCGGTTAAAGTTCTGAAGTTACGGTTTCTGTAAGACAATTCACTAAGTGTCCCAACATCAATTGAACCGTCACCATTTAAAAAAACAATTTTATCAGCATTTTCAACAAGAGATAATTGATGGGTAGCTAAAACTTTAGTTTTGTCTTTCAAAAGGCCATAGAATAAGTTATCAGTAATATGCTTACCAACTCTTGCATCGACAGCAGAGAGTACATCATCGAATAAAAGAATGTTTTTATCAGCATAAGTAGCTCTTGCCAAGTTGATACGAGCTTTTTGACCACCAGATAAAGTAACACCACGCTCACCGATCTCAGTATGATCTTTAGCAGACAACATGGCAATATCATCATCTAAACAACAGGCGTGAACAACTTTTTTATATTTAACTGGGTTATAACTTTTACCGAATAAAATATTTTCACGAACGGTAGCATTTTGGATCCAAGGGTCAGAACATAATAATAAATCATCACTTATATTTAATGAACCAATACCTGGATTGCTTAACTTCATAAAACCAGCCAATGCAGATAAAAGAGAAGATTTACCTGAACCAATAACACCAGTGATAACCACAAATTCACCCTTTTTAATAGTCAAATTAATATTTGTTAATCCGGGGAATCCGTTATTATTTTCACCACCGGTTGAAATTGAATTCATTGATTCAAAATAAGTGTCAGTAGAAGATCTTGAGTTGAAAGAAACAGCCTTTTCATGAACTGAGACTTGATTATTTAATTTTTTGTTTTTGGAAGCAAATTGTTGTTTTCTCTTTTTAGCAGCTGGATGTTCTTCTTCCCAAAGAGAATTATCATCTTCGAATTCATCATGGAAAGTTTGCCAAATGAAATCTGCATTATTAACTTGAATAACAGTTTCATTTTTTTCATTAGAAGATAATTCATCATTACTAACAACAAAAGAGTCATTTTTAAAGGCTAATTCCAGATCAGTATCACCAGCCACATAAAATTTACCACTGACAAGTTTAGAACCTTTTTTATAATTTGTTTCATCCTCATTATCATCAAATTCAGAAGCATTTAAATAATCATTACAACGTTTGAAACCAATATAAGCATCAGCACCAGTGGCCAAGGCAATTGGTAACAACATAATGGCTTGGGCCAAAATAGAGAAAAGAGATAAAGAAGAGAAAACTTCACCAGGAGATTTCATTCTATTACTTGCCCACATGGTAACAAAAGAAATCATTGAACTTAAAGTTGGTAAAGTAACAGCATAAGCAGTGATAAAATTTCTCAAGACTTTAATTGTAAATAAATGTTTCATTTCTTTTTCTCTTAATTTAGTTAATTTTAATTTATAAGCTAATTCCCAAGCGTAAAACTTAATAATCTTTAAATTATTTAAAGCTTCTCTCATTAAAGAAATCCTTTCATCGGTAAAGATAACAACGTCTTGTCTAACTAAATATAACTTGTGAGTTAATAAAACACAAACTACTAAAGAAATCACGAATAATCCAATACCAGCTAAAGAAGCGACACCGATATTAGTTAATAATAAAACCACGGCAATAATAACTGGAACAGGACAACAAATAATTAAAGGTTGGAAACCAATGGCCAAATCAATTCTAGCCAAATCAGTAGTCATTAAAGAAGTAACTCTACCAATAGGGAATTTAAATTTTGATTTAGCACTTAATTTAAAACTTTTTAATAGTAATTGTTTTGTTAAAATTGATTTAGCTTGAGCACCAGTAACCATAGCATTATGGAAAAAATGATTTAATAATAAACCATTGACAAAAATTAAAATAACTGAACCAATGGTATAGCCAATACCTTTATTATAGGTAGTTTCGATTCCAAAATATTGATTTTCAACAAAATCAATTAATCTTCTAGTCAATAATGGAGATAAGGCTTGACAACAAAAGGATAAAGCTAAAAATGTACAACTCATAGAATATTGAAGGAAAAAAGTTTTATAAATGGCCCAAGGAATAGCCCAATGAGGCCAGTGGAATTCAGATAAGTCTTTATGTTTCTTTAAATGCTTATCTCTAGCAGAAGTTAAGATTTTTTCCAAATTATTCATATATTTTTCATGCATAGCTTCAACTTTTAAATTATCTGGTAAATACCATAAATCATCGGGTTGTAAAGTTCTTTTATAACCTTTCATTAAAGTTGGCCATAACCAATAAAACATAGCTCTACTAAAAGGATTTGCCTTTTTCCAAGGATAGGATTTTCTTTCTTCTGGAGCAGTTACTGGAGGCACTTCTTTGGAGAAACACCAAGAAAAGAGTCTTTTTTCATTGTGTAAAGCATTTGGATTTTCCAAATCAGCAGGTTGGTCATTATTAGCTGGGGGGTTTTCATAAGGGGTAGTTTTATGTTCTTTAACTGGAGTTTGGGGGAAAGGATTAATTTCACTTTGGTCGTCCATCTTTGGAGGGCGCTTACGTCTTGGGCGTTTTTTCTTATGTTGATGTTGAACATCTTGGTGACCATCTTGTTCAGCAGCTTGTTCAGCTTCTTGCTCAGCTTCTTGTTCGGCATGATATTGTGGGGATTCATGTTTTTTATAATTTGGATTTTCAGACTTCAATCTTCTTTTTTGTACCTTCTTCTTTCTCTTTTTAGGAGAAGGGGTATAGTTAGAAGTATGGTTAGGGGTATTCAAAGTGGAGGGATCAACGTAAGTATGGGTAGCACTTGATTCATCGCCAGGATGAGGTGGAGACAAATGACTGGAATAAGGTTGCAGTAAACGATGAGGTTCATCTAAAGACTCTTGTTGAACAGAAGCTCTTTCCCGGCGCTGTTGTAGTTGAAAGCGTTGGTATGGAGTAAGATGATCTTCATCGTTATTACGACTTGGAGATTGGAAAGGATCAGACATCCTCTTAACGCATAAACCACTAGTGAGTGTAAGGGGTATCAAGGGTATAAAAGCCTAGGGTATCAAAATGAAGGGAAATGGCAGGAGCGGCTAAACTCTAGTAAATGCAAAAGACAAAAAAGATAAAGTAGAAAAAGACTCACTAAGTTCTGCAAGTACAATATAAGTATCGTTCCGATCTTCGTTTAGCTATGAAAGTTATCAAATACCAGGAAGCAAGGTTATATTTAAAGCTCAAAAAATTAATTTACAGTTGAAAAACGTAAATGGGGTTATTTAGTAAACAGTTTAATATAACTGCCTAAACGGGTAATGATAGTTTTGAGAACTGAAGCTCCAGGGGGTGTGCGCCGCACCAATTCGGCAGTGATGGTAAAAGCCTTTTTGACCTCATCTCCACCTTTGGCTTCCTAATTGAGCAAGGCTTCATATGAATGCTAGTATCACTAGCATTGACGGATATTCAAGTGACTTGAAATTCTCCACTTATGTAGGAAAACGGTTTTAGTTACAAGGCGCAGGTGAGTTAAAATATTATAGTATAATTAAAGGAAAAACGGAGTAACCGATGTAAAGACAACAAAAGGGAAGGGAAAGAAAAAGAACAATATGAAAAGAAAAAGAACAATATGAAAAGAAAAGACAGACAGATAGACAGACAGACAGACAGACAGACAGAAAAAAAAAGAAAAACCGTTATCATTGACATTAAAAAGTTATAAATTTGGATCCTCGATACTTAAGTACTTATATTTTTTTTTCGTGATATCATAACAATCATTTAAAGCATCATCATCGACAAACCAGGTGACTCTACCAGCAGCACCTTCATTGACGATTGAACTAGGTAAGCCTTTTTCTGGTCTTTCCATGATGGTTCTCATGATTGGAGCTTTGGTTAAACCTTCAACCACAAAAGTAACTCTATGAGCATGACAAATGACTGGGATTGATAGAGTAATTCTATTTTCAGGACCAGAAGGGGCTTTTGAAACTGGTAAGCACCAAGCCAATTTTTCCCGTAATTGTTCTCCGTGATTAGGGAATAATGATGCAATATGACCATCCGGAGCACAACCTAATAGTAATAAATCAAACATTGGTAATTTGACACTATCCTTTTTAGCAAAATTATCAATTAATAATTTTTCATAATTATCAGCGCATTCTTGAGAATCATTGATTAATGATTCGTTGATATGATAAATGTTTGGTTTCCGATCCCCGGTAATTTGATCAAAAATTTCTCTTTTAGCTTGTCCATAATTTGAATCTTGACTTTCAAATGACACTAATCTTTCATCGGCAAAATAAACATCCCATTTGTCCCATTCGATTTCCTCTTGTCTTGGTAATAATCCTTGATTTAAAATTTTGATCAAGGATCCTCCACTAATGGCAATTTTAAATCTAACTTCGCTTCTCTTCTTTTTTTCCTTCTTTTTGATCACATTTCCTGTTCCGTTGAATGGCCCACTATTAGTACGACGATGCAGTTTACTTCCAACTTCACTACTGGAACTTATATTAGTATTGGTGGCACTTGGCGATGGTGTTGTTGATCCAGATACTATCCCCGATGATAAATTAACATTACTATCGTTGACCGACATGGAACTAGATGAATTGAATAATTGAGGACGAGCGGCTTTATTACTCTTTATTATATTAATTTGATTAACATCCAAGGTATTATATAATGTCATGTTTTGTGCAGATATTACATGGTCGGCAACAGCATCAGCAACTCCTAAAAACTCAGGAAATGAGTAGATTAAGGGAACAGTAGTTGTCATAATGCATATGTCGATTATCTTCTGTTAATTTTTTAAAAAAAAAAAATCTCAGTCTCTTTAATCAATCTTTATATTAAACGATCTCCGGAATTGAACACGACACAATTGTCTAAATAATACCCTCGTGTGATTCTAACTTGGTTCGGCTACTTGAATCTCTCTCAGATCGTTGGATCTAACTTCAATTGAAACACTATTGGAAAAATGTTGTACCTTCAAATACACCCTTTTTTTTTTCCCTGGCCTTTTTTTTTGCTTTAAGCTTTTTTTCTCTCCTTCAGTGGTTGTTGATTGTAGTGTATTGATTCATTTACTGTGAGAAAAACTTGGAACTTTCTCTTAGATTTTATTCGAATAGCCAACGGGCAAGGTATTCAACAGGAGTGGGTATCACCACCATCTCGGTTCCAGTCTGGTGGTTCTCGCATATTCCATTGCTGTTGGTGCAGCTGTGACCGATATTTCCGGCTCCACCGTTGGTTCCCTGGTTGGTGATCGATTGGGTTGCTTGCGGCACGTGACGCCAGTTGGTGGTGCACTGGTGCACGGGCCTGTATTTAATAGATGGAGGCAAAAGGGAAATCAGACTTTGGGGTATCACCAGAGTTAGTTGAATCCTTGTGTTACGCCCACAATGACGGTCAATTCATACTTGCAGTTGTGCAGTAAGCTAACAAACAACTACTTGGGGTCGTTGTACCCGAAGAACGGCCATTTCGAACAGGTTGTTACAGGGGAGAGCGAGAAAGTGCACCAATGGTCAATTAAAAATAATCAGGTTGGTCAAACGGTATTAACGGTCAATGTCAGTGAGTTATCACCAGCGAGTTTGATTTTGATTAATTTGGTCAATCCCAACGCAGACAACAAGGTGGAGAATGTGCTTTTGGATTGGCTAAAAGATTTACAGGAGGTGAAGTTCCCAATGGAGGAGATTTCCTTATCAGCAGACTTGATTGAACAATTCAATAACTTGTTCAATTCCAAAGTGGACTGCGACGAGTTGAAGCAATTGTTTGAGGAAAGAACAAGCTTGAAAGAGTCTAGTGATATGTTTGCTCAACAGCCGGTGAAAGAGTCCCGTTCAATTGAAAATAACTACCCCGAGCCTCCTAGTTTACAAGCCTCTTCTAAGACGGTTGGTTCTCAAAGACACATCCCCGATATGCCAGGCTTTGAAGATGAGTTAGAAATTCAGCGTCCAATGAATCCAAATGGAAATCATTCTGGTTTCCCTACCATAGGAGATCGGGATTTAAACCCTCCTGGTTTACCGAAAAACCCAGAATTGAAACCCTTCCTTGACCCCTTGGGCGGGAATAGCGATGGAGGAATGTATCCTACTCCAAACCATCCCTTATTTGGCCGCGAGCGCCAGGGAAATACCTCTAGATTAGGCGTACCTCCTGGTGCAAGATTCGATGATCCTTTGGGAGAAGATAATCTTGATGATATCGGGAATGGGCTACCAGGAAACTTACGGGGCTCGAGCTCCGGGGGAGGCTCTTTCCCTAGCTTTCCTGGCGGCTCTTTTGGCGGCAGCAGCACATTTGGAGGTGACCATGGTGGATTTGGGGGTGGATTTGGTTTTTAATTAATGTTAACGCTTGACTATTTATTTTGTAGACCGCGTAACTACCTTAGTTCATTAGTGTCTCATCTACTTGTCATGATATGCAGCTATCTGACCATGATCTCTCGTCAGTTTCATATAACGACCTTCGAGTTGCAGGTTTTGCAGCCCGGTGAGAATGACTCAAGTCTTCGGTTGGCTTTGTTCTTGTTCTTTCTTTTTTTTTTTCGCAATCACACAAGGACATTGACGTAGTCAGGCTGTCTACAACTTACAATATATCAAGTTTGTATCGCTGAAAAGAAACAAAATTCGTTTATTGTGAAAACATGAAGAAGTAGAAAAAATGAATTTTGTAAAAAACAAATTCTGAAAGAAATTGGGAAATTATAAAAAATCATCTATGAAATATCGTGAATTCCACAAGATATTTGGGAAACCTTGTAGTGAAGTGAAAAGAAAAAAAAAACATCAAGAAAAGAAACCGTTAGCAGTTTGTATAGTTGTAGCATAACTATCAAAAACCAGCTTTGAAAATTCTATAACATACTTAAATTAAAGTTGGAGCAGCAGATTCAGCACCACCCAAAAAGTCAAATAAACCCCTTCTTTCTTCGGCAGCTGCAGTAGGAGCTTCATCAGATGGAATAGAAACAGATGGTGCGGTGGCAGATGAAACAACACTAGATGATGGGGATGGTGGTGGTGGTGGGACTGATAAATATCTCTTTGCAGCAGCTGGAGCAGAAGAAGATTTTGAGTCATCACCAAGGTTTAAGAAATCAAATAAACCTCTTCTTTCGGCAGCTGGAGGTGCATTATCAGCTGGAGCATCGGTAGGAACTGAAGCAGATTGAGCTGGAGCAGATGGTGGAACTGGAACAGAAGAGTTATCTCTCTTAAAGAAACCAACAGCGGGGTAGTCGGCGGCAGCAGAAGGAGCTGGAGCAGAAACTGGAGCAGATGGAATAGTAGAGTTATCTCTTTTGAATAAATCTAATGCTGGTAAAGAAGGTGCTGGGGCGGATGGGATAGCAGATGGAGCTTCAATAGTTGGGAATTCAGCAGAACTTAATGGAACAGCTGCAGATGCAACAGCTTCGGATGAAGCAGCAACAGATGATTCTGGAGCAGAGCTTGGTGGAGCTGGTTCATCAGCACTTCTGATGGTACCAGAAGGAGATTCTTGCCATAATTTACCGACGGCAGCAGATTGAGCGACTGAGGCTAAAGCGACAGAAAGAATAACAGAATCGGTGAATCTCATTGTAAATATATATGTGATGTAATTAATAAAAAAATAATTAGTTCGAAGTTTCTAATTATTGAATTATAAGAAAATAAATTATTGTATTTCCAGATGGATTATTTGACTTATTTATACCGGATAATTTAAAACAACAAGATCAAAGTTTGCAAGTAACAAGGCTATTACGCCGTCACCACTGCAAAGTAGACATGGCATAAGGGAGACGTAATGGAAAACCCTACTACAAGACGCAGGATTATGGTTTGTGAATCAATTAGTGTAATATAAAACCATAGACGCAAATTCTGTGATAAAAAAAAAAGAATGCAAAAATGCAACAAACACCAAAAAAGACTAATTGAGGAGCAGCAGCAAAAAACCAAAAAAAAAAAAAAAAAAAGACAGAATACATTGATACTTACATTTTTAACAAGGCTAGAATTATCGCTAAACCAGTTATAGAAGCAGCGTAGCATAAACAAGTTATGAAACTTATCATCCGAATGGCTACGGCATTGCAATAGAATAGCTGTAGTAAGCCAACAATTGAAATTATAAAAGACGAATTATCACTTGGACGAGGGTTGCCTAACCTACCGAGTTGAAAAATGTAAAAAGTACTAGGTACAGCCAAAAAACAAAGTCCATGCGAACGAAAACGTTTCTATAGACAAAGCAAGCTATCAAGATGTTGCTAAGCAGTCAAGCTGGGTAACCATGAGCTTGAAATGTAGATCTCGAAATCAAAAGTTGAAGTTTTTCTAGAAAAGCTTAAATTAAAAGGAGAGGTTGTTTGAGAGGTTTTTGATTATGAACATATACTACGAACAAAAGAAACTTGTAGCTCGAAAGCTTAACGCTGGAAATCCAAGTTACGAAAGCCGGATGACAAAGAGTTACTGTCATATCTTATGTAGTCGTGTAAGATTCTTTGATTATAAGGAACCTCACACAAACGAAGCGTTTTGCCAGTATGCAAAGTGACTTAAGCCATAGGCTCATCAGAAAGTGGTTCATGCTGATATTCATCAGGTACATGAAGTTAAGGCTACTAGCCTAATGACATATGTTTGGTGAATACAATAAATACAATAACCTATAGCCATTTGGAGGTTTTATTCGATAAAGCACGTAATTTGTTAACAATAACTATTACCTAAGTCGGGAAAGACTGGGAGTTACAGATAGAATATTCCAAGCTGGAAGAGTTAGCCAATGGAGTGACTCTTCTGGTTACAGCCATTCGCAGGGGATACCAAAGCTTTCATGGTCCCAACGCGAAGCGTTGGGTTTTGTGAAACCAGTTGAAAATCAAGGGTCAGTAAATAACATACACCAGCAACCTGTTTTGATGAAAATCAGTGTTTGCTTTTCACTGTTGGTATTTCAAGTCGGATTGTCAAAATTTTGGGGCTGCTAAATCGAAATATTTGCAGTCTAATTCGAGAGAAGCAAAAATTGGGATCGCTGCGGCATCCCAACCTCCTTCTCGCCCCGATTTGCTCATCCTCACATATACGCCAACAACAATTGAGCTTGAATACTATTGAAGGCCTGTAGATTTTCCATATTTCAAGAGAGAGGATGATTTGTAAGGGAATATCGTGCACGCCAAACAGCTTTGGGCGAACTCTCAGAAGCGTAGAAAAAAAAAAAAAAAAAAGAAAAGAAAAAACTGAAATAGAGCCTTTGAAGGTTTAGTTAGGGGCTCTTACTGCCTATTCAGAATTCAATTCTGGTTCCTCTCGCTATCGTTTCGCCTTCTCATTTAGATTCAGATCTATTGTGCCACTCAATAGCGAAATGAGGTTATGAATCCGGGCTTAACAATGTTACTGTAAAGAGAGACAATGTTTTTTACTCTTTCATTTGGGTCAACTGAAACCTCCTTTCTAATTGCTGAAATATTCGACTATATTTCTTGCCCTTAGAAGGACTTTTTGAACGTGGATCGGCCACTTGATTTTGTGATAGACAGCTTCGATTGTAGAAATAATACCCCAACACTGCAGGGCCAAACCAAAAAGGCAAAATAAAAGGTCTATAATCTCAAAGACAAGTCTAAGATTTGAAAGCAAATCCTAGAAAGTGCTCAATGACTCCTTCTTTTACGAAGTAAAGGCAAATAAAAGAATTTCACCTTCAGTTCGTCGAATTGATTTACTTCTGAGATCCTGGATCACAGAATAAAGACTATAGCCACGGCTCTGTGGCATTCACGTCCTTTCCAATCACTGATAATATGCTTAAAAGATTCTTGACAGACTTGGAGGCTTGAAAAATTACTCGACCCAGAAGATTTGCACAGCAAAAATTGTTCATGACGTTTTGGATGCGTTATTGATGATAAAATTTATCTTCTGTAACAGGGGTATAGTAATGACCCTAGATCCAGGGATCTTCCAGCTTCTTGTTGTTTTTACATTGGTTGCGGAGGAAACTACAACCAAACTATAGAGCAACGGTTAAACGTCTATTTTAGCCCTCAGCGCGTCCTGTACGGTATGGGGATTCTTGCATTTTCTGGAATACCGAATCACCGAAAAATGTTTTTCTTTTCACATATCATTAAGAAGGACATGCTGGGTTCATTTTTAGCTCTAACATCTTTGTTATCTACCCATGAATCTAATGTGACAGGCTTTGCAATAATCACCAAAAGTTCATACATTTCAGTTCTTTGTTTCCACTAGGGCATAGCGCCGGTGTATTGAACCAGAGCTGAAGAAGCCGCCTCTTCATTATTACCAGTCAATGCCATTGTGTGAAAGGACCAGACTTTGAATGCCACATGCCCACCGTTGGGCTTTCTGAAAAGATACGGAATGTAAAACTTAAGGAATAAGCCAGGACACAGGATAATTTAACTCGATCCAAAGCCTAGATACTCTGGCAAGTTAAATTTGGGCCTGGAAATTCAAAAGTTTCCTCGTGGTTCTCATACGAATTCGGTTCGATCAAACAAGAAATTATCGATTTTACTACCATCTATTTCATGAGAAAAGAGTATTGCTACATGTGTGGAATCATCTTAGATATGAAAATTAAATGATACTTATGGTGGGCTTTCAGTAGGGCAAAAATGTGATTTTTTGCAGACAATCGACGCAAGCACTGTTTTGGAAGGCTGGGTTTACGCTGTTATCCAGAGAACGTGATTCCGGAAGAGGAAAGAAAGTGATTTGATCAACAACTAGTTATATACATATAGAGCTGGGTCATTATATTACACGATCATAATATTCGTGTTCGACATAACCTCCTCTCATTGAATCCCGAACATTTCTTGTAAACTGAGTCTTGTTTTTCACTAATACATTAGCAGCCTCTTTATTCAAAGGATCATTTGGATTTGGCTCTAAAAACAAAAAGTTGAGTCCAATGAATACCGAGTTCAAGTTCAAAACTGGAGACCAGTCCTCTCTCAAAATGTTAAGACAAACGTTACCGTCTAAATCAATATTTGGATGATAAATTTTATTGGAGCATTTGATTTTGGGAGGCTCTATGGGGAAATTGTTGTTGATTTCAATTTTAAACTCAAATATACCCGACTTATAGTACCCCTGTTGAGGATTGATGGTCAATTTGAAATGAAATAAGTCTGATGGTTCGGGGAATATCACCTTGATACTAGGTGGTAATTCCAATGCAGTTATGTCTTTTTGGAGTCTGAGCTGAGCAGCACTGACTTTTTGTTTTTCATTACTTACCTCTCCATTTGTGCTGTCTGATGTATTCCCTGAAAATTCGGCAGCAGCTGCAGCAGCAGCTTCCTCTTGTCTCTTCTTTTGTAATTGACGAATTTTCAACTAGAGAACTCGGTTAGTCATGTTCCAACATCACAGAATCATATAAACATACCATCTTATAAAAGAGCGGAGCAACTACTCTGATTATAACTTTCTGATCAAAAGATTTCTGATCAAAAGATTAGACTAAGTTATGGTATTACGTGAGTCTATTCACAAGAGGATCGCATTTTTTTTTTTTTCTTTTTTGATCCTTTACCAAAAGCAAGAGGTATGCGCACACCTTTCACTTTAATTGCAAAATGTATTTGTTAGCACAAGTCCTTCAAGTGTTTTGAAAACGTCTCTTTTGTAAGAAGAAGACTTGGGTCTGAGCAGCCAGAGTCCTTGAGCCTGGTGATTCGCATGTCGATGGTTTTCTGATACTCTCTTACCTTTCCCATTACAAGTTGTTTCTTTGAATCGGATATAGACATGTTTACTAAGGGATTCATGAGAGACTTGAATGGGGTTACGACAGCACATTCGATCCTGATAAGCCACGAGATTTGTTCGTCAATTAAGACTAGAAGCAGATGGATATCATCAGGTTGTCTTGGTACCCAACGGAGGTCTCGCTGTGTAATAAAAGAGACCTCTTCTTGTAAGTACGTGTAAGCATTATCATCTTCTACTCCACCATGTACTCTTAGATAGGTTTCGAAAGAAGACCAAAGGGAGAAATCCGAGAGCTTGCTATGTGCTTCTTCTATTAGAAGACCGAGTATTCTGTTCTGTATATCTTGTAGGATGTGGACTTGGCCCGACGATAGGTAATTATACCTAATGAGCCATTTCAAAAACGAAGATGCGTAGTAGTTAGCAAAATGTAATTCAATTGATTTAAAGGTTCTATCAACTAACATCTTATACTGAGTCTGAGTATTGGTCAAATCACTGAAGATAAGTCTTAATGCAATTTTTTTGATCAAAAACCATATCGTAGCACTTTTATTTATTCTTTTCAATTTACTATTGACCAAACAAGTAAGGAATTTTAATTCCAGCTCTAGAATAGGAACGTCTCTTTTTTCCTCGAGCTCTAATAGGCACAATTCGTGTAGCCTCACGATAGTGTGGTTTTCATTAGTGGTAACCAAGTAACCTAAAGTAGAGAAATAAATATCGTAGAGCTCACTGGTCAGAAGGTCTTTTAACTTTCCTTCCGAGTGAAGCTTCTTTGGGAGTATTACGTGATGCCAATAAGTATGGGCTTCAATGAATATCTGAAGGTATGTCTTCTTTGTCATCCCGATGTCTAACGTATCCAGGCTTGACGTGTGAACTATAAATGGGCCTCTGTTTTCATATTCTTCGATTGAAGGAATTATTTGCACGATTTTGAATTGAACCTCATTCTGCCTTTCAACTAGCAAGTCATGAAGGTCCTTGCAAAGCTTTAGTTCCATGCCGTACTTGTGCTATCTGAAGCGAGAGCTGGTTTAGTTTAAAGATTCTGAAAGAACTTCATCTTTGATATCGCGGAGGAAAAGAGAAAAAAAAAAAACAGTAATTGAAGTACTGATGCCTTCAATCTGGAGCGTGAATAAGAAAGCAAATACAGTCATGACTTCTTATAAAGACTTGTTCAAGCTTACAGACGATCCCTTGATACCGCCTAATGACACTCTTAATGAAGCAGTGTACAAGAATTCAAAGATTGACTACATATTCCGAGGCACTACGTCATCCAATCTTGATGAAGATGTAGACATGAAAGTAAACTCGATAATACCAGCAATTCCAGATAATTCGTCCAAAGAGACATTTAAAGCTTCCCAAGGCTCATCTCTTGTCAAATATGACCAAGACAAACACGAAACCCCACGTCCATCTGAAAACTCTAAATGGAAATTACTTCGAGTGATAGCTGGAGCACATCAGGGCTGGATAAGGAGTGTTATACCAGATCCAGTTACTAATGAATGGTTTGTGACAGGCTCATCTGACTCAACCATAAAAGTGTGGGACTTGGCTAGTCTGAAACTAAAAGCCACCATAACAGGACATATAATGGGTGTAAGAGCATTGGCGGTGTCATCTCGATATCCTTACCTTTTCTCTGGTTCCGAGGATAAAACAGTCAGATGTTGGGATTTAGAAAGAACAAATCATCCTTCAGGGTGCCAAATCAGGAATTATCATGGCCATGTCGGTGGAATTTACGCAATGGCTTTACATCCAGAGTTAGACTTACTTTTCACTGGAGGGCGTGATCAAGTAATTAGAGTATGGGATATACGATCAAGAACTCAAGTTATGGTCTTAACCGGGCATAGCAGTGATATAAGCAGTATCGTCAGTCAAGGAGGGGATCCTCAAATAGTTTCTAGCTCGATGGATTCAACAATTAGGTTATGGGATATACGAAAACAATCAACAGCATTAGCATTGACCCATCATTCCAAAAGTATAAGGCTGATGGTTTTGCACCCTGAAGAGATGACTTTTTGTTCAGGAGACTCTTCTGGTAGTATAAAAGAATGGCTCTTACCAGGCGGTGAGCTTCTTAACGACTACGGTTCTAAAACTTCTGAAAGTAATATAATCAATTCATTGGCTATTGAGCCAACAACAAACACACTTTTCTCGGGATATGATGATGGTAAGATGGAATTTTATGACTATGTCAGTGGTAAGCTACTTCAGTCAGATCACTCCACTCCTGTACCAGGAGCCGACAACTCTGCCATATACGCCTCTACCTTTGACATGTCTGGTCTTAGATTGATATGCGGTGAAGGCGATAAAAGTGTTAAAATTTGGGGTCAGGACCTATAAATATTATTCTTATTTATTGATCCAGAATGTCTTGTATTATAGATAATAGTGTACAATTATAAAAAAAATATGTAGGATAAGTAATTACAAAAATCGTTAACTTCATTATAGAATAAATCATGAGACGGGAACTTTACCAACCAAAACGTAATTGGTTAGCAGTGAACAACGGTGGAGTCCAACTCAATTTACGTGGGTCTAGTTCGTGTTTCTTTTTATCTTTCACTTTCTTGACTAATTTGTCGTACAACATCATTATTTGATCAGTAATGACAATGATATGCTGGCCCTTATAATATCTTAATATCTGTAGGGTTGATAATGTGTGCAAAATATCAGTAGTTGTCATGCATGTAAGACTTGATATTTCTTCAATGGTAATTTCTCCATTTGACCCAGATCTACCGCTTGCTGGAGGTGTCAGCTCTTTAGAATCATCCAATGGTTGAGGATTATTTTTCTTATAAAGTGATGGATTATTTCTTTCGACTAGTAATTTAACCAAGGTGTCAGTCCAAAAAGCTCTGTAAGACAACAACCCCAAATCCGATAATGGTTTCTCTGGGGAACCAACTTTATTTTCAACATTCGATAACATATATGAGAATTGGATTAACAATTTACCGTAACCCATCTTTTGGTAACATGGAAGAGTCAAGATACACGCCACATTATAACCATCTGCACTTTCCTTTTCTTTTGAGAAATAACCAACGACATGATGACCCTGATCCGATTTTCTAGTCATGATATAGAATAAAAATGGATCTACATCATAATATAAAGTTTTATGATCCAAAAATAATTTTGAAAGTAAACATAAATTACGACACCACGTTCTTTGTTTTCTTCCATCAATTTCCCAAAAACTGACTTTATCATCTCTATAAATCTCATTTCCTGGGGGGTGTTTCATGGAGCATTTGGTCCTAAACCTTTCAAACTGTTTACGAGATCCATAATAAGACAAGGTGAAGTCGCAAATGTAAATCTCATCTTCTTCTGTAAGCTCAATAGGATAAGGAGAGAAATACCAAGGTTCAATTATATGTTCACCTAGTATAATAGTTGATAAGTTTCTCACTCTTGCAACTTCAGAATGATTTTGAGTCATAGAACCACCAGTTCTCAACTTCTTGATCTCTTCTTCTCTACTTACTTCTTCACCAGGTCTCTTTAAACCTTGGACATTTAAATTATCCAAATCCATCTCATCTTCATTTTTGGTGAACGGGGATTCTGATCCTTTTTCATCGGGTTGTGGGGTATTGGTTCCAGACTTTTGATTCTTAGCATTCTTCGATTTAGATTTCGATTTTTTCAGTGCCTTCAGTTTATCCTTTTTCTCATCTTTCTTTTCGACTTTTACTTCAGGAACAATTATTGCCCTCTTATAATCAATACGATCAAGCCCGATCCATTCATCCAATCTTTTATTAAACTCTTGATAATGAACGTAGAAAATCCTTTTTCCTTTTTTGACGTGCTGTTGTAAGATTTCTGCTAGTCTGAACTCACCGTCTTTAGATACATAAACTTTACAACCAGGAACTATATCATCGGCTGTGAATTTATGATCATTTGACTTTTCCAGCCCGTCGATTATGGTGATCGCAGTGTCCGGGCTTGGGGATAACGCTTTGTTGTTCTCTTCCTCTTCAACTGGCATTTCTTTGATGGATTATCTATCCAAAACAGTGGATATCAGTCTTATCGAAATTGTGTTCCACTTCAAAGGAGAGCTTGTTTATCATCGAAAAAAAAAATTCAAACAAAAAAAAAAAAAAAAGTCTACAAAAAAAAAAAACTGCTGTACGGGTGTGTTGTTCCTATATTCGATAATCATAATCAGTCCTTTCTTCTCCATTCCATTACTGTTTCGAAGTCAGCTGGATCCTCTACCAAATGGTTGACACCTAAGTAGCCAACGTTGTAGTTTTCAAAGTCAATTATGAAGTGTAATAGTTTTAACCTCAACTCGTCGAAATACTTGTTCATCTCTGCGGTTTTAGCGGTTTCTTCAGCTAATTCTTCGTATCGTTTGGTTTCACTTTCGATATCCAAAATGATATTTCTTTCGAGAGCTGCAAGAACCAATTCCTGGTTTGATAAGTTCCAGATGTTACCTGAAGCCTTACCATTCAAACCACTCAAATAGTAATTATCAACTTTTAGGTAACAGTAATAATCCTGTAAACGACGACGTAACACTGGTTCTGGGTATATCGAAATCGGAACGTATTTACTTACTAGACGCAAAGCCTGGCAGATCAATCTCACGTCTTTCAATGGGAGATTGTAAGCGTTTTTCAAAGCTAAGTCTTGTAATGAATGCTGGGTATTTTCTTCTAATCTTGAATCACGGAGTTGTATAGTAGCTTTAGGTGACCATACGCGAGGGATTAAAGAAGGTAACACGCACGTCAGGGGAGTGATTTCCGGTATCCAATAGCAAAGAATCGGGGTAACCTCTGCAAATATCATAATAATCACTGCAAAAGTTGGAAGCTTGATGAAATCAATGGACGTTCTTTTCAACAATTGGTAGTCCTTTCTGGAAATATTGAACATATGCTCATCTACTATGCGTTCTGGCTGACCGTTCTTGACCACTGTCTGGCTCCCATCCCTAACGGTTTCATTTTCAACTTTGCTAATATAAAGCGCCTGGGCCATATCGGAAGTGAGTTTGGCAAAACTAGGGATTCGTATATCGGCATCTTCGCCCTTTGTATTCAAATGTCCAGTCAACTTATAATCGCTTTTCTTGATCCTATTCATAGCTGACTTGTTCTTCCACACATTTACCACCCCATTCTTATAGAAAGAAAGTAAAGATTTTGCGTATGCTGTCAGCTGTTTAACGCTTAATGAAAAGCCTTTCTTGTCAGGGTTGGCCATAGCCACCTCCCTATGGATCACAGTCTTTGGTTTAATGTCCACTGGAAGAGTGGTGGGCGAATTGACCGTTATTTGATCCACATTCTTTGATTTATGCCATAATGCTGACAAAAGTTGAGAAGAGTTCACCTGGCTCTCGAAGATAGACTTCGATTGCGGGAGAAGAAAAAACCCATTTTTGGCGTTCTTAGTGAAAAGCGAACCCATCTATAGCTCTGGATACGTCTTGAGTACTGTTATTTGCAAGTCTTGTGTTTCAAACAAAGGAAACGTCTTTAGTGTGAAAATTGAGATGTTTTGCCTTTTTTTTTTTTTTCACTTTTAGCTTGCAAAACTTAGTACACTACAAAATGCAAATATAAGTAGCACACCGAATGCCAGAGCGTAAGTTACTTGTACACGGTGCAATGTCTTGTTTACTAGTGTCTAAAAGTGCTTCTTTCAGGTAGGGATTTCTTTTGGGGGAAAGGATTTTCAGCTTTGGAAGCCAATACCCGGTGGAAGCAAGATGGGCTTTCATCGTTTGCTGTCAAGTGGTTCCAGGCGAATGGAATACGTTGCTGAAAGCTGGAATTGTGCCTGTTTTGCCAGAATTCCCGTATAACGTATTTCAATCGAATGTTGCAAAACTTTAATGGTTGCAGAAGCTTCTCTTAACTGTGAGAAATTTTCTGACGAGCAGCGTGGAAAAACCAACCAATACAACTTATACTTAATGGCAAATCCAGAAGAAACACCATTAACAGTTAGTAACTGAGTGAAAGTATAGCAATTGATAGACACTGAACCATGGCAGCATACACTGAACCGGAAAGACGGGTGGTTACACCGGAGGATGTTGAGAAGTGGATTGACTCCCCGGCTTATAACTTGGTAGTAGATTTTGTCCAAGGGTTACAGGAACTGGTTGTTGGAATGACTAATGATGCCAAGATCGAAGTTCCCGAGATTGTTGAGAAGATTGTTGAAGTGTTGGATCAGGTGGATGGCTTGATTGATAAACATCCCGTGATTCACGAAAAAGATATATCAAGATTTGGTAAAGTTGAATTTAGGGATTTTTATGATGAACTCCAAGAGAAAGCGGCTGATTTTGTCAAGCCATTGATAAACCTGGTTGAAGGTGATCCCAGTGTTGAGCTTAGGAAATACTTAACGGAGTCATGGGGAAATAGAACAAGAATAGATTATGGGTCAGGTCACGAATTGAATTTCATATCGTTTTTACTTTGTTTGAAACAACTTGATATTATAAATGAAAATCATTATCAAGCAATTATACTTAAAGTATTCACTAAGTACATGGAAATTATGAGAAGGCTACAAAAATTGTATTGGTTGGAACCAGCTGGCTCTCATGGGGTTTGGGGGTTGGATGATTACCATTTCTTACCATTTTTATTTGGTGCATCCCAATTATCTACCCATCCATTCATGAAACCAAAACTGATTCATAATGATGAGCTTGTGGAAACGTTATATAAACAATATATGTATTTGGAGTGTATTCATTTCATAAATACTATAAAGACTGTTCCTACAAATCAAGGTCAAAAATTAAGTTTGAGATGGCATTCACCCATGTTGGATGATATACTGTCGGCAAAATCTTGGATGAAGATTAAAGAGGGGATGATCAAAATGTATAAAGCTGAAGTATTGAACAAATTACCAATTATTCAACATTTTATGTTTGGTAGTTTAATTCCAGTTCCGGAAGGAGTTAGTGATCCTCACTCCCATCAAGATGAAGATGAATGTGGCCATGTCCACGCTAATGATGCAATTAACACTTGGGGTGATTGCTGTGGTATTAAAGTTCCAAGTGCATTTGCAGCATCTGAAATGAATAAAAAAATTAACGGTAGTAAACCAATTCCTTTTGATTAGTATCATTTTTTATTAAATATATATAAATCTATTTAAATGCTTATTCTGCGTATTTAACATTTGTAGATATTAAAATATTTTTAGGAAATGCCCCTGGGAATGGTAATAAAATTTTGGCTTTACCCTTTGTTTCATCAACCTTCGAAATATGAGCGTATCCTAAAACACAGGTATTTAGTAAATCTCTAGGAGATTTATTATTATCGGATACTTGGGTTATCGCAATAATTGAATTTTCTAAATTTGATGACGTCTTTTCAGTTAGTTCATTATAGTATTTGGTTAATGCATTATCTTCCTTTTTAACTTCCGAAGCTTCGGAAGTTTCTGGTGTAAATGAATCACCAGCTGGTAAAAATGCCAAGCTTGACATATACTCCAGCAGTTCCACTGGTTTATAAAAAACAAAATTTTTAAGTTCAATTTCAGTTTTAAATGGTGATAATGGAATTCTATAATCACCATTAAAATATTCTTTTATGGTATCTTCTTGGGTTTTCCTTATGAATGAATCTTCTAGTTCAACTACCCCTCCACTTTTATGAACTTTCAAAATTTCTAAATGAGAAGACGCTAATTTATGTTTAAATTTTTTTCTTAAATCAATTGATAATCTTTCATTACCAATGACTACTATTATGTCAACTTCAAAGTCAGAAACAATGTTTTCAATCACCAGGAAATCATCTTTACTTGATAATCCGGGAGTGTCAATAATTAGTCCACTATTTTTAATTGATAAATCATCTTCTAATCTTGATAATGTAGCAACACCTAATTTTGAAACTTGGTATTTATATAATTCAAGATTTTCTTGAATCTTGGTGAATCCGTAGTTCTTAACTAGTGGTTGTTTTGGATTATGAATAGTAGTACCTGATGTTAATGTTGACCCCCAACCATTAATACTTTGCAAATCAAAAGAGTCACTTATTGGGGTCGACGTTATTGAGCCGGGTAAAGCAAAACACCCATCTTGAGGATTTAAATTAACTAATATTGGAACTCTATCCATTTTATAAGCATATGAAGATAATATTTTGGCAAGGGTTGTTTTACCAGATTGTTGATTACCCACAATCAAAACTTTGGGGCCCAGTTTTTTTGAATTTTGTTGATCAATATTCGAATTATTGAGATTTGAGAGAGTTGCTTGTTGACGGTACAACTCTAAGGCAAAATGTAAATTAAGATATTGTTCCATTGGGGTTTCTTCACTTATATATTCACTGATTTCTCCATCTTCGCTTGAAATGTTATAGTTCTCTTTATTAGGAACGGAGAAATACGAAATCTTACATCCATCAGGTAAAGGTGAGTAAACCGAGTACTTCACCCCACTGAATTGAACTTGAACATTAGAAGGCAACTCAGTCCCAAAGATTTCACCTGTCCCTTCTAAAACAGTAAGCTTCATTATGGTTTTGAACGGTACTTCGAATCTCCATTCTGCTTTGTAAGGGATCTCAATCTCAATCGGTTGACTTGAAGATTCCTCTATATTGTCACCACCGTTGAATCCTGGAATAGAAGACATATTTGACTGATAAGTTAATACTGTAGAGCTTTTGGAAGGAAATGATGTGTTTTTTTGTTTTTTTTTCAGTCTTTTTTTGACTTGAAAATATACATTTTTCATCGCTGCGAAAATTCGATCTCCTACAAACGCTACCCGAATACAATAATCAAAGGTTCTATAAAATAGATGAATTGAACTATAATGAAATTTGAATGAGATGCGGTGGATGCAATATCTAGAGAGAAGAAATCAAAAAAAAAAAAAAGTAAGGGGAGAGGAGATCGAAAGAATTGAATAAAAGAATATAAGAGTAGTAATTTGAATATAAAGGATGTTCGAATATAAAAGTGCCTGACAAACCTTTAAGAAGATGCAAAAAACATAACAGTCTAAGCCAAACTAGAAAAATCTAATTTTTTTGGCTTAATTTTCATTTGACGTTCCAGTAATTTGACTATTCTAACGGCACCGGTTTTATTATTGATATATTCTGCGTGAGTGGAGTAATCAATTTGGCCTTTACCCAAGATTGGAGAAGATTCAGAGTCAAAAGGATTTTTAACTTTTATAGTAGGAGTGCTGTGACTTTTGAAACGAGGAGGAGAATCTTGAATGAACGGATTTTCCAAAGTGATTGAGGTTGGGAAGAAATCTTCATCGGAGAGCTCATCATCAGATGAGAACTCATTATTAAAAGATTTACCATGCCAATGATTGATGGTCTCTTCATCTATTAATTGAGGACCAGGTGTGGAAGGTGACAAAAAGATCGAATCTGATTGAATTGATTTAGTATCTTTTTGAGGAGAAATAAAAGACTCCTTTAAGATTGGAAGTGAAAGAGAGTCTCGAGTAGTATCACAAGTGATATCAGATACTTTAATACTTTCACCAATCGAAAGATTAGTATCATCTTGGAAAGAAGTATCTTCTTCTTCCTCATTGCTATAAAGTTTACTGAAATCAATTGCAGGAGGAGCCGTTAGATTACGAGTAGGACTAGTATTGCTTTTCTTGGTGGTAGAAGGAGTTGGTAAAAACATACCAAATGCAAAATCATTGGTTGAAGATGACGTAGTTTCATTATCGGAAGAATCAAGTTTTGGACTTAATTTATGCAGTTTTGAATTAGACCCACTTTGCTTATTTGGTTTAGATGAACGTCTGGAGTTTTGAGTTTGAGCAAAATAAGAATTCGATGCTGACGAACTTATAGCTTCAACTTGTTGGCTTCTTTTCATGGTTTGATTCTTATAAGGAGTAAATTCTGGAGTTGGTGGTAAGTTTGGAGTTCTTAATGATTTGGAGGATGACGACTTATGAAGCTGGCGAGTTGGTTGTGGTTTCTTTGAAGTATTTGGGGTTCTTAAATAAGAATTAGAATTAGTAGTTGATGCTGATGAGTTTTTCTTTGTTGAAATTGGGGTCTTCATGGAGTTTTTTTTACAACTACTTGGAGTAGTTGGACTGAAAACAGGAAGTTTCAATTCTGGTGGTGATGATAACTTATGAGATCTATGATTCTTAACTCTAGGAGGAGTCAGAGGAGGTGCAATAGCACATTCAAATGGATTCAGCATATTGGATGGACGCGATGGATGCCGATGCAGTGATTGATGCCAGATCGATGAAGTGAAGACGAAGAAGTGAAATCCAATACAGAAGTAAAGTTTATGCAAAAATTATTCTACTTATACAGCAGGGTCCTTGAAGTCGAAAACAACGAAGAATAACGAAGAAACACGGTCCGGATTGAACAACTTAACCTCGATGAAAAGGGTTAAAAGGAGGAACAGAAAAAAAAAAAAAAAATTTAGAGCGAAACAGCAAAAGGTACGAACAGCAAACGGGGACTAAAAGCAAACGGGGCCAGTTGATTGGGAAATAAGAATTCTCTATGCTGAAACGTTGTGAGTTCTCTGCAATTACCCAATGGAGTCAAATGTCAATCAATCCAGAGGTAGTCTTGACAAAACGTAGTATGCTGAGATGATGCAAAAAAAGGCCAAAAACGTAAAAAAAAAAAAAAGAATCGGACACCGTTGACAGGAAGATGAGAAGTAATAGCGTATATAAGCAAATGCTAGGACGAAACCCAGGGTATTAATAGGACCACACAAACACGTCGCTATGGTGGGTCTTAAGAGATAATGACGAACAATAAGCTGTCGTCTGTTCAGCCAACTATTTGTGTTTAAGAATGCTGGTCAAATTCGCAGTATTGTAGTGTTTTTTTTTTTACCGCAAATTGCAAAAAACCGTATTAAACGACTGACGAAGAAGCTGTTTATTTATGTAGATATGGGTTACGATAGAAGAGGTTAGATGAAATCAAGTTGGCGATTGATGTTACGTTTTCTTTGACTTATTTTCTTACCTAGACAAGCTTCTAGTTGGTCATACCACTCGTGGAAAAGATTTTTTGTTTGTAGAGATTTTAGTAAGTTATTAGCAGTTAGATCGATTTGGATTAGACTAGAATGGGATCCATCGTGGAAATCAATGTTATTGATGAGATTGTTTTTCAAGTTTAGGTAATGTAGATTGGAATCGATGAAACCGTTTGAGAAGGGGAAATTTTCAATTAAATTTGTTTCTAAAGATAAATGAAGTAAATTTTTAGGTAATTTACAATTAGGATCAATGAAATTGATTTGATTTTCATCGATTTTCAAGGTTTTCAAATTGGTAAAAGCATCATTGGGGTTGAACATCGGATAACTTGGAGTTAATTGACTTAGTTTATTCAATCTCAAATCAAGAATTTTTAAATTAGGAGGACATATCCAATTTGCTAAAGCATCAATTTCATTAAAGTAAAGTTCTAACTCAGCCAAGTTTATCATTTTGCCCCAGTTAACATGCGTATCATTATAATCATTCAAATCTGAAATCTTATTACCGGTTAATGATAATTTTTTCAAAGAAATTGGGAAAATGAAATGGTTTAAGTGATAGATATTACATTCACTGAGATTGAGACTGGTTAAAGTATCTGGGAATCGAATTCTCTTGGTTGGATCATTAAAGTTTGTATAATTAAAATCGCTATTCGATAGATCCAACGAATCCAACCATACTGGAAATTGGAAAAATGGATAAGAATCACTGGGGTTATTGTAATCCATAACCAATAAATTTTTCAAATTGTTATTCAGGATATTTAAATAGTCTAAATTCATTGGTAATTTTAAGTCAACTAAGCTATCAAAAGGATTTTCATCAATCTTAAAGTTTTTCATATTTGAGGGCCAGTCAATCTTACTCAAGTTAGTTAACGATCCATTGGTTAAATGATTTGAACTAAGAATCAAGGTATTTAAATTGACCGGCCATTGAGAATTGTCATCGATAATAAAGTTTGTCAATACATTATAAGACAAATCAAGAGTTTCTAAAGACGGTGGTAAATCTTTTAAATCTATGGTTAAAAGATTATTATAAGTAAGCATTAAAGTTTTCAAATTATTTGGGAAATTGATTTTTGTTAAAACATCACTGTTTATACCGGCTTGATTCCAATAAATATGTTCGATTGAATTTGATAAAGTTATAGTAGTTACATCACAAGTTGATCTCCAGGATAAATCCAAATGGTTTAACAGGGGAGGCAATTGGATATTTGACCAGTCATTTATGCCATGTCCTAATAGTACTAATTCTTTACAATTTTTCAAATTAGCTAATTGATTTTGTTTTAAATTTTTCAAAATCTTTGTTAATTTAATACCTGATAATTGAATTCTGGTAATATTCGATAAATTATTAATTAAAAAGATAAAATCATCCGAATCCAATTCGTAATTTTCAATTTGTAAGTGTATTTTATCAACTTGCCCATTAAACCGTTGATTATATTGTAATACTAAATTTTCAAGTGATCTAAAATCACCTCCAGTTATAATCTTAATTAACCTTGGGTTGATATCTGGATTATTATCTAGAAACTCTTCAATCAATGCAAACCCATGAATATCAACCAACGAATCATAACACGAATGACTTCTTCTAGTTGGACTCAATATAAAGTGAAGTTCATTATTAAAATATTTTTCAATAATTAGACTCCTAATATTTGTCTCCTTCAAGTAAAGTAGAAACTCAAAAAGATACTCCTTGGGTAATTGGTCACAGATCTCAACTATTATATCATCCGGCAAGTTTGGAAAGTACCTAGTCAAGAAACTCATTTCTATGGACTCTTGTGCTTATTAATTTTTTTGAGTCTGCAAATCTCATCTTCAATACTAAATCACTTCAACAGACCAATTCCTGCCGTTTATACACCATAGATTACATTACTTTGTTTTATATCGCTTTACTTCGTTAACTATGGTATTGTAATACCCAGCTCTTGTATTTCTCTACCATCATAAATCTCTAAGTTTATCAAATCTTCGAACTAATAAAATCTTCTCTGAATTTTTCACATTTTGTACAAAATTACAGATATCCCGTATCCCGTATTCGCCTTCCACCTTCCTACATGTCCTACGTATACTCCCTGTACTTCTCCAACTATAACGGTCTCTGCAATCCTGTTGGAAGTCGCTTATACCCAATGTCGTATGGTAGTACCCTACTCTCCCGTGCTCCTTATTTCACCACTACACCCTACACCACCGCAGCCGGCCACCGCAGCCTGCCACCACGTCACCACACCCAGTATCCCAGCAGAGGATTCCACTGCCTGTTGCGAGCTAGTTGACTCTCTGGCAATGGATTTGTGTATCAAGCCAAAACAACAGGAAGAAACTCACCAAAAGACGAAAAAAAACCGAACAAAAAAAAAAAACGAGAAAAAGCGAAAAATCACCAAAAACCAAAAAAAAAAATCACTTTTTCCAATTATACGAATACTCTTCTTCCTTACCAACTAATAGAATACACCGAAGAAAACATACAAGGCACCATATAGCAAGGTACTACAAGCCATCGGAGCATCACGCGTATAGCATTCATTCACGGATTCTGTTTGATCAATTATAAAACCAGCACTCATCTCTCCTTTTGACCTGTCAAATTTTTTACCTTTTTTTTTGTTTGATTAATAGTCGCCCGTTGCCCCTTAGTAGTAAACGGATTATAGTTTAGGAAACGAATAGAGTTGAATAATACTGCCTTTTTATATACTTTGATAATTATTCTACAAGATGGATAAACTTATTTCGTCATTATTATGTTGTTCGGTTAGTTCTAAAGATGATTCTAACGATAAATATCATGCGAAAAGTCTGAATAATGAAACAAAACAGAAGAAATCCAAGACTGGGAATCAAAAAAGTTCAAGAAATAGTTCTAGAAAAGATGTGAATAAGAAACTAAACAGTTCAAAGACTAGTTCTGAAGTTGAAGTTTTACCCGAAGAAAATAAGCCGAATAATGAAGTAAAACAACAACAACAACAACAAAAACAACAAGTAAATGGACAAGCCAATAATAAGAAGAGAAATAGTAAGCTTACTAATAATTCGAAGATTGAGTTACTAGATGATGAAAATTCGATTAATGAAACTGATACAATTACCAATACCAACGAAGAATCAAATAATAATACTCCAAATAGTATATCCAATAACCAAGGAAATGATTCAAAAGAAGTGATTACTCATCAAGAGTCTCCAAAAGATGATGATAAACAGATTCCAAATATTAATGAAGATAAATTAATTTATGATGTTGATAAAAATGTTGTTGATTCAAATGATATACAACATAAGCATTTAATTGAAGATGAAGAAGATGAGGAAGATGAAATTGATGAAGAATTACCCGAAAATGATGTTGATGAATCATATCTTGATTTAACTAAATTACAAGAAGGGCAAGCATTTAATCCTGAAAGTGGATGGTTATTAGGTTTAAAAAATGAAAAAATTTTTGGAAATAAAAAATGTCTTATTCTTGATTTAGATGAAACCTTAGTTCATTCTTCTTTTAAATATTTGAGAACTGCTGATTTTGTTATACCAGTTGAAATTGAAAATCAAGTTCATCATGTTTATGTTATTAAAAGACCCGGGGTTGATGAATTTTTAAGAAAAGTTGGTAAATGGTATGAAGTTGTTGTATTTACTGCTAGTGTGAGTAAATATGGTGATCCTTTATTAGATAAATTAGATATTCATCAATCTGTTCATCATCGTTTATTTAGAGATTCCTGTTACAATTATCAAGGTAATTTCATTAAAAATTTATCTCAAATTGGTAGACCTTTGGCTGATTCAATTATAATTGATAATTCTCCTGCTTCTTATATTTTCCATCCACAACATTCAATTCCAATTTCATCTTGGTTTAGTGATACTCATGATAATGAATTATTAGATTTATTACCTTTCTTAGAAGATATAGCGAAACCAAATGTTGATGATGTTGGTTTAGTTTTAGATATTACCATATAATTCCATTATAAGCAGGACTTATAATCTAATCTATTGCTAACTTGGCTAATATAGAATATTGCATTAGATTCATTTACTTATTTAATCCTTTAATTTTGTATCTCTATTTTATAAATTTCTTTACACTTCTTAACTTCTTAACTTCTTAGCTTCTTAACTTCTTAGCTTCTTAACTTCTACACTTCTTAACTTCTACACTTCTTAACTTCTACACTTCTACACTTCTTCTAATCATAATTTTAAGCATTCTCGAACAATTTCTTATATACTGTATAACTAATAACTAATCTTGTCAACAAATCACATGTCGTCAATTTGACTGCAAACCTGTAGAGAACCAACCTGCAAATAAAACAGCAACAAATAACACCTCCGTACACCTATGGGTGTACGGGTGGTGGATATTATCGCATCTCATCACTTCCTTTAAATCATCAAAATTTTTTTTTTTATATCTTATCAGTATATTAAAGATATAACCAAGTAAATAATGAAGGTGAAAACTATAAGTAGGTCTTCAGACACCTATGTGCCGGTGCGTAACACGCAGGAGTCGGCGACGCCCAGGAACTTGAATCCAGCATTACATCCTTTTGAAAGAGCCAGAGAATATACCCGAGCATTAACTGCTACGAAGATGGAAAGGATGTTTGCTCAACCATTTATCGGACAATTAGGAGATGGACATAGAGACGGTGTTTATAGTATAGCCCGGGATTTTGGGAGTACGAATCAAGTAGCCAGTGGATCAGGAGATGGGATAATAAAGTATTGGGATTTAACATCAAGAAATGAAACCATTAGTTTTAAAGCACATTATGGGATGGTAAGTGGATTAGTAGTCAGTCCAAATCAAGTTGGAAATAAGAAGATGTTGAGTTGTGGGGATGACAAGACAATTAAATTGTGGTCAGTTAATACTAATGATTTTGAAAATGATATAAATGATGAAATATTATATGATAACAAGAATCAAGGATTAATTAAAACTTGGACTGGGGAACACGCATTCAAAGGATTAGACCATCATTTCAGCGAAGACTTGTTTGTGAGTGGAGGTCTTGATATACAATTATGGGATATGAAAAGATCAAGACATATATCTAATTTGACTTGGGGAGCAGATAATATAAATCTGGTTAAATTTAATAAAACAGAAACAAATGTTTTGGCAAGTACCGGTAGTGATAATTCAATAGTGTTATATGATATCAGAACCAATTCACCCATCCAGAAAGTTGTTACCAATATGAGAAATAATGCAATTGCATGGAATCCAATGGAAGCATATAATTTTGCAAGTGCAAATGAAGATCAAAATTCATATTACTGGGATATGAGAAATTTGAAAAAATCATTAAATGTTTATAAAGATCATGTTAGTGCAGTTATGGATATCGATTTCAGTCCAACCGGTCAAGAATTAGTTACTGGTTCATACGATAAAACAATCAGAATCTATAAAACCAGAGCTGGTCATTCAAGAGAAATTTATCACACTAGTCGTATGCAGCATATCTTCAGCGTCAAGTTTACTAGTGATGCAAGATATATCTTGAGTGGTTCTGATGATTCCAATGTTAGGTTATGGAGAGCTAAAAGTAATGATCGTTCAAATATTACATCTTCTAAACAAAAATCTTCAATGGAATACGATGATGCATTAAAAGAAAGATTCAAATTCATGCCAGAAATCAAAAGAATCTCAAGACATCGTCATGTTCCAAAAGTTGTTAAAAAGGCTCAAGAAATTAAAAGAACTGAACTCGATTCAATTAAAAGAAGACAAGATAATGAAAGAAGACATTCTAAACCTGGTTCGAAACCAGTTCACCCAGAAAGAGAAAAACATATCAGAGGTACCGCCATCAAAGATGATTAACCATGTAAATTATATACAAAATGTATACCAATACATACAATTATATAACGATGTATTACATTTTTCTGTAGTTATCCATCAGTTGATCCTACGTCTCGTGTTATCAAAGGGTATCCGGGTATTCCCTACCCTTCAACCTTACACCGTCCTCGCCCTCTACATCGATGGCTCCCAGCCCTTCATCTTCCTCTTTCCTTCTGACCCCCACTATAACCCTCCCCATTGCCAGATCATTTGCTAAAGGATCAAATTGAAAATCAAATCCTTTTTTCATAGTGAGAGGCTTTTCGCAAATAAAAAACGCTTTAAAAAAAACTGAACCAACCAAAAGAAGCAGGGAAAAAGGAAAAAAAAGAGAGCGATACTCGCCCTTTCAAATAAATCATTTTTTAGTTCTTTAACAAACAACTACCCAATTCCAGTGATAAGTGATTGGATTAATCAAGGCTGATTCACAAGTTAGGGTTCAAATCCAGGTAGTTTTGATAGTAATTATCAGTTTGTTCTATTGTTCCAAGTATACTTAGGTTTCGAATATTGATTTTGAGACTTTTTTTTTCCTCTTTGGCTAGTTTCCTATAGGTTGGTTGATTATACATCTGGTGATAGGAAGATTGAATTCATCGCTTGAAAGAAGTTTGAAATAGTTATTTCCTGGATGGAAAGCATACACGCTATTCCGAGATTTATAAGTTATGCCGGATAAACATAAAATTAAGTTGTTTAGTCACTTCAAACAACCTTCGGTTGATGAAGAATTGACTCCTTCAACTTCAAATCAATCCCAATCCCATTCTGTTGCTAATCAGGGCCGCAAGTTTCTTGGGTTCCACATTGGAAAACACGATTCGCAAGATTCTTTAACTTCACCCACCTTGACCAACTCTGGTGATCATCACCATGGTCACCATGGTCACCATCACCATGGCCAAGCGGGCCAGCATCATCAACATAACATTCTGGGGAATAGTAGTCATTCTTCAAATCCTGATAGTAGACCCGACACTCCTCCGAATAGTAATATTTCGCCTCTGCAACAAATTCCAATTCAATCGCCTCAACCTAATGTCCATGTTCCGTTAAATAAAGAGGATTCAAATCATACATTTATGAAGTCAAATTCTATGATTGAATTAAAACGATTGTTCAAACCAACCAAAAAGAATTCTAATCCAAGGAAAAATGAACATCCTTCATATACTAGTAATATCCATTCTCCTCCAGCAATTGCATCACCTTCTGCCGGTGTTTCTTATAATACTGCAAGCGCTCAGCATAGCAGAGAACCATCGTCAACTTCTTTAGCCACTTTAATCAATCAGACATCTTCTCAATTACTAAATAGAGCTTCTCATGGTAATGGTGGTATACTTCATGGTAAATCTCATAATGCTGCTCCTTTCACCGATGATGATTCTCCTTTAGTTAAAAAATATGGTAAAGTTGGTAAAGAATTGGGTAGTGGTGCAGGAGGTTCAGTCAAACTAATTATACGTCCTTCAGATTCAAAAACTTTTGCAGTTAAAGAATTTAGACCAAGAAGAAATACTGAATCTTTAAAAGATTATACTAGAAAATGCACTGCAGAATATTGTATTGGTTCAACTTTAAAACATCCAAATATTATCAAGACTATTGATATAATTCATGAAAATAATCGATATTTCGAAATTATGGAGTATGCTCCAATTGATTTTTTCGCAGTTGTTATGAGTGGTGAAATGTCAAGACAAGAAATTAACTGTTGTTTAAAACAAATTTTAGAAGGTGTTGGTTATTTACATAGTCTCGGTTTAGCACATCGTGATTTAAAATTAGATAATTGTGTTTTAACAACTAATGGTATTTTAAAAATTATTGATTTTGGTAGTGCAGTTATTTTTAAATATCCTTATGATCAATTTGGTAATTCCAAAGATAGTATACATCATTGCCACGGGATTGTTGGTTCTGATCCTTACTTAGCTCCAGAAGTTTTGAAAAATTCTCATTCTTATAATCCTCAACCAGTTGATTTATGGTCAATTGCAATCATTTATTGTTGTATGACTTTGAAAAGATTTCCTTGGAAAATTCCAAATCCTGAAAAAGATAATAGTTTTAAATTATATGCAATGGAAGATGATAATTGGCATGATTATCCTTTAAGTAATGAATGTCATAAATTATTATTACAACAAAGAAAATTGAAAAATATGATTGTTAGACTGAATAAAAAGAAGAAGGCTCTTGCTGAACAACAAGCTCAATTAGATCGAGAAATGGTCGATTCAAATCATGAAACTGATGATCATGATATGGAAATTACTAATGAAAATGAAAATCCAAATGAAGTAGAAGGTGAATCCCTAGCTCAAAATGATCAAATTAATGAAGATAAAGATGACAAAATGAATACTGATGAACAACAAACTACCAAGAAAGATGATAAATTGGTTCAATTACAAAATGTTGATATCTTATCAGAAGATCAATTACAAAGTATTCTCAATGGATTAAAAGAGATTGATCAAAAATTAGAAGATTATGAAAAAAGAAAGACTGAAATGAAAAATAAATTTAATGAATCAAGAAAAATTAATCAAGAAGTTACTGAACAACAAGAAACTAAAGATGAACCAAATCAAGATGCAAAAGAAGATTCCGGCAAAAAGAAACAATCTCATCATAAACAAATACATGGTCCTTATAGATTAATGAGATTATTACCCCATGCATCAAGACCAATAATTTCTCGTATGTTACAAGTTGATCCAAAAAAGAGAGCCTCTTTAGAAGAAATCTTACAAGATGAGTGGATTAGAGATATTCAATGCTGCACCTTGAAGAAAGTTCCTCGTAGTTCTGATAATATTGGTGCTAATTTCGAAGAAGATGAAGATGATATTCTCGTCAAGGGTAATCCACCTCACGATCATACTTTAGTACTCGATAATCAAGAAGAACAAAATGAAAAAGCCGAAGCTGCTGAAAGTAACATGGCTCAATAGTTCTTGGCTTTCTCTTTTGGTTCAATCAGTCATTACCTTATTTATTACTTTCTTTAATGATATTTTTTTTTTTTAGTTCGATAATTCTTTTATTCACGCTCTCATTCTTTTTTCATTTCTTCCCTTTAGAATCAAAGTGGTCTTGTCATTTTGGTTACTTTACTCATCGTCTCAAAGACATGCTACACTTAGGAGTAAGTATATAACGATATTCAATACATTTATAACGACTGATTTGAAAATGTAAAAAAAAAGACCGGACTTTTTGTTCGCTCCTCACAAAATGAAGTCAACTGAAAACATTGTATGATAATTCTTCATCATAGTTTAGGGTATATTGGGACTCAATCTATATTCATTTAGCAACCGTACAATGCCTCAGCAACAGCCAGCACACGCCATCAACCCTACTCGGTTGAAGACCTCGTTGAAAATGGCAATTAGTAAGTTGAAGTTTATCCAAGATAAGAAAAGTGCAATCAACAAGCAACAGCGGAGACAATTGGCTACGTTATTAAGCCAAGGTAAAGAGTCAAGTGCTAAGATAAGAGTGGAGAATATAATTAGGGACGATATTTATGTTGAGTTACTTGAATACTTGGAGTTGTATTGTGAACTTTTATTAGCTAGAGTGGCGATAATTCTCGACACCAATAGAAGTGGAGTTGATCCATCATTGAAAGAAGCCATTCTGTCGGTTGTGTATTCTGCTCCCCATAGTGAATTGAAGGAATTGAGTGGATTAAGAGAGATTTTCGTTGCAAAATATGGTGCAGAATTCGGTAAGTCGGTAATTGAAAATACCAATGACGAGTATGTTCCAGCTAAAATAGTGAAAAGATGTCAAGTGGAGCCACCTTCAGAGCTATTAGTTGACTTGTACCTATGTGAAATAGCCAAGGCGTACGAGGCTCCATATTCTGGGTTGAAGATAGAAGAGGTGATCGAAGAAAGCAACGATATTGATGACGACGACGATTCTCCATCTGGTGGCCAAAAGGAAGCGAATCTAGAAACCCCGTTGGCTGCTGATCCAGCTGATGTATCAAACACCCAAAAGACAGCACCAAAGACAGCACCTAAAGCACTCAACGACTTTGATTCCCTAAAGGCTAGATTTGACGCATTGAAAGGTGCCAAATAGACTCAACCCCGATATTACATTGATGCTACAAGATTAGAGTACGATGAGTAAGACGAGTAAGATGAGACAAGTAATACAAGTAAGATACAAGTAAGATAATGGTGGACTAATTAACTAATTGCAGACTGGCATATACTGACCACGAATAAATACCACGACTCAATAGTCCCTTGTAAGCGTGTAGTTACACGGGATGCTCCCTCTACACCTGGCCACCAACACCGTTGACGGTGGGATCAGTACCCATCTGGCAGCTCCTATGGACCAAGGAAGAGCACTGATTTTTTTAGCCAAAGACAACCAAACAAAACAAAAAAAAAATGAAAGCGAGGAAAAATATCAAAACATTTTGAAAACGACGCCCAAAAAAAATAAATAAACAAATTAAGCTGAACGTCAGGATCCCAATCCAACACATCATCAACCAGACACAAGTTGCACTAGATATATGGGGATACTTATATATCGTGCGCATTAATAAAGTTATAAAGTTGGGTGAAAAAGCACGATTTGGGAATTCAGATTATCAAGTTAAGCTGAATTGGATCTCAAGCGAGTTGAAGATCAATACAAGTTGGTGATATCATGAGTCCGCTGCAAATATTGACAGTAAGACAGCAACAGGAGTTGAACAAGGCCATACTTCAGTATCTTAAGCCAATATTGACCGAAAATACCGGGAATGTCAACTTAACAATTGCTCTTTCCAATATTTTACAAACACCATTGAGTTCAATTGATGATAATAACAATAACATTATTCCAAACTATTTAGAGAAGAAATGGTCGACTGTTTTAAGACTACAAAAAAAAATCATTGATTTAGAGAATGAAATTAGTAATTATAAAGCCATTATTGATGCTTCAAATACTACCGATGCGCTTTCAAAGCATACTTCTCTTTTAACTAAAGATAAGATCAATTGGTTACCAAATAATGCAATAAAGACTTTCAAGACCCAGGCTCAGCAGTTAATTCAATCAGTGACAATCCACCCATTCTTACCAATAATACATAGTGGATGCTCTGATGGATCTTTAATTTCTTGGAATTTGGTTAATGATGATACTTTAATACCAGAGAAATTTATCAAGGCTCATACTAGAGCAATTAATAAGATTAGATGGTCCAATGCTCCTTTAGATCTTTCTGCTGGTAAATCCTTAATTCCTGATAAAAATAAATCTTATATTCTAGCTACTTGTTCTGCTGATTTATCAATAAAAATTTGGGATGGGGCTACTTATAAACAAATAAGAACTTTATCGGGTCATGAACATACCGTTTCTTCAATTGCATTTTCCAAGTCTACTCCCCATATCCTCTATTCAGTATCTCGTGATAAGACAGTTAAAATTTGGGACCTTACCAGTGGATTTTGTATAAAAAGTTTTGTCGGCCATAGTGATTGGGTACGTGATATTGATGTCATTAGTGTTAATTCACAACTACTGATGACAAACATCAAAGAATCTTCGGAAATCGGTGATTTCATCGTGACTTGTTCGAATGATCAATCAGTAAGATTATCCCATGCAGATTCTGGTACTGGTATCTCCTTATTAATTGGCCATACCCATGTTATTGAAACAGTTAAGTTTTTACCACTTCATTCAAATTATTTCATTGATAAGTACCTCACTAATAATTCCGATAAATTCCCAAATATATCACCTTCTTTTTTCTCTGATCCTGTTTATACTCAAACTCTTGGTTTTAAATATTGCATTTCGGCTGGTAGAGATAACCTAATCAAATTATGGTTATTGCCCCCTCCTGTTCTAAGACCTCATAGACACCCCTTACCTTCCCAACAAAATAATTCTCAAGGTTGGTTAATAGCAGAATTGGTCGGTCATCAATCTTGGGTTAAAGCCTTATCAATCCACCCTAATGGTAGATTTATTTTCAGTGGTAGTGATGATAAGACTATAAGAGTATGGGATTTAGACAACTTGAATCAAACTGGAAACGTCAAATGCATCAGAACTCTTACGGGTCATGATGGTTTTATTAACGATTTAAATTTTGCATCTTTCGAAATAGAGAGTGATATTAATAGTAAAAAGAAACAGGATGTGGTTATAAATCCAAAGAAAGAAGATGGAAGTGACAAATCAACAGAACAGTTGCATAAAGAGTTGATGAAATTTATCGAATCCAAAATGAGATGTTTATTCTTAAGTGGTGGCGTTGATAATGCCGTTAAATTATGGAGTTAGAACTCACATCTCATCATACTTGGTATACTTTTATTTATATTTTTTAACTCTTCATAGGATACCCTTTTATTTTTTTTTTTTTTTTTGGTTTTTTTTTTGTCACTACATTTTTTGACTACAATTACGATATAGATTAAATCAATGGTGTATTTTAAACTTGCGATTGATGATTCTTCTTAGACGAATATAACGATTTACTATTTTTACTGATTGACAATAACTGTAATGTTCTATCCAGATTTTGCAATATAAGCAGATGGTGCTCTCTGAGCCCATTCGGTCCAACTACCATCATAGACTCTTATTGGAAATCCGGTTCCAATAACAGACTGTAAAGCCAACTTCAAGATCACCGCAGTGACCCCTGTACCACACATAACAATAACGGCTTCTTTCCCCCCTAATGTTGGATCGGTGACGTCTATGTTAAAGTCATCTTTGAATAATTGGATCAACTCCTCTTTGCTTTTATAACTTCCGTCTTCTTTCAAAACCTTGTTAAATGGTAACGATAAAGCGCCAGGAATATGACCCGAAGACAATCCTGGTCTTGGTTCTGGGCTTTTACCGGTAAATCTGTCGGTGGAGCGTGCATCAAAAGTGACATAATGCTTTTCTAATTTTTCTGACTGAACAAGTGCTAATAATTCTTCGTAATCAATAACTTGATCTTGATAATTATCCGAGAACTGTTCTTGACTAATCAATTCATAATGGTGGGCATCACCAAGTTCAGCACTTGTGGCTAAATTGTCTTTAGGATTAGTGTCAAGTGGATAATCATGTTTTTTATAGTCGGGATAGTGATTTAAAAGATAAACTCTTCCATGCCCATAAAGAGAAAAAGTCCAAGCAGCTCGAGGACTAGAAAAAATACCGGTTTTATCGTAAAAAACCAATTTATCAGTTTTTTGTAACTTGAGTGCTTCTATATTCTTTTTAAATACTTCATATGGAGGTAACATATGAGGGTATTTGGACTCTGGCAACGCAACTTCGTCAAGATCAAAAAATGCAGCATCTTTAATTCTGTCTTCGTTCAAGTACTGTCCTTTGCCATTATGAGGAGAATTCGGCATGTACCACGTAGCATCAATTGGAACAACTCTAGAATGGGAGGAACTCGATCTCAAAAGTGCTCTAAAACCCTGTGGGCTAAGAATGGAAATAAACGGCTTGGACATATCTCAGTATAATTCTCCACTCCTTGTTTTGCAAACAGCTTCGTTCAAGAACTCTTGGGCCTCTAACAAGTCAATTGAATTGGGATTTTTGTAGAAAGCAATTGTTGAAAATTGACCAATTGTTAACGATCTCAACGACGGTTTCGGGCTTTTTTGTTGAGGCACTGATATTGTTTTATCATAGAGGACCGGGTTACGATAGTCCCGCAATCAACACACCCATACACCAGCAGTAGTTACTACTTCAACTGCCACTGGAAAGTGAATAAAATGGATCTAATATGAAACCGTTGTTTAGCCTTCTTCCATTTAGAAGGTTTCTCGAGTCTAAAGAATTGTACTAGAGAGTCACTTACTGGGGGTGGTTAGTTGGACGAACCTTAATAAAAAGACAAACAATTATGTATATGGCATTAGCATGTAACCACAAAGAAAAACGATAAAGCAGAGTTTTTCAGAGCTAATACCGGCAAGACAGAAGTGACGGGATCCTATATTACTTCCTTAGTCAGCAACGAAAGAAAGGAATGCCGAGAGGAGTTGGCTGCAAAGAAGAACTTTTTTTGCAACATGCGACCTTAAACTTGTGCTGGATTTTGAATTTTGTGACTCCACAAGTTTTGCAGTCACTATTACCATGGCCTTCCTTGTCTATTGAGACAGGCATGGCAGAAATGCTGTATGTGCTACAGGACAGGCAAGTAAGGACCCGAAGAAAATCAAAAACGAAGAGAAAGCCAAAATAACCGTAAACCGTTTAAAATGTTAACCTTTGACTATTTTGCTATTAAGGTTGGCCTTTCCTTTCTTCGAGTGGCAGCACAGAAGGGAAGGGTTGAATAATGTATGTAAATTTAGAAGATAATAGTTTGATATAGTCTATATAATTTGCTATCGATCAGCTGTTTGTATTATTAAAGTTTTGACTCATTCTGGCGGTGTCGGCTTTCATGAACTCTCTTAATGCCATTGTTGCATAAGAACTAGTACCCAATTGCATTGTAAGAATAACTGCCTTCTTATCAGCATCAGAATCAGAACACTCAATAATACGAGGGATTGCAGTAGCCTCTTCAACCTTTTCTTTGGCTTCGTTTTTAGATCTCAAGATCTCTAAATCGGTTCTGAGAAGTGGTGCAGAGTCATCCTTATAGTTAACAATTTTATAACTTAAATTCTTTGGTTTACCCATGATTTTTCTGTAGGATCCTGCTAATGAGAAATCTCTAACTTTTCTGCCCATTTTATCTGGGTTCAAGCCGTCTTTGGCCATGCTGTCAATGTACACTTGTTTTAATTGTGGATTGGTTGGATAGAGAATATCAAAACCAGGTAATGGCAAAACAATGTCAAAAATGCTATATTTACCCAGTTCAACATCTTCTTTTGTTAATGGTTTGGCTCTGATGAAATTATTTGTGGCAACATCTTCTTCAAAGTCAGAATCTTCTGCTTCTTCAGATTTTGGTTTATCTTCAGGATCGATGATTACCAAATCACCTTCTTGAACTTCTAATCCAAACATTTCAAATCTTTTTGAAGCAACCAAGTTCCATATATATGACTGATAGGCATGGACATACATCAATTTCAAATTTCTTGGAATTGAAATAATACCTTTATAATAAGAATTTTGTGAGTAACCATTTTCTCCTTTCTTTTCATTGGTCAAAGCTTTTAAAATTGAGGTTTCAGCGGTGTAACGACGAGGCATGCTCTTTAATGCTAATGCTGGATCAGAAGTTTCAGCCCAAATTCTTCTTGCTTCGACCGAGTCTGGAGTAACAATTTCTTGTTCGGATAAAATCAATTCACCAGCTGCTTTCCAATCACTGTTCAAAATATGAACCCCGAGAACATGAGTAGATATGGAGAATGTACCAAACCTTTGCATACCGTAATAATTAATGAAACCATTATTTTTTAAAGAATTAAAACATTTTTCAACGGTATCTTCTATATTATCTTGTGGATTAAATGACTTAATATCTCTTACGGTAATTGTAAATTCATTACCATTCAAGTCACCCAACTTAAGATAATCGTCTTCGTACGAAAATCCTCCTAATACGATATTAGTTAAGCCTTTGTTAAGAGAACTAACTCTTGCGACTTTACCTTTACTAATTGAGAATCTTTGACAGGTAACACCTCTACGATCTTTCGTACCAGAAAAATTGATATTCTTTGGAGGAATCCTTAAAAACTTTGAAATTAAATGAGCAACCTCCATAGTTTCTCTATTTTCTTTATAAACGGTGAAATGTAAATATTTTTTGAATTGACCCAATCCATAATTTAAAACCCCATTTTCATCAACATGATTGATACTTTCTTGAACTCTTCTTCTATCCGATTTAGGGGCATTTTTAGATAACATGATTTTGAAAGTGTTTTCTGGAGAGGTTGCCGATTCCAATTTACCTTGAAATGCAACTCGTAATAATTGATGTAATTGACCTCTGGCTTGTTTATCTGGGAAAGTTGTTTTAGTTTCCATATTAGTGCCATTGCTGAAAAGCTCTTCGATCTCTTTCAACTCCTCTTCCGTTATTTTGGATAATAATTGCTCCCGGTGTTCATCTGATAAAGTATACTTTGGTTTTTCAGTTTTCAGTTGCTCCTTGATTTCAGAAACTTCTTCAGGTGTTTTATCCTGTAAGTCTGCTCTATCATTTTGTCTTTGTTCCATGCGTCTTTCCTTTTTGGTCTTACCAAGATCGATCCCTTCATCCTCTAAATGAATAACTTTGTCATTCAAATCAACTTCATTCACAAGGAAATCACTATAAAGTTGTTTAATAGTACCGAAAAAGCCACCGCCGGCACGGTTTACCTCATTGACATATTGAGTTATACCAACGTCATGTTCTTGAACTACTTTTTGGGCACGTTCTGCTGGCGAAAGCTTTGCTTTCTTGAAAGCTTCATTAGAGTTTGGTTCTGCTGGTAAGCTTCTCTTGATAGAGTTACTGGTTTCTTCCATGATTAATTCGGATCTGACGTTTTTAAGTAATTGAACTTGGAATAATCGTCTGATCGAGGCTAGTTATTTGGAGAACATAAGTAGATATTCAGTATGAATAAATGGATTCTTGAATTGAAATGAAAAAAAAAAAATTTTTTGAAAAAAGACATCATCGCAGGAAAAAACGTCTCATTGATTTTTTTATATTTAACTAAAATCAGCCCTTACCACTTAAGAATATCACTCTAGTCAGGGGAGTTGTAGAAAACCAAAGCCCCAGTGCTATTGGATAGCATACTAACCGTATTTGGTATTGTTTGTCGGCTTATGGTCGACTCATTAATTTCAAATGTTTCAGATCTTTTTGCGACATGGTATCCATTTGTGGAAATTTGTTCACTTCTCAAGCCTTTTTAGTGTAGTTTTTTTTGCAACTATTTTAATTTATAAATTGAATGAATTAATGATTAGCATTCTTTTGCTTTGGTACCGCTATAAGAACCGTTGCTACCGTTGCTTTGCTTTTATACAGCTATAGGCTTGCTTTTCCCTTGTTGCTTTTTATAGTTTTGTTCTGAGTTAGGACAAATTTGCTAGAAATACCAGTTTGCAATCAAGAAATATAACTTAAAGACTCTTTCCAGTTGTTACACTCAGGATGTTGAGACATCCGATAAGCTTGAAGGTAACCGAGACTCAAAGTGAAGACCTTGGGCCTGATAGTCTGTGTTTGGCCGCTGGCACTTCTACTGAACACAGGAGGAAAGCATCTTTTAGTAATATGTTTTCCAATCCACTCCGTTCGAAAGAGTCTAAAAGTGGAGGGTTTAGAAGATTCGCAAGGTCGTTGTGGTTAGATACTAGTTTGGTAGTGACTCACGAGCCATCGGAGCAAGAAAGCAGAGGAAGAAGTAGAGTTAGAAGTAGAGAAGATTATGAAGACGGATCAGAACAATTATTCGATGATTCACACTGGTCCGATGAACCAGCGTTACCCAGACGAAAAATGAATAAAAGTAAATCATATAGTCAATTGAAAAACGTTAATTTCAATCAATCCAATCGACTGATCAAGGCCAGAAAGCTAACCCATTCTACTAATCACAACCGAGCTCTTATTCTAAAAAATTTTTCAGTCAATACATCTACCGACTCCATTATTAGTCAAATAACCTGTGGACCGTTGGAGAAATTGAACTATAGACACCACCCGGCCAATCCGACGTTGGAAATACACTTTGTTCTTTCAGAAGGTGCTCGTAAATTCTACAACTATTGTACCACCACCGGGTTTGTCGTGGTTGATGGGAAGAGGCTAGAAGTCGAATGGGCCAACGAGTCCAACACCGAAGACACCACTGGTAGTATGGGGGTCCCCAAGTATCTATTCAATGAAATAGTTCACGGATCGGCTAGAAGAGTCTTGATTTGTCTGAAAATAGTCCCCGACAAGCCTTTGAATCATCTGTCCTTAACTGATTTCCCTAATCCCGAGCTGCATCTATCCAAAGACTTTGATATCGATTTGATCAAGCATGACTTTAGTAAATACGGTGAAATAGTCGAATTTGGAGCAGTCATTTCTAGAAAACTCTGTTTTAGTATTCATTTCACCGATATCAGGTCTGCAATCTTGGCTAAAACCGACTTGGAAAACAAAGACTCCATGATGAATGCAAAATATCACGACTGGTTCTTCTGGTATGGCAAAGATCCCACAGATAAACCTTGTTACCATCTTTAACCATGCTTTCGCTTAATACCTTGTTTCGTAAATTCTTTCTGTTATACTTGATATCTTATAGACTTTACAATTAACTTTCTTTGCTTCCACCACCCGTAGTCTTCCAACGACCCCCAGTCTTCCCACGTCTTTGACCATGCTCCCGTACCATAGAGCTACAACCTCATGTCTTTGCTGCCATTTTTCAGCATTGGCTAACTGTTTATATTTTCACCAGAATCGGTAAAGTAAATAGACTACGTGAAAGGCTAACAAAGCCAAAAAAAAAAAAATAAAAAAATTAGTTGTATGCGAATACTAACCAATGGGGCAGGAAAACAAACCAAATCATGAAATCGTCTTGTCAATTTACAGCTGATTGATGATCTTGTTTACTCAGAGACTTGTTTGTCAGGATCATCCCCTAGCTTTCCAAAGTAACAGAAGTTGAAAGAAAGGGAAAAGCGAACAAATCAAAAAAAACAAATACAAAAAAGAATTTTTTTTAGTCCCTGACTTAATCGTTTCATACTCTTCTCTGACGATACTATCGAAACTCTTCTGTTTATTTAGACCTTTCATTTGACTTCTTGTGAACATTTTTGCTTTGTGTTTAGCCATAAAAGAAGTAACAGACGTGAAAAGTAGGTATTTTATTCCTGAATTCAGATTCGAATTCCTTTCGGTTCAACCTTTAAATACCTTTCTGACCCAACATTCCAAGATTATTCAAAGAAATATATCGAGGGTCTAATAACATAGACATAGCTAAAACAGTGTTAATACCCAAAGCAAGAACAATCGAGCTTAAATAATTCATCCTGACAAACTACATTATCTTTGCAAAAAATGTCTTCGAGTCAAAGATCCAGTAGCAGTTTTAGATCACGGTCATCATTATCCAACCCTGCCTCAATTCCCGGACTTTCTAATGGTACACAGCAGTCTGCTTTACCAAGAGTTAATATTACAGACTTAAGAAGACCTCCAAGTGCAAGATCATCATTCCGTCCTTCTTCTCCTAGAATAAGTAATGGTAATAGTTATTCCACCAACTCAAGACCGGGATCATCCTTAAGTAATAAAAATGCCAGCAGTACCACTTTCCCAAGTAGACCTTCCACTCCGTCAGCCACCTCATTTAGAAACTACGAGCCTTATACCGGAACAATTACCGTTTCTATAAGACCAAATCCTTATAGTGTAAGTGAATCTCAACCTTTAGCGTGGGATATAGAAGAACTGTCGAATACCATAGCCAATTCAAATGATGGTAGTTCGTTTACCTTTGATAACGTATTCCCAGCAAACCCTTCCATCACAAATAGAGAAGTATATAATCGCTCGTGTTCTCAAATAGTGAATAACTACTTAAATGAAGGTTATAATGGTACAATTTTCGCATACGGTATGACTGGTTCGGGTAAAACATTTTCTATGAGAGGTAGTGATGAAGATCCTGGTTTTGTTAGATTGGCAATTGACGAAATATTTTGTAAAATTGAAAACTCAGTCGATTCATCCAAGAAACAATATACTATCAATCTAAGCTATTTAGAAATCTACAATGAAAAAATTATCGATTTATTAAGTGAAGTTTCTTCAAATAGTTCTCAAGATTTGAAAATTAGAGATGATCCAGTGTACGGTACTAGAATTATCGGAATAACTTCTCCTACCATATCTACAAAATCTCAAATGCTTGATTTAATTAAAAATGGTGATAATAAAAGAAAAACTAGTGCAACTGATTTTAATGCCCGTTCGTCTCGTTCGCATTCAATCTTGCAAGTTAAGTTAAATACTATTGATATTAGTTCAAGAGTTGAACAACATGCTACTCTTTCACTATGTGATTTGGCAGGTTCTGAACGTGCAACTTCAAGTGTTGAAAGAAGAAAAGAAGGGGCTTATATTAACAAATCTTTACTTGCATTATCTACCGTTATAAATAAATTATCAATGTCTACTTCTTTCGCCGGTGGTGGTTCCCCAACTCTATCTGAACATATCCCTTATCGTGATTCTAAACTTACAAGATTATTACAACCTGCTTTATCGGGGTCTTCTTTGGTTTCCATTCTTTGTACCGTTCATTTGGGATCAAATAGCTCAACCTCAAATAATAACCAACAATTCATATCGGAAACCGCAAACACCCTTAGGTTTGCTGCAAGGGCTAAAGATATTGTCATGCATGTCAACACTAATAGAAAAACATCCGTTGGTGACCCAGAGTCAATCAGAGTTATCGAAGAGTTAAAAGCAACAATTGATAATCAAAAACAAGAAATTCAAATGTTGAAGTTGAATGGTGGTAACCGAAGAGCTTTAAGCACGTCTTCAATCTCATCAATTAATTCAGGCAGCTCTAGTAGTGATGCTACGATCTCAGTACCTCTGTTGATAGAAAAAGATGTGAAAATAGCTCAATTAGAGTCTGAAATCAAGATCTTGAATGAAAAATTAGAACATTTATCAAGATTAACTGATCTTCAAAAAACAGAAACAGTATTACTAAGAAACGATGCATTAAATGATTTATTAGGAGTAGGTATAGATAATAACTCACTGCAAATAATGATGTCCAACCTTGAAGATTTTTATAAGAGAATAAATTATGAAATGGATGAACACAAGTCATATATCAATCACTTGGAGAACCAGTTACGTATTGCCTTTGAACAGTTATCTCTCAACGACAATAAGGAAGCTATATCAGAAAATGATCCGAAGACATATACCACACCTGCACTTGAAAATATAGCCACAAACAAATTCATTTCTCATACTGCCAATAGTAGTACAGCCACCAGTACTAGCTTTAATGGAACCTCTAGTAATTTATCTCGAAATTCAAGCATATCTCGCAACTCGAGCATATCATCAAACACTTCAGTGAAATTACCTACTCGTAAGTTATCTAATGAATCAAGATGCTACTCCGACAGGCATATTGATATGATAATGAAAGACCAAGAAGAAGAAATCTGTCATTTGAAAGAAATGTTGAAAGATAAAGATCACATTATTCACGGTCTCACCAAAACTTCTAAATTAAGAAGATTAGTCGATTCATCTACAATCAACACCCCTTACCTTAATAGTGACTCAATCAGTCGTAAGCTGTCGTTGAGACTCGGTGCCGTTACGCCGCCTCTAACTTCGAAACTGGACAAAGAGAACTTTGCTGAAGTGAAAGAGTTCAAGTCCTCCGAAACTAATGCTTTGAACTTCGTGGTGTAAATTAAACGATGTCTTCTCTATATATTTAATAATTACGACTATTTGTTTTCCATTATTCCTCTTTTACTTCATGATCTTGATATATTTTTTTTCCCTTGTTTCTTTGACATGGTTGAATGTGTTTTATGTTATAATACCTTTGCTTATCTATTGACTTTCCTTCATATTTCGAATTCATTTTCACGAGAATGCTTTAGTTCTTCAATCTCATCATGTACTAAATCTTTAATACTTGATACTAAAATTTTATATTTTAATAATACATCATTATAAATAATGAAAAGTCTTTGATTAATAAAGTAAGTCTAAATCAAGAAATAAAAAAAGTTTATGCAATTTATGAAAAAAAAAATTAGAATTAGTGTTTGGGAATGCTACTGCATGATTAATCACGTCCATGGATTTGATGGTCTTGCCTGTCCACTTTGTAGGCTAGCTCTTTTATGTGGCTGCAGCTTCTGAATGCTTTTAGAATTTTGAGCTTCGTAAATTTTTCTTTGATGTCTTAATTGTGAATTAAATATCCCACCATTACCTTCATAAGCTTTATCATTGGCATCTTGACTCTGCTTTGAAATAATATTTTGATCCCTATAGCTAACTTCTAGGACGGTGCTAGGTTTGAGCTTTAGATCACTTCCATCCACAGGTAAGACGTTCACAAATTTTCCTTTCATCTCTGGTAAGCGATCCCCGCCATTGAATAAACCAGTAGTATCAGCAATGGTTACAACAAAGCTCATTGATTCATTCGTTTTATCGACACGGAAGAAGTCAAGAGTATCACCATTAAATAATTGCACTTTCCTATTTTTACCCAACATAACACCATTAACAAGACATGTGTTGGTACTAAAATCAATCAACCATATGTCATCGAGGCAATGTGCCGGGCTTTCATAAATAGATTTTTCTAAAACCGGATGTCTCTTTTTATTAATCAAACAGTGTATTTTAGAAATACGGTCATCATTAATAAAAGAGTCACAAGTCTCGTTTCTCCCAACAGAATAAGGATTGACCCCTTGTCGTATATGAATTGGTTTTTTCATTATGGAGTCTTTTGTTGGAATTAATGACATGAAAGTATCCGCTGGAATATTTTCGGCTTTAGTTGACGATTTATTAGGTTTGTTAGACGAATCTTTTGATTCACTGGCAATATTAACCTCAGAGTAAATAGGATCATTAGTAATGCTGCTTAAACTTATAGGATCAGCACTGTCGGCAATCTTTAGTCTCTTAGGATGTGGTGGAGGTGAATCACTACCACCATTGGTAGGACGTTTATGGGAGTTTAAAATACTATTTGATGGCATTTCAACCGATTTGACCACTTCGTCTTCTTCCTCTTCTGGTAAAGAGTCTGGGATGAGCATAGGAACTTTGTTATTTTGATGAGGCTGGGAGTTATTTTGTTGAGAATTAGGATTGGAATTAGGATTGGAATTGTTTGAACCAGTTTGGTGTTGTGACGCAGGTTGTTGAGATTGAGGTAAAGGAACCACTCTTTTTGGAACTTTAAATTGATTATTTTGATTTTTAGTTTTTCTATTTTTTTCACTATCTAAAGGTCTCATCATTATATCTTCATCAAGCTGACTGAGAGGAGCATTAACATGAAGTCCATTTTCAATTTTACGCATTTGTTGTGATTGTGATTGTGATAAACTGATAACTTTTTGTGAGTCTTGTGACTCTTGAGAGTAGCTATCGACATTTTTCAACCATTTATGGTTCAAAGCTTCTTCAGCACTCCATCTTGACCTTGGATCAGTCTTTAAACAGTTATGCAAAAAATCTCTCCCTTCGTGAGAAATTTTATAGGAATTTAACGGTGATTCATGATATTCACCCTTCTTAATCTTATGAAACATTTGAGTTTGGTTTTGACCATTGAAAGGTAAATGAGAAGTCAATAGAACATAAACAAGACAACCCAAAGACCAAATATCAACTAAAGAACTATAATGATCTCTTTCAGCTTGACTTGACATACTTGAATCATATTTACCAGTGATGACTTCCGGAGCCACGTATGCAATTGTACCACAAAAAGTTTTCATAAAAGTTGTATTATCACTAATTTTAGCTAAACCAAAATCAGTTATTTTAACAAGAATTGGATCATCTTGTTTTATTAATATATTATCAGGTTTCAAATCACGATGCGAAATACCTAGTTTATGAACATATGCAATACCTTCTAATATTTGTTTAGTTATGACTTGAGTAGCTTCTTCACCAATTGCACCATTTGCTGCAACGAAATCCATTAGATCACCACCTGGAACTAATTCCATGACTAAATAGTAATTATCCATATCTTCATAGAACGCTTTTAACTTTACGATATTTGGATGATCTAGTTTTCTTAAAATTTCCAATTCTCTTTCAACACCAACCATATTTCCAGCACCAGTATTGAGAGCTTTTCTTCTATTGATTATCTTGACAGCAAATGATTCACCACTAGACCTTTCGACAGCTTTCTTAACTGTAGCAAATGCACCTTGACCAATTGTTTCATTTTTGATAATGAAATCTTTATAGATACCTTGGTCTTTCTTTGAGTTTGATGAATGGGAATTTGAATTCTTGGAAGGATTATATAAATCAGCAAAGACAATTACAAAACGAATAATGTCTTTTGGAACTCCAACCCCAACGGTTACTTCATCACCTTGGTTCAATATATAATTTGATCCCTTCACCAAGCGGTTCCCATTAAGATGCGTACCATTAGTCGAAGTATCTTGTATCCATAAAGTTGAGTCATTTAAATTAAACCAGATCTTAAAATGTTTATTAGAAAGTCTAGTACTTGAATTAAGTACGAAATCGCAATCAATATTTCTACCAAATAACCAAACTTTTTTACTCAAGTCTTTATTTCCTTTCCCTGGATTCTCTTTACTCAAATCAAAGTATTGATACTGGCCAGTTGTACATATCATCCGACATATATGATTATTATCAACTATCCCATCCCCTTGAATTTGGGTGGCAGGCGACTGCTGCGTCGGCTGTGTTTGAGTAGGCTGAGTGAACTCCATTGATTAGACTTTTGCACACGGCAACCTATATGTATGTCTGGATCCTCAGGAAATGTTATGTACTTACCAATCTTCAAATCGATGATTTGATTCAATTTTTTTTCAGACCATTCATTTTTTGTTATGATGTTTTTTTTTTTTACTTTTCGTTGAATTTTACGCGTCTCGTTAAGCGAGGTGCACGGGTTTACACTAACAGCAGTAGTAAGCAGTAGTAATAACAGTGCTAGCAGTAGTAATAACAGTGTTAGCAGCAGTAATAACAGTGTTAGCAGCAGTACTAGCAGTAGTAATAGTATTAACAGTAGCTGGATAGTAATCCTTAAATAAATTATGAAAAGACAGAGTCTTCCAGAAAGAAGTTTGAGAGGTAAAAAAGACTAATAATGAAATATGAGTTATTTTAAGGGGTACCAATGCTGTCGATTGTCTTTGTCAGTCATTTTGAAGTTTGTCAGAGCTGATCATCATCTGATATCCAGGGAAATTAGAAAAGCTCCAATTACCAAGGCGGAAACTCCAAAAATTATGCAGCTTTTATCTAAAAGCGATACGAAACCTACTAGTTGTACTGCGAGCTTGAATGTTACATCTATACCAATTTCTCAAATGCAAGCTAATTTTTTTTCACGTATATGTTTAAATACTACAGTATCAACTATATAGAGATATCAAAGCGAATGATAGAAAAATAATAAACTAAAACAGTGGAGGATAAAGTAAGCTACATATTTGAATAAAAAGAAAGTAGGATAATCAGTCACAGAAACTAAGGACAGGGAAGTATAGAATGTATAAGGTTATTAGAAAAATAATGCTTTGTTCAAATGATTAGACGCAAGAGACGCAAGAGAACCCCGACAGGATGCTTGTTGAATATGATCAAAGCACTTCTCAGGTATACTGTTCATATGTGTTAGGGTGATGTTTAAATTTTGAGGTGCGAAATTTGCAGCCATTTGCCAGTGATGTTCAAACAGCCTGATATTCATATATATGAGAGCGTGTTGCTAGATATTTGGATAAGAAAGGCAGGTGAAAAGTAATCTGAATCCCGAATTGAGAAGGCGGAAGTTAGCCATCTGATAAAAAAGAGACAGGAGAAATGCTTGTACAGATCGGGTAGATTAAGTAACCATGAACGAAGTTCATTTTTGGAATACAGAAATGAAAGCTTCTAGGCACGTAGATGTTTTAGGAAACTTAGAGGTTGCAAAGCACCAAAAAAAGAAAAAGAGCTGTCAAAGAGGTTTTTGCAGCTTCGGGGAGAAGTTTTCTTTACCAAATTTTTATTTTGATTTCAAGTGACCAAACTTGAGGAAGTGGAACATCAACAGAAGGACTGAACTTTCAAAAGCTCGATTATACATTCAATGATTTTTTTTGCAACACAAATATTAAGCTGCGAGGTTAAGATGAAGCAGTTTAATTTGAAATTAAAGATAATCGAACCACTTTTTTTGGAAACTTTTTCACTCAGGACCGGTAATACTGTCATTATTTCTTATAAAATGGTTTCAGAAAGCTCTTTCTCTTTCATTTCGAATGTTTAAAAAAAACCCAAGTTCAGACCGCTCTAAAATAAACGTCCGTATATCAAGCCAAAAAAAGATTATTTTGTCTACGGCCATATCCAGCATAAAGCATGATTACCCGTCCGATCAATAATTATTAAGCTGCTGAGAGCGATGCTGAGTACGTTAGTGGGAGACCATAATGGAAACCATCGTGCTGTAGACTCTTCTTTTTTTGCAATTTTCTTTGCAACCATTATTCAATGAAATGAAAGTTCAATAAGGAATCGAAACTTATGGATCTTACGAGGTTTTTGCAGCTTATTTAATGATATGATTAGTTAAGGTTTGACAAGCGTACGTTGAAAAGGAATACATGAAAGTAAATACATTAATACGTTCATTAAATTATATAAATAAATTAAATTTTATTATACAAGGAAGAATAGTTTAGCCATTAAGACTAATTAAGACTTCTATAAGACTTAGCTAAAGAAGTGACTGGTTTTAAACCATCAGGGTTAGCAACTACTTCATCTTCTTCTAAGTAATCTAATTGATTCAATTCTTCTTCAACATTGTTGTAGTGGTGGAAGATCAACCAGAATAAGACACCAGCGATGAAACAAGAAACAGCTAAACCGGTGAAAGTCCATAAGACTTTATCAACAGCAGCAACTGGAGAAAGAGCAATACCTAAAGCGGAACCGAAAGCATTTTGAACCAAAAAGATACTCATGATAAAAGATTTCATACTAATTGGAGCTTTAGTATAAGCATATTCAAGACCAGTAATTGAAGCGAAAATTTCTGAGAAACCAATTAAACAGTAAGCAGGAACTTGAATTGCAATATGAACCAAGTTATCGCTTTTTTGAATATAATATTCCAAGACTGCAGCATAAACCATGGAAGCAGAACCGAAAAAGAAACCAATAGTGATTCTTGAAACGGCTTTTAAAGGAGTGAATTTTCTGATAAAAGGATAAACCCAATGTTCACAAATTGGAATGAAAACAATGATAGCAATAGAATTAACAGCTTGTAAGATATCATTTGGAAGACCATGGGCAGCCATTCTACCGGCTTGAGAGACGAAATTATTTAACATTTGACCATAAACTAACCAATAAATTGGGTAAAAAACGAAAACTTTACAAGCATAAAGAGCTCTTCTGACTTCTTCAACGAATTTATCAGACCAAGGAAATTCGCTTTCAGGATGTAAACTTGGTTTAGCAGCATCAAAATTGAATTTATTTTTAATGGCAATGAAGCAAACTTTGAAACAACGAGAAATAACTTTATCAGAAACAGGAACTTTAACATAAACGTTTTTACCCAAGATTAAAGCAGCAATGGCAACAAAGAAAAAGCAAAAAGGTAGTAAGAAGGCAGCCCAGAATCCAATATGTAATTCCATTTCAGTAGTAGCAATAACCGAAAGAGAACCAATATTAATCATAAGGTAGAAAAACATGAAAACATTTTGAATAGTAATATTTGGATCTTGAATAACTTTTTCACCAGAAGGTAAAACTTTAATAATAGGTTTAGTTTTAGGAACTTGATCAGCAATTAAAGGAGAAACATTAGCTTTAACCCCACCAGTGGCAGCACCAATAATAATGATGGCTGCAATGTAGCCACCAAGAGAAGTAGATTTAGAAGCAATCGAAGGAATGGAAGTAATGAAAAGAATAAAACAACCAACGATATAAACAAACGAACAATAAAGAATAGTTGTATATTTACCAAGGAAAGTATCAGCAACGTAGGCACCAAGAATAGGACTCACATAACACCAGAAAGTCCAAAAATAAGATAACCCAGTAGCACCAGTATTACCTAATTGTAAAACCCCCTTTGGGCTATCATGAGGACCATTTTGCATATAATTTTGAAATGGAGCACTTAAACCATAATAAGTAAAACGTTCACCTAATTCAACAACGGCAACTAACCAACATCTTAATGGAATTTTTTCACTTACATGTCTTAAATTTTTCATTTCGTATTCGGTTGGTTCTCTACCTTCATCATCTTCAAAAGAAGCTTCTTTGTTAAAAGAGTTGACTTGGTCATCAGTAACGTAGGCGTCACTTTTGAGTTCTGGAGTAAGCTCTCCAGATGTTTTACCGGATTTTTCAATTGACATAATTATATGGTCAAAATTAAAAAAAAAGGATTAAAAGTTTAATCTACGGAAACGTTATATATATATATATATATATAATATAACAAATTATAGGGCGGAACTATCATGTTACCCAAGTATAAAAAAAGAAACAATAAACCCACTAACGTCAACGAATGATATGTATGGGAGTCTTATCTAAAGATCTCAAAAAGCATCAGTTTCTTTTTTCTCTTCTTCTTATTCACCTGACAAGAAGTAGTATAACCTAATAAAAGTGGAGATAACCATTATTACTCATTCTTCCCTACAACGACTCCGCTGACGGACATGCTGAAGCCTTACTAAGGCAAGATTCATTAAAAACAAAAAAATCATCTCATGCTGTTTCGAGGCTTACTTGGAAAAATCATCGCAAATGCGCAGAGTAAGCGTTTTGCCAAATTTAACTCTAATATTCCTGTCCGAAAACAAAGCTAACTCAGATTACTAGTATTGTAGTAATAGGACAATACCGTAATTATTGAGTTAGTGAAAGGGTACGCTTAAGCCGTTTGTAAAAATGGCACCTTGGAGTACTGAATTTCACGGCATTTTTCACTCACGGTTTGTTACGTTTGTTATGAGCAAAACCTCTCACTGCAACATGATAGCGATGTTTGGTCTGTAAAAGTGAGCAATCACGAGCTTCACTGCAAACGGAATTTCATCGCTGGCATCTTGATCATGGAGATCATTGGTTCACCGTCTGAAGCCTGGCTCTTTCGATATTGAGAAAAATAGAAAACGGCAGTTTTGGTCGGAGTTGCGGCGTCAGCTTTGTCCATCGTCGTTTCCCCTTTGGTACTGGCATTTGGGCCATCGGCATTTGTGAGCACAACGCCGTTGGCTCACACTATGGTCCACTGTTTTGGGAACTCTCGATGGAATGCCTCATACGGGCTTTGTGGAGAATCAATCCAGCACATCACCGTCGTAAAAAATGGTGATTTTTAGTTTGATCAAGAAAAATGTAATCGTAAAATGTTACATCAATAAGAAACCCAGGAGTGAAAGTAATTCACGAACAAAGTTATGCAACAAAGCTGAGTTTATATAAAAATTCTTGACATTGCAGTGATAAGAACGGTTGATAAGATAAGGGTTCGCTGAGTGCACGGCTTGAATTGGATATTTGGCCAATATAAACTGAGGCGACCAGTGGCTGCCAATGAAGCAGTTGAAATTGGGCGATGAGATGCACGTGATATCGACACGTGACGGGTCATGTGATACGTCACATGATCGGTAAAAACCCACCCATACACCAGATTACCAGCTCTTCACATAAACAGCCATGCAGGTGAAATTACATGACAAACCGTTTCAAGCAAAGGGAAGGAAAAAAAAAAATAGCAATGCTTTTTCTGTTTCTATTTGGAATAATCATCAATTGGATAGTATAACGGTTGATATTGGACTTTTCCTCGAGATATTAGCTTCTTGTGGATCGAACTTAGGTAGCTAGCTTAATTTTAGCTTTTGTATTTGACGGAATTAACAAAAAAAGGTTTTTTGCAGTTGCGGCTTAAGTATATTAGTGGCTGAAGGATGAGTTACAATAATTCAAATTATCCACCACCTCAAGGTGACCCTCAATACCAGCAGTATCAGCAGTATCCTCAGCAGGGAGATTTGGAAAATCAACCAAATGGTTATAGTGAAAAACCACAACCTTCTCAAGATTTTGATGATTCTTTTAAAGTAGATAAACCAAAATTTAACGATTGGCCATTTGCAATTTTCTTTTGGTTGGTTGTTTTTGGTTTTATAGCCATTGCTGGGATTACTTTGAATGCTTTAAAGAAAACGTATGGTCAACAAGGGTCTTCAATCTATAACTCAACCAATTCTTTCACTCTTAATACCAATACCGTAATTTTATTTGGTTTTGTTATTGTGGTTGCTGTTGTTTTATCAATTGCAATCATTGTTTATGCTAGATTGGCCCCTAGAATCTTTATTACAAGTGCTCTTATTCTAAATATTATTTTGGGGTTAGGTACTTGTATTTATTATTTTGTTGCTAAATATTGGTCTGCTGCAATTGTGTTTTTGGTTTTCACTTTATTTACTGCTTATTGTTACTGGAGTGCTAGACATCGTATTCCTTTCAGTGCCACTTGTTTAGAAATCATCATTGATGTTATGAGAAGATATCCTTCTACTTTAATTACTTCATTTTTTGGGGTAATCATTAGTGGATTATTTAGTACCCTTTTCTCAGTTGTTATCGTGGCTACTTATGTTAAATTTGATCCTAATTCCGATAATGAAGCTTGTTCTGTTGGTGGGGGGTCTTGTAGTAAATCAAAATTGATTGGTGTTTTAGTTTTTGTCTTTTTCGCTGGTTATTTCATTTCCGAAGTTATTAAAAATGTTATTCACGTTACCATTGCTGGGGTTTTCGGTACTTGGTATTACTTATCAGGTTCAGATCAAGGTGAACCAAAACATCCTGCTTTGGGTGCTTTGAAAAGAGCTTTAACCTATTGTTTTGGTTCAATTTGCTTTGGTTCTTTAATTGTTTCAATTATCCAATTGATTAGACAATTAATTCAAATCTTAAAACAAGATGCTTTTAATCAAGGTGATATGTGTGCCGGTTGCGGTTTATTAATCTTAGAATTTGTTATTAGATTAATTGATTGGTTAGTTCGTTATTTTAACCACTACGCTTATTGTTATGTTGCTTTATATGGTAAAAGTTATATCAGATCTGCTAGAGAAACTTTCGACTTGATTAGATTCAAAGGTATGGATGCTTTAATTAATGATTGTTTCATTAATACTTCATTACATTTATATTCAATCTTTGTTGGTTATTTGGTTGCTTTATTAGCTTATTTATACGTTAAATTAACAAAACCTGAATATAATTCAAATGGTGGTTATTATGCTCCAGTGGTTGCCTTTTCATTTTTAATTGCTGGTCAAATTACTAGAATTTCAACTACAGTAATTGAATCTGGGGTATCCACCTTTTTCGTCGCTTTAGCCAAAGATCCAGAAATCTTCCAAATGACTAATAGAGATAGATTCGATGAGGTTTTCCATAATTATCCTCAAGTATTACAAAAACTTACTGCTGATCATTAAGCAGCTTTTCTCTATATAAACTGTGTTCTCTCTCTTAATAAAGATTAATCCATTCATTTTATTGTAGTGCTCGATAAGTAGTTTTTTTTTTTTTTTTTTTTTTTCTCTATTTCAAAATTGAATTAGACAACGAGAAAATTCACATACCTATTCTTTATCAATTATCTTCCAAATGTTAACTCTATTGATAGGTGATTTGCATATACCGGAGAGGTCAATTGAGATACCTCCTAAATTCCGAAAATTATTAGCACCAAATCCAAATCAAACACCATCCAATAATAAAATATCCCAAGTATTATGTTTAGGGAATTTAACTAATAGTTTCGATACATTGAAGTTCTTAACTAACCTATCGCCATCATTCAATTTGGTCAAAGGCGAATTTGACAATTCTGTAATATTGAGTCAGCAATTGAATGAGTTAAATTTAAAGATTGATCCAATACCTTATCATCAAACCATTCAAAATGGAAATTTGAAAATTGGATTTACTAATGGTTATCAAGTAATCCCTAAAAATGACCCATTAAGTTTATTAAATTTAGCGAGAGAATTAGATGTTGATATTCTCGTTTGGGGTGGGACTCATAAAGTAGAAGCTTACACCTTGGATGAAAAATTCTTTATCAATCCCGGTAGTGTTACTGGGTCATATTCATTCGATTGGCCCGATAACGAAGACGATGACGAAGAAGAGGAAGATGAAGAGGATGAACCAGAAGAAAAAGAAGAAGAGAATGGAGAAGAAAAAAATGCCGATGTAAAAGAAGAACAAAACGGAGAAACTCAAGATTCTAAAACGGAAGAAACTGAATCCGATAAACCAGTTGAGGATGAAAAAGATGAAGAATTGAATAACGAAATAACAGACTTATCGTCGTCAATACCTTCTTTTTGTTTGTTAGATACTAATGGAAATAAGTGTACTGCTTATATATATACATATATTGAAGGAGAAGTTAAAGTTGATAAAGTTACTTATCAAAAAGAATAAAACTACAAATGAATAAATAATAATAAAGAAAAATAAACGTTTATGCAAATACTATGCTTGAACTGAAGAATAATGAAGTACAAATTCTTTTTTAATCTTTTCCCAATTATGAGGATCAAAGAATATATAAACTCCTTTTTCGACATCTGGACTTATAAGTATTGGTTCAACGTTTGAGTCTTTAGTCAACCAAACTTGAATATCTTTATGATATCTCCAATTCCTTGTAACCAATTCCCTAGCAGCATATTCTTGTAAAGTATCTCTTGGTTTCATATAAAATATATAAAATAGGGTTTCATCAGAAAAACTTTGTATTTTCGTATCACAAGGCTCCGGAGCAGGTATGATTTGATTTATTTCTTGGGGTAAGTTAAAGTAAGGTTCCACGTCTGATCTAGATGTTTCAATCCAAGGACTTGATAAATTTTTTAAAATGGAGTTATCTTTTGATAAGTCGAGACCTAATAAATTAACATCTTGACCCATTGCAAATTTCGTTTGATCATTTTGATCCATCTTAACTAGAGGAATAAGTCCTTTCAACCCATATTTATCTATTTCATCAACTGAATCATTCTCTATATTCGAAGAAGAAGAAGAAGTTGGAGGAGGTGTTGATGCATTTACTGGTTGTAGTCCTGGAGGTAATATCGCTAATTGAAGTTAGTAAAAAATTTATAACCATTTTATAACAAAAAGGAACTTACCCATTTTAATATAATAAAGTTTGTGTTATTGAATAATATCTTTGAAGATTAATGAAAGTTAATATTCCGTATAGGTTTTTTTTTCGTAGTTTGTTAAGGAAACATTGACCCAGCAGTGCACGTGACTTTGTTGAAAAAGTTCATCTCGAAAACAGATATGGATTTTTTTTTTTTTCAAATTATTACACTTATTTGCAGTAATAGAGCATTTTGAATATGAAGTCAGTTAGATATCAGCCCAATATAATCATCACCGGTACTCCTGGATGCGGGAAGACCTCCCATAGCTCGAATATAACCCAGACCTTGGGAGAATCCTACAAACATTACAATATAAGTGAATTAGCAAAGGAACGTGATTGCATTGAAAAATATGATGAAAAATTGGATACCCATGTTGTTGATGAAGATAGGTTATTAGACCTGATGGAAGAAGATTTGAGAGAAGGAGGATCAATTGTTGATTGGCATTGTTGTGATATTTTCCCTGAAAGATTGATAGATTTGGTTATAGTTTTGAGAGTTAGTAATGATATATTAATTAATAGATTGAATAAAAGAGGGTATAAGGATAATAAGATACAAGAAAATTTAGATTGTGAGATTATGGAAGTTGTGTTACAAGATGCTAAAGAAGGGTACCAGCCGGAAATTGTTATTGAGTTAGAGTCCAATGATGTCGAGCAAATGGACTCAAATGTTGATAGAATAGTAGGATGGGTGGAGAACTGGGTGAAAGACCATCCTGACGGGGTTACCAATGAGATTGACGAGTCCGTATCGCAATTGAAGAAGATTGATCAGGAGTTTGAAGGCAGTGAAGAAGAAGAAGAAGAAGAGGAAGAAGAGGAAGATGACGATTTTGAAGAAGGGTCCGAAGACGACGACGAAGAAGATGATTACGAAGAAGATGAATAAACCTTTTATTGAACACTAATATACAAAAGAACTGAAAGAAGCGTATGTAACCTTAAACCCAAGCTGATAACATTTTTTGAAGATAGTAAATGAAGAAAACCACGAGTAAAACCACTGCAGCATAATAACCTTTGGTGGCTGCTATATAACTCCATTTTTTAGTTAATAATTCCAAATTGTGTTTTTCTAATTCTTTAACACATTTATAATTTTGTTCAAAGATATAGATTGATTCTTTGATAATTTCTTGTTTTTGATCTTCAGTTAAAAAATTTCTGGTTGCCAACTCGTAATCACGTTTGTATAATAGTCTAAAAGAATCTTCATCAGTGACATCAAAACAAAAGAAATTAGCCCCTAATTTAATGATTTCTTCATGTTTCAAATTATCTTTTTGAGGAAACAATCCGGTTGCTTTTGAAATCGAAGATCTCATTATACGACCACCAGCGAAAAGAGCTAAATACATAACGTGTAAATAAGCAAGTAGTAAGTATGGTTTTTCATTGCATTTTTCTTTAATATGGTTGGCAAAATTGATTTGCTCACTCATTTTAGGATTCATGAATTTACTTTTGTTATCATCATAATAGAATAATAAATCAGTTCGGGCTCTTTCAGCCCTGGCCATTTCTGGTTTCCATACTTGTTTCAACATTGACGTATACTTACCATTTGGATTTTTTTCGAATTGGTCAAATAAAACCTCTTCAATCGACGCAAACACATGGTAGAAACTTTGTAATCCTTGACGGTATATTCTGGCATCTCTTAATGCTAATGCTAATTTGAGTACGATGGCTTTATTAATCTTATCGTGTTGTCCTTTAGTTTGGGTATTTATTCTATTTGCTAATGCTCCAACATCATTTTTCGCTGGAATGATTTCGTGTTGGTTTAATTTGGTAGTAGCACCGGTTTGAATAGTTGTCATTTTGGCTGATTCTCAAGAATTAAACTAGAGAAGGTGAAGTGAACATTTGTATATATATATATATATATATATAAAGAGCAGAGCAGGGCGATAAGTCCGCAGGCCGGGCTCGGTTTGTGTAATGTTCGCTCGGACATTTCGCAGAATTTGGTGATTGGGAAGAAAACCATCCCCCGATAAGTGCGAGCAGGCATTCCGATCCGGTTGTTTGAGCGTGTTGTTTACTGGGTTTGATGGAGTTGTGTGATTTGTTCAGGGCAGCACGCGTACTCTGGGGTATGGAAGGTTAATCGGACGGGTGCAGGTAATTGAATGATTGGCAAGATAGAAGGCCATACGGAAGGTGAATCACCTGGTGCGAGTATCAACATTGAGTATCAGCATTGAGTGTCAACATTGAGTATCGCATTGAGTATCAACATTGAGTATCAGCATTGAGTATCAACATTGAGTATCAGCATTGAGTGTCAACATTGAGTATCAAGGTTGTGAGCAGATGATCGATTCAGTCGTTTCATCTTGAGTAGAGATGACTACTGCAATATGAGAAGTATTGGAGACGATAAATTTCGTTAGAGTGCAGAGGTGATAGCTTAAATATCGTGTGAGAATGCTGTTGAGTAGACTAATAGATGTCTTGGGGTGGAACAATTGGGTCAGAATACTATTGACATTCAACATTGATGATAGTCCTGAGCAGGTGAGTATATGGTTACTTCTGACTAGACTTGTATTATTGACTATTGAAGCAGTTAATGAAGCAGTTAGTGAAGCAGTTAACGAAGCAGTTAGTGAAGCAGTTAACGAAGCAGTTAGTGAAGCAGTTAACGAAGCAGTTAGTGAAGCAGTAGATAGAAGCAGTAGATTGACGGTACAACCGAGAGGTACGGGCGGAACCCTCGGTTTCCGGTCTACACCCATACACCAGAAAGTCCCCTCCCAGGAAAAAATTTCAGAGTGAAAAAATTAACACCCATTACAAATCCCCAAGCTCAATTGGTTATCTTTTCCAGTTGACACAACTATTGATATGGTGCTCTTGCTAAGTAATTCATATACCTACGATCATGATTTCAATACTGCCAGTTTAGCATACCTCAACCGGTACCCAAATCCATACGCTAAACATGTTTTAAGTAGTGATACTTTAGAATGCTATATTGATGATCAAGGAAATTTAAGAACAACTAGATTTGTTATTAAAACCGGTAGATTACCCGGGTTCATCAAGCCTTTCTTGGGGGACCGGTTGAATAGTTGTATTATTGAAAAACTGATTATAAATCCAAATAAGAAAACCATGGTCTGTTATAGTGCTAATATCGACCATAGGAAATTTATCAAGATTGAAGAACTATTAAATTACTCTACTATCAAGGGAAGTACTTTTGTTGATTCCAACGTTAAATTTTCATCGAATTTCATCGGGTTTAAACAAAAAATTGAAGAATGGAGTCATAGTAAATTTTTACAAAATATGAAAAACTCAAGACAAGGTCTTGGTTATGTCATGAACCAGTTCAAAGATAAGTCCTACCAATAGTCCAATAGTCATCAACCAATTACTTATGAATTATGAATTATAGTGTCTTGTAAATAGATAGATATACATATATATATATATATATATATATATGCTGTTGCACATACACCCATACACCAGAGATAAAGAGTATGCCCCCGGATACCTGTACATAACCCCCTATAAGTCTCTTAAGCGCAAACAACATTACAAGGATCAAAGCTACCTTCTTTTACTTATACCATAAGCGAATGGATAGAGATAGAAAAGACATGAGAACACCGGAAAAAGAGCATCGTCCTAAGCCAACGATTATTAAAAGACGTAATTCATCATTTGCATCAACTTCAAGTCCTTGGTTTAGGCGTAATTCATTTCTAAGTCCAAGTATGATTGATTCAGAAAACTATTCAGTTTACGAATGTCCAAATTACTTTAATGATTCTTCTTCAAATCTGTATAATATTATTTCTTTAAAAGAATATCAAGGATTTATATTTAATCAAGACTTATTTGCATCTCCTTATCAACAACTGAAATCTTTAGCAAATGAAAGGAAATATCGAACTTTTAGTTTTAATCATTCGAAAAAATCAAGATCAAACTCTTATTCTAATTTAACCTCAAGTGGATCCAAGATTTCAAGAAGACACACTTCTCATTTGGACTCTCGTCCAACTTTTTTATCGTCAAATGCTAAAATCAATGATTTAGCCATTGATGATGATGAAGATGATAAAAATACCAATTCTAAAATGGAAATCGATATACTGGCGGCGGATGATTTCAAAACTGCACAAACTGAAGATGCTGTGGTTGATGAATACGATGAATTTGATGATCATACTGAATCCCCCATCTCTAATAACTTGTACAAAGTTCATGTGACAGAAATCATGGTTAATGAAGACGACGACAGTATATTCCCCAGCATTTAGCGTTATTAGTCTATATCCTATTTAATTATACATCTTTAATGTTTAAATCACTGTAAAGAGACTTTTTTGTGTAAGCAGTAACCTCTCACTGTTTTTCTGAAAAATGCTTTTTCAACGAGTTACATCTCAAATTACTTTAATTCATTTTATCTTATAAATATCTATATCAATATGGCAGATACTAAGCAACAGTTTGAGAAGTTATCATTAGAGTTTTCGAATTTACAAACTTCTTTAAATGAATTAATCGAAGCAAGATCAAAATTAGAAACTCAATTTCAAGAAAATAAAATCGTATTAACTGAATTCGATACTTTGAATGAAGATTCTAAAATTTTCAAATTAACCGGTCCAGTGTTATTACCTCAAAACTATGGTGAAGCCAAACTTAATGTTAAGAAAAGAATCGAGTTCATCGAAGATGAAATTAAAAGAGTTGAATCAAAAATCGAACAAAGTCAAAAAAATATCGAATCAACCAGAGATAAATTATTAGCTATAAGATCTCAAATTTCTACTCCTGCTTAATCAGTTTAATTAGGTTTTCTTGTACATTAGTTAATATATATTATATAGTTAATATAAACCCTTTACCCCCTTAATAATTGAGATTTAATCAAATTTATTAACAGAAATGCATTGAAAACTGACCATTGCTCAACACTATTATATGCATATCCTAAATTTTTAACTTCATCCACTTTGTTATTAACAAATTCTTTGGTTTTTTCAAAGTTTTCACTGCTATCTTGTAACATATACAATTCCGAGCTAACATAAACACTTGAAAAACTAAATCTCTTAGAATACCAGGCAAAATCATTAGATAAATCTCCTGAATAATATGCTATATCATCACTTAAATTATGTAATTCTTCAATCGATTGGGGAATATTATAAGGAACCACCAATAATGACATTCCGTGTCCTAATTTCGAAATAATTGGTTGATTATACTCCAATCTCTTATTTATCATATATTTTACCCTCTCATACTCATTACTAATCTTATGGAATTCGCTGTCCCCGTCCAAGACGTCTTCCACCAATCTTTGCCTCGAGCTCTTGAGCCAGTATAACATTAATTGAAAATCTAAATTGTTCCCATTGCTCAAACCCGTCAATCCACTTTCTAACGAGTCAGGGTATCCCAAGTCACGAATAGCTTGCGTTATAGACAAGGAATCAAACCCAAATCTCGGTACGTTTTCCATGGATTTATTGAAAACTATCGACTCAATTGACCGAGAATCAACAATATTGTTCGAGCTAGCATGATCCTGCGAGTGGTATAAGCGTGGGATCACTCTGGGAAGCATCCGTCTACCACCTATAACGGCCCTTGGTCTAATACTCTTGAACATTTCTACTATTTGCACTGGAGAAGAGATCAGTATAGTATATGATGAAAAACAAACTAAAGAAACAAAAAAAAAAAAACCATACGATTCTGTTTGCACTTTTGAAATTTGCAGGTTGTTGGACTCATATTTAGTGGCGATAAAAGTAGAACTTACTACTTCTATACAAAGATCATAAACCAAAAGATGCTAGTATGTATTGCATGAACGGAAGCTAACGAGATGGACTACTAACACAATCTAGTTCAAACCATGGAACGATGGACCAGCTCCTCGTCATACATTTGAAGATGAGTTTGAAGGTGACGAAACCAAACCAAGCCCGGTACCTGAAATCAAGATTGAGTTAAAAGAACATGGGTCGATTGATTATTTGATCTTGGCCCCGAAAAATATAAGTGTGATAATTGATTCCTTACCGCAACGTAAAGCAATTGGTTCTATAAGGGTCAGTTATCCCGAATTAAAAGTTCAAACAACAACTCAAGAATCAACTGAAGACGATTATGATGAAGACGAACAATTGTACAATGCAATTCACGAATCCAATTCCAGCTCCAAGTATAGTGACTTGGAAATCCCAATAAATGTCTATAGTGGCTCAATTGCCGGGATTGTTGTACCACATTTCACTAATGCTATAACTTACAATATATTATCAAGAAGAATCATTGAAGCATTTGATTCAATGGTAAAGAAAGACTGGATTACCTTATCTCCATGCAGTATCAATAATAACCAATCTTTGAACAAATTGAGTATCAGCACTAGCAACTCCTTGTTAGAAATGATTCCAAATTTGAAACCACCTCATTTTATTACTGGTATAGGTGCGTCGATCATTAGTGAACTAAATAATTTGGGAGGAACCTCTAGTTTCATACCTTTAGTGTTGAATTCTGAGGGTCAGCCAGGGTTCGAAAAAGTCAGTAATGATGCTATTGTTGATTCAGGTTACGTGTTAAGCGAAATCTTAATCAAAGACCACTACAAAGATGACTATTTAAAGAAAATTAGTTCATCAGTTAGAAAATTTAATAGCTATTCTAATTCAGGAATGTATCTATAATTATATTCTACTTAATATTAACTTTTTGAATTTTTCATTGATAAGTAACAATTCCATAATACTGAAATTGACGAACTGAATGGCACTTGATAACTTCTGGGAACAATTAAAAAATTGAAAAATTGAACTGGGAACCAAACTGAATAATTAATCATTAACGTTTGTAGATATACTTTACTTAATTTTAACATTGCATCTTCCCATGTTCCATTTTCTAATACCATAGTCCCGTACGTAAAGAAACAAAATAATGAAACTGGTGAATAACAAAGTTGATCAGTTAAAACTTTTCTTAAAACTTCAATAAATTTAGGTTCTTTAGAGTATATTTGTAAAAACTTGTACCATAAACATTGAGCAACCCCCATGATTCCACCCCATAACATAAATCTTGCCAACCTTCCAAATTCGAAATAAGTTAATGGCAATATATTAGCATTCACAGTTATCGGATCCGGGACTTCATATGGACGAGCCCCAACCGGAGAATCCTCTTGAATATAATCAATAAACCGGTTGACCCCTTCTTCATCACTGCGATACTCATCATCTCCATCATCAGTCGGTAAAGATACTATATCTCCCGCATTGACTGATAGTTCATTCTCTCTAAGGGGCTGTTCATTGATTCTAAAATCAAAAAGCGGCAGATTGGGTTTATAACTTAATATTGATTGTGCTAAAGTTTCCGATATCCCATAAAGCACTAAATTAGTCACAATAATCGTTATTAAAGAACTCTTCATATACAATCCAGTGTACCTGAAGGTTAGTTTCATCAAGAAAAAGAATAACACACTTATAGTAACTAGATTAACTATTGGAACATTGTGAATTCTAAGTCCATTAAGTATCCTTACGAGAAGGGGTTTCGTGTGGTGTAGTGGAACGCTTTGGGACTCTATATCTGGACCATCATGATTATCAGCTTCTAACCTGATTGGCATCTTAAACAAACAAGCTGTAGACTAATAACGGCTTATCGTTCCGTATTGCCCTTCTGATTAATTTAATAAGCATCATAAAATATTCGGTGCACGGGTGCACGGCCCTGCAAAAGGATGCCATTACAACATGCCATTAGATCACTATTAGAACATGCCATTCTATCAGTACGTACGTTAATGCTCTCCTTCACGCATAAAGACAGGTACGCAGAAGTGATTTCTGACCAATTTGTACCTACCTTTGAGTCCACTTACTCATCTCTATGGAGTTGCACCCAAAAAGACCTTCCAATTTCCGACCAGGGTCACGGGACTGTTCCCCCGGAACTCCCAAGAGTGGGCCCACCACACGACCTTTTTTTTTTCCAATCAAAATTTGAGAAATGAAAATTACGCTACAGAAGTAAGAGAAGGGAGAAATTTGATGAAGTAGTCGGACCCCAGATATAATATATTATTGAATTGAATTTGATATCCAGACATGTCATATAACAAACAGTACGAGCCAGTGAGATCTGCCCCAGTGCAATCTGATCATGAACTCATTGATGTTGATCCATACTTTACTAGAGTTATCAAATATTTTAGAGCATCCGATATTGGTATTTGGGCTGCATCGACTGCTGGTTTCCCACTTGCATTAAAGTTTTGGGAACATTTGGATCCAGCTGCTGGATCATTTAAGGCTCCAGGTAAAATCCCCGGTGTTGCTATAAGAGGATCTATTTTATTAGGTTTTGTAGGTGGGTTTTATGCAGCATACGTTAGATCAGCCAAAAGATTCTTAGGTTGGTCTGAAAATGCTAGAGAAGTTTCCAAAGATAGATACGAAATCAAAAAATTGTTATCCCAAGGTAAATTGCCATACCATGAAAATGAATCCCAATTAGATGATAGATTGAAAGATGTTTCTAACAGAAATTCTCAATATTCCTTCGTTTTAATGTCTGTTTTACCTTGGTTTAACTTATCTCACCATCCATACCACGGTGTTGATATTAAAAAATACTATGAAACCAGACCTGGTGAAGAAGAATGGGGTTTCAACAATTTAACTCCATATGAAGAAATTAAAGCTAAATATGTTAAAAGTTATGATTAATCCACATCCCTATTAATACGACGAGACCACGAGTCAAATTAGCATCCTATCAATATCTCCATCCTTTTAAATAGTCCTAGACATGTTCCATATTGAAGTTTAACTTCCTCACATATTTATTCTTTTCACTTTTGTTACTTTACTGTTTTTTTTTTATATAAAACTTTGTTATTTGTCTTCTAATTTCTATTTATAATCAAATATTTATCTTACATTAGTTTCTGAAGCCGCTATTTACTGTATATTGTAGAACTTATGGTGACGGTCCCAAACTAATTTTTCAATGTCGAGTTGTTTACAAATTAACGAATTTTTGTGTGGGAGTGCGGTTTTTAAAAAAAAAAATATAGAAAACATCAATAAATATCAAAACAAACTAACTTGGATCAATCATAGATTCGAATTGACGTGAATACAATTGTTATAACTGGACCATGTCTGATGACACCGATTATTCGACCTTGCCCTTAGAGGAAAGATTGGTCCATAAGGTCTGGAAAGTCAGACTTCAATCTTATGAAGAAATTACGAAATCATTTCAAAATTCACGTAACGAGAGTGATCCATGTTTTCAATACTTTAATTCCCATCCTGATATAGTTAAGAAGATTGTCATGGACTCTAACGTAGTTGCACAAGAAACTGGGATTGCTGCCACTATAGCATTATTAGAATATGGAGGAACCCCGATGAATATAACAAAATTGAAGAATTGCGGGATTGTATCAGCAATTTGTGAAAAGGGTTTACTGTCATCGCGTGCTGGAACTAAAGCCAAATCCATAGATGTACTTTTATTATTCATAGAGCTTTCAAATAATGTGGATCCGGTTATCGAAGAAATGTTACCCTTCTTAACCCACCGTTTACCAAAATTAGTGGCTGGTAATGTCTTAGCATTGACTTCAATAGTTGAAAATTTCGGTTGTCATTCAATTATAAATCCAAAGTTAATCATTCCATCGTTGTCTAAACTTTTCGCTCATGCTGATAGAAATGTTAGAGCTGAAGCCACTAAATTGACTGTGGAGATGTATAAATGGATGGGCGATGCTTTGAACACCGTACTTTTCCCTGACTTAAAACCTGTCCAACAAAAAGATTTAACTGCAGCTTTCGAGAAAGTAAAAGGTGAACCAGTTGAGCAAAAACGTTATACCAAGACTCAACAATTCGAAATTGCTAGAAGAGAAGAACAAGAAGCCGCTGCGGCAATTTTGGCAGCTAGTGGATCAAGAGAAAATAGTTTCAATGCTGGTGAAGCTGTTGATGTTGAGATGGAAGAAGCGAATCCTCCAAAATTCGATGCTTATGACTTAATGGACCCAGTTGATGTTTTATCAAAGTTCCCATCTGATTTGAAATCAAGAATGGGTTCGTCTAAATGGAAAGATCGTAAAGAAGCCTTGGATGAAGTCCATGAAGTTTTATCAAAAGCTCCGAAATTAGCTACTGATGATTACTCGGATTTTGTAAGAATTTTAGTTAAGTGTATGAAAGATGCTAATGTTCAAGTTGTACAATTGGCTTCAAATTGTGTTGAATTTTTAGCAAATGGTTTGAAGAATGATTTTTCCCGTTACGTTAATAATATAGTTGGTCCAATGGTTGAAAGAACAAAAGAGAAAAAACCATCTGTTGCAGAAGCTTTGAACAATGCCTTGGATTCTCTATTTAATATTTCTAGTTTATCGGAAATTTTAGAGGATACTATAAATTTAGGTATGAAACATAAAACTCCTCAAGTCAAGATATCCGCTACAAAATATTTACAAAGATGTTTAGCTAATACCCCAACCCCACCTAAATCTGCGGAAGTTGACGAAATTATGGCAATTGGGGTCAAACTTTTAAGTGATTCACAAGAGCCAGTTAGACAAGCATCAACTGAGCTTATCGGGACTTTAATGAAAATCACTGGTGAAAGAGAAATAAATCCATTTTTAGAAAAAATTGATGATAATAGAAAAAATAAGGTAAAAGCGTTTTATGAAACTGTTACCATTAAAGCAAAAGCACCCAAGGCAGCTCCTCCTAGGGCAGCTCCTCCAACAAATAAAAGAGCTTCCATGGCTCCTAAGGCATCATCAGCAAAACCTGCAGCAACCAATAATCGTGCATCTATAGCAGGTCCTCCTGGAGGTCTCACGAAACCAAAAGTTCCAAGTGGTCAAACAATTCCTTCAAAGAGATCAGCCACTTCCCCTGCTAAAAGAGTGGATGATAATCAAAAAGTTGCCTCCTCCGCAAGAAGTTTGACCGGTAGATCATTACTCTCTTCTAATGCAGCACCACCAGCATATCCGAGCCAATCCTCACCACAAGCAATTCAAGAACAACCAGCCCAACCACAACCAACTCCACAACAACTTGGAATATCACAAGCAGAAAGAGATGAGTTGAATAGCTTAAGAAATGAAAAACAACAGTGGTTGAACCAAAGAGAACAACAATTACATATGCAAGAACAATTTCAAAATGACAAATTAAGATTAAATCATGAGGTTGCAACTTTAAAACAAGAAAATGAAATGATTAAAAAGGCACAAACCAATACAGAGCTCATGAGTAAACAGAAGGATACTCAAATCGTAAGGTTGAAGAGTGACTTAGATTCATCTAAATTGAAAATAAGAGATCTCGAGCAGACCATTGAAATGATTAAATTGCAACAAAAACAACAACTTAATTCTCAACAACAATCCCCATCAATCCAAAACCTTCAAACTAATCACCAGCAGCAATCTCCCCGTCTATTCAATGAACTGATCACCAATAACGATGTTAGACAAAGCATTTATTCGCCTGATAGACAATTCTTCCATCCAAGAATTAGTTCTGGTGAACTTAGCTCTCGTGTAAACAGATTATCAATTGATGGCAGTGAAGCATTTAAAGAAAATCTTTATAGTCCATCGGCCTCTCAAACCACATTCAACCGCTTCCAGTCGAGCCCACTGAAAATAGCTGAGAATGCTAACAAAACCGCTCCAGAAGCCAATGGTGGTGAAGGCCTCGTAACTGATGAAGAAAGCTGGAAGAGAGCTGCTGAAGTAACCTCTCAATTGAAAGCAAGAATAGAAAAAATGAAAGCAAGATCAAGACATACTAATAACAAGGCATTATAAGAAAGCACCTTGTCATTGTCCTCGCTTGTATGAGATTTTATAATAGAGATACTCCATACATAACTGCCTCGACTGTAGTTTGCAATTTTTTTGCAATGTATTTCTTCTTTGTGAGAGCGTCAGATTCCGGTTTCGGTTCTCAGGTTTTTTTGTATGAAAAATGTAGAGAAAAAAAAAAAATGAAAATTCAAGAATTGAAAATTCAACGAAAGCCTTAACTCAAGTCAATCTTTGGTGATTTCACTTTTCGAAAGTACAAGCAGACGAGTATATAACTTAAGACATGTCTAACAAATTGAAGATTTTGGTTCCTGTGAAAAGAGTGATTGACTTTGCTATCAAACCAAGAATCAACAAGGCAGGTACTGGGGTTGATACCAAAGGTGTCAAGTTTAGTATGAACCCATTCTGTGATATTGCATTGGAAGAATCTCTCAGGTTGAAAGAAGCTAATAAGGGATTAGTTGAAAAAATCCACGCTGTCTCTATCGGCCCTACCAAAGCCCAAGATATATTAAGAACTGCTCTAGCTAAAGGTGCCGATTCAACAACTTTAGTGGATGTTGGGGACGAAGAAGTTGAACCATTGGCAGTTGCGAAACTTTTACAAAAAGTTGTAGAAAAGGAACAATCCAATTTAGTTATTTTGGGAAAACAAGCCATTGACGACGATTCAAACCAAACTGGTCAAATTTTGGCTGGTCTTTTGAACTGGCCCCAAGCTACCTTCGCTTCCAAAGTTGAAGTCGAAGGAGATAATGTTAAGGTCACCAGAGAAGTAGATGGTGGTTCCGATACCTTAAGTGCCAAATTACCAATGATTATCACCACTGATTTAAGATTAAACGAACCAAGATATGCCTCCTTACCAAATATTATGAAAGCTAAAAAGAAACCATTAGAGAAATTAAAGGCTTCCGATTTAGGTATCGAATTATCTAAAAGATTGAAAACCTTGAAACTTGAAGAACCTGCTTCTAGAGAAGCTGGTATCAAGGTCGATTCTGTCGATGAATTGGTTGCCAAATTGAAAGAAGCTAAAGCTATCTAAACTAATGACGCATGACTCTCATTAGATCAATATAAATGGGTTTTAAGTAATAGAATTCATTCAAACATAGACTACAAACATATCTCAAAACTTTGAAATTCAATTTCTTCATGACTTTTCTTCTTTCTTGTCTTTTTTATTGATCGAACTTTAAAAACTGTACTTGTATACTCAAATATACTCATTACCATATCTCATATAACACTAGTAAAAGCCTTGCTATAGAAGGTGCGATACTTGATAAAAGATAAACTAGTCCGCGGAAATTGTGGAACTTTTAGTCCTAACTACTTCTTTATATTTTTCAAAATGGAGACACCTTTAACTAAAGCAGTTGCTTTCCTTTCTGATGTATTGAGAAAACATGATTTTGATGCTAGTGAGCAGCCTTTAATTGTGGGAGTAAATGGACCACAAGGATCAGGAAAATCATACTTATGTGAACATTTACTCGGAGAAATGTCAAATAAATTCCCAGACTTGAAATTTGTGCAATTCCTGATGGATGATTTATATTTAAGGCATGAAGAGCAAAGTCAATTGACTGCTAAAAGCATCCTGGAAGACAACAAACTCCTTCAAGGAAGAGGTTTGCCAGGTACACATGATATCGACTTAGCTTTAGAGATTTTTGACAAATTGAATAAGCGAGAACCAGTCCAAATTCCATTTTATGATAAAAGTCTATTTGGTGGTGAAGGAGACCGGTCACCCAAAGATCAATGGAACACTGTAAATGGTAAGGTGGATGTATTGATTTTCGAGGGTTGGTTTAATGGATTTCTGCCAATACCAAATGATAATTTACGCTTGAAATATTTAAGTTCTGATGTTGATTATAGTGTACTTAAGAAGCATAGGCTTTACCATTTGGAAGAAATGAATGAAACATTAGAGCAGTACCAGAAGATCTGGTCAATGTTTAATTATTTCATTTATATCAAAACGGAATCAGTCCAAGATGTTTATGTGTGGAGACTTGAACAGGAACATAATTTGAAAAAAATCACCGGGACAGGTATGACCGATGATCAAGTGAAAGAGTTTATTGACCGCTACATGCCAGTCTACGAAGTGTATTGTGAAAAATTGTGTGAAAAGGGGTATATACAAGAAAAGGGACACAATCTCGAACTCTTCATTGACATAAAACGAAACTTAATCTCTTCGCAAATACATTAGATAATCTTCTTAGTATAGTATTAGAGTATATATATAAATTTATATTTATTTTTGAAATTCTTCTGGGTAGAAAATCAATCTTTCGACTCCTCTTTCTGTCAATACAACCATTCTGATAACACCACCAGAAGAACCATCCCATTTTATGGCTTCTGATAATGCTGTTTTAATAAATTCAATACATTGATCTTGTTCCATGTCTTTTTCAAAATGTTCATTACACCAACCATAGATAAAAGTTGAACCGGAACCGGCTATGGCATAATCTTGTTGATGTATAGAACCTCCAATTGGAATGGAGTAAACACTTCCCTTGTTCTTCTTATCATAACCAGCACAGATGATCCCAGCAGTTAAAGCATCTTTGTTATTATAACATAATTCTTGGAAAACGTTAGCAGCAATTTCAGTACTTGGTTTTTCATTTGGTGGTAATTGAGCAGCATGAAGTTGTAAATAATATTTAACAATATCAGCAATTGCTTGAGTATCTGCCGCAGATCCTGAACGACAACAATATATAGTATCATGAATTTGAGTTAATTTATCAGTAACTCTATTAGCAATATAAGTACCAGTGGTTGTACGGGAGTCAGCACCCAATATAACACCATCCTTGAATGTAACCGCCATAATGGAAGTACCCAAATTCACTTCACCTTTCTTCAAGTGATTGATATCGACATTGATTCCGTTCATATTAATTCTGTTTGTATATGCAAAATAGATTTGTTCTCTAAATCTCTAAAACTAGTTTGGTATTGGCAAGCACTCAATTATGGAAGGCTAATTAAAAAGAGTTCACAATTAAACCTGGGATTGAACGTTGAAGCTATTAATTGTACTTTTAGATTGTCTAATTCGATTTCCTCTGGCTTTTAACAAGGTCTATCTTCTTTTCTCTCGAAATTGCCACTTTATTTTTGATTCTCTGAGGAAATGAAAAACTGATGGGAACGATCCGTACATTCTATTGCCAAAAGATATCGGTACATCCCCGGTCACGTGCGCTCCCTTTACCGCGTTTGAACAAATGTCTTGACGGTGGAATTCTGCAACACCCTACATACGTATTACTTTTTATGGTCTGATAGGTATATATAGGGTCTAGATAGTCTATAAGGTGACTGTTGGATTGGTTTATTGCATTACGGGGTGTTTAGTGCAAGCTTAAAGTACAAAAAATGATATTTATACCATGGAGATCTAGCTCTCATCGCTTGTATCAGAAGGTTTTAATAGTACTTTCGATCTTTTCAACGTGTTGCTTAGGGTTGATCATACCGCATGAAACAGATCTTTCGGTAGATCGCTTGTCATTCAAGGAATTGGAACACTTGTCTAATGATCCTGTTGTTACCCATACGGTTGAGTTCAAATTATCGAAACAAGTGAAGGGGGAGCTGTATGTCTACGGGAACAGCATTGAAATCGGGTCTTTGAAAGTCGGACTTTTTGGAACTGTGGTTCCTATCACTGCCGAAAACTTTTTGCAATTATCAAATATGACATTTGGGTATGGATACGAAAAATCAATCTTTCATAGAATTGTTGAAAATTTTGTGATTCAAGGTGGTGATTTCGAAAGACAAGACGGCACCGGTGGTCATTCTGTCTTCAACGATGGGAAATTTCTTGACGAAAACTTTAATATCAAACACAGCAAGAAGGGTAGACTCTCTATGGCTAATGCTGGCCCTAACACTAACGGTGCACAATTTTTCATCACCACCACCGAGGATGCAGGGTTTTTGGATGGGAAACACGTTGTATTTGGTCAGCTTATTGACGGATTCGACACTTTGAGCCTTTTAAATAAAGTTTCCACCGACTCTAATGATAGACCTCATGATGATATTTATATAAGTGACATTAAAATCACGGATTTTGGTATTAAAGAAGAGCTTTTGAAACTTGGGGCTCTGGATTCCAGGTACTCAGACGCTTCTCAAATGAATAGACCTTTAGAAAATGGTGACAAAACTATAAATCTTGAAGATATTCCCGTTGTTCCATTGGACGACTCTTCCATGCTTTCAAAGTACAAGTACTTATTCTTCTTCTGTATCTGTGCAATTGGTTATCTTACAAAAAAGCATTATTATAGAAGGCAACTTGTCACCGATATCAAAGATAACGACTACTACTGAGGTATATATACTATCAATATAAATAGATTCAACAATTACCGTTCATCAAACTGTAGTTTTTTCGCATCAAAAATGTATTTTTTATTTTATTTTTCTCTATTTTGATTGATATAAAAATTGAAAAATCTATTTAAAAGACAAGGCTTTTCCTTAACCCCAACAAGATGTCATCCTTCGATTTCCCCATTGTTCTTATCAAGAACCTACCTTTCAATATCAGCGCGTCTTCTTTATACGAGCTTCTAGGTAAGTACGGTAATATCCATCAACTTCGAGTTCCCGATAATTCAAAAGATGCTCAACCTGGAACATGCATCGTTATTTATAGCAATATGGATTCTGCTCAGAAGGCTCTGAAAGAATTGAATGGTATAAATTTACATGGGAGGTATATTGTGGCTAATCTTCACGGAGTTGAAAAGTCAAAGCTAACGCATGAAGATTTCATTTATAGAAAGGAAGAACTTGAAAAGTTAAAACAACAATACGGAATTGAATGATGAGTATATCTCTTTATATAATGACTTGACGATACAAAATACAACTAATTTATATTTAATATATAATTATTAATTTTTTCTAAACTTGTTAATTGTTTTCCTCAACAACTGATTTGTGTTCTTTATCGATGCTGATATCGATTAAACCAATCAAATAATAACTGGTTAAACCAACAAAGGCAAAAGCGGCAATTTTCAAAACTTTAGTCCAGTAATGAGAAGGAGTGTATTTGTAGCTAACAAAGAGATCAAGTTTATGTAAATCATCAATTAAATCTTTAAAATGAACTGTTACCTTAACGTGACCTTTTGAAACATCCAAATAACTTAATTCATTATCGACGTTAACTGATTCAAAATCAATGGGACTTGATACGTTAACAAATTCAGCATTTTCTGGTAAATAAAAGTTGATATAAGCATTATCATAAAAGACGTCACGAACAGTATTCAAAAGAGGGACTTTAATAATATAAGTATCTTCTTGATCTAAAACTTTATGAACAAAATCACTAAATTTATTATTCCAACCTAAGGTAAAATTATAATTCCAACCACCGAAAATTGGGAATCTTGGTTGTAAAATTAAATGGTTTTGAGCCACTTGATGAGTTGAAACAACCCCGACATGATCAGTATAGTAATAATCATCGAAGTTTCTATTTGAAGTCAAAGGAATTTCCAAATGACTTATTGAAAAATGTTTACGAATATGTTCATATCTACCTTTCATATAATCCACTCTGGAAAAACCTGAGGATAATTCAGCAGCGTCATTGGTCAATTCATAGTATTCTTCAATCGATAATTGATCAACTCCTGAAGCTGGTAACCAGATCGATCTTTGTAAATTATTAACTTTTGCAATTGGTCTATTATGTTCATATAATAATCCCATTGGTTCAATGCTAAATGATGGAATATCATCAATTATTGGACCATATTTCAATGACTTATCTTCAACTCTTGGTTTTAAAGTTGATGGAACATTATAATCCGATGAAGCTTTAATTTCATCAAGATTTGGGAGATTTAATTGCATTTCTTGACCTTTCAGTAAACCAGTGAAAGTTAAAGAATATTCTTTGGTTGGATAAGGAGAATAAGGTAATTTATTGAGTTTAGCTAAAAGGTTTTGTTTTTCATCCATTGCAATCTTAGCTGGTAATGGAGTTAAAGCATTGGTGTAAATATAACGAACTTTAATTTCGACATTTTGATTTGGAGCTATTGGGAATGGTAATTTGAATTTGAAAATATTTTTTCCAATTGATGTTGGCTCAACTTCAATTGCCTTATCAACTAAAGAAACTGCAAGTATAGAAACTTTTGGAACTACTTCAAATCCATCATTGATAGTAAAAGTATATTCCCGTTGGGGTTTACTATCAATGTTCTTGATTTCAATCAAGTCGGTTTCTCTCACATACCCACGAGTCAAATCAATGGAACGTAAATAATGAACATTCTCCCAATGGGGAGCTATTGAAGCTGGATCAATTAGAAGTGATTGAACCCTGCTAATCATTAATACCCCAATGATAAACACTGCCATAAAGGCATTACCACGACCGAATTGAAACAACATTATAATATGTGGACTCTTACAGCTTGGTACCGGTTCCTTCGATTGTATTTGACACTAATGAATGAATCAATTGACGGGTGCTTGTCAATATTCCATTCTATCATTTTTCAGTCCTCTATTTTTTTTTTCAGAACACCTGGCGGATTAACAAGCTTGTTGATTATATAAGCGAATCCCGCAACCCGTACCTTTCGCCGCTCAAGAAATATTGTTGCGAATTTTCCAAAAACCTCGCACACCCGTGCACCTTGTCATTAAGGTCTGCGCGTTTGCTATCGCCAACTTTTTATAATTTTAACTCAAATTAGCCGCCACCAGAAGGTTAGTGTTCTACTACTTCTTCTTCTTCTTCAATTGATTGAGTAACCGTTGTATTCTCATTTCCAGGCACCCCGTACTGAGATTGCTGATTTTGCTTACATTGTAGAGCCATACTAGCTGTTGTTGCAGATTTATCTGGTAATATATTCTCTACCTTTTAAAGTTTGTGATTTCACCACTTCGTGTTGTTAATTTGTTTTGTACTGTGTTGCTAATTGAACCATCCGAATCCCCAGTTATTCTGCTGTTGCTCCGGAACTGTTGATCTTGTTGTTGGACTACTTATACTCGAATTCGGTGGTGACTCTTTTGTGCTGCTAAAGACACCAACTAAAATTCTCACCCGTTGAATTCCTAGGTTGATCTTTTAAACTCCATTGCTTTTCGGCTCATCTGATTGGCGGTTATACGGATCTGTATTTTAAATAATCCTACATCGCTCTTAACAACCATTTTTCAGTTACATCAAGTACATTTATCTGTTACTGATTGGATAGCATTGCTCGAAGCTTTGCTTAAACTTACTTCTACTTGATTTTTTTTCCTTCTAATCGGGCCTGCAAAATACCTCTACAAAAAATATACCTTTTCGGTCCTTCTAAGCTAGACGGTTTCACCTTGGCTCAATTGTTGGCTCTTAAATCGAAATCATCATTATAGAAAAACCCTTTGGAATCGGATATTCTCAAATAGATTCTCAGCTTTTTTGCTTTTTTTAATCTCTTTCTCTTATTTTTCTTTTTTTTTTTTTGTTTTGTTAGAGTTTTCATTTGATCCAACCTTGAATTTTTTTCTTTTTTCGTGTCTGTTTGCCATTTTTTGAAATTTGAGGTTTTGATTTTTATTTACTTTCAATACTTTCATTTTTTGTTTTTTTGAATTTTTCTGTTTCTCTTCCTTGACTTGTCTTCCACAGATTATCCATAGTCATCTAAAGTTGTTTGGGTATACACCAGGTTCGATTGATTGGGTCCAATTACTTGTCTTATATTTTGTTCTTACCTGCTTGTGTTTTTTTTTTTTTTTTTAAATTTCTACTCATTTCTTTGATTAATCTTCAGACCCTTCATCTACCTCCTCCCCAAGCTTATTATTCAAACTATTCACATATCACCATCAAACCATGTCATTGCAAGATCTTATACCCGTGGTCAACAAACTTCAAGATATCGTTACCACCACTCAAGTAACAGATTTAGACTTGCCAATCTTGGCCGTTGTCGGATCACAATCTTGTGGGAAATCATCTGTCTTGGAAAACATTGTTGGGAAAGATTTTTTACCCAGAGGTACTGGAATTGTCACTAGAAGACCTTTGGTTTTACAGTTGATCAATTTAAAAGAAGATGATCCTCGCATAAATAATTTCGAACATTCTAGCTCCTCATCTAGCAATGATGAAAATTCCGATGAAATTGATTTGGAACAACACCTCAGAAATCATGTTAATAAATCAAACGGTTATTCCAATGGTTCAATCAAATCTTTTAATACTAATCCGGCCACTGAATGGGGGGAATTTTTACATATTCCAAATAAAAGATTTTATAATTTCCATGATATTAGAAATGAAATTCAAAGTGAAACTCTTAGAATTGCCGGTGAAAATAAGGGTATTAGTAGATTACCAATTAATTTAAAGATTTATTCTACTAAAGTTCTTAATTTGACTCTTGTTGATTTACCTGGTTTGACCAAAATTCCAATCGGTGATCAACCAACTGATATTGAAAGACAAACTCGTAACTTGATTCTTGAATATATTTCAAAACCAAATTGTATTATTTTAGCAGTTTCTCCTGCTAATGTGGATTTAGTTAACTCAGAATCTTTAAAATTAGCAAGACAAGTTGATCCAATGGGTAAAAGAACTGTTGGTATTTTATCTAAACTAGATTTAATGGATCAAGGCACTAATGCTTTGGATATTTTGAAAGGTAGTGTTTACCCATTAAAGTTAGGTTTTATTGGTATTGTCAACCGTTCTCAACAAGATATCACGCAAAACAAACCTTTAGAGGATTCTCTAATTGCAGAAGAACAGTTTTTTGCCAATCATCCAGCGTACAAAATCATGTCTAAAAAATGCGGTACTCGTTACTTGTCTGCGACATTAAATAAAATTTTAATGAATCATATTAGGGATCGTTTACCAGATATTAAGGCTAAATTGAATACATTAATGGGCCAAACAGAACAAGAATTAGCTCAATACGGTGATATTCCAAGTAACTTGAATGACTCAAAGGAGAATAGAGGTGTCTTGGTTTTAAATTTGATGACCAAATTTGCCAGCAGTTTCATCAATTCAATCGAAGGTACTGTTCTAACCGATATTGCCACCAAAGAATTATGTGGTGGTGCCAGAATTTATCACATTTATAATGAAGTTTTTGGATCTCAATTAGCATCAATTAACCCTGTTCATAATTTATCAATTCACGATATTAGAACCGCCATAAGAAATTCAACTGGACCAAGACCATCTCTTTTTGTTCCAGAGTTAGCATTTGATTTACTTGTCAAGCCACAAATTAAATTATTAGAAGAACCTTCTCACAGATGTGTTGAATTAGTTTATGAAGAATTAATGAAAATCGTTCATAATGTTTGTTCTTCAGGTATCGGCATTGAATTGAACAGATATCCAAGATTGCAAAGTAAATTAATCGAAGTTGTTAGTGATTTATTAAGAGAAAGATTAGGGCCAACCATCAAGTATGTTGGATCTTTAATTGAAATTCAACAAGCATATATTAATACTAATCATCCTAACTTTGTTGGTGCCGCTCAAGCCATGAGTATTGTTGTTGAAGAACGTCGTAAACAAAGAGAAATTCAAAAAGAAGTTGAACTGAAATCAAAATTGAGAATTGCTACTGAAAGAATTTTGAATAAAAATTCTGCTGTTGAAGATGAAGTTGATGATGAATTAGAAGCCGAAGATGAAGAGGCCAAAGAAATTGATATTAATCAAGTAGATGATGAAATTAAACCTGTTCATAAGCATAAAAGAAGCGATTCAAATAAAACCACTTTTTCCATTAGAAGTGAATCTACTAATGCACAAGGTCAAGAATCTTATTTGAATTACTTTTTCGGAAAGGATCCAGTCATTCATCAACAACACTTACAAACTCAAGCACAATTAAACCCAACTCCTTTCAAATTCCCACATCATCAAGAGGCTACTTTGCAATTCAATAACAATTTCATCAACAATGGGTCTGGCACCATTAACAGTGGTATGAAAAGTTTGAATTTGGATGAACAAAGTAGAAGCGGCACTCCTCTTGCAAATGGTCACGGTCATGCCAATGGACACGCTGCAACATCTTCAATGATCAATGGATACGAAGCATCTTTTGAGAGTGATGATTCAATTAACGAATTAAGTGAACGCGAACAATTAGAATGTGAATTAATCAGAAGATTGATAATCTCATACTTTAGCATTGTTAGAGAAATGATCCAAGATCAAGTTCCTAAGCTGATCATGTGCTTATTGGTCAATTATGTTAAAACTAATATTCAAAATCAATTAGTTGTCAAATTATATAACGATAATTTATTCGATGAATTATTACAAGAAGATGAGACTATCCAAGTCGAACGTGAAAAATGTATTAACTTATTGAAGACTTACAGGGAAGCTTCCAGAGTTATTAGTGATGTTATCTAGTCGGTGGTTAATGACAATCCTCTATATTTTCCTGTAAATAATTAACTGTATATACAAGTTGTCTGAGAAACGAATTAAATCCCAAAAAACTTAAAAAACCAAAAAAAAAAAAACAAAGAACACAAGTATAGGTGTTTTCAACTGATCATATGAATAAATTATTACAAATATTCCTTATACCCTTTTAGATAATTTATTTATACAAAAAGATATATTTATTACTTTTAATTTTATTGTAGCAAGTCCAGGATTAGAGTTAGTCGTTTGGTCTTTTGCAGACATAGAGATCGACCGGATTCAAAGATCTATTACCAAGGATATTATATCTTTTCCAATTGTAGTCTACTTGCTTCTTATCATCATTCGTATCCATTGACATATCACCAGAGTCCTCCTTGAGAATGTGAGCAAACTGTATATTTCTTTTAATCAAATGAATTGAGTTGTTAACATGATTGTTTAGTAAATTAGCCAAATTTATTTTCCGTTCAATAAGAAAGTTCAAGTCATTATCAGAAAGAAGGTTCATCCTACATCTTAAATTCAAGATATAATTCAAAGAAGTAATCATCTTAACTTTCCATCTTTTCCCCAAATCGTCTATGACTATCCTACTTAGCAGGTGCAAGTTGGTAAACAACTCCAGCAATGATGTTTCACAAAATATCCTCGTGAGATCTTCTTTTAAATCGCCGATTAGGTCATTCAAGTCGTTATTAGATAGTTTTAGAATGTTCATTGAACTAAGCTTGATGATTGATTTTTCATTAATAGACACAGCATTCGTCAGTAGAATTCGCTTTCTGTTTATGAAAATACGTAAAGGAACACTGGAATTTCTCGTAAGCTTCATAAATGTCACATTTGAAGGCATGGTGACTGCTTTTGGTAAAGAAGCAATAGTAATCTTATCCATTTTTCAACCTCATTTCGGTTTGACGCGATAACCAAATTAGACTTTGCGGTCAACTGTTTTCTTACATAGCGACTTTCAGTAACCACACCTATGGCTGGCAATAGGTTAATGATATAGTATTGAATGCTTTCAAGAACCCTGAATTTACCCTTATCCGAAGGGTTCGGCTCTTTTGTTCGTCAAGCCGGAACAGTATCAATGTTTGCAACCAGACCAACAAAACTGAAATTTGTCTTCATTACTCGTTAATATGACGATGAATGTTTATTATCCCCTCAGCCAGCTATCTTCGAAAATGATCACTTTATCAACTACTGTTATACTGACAGTATTAGTTTCTGTAATATATATTTCCTGGATTATGTATGTGGTGTATGGGTCTGTTTATGGCGATGATCTTCGAATTTTCATTTTTTTTTTCATCTCCATCATCAAGTTCTTCTTTTCAACCAGCAAGATAGTCTACCAAAACCAATGAGACAAAAGAGAGCCAAAGCTTACAAGAAGCAAATGGGTGTTTATACCCACACCTTCAAATTCAGGGAACCTTTCCAAACAATAGTGGATGACGAACTTATCTTGACTTGTATTAAATCATCTTTTAACTTGACTAAGGGCCTCGATAGAACCATACAATCAGAATCCAAACCTATGATAACACAATGCTGTATGCAAGCATTGTATGCCACAAATAACCAAGCAGCTATCGATTTGGGAAAATCTTTTGAAAGACGTCGTTGTAACCATCCTCCAAGAGACCCTAAACCACCTTCCGAGTGTATTGCATCCATAACAAATATTGAGGGTCAAAACAAGCATCGTTACGTTGTTGCTTCTCAAAGTGTTGAATTGCGTAAGCAATTACGTCAAGTACCTGGTGTTCCACTTATTTTCATGAATAGGTCAGTCATGGTCATGGAACCCTTGAGTCATGCCAGCAGTAAGTTTGCTGAAGAGGTGGAACTGAGAAAATTAACCGGTGGGTTGAACAACGCCCTGACAGCTGGCTACATTAATAAAGACGATGAATCAGAAAATGAAGGAGAGGACCAGCCAAGGAAGAAGAGAAAGGGACCAAAAGGACCTAATCCTTTGAGTATCAAGAAGAAGAAGTCAGATACCCCGGCTAAAGAGGATAAGCCTGAACAACCAAAGAAGAGAAGAAGAAAACATCACAAAAAATCAAATGGCGGGAATGAAAACCCAAGTAATGAGAATGAAGGTTCTTCAAATCATGAGCATGAAGGTTCTTCACCTAATGAGAAGGATGTAAACTCAGAATGAAAAGGCTTCAGTACAAACTAAATTGACAAAAAAATTAACGAAGTTTCCAATGAAGGCATTTAGTGACCCTTCTTAACTTCTTCTGCATTTCTCTGTAAATTAAAAAAATTTATGTAAATTAATATACACATCATATAGTTCATTAACTTCTATGTAATGCTGCAATTCTATAACCAATAAATATATAGTCTATTCGATAGCTAAAGCATCGAAAGAATTTAAACTTTGCTTCTCTTTAATGACTTCATTTCGCTGAGGAACAACACTATTTTCATCAATTTTCAAAATTGTGTTGGCGGCTTCATCAACCATGCATAACTTACAGTCAAAAGCTATTAATTGGTCACGTAATTTCTGTTTACTAGACTTCATTAGCATGTATAAGATATTCTCGCGATCAAGATTCATTTCTTTGTAAGAAGCTTTATCGTATAAGATATAAGTAGATTCTGTCATCCACTGTAAAGTTGGCATTGAAATCGCATCCTTGTGCTTAAAGCTGGACATGATTGAATCAACTGCCTTTTCAATGTCTTCCTTGACAATGCCAAAGAAAACATCTTGGATCACTATGGCATTGAAGTAAGCATCATCAGCAGCCAATTGTTGCAATTCTTTTTCTCGAACTTGTTTTTGTCTAAATTCTTCATCCTTTAGAATTGCAGGTTCAATTTTAATACCAGGTTTCGTTGTTGATTTTGTTATCACGATAAAAACCGATCTATTAGGTTCTGGATCTTGTGACTCCGAATATAATTTATATGTCTCAGCTAAAGCATGTACAAATGCTCTTTGAGGTTTGTTCATTTTACCAAAATGTAACAGTTTCTTTGGATTTGGGATGCCACTAGCAACTTCATCTTCATAGTCACTAATAAAATCCAGCATGGCCAGTTCAATCTTACTACACCATGCTCTTTGTCTTTCGTATACTTTAGTTACTGCTTCTGGATAAGGGTTCTCATTGGTTTCCTGAACTCCAAAAGCAGCTTTCAATTCAGCATCTCTTTTAGCTTGTGAGCATAATTCATCGCAGTCTAAAATATTACCAATACATGTAGAATCATTGATTGAACTTCCACATACGGTCTTCTTTGATCTGCGGCCGCATTCACATTTGAGTGTCACTTGTTCTTTACATTGAACATTATCACAAGTTCCCTTTTTCAGGATATGACATTTCAATTTACAAAAATGAGGACAAGTAGATCTCACCTTATGACAAATTGCTTGACAAGACTCAACGGGAGCGTGAACACCTTCAACACATTGTTGAGAGCAAACTCTTGAACATTGGTGACCGCAGGCCTTATTAACAGTGCAAATCTTTCCGCAAGAGACGTTTGTTTGCGAACAAATAACGTTTGGAATTTCCTTTCTTAATCCACAATTGCATGATTTGGTAACAAGCTTGGTACATTTAGGACAAGGTTTCAGATCATCGTGACATTCATGGGTATCTTGCGGATGACCACATTCTTTAGGGCGAGTACATTGTTCGTGACATTCAATCTTAGTACCACATCTAACAGGGGCTGGAATAACGGTTTTACCACAATCACAGATTAAATCTTCATTTGAAGATTCTAAGCAAACTCCACATGGACCGTTGTGACACAAGGCCTCACAGTAATGTTGACCACACAGTTTCAATCTATTACAAGTACGGGTACATATATGGATAGGTTCCATCGACATTAACTCGTCATCGAAGTTAGCCCTAGTCCTGTTTCTGATTTGCTTCTTCTTTTCACGTTCACGCTTCAAAGCAGCTTGCTCTGAAGGGCAACAAACTTCTCTATGGTAATGACGACGACAATTCAAAAGAACCGGACATTTGTGGGTACATCTGGGTAATTGTTTATCTTGTAAAAACTTACAAGGAACCAAAAATGAATTATTCCCACATTGACATTTAGTATCTATAATATTATAACAAATGCATTCACCGGGGTGACATTTAGCCAAACATGTGCAACCACACTTCAATGTCTTACCGCAAACATTGTCACATTCAGGCATAGGATCAGTACATTTAGTTCTTGAAGCATCTTCAACGCTTGTCTTTCCACAGTAGCAAGTTCTCACAACTTCTGGTGAATATTTACAGACGGGTGCTTTAGAAGGTAATGGCTGACAAGATAATTCTTCAAAATGGACTTCACAATCATAAGACAAAATTACTGTATCATTGCATTTGCTTCCTCCAATAAATTCCTTGTTATCTTTATAGCAAATTTTAGGATCTCTTTCATGGCAATAAATATCTTTATCGTTTTTTCCACAATAACATTTAGTAGTAACTCTTTCCTTACATTGACCACATAATCCCGAGTGACATTCTTTGATCGAACAAGTATGGCCTAAATCACATAATTCTGTCTCGCATGGTTGCGGACATTTCCATCCTGATTCATATGGGGTGATCATACATGGTAACTGACGTTCAGACTTACCGCAGTGACATTTCATTAATGGACCAAGAGCCCCACAAACCGGATGTTGACCAGGATGACACATCGATGCACAACTGTGAATACAATCGTCATACTTATAGTTACAAGTATTACCGCAACTAAATGGGATTAAGGAGTTCGAATCTGGATTGGTGACACGGCCACACCAACAAGTAAATCTATTTGGAATCTTATTGTGCTCAATGTTGCAAGCCGGGCATCTCCATTTTTTGTTAGCAGTAGAAGATCCTCTAATACTCCAATCTTTGATACAATCCAAATCATAGACACGATAACAGTTATCGCAAGACCAAATGGTAGACTTATTATCAATCTCGCAAGTACACACGAGACAAGTATAGACACCGTCTTGAATTTCTTGGATTATAGTTGTGGATAAAGATTCATTCAATTCATCTTCATCGGATGAATCACTAGCATCACTTGACTCATTTCCTTCTTCAGTGTCAGAGACAAGGGGGGGTAAATTTTCAGTGGATGCACTGACTGATGACCCTTCACTCAACTCAGCATGTTTGTGCAGGTGAGTGGAAATATCATTTGAATTTGAAGATTCTGCTTGTTCAGGGTGGATGATTATATTTATATCATCACTGCTGCTGTTCCGACTAAGAACGTCTTCAGAAGAAAAAGACGACCTTGACGTGAGATCTTGAGCAGCCTTCGGTAGTCCCACTGGTTTTCTAGCGTCCTCCATACTCTCAGCTTGGCAAAACCAAAATTATCAATGAAGTTGAATCTTCTCTCTGAAAGACTGAATGAGTAATCTTTTTTTTGTCTTTCATTTGTTCGTGTCTGCTCTGAAAATAGATTTTAGCTGCAACAATTTCTGAGTTCCGCGCATAATCTCCTTCTTTAAAGTAGCAAGTTTATAACTCTGAAATTTTCAATTTCTCGATCAAAACTACATTTGAATGGGTTTATGACTATTTGAAAACATTATAAGGCAGTAAAACTAAGAATATGAGATAGGTTGTAAAAAGAATAGTGAGACTATGAAATAAAAAAATTAAGATTTTGGGGGAATAAAAATGGATATTAGGAAAAGAGAAATCAAAATGAATTGAACCATAAAAACAGTAAATGTATATATAGGATCCCTGAATAATATACAAGCATATTAAAAGTTAAGCAAAACCATTTAGCAAAATTCCAGATTAATGCCAAATCAATTTGATGAAGTTTCTTTCAGAAAATATTAACCGATTCTAATACTTCTTCTTTTGAAGAAATCCATGACTTTACGGGCCGCACTGGCTTCCTTGCCATTAACAGAGGAAGAGCCAGTTGATCCGTTTTGACTGGTTGATCTTCTTGAAGTGGAAGAAGATGCTGATCCAACTCTTTTTTGATCTTTATTAGACGATGCTTGAACATTTCCCTCGCTTGAAGGCTCCAAAACTCTTTTCGATGAATTCGGAGTGTGAGTTCCAGAGCTGGGAGCGTTTGATGATACGTTGGACGTTGATGAGTTATAGGTGTTATAGAAAGATAAAATGCTGAATCTATTACGCTTCTTTGAATCTTTATTTTCCTTATTTGAATCTCTTGATCTGACAGATGCAGTTTTAGCTAAAGGTTTTGAATCCTTTTCGAAATCTTTTGATTCAGTTTCTTTGTTAGCTTTCTTAGATCCAGTTCTTGTGACCCCATTGGCTTTGGATTTTTCTTTACGTTTTGAATCAATCAGCTGTCTTTTATTTGAAGAAGGTGGCTGTAACTTGCCATCTTTTTCGGACTCAGAGTTAAATTGGGGAGCCTCTTCTTTTTTATCAGTGACTTCATTACACTTTCCATTATCCTTTCCATTAGGTACGTCTTTATTTTTATTTTCAATTGGTTTCGAATCAACTAATTCCTTTTCTTTGACCTTAACAGTTGGAGAAGTAGTTGGAACTGCAAAAGTAGGTGGTTGACTTATTTGAGGGGTTGATGCATTGGTTACTTTGGTTTCAATTGCAGAAGTATCTACCAAATCTGAGTTATTTAATTTTTGAGACTTTTGAGGACTATGCAGATCACTAAGTTCTAAAGTATCCATTTTATCTTCTAAATAACTCAAGACAGAATTTCTTTTATTCTCACTATTATTTAAATTCGTATCACTTGTTAACACGCCATTAACGTGAATATGAGTGACTACTGAATTTCTTCTTGAAGCCACATCAGATTTAACACCTGAATTAGGACTATTACTTGATCTCTCTAAATTACCAGAATTTTCTGAAATTGGAGAATTTTTAGTTGGTGAAGTTGATAAAAATTGAGAATATGGCAAATTAGCAGGAGAAGAAATTTTAATGAAGTTAGTATTATCATCATTACTCTTATTTGATAAATTGGTATTTGAATTTGATGTACCAGCACTTGCATATGCAGATGACATTGAAGATGGATGATAGGAGGTTGGTCTTGGTTTTTTATTGGTATGAGGTAATCTGTTTGATTCTCTAGACGATCCATTCTTACTACTATTTGCACTAGTATTAATGAAACCATTTGTTGATGAAGTATTTGATGTTGGAGGTTTTGTTGGACTTTCAACAATGGTACCAATAGTACCGGTATAAGTTGAAGCTCTTGGTAAATAAGTAGGTAAATGATTTGCAGCCTTATGAGAACTTGAAGTAATTGGTTCAATATTTTGTTGAGGTTGAATTGATTGTTGGGGTTGATCAGGTGTAATGTTCATTTGAACCATTGATAAATCAATAGAAGAGGTTGAACTTCTTTTATTAGTACTATTATTATTATTGCTTTCAGTTACCACTGCTTTCAAAGCAGTACTTGCTGGGGAATAAGTATTCGAAATTGAAGCAGATTTAGCATGACCACGAACATAACCAGAATTATTAAAGATTTGTTGTTTTGTTGGAGAGTGATTTGAAACATGAGATGAGGTGATTGTACTATTGCTATTATTATTAATATTTGGATTATGAATATAATTAGCATTATTATTATTTTGTACAATACCAGAAGGTGAAGAATTTGATATTGAAGATGCAGATGAATTAACATGTTGAGATCTAGGAGATTCATTTTCTGGTAAAGCGATAGCATTAGCAAAAGATGAGCTAGTTGTTGGAACAGAAGTATTACTATTATAAATAATATTTGTACTTGAATAAGATCTTGCATGAGAATTCATCATTAAACTTGAAGAATTAGTTCTTTCATTAATCATTGAGAATCTTTTATTTTTATTATTTGATAAAAGATGAGTTGAATTTCTATCTTTACTTTCTTTATGAATTTTATCCCATTCAGGTTGTCTAATTGACAATAAATTAACATAAGGACTTAACCAAGGGTGATTTCTAATTGCATCAATATTAATTCTTTTCTTTGGTTCCGGTACAATTATTTTTCTTAACAAATCTCTTGCTAATGGACTAACATATTCTGGGAAAGTTAAAGGAGTTTTACAAATATAATGATATAATTTAACAATATCTGATCCATCTTCATTTTCAGGATCATCATCAAAGGGTAGATAACCAGATAACATTGCATAAAGTATAACCCCTAAAGACCAAATATCAACTTTTTTACCTTCATAAGGAGATTGAGTTAAAACTAATTCAGGAGCAGCATAACAAGGAGAACCACAAGAAGTTTTCATTAAATCATTCTTTTCTTTATTATAAGAATTAACAAAACCAAAATCAGAAATGATGACATTTTTATGTTTATCTAATAGTAAATTTTCCAATTTCAAATCACGATGAATTAAACCTTTTGAATGCATGTAATCAACACCACTAACTAATTGGGCAAATAATTTTTTGGCAATATTTTCTTTTAAATATTTATGATGTAAAATATAATCAAATAATTCACCACCAGATGCATATTCAAGAACAATACCAATATATTTACCACTTTTCATAACTTCAACTAAATTTACAATATTTGGATGATTTAATAATTTTAAAGAGTTAATTTCACGATGAATTTTAATTTCCAGTTCAGAATCTTTCATGATAGTATCACGTTTAATTAATTTGATTGCAACCTGACTTGGTTGTTTACCATCTTTACGCCAACCTAATTTAACTTTACCAAATTCTCCTTCACCTAAAGTTGAACCTAAGATATAAGAACCAAATCTAACTTCTCTATGAATTCTTTTAGCGTTTATATTATAATTGGGGTTTTGATTATTTGAAGTTGAAGTTGTTATGGTGGGGTTACTGGCGTTAATGGAGCCATTGGTTACTGCAGATGATGTTGAATGAACACTATTTGACCTTGAGTGGGATGAAGCAGGCATTGTTGATGGGATATTATTTGATGCAGAAGATATGTTATTTGAAGGAACAGAAGATGGAGTTGACGAAGGAGTTGATACTATAACAGGATGGGTAGGGACCGTGGGATGAAGTATTTGAGAAGCCATCGTAAAAGATGAAAAAAGAGAACAAAAAAATAAAGAAAAACAAATAGAGTAAGATCAAAATTTGGGAAAAAATAAAAAGAATCAAAGGAAAAAAACCAAAATATACCAAGTTCCAGTGTTTAAATGAAATAAAGATACCAGGTAAGACAGAAAAACGAAAAGAAAATTAGATTGAATAAACAACAATGGATACAACAAAGAAAAAGGAGATCAGAAGGGTAAAATAAAAGGAAATGCAAAAGAGAATCAAAGACGAAACAGGATTGCAACCCACTTAGATTAACTATGTTACCGAACAAACAACTGGGAAAAGGTTGAAAAGTCAATGTTGAAAAATTGGTGATGTATTCAACTTTTTTGTTTTCTTTTTCGTTGAAACCTTTTTTTTTTTTTTTTTTCAATTAATGATGATGTTTTCTTTCTTTCTTTTGAGTCTTGAAGCGTGTCACCAAAGTTTAAAGCTGTAACAAACCTGGACTGGCGTGGGGATGGTAGAGTGAATGAGTTTTACTCGAGAAGGCGAGAACGACACGGGGGGGAAGGTAAGACGATGGAAGTCTGGCGTCGAAAGAAAGAGAATGGGTGAAGATGAAATGGGATTGGAACAACAAGATATGTTAAAAGTTATGACTTGAAACAAATTGCAGGGAAACGAGGTATTTTAAAAGTAAACACCGCTAACGAAGTATCACCAAAGCAAAAAAAAAAATAAGGTAAAAAAAAAAAAATAAAATAAAATAAAATAAAAAAACGAGAAGAGGAAAACCAAAACAAATTATTATATGTAGTCGAATAAAAATCAAACTCTGAAAAGGCTTTTAAACGTTGGATAAGACGACGTGAATAACCCGAATATATGGAGACTTTCGATTAGACTGGGATAACTGGAAGTTTATTATGGCAAAATACGAAATATCAATTGCAAAAGGATGTAGGGAAGTAGTCAATCGATACGAAAAGATGATTTCATAGGTGAGAAAAGGGAGCGGGATAACGATGTAACCTATAGCAGCGGATCCGTGTAGTAGACACAAGTGTGTATCAGCAGCAAGCGACTATGATCGACTGATTGTTTACCAGCGGGATTGTAATTGTGGAATAAGCTGTAGAAGATGGAGATGTAGAAGAAGATGTAGAAGAAGATGTAGAGATTAAGTGAAAGGTTAGAGATCAAATTAACAGCGGTTATTCACAAAAAAGATCAAAACAAAAGAACAGAACATCCGTTACAATAACCATTTCAAGGGTGTGCTCTTCCCACTTGGTTACCTGATAGTACTTTCACTAGACGACCCAGTAGTTTAGCCGCTGGTGGTTCTTTGTTGGTTCTTTGTTGATCTTTTAACTGGGTTAGGATGTTGATGTGATTAATAGCCTGGTGTATGGGTGCAGACTGCGGTTTGTTGATGCTTTCGCCGCATCGGGCAAGGCCATTTTGTCCCGGTGATTGATTCGCAACCGTATTGATTGAGTGATCTCCACATTTGGTCCTACAACTACAATTACAATTACAACTACAACTACAATTTCAGTTACAACTACAACTACAATTACAATTACAACTACAATTACACATGATTTATTAAACTGACTCAGAGTAGACTATGTAAGACATACTCCAGAATCTTGAATATTGTAGCTTTCGCGCAAAATTAGGAGTATACCGGGGTTCTTCGTGCAAGTTGGCCGTTGTCGCATCTGCCTAGGCATTAGTGGAGTAGGCATTATTGGAGTAGGCATTATTGGAGTAGGCGTTAGTGGAGTAGGCTTTAGTAGAATATCGGATAGGGGCTGGTTATATCATAGCTTTGGACAGGAAACGGTAGGTGCTGATTCGACGATCACGTGACAAGCCAATAGACCCAGACACCACAATTTTTGATCTTTTTTTTTTTTTTTTGGGGGGGGGGAGGGGGCGTTCGCCTACCAGTTAATTCGGGCGGCGCGTTATTTACAATTATATAAAGAGATGAAATCCTACTTAATAATACACGTCTCCAAAGAAGACCAAAGATGACTCAAGCAGAATTAGAACAAGGAGAAATAGACCAGGAGGATGTGATTGCAGGACCTTTACCGATCGAGCAGCTAGAAGGAAACGGGATCACCCCGGGAGACATCAAGAAATTAAAACTCGAAGGATACCACACGGTTGAATCGATTGCTTATACTTCGAAAAAAAATTTGTTAAACGTTAAAGGAATCTCTGAAGCAAAAGCGGATAAGATTTGTGGAGAGGCCAGTAGACTAGTCCCGTTGGGGTTTACCACTGCATCGGAGTTCCATGTCAGAAGATCAGAACTAATTTGTATAACTACTGGTTCAAAACAGTTGGATACTTTATTAGGAGGAGGTATTGAAACCGGGTCTATAACCGAATGTTTTGGTGAATTTAGAACCGGGAAATCCCAGTTGTGTCACACTTTGGCAGTGACTTGCCAGTTACCCATCGATATGGGTGGTGGGGAAGGTAAATGTTTATATATTGATACCGAAGGGACTTTTAGACCAGTGAGATTAGTCTCAATTGCTCAAAGATATGGTTTAAACCCGGATGATTGCTTGGATAACGTGGCGTATGCAAGAGCTTATAATGCAGAACATCAATTCCAATTATTAAACCAAGCTGCTCAAATGATGAGCGAATCAAGGTTTTCTCTTTTGATTGTTGATTCAATCATGTCGTTATACAGAACTGATTATAGTGGAAGAGGTGAATTATCCGCTAGACAAGCTCACGTTGCTAAATACATGAGACACTTGCAAAGATTGGCCGATGAGTTTGGTATTGCAGTGGTAATCACCAATCAAGTCGTGGCTCAAGTCGATGGTTCCGCTGCCATGTTTAATCCTGATCCTAAAAAACCAATTGGTGGGAATATCATCGCTCATAGTTCAACTACTAGATTAAGTTTTAAAAAGGGTAAAGGTGAAACCAGAATTTGTAAAGTCTACGATAGTCCTTGTTTACCTGAAAGTGAAGCTGTTTTCGCTATTTATGAAGATGGTATTGGTGATCCAAAACTCGAATCCGATGATTGATTCCATCTCGAATCATTTCTTTGTATTATATTTAGTTCTTTTGGGTAGTTATTTATTAATGTATTTGGTAACCTGTAATTGTCCGCAACCTGTAGCTGTTTCAACGTTTTCTTCCTAAAAACGGCATGACACAAACTTGTCTATTGGCTTTTTTTATCTTTTCCATCAGTAGTCCGGGTAACCCCGATGTGGATCCACCGTTTTTTTTTTCACTTCACTTCTATTGCCTATAACTACTCAGCGTAAGGCTATGATGTAAAGCTACGATGAGTAAGGCTATGACCGGCTACAGTATGGTGGGTGACAGTGCAATGTAAGAGTAAGTGTTGTGGGCCTGCTTAATTCAGAAATAAGCTGGAACGGACTCACAAAACCGAAGCTCTTTTTTAAGACACTCAAATTTTTTTTTTTTTTTTTTTTTTTTTTTTTTTTTAGTGTTTCCCATTTTATCTATTCGATCAACGAGCATCTGCTCTTAATAGAAAATTTTAATTTTGCTTTACTTTGCATTTTTTTATATAATTACTCTTCTTCCATTCCACTATAAGGTAAATCTATTCCAAGTCCGAGGTGTTTCATTTGTATATCCACGGTGGTTTTACCCATACATTAGATTTGTTTATTTCGAAGGAAAAAAAAAAAAGTTTCAATTAAAATTTTGAGAAAAGCTTTAAAATTAATGGATTGAATCATAACTATTCAGAAAAGATACAAGATGGATAAAAATAAAGTTAAATCTATTCTTCCAAAACCTTCTCCTCTGTTACAGTCTCAAACGACATCACCAAATATCGTTGGTGCGAACAAGAGAAAATCTATGCCGGGGAATGGAACAGAATTCAATGTTAATAAAAAGCAACGATCAAAATCAGCTACTTCAATACAAACTAAGAAGAAATTGATTAAAAAAGAAGATAATCTCTCATCGTTGGCAAGCCCCAATAATAAATTGGTTAAAACTAATAGTAATAATTCGATCAACATGTCACCACCAATTATTAATCAATCAAATCACGATGATAATTCTCAAGATAAATCTTCCAAACAAACTGGTCATAGACCAGTTACTTCGTGCACTTTTTGTCGTCAACATAAAATCAAATGTAATGCATCGGAAAATTATCCAAAACCATGCCAAAGATGTGATAGAATGGGATTAAAATGTGAAATTGATCCTCAATTTAGACCTAAAAAGGGTTCTCAAATTCAATCTTTGAAAAGTGATGTGGATGAATTAAAGGCTAAGATTGAAATGTTAACTAAGAATGAATCTTTGTTAACTCAAGCTTTAAATCAACATAACATGAATTTCTTACAGCAACAAAAACAACAAGTGACTCCTAATTCAAATAATCAATTTTCTCATCATAATCATCAACAACAACAGCTATATAATACTACTCCTGTTCAAAGACCGGCTTTAGGTTCGTTGTCAAACGTTTCAACTAACCATAATACTCCAACTCAATTTCATTTAGAAGCTTCTTCTCATATAGGAACCCCGGCTAATTTAAATGATTCTGCTCCAACTCATACAAATCCAAATTTGTCTTATGTTTTACATCAAGATTCTTCCGATAATTCTCCGGTTGATAGAAATCTTGATTCTTATAAAACAAATAACCATATTAATTTAAATGCTAATCATAATGAAACTAATGATACTGCAACTCCAAATACAAGATTTAATTTAGAAGATCAATCAGAATATACTACAATCTCTGAATTCATCTTAGGTTCAGTAAGATTACCTTTAGAAAAAGCTAATGAATTACATGATAGATTTATGGATAAATTTTTACCATTTTTACCAATTGTCACTTCAAATTCGGCCACTGAATTATATAATAAATCTCAATTATTGTTTTGGTCTATTATTTTAACGGCTGCATTATCAGAACCTGAACCAACTTTATATATGTCTTTGGCTTCTTTAATTAAACAATTAGCTATTGAAACTTGTTGGATTAGAACTCCTCGTTCAACCCATGTTATCCAAGCCTTAATCATCTTGTCCATATGGCCTTTACCAAATGAAAAAGTTTTAGATGATTGCTCTTATAGATTCATAGGCTTGGCTAAGAATTTATCATTACAACTTGGTTTACATAGAGGTGGTGAATTCATTCAAGAATTTAGTAGAACTCAAGTAAGTTTGGGTCCTGATGCTGAATTATGGAGAACAAGATCTTGGCTTGCAGTATTCTTTTGCGAGCAATTTTGGTCTTCGGTCTTAGGTTTACCTCCATCAATAAATACCACCGATTATTTATTGGAAAATGCAAGAGTCGATAATAATTTACCTAAAAATTTTAGATGCTTAATCTCTTTATCAATTTTCCAATGTAAATTAGTTAATGTTATGGGTATTTCAGTTACAAGATCTGATGGGTTATTAGAACCTTCTAATAGAGCAGGATCTTTAAACATTTTAGATCGTGAATTAGAAAGATTGAGATTTAAATTACCAATCGATGAAGGCTCAGTTATTGAAATTTATTATCTATATATCAAATTAATGATTTGTTGTTTTGCATTTTTACCTGGAACCCCAATCGAAGATCAAGTTAAATACGTTAGCTCTGCCTATTTATCAGCAACAAGAATTATTACTATAACATCTCAAATGATAAGTTCTAACACCATCATGTTAATTGAATTACCAATCTATGTTAGACAAGCAATTACTTATTCAGTTTTACTATTGTTTAAATTGCATTTATCTCGCTATTTGATTGATAAATATGTCGATAGTGCAAGACAATCAATTGTCACCGTTCATCGTTTATTAAGAAATACTTTATCTTCTTGGAAAGACTTACAGAATGATATACTGAGATCTGCTAAAGTTTTAGAAAACTTAAATATAGTTTTGTATACTTATCCAGAGATTTTCGATGGTGATGATGAAAATCAAGAAATAATTGGTGGAGGTAGCATTATAACAAGAATGAGATCTCATTTAACTGCCTCATTATTTTATGATTTAGTTTGGTGTGTTCATGAAGCTAGAAGAAGAACATTAATTGATAAAAATAAAGGCCCTAATAGTCCTAAAGATGAAAAAAGTCACCGTAACAGTCATATGAGAAAAGCTGCTCCTTTACCCTTCTATAATCAAATTACCAAAGATGATTTTAAAACTATCACAACAACTACTCCAAATGGTACCACAATCACTACTTTAGTTCCAACAGACCAAGCAATGACTCAAGCAAGATCCAATGCTAGTGCTAATGGAATGAATAAACCTTTGGAAATTAATGGTATTCCTTTGGCTATGTTAGAAGCAACTGGTAGTATTAAAGATATGAAGAAAAATGGTGGCCATGAAGTTGCTGATCCAATGAATACTTTAACTGGAACTGGCCCTGCTAATACTGCAGCTTTCAAAGCTGCTAATGAAAGAAACCTTAAATCAGAAGATGTATCGAAAGATGATACAGTGCCACCAAATAGCTCTTTTGGTAACGAATTCAATCCAAATCTCTCTGGTACTATCCCCCAAGTTCCTCAATTTGAGTCTCTCCCATCTCAGATTCCTCAACAAGGTAATCAACAAATGCTTATGAGTACCAATACTGAAGGATCTCCCGCTACTTTCAACTACGGTATGCCTGGTGCTGTGTTACCATCTTCTAATTTGGGATCTTCGGCTACAAATATGGGTGGGATGGCTGATCAAATGGACAATTTCTTCCAACAGCAGTCCAATGGCTGGCTCAATAATGATAATTACCAAGACGATGACTTCCTAGGCTGGTTTGACGTGAATATGATTCCCGAAAAATAATCAGTTCCTCTCTTTGAAAATGCAACAAAAAACAAAAAAATCAAAGACAGTCCAAAAACCAAGAAGAACTCTAACAAAAAGAGATTCACGACTATTGCTTTCTAATCAAATTCTTTTTCCCTATCTGTTTGTATTTTTGTCACGCTTGTATCTGCTTGATAACCAATTGTAAATAATCTACAAGTTTCGTTTTCCTTTATACTTTCTTACGTCTGTTATATGTTAATTAATTTTAATTCACGTTTATGTCTTTTTTAGATTACACACTTTCCGTATAGATGTAGACATATACTTAAGTATTGGCTAAAGCAACGGTTTATATAAAGCAATTTTGCTTTGAGAGATAGTGCCCATACAGAATCTTTATAAAAAATCTCGCAGTTATGGTCGCAATTAGGAACTCCAAACTTTTGGTATCAAGTGAAGAAAAAAAAAGTTTTTCAAGATTAATAAGTTCAACTTTTTTATTCACTTGAGTTGTATTATCCAATTGAATCCCAATTATTCATAAAGATGCTTTCAAGACAATTATTACGTTTATCAGCCAATGCCTCTAAAGCCAGATGTGCTCGTCCAATGGCTATTCCTAGATTAGCTAGACCATCTGGTACTCAACTTGTTGGTAGATTTTATTCAACCTTCAATCCTAAAGATCAACCAAGAGTTAGAATTGGTTCTACTGCTCCTAACTTCACTGTTGATACTACCGAAGGGGAAATTGATTTCCATAAATACATTGGTGATCAATGGGTTGTTTTATTTTCTCACCCAGCTGATTTTACCCCGGTTTGCACTACTGAATTAGGTGCTTTTGCTAAATTGAAACCAGAATTCGATCAAAGAAACGTTAAATTGATTGGTTTATCTACCGAAGGTGTTGAAAGTCATAAAGCTTGGATTAAGGATATGGAAGATGTTACCACTGGAGGGGCTAAATTTTCTTATCCAATCATTGCTGATTCCGATAAAAAAGTTGCTTTCTTATATGACATGTTATCTGAGGAAGATTTCAACAAAATTGGTGGTGGAATGGTTCCAACTGTCAGATCGGTCTTTGTTATTGATCCATCCAAGAAGGTTAGATTGATTATGACTTACCCAGCTTCTACTGGTAGAAATTCTGCTGAAGTTTTAAGAGTTGTTGACGCTTTACAATTAGCTGACAGCAAAGGTATTGCAACCCCAATTGATTGGTCTTCTGGCGAAGATGTCATTATTCCACCATCTATCAGTGACGATGCTGCCAAAGCTAAATTTGGTGAATTCAAAACTTTGAAATCGTATTTGAGAACTACTAAAAGTCCAATTGAATAAGTATATTAAGTAAAGACTTGAAATCTTGAAAATTTATATTTTGAATATATACATGTAGGTTTTAATTATCGAATTATTGCATTTGGAAGATTATCACAAAATGCTCCGTGTTCAGATTCAGGGGATTTTTTCAATAGATACTGCTCCCCAGTTTCAGTAACATATACTGCTTGTCCCTTTTCGTTGGTTTTCAAGCAGCTTTGGATAGGGGCCCATTTACTCGATTTCAATTTTGCTGGGAAGGACTCATCGTAAAATGGGTAGAAAGAGAGCTTCTCACCCAAATTTGCATCTACTGGGGGGCTTAATAGCTTGACAATCGATGATCCGGGTGTTTTACCATCAGATTTTTCTCCAGCAAGTAGCATTGCCTGTGACTTTTCACCTCTTAACTTACTGGCAGGGAGATTTGCAAGCACAACAACCTTCCGATTTTGCATGTCTTGAAGAGCTACATAATCTTTTAAACCTGAGCATATTTGAACGGTCGGTGCTGGACCTTCGGATTCCGGGTCAACAGGAGTGATTTGGACTTGTGATACATAAAGTTTATCAGCTTGTGGATGTTGAACACATTTTATTATTTGACCAACTTTCAAATTTAATAAACTAGGCGAAACTAGATGGTATGGGTTAGCGGAATTCTGTAAATGAAAACTGGTAAAAATACAAACGTTTACCGGCACTAGTAGAGCTCAATCTAAAAAATGACCTTAACACTGTTTGGCCTATCATTTCTGTTGGATTCTGGTAGCTTTACTATAGTCTTGTAATGCCGAACCCTATATTTTCACATTAAAACCTTGTCACGTGACCGTTTTTTTTTTGATGGCACACATCCAATTTATCTGAATAGGGAAATCTAATGAAGGACGCGTCTAAGGAAAAAAAAAAGAAAGCTATTTTTTTTTAAATTTTTGTTCGAGGAATAAGTAAATAGAAATAGTTACATTGAAATCTTTTAATTTGATATCAGCTACAATTCTAAGGACATCTTTCTAAATTTTCAATTGTACAGTAATATATTCAACTGAGAAAGAATGTCTAATTTTGTTTCTTCTCCTGGCAATCTTCCCTCGGATGCTGCTAGATTATTGAGATCATCAAATCCCCCATCATCTATTGGAAGACCTCCAACCACATCTCCACATCCTCAACAAAACATATACAGTGATGCTCTGCATGGAACTCCAGTTGCCCAAGCTCCCCCTACCACTCGTCGTCCCGGTAGAAGTGATATAACTGTTTCTAAAGTTGTTGATGTCACTGGTGAAAAAGTGTGTGAAAGTTTCGAAGCTTTCATTGAAGAATTCGTTGATGCTGAGACCATGAACAACGATCCTTCTTCGAATGGTAGAATATATGTTGCTCAATTACATGCTATGAGAAGTTTCCAGTACTGTACATTATATGTCGATTATCAACATTTGGTTGATAGAGAAAATGGGGTTTTAGCTTCAGCCATTTTAGAACAATACTATAGATTCCATCCTTTTTTATTGAAAGGATTGAGAAACTTGATCAAAAGACATGTTCCAGAACTTTTACAAGTTAGTTTGTTGGGTACAAATAGTGATGAAACAGCTGCTGGCTCATCGACTGATTCATCTGCTTCATTTAATAGTGCTAATGAAAGAGTTTTCCAAATTTCTTTCTTTAATTTACCTTCAGTGAATAGAATTCGTGATATCCGTACCGAAAAAATTGGTACTTTAATGTCTATACTGGGTACTGTTACTAGATCTTCAGAAGTTAGACCCGAATTATATAAAGGTTCATTTACTTGTGATAGTTGTCAAACTATTATAGAGGGTATCGAGCAAGTATTTAGATACACCGAACCAACTGCTTGTCCAAATACCGAGTGTCAAAACCAATCTAAATTTACCTTAAATGTTGCAAAATCTCAATTCATTGATTGGCAAAAGTGCAGAATTCAAGAAAATTCAAATGAGATTCCAACTGGTTCCATGCCTCGTACTTTAGATGTTATTTTAAGAGGAGAAACTGTTGAAAGAGCGAAACCAGGTGACAAATGTAAATTCACTGGTACTGAAATTGTTATTCCTGATATCTCTCAATTGGGTCTTCCAGGTATTAAACCCCAATCTTTAAAAGAAAACAGAGGTGTTGCATCTGAATTAAATTCAGGAGTCACCGGTTTAAAAGCTTTAGGTGTTAGAGATCTTACTTACAAAATAGCCTTTTTCGCTTGTCATGTTTCATCGGTTGTCAACAAGGCCAACGAAAAGGATGCTAATGAGGTTGAATTTCAAGGTCCAAATGACCAAGAAGTTTTTATCTCATCATTGAGTACTCCAGAAATCGCCGAATTGAAGAGTATGGTTAGAGACAGACACGTTTATAATAAATTAGTTCAATCTATTGCACCAGCAGTCTTCGGTCATGACATAGTTAAAAAGGGAATTTTATTACAAATGTTAGGTGGTGTTCATAAAGAAACCGTTGACGGTATCAATTTAAGAGGGGATATTAATATTTGTATTGTTGGTGATCCATCAACTTCTAAATCCCAATTTTTAAAATATGTTTGCGGATTTTCTCCAAGGGCTGTTTATACATCAGGTAAGGCTTCATCAGCTGCCGGTTTAACTGCAGCAGTTGTGAAAGATGAAGAAAGCGGTGAATATACCATTGAAGCCGGGGCTTTAATGTTGGCTGATAATGGTATTTGTGCAATTGATGAATTTGACAAGATGGATATTGGAGATCAAGTTGCCATTCACGAAGCTATGGAACAACAAACCATTTCTATTGCTAAAGCTGGTATCCATGCTACTTTGAACGCTAGAACTTCTATTCTAGCAGCTGCCAATCCTATTGGTGGTAGATATAATAGGAAATTAGGATTAAGAGCTAATTTGAGTATGACAGCTCCAATTATGTCAAGATTTGATTTATTTTTCGTTATTTTAGATGATTGCAATGAAAGAATTGATACCCAATTAGCTTCTCATATTGTTGATTTACATATGCTTCGTGATAATGCTATTGATCCGCCATTCTCAGCGGAGCAATTAACCAGATATATCAGATATGCCAAAACCTTCAAACCAAGAATGAATAAAGAAGCCAGAGATTTCTTGGTTAGTAGATATAAAGAATTAAGAAGTGATGATGCTCAAGGTTTGGGTAGATCGTCTTATAGAATTACAGTTAGACAATTAGAATCGATGATAAGATTATCAGAAGCGATTGCAAGAGCTAATTGTTCCGAAGAAATTACTCCAACATTTGTTGCAGAAGCTTATGATTTATTAAGACAATCGATTATTAGAGTTGAAATGGATGATGTTGAATTAGATGATGAAGATGAAGCTATAAATCTTGACCAACCAGAAGATACTCAAATGCAAGAAGAATCTCAACCAGAAACTCTTGAACAGGTACAAACTGAACAACATGAACAGCAAAGACGTTCTGAGCCCAAGATGAAGATTGGCCCAGAGAAGTTCCTTGCTATAATGAATTTATTAGTTAAGAGAGTATCTGATGAAGATAATGCAAGTGGACAAGGTTTAACTAAAGAAGAGCTTATCGATTGGTACTTACTTCAAAAGGAAGACGATATTCAAACTGAAGCAGAATTTGAAAAAGAAAGAATCATTGCTTTCAAAGTATTAAGAAAATTAGTTAAAGATCGGATCTTGATGAGTGTTACTAATAATGAAGAACTTGACGATAGTCCCGAAGAACAAGCAAGAGCTAAAACAGTCTATATATTACATCCAAACTGTGCTATTTTAGATTTTTTCGATCAAAATAGAGCTGAAGACGCTGAAGACGCTGACCAAATAGCTGAGGATTAACCTTTTGGATATACTTCAGGTTCTTTTTGTTTTATTATTCTTATTTTATTATTTCGATATTTGTTTTTTTTCTCTCTCTTTGGTTTTGTTTTCAGTTCATATTATGTATATTAAGGTTCAATTTGTTATTATTTTTGCGAACGGATATATCAACTGTAAATCTTTAATTAAAAAAAAAATTAATTAGGCCGTATGGCATTGACACCGTTGGAACTGACTCATGTCCTCTTCATCTGTTTCGATCTTAAACCATCGCCATATCAGCAAATGCCTGTCGTACGATTGGCAAGATCACAATGGGGTCGTCAATCTTCATAGATTTACGAGAAGATTACAACAGCTCCATCAAGTTCATTTCGGGAAGCGATAGGCGGGATTTGTGACCTTACAATCGTAAGGCAGCCTCCTCCACCAACTAAATATAGACTCCTTTACAGGAGTGATTTTGTAGGTCCATCCAATAAGGCGTTTGAAAGCGCGTTGTCTGCTTGTCACAGTCATCAGTGAAATTGGAGTAAATTCGAAGTGGTGGCATTCTTACGTCAATAATCTTATCAAATGATCGGTGGTTGGGGAATAATTAAATTTAAGCCGACCTCATCAAATTATGGTGCCGCACGTAGTCCGACCAATATAACAAAACAAGTATTATCAATACAATGATGGATCTGAAGTCGAACAGTCATCTTACACCAGGTCAAATGATCCTCTTGATCATTTAGCCCTATAGCCTGGCCAAGACAGCACCCAAACAATACTAGCGTGCTATAAAATATGTCAAGTTGATGGAAATATGCCAAATTTTCTTGTATAATAGAAAGCAGCGAAAAAATGACAATTTGAAAATTGCAGTAATATGCAGGTCGATTAGTCTTATCAGCATTATTTGGCGGGAAATGAAGAGGGTACTCCAATTAGAATTTCGTTACCACCAGACAGCCGTTCTATAGGATGAAGAGTCCTTTATAAATAGGAGCTAATCCAATATTCTGTAGAAACGTTTTTTTTTTTTGACTTTTTATTTCTTTTATGGTTTAATTGCAAAAAGTTTCTTTATCTTAGTGCTTTTCCTTTCTATTTAATATTTCACTTTTAATATGGAAAAGATTAGAGACCTTGTCTTCAAGGATTCTCCTGCCACGGACGATCATTTTGAAACCAAGACTGAATTCGGAGCTTCGGATGTTCAAGCTTTGAATCTTTCGATTTCCAAATCGAACGAATTCGATCCGATCACTACTAATGGTGCTTTGGACGAAGTTATTGCCGATGATGGATACGCTGCTGTTCATGTTGAAGATGATTCTCCATACCCAGAAGTGCGTTCTGCTGTGCCATCAACAGATGACCCAAGCTTACCTCAAAACACCATTCGTATGGTTGTTATTGGGTTTATTTTGACTACCATTGGTTCCGGGATGAATCTTTTATTTTCTCTTCATTCGCCAAGTTTAACCATTTCTACTTATGTCACATCGATTTTGGCATATCCAATCGGTAGAGCATGGGAAAAAATTGTTCCAAATTGGACGGTTTTTGGCTTACCTTTAAACCCCGGTCCTTTCAATTTGAAAGAACATGCTATCGTTACCATTATGGGTTCTGTTTCCTTTGGTGGGGGGACTGCTTATGCTACTGATATTCTTCTTGCTCAAAATCAGTTTTATAAAAGTGATTTCGGAATTGGTTACTCCCTTTGTATGATTTTATCAACTCAATTAATCGGTTTGAGTATGGGTGGTTTAGCTAGAAAGTTTTTGGTTGAACCATCAAGTGCTATTTGGCCAGCAAACTTGGTCACTTCTACCTTTTTAACTAATATGCATATCAATGAAAACCATCCAGCTAATGGTTGGAGAATTAGTCGTTTGAAATTTTTCTCCGTTGTTTTCATTTGTTCTTTTATCTGGTACTTTTTCCCAGGCTACATTTTTCAATTCTTCTCTTATCTTTGCTGGTGTGTCTACATTAAACCATCAAATATTGTTGTTAATCAAATCTTTGGTGCATCGACTGGATTAGGTTTATTACAACCAACTCTTGATTGGAATCAAGTTAGTGGTTATATTGGATCTCCATTAATCCCTAATGCAACCGTTATGTGGACTGTTTTGGCCTCAATTGTTATAATCTTTTGGATAATTACTCCTATCTTATACTATAAAAATGTTTGGTACTCTAGATCTTTCCCAATTTCAAGTTCCGATAGTTACGATAGATTTGGTCAAGATTATGATGTTAGCAAAATTGTTAATGTTGATACTTTAACTTTTGATAAAACTGCTTATCGTGAATATTCTCCACTTTTCTTATCAACTACTTTTGCCATTTCATATGGTCTTTCCTTTGCATCAACTACTGCTACCATTGTACATACTATTTTGTTCCATGGTAAAGATATTGTTCGTCAATTCAAATCAGAAGAAAAACCAGATGTCCATTTAAGATTAGTAAGAAAAAGTTACAGAGAAGTTCCATGGTGGTGGTATTTCATTCTTTTCCTTATTTCATTTGCTTTAAGTATTGCCACTATCCGTGCTTGGCCAACTGAAATGCCAGTTTGGGGTTTAATTGTTGCTTTAATTATCGCTGGTGTCTTCCTTTTACCAGTTGGTATCATTTATTCTCAAACTAATATCGCTGTCGGTTTAAACGTTATTTCTGAATTGATTGTTGGTTATATGATTCCTGGTAAGCCTCTTTGTATGATGCTTTTCAAAACATTCCTTTACATCACTAATAATCAAGCAGTTTTATTTGCTCAAGATATGAAATTAGGTCAGTATATGCATATTTCTCCAGTAACTACTTTTGTTGCCCAAGCTCTTGCTACTGTTTGGTCTTGTTTTGTTCAACTTGGTGTTTTGAGATGGGCTTATGGTGCTATTGACAATCTCTGTGATCAACATCAAGCAAGTGGTTATACTTGTCCTAATGGTAGAGTTTTCTTTAATGCGCTGATTATTTGGGGTGTTATTGGACCTAAACTTTCCTACTCTGCTGGTCAAATTTACCATAATTTGACTTATTTCTTTTTAATTGGTGCAGTCTTACCAGTTATTATTTGGGCTATCAGAAAGAAGTACAGCAAGTTCCCATTAATCAACACTCCAGTTTTCTGGTCTGCAACTGGTTATATTCCACCTGCAAATTGTTTTAACTACTTCAACTATTCTTTGGTTGGTTTAATTTTTGGTTTCTTTATCAAAAAACGTTATTTTGCTTGGTGGTCTAAATATAATTATAGTTTATCAGCTGGTTTAGATATTGGTCTTGCATGGCTGATGTTGATGATTTTCTTATGTTTAAATTTAACTAATGCAAAATTCCCAACTTGGTGGGGTAATTCTGTTATCGAAACTCCTGATTATTTGGGTACTGCTATCAGTGATCCAATCCCATCTGGTGGATCGGTTGGTCCTTCTCTGTGGTAAGAGTGATGTTATTCTCTTGATATGATTTCTTTTCAAATATAATTTATGTAAATATATAGGCTTTACTTCTAATAATTTTGTTATCAATATAAGGCGATAATTTTTAATGAACATTGAGTGTTCCCTGTATACTTTGTAAGCTTTTAAATGGCTGCAAATTGTAGTGTTGTGCGGCACAAATTTCGTCCAACCAAGTAACTACTAAACCCAAGTAATCATTACCTGGAACACACTCTGGATACAAGTTTGTTTCGGTGATTATGATATTTTATTCATTTAAAAGATCGCCATTAAATTCATAAATTGTAATAATTATGTTCAAAATTGCACAAAAGTCTCACTTATTCGTAAACCTTTTTCAAGATAAAACCAAACTAGAAAGGCATACACTTACAATGTTTGCAACTTGGCCTGAGCAACTTGGCCTGAAAAAAGAATAGAAACTATAGATCTTTGACGTTAGTTCAATCATTTGTAAAGAAATTGATGATAACCCTTACACCTCATTTGGGGTTTACACTACCAAAAAGAGTAACTAAACAAAAATATAACACATTTTAAGCGGCTTGAAAAGTTGCAACACTTTTCCTTTGATAACAGTCCAATGTCAGACCTAAGGCCCAACAGCTCTGAAGAAGTCGTGTTCAGAGAGGAGGACCAGGTATTACCACAGGACGACCTCGAGCCACTGAATAAGAAAAGGAAGCATGATTCAAGCGAAGGCCTGTTTAGTGGTGAATCTTCATCGGGTTTGTTAGAAACGTCAATACCACCCCATCAAGACAAGTGGGACGCCAACACAGCTCCAGACGTTGGAAGAGAAGCAAATAATATGGAATCCGATGATTATGTATTTGTGACTCCAAGTGACCGAACGTTTTACTTCTTCAATGGATCAGAGACAGTTAGAGTTCCATCTAAAACAGAAAAAAATTCGGAAAAACAATACAAGATCTTGAAATACCCCAGATCCAAACAAGAGAAGCAACATAAAAGAGGAGATTCTTCAGTGGAGCGGCCCCATGCCTGTCCATTTGAAGGGTGTACTTGGTCATTCACCAGGTTATCTGATTTAACCAGACATAAAAAATCTCATACCAAACCAAATTACACTTGTCCCTTTTACAAGAACGATCCAACATGCCACAAGAATGGAGGCGCATTTGCAAGATTAGATGTTTTGAAAAGACATTTGAAATTAGTTCATTATGTCAAGGATAAACTGCAAATGATTGAAGGGGATGATCCGGGATGGTGCAGAATCTGCCAAAAAATGTTTCCTTCACTGAAAGCTTTCATAAATCATACAGAAGCTTGTGCAAATACTTCTAAACCCACTGAATGGATGAAGAAAAATGCTAAACACGATGAAAAAAACTACTTTCCCGTTGAATCATTGGTAAATTATGATTTAGAGAAATCCGATTAGGTTCATAAAAGCCAAACGAACCTACTTCTGGAACTTCTTTGCATTCTTCTTTTCTCGTGTAGCGAAAAGAAAACAAAAATATCAACGTTACCATACGGCTAGCAATTGCATCATTTAAAAGATTATTCTTAATGACTTCAGTCCCCTGATTCAAGGGATTTATGAGTTATGAATACAAGGACCCATCAGCAGGGTTTTGAAGCGCGTAAATGGGCAGAGCAAGGCTGGAATCAAGTCCAACTAAACACCTTATTGATCCAAGGCTTGCATCACAAAATTCAACGAACTTGATTAAGATACATGAACAAAACCTGTCTGATTGTTGGGAACAATAGCCTTCGAACAGTTTTAGATTGCAACATGTGCTTACACCAATCCCGACTATTGCTCAATAAACTGGCGATCCCTATGTCAAAAGAAACAAAGCAAATCCTGCTATTCTCCGTTTGGGCTGTTTATTGTTGGCTATGATAGAAGCTTGTCGTGTACTTCTAAATCACCAAAAATAATAAACCATTTAAAACCAGGCACATCTTATAAACTAAGTATTGGTGCTTCAATAGAAAGTACAAACGGAGATTAATGATTCACTAGTGAAATTTCAGCAACAAAATATCACAGAGCTAGATATACCTATCCCATAGCTTCCAACATCCTGGCCCGGTTAACTGGGAGTTTCACAAGGAATGAACTAGAATTCGCGAGTATGAAAATGTCATGGAAGGCGCATTTTGGTGTATCATCTTAGTTTTATGTTTTTTTTTTTTTCTTTATGTAGTTTTTTTTTTTTTCTTAAGCAGTTTTCATTCGGAGAAAAAACAGCTCCTTGCGCTTAGCTCTAAGTTTGCTAGTTATATTTAAATTTTACATTTAACCGTATATTGTAAGTATATTTAAAATCGTAACTTTCTTTCTTTCTTTAATCTTATCCTTGTTTCTTGCGCTAAAGGATTTTGTATTCGCTTGCGAAGAAGTCATTCGTTCAAAATGTCTAGTCATAATCCTCAGGAAAGCTCATCTTCCGATGAAGAAGAGTCCCATAGATCCCATTTGAACCTACCTCAGGTTAACCTTTCGAATATTAGGAAACAACAAACCAAAGCAACCCCTCGGGATCATTTTGTTAAGAGTAAAAAGAAGCTTCAGGCTAAAAATAAAACGGTGAGATTCCCATCGGAAGATTCAAGGAGAGATACCATGATATCCAATGAATCAACTACAAATAATGAAGATTCAGATTCAGACAATGACTCGAACTATATACCTCGTCGTTCTGGCTCTCTGAGTGCGGATGATGCTAATTTACCGAGCTTCAAATTCAATTCAAATGAATTGAGTAATCAAAATTTTAATGAAGAAGAGGAAGAATCGGATGAGAATGATGTTAATGATGATGATGAAAATAACCAAAATCGTCATCAATACCATTTAGATAACCCAGATAATGAGATATCCGGATCTTCGGACTCTTCAGATGACGAAAGAGAAGCTGATGGGGCTGGGAATAAAGATAAATCTTCTAATTTGCATTCTGATAACAATCAACATAATCTCGAAAAGCAGCCTTCAATCACTTCTTCCAAAAATTCCAAATCTTTCCATTCAAAATCAGCTCCTGAAGTGTCACGTCTGGGTACTCGTGGTTTCCGTCGTGATAATGATCGTGATTCTTTTGGTTCGAGAAGAGAATCTTCCCAACATTCTTTCAGAACTGGTACCACCGGAACCAGTGAATCACGCGCTGGTAATACTTTTAAAGGTATTCTTCGTAGAATGGCATTAGCTGATCAAGCTTATTCAAATACCCATGCAGCAGTTAATGCTAATCCTAATACAGTTGATGATGTGGATTTAGCAACCGATACAGCTCCTTCTCACGGTGACTCCTTTATTGGTCGTGTTTTAAGTTTGAGTAATAGATCGGGAAGTATTAGCGGTGGTGGGTTGGCTCCTGGTGCCCTGCATCGTTCTCATAACTCTCGCGAACGTACAATTGACGAAGAAGAAGAGGTTGGTGGAGGTGAACTTGATCGTGAAGCTTCTGATTCTATTGAATTGAAGAGATTAGATTTAGAAGATATCAATGATGAGGCTCGTAATTTAATTGGTACTCATGTCCCTGGTGGAGCTGAAATATTGAAAAACCATGATATTGCTAAAAGAGCTGAACGTAAACGTGAACGTGAACGTCAAAAAAGAAGCTCTTCCGATAACAACACCCCCCCAACTTCAAATAGTTCAACTACTTTCACAGTTAACAAAGAAAATAAAGATGGTGATACTGACATTAGTGGTTCTGAAAGTGGTTATGCTTCGTCTGTTAATGATAGTCCACATGGTTTTTATCAACCAAATTCAGAATTTAACGTCGATCAAAACTTAGCAAATGATTTGCAAGATGATGAATTCATGATGCTAGATGAAGGTGGTGGTTATATAGCACCTCCTAAGCAAGTACACGCCGGTGTTCTTCTGTCTCTTTTACAATTATATCAAAATCCTCAAGATATAAAATCTACTTCGAGTCTCAATACAGGATCTTCATCTCTAGCCGAAGGAGGTGATTATAATGCTCATGAGGATTCGGATGATGCTACTAATAATCTATATGAAACCAAGAATACTAGTACCGTTGATTTTACAAAATTGAAGAGCGGTATCAAAAAGGGTGGTAAAATGGTCTTGAATGCACCAGGTAAAGTTGGTCAAGCCGGTTATGCTGGTTATAAGAAATTTGGACCATCCTCCCGTACTTCTACTGGTGACTTCGACGAGAAAGAAGAAGAAGATGAATCTAATGAAAACTTACCATCATTTCAAAATGCTAAACCAAAAGCCCCTAAAAAGAATACCTCATCCTCTAAAGTTCCCCAAGTTAGTAAAAAATTACGTAAACATAAGAAGCAACAAAATCAACGTTTACGTATCACTGTTCACATTGCGGATATAATCCAAAGGCAAAGATTTATCATGAAACTTTGCAGAGCTTTTATGTTATTTGGAGCTCCATCTCATAGGTTAGAAGATTATATGATCATGACAAGTAGAGTTCTTGAACTTGATGGGCAATTTATTTATTTCCCCGGTTGTATGATTATGGCTTTCGGTGATGCAGCAACTAGAACTTCGGAAGTTCATCTTGTTAGATGTTCACAAGGTCTTAATTTATCAAAATTATCAGACTCTCATGTAATCTACAAGAGTGTTGTTCATGATTTATTGGCGGTTGACGAAGCAACTGCAAAATTGGAAGAGTTACTTAGAAAGAAGAACTTATACAATGCTTGGATCTGTGTGTTTTTATACGGGTTAGGCTCCGCATCTGTTACTCCTTTTGCATTTAGTGGTAATTGGTATGATGTCCCTATTTCATTTTTGATTGGATTATGCGTGGGTTATTTACAATTTTTTGTCTCCTCAATGTCTAATTTATACTCTTCAGTTTTTGAAGTTACTTCGTCGATTGTTGTTTCATTTATTGCAAGAGCAATAGGTTCAATAAAAGACGGTAAATACTTTTGCTTTGGTGCTATTGCTCAGGGTTCATTGGCCTTAATTTTACCAGGCTATATTATTTTATGTGGGTCTTTAGAATTGCAATCAAAAAACCTAGTTGCTGGTTCCGTTAGAATGTTTTATGCAATCATTTATTCATTATTCTTAGGTTTTGGTATTACCTTAGGTGCTGCTTTGTACGGTTGGGTTGATCATGGCGCAACAGATGAGGCAGTGTGTGATACTGGCCATTCAATTGACGATAAATGGAGAATATTATTTGTACCTTTATTTACCTTATGTCTTGGTTTGATCAATCAAGCCAGATGGAGACAGATTCCAGCAATGCTTTTCGTTTCCTGTGTCGGTTATATTGCCAATTATTATGCCGCCAAATATTTCAAAAATATTACTGAGTTCACCGCAGCTTTAGGTGCGTTTGTTATTGGTATTTTGGGTAATATTTATTCTAGATTTTTCAAGGGGATGGCTGCAAGTGTCATGTTGCCAGCTATTTTTGTACAAGTTCCGTCTGGTATTGCAAGTAAGAGTACTTTGTTGGCCGGTATTGAATCGGCCAATCAAATCACGAATAGTAGCTACGAAGGATCTTCGGGTTCGGATGTTAGTTCCTTGAGTTTTGGGGCTACAATGGTGGAAGTCTCAATTGGTATTAGTGTAGGTTTATTTGCAGCTGCATTATTTGTTTATCCATTCGGTAAGAAGAAGACAAGTTTGTTCTCATTGTGATCCTTCTCCTCAAGAGCGTTTATTTATTTATTCAACCATGCAGTGACACTGCAATTTGATGTTTTTATAATGATAGAGTTTAATATGAATATAAATATGTATATAAAAATATATATATATATAAATTATTTTCTCCATTGGCGTTGTATTTTTTTGATCGAAAAACGTTAGTTGCGAATTTAAAGTTAAGCGAGACCGCGTTCATACAGGATTACAAATTTTGCCCTAACCATCATAATAATCGATATACAGAGGTGTATTTTATGAAGACATTTAAAACTAAGACTGAAAGGAAAAGATTATATGTATTAATGCAAATTAATAGGATATGTTTACACAAGAGCTTTATATAGGGGAAATGAATAAATCCAACAATAGAAATAAGTAAAGACAAGAAAGAAGAACAAGGTAAAAAAAAAAAATAGAGACAAAAAGATAAGGTCATAGGGTAAATGGATTATAGCAATTAAGCCAGTTAATTTTGGAAATCAAAAAGTAGTAAGTCAATGGAAGAAGAAAAGAAGAATAACAAAAATAATAATAACAATCGAAGTCTTTTAAAGCAATCATCACAGGCATGTTCCTGTTCCGATAATAAGAAAAGAAATTATTGAAGTGAAATATATGTCAATTATCGTATTTTGTTTGGTTTTTTGTTTGGTTTTTTGTTTGGTTTTTTGTTTGATTTTTTGTTTTGTTTGGTTTTTTTATTTTATTTGATTTGATTCGTTTGATTCACATAATTACACAACATTTATTCTTTGGCGCAGAGTCAAGACCATTAGGATCATCAATTGTGGATTGTCTTGTTCTTCTTTTAGTAGGCTTATCTTCCGTTTCGCTAGATTTAGCATTATTACCTTGATCATTTGAAGCATTTTGTTGTTTTTGTAATTCTTTTTGTTGTTTCTTTTCAGCACTAATTTGAGCTTCTTTTCTCATGATTTGTCTAACGACATCAACGAAAGCTTCATCGACATTTGTTTTATACATTGCCGAAGTTTCATAAAAAGGTACTAACCCCCAATCTTGAGATACTTTAATACCATCATCTATACTTAAAACACGGTCATCATCTAAATCACATTTGTTACCAATTAAAACCATAGGGACATTATCTGAATCTTTAATTCTCAAAACTTGTTCTCTCAAGGCCAATAATTCTTTCAAAGAATTTTCATCAGTGACAGAATAAACAAGTAGGAAACCCTTACCAGATTTAATATACAATTCTCTCATTGCAGTAAATTGAGCAACCCCAGCAGTATCCAAGATTTCTAAATCACAAGCTCTACCATCGATCTCAATCTGTTTACGATATGAATCTTCAATAGTTGGATCATAACTTTCAACATATACACCCTGAACGAATTGAACAGTAACCGATGATTTACCTACACCACCGGCACCTAAAACGACGACTTTGTAATCTGACATAGAATGATAGTTAGTAACTGAAGAAAATAGTAAAAAGAAAGGTCAAAACAAGAAAAAGAGTCAAAAGGTCAAAAAAAAAAAAAACCAACCGGAAAATCCATTAGAGGTTTTTCATTGATATTATATTCTTTTCCAATTCATTTTTGATTAAGACCACGGCAAATTACACATACCTCTCATTTTTGATAATAGAAGATGGGATTTGTGTTAAAACGGATAAACTTCGAATACTAGTTAGTGAAGACCTAAAAAAGATTAGTCTCTTTTGTTTTTTTGTTAATAAATCTAGGAAAGATGAGTTCGTTCTAACGAAATAGATCAAAATAAACTTTGGTTAATGATTTCCTAAAAGCAACAAGCGAGAAGGAAAATTGATGGGATCGAGTATATGACTTGAGCCGTAACCTTAAACAATTGTAAATCAATTAGCCAGATTTAACAAAAACAGTAGAGATAAAATTCAAATCAAAATAAACAAAAAACACGTTAAAAATTCAGTTATAAATGCTCAATTTAAACTAAAATCAATTATGTACTTTTAAATGGATACTTTTCTCTTGGGCAGTATTGAGTTTGGAAAAAAAGTAAAGGAAAATAGGGATATTCTTTGAAAATAAAATTATAAAGACAGAGATTAGTAAAAAACCCAGGAGAAAACTAACGAAAAAACATCAAACCCAACCGAGTATGTTTTTTTTTATTGTTCTTTGTTGTCGAGCATTAGATTTTTTTTTTTTTTTTTGTTACTGACTTTCTGTTCAAAGATGTTGTATTATGGCTAATTGAACCCAATTTCCCAGCTTATGCCTACTTGAAAAAGGTATTGGTTGGAGGAAAGTCGGAAAAGATGAAAAGTGCATGGAGCGATTGGTCATTTTTCGTGTTTTGTATACGAATAATTTCGATTTTTTTTTTTTTTTCTACTTCTAACTGATTGATTTGTAGCTTATCTTTTGAAGCACAGACCATGCAATGGTTAATTCTTATACGGCCGTGAAGGATTTACAACCAAGGATAATACGAGAGAATGGTCACTAAGGGGAGCTTAGTGAAAGGTATATAAGATGTCAAAAAGGTCTCTTTCTGGAACAAAAATGAAGTAATTGTCTTGACAGAAGTAAGTTAAAGCCTCATAGCAGTCTTTGTTAAGCTAAACTTCGTCTAAATTACTCTCTTTCCTTTAGTTTCTTTTCTTTTCTTTTTTCTTTTTTGTTTCTTTTAGCAAATTCAGGAACCAACGACTTGTCGGCTAGGGTTACTTGAAACTACAGTAAGCTACAATTTATGAGAAGGCAAATTTAGTGAATAGATAAATGATTAAAGGAAAAAAAAAACACAAAGTAAACCGAGATTATAAAGGTAAGATATGTGGAACCGGACCCAAAGCGGTGATTTGGTTTGGATTGATTTTGATGTGAGATTTAGTATAGTGTTTCTTGATATGTTCGAAATCAGTGGTTTCGTTGAAACCAGGGATTTTCCAGTATAATAAACGCACCCAATTGTGAATGTAAGGATAATCGTGTCTAATCATCTTAATGTTACATTTGAAATGTTGATGGTAAACCGGATCAAATCTAATGATGGTGGTGAATAATCTAATGTCAGCTTCAGTTAATTGATTCCCCAATAAGAAATTATGTTGATTTGAAGATTTATGATTTGCAGCAAGTAATTCTTCAACTTTATCTAAATGCTTAAAGACATTTTGAACCTCTTCTTCGTAGATTTCTTGTTTGGTAGAAAACCCACTTTTATAAACCCCATTATTAATATTATCATAAATCCAAGAATTGATTTCATCAATTGATGCTTGTAAGTCAGCCGGATATAAATCAATTTCAGCAAAGTCACTTGAAATGAGGTCATTGAATTCGGTATTCAACATCCTAATAATTTCACTCGATTCGTTACTTACAATAGTTTCGAGTTTTTTATCCCATAATACCGGCACGGTAAATCTACCAGAGTATTCCGGATCAGCTTTGAAATACAATTCACGAATTCTCAGAAAATTATACAAGTGATCTGCAGTACCATTGGATACATCACTTGAATTGGTTTTGGCCTTTTGTTCTTCTTCATTAATAAATCTCCATCCTTTATCATCCATATGCCAATGAACAATCGATAACCCAATTATCGAGGTTAATCCTTTCAATGCTCTGGTAATTAAAGTACGATGTGCCCATGGACATGCCAAGGAAACGTACAAGTGATAGCGGCCTGCTTCTGGCTTAAATTTGGCATTAGCTTCACGACTAACAAAGTCTCTGAATGAAGAAACTTGTCTCTTGAATGCACCAGATTTGTCAGCAAAAGTTAAAATATTGTTTTGAACAGATTCCTACATTGTTAGTATCACTCAATCAGTCTTTTTCAATCATTTACTTACTTTAGACATGGTCAATCGATCAATCTATTGAAAAGAGCTTCTAGTCCCTTTTTTTTTCGGGATGTGGAGGAATTTCACTTTCCGCGAGATGAAAACTCCATCTTTTTTTTTTTGTTTGGCTAATGTTACATTACTAAATTGCTATGTTAGCCCGACCTATCCTTAAGAGCGAGTCATGTGATTTGTCAGATACTAACTGAATCACAATACTCTACATATACCTGTGTTATCGTTTTCAAACGAAGTAGCAAGCTAAGCACTGGTTTATTTAACGATAATTGACTTTTTTTATGGCCGTTTTTTGGTGCACGGGCCCCCACAATTGAGATTATGTAAGCGATTGCTTTTAAAGTCAAGTAAAAAAATTTCGCTGAGCTTTTTTGGTTCTTCGAAGAACAAAAAATTGCAAAGATTTTTCATTCAAAGTCTTTCACTGCTCCGAGATCAGTTAGAAACCACCGTCGATATAATGCATAGAGTCTTTTATAACACCTTATCCAGATCAGCCAGTCCAGCCCGTTCTGCGTTTAGATTGGCCAGAGCCAGTCCGGTCGCACCAATGTCTGCCGCCACCAGATGCAGAATGAATGGGATTCGTTACAACTCTACCCAAGCCAAAGAAGAAAAGAAGGAAGAGGCCAAGGAAGAAACCAATCCAGAACAAGGCAAAGAACAACCAGCCGAAGAACAAGAAGTCAATGTCGAAGAGTTGGTTAAAAAATTGGCCCAAAAGGATAAAGATTTGGCCGATATGAAGAATCACTACGCTAGAGCAGTTGCTGATTTCCGTAACTTACAAGAATCAACCAAAAAAGAAGTTCAAAAGTCGAAGGATTTTGCTTTGCAAAAATTCGCTAAGGACTTATTGGAATCAGTTGATAACTTTGGCTTGGCTTTAAATGCTGTTAAAGAAGAAACCTTATCTAGCAACGAAGAAGTTAAAAATTTGTATGATGGGGTCAGCATGACTAGAAACGTTTTTGAAAAAACCTTAGCCAAACACGGTATTGAAAAAATCGACCCAATGGGTGAAACTTTTGATCCAAATCAACACGAAGCCACTTTTGAAATTCCTCAACCCGATAAAGAACCTGGTACTGTTTTCCACGTCCAACAACCAGGTTACACTTTGAACTCAAGAGTCTTGAGACCGGCCAAGGTTGGTCTTGTCAAAGATACCGAAAACAACTAGGTCTTTTGATGTCATTAATCTGTAAATACTAATTTTCCCTCCAATTTTTTTTTGCAATCATGATTTTTTTCTGCCCACATACATGCATGTTAATGATTTTTTCTTTTATCGTCTCTTTTGTTTCACGCTTCTTTCTTGTATATATAATTAGGTCGTTCCGATCTTGGTCCTTTATCTTTTGTCACTGTAATCCTTGTAATAACCCGTTGGATCATATCTTGATCTGCTGCCATTTTTCGGTCAGGTTTGCCGCACTAAAGTGACTCACTTGAAGGGTTTTCTGCCTAATCTCATGAAAAAAAAATTAGTACGGGGCCGATCGTCGTGGTGTCTCCAGATTTTATCGATAAACTGAAAAATTTAAACTGAAAAATTCAATTCTTTTTTGATTTCCCAATTGACTTATTCTTTTTCTTTTATTTTCTGTATTGCTTTATAAAATGTTATCTAGAACCGCAATTCGTCGTACTTTCTCAACTTCATCTCATTCTTTGAAGAATTTGAAAATTGGGTTGATTCCAGGTGATGGTATTGGTCGTGAAGTTATTCCTGCTGGTAAAGCAGTTTTGGAAAATTTACCTTCAAAATTTGATTTGAAATTTGATTTTGTCAATTTAGATGCTGGGTTCGAATTGTTCCAAAAAACTGGTACTGCTTTACCGGATGAAACTGTTAGAGTCTTGCAGAACGAATGTCAAGGTGCTTTATTCGGTGCTGTTTCATCCCCTTCAACTAAAGTTGCCGGTTATTCTTCCCCAATCGTTGCTTTGAGAAAGAAAATGGGGTTATATGCTAATGTTAGACCAGTTAAATCTGTTGCTGGTTATGATAGATCAGTCGATATGGTTATTGTTCGTGAAAATACGGAAGATTTATATATTAAAGAAGAAAAGACTTATACCAAAGAAGATGGTACTAGAGTTGCCGAAGCCATCAAAAGAATTACCGAAACTGCCACCACTAGAATTGCCAAAATGGCTTACGACATTGCTTTACAAAGACAAACTATTAGAGAAGCTAACCCAAATTTAAAATCTTTGCACGAAAAACCTTCTGTTACCGTTACTCATAAATCGAATGTCTTATCTGCTTCTGACGGGTTATTCCGTGAAGTTTGTCGTAGGGTTTATGATTCTAATCATGAACTTTACGGTTCTGTCCAACACAAGGAACAAATTGTGGACTCAATGGTTTATCGTATGTTTAGAGAACCAGAAATTTTTGATGTCGTGGTTGCTCCTAACTTATATGGGGATATTTTAAGTGATGGTGCCGCTGCTTTAGTTGGTTCTTTAGGGGTCGTTCCTTCTGCTAACGTTGGTGATGACTTCGCAATTGGTGAACCATGTCATGGTTCTGCTCCTGATATTGAAGGTAAAGGTATCTCTAATCCAATTGCTACCATTAGATCAACTGCTTTAATGTTAGAATTCATGGGCCACCCTGAAGCCGCCGCTCAAATCTATGAAGCTGTTGATGCTAATTTGATTGAAAACCAAGTTAAAACCCCAGATTTAGGTGGTAACTCTACCACTCAACAAGTTATTGATGATATCATCAAACGTTTCTAAGTTTTAAGTCATATAATAAATGTCAAATAACTTGTATATACAAGAATGTCTATAAAGTAATAAAAGAATCTATAAATATAATTTTTTAGATGATTTAATCGAACCCGGACCACTCTTCGGCTGCTTCTTCACTTGCTTCTTCATCTGTTTCTTTGCTTTTGTTCCCTTTTTTAACAAAACAAGCTGCAAAAAAACCAATACCACCATCTTCTTTTGGTACTGCTCTAACACACCCGCCAGCCAATTCGGTACATTTATTCTTGTCTCCTTCACAAATAGCAGTGAATTCTTCTTCCCAGCCTCTTCTTTCCCAGGACGGTATCACTATTTCTCTGGAGGCTAAGGTCCAACCTTGAGCTTTAATTTGAGCATCCATTAATAAATCAACAACCACCCTTTCATTTTCATGTGGGTGGATAGAACATGTGGAATATACAACTTTTCTAGCTTTTGGAAATGATAAAGCATGTTTCATAATGGTGAATTGAAATGAAGCCAACTTATTCAATCTTTCATTGTCGATCCGTTCTTCAGATCCATCATGTTCTTCTTGGCTGTCTTCGATTGCACGCCCAAATATACCGGACCCACTACATGAAGGATCAACCACAAGCCCAGTTACATCAGGGAAATCTGTCGGCTTTGTTGTCGTAAAGTCAGCGTGAGTGACTTGAATTAGGTTCTGTTTAGATTTTCCAGTTGCCTTTTCACACATCATACTTAAAATTTTCAGTCGTCTTTGATCTCTTTCAAATGCGTAAACAACCCCATTCGGATCGTCTGATGGAATGAAACTTGCAGAATGAGTGGTTTTATTTCCAGGGGCTGCACAAGCATCAATAATCTCATGATGGATATCTTTGGGATCGTTATTCAAAATCACGGCTGGAAAACAGGAAGCACGATCTTGAATTATTACTTCACCGTCTAGGTATGCTTTGGTTGAAGTGATTTTTTCCCTAGGATGAATACCAAATAGGTTTGGAATGTATTGGTCATTATATACTAAACCTGTCTGGGTTAATTCCTCTAAAGAGCCAACCGGCTGCAAATTCGTGAAAACTGAATGTTTTTCGTGAAATTCATGCGGGCTTATTTTAATGGTGTTGATACGACACCAACGAACTGGTGTCTCGTCTTCATCGACACCCCCTTTCGTAGGTAACCCTTCAGCACTCTTAACCTTATGCTTTAATTTCAACTTAGTGAATTCAGCTTGTAATCTAGTCTTGTGTTGAAGAAATGCATCTTTGATCGGATGCTTCCCCAGTTGAATTCTTCCTTTAGAAGAAAACAATAGGTCATGCACCAACAACATGAGTAGGTTATCTGTTATCTTGAGCCTCTTGGTTTGCAAGCCTGTCTTTATTTTGGACTTTTTGATTATTTCCATTATATAAGTCTTATATTTCAACGTTTGGTAAACCACGGCATATATGTGTTTAAGGGAGCTGGTTAGCTTGGGGCTATTGAATATTCTGGTCTTCAAACTTCCATTCTTGTCCTTTGGAAGTGTCAAGAACTTCTCTGCTTCGAAGTAAAACTTCATTCTTCTCTGTCTTCTTAATATTAGATACGAATGCTATTTTTCTTTTTTTTTTTTTTAGTCTTCGCAATTACCTAATGAATAAAATGAGCAAAAACAAAAAAAAAGTAGTAAGAAATCACAGATTTAGTGCGAGACTGTTGTTCAAAACAGAATTTCGAAACTAAAATTCGAGTAAAGACTACCCCAATAATAGTCCGTGCTTCTTGATCGATACCAGCTCGTGAATAGATCATTCTCCTGCTAAAAGTCATATAATATACTGGAAAGTCTACTTATTTGTAGTGACTTTTTGCTAGAAAATCTTCCAAGATAACCAACCATGCCGGCGCCTCCCCCAAATGCTTACTCTCCAGGAACTCGATTAACGGTTGGCTCTCATAAGATTTCAATCATAAAGTACATTTCAGCAGGTGGGTTTGCTCATGTCTACACATGTAACATAGACCCACCTTTCAATGGGTCTACCACTGCTTGTCTAAAAAGGGTTGTTGTACCAAACAAATGGCAATTAAATTTATTAAGACAAGAAGTTGATGCCATGAAGCGATTGAGAGGAAACACTCATATAGTTTCATATATTGATTCCCATGCTTCTCGTCTCAATAATCCACTTGAAAATTCAGGTAATGTTCAACAACAGCAATATGAAGTGTTTCTTCTAATGGAATATTGTTCTAGAAATGGATTAATTGATTTTATGAATACAAGATTGACCCATAAGCTAACCGAACCAGAAATCCTCACAATAATGCATGATGTAACTATAGGTGTGGCAATGTGTCATCATCTTCAACCACCATTGATCCACCGTGATATCAAGATTGAAAACGTCTTGATCGATGATAAAGGTACCTTTAAATTATGTGATTTTGGTTCCGCCGTTGGTTACTTACCAGTTTCTAAAAATCCCCATGAAGCTCGCCAATTATATGATGACTTAATGCAGCATACGACTCCCCAGTACAGATCACCAGAAATGATTGACTTGTCAAAAGGATTTCCTATTGATGATAAACTGGATATTTGGGCTCTTGGTTGTTTCCTCTACAAGCTATGCTATTACACTACCCCATTTGAACTGACCAGTCATTCCTCTCTTCAAGATATGGAAGCCCTGATTCTTAACTGTGATGTCACTTTGAAGATCCCCCACAATCAACCCGGTCTGAACTTCTCCCCTCGGCTTAAAAACATTATCAAATGCTGCTTGAGGCCAGATCCCAGAAGGAGACCCAACGCAGTACAATTGTTGGAGGAAGTTTGCTCAATGAGAGGTGATTCAAAAATACCCAATATTATCCCTCACACTGTTCAAAACCATCACAATTCTCTTTCTTCGAAAGCGGTATCTGATGATGATTCGCCCGTATTACCAACAAGACCAAAACAAACAACATCTAATAGAAGTGAAACTTTGGTCAATATGAAAACATCTAAACCAACTGATCCATTTGCGTCAATCGACAAAAGTAAGTTTTTACAATCTGCCGTTTCCACCAGTAATAAACCAGACAAAAGGTCGGGTAATAGAATTAATACCTCTTACATCCCTAGCTATGCTACAACAGCCCTGACAGCGAGACCCCTTAGTACTGTTGCCCAAACTTCGTCCTCTAGTAATCTAAAAAGTTTCATTCAACGTCAACTCAATGAAAGTAGTGAGGACATTTCTAGTAATAGAAAGTCGGATGAGAATGATAGAGGTACTTTAGAATTCCTTAGGTCCAAGGAGGAAGAAATCAATAAACTGCATCTTGGTCTGAGACAAAATACCGGTGGCAGCATAAAACTGACTTTCAAACATGGTCTCAGAAAAATAAGTACCGGAGGAAGTAGCGTTTCTTCCTCTGCCCAAAATACTGGTAATAATAACATCAATACAGGCCCAAGCAAGAGAAGCAGTATTGGTTCTATTAAACAGCTATTAACTGGTAATGGTAACAGAAGATCCACTAGCCCTGATTCTAGTGATAGCTCAGCAAGCCAAAGTGATAGCCTTAAAGTTTCGCAGGACGAAAAACCAGTTCGCAAATTATCAATTCAAAGAAGAATGGCATTGCTTATGAATAATAAAGACACTCCTACGTACAAAAGTGCAACCGGTTATGGCAGATTTACAGAAAAAGATTTTGTTGATCAAGATGACATTGCGGCTATCAATCATCAATCTTCTCGCTCCTCTAGTCCAGACCCACCAAAAAACGGTTTACCCAAGAATAAAGAACAATCAACTTTAAAACCACCAACTCCAAGACCGGTCTCATTGTCACCACCAAAGGTTCCTAAGAGCTTATCCGCCAAAAAAGCATCTCCAACCATTTCACAAAGTTCCACATTTTCGGACAAATCTCATAGTATCCAAGAAAGTGCCTCTCCACAATCCCTTATGTCAACTCAGTCAAAACTGTCAGCATCCAAGACTCGTCCTATAGGTAAGAAGCCTCCTCCTAAACCAAAGAAGCCTGTGTTTTTAAAGTCCCCCGGTAATTCTCTAGGACACGAAAGAAGATTGAGTGATACCAGTGAAATATCATTACCGGATTTAGATGATATGGAGAAACAGTTTTCAAAGAGGTTCCCTAGCTACGTATAGAATCTTTTCGACTTTATTGGTTTATAAACAACTTCTGCATTAGGATGCACAAAACCTTCTCTTCATGTAACTATACCTTTTTTATCTTTCTGACAATCTTAATCGACCACGAGATCACTTTTAGAGTAAGTATTTACATAAATTAATAAATCGTTCAAAAAATTAACTTGTTAAGATACATAATGAAAAAAAAAAGTTTAATGTAAAAAAAAAAAAGAAAAAAAAATTTTACGTTAAAAGATATTTCAGAGATAATTTAATTACTTGCATCACTACTGCTGAAATCTTCAATTGAATCTAGAATAAAATCAACACCCTCATCAAAGCGTTCACTCACCACATCCCACAAACCATCGACAGAAGCCTTTAACACCCTACCAAATTTCCTTCTTGGTTTCTTTGCAGCATCATCATTTGATTCGCTCAGACCATTAGCATATCTTGAACTACCAGATGCATTTCCTGCCCAACATGGATTTAAACAACTCGTAAATACAACAGAATTTCTGTAATACCAATCAACCATCGATTCATCCATTACAGGAACCAATGCTTTCAAAGTAGATCTGTTAACGAAGGCAACAGTACCTTTAACCAAGTCTTTAATTTCTTGTGATGGTCTCTTTGCATATAAATGAACAATCGATTGATAAGAATCACCATATCCAATGAATACCAATTTATTCAATTGAGAAAAATATGAGATATAGTTGTCCCAAATGTATAATAAAAGTTCTTGAGAAAAAATTATAGGATTATAATTAGAATTAGATGAGGAATCATTTCCAGAAGAACCTTGCTTACCATTCGAATCTTGATTAGAATTAAACGATGGGAAGGCTAATGCAAAGGAGGGTATGTTGATATCGATGTATCCAATTTTACCACTAGGTGGATCGGAGGAATTTGCAGTTTCTTGATTTATTTTTTCAATGACTTGGGTAAATGGATGTTCAAGTACAACTGATGAACTACCTTCAATATTACCATTTATTGGGTTAACGTTAGCCCAAACTTCTGGTGGGTCGTGAATTGATAGTATGATGGTGTTGCAATCGTAAATATCTGGACTGGCAACGACCAACTCATCAAGATGAGGAGGTAAATCAATGCTAAAAGTAGCGTGTTTATCATCTGAGGAATCCAAAATAGGTAAGCTTATGAAAGAGTATTTATTGAACAATTCATTTACTTGATTGCCTCTAATTGGGTCTGCTATGTTTGATAACTTGAAAGCGGGTGTATTTGAGTTTGTAGGTAAGTCATAAGCATCATCAAAAGTATTTGAAGGATTACCTGGTTTCATAGATTTCCAATATTTAGCTTGAAATTTGATCACTTCATCAATTACTTCCAAAGTTTCTAATTGAGGTTGGGAAGAGATTGTTTTTTCTGGAGGTTCGCCAACTAATACTTTAGCAACACCTAATGCACTTTTACTAATTGAGTCTAAATTATAACCACCTTCTAAGATTACTGATAATTTACCCTTAGCAATAGCTTTTAACATGTGAGTCATATGTCCATATCCAGCAGGAGTGACATGACAACCACCAATGATATCACCATCAGCAGCATCAAACCCAGAACTAACAATGATTAAATCAGGATCAAATTCACAAATGATGGGAATGACAACTTTACGGAAAGCATATATGTAATCACTATCAGTCATACCAGAATTTCTCCACGGTATATTCACAGAAAACCCTTCACCAGGACCTTCACCAGAATTAGTATGACAGCCATATTTTGTTCCAGGATAAAATTTACCATTCTCATAACGATGTAAAGAGATATAAAGTACTCTTGGATCATTATAGAAAGATTTTTGAGTACCATTACCATGGTGAATGTCCCAATCAACTATAACAATTTTTCTAACTGATTCTGGATAAGATTTAAGACAATTTTTAGCAGCAACTGCAACATTACTGAATAAACAAAACCCACCGGGAGTATCTGGTTCAGCATGATGACCCGGAGGTCTAACAATAGCCATTGAATTCTTAACTTTACCTTCAATAACAGCTTTACAAGCTTCAATAGTACCTCCACAAGATAATTTTGCCAGGAGTAAAGAATCGTTATTAACATAGATCGAGTCACCTTTTTCAGTTTCTTCTAGTAACTGTTCACGGGACATTGATTCAGTTGATTCTATATAATTTAAATGATCTTCTGAGTGAACTTCTAAAATTTCTTCGGAAGTTGCTTCTCTAATTGGTATTTTAACCATTAAAGGACCAATATCTTCCGCTCCTGATAATGAAGTATCTTGGATGAGACCGGCTTCGGCTAGTCTCTTGTATATACGATAAATTCGGCGAGGATCTTCTGGATGAGGATCAATGTATTCAAAGTAGGAAGTGAAAATTTTGGCGTGATATCTCATACGAACATCATAAACCAATCCAGTCTTCAATGGAGAATAGAATAACTGGGGTTTGGTAGGAGGAACAACGATGATATTGTGTTTCTTATGTATAATTGAATTTTCACTCTTTAACTGATTATCTTCAACTTTTTGCCTTTTCACAGAAGGACCATCATGTTGGCCATTAGATTCTTCATTTCCACCTATGGTTTCAGCTTCTAGCTTAATTTCTTCTTCCAAACCACTGCTGTCTTTACTCTCTCCATTCACCTTCGAATCCACCTCCATATCCTGTGTCTGTGCTGGATTCTCTGGAGTATCGGATCTGGAAGGTTTTTCAGTGTTATTGTTTTTCTCAATTTCTGCATTATCGGACAGAACATCTTTCACGTCTCCGTTTGAGGACATTTCCACTGCATCTGTCACTTCTACCTTCACTTGGGGGTCCTTAGCTCTCTCCAACAGCGGAGACCTAGACCCTTCAGACATAATTAATTGGCCGTAGTTGTTGAAAAAAACAAAATACAAAGAAAAAAAAAAAAATATATATAGTAAGAAAAAGAAAAAAAGAATGGCTAATTCCAAAAGTAAATACAATGTCACACCGAAACCTGGAAAAAGTCGAACAAGCAGGAAGTACTCTGGGAAAACGAGCGAAACAGAAAATGGCTTCAGTAATTGAAAAAAAAAAAATCACTAAACAAGGGAACAGAAACTGAAAAAAAAAAAAGTCACTAAACAAACGGAAAAAAAGAAAAAAAGAGAGACAAAAGGCACTTTCTTTTAGATTGAAGTCAAGATTAGCAGCAGGTCAAGGTGGGTTTGCATGTCAACCCGGCAAAAAATTGATGCAATAAACAGCTTGTGCTGAGAGCCAGTCGAGCCAGAAAAATGCAAAAGAAGCTCTAAACAGACGTAAGTACAACTCAAGGAGAAACTGTCTTCCAGTGCTTTTGGTTTTTCCTCGCTGATTGCATATCACACTTACTATTAATGGTAATTGACGATAATAGTTCTGGATGCATGCTTATGTAACTTATTATTCCAAATGGGGAAACATCTGCACCTACTAATGGAGAAGCGAAAGCGGAAGCGTTTTTCAACTACGTTCTCTTTAACTTGACCATGTCTTTACTAGTGCCCAACCAACGGGACCATGTTGATGCCCATGCTGACTTGGATCAGGATGAGCTTTACCGTGGTTTGGTAGAGAAGATCCGGTTGGAGTCCCCGCAGGAGTTGTCTTGGAGGTTTAGTGCAGTACCGGGATTCTTTGTTCAGTCTGATCCAGACACTGATGATATGAATTTCAATTACGCATTACAAGATTTTGGATTGAAGAAGCCTTGGGAGCAGCTAATTGAGGAGGTGGACCATCTCAATGAGACGAGTGCTGGAAATGAATGCTACAAGGTGATTTTTTTGGCTCGTCATGGTCAGGGATTCCACAATATTGCCAGCCAGAAATTCTCCAAGGAAGATTGGATGGCCAAATGGAGATTCTTGGGGACTGATGGCGAGATCACTTGGGGCCCCGATTCCGACTTGACCGAGTTGGGGGTTCAGCAGGCAGTTCAGAATAACGAATTCTGGTTAGATCAGTTATCTAAAGGCGCTCCCATTCCCTCGAAGTTTTTCGTGTCTCCTTTGAGACGTTCAGCTAGCACTTTGGTTCATACTTGGAAATCAATAGATATTCCAAAACCAGTGGTATGTGAAGGTGTGAGAGAAACCATAGGTCTTCATCTTTGTCACAAGAGATCTACAAAATCAACCATCAAGCAGTTATTCCCCAACTTCGACTTTGAGCCTGGGTTTACCGAAGACGATCAACTCGAACGAGTTTATTCATCGGAAAAGGAACAGCTCCATGAACAGTTTCTTCGTATTAACTATTTTTTACAAAAGCTTTTCGAATCGGACTGGGATGGAGAAAAAGTTGATAAGTCTGCTGACTCAACCTTCGTTAACGTGACTTCTCACGCTGGTACCATGAGAGCATTTATCACAGTAGTCGATCATAGAAAGTTCACCATTCCTACCGGTGGCCAAATACCCATCGTGGTGAAGGGAGTCAGAAAAGTATAAGTCATGTATATATTTAAAAATAAAACAGTCTATAAAGTGGTTCAAATCAGTAAAACTAATAGGGCTTGAATCTAACATCCTTCTTTTTCTTGTCTTTCTTATCCTTTTTATCCTTCTTATCCTTCTTATCCTTCTTATCCTTCTTATCCTTCTTTTCTTTCCGTTCTTTCTTTCCTTTATCTCTTTGTTCTCTTCTCTCTTTCTTCTCTTGTTTTTCTTTCTTCTTCTGTTTCTTTTCATCTTCATCAGCAGAAATTTCCATCGAGCTGGATTGAACATTGGTTCTGGTCGATGGATCAAATGGCATTTCCCATGCTCTAACACTACCATCTTCACCGCAGGTCAATGCTTTCTTCGTACCGGGAATAACTAAAACATCCCTCACAACCTCTTCTCCATGAGCCCCAGGAAACCATACTGGTTTTGCTAACTCAATTTCTTCCTTGATAGCATCAAAACTGTATAATGAAAGTTTTTGCAGAGAATTAGCTCCATACGAAACAAATCCTGCTGGATTAATATCTACTACATATTCACAATCGGGCCATTGAGATCTAACATCTCCAAATTCGTGTGGTGCGGGCTCTTCAACTTGTTCGTAATTGGTGCTATTCAATTCGTAAATTGAAAATGTTTCCATATGGGATAATGCAGCAATTCTATTTTCACGAAGGAAATGACACGAGTGAATCGATGCAAAGTTGATGACTTGATGAAGGGCTTCTTCTTCATCCGGCTCATTCAAATCGTAAATATTAACGTAGCCATCTGTTGATCCAGACATTAAGTATCTCGGATTGCTAGGATGAAATTTGATATCAGTTATATCATCATGATGTGAATCAATAAACGATCTCACCACTTCTTCAGGCTTGTTCAAATCCCATATATGTAACTCTGCATCAACTCCACCCAATTCGGTACCTGCTGCCAATAAGTTAACTTCCTCTGAATAATCAAGAGATATGAAGTTGGATTTCTTTGCATTATTAAATGTATAGACTGGGGTTTTGCTATCTGAGCGTAAATCCCACACCTTAATACCGTCAGTCGAAGCAGACGCTAACATATGACTGCCCACTTTCTTTATGACATTAATACTAGATTCGTGGGCGTTTGGTATTGCAATTATTGCCAGAGATTGTAATTGTTGCAAACTGTAGACATTCAACCCACCTCGACTATCAGATGCAGCAAAACATCCACCGTGCAATTCAGGGAAGAACGCAAGATTCAAGATCCATGTATCTGGAGTACTGGAAGACCATGTGTGTTGCAAGATTGCTCTCATACTTACTTTGAACCAACCCGTTAGGGCTTCATTAAGAATTTAGCACTTCATCGTTTTTTTTTTTAAAAAAAAAACTTCGAATTTTGCGGATGGAGAACATCAAACAAAAAAAAAAAAATTAAAGAAAAAACGAAAAGTATAAACAAGATAAGGATAATACAAAAACTTTCTCCTAAAATCAATAACTCCGTTTGTCGTTAACCACTCACGAAAGTCAGAGTAACTATACTTCAGGATGAGTAGTATTGTTAAAAAAACTTCACATTTCACCCCTAAACTAAAAAAGAACCCTATCAAAAAAAAGAAGCTTGCCTCCTCTTCAAAAGCTTCTCCATCTACACCCCCTGCTACCCAGACCACCCAACCAGAAAAGCCAGTTTCAGCTGAATCACAAGTCGGTGCCTCACAAGAAGAACAGGTTCCAATTGAAAATGAAATTTCTGCTCCACAATCCCCTCCTCAAACTCAAATCGAGACTTCCCAAGCTAATTTGAGAGACTCGTCTATAGCAAGTGCCGATATACAAGCTCCAAGCGAAGCTGAGTCAACTAAGGAAGCTGTTGGAAAGCCTAGTTTCAATTTTACTTTAAATGAAGTTCAAACTAAGGATGGTGACACACAAGTACCTAACAAGGCATCTGTAAGCGCTTCAGAAGCGGATGAAGATGTTGATCCTAAAGATATGTCCCGTGGGAGAACAACTACTGAAGTCGCAGCTGAAAGTAAACCGGATCATGAAGTTTTCAAAAAACCAGATGATCGTAATCCTTCAGTTTCCTCGACAAGAAGACGCTCTTCGGTACGTCCGCCTCATAGATTAAGTGGTATATCTCAAAGTTTGATGAGACCACGGTCTGATTCTTCCTCAATAGCTCATGGTGGTCAGGAAGATTCCGAACCTATTAAGATAGGTATACCAATGACAAGACCAAAAAGAAGAAGATCATCATTGGCATCTTTTAGCAATAAGAAAAGACCTTCATTCATAGGTACCCCAGTTCCAGCGGTTATTGAAGTTCCAAGAAATCAGAGTGAAACAACAGAGATAGAAGCTACACCTGCACCAACCAACGAAGATATTTATGCAAATGACGATAAGGATTTAAAGGATGATCCTATTGGCCCAATTAACGAAAATCATGAATTCGTCGTAGGTGTTGATCCTAGAACCAAAAAATTGAGAAAGTTTAGAAGACGAACTCAAGAGAATAGACACGAAGATGCCAGAATAGAACGAGCTATGAATCCTGACTATATACCCGTTGCCCCAATTGATTTAGAACGAAGAATAACTAGTGCCAAACAAATACCTCGTCTTGAATCTCTTAAAGTAGAACCTCATCTTTATTCAGATATCAAAATTTCAACTGAAAAAGTATCCATGGCTGAACTATGTAAGCCAACATTTCCAATCGGGGAAATAAGCTCTGAATTTGAAAAAGCACAATCAGCGCAAGCAATAATCAAAGCAAGAAGGGATCAACGTCGATTGGCAAGAGAATATGCTAGGACTAATCGTATATCATTGGAAGAAGCTTTGAGATTGAATCTTAATGAAAATGATCAAGAACAACTTGATAAACAAGAAGAAAACAAAAAAGCATTGAGTAAATTTATAAATGAACAAGATGTCGAACCAACACAAACCAATAGAATTCAACTTAATATTTTAGATGGTAAAATTAACTTTAATGAAGAGTCTACTATTGTCAATAAGCATGCTAACATGCCAACAAGAAATCACGAAATCTATGAAGAAAATCCATTTGAAAATCCAATAACTGCAGCAACTTATTCCAAGTGGCGTTTTACCGATATCTGGACCCCAGATGAGATGGTTGCCTTTTATAATGCATTAAGTACTTGGGGAACAGATTTTACATTTATTGCTCAGTTATTTCCTTACAGAACAAGAAAACAAATTAAGGCGAAATTCATCAATGAGGAAAAGAAGTACCCTGAATTAGTAGAGTTGGCATTAAAGAGAAAATTACCTGTTGATTTTGAAGCTTACTGTCGTGAAACTAATAAAAAATTCGATACTTTAGAAACTTATGAAGAAAAATTGAAGGAAATTAGAGAAGAACATGAAAAACATATGGAAGAAATCAATCGTGAAAAGGAAAATGCTATGAAAGCAGATTTAGAAGCAAGTAGAAGAAGAGAAATCGAGATCAGAACCGGTGCTAAGCCAATGACTAGAAAGGAAAGAATTGTGCAATTACGTGCCAATGAAACAGTCGTTGGTTCTATTGATGATGTAAAGAAGAAGAAAGAGGTTGAAACTGAAGAATAGATCATCTGTGTATTATGTAACGATTTTTAATGATTAATCACTTATATAACCGTATGTGTAGTTTATGGGATGTTCGCAAAATAGGTCGCAAAATATCGCGTATACCTTGAACTGACTGTTTTTTTTTTTTTTTTCATTAACAAGCTAAAATATATCGTAGGATCAACCAATTCCAAGCAAGACCATTGACATATCGATTCAAATACTCTCAAAAACGCCTTTCAATCCAGTGCGGGCACACTTTCAACATATTTCAGTTTCTTCGATTCCAAAGATATCGCACAATCATGTCATCGCCCAAAGATTACATTCTTGAGACGTATCCAGATTTAAAAGAGTTACTGAATCGTAATAATCTAGTGAAATTCACCGTGAGACCCAAGCCAGGAATCTTTATTAAGTATGTTAAGCTTCCATTGTTGATAATACTATCAACGATACTGATAACTTATTTGACATACTTGTTCAAATTTGGAGGGTATTGCAGTATTCTAGCTTCACAATTAAATCATAAGGTGATAGGTTCATTCACCAAGAATGATTTCAGTCATGAAGTAGCAAGTACGCTACTGATTAGTTTTTTCAGTATTCCGATTTCCATTGATCTATTTATGAACCCTGAAGAGCGATATGTGGATAAGATGTTGAGTTACGTTATTATACCAATAGTGTTATCTTCAATGATTATGATTACATATTGTTGGAATGAAGCCGAGGATTCAATGACAGTTATTAAAGACTTAGGAATTCAACTACATTCATCGCCTAAATGGAGATTTTTCAAGAATCCTAAGAAAAGCAATCAAAATTTCATACCATCTTCGGATATAATGGATATTGTAATACATGATATTTTCCACGGATATGGACAGACAATATTCTGCTTATATATATTAATGAAGAGCGGAGATCAAAAGGCTAGTTATATTGGCGGTATTCAGCGAGAGACGAATCTGAATCCAATCAAGGTGATTTTCCCTCAATTGATGCCCAGAAAGAAGATATTATTAGAAGTTTATTATAATAGTAGGAAAGTTTTATTTGGAGACCAAATATACTGGAGGAAATCGAACAAAATTACAAAAGGATGAAATGAAGCAAATTAAATAGACTCGTTGGAGTTATATTAAGAGAGAATGAATAAATATATTAAAGAAAGAACACCGGTAAAGATTCAAGAAATAAAAGAGTAGAGAAGATGTTTCATTATCGTAAATTACCACTCTCCCAATTGTTTAAAAACATGAGAGAATTTTTTTCTTTCAGCAATTGATACCACTCCTAAGCAAGCCAAAAGATATCCACTTACACTCAAGGCTAATTTTTGAGTATTGGTTAAGTTAGCAAAAGGAGAGAAATTCAAGCCGGGACCAGAAGTGCTGTAACTTAAATATTGGCGGGACATCAAGCCTCTTACAAGAGGTTTGGACAATATAGATTTGGATAAACTAGTGGATAACATTATTAATAAATTTTTATGATTAATGGATAAAAATATCTTCAAATGACTCAACGGAAATCAAACTGCTTTTATAAAATGCCAAAAATAATAAGCATCCATGCCGAAGGAAAAACCATCGGAAAATCAAGGGAAAAATGTTGCAAGCGATAAGGAGTACAAGGGACAATCGACTCATATCCAACTGGAGACTTCATTGGATAGGGCTGCATTGTCCGTTTTACGTCTTCCGATTCCCGTTCTCTTTGGGACGAACCCTTAGCAGTATGAAACATTGCTTTGGTGCTAAGGAGAGAATCGGAATATGAGATGGTGATGAGCTATCATTACCAGGAAGTATACTTCCGAACCATGGCGTGAGTCAATGTTGCAAAAAAAAGATCCGTCAGGCGACACTCAGGTGATGAGAGGCGGTAGACCCGTACATCACGCGTTTGCTCTTATCAACCGTGGTTTTAACCGTCTTGCTAGCCAACTTGACAATCTTGCTCTTATCAGCTATGGTATTAACTATCTTGTCAACCATCTTGTCACCATTTTGTCAACCATCTTGTCAACCATCTTGTCAACCATCTTGTCAACCATCTTGTCAACCATCTTGTCAACCATCTTGACCATGCCACCATCTTGCCAATTTATCATCTCCGGTCAACTATCTTGTCAACTTTTCAATTCCCCTGTTAATTATCTCACCAGAACGACATGTTCTAACCCTCCAAATACCAAATACTACCAATATACTCTTTCGCTCCACTTTGATTAAACTCAAGACCCGAACGTTACATGGGGAACACCATTAGCGTGTGATATCACGTGCACGGGCACGTGACCGGCGTATCCATGCATGCAGCGCGGAAAGCACTACATATAACCCGGCCAGCGTTTACCAGGTAGGGACAGAAAACTGCCCTTTTCGGCAGCAAGTAAGGCTTCTGGATCAAAGCAGTACAATCCCGAAGAATTACATCACAAGCACAGGAATCCGTCAATAAAGACGAGCGGAGTACCAGTGGAAGAGAAACAGAAACAGAAACAGAAAGAATGTAACACCAAAGAAAACAATACACTTACTCAATCAATCAACTAATCGCGTGAAATCAATGAAAACTTCTTCCCTTCCATCGTCATTTGGGAGGTATTGTTTTAATAAATGCTTCTCGTTTATTTATTTTGTTTTCAACTTTGTAGTTTGTGTATGAAATATATGGCTGAAAACTCCTATTTATTTAAGACATTGACCTATTCATTTGAGACACTATCCAATAAAACGAAGCAAATAGAACTAATCCTAAGCCAATTTTAAATCTCACTGCGTTCTTAGATTCTTGCAATCAAATACGTTTTTTTTTTAGATTGATTTTAGTTCAGAATTTCACCTCATTTTAATTGCAATTATAACTGATTCAAAATACGACTGGCTTACTTTAACCGAGAGCCCGAACCGTTCTAGTTGATTCCATTCACTTTTGGTTAGGGCTGTTTTGTAGAATAAATCATCTCTGTGTACCATTACTCTTCGCTATTGTCAATTGACCTCTACTGGCTTTTGGTTGGTATTTGCCAGTACTTTGTTTGGTAAAACACACTAAACTGACAAAAGACAAAAAAAAACAAAAAAAAAACCCACTGAAAACAAAAAAAAAGTCAAAAAAAAAAAAAAAAAAAAAAAAAACACACACACACACTCACACACTCACACACTAAAAGAAAACATGCATTTGTTAACGACGTTCAGCATCAACTAAGTTTTTTATGTTTTTTTTTTTGTTTTTAGTGGGTTTTCATTTTTTTTTTGTTTTTTTTATCGAAAACTTGTCTTTTTCCTCTAACTCTTTCTTTCCATCTTTTCCTTTGAGTTAGTATTCAAGAAGGTTTTTCCTGGTCTTATGTATCATTAGTTGCTTGGTTGTTGGCAGTCTACAAACCTTCATTCCTGTGTGTGCTTTTTTTTTGAATTTTGGTTGGTTTTTCCCAGTGTGTATATCTAGCCGCCCACTCAGTTTACCGCCCAAGTATCCAACTTATACAAGCTATCCAACTACTTCCAAGATCTGCTGGTCGCTATTCTGGCTGTTCCTTATATCAATCCCTTCCGCTCATTTTACTTTTTTGATTGATATAAGTTGCCCTTTTGTGTGGGATCTTTTGCTTTGGTTTTGATTTTTGGTTTATTTTTTTACCGTTACGTATAACATCCACAAAAAAAGTTCAATCAGCGAGGAAAACGAAACAAAAAAAATACCCATTACAAAAGGAAAAAAAACCCATCCAGAAAGAGAAAACGATTTCCTTCACACTACTTACTCGTTTTCTCCCTCTTTTCTCTTTTTTTAGAACAAATTGATCTGTCTGTCAATAATTCAATATTTTCCAACTACAAAGTCATTCTTTTAAGCCATTTACTTTTGTTTTTTTTTTTTTTCAGTTTTTCTTTTCTTTTTTTTTCTCTTTCATATAATGGTGTCACAGCAGTATCTGAATGCTGGATTATCTGCTAAAGATAATCAGAATACTTCGCCAAATAGAAATTCGAAAAATATTCAAGAAATGTCAACTTCTCCCTTTAATTTTCAATCAGCTTCAAATGATCAATTATCCCCTTCATCTAATTTAAATAGTCCATCTTCAAATTCAAGACCCATCTTACATTCCAGAAGTCCTAGCCACCAAAATCCAACTATACCTGGCTTAAACCAAAATCATCAACATCATTATAATCCAATTAATTCTGCTAATAGTTCTACTAATCCTAACTCTTTAACTAATTGGACCGCTTTAATTCCTCCAATGCCAGCTTATCCTCAAGCTACTTATAAATCAGAACTTTCTCATGATCAATCTATTCAAAGACCTTTATCCGCAAGTTCTTCATCTCGTTCAAATTTCCATTCTTTACATAATTCAAAACCTGATAATAAAATTTCTTCAAGTCCTGATTTGGTTATTCCTTTTAATGGAGTGAAAAAAAATAATCCTTTCAACAACAATAATAATAATAATGGGAATGTTCCTCCTCCTCCAATAGCTCCTCAATTTTTAACTAAACCAAATCAAAGACATTCAATCGCTATATCTCCAATATCTTCTAAAAAAAATTTATTAGAAGATGAAATAATTCAACAACCAATACCTATAAAATCAAGATCAAAATCAAATAGTCCAAATAATTTATATCCGTCAAATTCTTCTCCAAGTTCAAATATAAATAATGATCAAAGAAATTCTGCATTAAAATCAAATTCTCCATCTAAAATAAATAATCACCCATCAAAAAATTTAAATTCAACTCCTTTTGCATTTCAACCCGATAATCTTTCAAATCCAACTTTACATGATCAACTAAGATCGCCTCCTCAACAATCTAAACCTCATTTACTTCATCAACATTCTCAAGCTGCCCAAATACATCGTCCAAACTTAAATGATAATAATAATTCAACAATAAATCAAAATAACATTCCTACTCATAATACTAATAATAATCAATTAATTAATAAAAAAAGTATGCGAAAAAAGAAGAAAGTTTGTAAATGTTGTGGTTTGGAAATTACTGGTCAATTCGTAAGAGCTTTATCAAATGCTTTTCATGTTGATTGTTTCCGTTGTGATGAATGTGGAGAACAATGCTCAGCAAAATTTTTCCCTCATGATAAAATTGATGAATCAACTGGTTTAAAATACCAAGTTGCATTATGTGAATATGATTATTTTAAAAAATTGGATCTTATTTGTTTTAATTGTAATTCAGCTTTAAGAGGTCCTTATATTACAGCTTTAGGTAATAAATATCATTTAGAACATTTCCGTTGTGCAGTTTGTGAAAAAGTATTTGAATCCGATGAAAGTTATTATGAACATGAAGGTAATATTTATTGTCATTTCCATTATTCTAAATTATATGCATCTCATTGTGAAGGTTGTCATTCTTCCATTGTAAAACAATTTGTTGAATTATTTAGAGGTGGTAGAAATCAACAATGGCATCCAGAATGTTATATGGTTCATAAATTTTGGAATGTCTGTATCACTGCTGATTCTGTTGGTTTAGAAACTCAATTTAATGTTAAAAGCATTGAAAATTTAAATTTACAAGATTCAAATATTGAACCAAATGTTTTAATTGCAATGGAAGAACAAATTGAAAATACTGTTATGAGTTGTTGGTTAACCTTATCCGGTTATGAAGAAAATACTGCTGCTTGTATTTCTGATATGTTATTAAATGCTTGTACTGGTAATCAAGCTAGTGGTTTATTTGCCACTGGTAAATTAATTTTAAATGTTGAAGTACTATTTCAAGCTATTGATACTGTTCAAGATTTTTGTAATATTGTTGATAGAGACATGGGTTTTAATAAAGAAAATTCTGATGGTAGAAATAATTCAAATTCTTCAAATGATAATGATATTTTCCAACCTTTAAGAAAAGAACCAAGAAATATATCTGGGAAAATTATGAGTTATTTAGCTATTTTAAGAAAATCAGGTCAAATATCTTCTTCGGGTAGTCTTTCAGCTGAATTATTATCAGTTATTACTGGTTGTGCTCATTATTTAAAATTATTAATCAGAATTGGTCTCAATAATGCTTTAAAAGTTAATAAAATTAGGGGAACGACTGAAGCAACTGATAATTTTTTAATTGCAACTAAAAATTATGAAGAATTAGGATCAGACCCAGAAAGTTTAAATCAACTGTTGATGATTCATCCTAATGCCACTGATTCATGTCAATCATGTCTGAAAAGTATTGAAAGGTCCTGTATTGAATTTGAAAATAAAAGATGGCATGTTAAATGTTTTGAATGTTCTAATTGTAAAACTGGTGTATCTTCAATTGATACTTCTAATCATGTTAAAAAATTTACTTATGATAAAAATAAGTCATTAGTTTTTTGTGAAAACTGTACTAATGATGATGCAGTACCAGGTTTCCTGTTTGCAAGTGATTTATCTCAATTAATTTATTTATTAAAAATTGCTTTATATCGATCTAAATCAGTAATGATTTCTGAAAATGGCTCATCTAAAATTCAGTCGAATCAACCAATTCAACCTTCAATCTCAAATCATACACCTAGATCTAATTTAGCAGAACAAAGAGATGCAGCTAGGGTTGTTACTGAAAATGATTATTCAAAAACTTTGAATGATGTCACAAGATTAAGAAGCAGAAGACAAAGTCAAAAATTATCAAGTTCAATTAAAAAGAAAGCTAGAAAATCTGTTGTTGTTGAAGCTCCTGAAGCAGACAAAGCTAAAGAAGAAGTTACTAATGATGATGGTTTAGTTGAGGATGCTGAAAATAATTTGGATCATGGTTTACAATTTCAAAATAGAAAAGGTAATCATATGTCATTTATTGCACAGCAACATGATCATGATATATTTAAAGTTAAAGAACGTAATATTAAAGATCCTTATAAAAAATCATTAAAAATTAGAGATGAACCTCAAAGACAACTTACTAATAGTCACCTTGATAGAACTTCTGATCTTTTGAAAAATGAAAAATCATTAACTTTAGATGATATTCCAAGGATTGTGGCTGCTGAACAAGCTAGAGAACAACGTCCAAATGCTTTCAAACATCATAATACTTTATATCAAAGAAACAGACCTATGCAACCAGTTAAAACTGTTGCTGCTGCCACTGGTGGTAAAACTCCAACTACGTCAACAACTGATGATAAAGGAAATGTTGTTGGTACTTCAGTTGATACATCTCAAGTTAAAAAATCTAAATATTATTCAGAATTAAGTAAACCAGAACATTATGTTTTGAGACATATTGCAATTGAAGCTCTTCTTGAAATATGTCCAAATAAACATAATAAAGAAGAACTTTTAAATTTAATTCAACTGCCTAAAAAACTGAGTGGTGGATTTTGGGATAAATTTAAATTCGGTGCAAATGATCAAAAAAATAAAGGATCTTCAGTTTTTGGTATTGATCTTCAAGATTTAACCAAGAAATTTGGTGTTGATTCTGATTTGGGTGTTGGACCATCTAAATTAAGAATTCCAATTGTTGTTGATGATGTTATCAATGCCTTACGTCAAAAGGATATGTCTGTTGAAGGTATTTTTAGGTTAAATGGTAATATTAAAAAATTAAGAGAATTAACTGAACAAATAAATAAAAATCCCCTTAAATCACCAGATTTTACAGGTCAAAATGCAGTTCAATTAGCTGCATTAATGAAAAAATGGTTAAGAGAATTACCAAATCCATTATTAACTTTTGGATTATATGATTTATGGATATCTTCACAACGTGAAAAAGATCCTGCAATGCAAAAAAGAATTTTACAATTAACTTATTGTTTATTACCAAGAAGTCATCGTAATTTAGTTGAGGTTTTATTATATTTTTTCAGTTGGGTAGCATCATTTGCAGAAATTGATGAAGAAACAGGTTCTAAAATGGATATACATAATTTAGCAACCGTTATTTCACCAAATATTTTATATTCAAAACAATCTGTTGAATCAGATCAAGCTCCACAATCTGGTGAGACCTATTTCTTGGGTATAGAAGTGGTTAATCAATTAATTGAAATCCATGAGGAATTAAGCGTGATCCCTGTTGATTTATTACAATTTTTGGAAAAATGTGGAGTGAACCCAAAATCTGAATCAATGTTAAATTCCAAAGATATCATGAGTAAAATTGATAAGCTAATTAAAGAAAATCCTAAACCATTTTCGAATTTTGAAGTCAAAATTGATAGTGAAGTTCCTCATCATACTAACACCATCAAAAGAGGTCAAACTAGAGTATTAACCGAATCACACGGTGAAACCACCAATGTCTAATGATTATTTGTGTTTTAATTTCAAATTAGGGTCAGAGCATTATTATAATCTTTGTGTTTTTTTTTTGTGCTGTCTTCTTTTATATATAACCTACCAAATGCCTTCCCTGAAGTTAATCATAATTCGTTTTTGTTTCCATTATTTTTCCTTCTTCTATACTGTTTTATTTATATTTTTTTCTTTCTTTCTTCTAATCCTGTTCTTTTAGTTCTTTTTTTTTTTTTTTATCTTTTTTTTATCTTTTTTTTTGGCTTTTTTTTTTCTTATTATTATATAACGAAGTGATCTATATCTGCTCTATATATTAGGATTTTTATAAAAAAAAATTTGGGTTAAAAGTGAATGAATATCATAATACTAAGTTTATGAATTAACAGTAGAATTGTATGAAAAATTGCTCTGATAACCACAATCTTGCACCGAAAACGACAGAAAAAAAAAACGAAATTGAAAACTTTGAGGAAAAATATTCAAAGAATGACGTTAGAAAGAAGATATTGATCAAACTGATAACTATATTTTCAAATAGGACTAGTTTTCATAGTCTCAACCACGGATTGAGCATATCGGTTTGAGAAAGAAGTTGAAAGAATAGTTGAAAAATGGCAGCTCTCACAGCAGATTCTTTAAAAGAATTGATAGAATCAAGACTACAGGCATCATTAGTACAAGTTGAAGACATGTCAGGAGGATGTGGACAAGCATTCGCCGTCGTCATCGTCTCTCCATTATTTCAAGGTAAAAATAAGTTAATGAGACATAGGTTGGTTAATAATTCTTTAAAAGAAGAGATTGCTGCCATACATGCTTTCACTCAGAAAGGGTTTACGCCTGATGAGTGGATAGCACAGGGTGGTTCATTATGATTTCATCAATAGCAGGAGCTACAAGCTAATTCATTGATATATTTATTCCACTGATCTATTTATTGACAATTAAGATAGAATCTATGAATATTCATGGAAAGGAAAAAAAAAAAAAAAAAAAAAAAAAAAACGGAAAGATCCAAATAGCTATAACTTAATAATAATTTATAATTTCAATAAAAGCCAGCTTTCATTCAAAATACTTAAAACTTTGAAGCGTAACGTTTGAAAAGACCTCCCCAAATAGCAGATAAAATGATGAACATACTCAAAATCATAAGAGGAAATATACGTAAGCCAAAAGAACTAGTATCAGCAATTAAACCAACCAAAAATGGGATAATTGCACCACCACTACCACCAAAAGCACAAATGAAACCTACACCAGCAGTATGATATTTAGCTGGTAAAATTTTCAATGCTGTAACGATTGTAGTTGGGAAAATAGGCCCCACGCCCAATCCAGTAAGGAAAACGACTGCAAATAAAATATAATCTGTCGGTAAGAAGGCCAAAAGCCAAAAGATTAAGAATCCAGCAGCTGACCAAGCAACATAAACCATGTTTGCCAATAATTCATTTTTGAAATATTTGGAGGTAACGAACCCAAGAGTCATTCTACCAGTTGTGAGACCAAGCCAAAAAGAAGTTGCCATGTACGAAGAATGTTTATAGGCGAACTTTTTGATTCTCATGAGGAATGTAATAAGCCAAGCACCAAAAGCGGTTTCACCACCAACATATATCATTAAAGACATGGCGAAAACCCAGATTAATTTGGATTTAAGAGACTGGGTCATTGTGGCCAGGTCTGAGTTAAGAGAATTTTCATCGATACTTTCATTATCAGAATTAACGTCGAAATTATTCATTTCAAGATCATTATTTTTAGAAATTGCTAATTTAGCAGATTTATTATTTTTAACCATCAGAACGTATCTATATTTCTTTACTGTTTCATCTCTGAATAATATTATGATGAGAATGGTACCAATTGCACCGTAGGTACAAAGTAACATATAAACTTGATTCCAAGACCAAGGGCCGGTTTGTTTCTGTAATAAAGAGGTGATCAAAACTGGACTAATAAGACAACCAAGGCCATAGCAGCCATGCAATATTCCCAATAGCTCATTTGAATCAACAAGACCTCCCAACATGAAGTTGAAAGAGGCATCGAGCAGACCTACCCCAATACCATTGAAAACGTAGACCATTACGAATAAAGGATAGCTTGGTTTGAAAGATAAAATCAAGCAACAAAAAGTCATTGATGCTGAACCAAGAGTCATCACTCCCTTGAATCCCAAAGAATTATGAGATACTTGATTAAGAAAGGCCATAATCATATAACCAAGAATAGCAGCAAAATAAAGCATACTGATTTGAATGTCATTGATTTCATAATGACTTTGAAACTCTGGAATTAAAGTACCAATAGCCTGATCACATAGACCAACTAAAACAAACATATAAAATCCTGAAAAAACCTGACCTTTCAATAAATGACTTTTCCTCCAATCAGTGGAATCGATAAACAAGTTTTCTCCCTCGTAATCTATGTAGTACTTTTCATCCGAACCATCTACATAATTGAAGTCTTCGGCTGATCTTTTATTTGAAATTGAACTTGAGGGACTTTGTATATCATCAAAAGTTGCAGCCAGTACATCTGGGGGTGATGTATACTTATTTTCTTCGCTTAAGAAGGCCTCAAACTCCTCGTTGGAGCCAGTACCTTGTTTCTTCGAGTTATATCCCATTCTAGTCTAATTATTTGATTTATAATCTCGTAATTTACCCTTCGTTCTTTCTCTCTTTTTCCAATTTAAAACCTGGTTTTCCAATGTAAGATCAAATCAAAAGGATGTCTCTTTCCTATTCCTCAGTATAACAACTTTCTATAAAATTCTATAAGTATTAAACTATACTGAGGTGTTTTCTAATATAAGGTGTTTTCTAATATAAGGTGTTTTTTTCATATGAAATAGGAAGAATTCGAAGATTCTCAATAGAGCAAAGGGATGGCTTCGATCTAATATACTTTTTTCACCCTCTTTTCTTTTCTCATCTCCTAAACTTGCAAAAAGCATCGTGCGAATGGCAAATTGCAACCTTCTTCCCGAGTTTATGCAGTAATTCTCGCAAAGAATGCGTTTGGGGCTCTAGATTTGATGTATTCTAGGAGCTGATGGTCTATGTGTCTATAGGTGTGAGTGGACGTGAGATCATGAAAGGTGTTTTCAGTTTGGATGAATTAGGTGGATGTAATATTTCGAAATTGCTGCAAAAATCTCTCGAAAAAGCGACTTTTTCAAATTGAGTATATACATTTTGTAACATTTCCTTACCACCTTGGGTGGATGTAATGCGATCAAAAGACTATGCAATTGTATAACCAGCTAAGGCAGTTTGAAAGAAAGATTCGTGATTCACAGCCAATGAAAGTGCCAGGAAAAGGGACTCTTCAGGCATGATTCTGATTTTTGCTTTGGAAAATACAGTGCAGTTGCACAGTATGCTGCATCATATGCCCATTCTAAAACCAAAACGAATACCTGGTGTTAAATTCAGTACTATTTTCGCCAGCGGGCCAAACCTAATCCGTTTTCCACCCAGGTGAATTCATTATTTGGAGCCTTGTTTACATTCAACGTCAGTGATATTCAAGCGAAGCTTAGTCTTGTGTATCAGAAGCCTGTTTTTCATCTCAGCAGCTGCTTTTCTCATTTCGAGAGAAATACATGTATAGTCCTGAACATTTGAATATATACCGCATGCCCCAAAATGTGTAGAGAGCCAAAGCTCTACTATCAAGGAATGAACTGGTTCCATTAACACAAGAAGAAGCGGATTCGCTCATTCAAAGTACTCTAGCGAAAGACTTACTTTCAACTCAGTAACGCCTCTATCGAATTTTTTTTAATGAATACATACTGAACGATTTACAGAAGACAATATATACTTGCAAACGAGAAATGGGGCCATACAAGACCCAAGAAATCACTACTACAAATTTTTTTTTTTTGACGTATAAGAATATATATTTAATAACTATTTACTAATATATACCTAGAGTGGGAAAGACTATGTTTAGTCAGGAAAACCCATGTTGAATTAAGTGATGTGATAGAAATGGTTGGTGCTGGTTGAGTTGAGTTCCCAGAGGAACTACTTAGTTTAGATTATAGATTGAGTGCCGAAATATAATAAGATACCAATTTTTTCGCAGCCTTTCTGCGTAACGCAGGAAGTCTTTCTGACTCCTGCTTCTGCGATAGTCGAAAGTCCTGAATTTTTAAAAGGATCAGGTGGTATCTATTAATAGTTCGGATTTGGTTGGTGTCCAGAGAAGCATTGGCTATAAAAAGAGACCAAGTTCTGTCAGGGANATTTTGTGTCGAAGGATACTGGCAGTAAGCCCAAATGAGATAAGTTGCACGGCACTCTAAATAGACATGGGTGAGAAACTCGTCTGGAATAAGGTCCCGGGAAAATCTGGGATCTACCTGGCGACCGCAAAACAGACATTGGGGCTTGTTCACAAATGTCCATAGTTTAAGACCTAGGTTGAAGATATGGATGTGATCAGTGTTGACGTCGAGAGAGAAAGAGAAGGTCTTGATATGTTTCCAAAACTTTTTCCATTTGTCTGCCGAGCAAGAAGCAAGAGCTGTGAGCTGGTTAGACCCAACTTCCGCGTCTTTGTCTTTATATTTGGTGATTTAAAGCTTTTTTTTTTTTTAAAGCCAAAAGAACCAATCAAAAAGCCAAATATAAACCAAGGTTTGTACGTCGTATCAATCTAAGGCGAATTTTTGTATATCAAAAGCGCAAATGGTTTAGTGGTAAAATCCAACGTTGCCATCGTTGGGCCCCCGGTTCGATTCCGGGTTTGCGCATTTGACTTTTCTTTTTTGGCTTCTTCCTATTGGTTGACCTTGAAGCAAAAACAACCTGATAATAAAACACTAAACTGACTTGGTTCATCGGGTGATAACCTTTTTTTTAGCAGCCTTCACATCATCGCGTGGTGTACGGAGGTGGTTTATTAAGGTCAACTGCCAACGGCACGACCAAGAGACCGGCTTGGAAAAATCACTAAAGTATAGCTATAAACCTCCTTCAGCAGAATATAATCATTATCGGTTAAAGATGTCTAAAAACGCAGTAAAGAGTGTTGTAAATGCAAGTACGTGTTGTTTGGGATGTTCGAAATAGATCAATGACTAACTTTCATACTCTAGTTCAAAAATTTTATCCTACGAAGTTGGCAGATAAAACCTGGGATAATACTGGTTTATTAGTAGATGCCAGTTCAGAACATATTTCCCAAACATTGAAAATTTTATTGACCATTGACTTAACTCAATCGGTTGCAGACGAGGCCATTAAAAGTAAAGCTAATTTTATTTTGGCTTATCATCCTTTCATTTTTAGAGGATTAAAGTCAATTACTCCCCAAGATCCACAACAAAAGTCCTTGATTAAATTGATTCAAAATAATATAAGTGTTTATTGCCCTCACACTGCTGTTGACAGTGCTAAAGGAGGTGTAAACGATTTTTTGGCCGATGGTATCGTTGGTGAATTGAAAGAATTATCTCGTGAAACAATTCAACCAGATGCAACTGAAGATGGTTGCGGTATGGGTAGATTAGTCCAATTGAAAGAGCCAACTACTTTGAAAAAATTGGTTGAAAACTCCAAAATTAGCTTAAATTTGAACCATGTTCAAGTCGCCAAAGGTTCTAATTCAGAAAATCTTAAGTCTATTGCTATTTGTGCTGGTTCTGGTGGTGGTGTTTTCAAAGGTGTCAATGCCGATCTCTTCTATACCGGAGAGCTATCCCACCATGAAGCTCTTTATTTGAAAGAAATCGGCTCATCTATAATTGCCTGTAGTCATTCGAATACTGAACGTGCTTTCTTGAAGGTCATCAAGCAACAATTACAAACCGAATTACCAAATACCGACATTATCATCAGTGAAACTGACAAGGATCCATACGAAACTTGGTAATCGGTCCCTACCTTTTAGATCAGTTGTACATAGGTGTAAATAGTGGTTTATATATAATTAGAGGTTTAGGTGTGCAAATAATTTGCAATTGTTACCCTCGTAAGTCTGTGGCACGTGATACGACCAATTTTTTTTCTCTCCCACCGAAACTCGCCTTCCCCATGTCTATCAGCCGAATGAGTAAGCTGACTTCAGAAGGTTGCATCTTCCCTAAGACAATCCCAGTCCTGATTAACGGGCTTTCATTATTAAATATATATACATATTCTGTACTACAGAAGTGACTGATACAAGTGGTGTCCATAAAAGTACTTTTTTGCAATTGATTTCCATACTTACTGATTTTTTTTTACAACCTTGTTATCTGCGATAACCACCGAGACGTTGATTCAGGTTTACTAATCAAAGTGGTTTCCTAAAGAATAATGGATGTCAGAAAGCAAGAGGGCTTTCAATTGAACACTATTAGTGGTGAAAGTTGTCCCAAGTTTAACGTCAAATCGACTCTTGTTCCATGTACAGGAACAGATTACGTCTTCCTCTTCGGAGGTTTTGATGATAATGATAATTTGGATAGTACGATTTATCTTTTAAATACTAAGACCAAGACCTGGGAGATCGATGACAAACATAATGGTGTTTATCGTGAAGGCCATCTGGCTATTTATATAGGACAAGGAAATATTCTTGTGTTTGGTGGAATCCCATTCGATGAATTTCCAGATGTGAATCCACCAGGAAGGCCCTATAACGAAGGTGATGATATAAATGAAGAGCCTAGTAATATTGGTTACGATCAGAATAAAACTTTGTTCAAGAAGGATAGTCTTATGTTGATTTATAATATTTTCGATCGTAAATGGATATCAGCACCAAAATTTGCATTAAGTAGTGCCCCTTCTCCTAGATCCCGGCATGCCTGTTGTGCTTCCCAAGATGGAACTAGAATCTATATAAGTGGAGGTTTAGTTAACTCGACTCCTTTAAGTGATTTGTACTGTTATGACTTGGTTTCTGGCATTTGGCATGGTCCTATTGATTTCGCAGCAAGATTCGACCACTTTATCACCATTCACGATGGTAAATTATTCTCATTTGGAGGTTTGGATCATGAAATGAATCATGTCACCAGCTCAATAGTTTACTTCAATTTCAGTGATCAGAGCATTGGTGAAATTTCTTTGTTACTGCATCCAAATTACAGCTTGGGGTTTGTCGACTCCGATGACGAAGACGATGACAATTTAAAAGTCTACGATAGAAGCTCTAATAATTTCATCCCAGCAAATTCGGAGAGAATATATTTAAATTCTGAAATTAATCCTTTCTTAAAATTAGAAATAAGTTTACCTCTGTGGGGATTCGAAAATAACAACCATGGCATTACAATTGCATATCATGATTTGAGTGAATTCCAGTATATGCCCTTGGTCAATCTGAAAAATATTAATTCAAACTTAAAAGTTAAGACAGACCAAAACGTCTATGATTTTGCTTGGAAGCATGCATTCATTTCACACGATGGTCGCTTATTTATTCTTGGTTATGAAAAACTCGACGTTAATTCAAATTCAGATAGTATACGCTCAACCTCAGAGAATTATCTAACAAAATTAATTGAGATTGAATTATTTAGTTTAGGCATCCCAACAGGTTTGGAGCTTAAATCAGATAAAAAATCACAATTCGGTAGCTTGAACTTGGTTAATGACTTTAAAAAATTTTTGATTAAAGAAGAGTTCACCGATTTTGAAATATATACATTGAAAGATGAATCCGTAAAAAATGATTATAACAATTATGACGAAATATCTGACAGAATTGACAGAATCATGCAAACTAATATCAATGAGGGTAAGGACCTAATATCCGTAGTGAAAGTACACAAATCAATGTTGTTGGCAAGATGGCCTCATTTCCAAAGACTTATAAGCAGTGGAATGAACGAAACCTTAACTAATAGAATGTTCATTCCAGAACCTTTTATTACGGTAAAGGCTTTGGTATTTTACCTATATACTGGATCCCTTGAGTTTGATCAATATATTCCTGCTAATATCTTCAATATTGTTGATTATTCGGGTTTACTCATCTTATCAAACTTGTATGAATTACCTGATTTGAGAGCTCAGACCCTATTTCAGTTGTTCAAACTACTTTCTCTTTTTATTGTAAACTTGGATACTGACACTGACCCGGAACCAAGAATAGGCCTATTTCTAAAAGTTTGGGCAAATGCTGTAATTTCCAATGAGAGTGTGTTTGTTTCAAAAGTCTTAGAGATCATTAAATCAAACTGGTCAATCATTACCAGATCTCTTTCATTCTCTCAATTACCAAAAGAATTGATAATTAGATTATGTCAAGATTGTTCTGTGGACTCACAAATTTTCAAAAGACGAAGCCCAACCCCCATGAGAAACTCTTTTGAATCCCTTCTTTCATCTCCTCATACCCCCTCTAACGGTAGTGCTGGAATAAGAGCGACTCACTCGAACTCTCCATTCTTAAGAGTTATTAACGATGGTTCACCTTCAATACAAGACAGAGAAAATACAGATATATCTCATTTTCCTACTTTACAAATGCTTTCTAATGATTTGGCTGATAGCATAGGGGAAGATTGAGGTTGAAAGGGGAAAATATGTACATATATAGTCATAAATGATATTAATATATTATAATACTTATCAATTTAACTTTTTTCATCATCAGATGCATCACCGAAAAGCTTTCCCATCCAGTTATGTACTTTTTCTGATGTGGTACCAGCTGCATCATTCAAGCCATCTACTGCATCATTCAAGCCATCTCCCGCGTCTTCAAATACGTCGTTTAAAGCATCGCCAACATCGTCAATGGCATCTTCGATTTCGCCTATCAAGTTATTGAGAGGATTAGATGTTGGTTCAGGTTTCTCGTCATGAGATGTAGTGGTAAAATCACTGGGTTTTGGTAACTTTTCAGTGGCTATATTTGAGAGACTTGACTCTTGAGATGCTAACGATTCCATTGGTTTTTCATTCGTACTAACAGATATCGTTGTTGGCTGAGCTCTGTCTGCTGGCTTCTTCCATAATAAGTCGTAAGTAGCATCTTTAACAATATGATCGATTTCAAAAGGGACATTAGGGTAACCCAAGGAGTCACTCCAATCCTCAGGTAACAAGTTCTTAGTAGACACTAAGTTACTTATAGAAGTTTGTGGTGAGCCGGAACCATTATTAGGTGCAGGTGCTATGTTCAAAGAATCACAAAGCAAATTGTAAACTTCAATATTTTGGAAGGGTTTTATCTTCGTATTTGTTGTTGATCCTAGTTTTTTATCAAAGTAAGGACCAGACCCCAAGAACAAAGCTCTCATCAACACTTCAGTATTATTGTATCCATGAACACCTTTAGGAGTATAATCGAAATTATTTTCTTCGTGTTGTTTATGAGTTGTAATTGAGTACCCAACATCGGGTACTATCCAGATTGGGGCTAGTCTATAGTTGAATTTATGTTCGTTTTTAGAGCCTCCAAAATTATACTGCTTTGGGAAGTCTTCTAATTTATAGATGTGATAATGCTTTTGCAAGTCTTGACTGAGAGTTGCAAATTTTTCTTTTAGTTCTTTGTATATATCATCGAGAGAGTGTTTCTTATATGGTCTTAAACCGAACAAGGGCCAGCCATCAATATGTTCAATTTTTTGCAAATCAATAACGTCATCAAGAAACAACAATCTATCGTTGGACGTTGGAGCCATTCCGTGGTCGCTGACAATTACTAAATTGACAACATCTCTCAAGTTACGATTTTTAAGCTCCATTTGCATCAAATCAACGAAATCATCCACGTATTTTAAAGCATCAGTTAAATTCTTACCACTGATACCAAACTTGTGACCAAACTGATCAATGGTTGGAACATAAGTCAATATAAGTTCAGGACGTTTATTTATATCGTCACGATCAAGCCAGCCCATAACTCGAGCAACTTTTGACGACAAGAGTTCAGAGCCATTATAACGATCAACCTCCATGGGTCCATTAGCAATTCCAATGCCGGGTACTTCACTACCAGGCCACATATGGACAGCAGAGTTTACTCCCTGCTTAAAAGCAGTTTGCCAAATTGGTTCACCTCCTTGCCAAAAATCGGGGTCAATACCACCAACTTTAGGATCAGTATTCACAAATTGTTTCTTCAAGACTGGGTCAAAGAAAGTGTTACCAACAATTCCGTGTTCAGAAGGGTGAAGTCCTGTAATAAGGGTCCAATGATTTGGGAATGTTGACGATGGGAACGAAGGAATCATATATGGGGCACCATAATCATTAATCATCATATTATGCAAAGAAGGAGTTAAATAAGGGTTTATATAATGTGGATGGAACCCATCTAAGGATACAATTATTGTTGTTGGGTAGAAGTCGTGAGTTGTGTTTGAAAGGACTTGTTTAACCTTTTTATGTTGAGAAGCCATTGAAGCATATTCCTTATCTTCTTCAACAGAAGAGGATGTAAACCAAGACTTGTTGAAAAATATAATAACAATAACCAACAGAAGGCCAAACACTAGAATAGCAATTGTCTTATTAAGTTTATCATTCAATCTCTTGATCTTGTAGTCTCTTATATCAAAAGCAAATCTATTGGCAACTTCGTCATCGTCATCGTCATCATCGATTTCGAAACTATCAGTAGACGCAACAGACGTATATCTACCTCCACTCAATCTTGGATTGTTGAAATAATTCCTTATTTTCCCCATGAAACCTTGTTGGCTATCCTGGTGCTCGTAGTCCATGCTGTTCAAAAAATTCTGACTATTATCCTGATAGCCTGAGTTGTTACCTAGATTTTCTCTGTATATTATATCATCTTCTGCATCATCTAGATCAGTTATTGGCACATCCACCGGATGTGGACCTTGATAATTGATAGACATTATAGCCAATACCTTTTTCCAATGAAAAGAATAAGTTTGTTTGGAGTTTTGTCTTTTATCTCTTTTTAAACAATTAGTACTTAAGATTTTTTTTTTTTTTTTAGTATCGCTTAATACACGTGAAGCTACTTTACAACAATAAATATATCAATAACCGTATCAAGATATTTAATATACACTATTCTACAAGAAAAGCAAGCTTAGATTCTATCGAAGCTACTTTGAGGCTTCTTATGTTTTGCCCGGGCCAAATAAACCTTTACCCTTAGCTGCATAAGTTCATCGGGGACCAAATCATTTGGACTTATCGATGCTTCACAACCATCGATTGGACAGTGTCTTTTTGATTCTAGTGACTTTACGATATGTTCTCTTTCGTAGACGTGATTGCATTTTCTTGATTTGACTGGATCTCGAAAGTAATTCAACGATATTGGATCTTTAAGAGCGATTTTACCACCGGCGACTTCCAAGTCTTCCAGATCGTTCGAGCTGGTATCTGGCAAGGATGTTTCTGGGTCTTTCAATATCAAGGAGGTATTTCTTAAAAATTTGTACTGGTTTGAAGAATTTAATATATTTTGAAATGAGTTTGAAACTAAATGCTGTTGTTTTGTTTCTTCATACTCTTTCTGGAGTAAATCACCTACTTGTAAATTTGACGACTGTTGATAATAATCCAAAGAGTCGATGGATAGGTCTGGTTCTTGATTAGAGCGTAAATAGACTTCTTTCTTTGAAGAATCAATTGAATTTTTAAGAATATCTAGTTCAAACTTTTTTTTCAACAAGTCTTCTAAAATTGATAATTGGGAAGAAAGAAATGCTTGATAATTTTCACTATCTAGTAAATGGTCATGATCAATCACATAATCGATATAGTCCTTCACGTTTTTCATGAGAGTTTTTATATTATCATCGATCAATTTAGATGGAGTTGATGGAATGACACTAGTTTTTTCAAACTCTCTTACTAAGGATTGATGAAGTGGGACATAGTCAGGAAGATCTGCCACAATAATGTCTTCTTGGTCCGGTGGCAAGTCACCAGCCGACGGGGATGCTGATACCTCAGTCATTTGAGTATTTGAGAAGAAGGTTATTACTGTTAAATTGATTTCTGAATAAATGAGTCGCGTCAAAAAGTAAGGTATTAACAAAAATCTAATCGAAATAATCACACTACAAATCAAGAGATAATTAAATAAAAATACAATCTAAATTATATGGAAGAACTAAAAATCATCAGAAATGAAACATGTATATATAAGAGCACAACTTTTTTTAAGTCTTCAGTTAAATTAGAAGACATCACCGTGGTCAAACATAGCATCGGCAACTTTAATGAAACCAGCAATGTTAGCACCCTTTAATAATGATGGTAAACCAGAAGCATCCTTACCAGCAGAATATTTAGTGGCGGTAGTGTAACAGTTTTCGAAACAAGTGTACATGATATCCTTTAATTTGGTATCGACTTCTTCGGCAGTCCAAGTAACTCTTTGAGAGTTTTGGGCCATTTCTAAACCAGAAACAGCAACACCACCACAGTTGGCAGCTTTACCAGGAGCATACCAGACATTAGCAGATCTGTTAGCTTCAAAGACATCAATAGCCTCTTTAGTAGAACCCATATTAGAACCTTCAGCGATGTATTTACAACCAGCTTCAACTAAAGCTTTAGCTTCTTCACCAGAAACTTCATTTTGAGTAGCAGAAGGTAAAGCAACATCAACTTGACCAACATGAGTCCAAGGACGAGCACCGGCAATGTATTTAACTTGGTTTGAACCAGAGAAAGCAGAGGCAGATTCTTGGATAATTTGTTCCAAAGTTCTAAATTTAACTTTAGCAGCGGTGATTTCTTCAACTTGAAGAGGAGTAATACCATTTTGAGAAATGATGGAACCTTTAGAATCAGATAAAGAAACAACGGTACCACCCAATTCAATAACTTTCAAAGCAGCGTATTGGGCAACGTTACCAGAACCGGAGATGGCAACACGTTTACCTTTGAAAGATTCTTGACCTTTAGTAGCTTTTTCAATCATTTTTTCAACATAGTAAACAACCCCGTAACCAGTGGCTTCAGGTCTGATTAAAGAACCACCCCAAGATAAACCTTTACCAGTTAAGATACCAGACCAGTTGTTTTGCATTTGTTTATAAGCACCGAAAAGGAAACCAACTTCACGACCACCAACACCAATATCACCAGCTGGAACATCAGTATCTTGACCAATATAACGAGCCAATTGTCTCATAAAGGCAACACAGAATCTTCTGATTTCAGCATCAGATCTGTTTTTTGGGTTGAAATCACAACCACCTTTACCACCACCAATGGATAAACCAGTTAAAGCATTTTTGAAAATTTGTTCAAAACCCAAAAATTTCAAAATAGATAAATTAACTGATGGATGGAAACGTAAACCACCCTTGTATGGACCTAAAGCAGAGTTGAATTGAACTCTGAACCCATTGTTAACTTCAATGTCCCCTTTATCGTTTTCCCAAGACACTCTGAATTGGATAATTCTTTCTGGAACTGAAACAACTGGAATAACTTTTTTATATTCTGGGTGTTCGGAAAATAAAGTGGAATCTTCTAAAGCAGAAACTAATTCGTCGTAAGCTTGTTTAAATTCAGGTTCGTGAGGTAAGACCATTTTGTATATCTCTAGTTTTGAGTAGTATAACAAGGAAAAAACAAAAAAAAACTCTCTTCCTATGGTGATGGGAATGAATATTTATATATTTTTCACACCCTATAACCTTTACATCATCATTCGGGAAAAGAAACGCAGTGATCGGGCCTTTCTTTGTTTAATTTGTCACTCTAAGTTTATTAAAGCACCTTAAACCAAGGCAGTTTTGGTATTTCTGCACATAGTGATCAATTCAGATCAAAACGAATAATCTCTGGCCAATCACATTTCACTCTGGCTCTTTTCTTTTCCTTTTGTCTACCCTGGGGGCAACTAGTACAAAACACCACCACCGGTACTCTTTAGCCAGTTCTGCCCACCCACCCCAACGTCCACTGCCTGCTCACCCTCCTGGCCGCTACTGTCACCCAGTTCCCAGCTCCAAGGGTGGATTCCCAAACTCAATATTGCGAAAACACCAGTGGAAAAGTGGAAAATTGCAGCAGCGAAATTGGGCCTGTACCGGGATTTTGCTCTTGGTTAGCCGTTTTTTTGTTTCCTTTTTCTCAGCTTTTTTTTTTTCGTTTTGTTAGTGAACTCGTCGTAAAAATTATCTTCTGCCAATCAAAGTTTGTTGCAACCGGCGGGAGTCGTGCGGGCGTCCGCGATTTCTGCGGGCGCGGGCGCGCACACGACCGCTTTACTTCAAGGCCCGGGTAAATTAGCTAATCAGTTATTGTGATTTGGTTCGGAGTTGGGAATGTCCGAGACATGACGGGCGGCCAATGGCAAGGGCCAGTTCGAGGGAGGAGAAAGCTTATCGTTGATCTTTTTGATAATCACCGGAGAATCTACTAGAAGTAGAGATTTGCGGTAATTGACCGAGTTTGTAAGGGAAACACCTGCCTAAAGAGATTTAACTGCGAAAAAGCTACAAAGGTGGTTTACAAGAGAGAAGATATTAAACTATATACATATCAATTATCTTTTGGGGGATTTTTAACTGAAAGAGGGTTGATTAGATGGGAGTTTTGGTCAATTAATTGTGGATCGAAGACTTTCATTCTGGTGGTGATTCTTTCGTCAACTTGTAATTCTTGCACCCATTCACTGTTTTTGCTTTTCCCCTTTTCCACCCATTTTTTGGGCCAGTCGACTTCTTCATCTTTAGCCATCAATTGGTCCTTATATTCGAAATCTCTGGTTAAGTTATAGATGATGGATAAGGTTCTTTGTCCATATTCTTCCGCAAGTCTTCTTTTGGTGAAGTAACGATAGATTTTGTGGGGCATGTTAAGAAATCCTAATAAGTTAGGAACTGGGTAAACGTACATTGGTTGTTCGAATAAGACGGGGACTCTCTTGTTATTGAGAATCTTGGTGGACATATCTAATTCCGGAGCTAAACTGGCTTCTTTATATTGATTAGGTCTAATCCATGGTTTTTCAACCGCTTGTCTTTTATCGTTTTCTTCTTCCTCTTCATCATGTTGTTCGAATGAATCATCTTTCTTCGCCTTTTCTTCCGGAGTATCAATCTTTTCTTCATTGCTTTCAATTGGTTTAACTGGATCAACTGGCTCCGGTAATGGATTTGGTTTGAATAATGGCCCTAATAGCCCTTCATGAACCCCAGTCATATATTCTTTATATGTGCCTCGTCCAATACAGATAACCCCGCCAGCCTTTTCATAATCAATCTCATCATCTCGTTTAGGCTGGATTGGGTTTAATACCTTATAAAGTCCTAATATATCTTTGCTGTCGTATAATTCATAGCGACTCTTCATTGGTCCTTCTTCGTCGTCGCTCGGTTGTTGACTTGGAACAGGCCAAGGCGATGCCAATATAGGTTTCTTACTGCTTTCTTCGGGTGTTTCTTCTTTGATTCCTCCTCTTTCTTTTCTTAATTGTCTAATTTTTTCAGCTACTTGTGATCTTATATCTCCTTGTCTATTTTCAGTGTATACTTCATAATCTATAGCTGCGGAATTCAATATTGGCTTGACATATTTCCTGAAAATCTTTAATGACTCATCCAAATAATCATTCGGTGGAGGCGCAATGAAAATGGTCAATTTTCTAGGTATTCTATCATTTTCATAAACCTCTTCTCCCAAATGCTTAACCATATTAACGTATTTCTCGCGAATCTTCTTCTGTTCGTACTTATCGTAAGCAATGCCTCCTCCGATACTAGCCAATAATGTCCAGAATATCATCCAATTTCTCAGTGGTAAACTGATTCGTGGAATCCCCATCATCCTTAATGCTGGATTCGACCACCCTTTCTTAGGGGGCGTGCTGGCCTTACTTGGCTCAACAGGTGCTGCTGGCTTCTCCGGTGGCACATCACCATTCTTAGGGTTCTCCGACATTCTACTGACTCAAGTTATGCTGAATACGACCCGATGATCTATAGTTTATGTCGAACTGCTATAATACTTTTTCTTTTTTTTTTTTTTTTTTTTTTTTTGAATTTTTCATCTAGGTCGTGCAAGTGTTAACTCAATTACTGCTAAATCTACATCTTCAACTCCGTGGAGTAACGTTTATTCGGAAATTATTCAAGGAACCTGAAGAGCTCTTCTTTCAAGTCGTCATGGGATAAGTTTTTACCAATAAACACAAACTTATTTTCGTCAATTCCCGGTGCTAATTGTTTTGCATCAATTATATCGTAAGTTTCTCGAACTCCTTGAATAACTTTTATATGGGAACCACAGGCCATTATACCTTTGGTACGATGTATCTCTACTTCTTTACCATTGACAGTGTTCTCCCATAAAATATACTGTAAGAAGGATTCCACTTTACGGAAAGAATCCAAATTCTGGAAAAATTCACAGGTAACTGTGATTGTGGTTATACGATCATCATGGTAAACTGAATTTTCCAGAATGTTTAACGATTGTGAAAATTTGACTCCTTCACTATCAAAAGCTTTCAAATCTAATATCTTTTCAAGATCGATATCCCCAAAGCTTGTAGGATGCATCGGTGAAGTATTATTTATGGATCTAATTCTATTCTCTATTTGAGATAGTTTATTTTCGTAATCTCCTTTCTTTTCGAGTTTATCAACTTTGTTGATTAATATAGAGTCAGCCAATGCTATTTGTAGGTGGGCAGTAGTGATACCTTCTTGTAATTTTTGATGTTCATCTTTAATTTCTTCTTCCGTTAATTCATCTTTGTCTGATGATTGGGCTGTTTTTAAATGATTATTCTCCTTATGCCAGTGACCCCCCACATCATCCAAACATTTAATGATATTTTCAGAATCAACAACCGTCACAACGCCATCAATGTAGACATTAGATGATAATCCTTCATCTAACCAAAACATTTTGGCAACTGGTGCTGGATCAGCAATACCAGTAGTTTCCAATAAAATGTAATCGATTTTGCCCCTAGAGTTTTCAATCAAATTTTCAATCGCTAGAACTCCATTATCTTTAACAGTACAACAAAGACAACCATTTCCTATATCCAACCATTCCTGAACTGATTCTTTGTTATCTTCATCTTGTATCGTCACTGACTTCTCAATTGCTGAAGAGTCTCCAAATTCATTCAAGATGATGGCAAGTCTTTTATGTGACTTTTTACCAATGTATTCAAGTAAAGTGGACTTACCTGACCCTAAGTAGCCAGTGATAATAGTGATTGGTATCTTTTTATCGATGACCTGAGATTCCTTCTTTATCTCAGGCTGCGTCTGGGATTCTTTGTTATTACTTTTAGACAAGACTGGAGAAACCTCAGTCAAGTCAGTCACCAAATCAGGTATATCATCCATTCTTCTATCAGTGATTCGTCTCTTGCTGATTTATAGTAAAGAAGCAAACAAAGAGAAAAAAAAATAGATCAAATGAAAAATGGAGTGAGTGAAAAATGAACTTAACAGACACGAGTTTTTCAAAGAAGTCATAGAACATTTTGATCCAAAGTTCTTTACCAATTGGCCATCAAAATGAAGTCCAAATACTTATCGGAGAAGGTTTTAGACTTTCTTCTCATTTCTGCAATTGCCTATCATTTGATAATCTCGCCTTATACAAAAGTGGAGGAGTCGTTCAACATACAAGCTGTGCACGATATGCTTAATTATGGGGTTTTCCCACAAGAGATTGTTAGAGAAAACTATGACCATATGGAGTTTCCTGGAGTGGTTCCACGGACTTTTATTGGAAGCTTATTTCTTTCAGGAGCTGTCAAGTTCTTTGATATCTTGTCGTCCTTTTTTGGTAAATCGCTTATCACCAACGATGGCATTTCTCAACTTGACGTTCAAATGTTGGTCAGAGGTATTCTTGGTCTTACTAATGCATGCTCCTTCATAGAAATAAGGAATACAGTGAATAGAGTCTGTATTGATGTAGGGAATTTCAAAGCAAGAGCCAGAATTGGATTTTGGTTCATTCTTCTTTTATTATCCCAATTTCATATCTTATACTATTCATCTAGAACTTTACCAAACTTCATTGCATTACCTTTAACCAACCATGCTGTCTCTAAGCTATTGGCAGGTGAAATGACTGGTTATGCTTGGTTGTCATTTACGGCTATAGTATTTAGATTGGAAGTTGGTTTATTTGGGGTGATAATCGCATTAGTTTCTTCTCTTATTTATCTCCAGTCGAACTTCTGGCATAATACCTTGATGCTCGTAGTTGGTACTGTTACAGGCTTAATTGCAACCGGCTTGATTGACTCATACTTTTGGGGGTATTGGCTCATTCCAGAATTAGTTTCATTCAAATTTAACATTTTATTTGGAAAATCTACTGAATGGGGAGTTGAACCTTGGTCTTCGTATTTCTTGAATTATTCTCAACAGCTATTCAAACCCGCTACAATTTTGCTTTTGCTTATCCCTTATGGTAATTATGATCCTTTCAATGACGGCCGCAAAATCCCTTCAAATTTGAAGAGGAGCGAACATTATTTATTGAAACATCCAGCTAGGTATTCCATTGATATTTTATGGGTATCTTCAGTTTTGTTCGTTGCTGGTATGTCCTTTCAACCCCATAAAGAATGGAGGTTCGTCATCTATACAATTCCGGTATTCTTACTAAAAGCTGCAACCACTCTCTGTGGTTGGTCAATAAAGCGTTCTAAAAAATACATTATATATTCCACCTTGCTTACATTTTTCTTTGCTAATTTGGTTTTAGGAACTGGATTGTCTATACTAATGGGTTATGTCTCGAGTTTCAATTATCCAGGTGGGGATGCCATTACATCTTTAAATAAATTCATTCACAATCAAAACTTTACAGAAGAGTCCTTGGTTCATATGGATGTTGCTTCCTGTATGTCAGGAATAACAAGATTCACAGAGTCTCATGGTGGTCTTGTGAAATATGACAAAACAGAGAAAGAGCTTGACTTGCTTAAAATATGGAACGACATTGACTTTAGAATAACTGAGAATTCTTTAGATAGTACCTTGAAGTTGGAAGGTGTCAAGAACGATGTGGTCCTTCACAATGAAAATCATTGGAGGCTCATTCATAAAGCTGAGAAATTCGAGGCTGTCACTGTCTTGCCCATCATCTTCATTCTTCAACAACAAGGAAAGGACTCAAGATATTTAATAAATTTTGCAGCAAAAATTGTTTCGGAAGCCGTAGAAAGAAGGTTTGACACAATAACTAATCTTTTGAATGAAATGATTGTTAAAACGGACTACTTATATATATACGAAAGGGTAGGCTCCGATGATCAGGTTTATCAATTGATAGAAGATTACGCTACCCAAGACCATCCTCAGGATGAGAATTTAGAACCTGAGGATGGATTGATAGAGGATGTAAAATTAGAAGATTTGGGTGAAGACGTTAATGAAGAAATCGATAGGATAGAAACACTCCTTGGATGAGCCTCTTATATTGCCCATTTTACATTCACACTAATTACCTTAATATATATTACATTAACTTTATTTAGTAATAAAACTATTTGCATCATCATTATGTGTCGTCCCACTCCGAAGACGTTCCTTGAGTTTGAAAACAGGCGAAAACCTTGGCTCCGTCTCCGAATCTGGTGGTATGAATATTGGAGTAATCCTATTAAGTCGTTTGGCGCTTTCTATCACGGATGTTTCATCCTCATCTTCATCAATTAATATAGTACTTACACCTCTTGATGAGAATGCGGTACTATCCGTATTGAGCGCATCATCTGTAACATAGTCAATAGAGGGTCTTATCGATTCTTGCAGTCTTGTGAAAGCTTGCGGCGTATCGGTCAAGTTAAAGTTGGGGGCTTTAGGGGGGACTGACCGATCTTGAAATCTATTCAAGTTCAGAGCTTTAGGAGAAAACGTAGATCTATTAGGCTCTAGACTATTTGGTGGAGAGAGACGCATCATGCGAGTTGAAGGCTTGTGTAGCAGGACTTTTGAATCAGCCAAAGAGTTTATAAGTGGCCTAATTCTTTTCGTAGGCGTTGACTGACCCCTCGCTTTACTAAAACGTGATTTCAATGATTCAAGGCGTTCAGCCTTTAATCGACGGTTTGTTTCTTCCAACTTGGTGGGACTCCCTCTCTTTGGGCTCTTCAAAAAAGGAGTACTGGGCGACCTCAAAACTTGCAGTTTGACAGGAGTGTATAGATAGCTCTGGCTGTCTTCATTCGGATTGTGGTCTTTGAAAGACCTATTGGATTTATTTGCTAGCGGAGACAGATTGCTCACAAAGCTCATATCAGCTTCAAAATCCTCAGCATCTAAAATACCACGGCGTTCTTTTGACTTTTGCAGCCAAAGCTCGAAAATAGACTTAGCTTTTGCGACTTCCCATCTTTGAATAAACATTTCACATGTTTGGTGATTTCTTCTAATTTGTTTGATATACTTCATGGACCATCTGCTTAAAAACTCTCTAACTCTATTGTAGTCTTCTTTGGAGGCAAAATCATCTGCAACCTCATCTAGGTAAACAATCTTGTTGATGAACTGATTGTACCATATAACAATTATCTTTTTAAACAATAAATAAGCCTCAAAATCACGGGAATTTTGGTTCAAATCTTGTAAACGTTTAGTTTTTTTCGACCATTTATGAAACAAATCAGAGTGCTTTTTCGAATTTTGAACATAGTCATTGCATGCTTGATCGAGTTGGACAGCACGTAGGTGGGATTCATTATATTTCTTAACCCAATGAGAAAAGAAGGTAAACTTAATATTAAGATTAACAACCTTCTTCTTGAAATGGACTATTTTATTTTGGGCGAGTATTTCGAATCTGCGGTAGTATTCTATCTTCCACTTTCGGAGACCAGAAGCCATGGTTAGCTTATCCGACATGGCGATGCCCCCTCTCTTGAATTCATCAGCCGCGCTCCGATAATCCACAGCATAATGATGTAGGAGAGCCAACATATGATTGAAAAACTTTCTTTGAAAGTTTAAATCAGCAACTTCCAATGAATTTTTCTGATTACGGACTTGATGTTTCCATAAGGCAAACATATCCAGTGAGCACTTTATCTGGCTGAGATTTTGAGAAATAGACTTCATTTCGTTGACATCTAAAAGCTTAGATTTCCACACGTTATATATTTGTTTAACAGAATTGAATTCTCGATTTTTCTGAAATGAATTGAACTTCCGCTTCAAGTTCCATTTTTTGAAATAAACTGTCAACTTGTGATGATTTGAAGTTTTGCCATCACCAAACTTTATTAAATGAGAAAGTTGAGAATTGAGTTTCCATTGATTAAAAGCCTTTCCTGTTGCAATACTGTAAGCAAATGTATCAGCTATCTTTCTAGAGTCAGTACAGCTTTTCCATCCATGAAAAGCTCGACGTTTAAGCTCCAATTCTTTCCCTCTTAGAATCGATTGTGCTTTCTTGTTCACTTCATGATGTTTTATCCACTGGCTCTTGAAAAAATATTTCATTAAATTGTAATCATTGTGGCTTTTAATTTCTTTCGATATCATGGAATGTGAATAAGACAATCTCCAAAGTTTCATAAACTTTAGCAAAATGAAAAATTTCTGATGAGCTGATAGCACGATAAGTTTCTCGCTTAAATTGGTTGGTATTTGAATGGATTCACTTCTCTCATTTTTTGCAGTTTTTGGATTCGAACTAGGAAGATAAATGCCAGGATTACCTAGGTCAATTGTTTTGAATTTTTGAAGCCATAAGCTCCAAACCGCATGCATCAATATCCCACCTTCAGTTCCAATGTTTGCTTTTCGAGTCATGAGAGCCGATTCGCTCAATTGTATGATATGGTTCAATTTGTTTACCCAAATAGCAAAAAACAGGCTCAAGGCATTTTTGTTATAAGAAGCTACAGCATCTGCCTTCAAGTTAGAAATCTTTTGGTTCTTCCTAGACCATTTTGAAAAAAATTTTTTCATAAACAAACTCGTGGCCAGATCATTCATATTACCAATTTTTATCACTGAAGGAATCCACGTATCTTTGATGAAATTCACCTTTACTCTTTTTTCTGAATAATTCGAGGACACCGATTGTAGGTCTTTGAAACGGCGATACTTGGAAAACCATTTTTTCAAAAATGACTTTTGACAAAATTCATTCGAAACCGGATTGAATTTATGCTCCAAGTTATAGTCTAATTGACCAATGTAGAGTGTTTTGAAATTCCACTTATTGAAAATGTTCTTTTTCAAACTAAAGTACAGAGAGAACTCTTGTTTAGCTAGGTTCATTAGCAAGGTAGGATTATGTGAATTTTTATCATCGGTTTCTGTTAATAAATACTGATGTTCATTATAAAATGAAAAAACGGTATCTTTGATATCTAATTCCCCATCAGACACTTCAGTATTTTCAAACTCCGTAATTGAATTAACCAAGACAACAATACGCTCAATGTATTCAAAGTCAGCTTGCTCCGTTGACTCCGAGAAATCAACATAAACAAGCTCCATGTAGTGTTTGAAAATGAGTGGAAAGTTTGCATCAAAATTAAGGTTAAACTCATTCAAAAGAGGAATAATATGTCTTAAGCTCAAGAATAGCTCCAACTGGTCATTTCTTGAATACTCAACAAACGATATAAAAGAGGGTTGCTCTTCAAAATTATTAACAGAGTCGTCTGTCCTTCCTGAGGGCGGTGGAACTGAAGAAGGCCGCACATGTTCTTCTTGGGGAATTTCGTGAAGCACGCCAGGAAGATGTTCTTCCTTTGGATTAGATTGTCTATCATTCAAGCCAAAGACTGGTAAATCTGATATTCCCACTCCTCGATTATCCTCATAGTTGTTTACTTTATCAATCTCGGGGAATACGTTTAATCTATTAATAACTCTGTTAGTTGCATCTTTGAAATATTCGGGAAGAAGACTTTGTTGAGAGCCATCCAGATTCCCCACCAAAAAATTATAAAAAAATTTTAGTTTAAGTTCTTTAAATTTAAAGTTATTAATCTCTAAAAAATCAACGTTATTATGTTTCTTATAACAACTCAACATTAATTTGATATATTCTTTATAATCTTTTGAGCCATTATGATTGGAATGATCAGCTTTATAACCAGAAATTTGGAGGAAGATTTGATATAGCCAAACAAAATTTGGGTCAGTGCAATTGAACTTTAAAGGCGAGTTACCCAGAAGTTGTCTACTCTCGAGTTCGTTATCTTCGTAGCTGAAAATGGAGTTATCTGAGTGACCATGGTATAGGGAGTTGTCAGGATCAGCATCAAACTCAGGTTCAGGCACACTAATGAAACTATCTAGTATCCGTACTATTTTTTCAGTTTCGTCTTCACCAAGTTGAAGCTCATCATCTAAGCGATTACGAAGTCCAGATACAAAATCGAGTTCATAACAAAAGCACTTATTGATATAATTTACCAATTTCTTTTCCGATTCAGAATGGAACTTAGCGAAAAACTCGACTAGTTCAGAAAACTTCAAAAGCACTAAGGAGTAGGAATCTTTTAAGCGCACCGGCTTTCGGTCACTGACGGTATCATGTTGCGATAGAAGGCTAAGTAGTTGGGTAAGCACATGGGACCTCGATAACGCTTGACCATCGTAATCTTCAGAATTGGCTTTTGAATAACTTGATTGTATGAAGTGGATTATACTAGAATTATTAAAGTCTTTCACATCAGTTTCTTCATCTTTATCAATATAATATAAAAATGACAATTCACTCAAATCCGAGTTATTGGATGAAGCTTCTACATCCACTGTCACATAATACTTATTATGATAATTCAATAGCAGCAAAATTGATTCTAAAGTATGTTCTAATAATATTTCATAATCAGATTCACTGTTGGTTATAGGGAATAAATGTAGCGCATGAATCTCTCTTATGGTTTTATGAAGAAGGTCGAGTAATGATGGCATGCTGTATTATGGGATTCATCTCTTTCTTAAATTGCTTGAATCATTCAATAATTCTAAGTTCGTAGGTATTGTATATGGCTTTGTTTGTTTTGAAGATTCAAATCAAAATAAATAATGTAAAAAACGAAAAAGTATTTGGCCGCACGTACAAAACAAACGAAAAAAAATACATAGCGAGGGTGATGGGATTTTTAAATATAGAAGTAGTAAACTCAAAGTTCTGAATCCTCCTATTCAACTGACAACATCAACAGAACAAGACACATCTGATACAAAGATAACAAAGAGGCTTAATTGATTACTTTCCGGACGTAACAGCTTGGGGAAGAGGATTAGGATTGAATTAAAATATAGCCTGATTCCATTTTTATTTTTTTTTTTTGGAGATACTGAAATCTAATCGATTCAGATCTATATAACCTAAGTTCTTCGATTATAAGTTGCATCCGTATAATAACTTAGCGTCAGGTACAATGTCCGATCAAAGGACAAATTTCCTGAGTCCAGGCTACGGCAGATCAATTAGTTATGATTGCAAAAGAATTATGACTCCAGATGAAAAATCCGTTGGATTTATGGATCCACAAGGTGGTAATGTTGTGAACCACCACCAGAATGGCCCTCGTATCGTTTCTGATGGAGCCGTTTATTACTCCCCTCACCATAAGAAGAAAGTTTATCCTCAATTCCTGGCACCATCGGCCCAAAATGACTTAAACGACAACTTTGATTTTCAGGCTGTTGAGCCTAGCTTCCACAGGCAACCGAGTACTCCTCCGATTCTTGAAACGTCTTCCACGAGTCAGTTGCATTATCATGGCCAAAATGCTTCTCAAAGTCAATTTCAAATACCGCATCAACCATCCCGTTCTAGTCCATATCATTACCCAGACCAACCACCTTATCCCATAAACTCATATCTTCCAAATGGGAGTGATTCGAATATCTCCTTAAACTCATACAACGATGAGCCTGCTCCGATATTTACTGGAGAGCCCTCAACAAGACAATATTTTCAACCATATCCTCAACATCATCCCCGACCATATTCTCAACATTATCCACAACTTCATCAAGAAACCAATGGTCTCCACCAACAAGTTGATACTCTAAGCTATCCACTGCTTGTTGGAGGTCACATATCCAGGACTCAATCCCCTCGAATTCAGTCACCTAGACCACAGAAAAAGCCCACGGAGAACAAAAGAAATACAAGTGGTGATTTGAAGAATCAAACAAGTTTCAGCTTCTCGGATCAAAATGATTCAATGCAAGAATTTGTTGTATCCCCTGTTAAAGAATCAAATGGTCTTTTGAACGATGTTGATAATGATGTGCCTAGTATGGATGTTTTAGGGAACCCCGAACATCAACTGCATAATGCTTCACTGAATGATGAGATCGATAGGAATACACCTTCAAAAATTAACGTCGAGGAGGGTAGAATTAATAAAGTAAATTTAGAAGATTCTTCTAGAAAAGTCCTGCTCTCAACCGATGAATCCAAATCGAAAGAAGACTATGATGTAAGAAGTAGCATTAACTTTCCCATTGAAAATCCAGATTTACCGTTTGTTGATCAGAATGCTCACAAGAGAAACGGATCGGAATGTTCAACTATCTCAAATGCTTCCACAGCTTCGACATTGACACCTTCTAATAATGCTAGTAAAGACAAGCGTTTTGTGCGTTATGCAATGAACACTCAATCAAGTAAAACATCTTCCCATGGTAATGGCTGGGAAATGTCCAACGTTTTGAAATGGCTTGATTCACACCAATTTAATAGTTCTTGGAAAGATGTTTTCCGTAGAAATGAAATTTCTGGTAATCGATTTCTAGAGCTTTGCAACTACGGTACAGATTCGATGATTTGGCGACAATTTACTAAGTTTCTTCATTTGGACAATGATCTTAATACTATAGAACGTTTCATAGATTTATTGAAAACGGAAATCAATACTGCTGAGAACAACTTTTCAGATGGAAGCGCAACCAAAGGGGATGTTGTTTCTAGAGAATCGAGTAAATCGCTGCTGTCTCCAGTCTTTTTAAATAGCAAGGCAATCAAGATTGAAAATAGAAAATCCAACCCTATATTTCATAAGCATAAATCATCCTCATCCATCACATCTACAAACTCTGGTAACTTGAATGTTCACCAGAAACAAAGGCCGTTTTCTTATATCGATCCGGCCAGTATAAAGTCTTTTGCAAAAGATCAACCATCACATCACAAATTTTTTAGAAAAAATAGAAATTCCTTCTCCGATTCTTCGACCTCCAAAGAATTATCGTCTAACTCAAGTCTGCTTCTGCGTAGCGGCTCCGGTTCCAATAAAAAGTCACTGGGACGAATTTCTTCTACTTCTGCAGCAGATGACATAAATAACCAATTTAATGCACCATCCAAAGCTCCACTAAAAAAGACTTCAAGTTTACAAAATGTAACGTCTTATCCAGTCAATAACGATCTACAAGTGCCAGGCTCGCGTAAGAGTGGGATATTGAGTACTTTGAGAAAGTATGGTGGTGACAAGGCTGCTGAGATTGTAAAACAGGTCCACTCTTCATCTGCTTCAACATCCAAAAACAATAATAATGTTGGTAAAGCTCAGAAATTTAGTAGGGCTTCTACATCAAATTCACGTGAAAGCTCTTCGTCCTATCGTCCGGTTTCACAACTTATACCTAAACGTTCATTTGATGAGAGTAGCCAATCACCTCGATCAGCTACTTCTTTGACTGTTCCTCTAGATGAGCCGAAACATTCACCTGCCAACAGTTTCAAACTGTCACACAGGTCTAGCATAGATAACTCAATTCCAGCCAATACCCCAATAGAAGATGTGTACTTACCTGTTCCTAATGGTACAGATAAAGCTTCTACCGTGATTCTTGTCACAAAAGATAATTTTCTGTTTATGCCTCTTGCATTAACTGAAGAAGAAATCGTCGATCTAAAAGTCGTTAAGGACAGGATACTCCAAAATCTAGGATTAATCGATGTTGGGTTCATATCATACCACTTAACAGATTTTAATGCTAGTCATGGACATGCTTTGAATGATGATGTCCTTTTCAAGGCGCTCACTAGTGGTCAATTCATAAAGATTATAGTCCATCAAGAGCTAGCATCACCATCTGTTGCTACCTTCTCCACCACATCATCAGACTCTAAATCCTTTGAGATCAGTGGAGAGAATGAAGAAAAAAGCTACCCTGCTACTCCACAATATTTGTTGCAAAACTCTAAAGACTCGAAAACTGACTATTGGAATTTCAAAGAACAGAATCAAATTGATAAACTATCAAAAATCCAGGAAATTCCATTAACTGGTTCTAGTGCGAATGATTCAAACCATCCGTCATCGAAGTATGCTCCTTCTAAACACTTTGCCTTGAGTATACCTTTCCCCATTCATAGAAGGCTGTCAGATAAGCTAAAACCCCCACTTCCATTAATTAACACCACCGAGCTTTCTGAAGTGAAGTCCATTCCTTCCCCATCGACGGTTAGGGTTGATACATCAGCACAATCGAGCAATAACTCATTCAAAGTGTTACGAAAGGAAGGCCGTGAAATTGATTTCGACAAGAGAAGAAGGTCTCCCTATGAAACGAAGGCACCTAAATTGATTCCCAACATATACTCATCTTCAGTGTCTAATCAGCTAAAGTCACCTGTATCAGCTACAACTGTGCACACACTCCGTGATGGTTCATTACATTCGATTTCTCCATCTCTGAAAACTAATGTCAATTCATTGCAATCCAAAAGTAGGTCAATTTCACCCAATCCTTCTATATCTCCAGGAAATGGAAACAATGTTAGCTCAAGTACGTTGAATTCAATGGTTCCTGAAAAAAGTAGAACCGGAAGTATCGTTGCTAAAAGGGCTGCTCCACCACCTCCTCAACCACAATCGAAGATACAAACTTTCCGAAACACGAATAGTTTATTGAAGAGTAAGCGATCAGGGAATATGGGTGTTTCGCTGCCAGCTGGCTCCAATATGTCTGAAGAGTTGTCATTCTCAAGCAGATCAACTAGTAGCAGCGATCACTCATTTAACTTGAAGCGTGGGTTTAGCATCACTAAAAGTATGAGCTTAAGTAGAAAGTCTACCATCGTTAAGGATGGAAATGCTTTCAAAGAAAATGCTATTTCTTTTGATGATGCCCCACCTTTGGATCTTACTGATAGTCACAAATCTGATCTTGAGAGTAACTCAACCTCATATGACGAAGATGTAGCACCGGATGATGATGATGACGATTTTTTTGTGAAGCCAGTGAAGAAGCCTCATACGACCACCAATGCTAATGTTACAGATGATGATGATGATGATGATGATGATGACTTTTTTGTCAAGCCAATCAAGAACTCTTCCGATTCGCATGAAAAGAGTGATTCTCCCTTGAAAACTTTGATAGAAAAGCCAACCGATGAAGTAAAACGTCATTCTTTACAAGATTCTGTTGCCATTAATAAAATGAGCGTTAGACCACCAATTGATGAGGTTTACAACAATCTTGAGAAGTATTTCCCTTATACCAATTTAGATAAACCAATCATTGACGATTCACCAGACTCACCTGTGGGAGTTACCAAGTCCTCAACTCCACAGCCAATTGATACACAAGGAAATATTCCATCAAGAAAGCCTGCCATATCTAGGACGTTTTCTAACGCAAACATTTCACCGGTCAAAGCGGTAGACCTGGGTGATGAAGTCTTTTATGGTGATAATCAGGAACCTAAATTGAGCCGTCGTAGAATGAAAACAATCCGTATTGTTGCAAACGAAGCTCGCAGAAAAAGACTTGAACAAAGACAGCAGTCCACTAAAGGTCAAGAAAACAGCCAGGTATCACAAGGTTCTAATTCCATCATTCCTAATCCTCAAACCACACCAAGAAACAAACAAGATGGAAATGAAGAAGCACTTATGAGATCCACCACCTCTCTGATTGAATCAAGTCCGCACACGTTGAGAAGAGCAAATACAAAATTATGGGGTCAAAAGGTAGTTGAAGTCACTTCAACTGAGATTGAAAAAGGTTTTGTAAGTAAGCTTCGGAATAATGTTAATGGAGAGTTTGAAGAATTTGCTTGGATTAAGGGTGAGCTTATTGGGAGAGGCTCATTTGGTTCGGTTTATTTAGCACTTAATGTTACTACTGGGGAGATGTTAGCCGTTAAACAAGTGGTTGTTCCCGGGTTTTCATTATCAGATAGCTCATCCAATTCAGAAGGAATTGACGCATTACATAAAGAAGTTGAAACGATGAAAGATTTGGATCATTTGAATATCGTACAGTATTTGGGATTTGAACAAAAAAACAATAGATATAGTTTATTTTTGGAATATGTCGCTGGAGGATCCATTGCATCATGTCTAAAATCTTATGGGAAATTTGATGAGCCATTGATTAAATTCATAACTAAGCAGGTATTATTAGGGCTAGCATATTTGCATTCGAATGGAATATTACATCGAGATTTGAAGGCTGATAATTTATTACTTGAAATTGATGGGACATGTAAAATATCTGATTTTGGAATTCTGAAAAAATCAAAAGATATTTACGTGAATAACGCTGAAATGTCGATGCAAGGTACGGTATTTTGGATGGCGCCCGAAGTCATTGATAACATGGTGGAAGATAAAAAGCAAGGTTATAGTGCTAAGATTGATATATGGTCATTAGGATGTGTTGTATTAGAGATGTTTGCAGGTAAGAGACCATGGTCAAATGAAGCTGTTGTTAGTGCTATATACAAGATTGGTAAGACCAAATTGGCACCACCAATCCCTGAAGATATTGAACATTTAGTGACTGATGATGCTAAAGATTTTATCAATAGGTGTTTTACAATTGATAGCGAACAAAGACCTACTGCAAAAGAATTATTAGAACACCCGTTCATGAAATTAACACCAGAGTTTTCATTTGAAAAAACTCAACTTGGAGAAATGATCAAGTACAATTCAAAAAGAAGTTTGAAAACTAAATAGAATGAACGTATTTTATTATGGTACAAATTAATATGTAGAAGAGCAAGAATGACAATGTCTATGTACAAGATGAGATATATGTAGATTATTTAAGTTTTAATTCATTAATAGTGAGGTGAGTTTGGTAATTATAAACTGGGAACGTTTTAATTCTTCTACATCTTCTCTTCTTTTTTTGAACTTCATAGTAAGGTTCTCTAGTTATTTCGGTAACACTAGCAGACAACTCATACAAGTCTGGTGAAATCCCCTTCTTTTCGGTATATGTATACTCTGGGGAGCCAAGTGCAGTAACGTCATTTAACACCAATTTATCTCCAATTTCAACGTTTTTCAATTTGAATGGTAAAATGACAGAATCACCTTTGGTGACCAAATATGGCATGTTATGAAGTCTGAAAATGGCATACAAGTCCTTTGATCCATTGGAGTCGAGCTTTAAAGCACTCAAATCAGTGGCTGGAGATGCTGATGCTTTGGAAATTGCATTTGGTACTGATTCACCGGTAGATCTACTGGCTGAGGCCAATGAACGGCCTGCATTAACATAGGCACTTCTCAAACCCTGTCTGGATAAGAATGATCCCATGCATTGTCTAGAGGATGTCTGAAGTATAGAACGAAACATCTTGATCCTGTTTATATGATTATTTGGTGGTTTTGATTACTTGATTTTTCAATTTTTCACCTTTTTTCTTTTTTTTTTTTGGTTAGCTTCCTAGCTCTAACTGTCTTTCTCACTAGAGGTTATCCTGATGGGTTCCCGCACACTCTCACTAGGACACTAATAGTTAGGTTACAAAAATGGTCCTTAATTAAAAAAAAAAACCAAATTTTCAGTATGTTTTTTCAACCATCAACGGACGAAAAAGACAAAAAAAAAATTTTCGCTCAAAATTCGCTTACAAAACAAAAAAAAAAAAAAAAAAAAAGTCAAAAATTGAGCAGCAGAAAATTTTAGAGGAACAGAAGAAGGGAAAAAAAAGCTTTTGATATCAACAAACTTGTACCTTTTTTAATAATAGTTCTTTCACTAACAGCAACACCATCCACAACAAAACCTGCTTCTTCATCACTAGGAATTTGCACCTGGTCTATTAGTCACTGGAAGATTCTTTAGACATTGCTTTGCAGATTCATTGGGCCAAAACTATACCAAGTTAGCAAAGAGAAGAGAATTCCACTAGCAGTTTACCCGCCCAACCCCTTGGATCAATAACTTTTGCTCAAGGACAGTATACATCAAGAGGTGTGAAGAAATCAACTTGACACACTAGGCTGAACTGAACGTTTCGAACGTTTCGCTTGTTTCGAATCATTGTCGAGGCGTCCATTGTTGGCGGCTATTGGCAAATCCATTCAATTCTTAAGATTTTCACAATCCATACTGGAAAACAATTCGAATTATATCCATTGGTGTTTGCTTTGTAATAAGAGATTTATTTTGAAGCTAATATCATAATATCATATAAATTGCTACATTTTTGTCTTTGATCAGATAAAAAGAAAAATTCTTTATATCTATTTATTCCAACTCCATTCCTCCCGTTATATGGTTACGACTTGTTTTTGATTTTCATATTGTACTTATTTCTTTCCTTTTCTACTACTATTCCACTTTTTCTGCTTTTTTTTCTTCTTTTCTGATTTACTTTGTCATTATTTACGTGGGAATCGATATAGAATCCCTTGCTGTACATTACTACTCCTTATTTTAATCTTTATTCGCTCATTCTAATACCGGCATCTATTCGGTTTTTTGAGAATATTCATTTTGCATTTATTTTCCCTTTTCTTTTTGTTGTTTTAAATTAGTGCATTCAAAAATCTAAAATGTCTGGTTCTTTTTGGAAATTTAGTAATGGGTTTACCTCATTATCTAATATATCTACATTACTTGAAAATCATTCGATCAATATTGAATCTGGTGATCCTCAATCAAATAATTTTAACGTGCTTATGAAATTACTAGATGAAAATGACTTATTACAAGAATTATTATCAAATAACTCCCTATTATTAGAATTCTTACGTGAAGAAGAAGTCTTGAGTATACTAGTTGATTTAGTCATCCATGAAGGTGCTTCTCAAGATGAAATCATTAAAAAATTTAACGATTTAAATATTAATGATAAAGATGATGAGAAAAACGACAACGATAATACTTCAAAAACAAATGATGATGCCAATGATGATGATTCTAAAACTGATGATAAAAATGTTTCTAGCTCTACTGATAAAATTGATACTAACGAAGAAAATTCCTCAAAGAGTAATTCAGATAAAAGTGATGACACTGATGATGAAAATGAACCAGAAGAAGAAGAAGATGATGAGGACGATGATGAAAATGAAACTGAAGAAGAGAAGAGAACTCGTTATGCTACATTAGCTGCAGAAATATTGAGTGCAGATGTCTGGTCATTGACTGATACTGTTATGGAATCTACCGAAAACTTAAATAAATTATGGGCTATATTAGATAACGATAGCCCTCTTTCTATCAATTTATCAACATATTTCATGAAAATTATGGAGCATTTGTTGGATATGAAATGCGAAGAAATGATTACTTACTTAATTGATAATCAACCTTGTTTAGTTCAAAAATTCATGAATAATTTATCAAATCCTCCTTTGATGGATTTTCTCTTAAAACTTATATCCACTGACAAGCAAGATAATGCCACCGGAATAATTGATTTCCTTCAAAATCAAGATTTGATAACATACTTGATAAATTCTCTTGATATAACCAATAGTCCAGATATTGATTATGATATCTTATTGGTTAGACAGTCTTCGGCCGCCGATTTTTTAAAAGCTTTAATCACGATCTCTGCTAATTCAACAACTGATAACTCAACCATTGGTCCTAATGAACTTACAAGAGAATTGGTTTCCTATGATCAAATGAATCGTTTATGTAATATAATGTTAAAGGGTGGTTATGCCTTAGCAAATGGTGTTGGTATTATTATAGAAATCATCAGGAAAAATAACTCTGATTACGATATTTTACCAGTGTTATATATCACTTTAGAAAGTCATCCCCCAACTGGTAGAGACCCTATATATTTAGGACATTTATTAAAAGTTTTCGGTGATAAGATAGATGACTTTAATAAATTATTAGTTGATTTTGGTGGTGATGAAAAACCAAGTTTGAAAACTCCCTTTGGTGTCATTGAACCTTTGGGTTTCGAGAGATTTAAAATTTGTGAATTAATTGCTGAATTATTGCATTGCTCTAATATGGCTCTTTTAAATGATAACAAGGGTTTCGATGTTGTGAAAGAAAGAGACTTATTAAGAGATAAAATGAAAGAATATGATCCTATAAGTTTTAAATATAATGAAGTTATTATCTTACCTAATAACGAAGACGATAATACAGAAAGCAGTGATAAGAATGATTCAACCGATGGTAATAATCAGAGGAAATCAGCCAACAACGAGGATGAAGATTATGCAAATGATACAATTGATTCGTTCAACTCGAGACTACATCAAGAAGACGAGGCTTTTGGTCAACCAAATCATTTTTCAAATGATGATGAAGCTGAAGAACCTCATGCGAATGCAAACTTATCCGAAGATCAAATCAGATCAAAACCAGTTATTGGTGATTTCTTGAAAATTGCATTATTTGATACGCAAATAATTTCCAATATTTTAGCGATGTTTTTCAAGTTTCCTTGGAACAATTTCTTACATAATGTTGTATTTGATATCGTTCAACAAGTCTTAAATGGCTCAATGGATATCGGGTTCAATAAGTTTTTAGCTATCGATTTGTTTAATAGAGGCGATATCACCAACAAGATCATCGAGGGTCAAACTTTATGCTCAGAATATGAAGCCAAACATAATGGTTTAAGATTGGGATTCATGGGTCATTTAACTCTTATTGCGGAAGAAGTTGTCAAATTCATCCAACTTTATCCTGTCAATAGTTTAAGTGAAATAATAGACCAAAAGATTGAAGACGAAGTTTGGTCAAATTATGTCAGCCATGTTTTATATGATACGAGAGAAAAATATAATGCAATTTTAGGTGGTGAGGAAGAAGAAGAATCTTCTCAAACTTTTGATGAAGGAAGTGGCGACATCATTGAAGCCGATGATCTCCAATCTGATTTACTATATGACCCAAAAGAATACCATGATATTGTGGAGACTGGGCATGATGATAATTCAGATAGTGGTGAGAATCATGACCATCAGGAAATAATTGATGAGAAAGATGAACCTGAGGATGAAGAATCCGATTTAGCTGAGAACAAAGCAATATTCACAAACAAACCACCGATGAAGGAAGAAAATGATGATGAAGAAATAAAATCAAAAAAGGCTGAGACAAACAAGTCGAATTCCAGCGACGAATCAGAATCTGATGATGATGATCATTTCACCACTTACATGACCCAGCAGTTAACCAATACTGCATCCATTACTCCATCGGTCACCAAAGTTACCCATGAGGATAATAAAATTATCAATGAAGACAATAAAAAGGAAGAATCAAAGAGTCAGTTTCCTGAGTCCTATGATTCGCAACCGTTTCAAGATGAATTTGATGATGAATATATTGATCCAAATGATGATGGATTGTCATATAAGAAATCAAATCCTCTTTATGACTCAGAAGGGACATTGAAGACTCATTCTGATTTGTCAATTCTGGATCCTCATTCGGTGGATGAGGATGATTTGTCATCAAGTTCAAGTTCGTCGGATAACGAAGATGGTGTGCTTCTTGATTATGAAGAAGATTTTCCTCGTGAGGATGGACATAAATTAACCAGAGCCGCTAGTAAAGGTTAAAACTTTAAATTGGATCCATTCAACTTTTATTTTGTTCTATATTCATTTGCTCAATTTTTTTTTTTGTTATTTTACTTTACTTTTATCTTTTTATCTTTTTATTTTAAAGCCCCATATTAGGGGTTGCTTAGTAAATTCGAATGTCTGAAATGATTAATGTTGATATATTTAATGACTTCTCTTATATAACTAATATTTTTTTTGTCTTTGTTTTTGTTTTATAATTTTCTTAACTTACTTTCTTTAAGCTACTCTTTCACTCTTTCACTATACTAATTCGCTCTAAACTCTAACACAATTTTCAAGCATAACAATATACTTATGTTATTAATAATAAGTCCATTTCTTGTTTATTTGAGTATCCAATTTTAGTAAGATGTATATTTATGATTTTACAAAAGACGACTGGATATATATTAAAAATGGTCCAGGTAAAAAGAACTGAAATTACAAAGATCCCAAAAGAAACATGCCAAAAAAGAAAATGAATAAGACCAATATTAGAAGTAAACTTATGCGGTAATTTTTCTACCTTCTCTTTGAAGAGGTGGTAAATTTTGTAAAGTAGTTTCCACTTCTTTATCGTCAGTTTCTAGAACTGGGGTACTTTGGGTGTTTGTAGTAATATTAGACGAAGAAGACATTGGAGACGAAGATGAAGAGCGGGCTGTCAATGGTATAGGGGAGACCGGAGGTTTAACATCATTGATGGGTTCAATATTCGAAGAAGAGGAAGTTGGACGAGAGATTGGCGAGGTACCTTCTTTATTTTTATTTTTAGTTGGCAAACCACCCATCAAACCTTTACTCATTGCTAATCCGGAGGATCTTTCAATACCGCCATCATCATAGAATTCATCAAGAATAGGATGCATTAAAACGGTATTAGTTTTTGTAATTGTCAAAGTAGTATTAGTTGGAACGCATATCCAATCACCACGTTCAAAAGTCAAGGGCTCTGAAGCAACAAAGATAACATCTTGAGAGCGATTCAATCTTTCCATTTTGAACAAACCAGGTTCATATTCAAAAAATCTTGAACCGGTACTGAAATGTAACGAAGCAGCTTCATCAGTTTTCGAAGTTATATAACGACTGATGACCACTGATTCACCATCAGTTATAGCAAAATTAAGAAGAGAAGGTTCTGAAGTTACATGCGTTTGCCAGTCTTTAATCAACTCTATAGTGGTCAATAAAGCTTGCTTTAAAACTTTGTGAGGAAACTGAACATTTAAATCTGTAGGATTATAACCCATTTTGAATAAAGTATCTAAGAAAAGAGCAAAACAACATTCCGAATCGGTTGAACCTTGAATATAAAGGAAAAACTCATCTTCCAAATGATTCATCAACTTCTTTTTAATCTTATCAAACGACAGAATGCCCCCGTTATGCATAAACATAATCTTACCATAAGAGAAAGGATGGCAGTTGGTTTCCAGCAAAACCCCTTGGGTTGAAGCCCTAACATGAGCAAAAACCAAATCCGATTCAGTGCATTGGGATAAATTATTCAAGTTCACATTATTCCAAGCCGGAGTGATGGCTTTAAAGATGCATGGTTGGTCACAAGTACTATAATAACCCACCCCAAAACCATCACCATTGATTGGGTTTCTCATATCTAATCTTAGTCTCGAGTCAAACGATTGGTTGATGATTGAGTGGGCAGGCTTGGTGAGCAAGTCCGACAACACCATCGACTCCCGGCCCTTGTATATCATGAAACGACACATCTTCTTCTTGGTGGTTTCAAAAGATAAGTAGTTGTTTGATTGAAAAGCTGACCCACAATTGCAAATGCAATTTTGAGCTAACAAACATCCGTACACCACAATTATTCCGTTCCACGTGATACATCCCTCAATCCGACGTGGTACGGGTGTATTGTCTGGTTAGCACACTAGTTTCCCTGCACCACCATCCCTCTATCCGAAGGGCGAGTCATCCCGCACCCAAACCTCCACAATGTAAAACGAGTCATTCTATTGTTTGCTTGTTTGCAAGGAATTCCCATCCACTCCGAAACTGTCAATTTACTATGACGTTTTGTACTTCCGGGGTTATACCTCCATTTATTTTTCATATTGTTTACTGGGGAATTAAGTCCCATAGCCAATAAGGCTAAGTGAGCTGATAAGATTTTGTAGGAGTATATAAACAAAGCTTGATCCGGTAGTAATTTTGTTCTTGCCCTTCTTTTCATTAAGATTACTATAATGTCACTTTTCAGAACTTTGCAACACTCGCCAGCTACTATTTCTATTTTCCATAATGCTAAAGTACCAGCATCAGCTAGTTTATATAAGATTCTTGATAAATCATACTGGAAATTGAATGAAGAAAAATCTCAATTTCAAGTTGATTTAATGGCTAATCAAATGCCAACTTACGATCAATTCAATCTTATTTATCATCAATGTTTGCATAATCAAACTCATAAAGATATTTTGAGAGACTGTTTCCCATTCATGAGAGATCAAAGACTGTCTACCAACAAAAACTCTAGTATTACGGTGACTTCTCCAATTGGGTTATTGGCTAACGCTAAAGGTGGTTCTGGAAACTTGAAGGTTTTCCTGGAAGGTGAATACTCTATGATATACGAAGCTTTTAATTCCCTAGTTAATGATCCGACCCCTGATGTCAACCCGGCCAACTTGTTCTTGGCCCCTCTCGTGGTTGATTGGGACCAAAACTTAATTGCCAATAATGAAGAGTCCTTATCGGTTATATTGAACAAATACAAAGCGGATATTACCGATGCCGGTCTTTCTCCTGCTTAATGGCTGTCATTTTGTTGTTATTTTATTTTAGTTTACTTTTTTTTTTTTGCCTGAATTCAATTCTTCTGCGACACCTTTCGGTTGTGCCTTCCTATATACTTTGTTTGTTTCATTTCTACTATATATTCATTTATTCACGATTCTAATGATAGTTGATTGTCCATAATGCTGTAAACGAATACTCGTTTTGTGAAGGAGATTATGCATTTGCAATCACTGTGCTCCTTGCGAATAAACTCCGAGACCCGAAACCTTTTTTCTCTCAGCGGTACGGATCGTTTCCCCCGGAGCTCAAATCTCAAGCCAAGTTGATTCGACTTGATTCAACTTGATTCAAGTATTCTTCAATGACACCACGCTCGAAGACCCTGAAAGAGGTCTACCTCTCGGTGTACAATGCCACCACTGCATTGGCATGGTCGGTAATTCTCTATGCGACGCTAAACGACCTACAACTGTACTTGGATCCAGACACTCCAGATCAATACCAATCGAATATCTACGTCAGTCACCAATTCTCTAGCTACCCCCATAAACTCTTGGTGGATATCCAATTGGTCAATGCTTGTTTTGAAATCATCCATGCAATCAGTGGTGTTGTGCCCTCTCCCGTCGGTACAGTTTTACTTCAATTTGCTGCCCGCTTATTATTAACCCACGGTATTTCGTATACTTTACCTAACTCTCCTGGTAATTTCAATTTTGCTGCATACATAACAATGTCTATCGCATGGTGCTTTTCCGAAATCATCAGATATGGTTTCTACCTTATCAAGTTGGTATACCCGGATAATATTCCTTATGCTTTGATCTGGATAAGATACTCTGCTTTCTTTCTTCTTTATCCAGCTGGGCTTCTTAGTGAGTCCACTATTGTGTACCAGAGCTTACAAGTGTTGCCCAAATGGTCACCGTACTACTGCTTTCTTGTCTTTGGGTTGTTTCTGTACGTCCCTGGGTTTGTCACTTTATATGCTTACATGATCAAGCAAAGAGGTAAGGTTTTAACTAGGCAATTGAAGTTTAGAAAACTGGCTTGAGTACCAACGTTCAATTAGTCTAGCTCAATGACTCTTATAAATAATATTGAAATTCTTCAAAGTCTTGTTTTGTATTAGGCGTGTCTCTAGCTTTTTTTTTTTTTTTTTTTTCAATGTAGTTTTTTGGTGATGTTTAAGAATTCTCGAAAACACCGACTTGTCTTCCCATCCTTCATCTCAATACAATATGTCTTCTACAGGTAAACAATCAGGAGCAACCAAGGCACCAGCTGAGCCTAACAAATGGCTTATCGCTTATAACTCGATCTCTTCCTCATTTTGGTCAATTGTTCTCTTCAATACGGTGTTTTTGGGCTCTCTTGAAGGTCAACCTATTCTTTTCAATAAAACAAACTTGATCTTAACTGTTATCCAATGCTTTGCCGTAGTTGAAATTTTCAATTCTGCTCTTGGAATCGTTAAGTCGCCTATCGTCACTACCACTGCTCAAGTTTTTTCTCGTTTACTACTTGTTCTTGGGATTATGCAATTATTACCAAATTCTCCTGCTAACTATCATTGGTGTTATATCACTCTTACCTTATCTTGGTCGATCACTGAGATTATAAGATATTCTTATTATGCTTCCAACTTGAGTAATCCTAATGGTGTTCCTTATTTCTTAACCTGGTTACGTTACTCAACTTTCTGGGTGTTATATCCAACTGGGGTTTCAAGTGAAATTGCCATGATTTATTTATCTTTGGATGAAGCTAAAAACTCCATTGGTTCTTGGTATTACTACTTTTTGATTGCCACCATTGCAACATACGCTCCAGGTTTCTATACCTTGTATACCTATATGATTAAACAAAGAAAAAAGGTCTTAGGTAAAATTTCTACTAATTCTAACGAAAAGAAATCCCAATAATTACGAAAAAATTTCAGTATGCTATTTCTTAATTTTCTATATGTACTTACTTCATTCTATTAAACATTAGTCTCTCTTAATTCATCGATCCATGAGATTAATTTTTCGGTATAATCAATAATTGTATCACCATCTGTAAACTCATACACTTTTGTAGGTTTTTCCTTCGGACTGCTAAATAAATATCCAAGTGAAAATTTATTCACTTTTGGTTTTGATGTTAAAGCACTGTTTTTCTTATTTTGTTCATAAACAACTCTGAACTTTCCTCTTACAAATATCAGATCATATTTCACACATAGTTTGGTAAGAACTTTAACAACAAGATAATTTGGTGTATACTGATACCATCTTAAATTCCAACTTATTAATCTCATCAAATTGAATAAAATGAAATCCAACGTTAAATACTCTTCAGCTAAAGATTTTGAAAATTCCAAATACAAACTTGGTGATAATGCCCTCAATATTATTTTGTTACTGAACGTTTTATTTTCATAATCATCACTGAATAAATCAATATTCGACTCATTGGTATCACTCAAGACGAATTCATCATAAATTTCAAGTAACTTTATTGTACCAAAGTAATCAAATCCACCCTCAGCGGCAACACCCATAACACTGGTCATTATTGAGCTAATTGACTCTTTCAACTTATACTTTGCGGACCAACCAAGTAATCCCATCATTTCCCACTCTAAAGCGCTATGTTGCTGATCTTCTCTGAACAAATTACTTTTTGTCATGAGTAATCTTAAATCTTCATATATAACCAAAAATAATTGCTCGAGCCATGTTTCACATTGAATAAACCCATGACTATCTTCTTGGTTATGATTAACGATGAATTCTTTTTGATTAACACTCTCAGTTGAGCTATAAACTCTTGATTGGAATGTCCGTTCTTTGATACTAACCAAGTTGTCCCATCCAATAATTGCAACAAACAATGACAATAAGTCATAACATCTACCCCATGTTGAAGTTCTATCAAAGTCGAGAATGGACGATGTAGGAGTACCAGCAGATTGAGCAGCAAGATGACTCTTTGAAGCATTAGGTCCACCAGCCTTTATTAAACTGGGGTCCACTGATGAAAGTTCAGCAGTAGATGCTGACATCAAAGGAGAATGATAAAACTGGTTACCAGTGAAAGGATGTCTGAGATGTGGATTGAAAATAAACAAGTCATGCCATAATCTCTTTATTGATCCTTCTTCGACTAAATGATCATTCAGTTTCTGATTACTCTGTGATGGAACTTTATGTAAAGATGTTGTTGAATTGGATTTAAAATTTGAGTAGCAATCCTCGTGAACTTTCGGTAATGGAAAATATGAGTCAAATGTTTTCTCTGAAATCACTTCTGAATTATTTGCGGATAATCTTGTTGCAAATGTCGATATATAAACATCTTTGATCCCACAAACTAGCTCTATGTCACTATTTCTCTGTTTATTCAAGGTAACAACTGGCAATTTATTCATAACAACCAAAGCTTTTTCGAAATTTCTTGTCAAGATTGAGCAGAGGGCTAAATAATACCAAGAGTCAAAGTCAAGAGGTAAAATACGAACACATTTTTCCGATATTTTTAATGCTAAGTCGTAACTTTGTTTCGAGATTAAAAATTTTATCTGCTCGATTAAAATTATTGCCAGTTGAGTTGTGATTACTTGTGACAGTAAATGTCGATGAATTAAATTAAGATATTCTTGTTCTTTGTTTTCACCTATGTGGGCCTTGAGTAATCTTAAAATCACAATGTCCCACTCTCCAGTTTCTCCAATGTAGTATCTTCGTCTAATTTCCTTGATGGCAACATCACAAGTCTTTCCGCTTATATCCAATTCGACCAATCTGATTAATGCATCTATTAAAGTATTTCTATAATAATTGATTTTTTTAGATCCTTCACTTTGACTTCCAGAGCCCGTTGGAACACCATGACATTGTCTCATCTCGGTTAATTGGCCCCTTGGTAAAAACTTAACCAAGCTCTTAATTGCTGGTATAATATAATTCTGTGAGTTTGTAAAACTTGCAAAACTTACCAACCCAGTCAATTGTGAACCTGGATTATCTAACTGAGCAAACAACCTAATCAAAGATGAAGCGTTCAATTCTTCCCAATAAGTTACTGATAATTGTTTGATACTATTAGCATTGAAAGCGTGTGTTTTTCTATTCTTTAAGTCATTCGTGTTCGGGGTAATTGTGTATGAACGATCAATGGTTACTGGATATTTTGCCTGAGGTCTTGAAGTATGTATGATGAACTTAGCTCTAAAGTCGGACTTGTTGAATATATTATAACAACAGTAAGTAACAATCATTTCTCTTTTGAAATTTCCCCAGTTTTCACTACTTATGTCTTTTTTCCAATGGTAACCATCTTCTTTCTTGACAAGACCGATCACTTGGGTTATATATTGTTCGACTGAGTCTTCTCTCGAATATAATGATATACCATTGGCATAATGATAAAAACCAATATATCCATCATCATCTTTCCGGTTACCTTCTTTGGACAGGCTTACAAAATCGAAATCATTGTTCAAGTAAAGTGATGATCTGTTACCATAATATTTTCCCCAGTGTATTAAGTCTGGAGACCCATTATTCGCGAGATCTAAGCCAATAGAGTCATTTGCTTTAGATCTAATTGCAATGGATTGTCCGAAATTTAACTCACGAATCCATGGAACAGTAAAATGTGTTGGCACTCTGCTGTTAGAATCTTCTGTTAATGGTAATGATGTGAACGATGATGACGATAAGTATGGGGAAAGTTGGAAAGGAAGCGAAGAGGGCAGTTGATGGCCCACGTATCTTTTTGCCACATCACTCATGGCTACTATTCCTTGTTTCTGTCAAACTAGTTACTTCGATCTGGATTCAATTGGATCCTGTAAGACAAATTTGCTCCTAATCTTTCTCTCGTTGTCGCTGGAATATATATATCAATTCAATAAAATTAATTAATGTCAGAGATTGTACCTGGATACTATCCCCCAGCCAAGGGTACTAATTGAAGAGTGAATAAAGAATTGAGTGAAGAGAAGTAAAATGTCAATCAAATGAAAATATTCATCTGTTTCGATCTGGCTCAAACAATACGAGCAAAACTGAAACTCAATTGTTTCGCTGTAAGAAATTTAAATTGAGCGTGCGGGACCACAACCGAAAGGAATCAAATCAAAAGTTCTCTACTCGTAATCTATAATAACACCAAGAAATCATAAGAATAAATTAAATTATGAACCGTAAAAGAATTAAATGTATATGTATACCTACGTATATAATGTAGTTTATGTTTCGATTATTTTTATTGTTATTTTTATTTTTATTTTTTTTGCTCTTCTGTTTTTTCACTTGAAGATAAATTTTTGATGTCTTAAAGTTTAACTAGAGTTCTTCAACATAACCAGATTGTTTACGAGACTCCATTGCAGCCTTTAAACTAGCATTTTCATTCATGATATTGCTAAATTCCTGTAAGACAGCCATGATATTCTTCGTACCCACAAAGTCGATTTTTCCCTTGTGGCCATTGGCTTCATTCAATCTTTGTCTAAGCTCGAGTATGACAACACAATTTTCAATTCTTGTGACAATATGGTTGAAGAGACTAATAAGATCTGACTCTTTAAAGTCAGTGTTGATTTTTTCAGAAATAATACCTGATGAATTTTTTTGAAAGCCTTCATTAACGTGGTAACCACCGCTCATTGATGAACAGAGATTTTCCAATTTCAAGGAAACAGTTCTCAAACCGTAGATACTTTGTACAGGTAACGCACCTACCACTCGACTAGCAGATCCGATGTCTTCATCCTTAGACAAACGTTGCTGGAAAATTTCGAATCTAACTTCTAATTTCTTGGGAAAAACTAAAGTAACAAGCTCTGGAGTTTCAAGACCCTTCAATTTCTTTTCTCCCAATTCGAAGTAGCTACATCCATTCTCTTCTAGTGAGTGTATTTCTCGTTCTATGATCTCACCCGCAAGAACATTACCTTGGTAGGCTTCGCTAATGGTTGTTTTACCTCCTTCAATTTTTTCATGAATCTCGTATAAATTCTTTATTTCATCGCAGAAGTCAGAACTCATAGCAATTTGACCTCCATCTGCAATTGCACTCACTCTTGAAGCTCTGTTGACCATTGGACCAAAATAATCCATACGTCTAGTGACCATATCAAGTTCACATACTGGAGAACCCCAATGGACCCCCATTCTCACTGATAAACCTCTGAAGATAACATTACCTTTTCCATCTGTGACTTCACAGCACTGGTCGGTCTCTAAAATTTCTGTTGGCCAATCTTCCGTTAATAATTGATGTTGAACATTAAAACACCATAAAAGAGCTGAAGTTGGGGAAGGGAAAGAAACCATGAAAGCATCACCTTCGGTCTTTACTTCATAACCACCGACAATTCTTAATTGACGGCGCATTATAGTATTATGGAGTTTAATCGCAGATCTCATGGCAACTGGATAAGTATCCCATAACAAGGTCGAATTCTTGATATCTGTGAAAACCAATGCCAAATCGCCAACCGGTGGTTCAATTTCATCTTCCAATCTTCTTAATGCTAAGTCACCTGGCTGAATTGCTCTATCTCTTCTCTTTTTGTTGGTGAATAGATCGTTTTCACGACCCAAGTTATGATATAAGGAATTCGACCCGAATTTTTTAGACTTCTGCTGTCCTAATGTAATTACCATCACTGCAATCTTATCAGTGGCACCATAACAAATTGCATAATCTCTCAATTTTTGGGCGGCAATCATTGGATCGTCCTTTTCTTGTCTCAAAATATCCACTGCCAAGTCATAGGATACATAGTCCCAGAATACTTTTGAAGCCAAAATGATCATATCATCAGCTGCAGTTAGTTCAATGTCTTTGATGTCAGGACCAGAATGAGTATGAGGCAAATACTGGAAGAAACCTACACCACGCGACACTGGTAGTATACCGTCCAAAGCACCATCTCCTGAAACGTAACCACCAGAAGCTCTGATTCTCTCGAATTCAGGTCTATTAGTAGGGTCATGTTTCTGTGTAAGTAATGTATAATCACCATTATTCTTCGACAAAAGCGCTTCAATATCACCAATATTTGCAGTATATAAGCGCTTGTCTTTTATATAAATGATAGCCACAGAACAACCAGCTTTCGCATCATCGATAAGATTTAAGGAAGCCAAATCAGGATTAGCAGAGGGTGGAGTATAATTATTAGTCTTTTGAGATGCAAGGATACTATTGATTTCTTTATTCAAAGTAAGGAATGTTCTTCTTATAGCATCGTGAACATCTTCATTCGAACCTAATCTGTTCAACTCATTTGTGAAAGAAGGAACCAAAAGACTCTTAGCAAGATGAGATATCCTATGACTTTTATGAGGGGCTCCTGATTTACCGTCAAAGGAGCAAATAAGTACTTCATTTTCGTTACCTCTGAACTTTTGGATGAAAATATCTCTACTGGATACGACATCTCTCATTCCCATTGAATCTGAAACCCCATATCCAATTGTTTCTAATTCAGAAGCAGTCGTGCGAATACGCATATCAACATTTTGATCAGGAACTGATGTAGTTGTTAAGGTGACATCAATTAAACCTAGGACTTTCAATTCCTTCAATACTAAAAGACTGTCGTAATCTTCTCCGGTGTCAGGATTCTTGATATGGCTTTGTTTGATTTCAAATCTTTTGTTACCCGAGAAATTGAGGTATCTAAGTTTCTGATTCCAATGCCAATTCCAATCGTATGGCCAATTTGAAATATTATACTTCAACTGATTAGACCCAACATCTAAATGCTGTAAGTTGACCAACTTACTTAATTCTGCCGGTAATGCAACCATTTTGTTATTATTCAAAAATAACAATTTCAAGGCCTTGATGTTTTCAATATCATCTGCTGGTAAGTTGGTTAATTCATTACCCGAAAGATATAATTCGGTTAATCGGGTTAATCTTCTCAAGGCACCCTCTGGAATTTCTAAGATATCATTATATGACAAATTAAGAGATTTCAAACCAACCAAAATAGAAATTGACTCGAAGCATTCATCGGTTAATCTATTATCTGCCAAAGTTAAAACCAACAAGCTATCAGATAAAGAAAACGAGCGTTCTGGAGAATGAGATTCTCCTGACTTTACAGTAGGGATATTTTCAGTAGATCTTTCTATAACTTCGTCATTTTCATTTGGTGAATGGATCGAAGGTCTTGCTTGTTCATCACTACTAGCCTTTTCCATAGCCAAACTTCTAAAGTTAGCAGAGGAGGATATCCTTTTAGCCACTGATAATGGAGGTTTTGGAAATGAAGTTAAAATATTTGAAGAAACGTTTAAGACCGACAATGATTTCAAGTTCCAAATGTCATCTGGTAACAATTGTAAATTATTTGAATGTAAATCTAAAAATTGCAAAGAAGTTAATTTACCAATAGTGGAAGGAAGTACTTGAAGGTTATTACCAAAAAGTGATAAAGATGTTAACTTATTTAAATTACCCAATTCGTCAGGTAAGTTTACCAAATGATTTTTATCTAAAACTAATTTTTCAATATGAGGGATCTTAGAAATGAATTCAGCCGGAATAGAAGTCAATTTGGCCTTGGATAAATCTAAAACTGTTAAAAGGGGCAATAAATTTTGAAATTCTAAATTAGTTATAGGATTTCTATCAAAGTGTAATAATCTCAAACTTTCCATTTTATCACTAAAAGCAGAAATATTATTCTTAGAAGCATAAGTTACTTCTAAGTTTGGTAACGATCCTAAAACATCAACATTCGAAATCTTATTATAACGAATATCCAATCTCTTCAAAGAAACCAAGTTTGTAAAACATGAAGGTAAAGATTTACTCAATTTATTAGTGCAAAGGTTCAATTTCGATAATTTGCTCAATTTTCCAATAGAAGGTGGAATCACGGAGAGATCATTATAAGATAAATCCAAATCTTTCAAATTCCTTAATTCACTGATTGCTTCCGGATAATGATTGAAATAGTTGGAGGAGAGATTCAAAACGGTTAAGTTTGCTAATTTACCAAAAGATTTAGGTAAAGTAGACAATTGATTCGAATTTAGTTTCAAATGGCTCAAATTTTTCAAATGACTAAATTTAGAAGGTAATTCATCCAAAAAGTTCTGTTCCAAATCTAGATGAGTTAATTTTCTTGCTTCAAGGAAATTAGTTGGAAATCTGGAGCAACCATTGTGAGCGAAAACAATACTTGTTAAATTATTACAAGATTGTATAAAATCTAAAGGAATATAAATTGAAGGATTATCAGAAACGACAAGACGTTCAATTTCATAAGTATGTTGATGGAAGATGATTGGAATATTTTTCAAATTTAAACTGCTTATATTGACATCGACGTAGTCCTTTGATAAAATGGTTTCTTCCTCGTGAGTTAAAGATCTTAACATGATATTTTCAACGACAAATTTACAAATGAAGGATAAATCTTCACGGCCGATGATTTTTAAGTTATCTTTCTCGACGTACCCACTTAACATTAACAAACCCATTTGGATCTTGAGAGGTTTTTCAAAAGGTTCTAAAACTTTAACACAATTACCAATATAAACGGTGATTTGATAATTTGAAGTACTTTCTAAGAAAAATTTTCTTTGTACAATTGTTAATAAGTCGGCTGTCGTTGTTTCTAATGGACAAAGTATGGTAGTAAATGTATTGTCTTCTTTAAAAATTCTCACAATATGATTTGGACCCTTCTTTGAATGACTAGCAGCATCACTGGATGCATTAGCTACATGTGAGCGTTGACGAGAACCATATAAGACTGGTAAATGTGTTCTTGTAGACAGCAAATCAATATTATCATCAGCATGTTTAGATCTTTGCCTTTTATTCGAACTGTGGGGGGTGAAAGAAGCACCGGCAGAAGTTGTACCAATTGGTTTAGGATATCCGGGAGTAGAGGAAGTTGATCCAGGATTTGAAGATGGCTTTGTATTACTAGATCCTTTAACGCGATTATTCAGATTAGCAGAAGAAGTTGAAGACATCGACTGTTGATCATCTTTTAATTCTGAAGATTGAATAAGATGACTATTATCACCATTCAGGTTCAAAGAGTCGGGAACTTTATTGCCACTGAACTCATAATAATCTTTTTTATCATTATTTGAGTTTAATGATTTTTGGTCACCATCATCATCTTCGGCTTCTTCTGAGTCTGTGAAAGAATCATCATCATTTTTTATATTTGGATTTTCTATTTTCACATCCCAACTATCAGGAGCTTTCCAAACACCAACATTTTTCTGATCAAAAGATTTCGTAGCTGGAGTCATTGTCATATTTTTCAAATTACCTAATGAAGTGAAAGATCTTCTAGTAGGTAATCTTTGGTTAGTTTTATTAGAATTAAAGGAAGGATTCTTGTCATTAGAATCGCTTATTGAGCCATAATGGGATCTACTATTTGAATCAGTTGGAGAATAGTTTTCTGAAGACGTAACTGAATTTTTATTTGACCGATCCGTTGGAGGTTTAACAATATCATGAAGTTCATTTAAATTTATATCAAGATCAAACATTTTACCATTGTTGAAAGAACCTTCAGTAGAGACCAGTCTTTGATTAGTATCATGTCTATCCGATTGTTGATTATTTTGTGATTGATTATTATGCAGATTTAAAGAAGGAATACGAAATTTATGTTTACCAGAATTTGCCGAACCAGATGAGCTAACACTTTTACGATTATGTTGGTTGATATTAGAAGAATTATTACCACTAGATCCAACTGAATTCTGACGACTAGAGGTATTAGTATTTGAATTGCGGGTATCATTTTGGTCAAAATCACGGACATTGGGGGGAGGATTGAAAGATGTTAAATGATTAGAGGTATGATTTTGAGAATCATTTGAATAATTGGAAGCATCCGAATCTTTTCTTGACGTAGTTGAATATATTAATTTACCTAAAAGAGATCCACTTTTTTTCTTAAATTTTGGTTTTATTGGGTGAGAAAGTGGAGGAATGTTAATACCTTTTGAACGTCTATTTGAATGGAAACCTTTATAATTATCTTTTAAGTTATTAGTATAATCATAATAATCATTTGATTTATTATTTGGAGATCTATTATTTGGTAAATCTGATTCTGAATTATTTCTAGAACGATTTAAAGAAATGATTGAAGATCTTGGACTACAATCTTCGTTTTGGTTTAAGTTTGATCTATTATGGAAATATTGATGATTTGGAGAAGATGTATTACCAGATACATCATTATTTGATATAGTTTTAGTTGCTGGTGATTTATTTTGACTTGAGTTATCATCAAACATTAAACTATCCTGTTCATCATATCTTGCATTAAAGGGGAATCCAGGACTATCCCGTCTATTATAGGAAGTTGAATTATTATTATGACTAAAATTACTTGATGAATTAATAGAAGAAACTGAAGAAGAAATCGTGGGAGCAATTGAGGATTGACTTGCCTTCTTAGCCAATTTGTTTTGACCCTGGCTTGAGATTGATCCCTGGTGATTAGGGGGGTTTAAATGATGATGAGGGGATTGAAGTTGAGATTGGGCTATAGGAGAAGGGGAATCAGGATTATCAATTGAAATTTGAGATCTATTATCCTCATGGTTTGATTTTTTCGAATTTGAATCAGGGTTGGAATTGGATAATCCAAATCCAAACGATGATTTCAAATTCGATCTTGACTTTTCTCTTCTCAAGAAACTCATTTATATGGGTAAATTGAGTAGCAAGGAGATAGGAGAAGAATAGGAAGGATCAAAAGTTTTGAAATCTTTTTTCCAGTGTCAAATTTAAAGAGAAAAGAGAGAGCAGGAATTTGAGAGGACAAAACGAAGAAACAAAGGGAAAAAAAAAAAAAAAAGCCAAAAGGAAGTCAAAAAAAACAAAAAAGAAAAACCGCTGAGGAACCGAATAGCTGAAATCAAGAGTTGAACAAAAGTCACTTTTAGCAAGGGAAGCTGAGACGTCAAGAATAATCGTGGTGACTCAAAAGAGGGTACCAGGCAGAAGGGGTAAAGCAGGAGCAGTGTAGGAATGTGCTAGAGACCAAGCGCTGTAAGATCTAAATCAGAAAACGCCGAGATCGATGATACAGTAGTGTAAGCAGACCAGAATGTTGAATAAGTAGCAGGGGAACTAGAATAAGAACTAGTAGAATAATAACCAGTAGAACTAAGTAGAATACGAGCTAGTAGGGTTGGTCGAACAAGAACTAGGCGTGACTAGACAAACTACCTCCGGGTTAGATCAATAACTAGCTAATAAGTAAGAAAGAAGTATAAGTTGTGGAAAAGATCAATTGATCAGGGGAGAGTATTGATCGAGGTCATGAGAAGAACGAGTAGTTTAGCCGCTAGAGTAGTTTACAAAAAGGATGTGATCTATCACATTCATATATTTAACTCAATTACCAAATCGGTCAATTACCCAAATCACTCTAATATAACTATACGTCTCTGTATTAGTATAACTTTAGTATAACTGTAGTATAACTAGTATAACTAGTATAACTAGTATAACTGTAGTATAACTGTATTGGCATAACTGTACCTACTCTTCTGTCAGTGTCTGTGTATTGGATCTACAGTCGGGGTTGTAAGTTTAACATGAACCATGATCATACGTATACTTGACGAGAGCTAAACGACCGTTACATCTGGTTGTTTTCCCCATTGGGCGTTTGGGTTGTATTGGTGTTTATTCGAGTTGGCGTTTGGTGTAATCGTATGCTCGGTTAAATTTTTTTGGTGCCATGATAATTTTTTCCCTTGTCGAATCAATTTTGTTGATAACTTGATTTGGATATAACATCTTTTTATTGGAGTTAATTATTGCAAATGTCAAATCCATCAAGAATAATTAATGAAAAATTACTGGAGTTATCCCCCAAGAGTATGTATAAGCCCGAATAAACTGATTTTTTTAGGTCGAAGCTTGATAATACTAACACGTCAACCAGATAATTCGATAAATAAAGCCAAATTAGATTCAATAACTGCTTTAAATTATGGAGCATCATTGAAAAATGGGATATTGGGTAAGGATAAACAAGAAAAAGTTAATTCAATTGTTGTTTTGGCAAAATTATTAGAATACGTTATTGGTAGTGAAGCAGTTTCAAATGATTTTACAAATATATTAGATTATACTTGTTTTAGAGCATTATTTTCGGTTGTTAGTCTGAATTTAGCAATTGAAACTTATAGAGCTATATTGAAAATAGCATCAGTAACTATAAGTGGATCAATTTTTAAATCAAAAGATGATTCAATTGATAAATATACTCCAATTTATGATTCATTAATTCATTGTATGGATGTGATTGATATTATAACTCAAAAATTATATCTAACTGATAACAAAATAATTTTTTTTTCAATTAAATTAGTAACTGATTTAATTAATAAATCTTTAAAATTTAATTATAATAGTATAATTTTATTAGCTGCTAGATTAAAACATGTCAATTTTTTTGCAACTGTTGGTAATCTGATTGAAACTGATGATCAACCTTTATTAGATGCTATTCATAATTTAAAAATTGCTTATTATAATTTGAATGAATATTTAAATGATACCACTTTTGATTTATCAATACAATCCCATCAATTAATGTTAAATAATTTATACATTAATTTAGAAACTTCTCTTAATGAATATGGTACTCCTGCAACAACCGATGAATTTATTAAAGCAGGTTTTACAAATAATCCAAAAAAATTCATTATCGAAAATTTTACAATATTATTAGCAATGAATTTAGAAATTTTTTTAAAAGATCCAAATATTACTTTTAAAAAAAAATTTCATGAAGAATTAATGATGAGTGATCATTCAAGAACTTTCCCCTTATGTTTATTTATTGAAAAAGTTACTGACTTATGGATTAAAATTTTCCATAATCATGAAAGTTTCCCAAATATTTACTTATCAATTTTAAGTTGGGAATTAATGATTTATTATACAATGAATAATTGTTTGATTTTATGGCAAGAAACAAAAGCTCAATTAGATTCAAATGATGTTGATGGCATTTTACATTTATTGGAATCTTATACCATCAATTTAGAATTTGATTTGGCTAATTCAAATAAACCAATTGAAGAAATTTTGGATATTACTTCTTCCCATGATAGTGAAGATATGAGAAGAGATCAGATTTTAAATTTAAAATTGAAACATCAAAATTTTTGGACAAATAGGTTCATTGAATTTGATCATCATTTAGCAAGTGAAGTCATGGATTTTGTCTGTGAACAAAGAGTTATTCAATTATTAAAAGGTTCTTGGGTCTATACTGAAAATCATGGTGAATACCTATTGAAAAATAAGGATAAAAAATCTAATTTTAAATATTATTTTATTTTATTATCTCCAAATAGAAAATCGGTTTACTTCAAAGAATTTGTTGAAAAACCTTTAATTAATCCTTCCTTTGAAGAAATGGAAACCCAATCGATCAATTTATCGGATATTCATCAATTTAAATCCTCTAAAATTGGTGATCATGTTGGTGAAGAGGATAAAAAGAAAAATAATAAATTAATCACAGTCAGAGGTACAATCTCTTATGAAAAAATCGTCTTGGTTGGTGAAAATAATAAAAAATTATTAAGTTTTTATACTGATACTCAAGTTAATAAATATGTGTGGTTAGATGGGTTGAAAATGTTAAAAGGTATGATTCATGAAGGTCAATTAAGTGAAGATACTGAAAAACAATTGGATTGCTTAATCGATATTAGAAGAAATACTCAGCTTTTAAGTTTAGAAAGTAAATCAATGGGTGGTGAACTAAATGCAGTTAATTTAGATAAAGATAGTGAAGATGATGATGAATATTATGATTTGGCAGAATTAATCGAATTAGGTACTGACAATTATCATTATAGATAGTCCCTCACTTCCTTCATCTCCCCTTTTTCTCCATAATCCTTCAATTCTTTTTGTAATATCCCTGTTATTTATTATAATTCTTTAATATATCAAGTTTAGACCTTGTCGTGAATGTAAAATTGCAAATCCTGTATATTGACGAAGGATGCCCTTCTGCGCATCGTAGCTTTTTTTTTTTATTTTATTTTTTTTTTTTTTTCTTTTGAAAGCTCATCTTCAAATTTTTCAGATAATATTGATCTATTCATTTTGCAATTAGCAATATAAAACGCTTATAGGTAAAATGGCAAAGTCAAAGTCAAAGTCAAAATCTGCGGTGGAAAAGGCCCCAAAGGATGATTTTATATTGACCATTGATAGCGACTCAGAAACTGAACCTGTAATTCAAGATGATTCCTCTGATGAAGAAGAAATAGAAAAACCAAAGTCTAAATCAAAGAAACAAACAAAGAAAGTAGAACCAAAGCCAGAAGAAGAAGAAGGTGTTCCAGATGAAATAAATCCAGATTTCCAATTCAGTATGGATGGGTTTGACACCACTACCCAATTTAATGGCTGGGATTTCAAGATAGATCAAGAAAATAAAGAAGTCGGGGAAAAACCTAAAGATGTTAACCTTGATGAAATCTTAAGAAGAAAAGGGGGGTTGGCAAGCTTAGCAGGTCGTGATGCCAAGGATGTTGCAGAAGAGAAGGAAGAAGAAGAAGAAGAAGAAGAAGAAGAAGAAGAAGAAAAAGAAGAAGAAAAAGAAGCCAATGATGAAGATGACGAAGAACTAGCACTCGATGGCTTTGGTATGGGTGTTAAAGAAGAAAGCAGTGATGAAGAAGATGAGGATAAGGATGAGGATAAGGACGAAGAAGAAGACGAAGACGAAGGTGAACAAATGGAATATCAAGATGATGGTAAATCGGAAGAAAAGCCTGAAGACTCACCAGAAGAAATAGCCAAGTTTTATGCAACTAAAGAAGATACCGAAAATGCTGAAAAGCAAACCCACCAGAATTTCCAATCTTTGCAATTATCACGTCCTGTGTTGAAAGGTTTAGCCCAATTGGGTTATACAAAGCCATCACCAATTCAATCTGCATCTATTCCAATCTCTTTATTGGGTAAAGATATAGTTGCTGGTGCTGTTACTGGGTCTGGTAAGACAGCTGCATACATGATACCAATCATTGAAAGACTTTTATATAAACCAAGTAAAGTTGCCTCCACAAGAGTTATAGTATTAACTCCAACTAGAGAATTGGCAATTCAAGTTTGTGATGTTGGGAAGAAAATAGCTAGATTTGTTAGTAATTTAAATTTTGGTTTAGCAGTTGGTGGGTTAAATTTAAGACAACAGGAACAACAATTGAAAACTAGACCCGATATTGTCATTGCCACCCCGGGTAGATTAATTGATCATATTCGTAATTCTGCTTCATTTTCAATTGAATCATTAGAAGTTTTGGTTATTGATGAAGCTGATCGTATGTTAGAAGAAGGTTTCCAAACTGAATTAACTGAAATTTTATCTTTAATTCCAAAGCATAAAAGACAAACATTATTATTTTCCGCTACTATGAATACCAGAATTCAAGATTTAATTCAATTATCTTTAGATAAACCAGTCCGTATTATGATTGATCCTCCAAAAGCAGCTGCTTCAAAGTTAATCCAAGAATTCGTTCGTATCCGTAAAAGAGAGCATTTGAAACCCGCTCTTTTATTCAACTTATTGAAAACTGTTGATCCAAATCAACAAAATCGTATAGTTGTCTTCGTTGCAAGAAAAGAAAGTGCTCATAGATTGAGAATTATTCTTGGTTTACTTGGTATGAAAGTTTCCGAATTACATGGTTCATTAACGCAAGAACAACGTTTGCAAAGTGTTACTGATTTTAAGAATTTGACGGTACCAGTTTTAATATGTACTGATTTAGCTGCTAGAGGTTTAGATATTCCTAAAATTGAAATTGTTATCAATTATGATATGCCTAAATCCCATGAAATTTATTTGCATAGAGTTGGTAGAACTGCAAGAGCCGGTAGAGATGGTAAATCTATCACCTTTGTTGGTGAATCAACCCAAGATAGAGCAATTGTTAAAGAAAGTCTTAAGTCGATTGCCCAAACCGAAGAAGAAAATAAGAAAAATAAAAAAGCACATATCAAGGGAAAGGCTGTTTCTCGTAATGTTGATTGGAAAGAAGTCGAAAATCTTAATCTTCTTGTTGAACAAAAAAATGACACTATTCAAGAAGTCTTAGATGAAGAGAAGGAAGAAAAAGAAATTTTACAAGCTGAAATGCAATTGAATAAGGCTTCAAACTTAATGAAACATGAAAAAGAAATCAAAGCTCGTCCAAAAAGAACTTGGTTTGAATCAGAAGAAGATAAAAAGAAAAATCAAACTCAAGTAATGCAACATTTAACAAAACACGGTAAGAAAGTTAACTCTAGAAAGAGAAAGGCTATTGAAGCCAGAAAAGAATCCGGTAGATCTTATAAAAAAACCAAATCTGATAGATTGGCATTCCAAGGTAAGTCTCGTAATGTCAAAGTGAAAGGTAAGAAGAAATAGACCTTAAATTTGTATATTAAATAATTAAAATAATCATAAAACTTAAATAATCATAAATTGGTTGTAAATTTTTTTTTTTGCAGTGGCAGTGTTTAACCTGTACGTTTGTAACCTGCACTATTTTTTTTTCAGTTTGTTGGTCCTAAATTGTTTCCGTTCTTAAACAAGTTGTAACAGAATGTCTAATACCTCAACTTCAACATAATAACTTGGACAAGATGACATTTTTCAGAAACGGCTACAGACGATTGGTGGCAGGATCTCAGGATCACGATATAAATAACCCATCAAAGCTATTTTTCCAAATCATAATACTACAATGCTTTTATTATTTGACGGCACTAATTATCTTTTACTTGGTAGCATCACTAAACGGATATGATTTCAAAGTCGATTGGATATTTCTGTGGGAGCTCATTACTCTGAATAATGCAATGGGGTTAATGCTTTTCGCGTTATGGCTTTTTGATGCCCTCTTGTGTGTTTTATTTGTTACTATTGTTGTTGGTAGATCTAAGATGGTCTGGGATTTCGCTCTTACAATTCATATCATCAACTTGATAGTTGTATGGGTTTATTCAGGAAAGTTTCCTACTTCGGTATTATGGTGGTGTCTCCAAATTTTAAGCAGTATAATCCTTTTGTCATTGTCTACATATCTGACAAGATGGAAAGAGTTGAGAACTACATTTTTTGAAAATATGCTAGATCAACAGGAGTTGGGTGAAGTACAACATCCATCTCAACCTATTGAAATGCATAACTTGGATGCAGAAACCCAAGGATCCCTGTCGAAATAATAACCAATATTCTTTTGTTCATTTTGTATTTACAATTATATAGCATACTATTCTTAATAAACATCATCTTTAATGGGGCCCTCTTTCGCCACTTTGATTATGGAGCCTATGAGCTTGCTTAATTCGTCTTGTTTGATGATGTAAGGAGGCATTATGTATATCAACTTCCCGAATGGTCTGACCCAGACTCCTAAATCAACAAACATTTTTTGGCAACCTCCCATATTGACCGGTTTAGTCAACTCTATCACCCCAATGGCACCAAGAACTCTAACATCTTTAATGCGACTGTTGTTTTCTCCCTTCAATGGTAGAAGCTCTTTCAACAATTGATTTTCGATGGCAGCCACTTGTTCTCTCCATTTGCCAGTTTGCAACATCTCTAAATTTCTTACACTTGCAGCGCATGCAAGTGGATTTCCCATAAACGTTGGACCATGCATAAAGCAACCACTTTTGCCTGAACTGATTGTTTCTGAAACTTGTCTTGTGGAAATAACGGCTGCTAATGTCAAATATCCACCAGAAATCGCTTTACCAACGCACATGATGTCGGGTCTAATGTTTGCATGTTCATAAGCAAACAATTTCCCAGTACGCCCAAAGCCGGTCGCAACTTCATCTAAGACCAAGAGTATATTGTGTTTATCACAAAGTTCCCTAACTCTCTTGAGGTACATTGGATGATACATCCTCATACCTCCAGCACCTTGAAGAACCGGCTCGATAATCACTGCCGCAAGCTTGTCTTTATTTTCTTCGATTTTACTCTCGAAGCTGGAAGTGTCTGATTCATCCCATTCATCTCTGTATCCTATCTGGGGTGGATCAGCAAATATATTTTCCGGGACATATCCTTTGTATAAAGTGTGCATGGAATTCACTGGATCACATACTGACATTGCCCCAAAAGTATCTCCATGATAGCCATGTCCAATGGTAAGAAACTTCTTTCTATTCGATTCACCTTTAGCTTCCCAATATTGAATTGCCTGCTTAAGAGCAACCTCAACCGATACGGATCCACTATCACATAAGAATACACATTCAAGGTCTTTATGCGTCATATCGACCAACAATTTACAAAGATTAATCGCCGGATCATGAGTTATCCCACCAAACATAATATGTGACACCTTCAGAACTTGCTCAACAACGGCTTCGTTTATCTCTTTATTATTATATCCATGTATAGCACACCACCAAGATGACATACCATCAATGAGTCTCTCGCCAGTGTCAAGGTTAATATATACACCATCTGCAGAATTCACTTGGTAGCAAGGCAATGGCTGCAACATCGAGGTATATGGGTGCCATATGTGTTTTTTGTCAAACTCTTCCTTTTCGTTATGGTTCATAGTGTGTTGATTAACTAAAGAGATTCAATTTATATCACCCTTTCAAGGTTATATTTATATTATGGGAACGAGCTGGTGAGTCAATTGAACTCCCCTAAAAATTATAGTGCGTATGCTGCATACATTTTTGTCTCGTTGACAGATGACTCGTAGTCATTTTCACAACGCTTTTCGATCTCCGAAGTACTGTTTTCCCTTTTATACTCTACTTTTTAGCAAATGAACTCAACAAAATTTGAAGGTCTAAAAATCTCAATTTATCCTTTCTTTCTTTCCTTCTAATCTTAAATTTTGTTTCAGTTAATTGACATAGATGAGTAAGTCATATTTTGTTACTGGGACTGATACCGACGTTGGTAAAACTTTTATTAGTGCTCTATTGGTAAAAGCATGGAAAGCAAACTACTGGAAGCCGCTTCAAACAGGGTTGAATTGTGATCAAGGAGACACTAAGTTGGTCAAAAGCTTAACTGGATTACCGGAAGATCATTTTAAGAAACCTCAGGTAGAACTACAAATTCCATTATCGCCGTGGAGAGCTGCTTCAGAAGAGGGGGTCCCAACGATAAAGGTTTCAGATGTCATTATTCCACAAAGCTTTACAGAGAGTGAAAGGCCACTTATTGTTGAAGGTGCTGGTGGATTGTATGTTCCAATAAATGAAATCGAGATTACATCGCATTTGATAGAACACTTAGATATGCCAACAATTTTGGTAGCCAGAAGTGGATTGGGTACTTTAAATCACACCTTATTGAGTATTGAGCATATGAAATCTAGAGGAATCAAAATCGCAGGAATTGTCTTGAATGGTGAAATAAATTCCGGAAATGCTGAAACAATCCAACATTTTGCACCTGATGTCCCTATTATTGCCCAAATACCACTCCAAAAGGATGGTGATTTGGAGAGCTTGATTGATTTGGTACCATCTATTGACAAGATTTAGAAATAAAGATATATAATTTGTGTAAAGATTTAAAATTTTGTTGGAATATTTGCTCAGCTTTGTGTATTGTAAATGTGATTAAGAGTCATGATTGATGCGTATAAGCTCTTGAAAAATCTTTTTTTTTTATATATATATTGTTAAATACTTGAAGCTAGAATTTGAAAGTGCAATTATGGATTCAAGCTAATTGGTCTTTGCTCATTATCCAAGGTTTAATAAATATGAGTATGAATTCAGAGTCAAATATAAAGCCAGACGATCGCACAAGTGTTCAAGAAATTGAGTCTGCTGTATCAGAAACATCAAATCATGGGTTTGATAAAAATTTTAGCTGGTGGTCGTTGTTTTCTACTAGTTTTGGGCTAACTGCATCTTGGTTGGGGGTTTCTGGGAGCTTTGGGACTGGATTAGCTTCAGGAGGGGCTGTTTTGATTATATATGGTTTGATCATTGGTGCTTTTTTCAGCTCAGCAGTAGCCATCACCTTGGCTGAACTATTAAGTGCATTTTGCAACTCTGGTGGTCAGTATTATTGGTCCCTTCAACTTGCACCACCAAGATATAAAAGATTTTTAGCGTTTTTCACTGGAATTTTGAGTTACTTTGGCTCGATATTTACAGCTGCATCGGTCACCTCTACATTAGCTGCTTCAATTGTTGCTTTATATGGCTTGAAGAACCCCAATTTTACCATTGAAACTTGGCATATTTTCGTTACGTACGAAGTTATAAATGTATTCGTCGCAATCTTCAACATTTATGGTAAAACTTTACCTTTTATTACCGGTTCAGCATTATACTTTTCTTTACTTGCATTTATAGTTACATTAGTAACTTGTCTTGCTTGTTCTTCTGGAAATTTTAATCTGCCGAAGTTTGTTTTTTCAGATTTTACGAACACAACTAGTTGGGAAAACTCTGGTATTGCTTTTATCGTTGGTCTAATTAGTCCCATTTGGTCATTTGTTGGTTTAGATGCAGCTGCTCATATGGTTGACGAGCTTGGTTATAGAAAAGCAAAAATTTTGGTACCAAGAGCTATTATTTGCACTGTTATATTGGGTTTCGTGACCGCTTTTTCATATTCAATAGGTATTTTCTTTTGTACTAACGATTCCAGCAAGATTGTATCAGCAGCTTATCCAAGATTGGAAATATTTTATCAAGCGACCAAGAATGTGGGTGGTGCTATTTTCCTTGAATGTCTATGTGTTACAACTGGGATCCTATGCAATGTCACTGCACACACCTGGCAAGCCAGAATTTGTTGGTCTTTTGCAAGAGATAATGGTTTACCATTCTCTAATATCCTTCGTAGAGTCGATCCAAATTTGAAGACACCCGTGAATGCTCATCTATTTTCTTGCTTTTGGATAGCGGTTATTGGTTGTATTTACCAAGGTTCTTCCACTTCATTCAATGCTATAATTACAGCTTCAATTTGCCTTTTGTTGGTATCATATTGCATACCGACTGTTCTTCTCTTGTTTAAGGGAAGAAGCAATATAGATCATGGGCCATTCTGGGCTGGAAAATTCGGGTTGGTTGCAAATATCCTTACTATTTGTTGGACTCTCTTTTGTCTTACATTTTTATCGTTTCCTTATCAAAAGCCAGTTACTAGTGGGAATATGAACTATGTATCTGCAGTTTATGGAGTTATTGTTTTTTACCTTATCGCCTATTGGTATATTATAGGTAAAAAGACATTCAATGCTGGAGCATGCCATTCCGAAATATCATTATAGAGACTTATGTATTTGTATTATGTATCTAATTTATAATTCGTAAATGAAATTTTCGTTTTCAAGATCAGTCAAATCTAAAGCTGCAATATCTACTGCTTCTTCTTCTCCGCCTTCTATTTGAACATAACCATAACTCAGTTCTCCGATGTTAGATAGCCTTTTCTTATTTCTTCTTCTCAATATGAGATCAATGAGGAGCAAAATTGTAGGAGCAAAAGACCAAGCGATAACGATCTGGATAATCCAAGCAGGGTAGTACCTAGGACTATCTGTTTCTCGCCAAATTTGTGGAGCGATTATGTTAGAAACCGAGTAGGCAATCATAACCATAACCGAGCGAGTATAAATCTTGGTCAGCCCAGAAGTGGATGTAACAGTCCAAGAATAACCTATAATCCAAGTAATGGCATGAGTTGAGGCGGCTAACATTAGACTTCCCACTAATCCAATTTTGTTTTCATATGACAATGAAACCATTAAAATACCACCTATCACTGAAGGAATGCACCAACCGAAAGCAACATATGCTCTAATATTTCTTACTTTGAACATGATGTAAGAAGCGGAAGCACTACATAATATCGAGAAGCAAGCTTGAATGACGGTGATGTAGGTTGTCTTGATTCTTGACATTCCTCCAATCCCACTATAGAGAAGATTTTTCTGATAATTTAAATTATTACCCAAGTTTAGACAACACATGAAAAGTACAAATAACCAGCTTATGGGATCCTTCAATGATTCTATCATTTGATATTTCTTGAACCTCTTCAGCTCAATAGAGGATCTAGAAGCTTTTTGAATTCTTCTAATAGTCCAGACTCTTTCTTGTATAGTAAGAAATTTTGCATTTGTAGGATTATTAGGAAAGAAATATAATAGAAATATACTTGTTAAAAATGTAAATCCACCGATAATAATCATAAAAATTTTCCAAGGGTGTAAAGAATTTTTGGTATGAAGAACACCAAAGGCTATGAATCCAGTGGGTATATCACTAGCGAAAGCTGAGGCATAGAATATTGGTTGAACAGCAGATCTTTCTGAGGGAGTCAAAAAAAATGATTGCACGATAACTAATAAGGACGTAACATAACTTTCAACAACCCCTAAAAAGAATCTCAAAGCGTATACTCCTGATGGATTGTGAGCTGTACAATGTAAGAAGATAATGATGCTCCATATAAAAACTTGAACAGTCAAGAGTTTACCAATTGGTAAACGCTGCATCAATAAATGGCCTGGGATATTACCAATGAGGTATCCCACATAATAAAGAGAGTTTGCATCATTATATTGACTCTTGCTAAGTCCAGTATCATCCAATAGACCTAAGATAGAAGCATAACTAAGGGTAGCTTTGTCCATGAAAAGTAACAGATTTACAAGAAAAGCAATAGGAACAATTACCCATTTTATTTTTGTAGATAGCTCTTTCTCTTCCTTGAGAGTAATTTCTCTAATATCAGAATCATATTGATTCATAAAGGAAAGAGTGACGTCTGCATCTTTCAATTTGACTAATCGAGGAGATGGATCTTGATCCGCGTTATCTAAGATTTGGCCAGTTTCATGAATTAAGATATCCGATTTTTTATCATTTGACTTTGGAGGCATAATAATACAGAGGAAAATGACTATTGATTAATATCTCACGCCCACTAGAAACATCGAGTATAAAGCATCGAGTACGAAACATCAAGTCTCAATTTAGCTGATAACGTCAATCTCAAACTAATGAGAAATTTCCGTTAATGTTTTACTGTGGCGCATATTTTCCGCTTCAACATAACTGGTTTGACGTGGCTTTCGAATACAGAAAACGGGATAATATTCAAACTGTATTATAGTACTAAAGCCAGTGTGATCATATATTCCCTTTCCTTTGTAATGTCAGGTTCTGCATTTTTTTGTTTGCTTCGGAGAGTACTATTGAAGTACATAACTTACACTGATTTTTTGAGAATAATGTAGAAAGTTGTTCAATATCTTTAAAAAATGCGTTGCGCACATCGATCTTTGATCATTTGTTTTTTATGATACAGAAAGGCATTCATATAAAGCTTATTTAACAATCAAAACGACCAATTCGATTGATATGGAGCTCAAAGAACACCCACTTTCTTCGGGTAACATGCTTCAGTTTTTTTTTTTTTTTTTTTTTCGCAGCCAATAAATTTCACAGAGTTAGAAAACCTGGAACCTCCTTCCTCCTCCCCGAAGATCTCTCGAGATAATTACTAATTACTATCTTTAACCAAACGAAATTGCTTTGAGGTGATTAAATTTGTGTTGTCGAACGTTCCGAAGGCAAGCATACTTTATTGTAGCTAACACGCTAAAAGAAGACAACAATTTTATGGGGATTAAGAAGAGAGGTAATTTAGCTGAAATCATTGTTTTCTTTACTGGATTGTAGGCACCAAAAACGGCAAAGAATCTGAAAGATAAGCCAATATAAGAAAAAATCTTACAAAAGTTAGTCGAAAAGGCTGTACGGACGGGCAGCACTGCATCCCAAGAAAGACTTGAAAGCTTTGAGAAATACTAAAACGAAAATTTGAGTGAAATTATGAAACGACCAAAATCAGAAATAGCAATATCAGGTCTCTCGTATTGGCATTCATGATAAGGAGCTGCAAGTTATTATACCAATTTAGAAGATTGATGTTGAATTGTCGCGTCCATTTCAGGAAAGAGCGCTTGTAACAAAAAAAAAAAAAGATGCAAAAAACAGCTAAGATAACTATTCAAATATTGCCAAATGATTATTGATACTTTTTGGAGGAAAAGTCTATATAAGAAAGTGAGTCCTGCTCCCAGTTAGCCAAAATTTTTAAAAACTATATCAATACAAAAAACTACAAACTCAAAAATCAAAATGGCTGCTTCTCAATCTAACACTCAATCTAACCAAGGTTCTAAACCAGAAACTCAAGACAACAAAGCTTACGTTAGTCATGGTGCTGTTATCTACAGCACCTGTACTATTGTTTAAATGGTGTCACTTTCCCTCGTGATGAACAATAAGTAGCATCTTAAGTTCATCGCTTTTTTTTTTTTTTTTTTTTTTTTTTTTTTTTTTTTTTTTTTTTTTTTTTTTGCTATCTTTTTCCTTTCTGTTGTTGCAACATACTTCGGTATGTTTTTATATAATTTGTTTTTAATAAAATGACTTTTAAAAAAATATTCTGTAGAATAGAAGGGTAGCTGACATGCGGGACTACTTTATTTGTGCTTCACTTTTATTGTCAAGAGTTGGAAAAAATTATATTCTCTTTCGTTTTGGGTCCCTACATTCTTGATATATACTCAAAGGAATCATTTTTGAAGAAGTCCAAAAACTCGGTTTAAGTTTATCTTTCTCAAACTATTCACTCCATCTTGTTCGTTGAAACTCTCGCTGGACTTTGTACTTGTACCCCCCTCCCCGAAAAGTGTGTACTCATTGCTTCAGGAAAATATTAAAGAAGACTCAGCACAAGGGGTATCTATTGGACTTACTCGAGCAAAAACTTTGGATTTGATGAGATGTATGGTTCAATTTTATTAGCTTTTTTTTTCCTATTTTTGTTTTATACATAAAACGTTCTATAGTTACAAGATCAAACAACCCCCCTTTTTCCTTAAAATAAAGAAGATCAATCATTCTTATGACCTAACTGAAGTCCAGGGAGGTTGAAATAATGCAATTTCGAAGTGGACCGTACTCAATAGGGACGCCCCCCTCTGATACTTTGTGTCAAATTTTTTAAATGTTAAATTAAAGCCTCAATTTACAAAGTGTCAAGTACATCAAATATGGGGAGCTATATAAAAGGCAATTTTGAAATCAAATACGCTGTAAATTCAAAAAGTTTTTTTTTCACCTATACTTTTATATATTTGATCTAAATACTAACTATATAGAGATAAAGAGAGTAGATAGAGATATATAAAAGGGGTGCATAGTGGAAAATTTGAAATATTTAAATTGGTTTATGTATTGAAACAAACACTATTCTAAAATTACAAGAAAATGAATATCCAGAAATTTTCAAATTTTGTAAAATGGGCGTGTGGTCTAGTGGTATGATTCTCGCTTTGGGCGACTGTTCAGTACACTGAACGGAACATCACTAAGCATGCGAGAGGCCCTGGGTTCAATTCCCAGCTCGCCCCTTTTATTTTTAATTTTTTTTCACCCCCTGTACCTTATTGCCTTTCTAATTAGTACAAATTATGACATAATCTACTCAGTAACAATAAAAAGAATAAGGATCAACCTTTGAAAACGCGTAATGAGTTGGAATTGAACGGAAGAAACCTAAAAGGTAACAAGTTTCAACAGACAAACAAGTTAGTCAATTAACAAAGACAAGGGTTGAAATTCGCCTTACGGGAGGATCAAAAATCGGAGAATATTCTTTAATAGGCTATCACAAAGTTGGTCTACAAGTGCCCTCATTATAGAATCCCCCACGAAGTAACTCCACAAACTTTAGTATAGTTATCCGGAGTAAGAAGTCGTTCACGGCAGAATTATAGAAATCAATTGTCGGAGAGATTGATTTATTAACACGAAACGGTCGGACAATGTCGCATTTTCCTGAGCTTTTCTTTTTTTTTATCTCTTCATCTGGAGCTTTTTTCTCTTTTGCAATTATTGGAGCTGTCGGCTGAAACGTCATATTGTGCTCTGTCAAACCAAACCAGGAAATATCTCATTGGAAATAGATGATGCCATAAGTTGTAGCACAATAAGTATAATGAAATCATCCATTTCGAAGAATTGTAACCGGATTATTCTTACAAAAAGAAAAGCAATGTACTGTATACAATCTTTTCTTTTTTATAAATTTTTTTTTTTTTTTTGTTAGTGTTGTGCGATGATTGCAAATAAAGTAGGCTATTCCTATATACTAGAACCCGCCAAAAAGAGAACGTAGTAACTATTTCGAAATCTTATCAAGGGGTTTCTTTTTCTCGACTAGAAAAGGGTATAAATACGGCAGAATGTCTTCCACTTTAACTTGAGCAAGGAGTAGAATTATAAGATACATACACACAAATCAATAAAATGACTGTCGACGAAAACACTCCAGCTGCCACTTCATACTGCAACAAGGACATTGGTAATTTACCAGCTCAATTCCCAAGTTTATCTCCAAATATTTTGGATTTATTCTTATTAACTGGTAAATCTGCTGTTATCACTGGTGGTGCTCGTGGTATTGGTTATGTTATTAGTGAAGCTTACTGTCAAGCAGGTTTAAAAAACTTAGCTATTATTGATTACGCTGCTAATGTTTTAAATATTGAAAAATTACAAGCTCAATTCCCTAAAACTAACATTACTTATAATCATTGTGATGTTCGTAAATCTGATGAAGTTGCTAAAGTTATTGGTGAAATTCATCAAAATTTTGGTGAAATCGATATTTTTGTTGCCAATGCTGGTATTGCTTGGACTGATGGTCCTTTAATTGACCAAGACAATGATGACCTGTGGCATAACGTTGTTAATGTTGATTTAAACGGGGTTTATTATTGTGCTAAAAATATTGGTCGTATTTTCAGAGATCAAGGTAAAGGTTCTTTGGTTATGACTGCTTCAATGTCTGCTCATATCGTTAACGTTCCTCAATTGCAAGCTGCTTATAATGCTGCCAAGGCTGGTGTTTTACACTTGGGTAAATCCTTAGCCGTTGAATGGGCTCCTTTTGCTAGAGTCAACACTGTTAGTCCTGGTTATATTGCAACCGAATTATCAGACTTTATCCCTGAAGATCAAAAGAACAAATGGTATTCCATCACTCCTAAAGGTCGTCAAGGTTTACCAAGAGAATTATGTGGTGCTTACTTGTACTTAGCCTCCGACGCTGCTACTTTTGTCACTGGGGCTGACTTGAGAGTCGATGGTGGTTACTGTGCCGTCTAATCCTATCATATTCTTTTATTGTTTATTGTTTCTATACTATTGTAATTATCTTTTTTTTAATTATTTCTTTTTTAAATCGTGGAATCAGCATCCCTTTATAGAGCTTTATAGACCCACAATGAATATAATAAACTATATAAGATGAATATGAGTAGTAAATTGCAAAATCAAATCATAATGAGCGTCACACGTCCACTGTCTTCTTTTTTTTTTTTTTACATTTTTCTTCCTCAATGCGTCCCGGCAAGGTACGGGTGTGATGGGCTCCATCCTCGGATGCGAAATCGATCTGATTGGCCCGCCCGCGCACGACCACCTGCTCGACAAATTAAATTGCGTTAATTTCACCATTACTAACCCAGTTCTCTTTATATGGGGTAAAACCAGAAGGGGATGTACGGAGGTACTTCCGAGAGGATCCCGCAAATTTACGGGTATTCTGACTGGCTACATTGTTTCCTGAGAAAGGTTAAGCGGTATTTTTCATCTTCCCTTATTGCTCATATAAATATATATATATATTCAATTGAAGTTATATATCAGAGTAATTGAGCCTTTGATACCTCGCTACTGTTAACTGACTGCGAAGCTCTTCAAATTTTCTGTTTGGCTTCAACTTGGATTTTTTTTTTCGTGTTTTTTTTATTTTTTTTTTTGGTGTAATTTGTTTTATTCCTTCGTTCATTCGTCGGTACACCACCTTATTCTCCTCTCCTTCTCACTAGTAATTTTTTTCCTTTCCTCTTTGAAAGAATCTGTTGATACTCTTCTTTTCTTGAAGCTCAACTTGATAATTAGTTATGTTATCTACTAAATTGAGAAATTTGACTTCGGTGGCCCGTTGTTCAAAAGCCAATTTTTCAACCTCATCGGTTGTTAAACAAGTTATTGGTAATGATGTTAAAGGTGATACTTTTAATGCTGCCAAATATATGGGTCAAAAATATCATGTAATTGATCATGAATATGATTGTGTTGTTGTTGGTGCCGGTGGTGCCGGTTTAAGAGCAGCCTTTGGTTTAGCAGAAGCTGGATATAAAACTGCTTGTATTTCAAAATTATTCCCAACTAGATCTCATACCGTGGCTGCTCAAGGTGGTATCAATGCTGCTTTAGGAAATATGCATAAAGATGATTGGCATTGGCATATGTATGATACTGTTAAAGGTTCCGATTGGTTAGGTGATCAAGATGCTATTCATTATATGACTAAAGAAGCCCCAGCTTCAATTTACGAATTAGAAAATTATGGGGTTCCATTTTCAAGAAATGAAGAAGGTCGTATATATCAAAGAGCTTTTGGTGGTCAATCAAAAGAATATGGTAAAGGTGGTCAAGCTTATAGAACTTGTGCAGTTGCTGATAGAACTGGTCATGCTTTATTACATTCTTTATATGGTCAATCTTTAAGACATGATACTCATTTTTTCATTGAATTTTTTGCAATGGATTTATTAATGCAAGATGGTGCTTGTGTTGGTGTGGTTGCTTACAATGAAGAAGATGGTACTTTACATAGATTTAGATCTCATAAAACCGTTATTGCTACTGGTGGTTATGGTCGTGCTTATTTCTCCTGTACTTCTGCTCATACTTGTACTGGTGATGGTTATGCAATGGTTAGTCGTGCTGGTTTACCTTTAGAAGATTTGGAATTCGTTCAATTCCATCCTTCTGGTATTTATGGTTCTGGTTGTTTAATTACTGAAGGTGCTAGAGGTGAAGGTGGTTTCTTGGTTAATTCTGAAGGTGAACGTTTTATGGAACGTTATGCTCCAAGTGCTAAAGATTTAGCTTCTAGAGATGTTGTTAGTCGTGCTATTACTATGGAAATTAATGAAGGTAGAGGTGTTGGTCCATTAAAAGATCACATGTATTTACAATTAAGTCATATTCCTGCTTCTGTTTTAAAGGAAAGATTACCAGGTATTTCTGAAACTGCTCACATTTTCGCTGGGGTTGATGTTACAAAAGAACCAATTCCAATTTTACCAACTGTTCATTATAATATGGGTGGTATTCCAACCAAATGGAATGGTGAAGTTGTTAAACAAAATGAAAAGGGTGAAGATGAAGTTGTTCCAGGTTTATTGGCTTGTGGTGAAGCTGCTTGTGCTTCAGTTCATGGTGCCAATAGATTAGGTGCCAACTCTTTATTAGATTTGGTTGTTTTCGGTAGAGCTGTTAGTCATACCATTAGAGATTCTTTAACTCCTGGTACTCCATTACCACCAGCTCCAAAAGATTTAGGTTATGAATCAATTGAAAACTTACATAACTTAAGAACTGCTAATGGTACTAAGTCCACTGCTGATATTAGAAATGATATGCAAAGAACTATGCAAAAAGGTTGTGCAGTTTTCAGATTACAAGATACTTTAGATGAATGTGTTGAAAACATCAATAAAGTTGATGAATCATTCAAACATGTTAAAACCACTGATAGATCAATGATTTGGAATTCTGATTTAGTTGAAACTTTAGAATTACAAAACTTACTTACTTGTGCTACTCAAACCGCTGCTTCTGCCGCTGCTAGAAAAGAATCAAGAGGTGCTCATGCAAGAGATGATTACCAAGAAAGAGATGATGTTAACTGGAGAAAACACACTTTATCTTACCAAGATTCTTTCGGTGCCCCAGTTAAATTAGCTTACAGAGATGTCATTGCTACTACTTTAGATGAAAGTGATTGTAAACCAGTTCCTCCAGCTAAACGTGTTTATTAATCTCCTCTTCTGTTTTCTGCAAGGAGTCATTATGTTAGCATGTAATCAATTGAATAAAAATTTCTCTTAATTTTCAAGATAACCATCTTAATTATCAAGTTATTTATTTTATTCTTTTATTCCCTTTTAAACTATTCAATAACTCTATTTCTATTTAGTTTTTATTACTGTATCCCTCCCAACTTGTTAAATTGGGGCTTTTCTTATTTATTTAAATACAAAATCATTATAAAGTTCTTCTTCGCCAACTCGTAATACTTAGATCTTCACCAATACCAAACTCCATCGCCAATGGTTTCCGATGGTGAAGCTTCGAATCTTCTAGCAACAGCTTTGAAGTCTTAGACACCGGTCGTGCACCAATTCCTACCACTATACGTCATACAAAAAAATATAATATAGGGGATAATACATTTAATAGCAAGCTTAAAGCATTGCTAAATAACACGAAATCTTATAAGATTATTTGCTGCCAATAAATTATTGTGATTCTTATGACATAAAAGCTATTCCATGTTGAGGATCAACCCTAAAAGGAATCCAAAGATGTAATTATACCGGCTCTCGGAGTCCGATTGATATAGCAAGGTTAAGTAGATATTTCATGCGCACGGAACAATTGTAAGACATGCTTCCCTAATCAGCCACTCACTAATTTTACAACCTAAAATACTATATAAATTAAAGCAATTCTTGGAAATTTCAATTCTTTTTAAATATTTGAAAGTATTATCTTTTAACCATTCTATCTTTTATAACATTTGCATCTAAGGAAATATGCCAGAAGTACAATCTATAATTAATCCAAAAGTCGGTCCATTACCAAGACCAACCCCACCTACCAAAACCAATGTGATGGACTTGTTTTCATTAAGAGGTAAAGTTGCCTCAGTCACTGGGTCTTCCAGTGGGATTGGTTTTGCAGTGGCTGAAGCCTATGCCCAATCTGGTGCAGACGTTGCCATTTGGTACAATTCCCATCCAGCAGAGGAAAAAGCCGAGTACTTATCCAAGGAGTATAATGTCAAGGCCAGAGCTTATAAATGTAACGTTTCTGATCCAAATGATGTTGAGCGAGTCATTTACCAAATTGAAAAAGATTTTGGTACCATTGACATTTTTGTTGCAAATGCTGGTGTCCCTTGGACTGAAGGTGAATGTATTGATGTTAAAGGTTGGGATAGTTGGAAAAAAGTTATTGATTGTGATTTAAACGGGGTTTACTATTGTGCTAAACCAGTTGGTCAAATCTTTAAGAGAAAGGGTAAAGGTTCTTTGATTATAACTGCCTCAATGTCTGGTCATATAGTCAACGTTCCTCAATTGCAAGCTCCTTATAATGCAGCCAAAGCCGCCTGTATTCATTTGGCCAAATCCTTGGCTGTTGAATGGGCTCCTTTTGCTAGAGTCAACACTGTCAGTCCTGGTTATATTGCAACTGAATTATCCGATTTTGTTCCAGAAGATCAAAAAAATAAATGGTACCAATTAATTCCTTTAGGTAGAGAAGGTGAAACTAAAGAATTGGTTGGTGCTTACTTATACTTTGCATCAGATGCATCTTCTTACACTACCGGTACTGACCTTTTGGTTGATGGTGGATACTGTGCTCCATAATCAAATCACTTTTTTTTTTAAAAAAAAATTTTACATTTTTAGTTCGTTCTTGTCTATATATACTTCATATTTAGATTTATTTAGTTAATGCATCGGTTCCTTTTATATTGTGTTTTCTTTGCGTAATCCTCTTTCGTCACGGCCCAATGATATTGGGTCCATCTTCGGTCCATTCCCCCACGACATCCCCTATCCCAAACTTTAAACCTCTGACCCCCACCCTCTCTCCGCGTTTGGGATTCCTAGAGTCAGCCTTTTACTTTCCCGATCTATACTACGGAAAGGAAAGGCAATATCTGGGGACTAACAATGAATCAAATTGTAATGGTTATTTAAACCAAACGAAATTCCTAAACCTTGTGAAAACCCATCAAAGGACAAAAAAAAATATTTAAAAATGCCTGAAGTACAATCATTTATCAATCCAGCCGTTGGTCCATTACCAAGGCCAGGTCCTCCCAAAAAAAACCATGTCTTTGACTTGTTCTCATTGAAAGGCAAGGTTGCCTCAGTCACTGGATCTTCCAGTGGGATTGGTTTTGCCGTGGCTGAAGCCTATGCACAAGCAGGTGCAGACGTTGCAATTTGGTACAATTCCCATCCAGCAGAAGAAAAAGCTGAGGCCTTATCCAAAGAATACAACGTCAAGGTCAGAGCTTACAAATGCAATATCAATGAACCCGATGAGGTTGAACGGGTCATTTCTCAGATCGAGAAGGATTTTGGGTCAATTGATATATTTGTTGCAAATGCCGGTATTCCTTGGACCGAAGGTGAATGCATCGAAGTCAAAGGCTGGGATAGTTGGAAAAAAATTATCGATTTAGACTTACATGGAGTTTACTATTGTGCTAAAACTGTAGGTCGAATCTTTAAGAAAAATGGTAAAGGTTCTTTGATTATAACTGCCTCAATGTCTGGTCATATAGTTAACGTTCCTCAATTACAAACTCCTTACAATACTGCTAAATCAGCTTGCATCCATCTAGCAAAGTCCTTGGCTATTGAATGGGCTCCTTTTGCTAGAGTCAATGCCATCAGCCCTGGTTATATTAAAACAGAAATTGGTAATTTTGTTCCCCGAGAACAGAAAGAAAGATGGTGGCAGTTGACCCCTCTAGGACGAGAAGCAGAAGTTCAAGAATTGGTTGGTGCTTATTTGTATTTGGCTTCTGACGCTTCCACTTTCACCACCGGTACATCCATCTTGGTGGACGGTGGATACTGTGCTCCATAATACTTGTAGTAATTAATATACATATCAATTGCAACCATCGGTTGATTCTCGTAATGAAAGTACTTAGTTTGAAGTAACTGCGTTCAAAAATACTATCGCGCGAGTTGTACGGAGTTTTTTTGTCTAGCTTTGTCCTCCCCTTTTTGTTGGTGAATTTTCTTTTTCGTTTCTAGTTAACAAGATAGTTAACACGCTATAAGGAATTTTCAAGTAATTACTTGCTGGATTAACCATGGATCAAGATGATTTGACTGCATCACATTGGGATGATGTAATATCACCCAATAAACCTGCATTCACCAATTTGACGTCGTCGTATTTGCCTAGTTTTAATAATGAATTTAACGAGTTATCTATTGATGATAGAAATGCAGAAGACCAAGAAGAAGAACAAGACAAACAAAGTCAAGATGGAGAAAGGAATCAGGCAGAAGAGTACGATCCCGAGCAAGATCAATTGAATGATTTGCGTAAAGAAGAAAGAAAAGAACATAAACAAAATTTAATAACTGAATTAACCAATGGATCAGAAGAAAACGAATTAGAGAATTCATTTATAGCATCACCCAAGAAAGTGAATGTAAATGATTCACTTTTCAATGATAAAGACAGCCCGATAAAGATCAATAATGATGATAATAAGAATATCGAAGAATTACAAGGATCACCAAAGAGGGCAAATCAATTGAAGAACGGGAAATTTAAAGTACCTAGAATCAGACGATATAATTCCAAAACCGTTAGTAAACATTTAAATGAAAATAACATAGAGCCACCGTTATCAGCAGGACCGTTAGGGAATAATGAGACTGAAGATGATTCGATATCAAATGATAAATCATCAGTAAGATCGAATACTAAAGCTGATCAATTAGTTCATGAAGCAAATGCACCATTGTATGATGTGCCACAAATATCCGACGAGGAGAGATTGAAAAACTTATCAAAACCCAAAAAGATTGAAAATACGGTAAGTAAAGAGACCAATGAAGAAAAGGAAGGAAGTAAATTTAATCCTCTAATTGAAATATCCGTTGGCGATCCAATGAAAGTTGGCGATATCACCACTGCTCATATCGTGTACTCAATTAAGATTCGAATCAAGAATTCTAATGATGAAAGATGGAAAAAATTTGATAAAGATGAAATATTAGTAACTAGAAGATATAAAGATTTCAGATGGATATACCATCAATTACAAAATAACCACCCTGGTAAGATTATTCCACCACCACCGGCCAAACAAACATACATAGGAAGATTTAACGAAAATTTCATTGAGAATAGAAGACTATCCTTAGAAAAAATGTTAAATAAGATTGCTAATATTGAAAAATTATACTATGATGATGATTTCATGATGTTTTTAACGTCTGAAGATTTTATCAATGAAAGTAAAGAACGAGAAAGATTAAGTGGACTGGGGGCATCAATGCAAAATAATGAGTTTTTAGATAATGATGGTGATTCTAATAAGAATGGTAATGAAGATATAGTTGTGGCACCAATAGTTGGAAATGGTGGGAATAGTGGAGGAGGATTCATGAGTTCATTTTTTTCAATGTCTAATAAAATCAATGAACCTGATGAATATTTTACTAATAAAAAAACATATATTGAAGATATGGAATACAATTTGAAGAATTTTTATAAAAGTTTAGAATTAATTGGTAATCAAAGATTAGAAATGATTGGAGTAATTGATGAAATATCAATAACAATTGAAGAATTATCAACTTTCGAAATTAGTAAAATTACCAGTGAATTATTAAATTCATTTAGCGAAGTTCAAATAAAATTAAAAGAAAATTTAGATCGAATTAATTTACAAGATCAATTGACTTTGGGCTTTACAATTGAAGAATACTTGAGAATTATCGGATCCATTAAATTTACATTTGAAACTAGACTGAAAATTCACCAACAATACTATAATTTCCAAACTGAATTAAATAAAAAACAAAGTCAATTAGATAAATTGAATAAAAAATATAAATCTTCAATTGATAAAATAAATCAATTATCGTTTGAAGTTGATAAGTTAAAACAAAAGACTTCAATTTATGAAAAAAATTTTAATAACATAAGTGAAACGATCAAAGAAGAATTAGAAAATTTCGAAATCGAAAGAATCGACGACTTCAGAAATAGCGTCGAAATATTCATTGAAAGCTCAATCGAAGCCCAAAAGGAAGCAATTGAATTATGGGAAACCTTTTATGAACGCCAAAATTTAGCAGCTGCTTAAATGAAACCTCCGCACACCAGAAACCTCCGTACATAGTTTTCAAATGAATCTTTCTTTGTCCTTTCCGTGAAGCTCCGCAACATTCCCTCCGCTTTGCTCCGTGCACCTCTACCTTACCAAGTATTACAGGATAACTTACAGTACATAGGATGACTCACTTTATAGTCTAATAAAGCTACTAAAGACAAATGGCTACCTTAGCATAGTGACATTTCGTGATGAGCCATGACTCAAGGACTCGGTTACTAACGGTAATGGATAAGGCGCACATGGCAGAAAACAATACGAAAAAATAGTAACTAATTGATTTGAAAACGTAGTAACCGTAATAACAGAGTCAACTCAACTATGATTCTACTTGCTTTGATTTCTCCAGGTGATATCGTCGACCCGAGAGCAACTTGTCCATTAACCTGGCAATACAAGTCAACCGATAAGTAAAAGCCACCTATCATTTAAGCATTAAAGTGTAAGAGCATATATCGGTAAGGAACATTTGAGGGGATTCACCGTAGTTAGTGCCGCATACATTTTATTATTCTTATTTTTTTTTTTTTAGATCAATGATTCACTAGGGTTTTTAATATTCAATTATTTCAATAATTTCAATCAATTTTATTAGTTTATATATATATATATTGTGCCATTGGCCTGCTTTTCTGTTTCTTTTTGTCTAGATTATTGTAATCTGTATGTATGTTTGGACCATTGCAGCCGCTCTAGAATGAATAGTCAAGTGCATTTGAATCCTACAAGATTGTCTATACTCTCTATTCCAAGATCCAAGTATTGGGTTTTTTTAAGCCCTATATTGCAAATGCTTCACCATGAAGCTGATCAGGATGCTGAAGAGGATTCTGACAGTGAGAGTGAAAGTGAAAGTGAGAGTGATGATGATGAAGAGGATCAGGTTGAGTCATCCAAGGATGACTCGATTGATGAACAGCCATCTCCGTTTCCAACCCAAAGAAGATCATCCAAGGATCTTTTGAATCATAAAGCAATTGATAACTCGAGCAAAGTTACTAGTGAAGATTCACAATCGTCACCATTTTCAAGTCCCTCTACTGAAAGTGATGATTCAGAAATTGATGACGACAATCACTTTTTTCATATCGGATTTACTCCTATTGAATGTACCATCATATGCTCAACTTGTATTATGAATGAGTATTTTATTGATGCTTTAAAGATATGTCAGTCTCTTGAATACGATGATGTTAAACTTATTAAAGAATCGTTTATTAGTTTACAAATCGATAGTGATGGTAGTTTTAATCATAGTTTAAGGATATTGGAATTGACAAGACCCTTAAGTGAAAATAACATTCCATTATTTTTTATTTCAAGTCACTATTGTGATATTGTTTTAATCCCGGTTAATTTTAAAGAAAAAGTTATTCATATATTGACTCAAAAAAATTTTGAGTTTTCTGAAAATTCAAATAGTTATATTTCAAATATCCCCGATATAAATTTGACCGACCAATTGGTTAGTCCAATCAATAAGGATTTAGAATCGTCTATCTTTAAAAGTTTCCATGATTGTCATATAAAGCCAGTCGTTAACTCAAAAATAAATCTATTATTGACTGGAGCGAGAACCGGTGAATCAATTAATACCATTAATAAAACTATAAAAATCTTATCAACCAATTCAATCCCTGATTACTTCATTGTTACCAGAACTTCGATCAATAAGATCTCTTTGGTTTTACCAAAATCTAAAAAGACTCGTAAGGCTTTAGGTTTTGATTCTTCAAATTTAATTGGATCAACCCAAGATATTATTATACCTATATCAATTGACTTGGCGAAGTTACCTCTTGATTCAACCGGTATAGTTGCTGGTTTGGCAAGTAAAATTATCAATAATTTTCCCCAAGATTTACAATTTGAAATGAATTACTTATCAATGGCAAGATCTGGTATCTTGATGATACCAAAGGAAAATTTATCCGTTATCAAAAGAATCTTAAACGATATCAATTATGATAATCTCGACAATGTGGGGGCATCTTGTTCCAGTTTACAAGATGATATCAATTCTTTGAAAGTTTAGTTTTCGCATCCATCTTAAATTACTATTAGTCATATATTTTTTTTTTGCATTAGATCACTATGCTTCGTTTATTTTATTATGCATTCAACAGTCATTAGTCATTAGTTCATAGTTAATTCTTTTCTATTTATTTTCACGAATCCTACGATATATCTAATAAAGATTTATATTACAACAAAATTCAACTATATAAACTATAAAAATAACAACATGTATTAACTCAATGTTTTCTACCCTTCTTCTTAGGTTTGACACTGGTGCTCCAACCATTCTCATCAACGGTTGAAACTTTATCAGCACTTGAAACAATCGCACTTTGCCAATCAAGATCATCACTAGCCCCAATAGTTTGGTCAACCTTGCTTTTTCTTTTCAAAAATTCTTGACTAAATCGTCTACCGTCCATAATAGCACTTGAACTATAAATGGTTTCAGCAATTAATTGTGATGAATCTTGATTAGTTGGTAAAGTGATGAAAATATCTAATAAATCGTCTTTGGAAACAGTTGGGTATAAATTGGTCATATTCGATCTAGCCCAGATTAAAAATTCTTCTCTGATTCCATTATAGTCAACAGTATTGGTTGGAACATTAGATTTAGAGGCCGAAACTGATCTTAATAACTGTGGGGACGATTTGATAGAATTATTGGTAATAACTGGTGTTGTTGGTTTTTTAGTAGTAACTGGTTGTTTTTTAGATGTAACAGTAGTCCAAGCTCCATCATCTTTTGAAACAGAATTAGCGGCGGCATTTGCAAAAGATTGCTTACTTGTGGAGCTACTCATTGATGTTGAATTATTCATTGCAATGGCTGCGGCGGCTGAATTGGCTTTTGCCTTAGCAGCAGCTTCTGCTTCTTCTTTCTGAATCTCAGCTAATGTTTTCTTAGCGACCACTGGTTTAGTATTAGTTGCCCAACTTGATGTCTTTGGTAAACCTGGTTTCTCGGACAATTGTTGTTGCTTTTCTTCTTCAGCTAATTGTCTTGCAGCAGCGGCAACGGCAGCAGCTTTTTCATTTCTTAATTCTTGTTTTTGCTTTTCTAATTTTTCAGCTTCTAATTTTTGAATTTCTTTTAAGGTTAAAGTTGGTTTCTTTTGAGATTCAGTCTTAACAGTAGCTGCTGCCCAAGGCGCCAACTGTTGTTGAGGTTGAGATGCAGGTTTCAAGTTTTCAATAGATGGAGTTTCTTTAGATTTGGAGGCTTGAAGTTCTTGGATTGGTGACTCAGTTTCAACAGATTGTTTAGGAGTATCTTGTTGACCTTGTTTTGATGGTTCTTGTTGTTCTTGTTGGCTTGGATGCCCTGGTTGTTGATATTGCTGTTGTTGTTCAATGACTGAACCAGAGGTTTGTTCATTAACTGGCTCAGGAATTGATTCATGAACTGGTTCAGGAACTGGTTGTGAGAAAGGTTTCGGCTCAGGAACTGGTTCAGGAATTTGTTGGGAAATTTGATCCAGTTTTACTGGTAAATTATTTGAGCTGTGGTCTTCACCATCGCTTAAGATATCAGTAACTGAATTATGAATTTGGTTTAATACATGATCATCAACATGTTGGTGATTAGTATTAGGATAATTTACTGAATTGCTGTTCGTTTCTATTTTATCATTACTAGGTAAGTTTGAAGAAGGAACAAAAGGAGAACTGACTCGAGACTGGGATTGAGCGGCCGAAATCCATGGAGATAAAGGTGCTGGTTGAGTCAATTGAGATGCTAATGGTTGGCTAACATTTACTGGTGTAGTTGGTGTACTGCCCATGAATCCACTTGAGGGATCAATACCCCAACCACTATTAGCCCTGGAAAGAACTGGTTGTTGTTGACTTTGGATTTGCTGTTGTAATAAAGATGGCATATGCAATCCACTAGACAAAGGTTGATTAAAACTACCCAAACCACTAGGATTCACGGCATCGATACCAAACTGATTGTTGGTAAAAGCCGGGTTTGCCAGAGAAGACAAAGGAGTAGCGCTGAAAGGATCTTGAGGTGACATGAAATCATTACCAAATAAATTAGACTGGGAACCCATTGTTGTGTTCAATCTCATGTTGGCAGCACCAAGATTACCAGGTCCATGAGACAAAAATTGATGAAATTGAGAAGGATGCTGGTTTCCAAAAGGTAATGAGGGTTGTTGCTGAGGTGGAGGCGGTGGAGGTTGATGAAGTCCTCTTGTATTTTGGGGAGTTTGGAATTGATCAAATTGCTGAGTTTGAGGTTGAGCAGTATTTGGATTCTGAACAGACATGTGTGAAACATCGTTGGCTTTAGCGTAACTTAAATCAGGAAGTGGGACTTGGAAAGGTTGAATGTAATTCTCAAGGCTATCACATAGTTGTTTTAAAGTTTGAAATTGGCCCTCTTCTTTTCTTCTAATCATCAAATCGAGATTCAAATAGCCATCAGTTAACCACTCCTGCATCATACTACCATTAAAAGGACCTTGTTCATTACCACTAGGATCTAAATAAAACCATTCAATTTGAGATGGATGCAAAAGGGGAGTTTCAGAAATGGGATTACTCGAGACAGGGTTATCAGATTTGGGGAAAATACCCGGAGGAGGTCCTTGCGAAGACCTAACTGGTTCATTTGCAGCTCCATTTAAGGTTTGATTCGGTGGATCAACAATAGATAAATTGGCTAAAGATTCATTCAAATCATTTGCATTTTGTTTAGGAGATTGCGAAGTAACGGGAGTCTCTTTTGTAGATTCGGAGTTCAAATTTTGCAAGTCTAAATGATAAATTTGATTCGGTTCTGATACTTTGTAATTTTCTGTTTCGGTTACTGAATTTGAAGAAATAGTATTTAAAATACGTTCTTTATTATCATACCAAACTTTGAAGACTTCATCCATTGAATAATGCTTGCTGCCTTTGTTAGGGGGGATTATTACACCCGAAGGATTGTAATAGCCACTAGCTGGCTGATCTTGCAGTGGAACTTCTGTATTGTCTAAAGTATTCGAAGTATCTGAAAGTTGCGATTTGCGAGTCCTATGGAAACTTGGTTAGTATATAAAATCAATGAATCTTCTTAAACGATGATACATACCAAGAAGTTTGTGACATTTTATATGTTCTTTAATTCAAATATGTTTTTTTTGAAGTTTTGTTTTATTATATTTAATTTAGTGATGATAAAAATCGAGGTCTTCAAAATAATATAATATGAAAGAAGAAACTCTAGTAATATGCTATAATGAACAATTAAAAGACGATTTAAGTTAAGAGTTGGATCAATGCAAGTGACTTTTGTCAAAATTCGATGATTCTTTGAGAAATGAATAAAACTTTAAATTAAAGATTCCACTTTGAAAAGTTTTATAAGCCCAATGGAATTTGTATCTGGCCCTCTACTGAACAAATTTTCACGATCTCTCACTAAAAAAAAAAAAAAATTTTCCTCTTCAATGAGAACGACGAGGTTAGTACACACCAATACACAAAACGCAGTTGGGAATCATAATTAAGAGGTTTAGCAAGGGATTAAGTAAAGATAGAGATGATAAGATGAGAATTTGAGAGCTTGAGAGCTTGTTTGGGGAGATTTGGTTAAAAATTGGCTAGGTTCGTAGAATGAGGAAGAAATTGGTGAAGTTGGTTGGAGGAGTTTGTAAAACCTTCAAATCAACTTAGGGTATAGTTTACGAAATATCAGGTTAACATTGACGTGCATTATACTATAAATACAATTGGGGAAGGTATTCAGATACCCATTTTCTTTTCCATTTCGGTATGGAAATCTTTAACGTTGTTACCGGACTCAATGCCACCTTTATATATGTCATCCCAATCCACGCTAGCATCTTTATTTAATAAGATATCTTTATGAATGTTTGCGGATCCACCCAAAACTGAAGGTTTGAAGTCGGTAGCATCGACGATTTCCAAATCCATGGTTCTTTTGATTGGTTCTCCTGCACCAAAGATTCTTCTATAAGTTTCTAATTGAGTTTGTTGTTGAGTTGATTCCCAATTGTTGATTCTTGATTCTAATGGATGACGGTTATTGATCTTGGAAGCCATATTCAAAGGCCCTTCTTGGGTTTTCAAAATATCTTGTAAACCTGGTGCATGTTCTGCTGGTGCACCATATTTAGTACTATTTATTGATGATTGATGACTATTGTCTGGAACAATTCTCATTGACTATTGAAGTAGCAGTTAGTATTATGATTCGATGTCCGATCACTAGTGTAAGTCCACATACCATTGTGATTAGAGTTGGTTTATAATGAGTATCTTGTTATCTAGTTGGTTTTTTATCTTTCATTTTCTTTTACTACCAGTGGCGAACAGATATTCGGTAGTGACACTACACGTAGGTGTACGGGTGTACATATTCATATATATATATTTTGGGTGCAATTTATTTATGGTGTAGATACTTGTGAAAGCTACATTCTTTCAATTTGTTCATCTACTACGTCTATCAAACGTTCATGGGAACCGGGAGTTTTCAAAAAGGTAGGAACCCAGCTCCATTCTTCTGGTCTCAACACTCCATTGAAGCAAAGAGTACCAAATACCAATATCACAAATCCAATGAATTGTAATAAATGGAAAGATTCCCAGCCCATGACTAATGCGAGAAGCCATACCATTAACGTACGACAGGTGTCTATGGTGGATCTTGCCGTGGCCGACAATTCGTGAGTTAATGAAATACCACAGAAATTAAAAGATGCAATGGAAATCATGATAAGAACAGAAGACATCACTATTTGTTTTGATGAAAAAGTTTGCAGTAAGGACTCAGATAAGTTGAAAGGAGAGTCGATGAATTTGCTTTTGGGTTGCAAACTACCAACAATGAAGTTAAGTACGATCAAGGTGATGAGCATGATTGAAAAACCATAGAAACCTTCAATATAGACTAACTTCAAAGGGATAATTGATTTTTCAGCTAGTATATATTCCTCGAATACAAATTGTATTGCCTGGAAAGTAACTGCCGCGATAACCAAAGAAATACCGAAAACCACCAATGCTGATTCTCCAGGAGAAGTAACAGTAGCTGAACTTTCGTCCGAAGACCTAGATCCCGAATAGCCAACAATGGCAATCCCCAAAGTCACTGTCACCAAAGATATCCATTCAAGGCGAGTGATTCTTCTTTTCAAAAATAATACCGATAAAATCGCAACAAACAATACAATAGACCCTCTGGTCATTTGATATATTGACACTGGGGTATAAAACAACCCAATGTTCATCAAGGTGGTTGCACACAAGTCGCAAATGGATGGAACCGATAACTTCAAGCTTTCAATCAATGAAAGATCATCGGTGTCCGTTCTAGTTGGTTCGTCTGATTCTATCGCCTCATATCCTCGCTTCTTCTTAGCATAAGATGATAAGTATATAGCATAATACACTAAGAATACCGACAATTCTCCCATGAACATCTGGAGAGTTTGGATAGCAGGCTGGTTAAAGTCCTTCAGCTTGGCTGGATCGTCACAGTACTTAACGCATTGGTTATCTTGGTATTTCGTGAACAACGAATTCGACGTTCCCGACAAAATCGTTCCCACAACGAGCAAGGCCCTATATCCATAGACCCCCCAAGCCATCTTGCTTATACTTGTTAGACTTGTCTGTTGCGAATCTTCTAGATATTTAAATAGTTATCGCCATGTTTTACTTCTCCCTTTGTTGTCTGGTTTAAGTAAAAAATTCCTCTAGTGGGTCCTTGTGTGCACGGCACACTTTTTCCCACTACCACCAACTTCCGTTTCTACGAAGTTATTCAGTTCCAACCACAAGTGCAACGGTTGAGTCCCAGTGTATTGGCTAATGGATAGATTGTGGAAAGTCCATAGAGAAGGCATGGGCACAAAGGCAACTTGATAGGGCATCTTATAGCCCCGAACCACTGCTTGTTGCTCAGACTTCCTCGAAGAGTCTTGGGAACCCCCGCCTTGTTGTATCCTATACATGAACCTTGAGCAGGATTGTCAAATGTTGCGTTAGTGTGGTTGTTGTTGGTCCTTATCCCCCCACATAAGTGATTTTGATTGCAAAAAGACTGCAAAAAAGACTGCAAAAAACATTACACCCATACACCACCAGTAAATTTAGGCGATGGTGCGTCAAAAATGGTTTCCAACGCATACAAAAAAGGCCAAATTCTTACATAAGCAGGGGTTACCCGGTGTTCGCAGGGAGAAAAAATTTGTGAAAAAAATGAAAAACTCCATCGCAGGGTATGAGAAGAGCATTAATTTTTTCACAACTATTTTCTTTTCTAGTATATCATTATTAACTTCGGTAATTATAAAGAATAAGTAGTAGGATCTTATTTTTTATATTCGTTTATCAATAGACTCAAGTTAATACAAGTACAAAATGGCTTTCGGTGCTCCAAGAGGTAGAGGTTCTGACAGAGGTGGCCGTGGTGGTGGCCGTGGTGGATTCGGTGGCCGTGGTGGTGCCAGAGGTGGTGGCCGTGGTGGATTCGGTGGCCGTGGTGGTGCCAGAGGTGGTGCTCGTGGTGGTGCTCGTGGTGGTGCCAGAGGTGGTGCTCGCGGTGGTGCCAGAGGTGGCCGTGGTGGTGCCAGAGGTGGTGCCAGAGGTGGTGCTAAAGTTGTCATTGAACCTCATAGACATGCTGGTGTCTTCATTGCCAGAGGTAAAGAAGATTTATTAGTTACCAGAAACACTGCTCCAGGTGAATCAGTCTACGGTGAAAAAAGAATCTCTGTTGAAGAACCTGCTCAAGAAGAAGGTGCTGCTCCAACCAAGATTGAATACCGTGTTTGGAATCCTTTCAGATCTAAATTGGCTGCTGGTATTATGGGTGGTATTGATGAATTAGGTATTGCTCCAGGTAAAAAAGTTTTATATTTGGGTGCTGCTTCCGGTACTTCAGTTTCTCACGTTGCTGATGTTGTTGGTCCAGAAGGTTTAGTTTATGCTGTTGAATTCTCTCATAGACCAGGTAGAGAATTAATTGGTATGGCTAAAAAGAGACCAAATGTCATTCCAATCATTGATGATGCTCGTCATCCTCAAAAATACCGTATGTTGATTGGTATGGTTGATGCTGTCTTTGCCGATGTTGCTCAACCAGATCAAGCTCGTATTATTGCCTTAAACTCTCATATGTTCTTAAAAGATCAAGGTACCGTTGTTATCTCCATTAAGGCTAACTGTATTGATTCTACCGTTGACGCTGAAACCGTTTTCGCAAGAGAAGTTCAAAAATTAAGAGAAGAAAGAATTAAACCTTTAGAACAATTAACTTTAGAACCTTATGAAAGAGATCATTGTATTGTTGTTGGTCGTTATGTCAGAAGTGGTTTGAAAAAATAATCCCTTCGATCCCCAATTAACTCTCCCCATAGCATTTTTACAAACTCTCAAAGCATCTCTAGCTACTAAGACTGTTCTTACTCATTAAAATTGGTATTAACTCTATATTTCGTTTCATGTATTTTATCTTAATAAATTTGTTATTTTTTTAATTAGTAAGACCTCCGTACATTTCGAAACTCTACTTTTTCTTTTTTCTTTACAGACTCGGTTAGTACACTACGCCGTCCTTTATAGATGTTACTATCTAAACAGTATGATAGTTTATTGATATACATAAGTTATACTAAGTTTTTTCTAATTTTCTCTTTACTGCTTCTTCTTTTCCGTGCTTGACTATTCATAAAGGAACGGAAATTGCCCTTGGAAACGTCAGTGGTTGAAATTCCCGGAAAAAAATGGATAATACTAGACTTGGGCCTAACCCGGATGGAGCATCCGATGATCAGCACGGTAATCGAAACCAAAATCAAGAACCAACCTCTCCTAGAAGCATATCTAAAGTACCAGAAGCTATTGATGAAACAGATATACGACAGCAAGAAAGCGCTCCCTCCAGTCAACAAGACGAAACCAACCGAGTTGAGTCTGCTGGTATACCCAGTATTGCGGAAGCTTCGATATCAAACGATGAGACACTACCGCCATCAGATGGCCATACAAATCGCCACCATAGCATTATCGAGATTTCGGATGATGATGCCGATACGGAAAGTAGGGTGAATGTCAGTGATTATAGAAGGGAAGATGATAGTAATGATGTGATTGTAATCAATGATACCAACGATAATGATAATGACAACGATATAAACGATAATGACATTCAGATTACAGGCTCTAATACCATAGAACCACTGCTAATACCAGTACCAATCAATGAAGAGTCCAATGATGTTCCCACCAGAGGACATATACGGCCTGGTTCACCAATAGAATATATTCAAGGTCGTAATGTCCGGAGGAGATTAAGTAACCATTCAGATGATGAAATCGAAATCACTGGACAAAGGCCCGCTCGACAAGCTCTTCGCTACCTACCTCAAGTTGAAAATCCTCCGATACTATCTGATGGCGAGATATTTCGACAAAGCATAATGCGGCAGATTGAAACTCCCCTTGGAATATTTGAAGATGATGATCCTTATTTTAGTCGCCCAAGAGAAAGAGAACAACCTGCTCCTAACCCTGCATTCATCCGTTTTCAATTCGGCCAAGGGAATAACCGTGGTCGTAATAGTTTACGTGGCCGTGGACGTGGAACTCGTGGACGTGGAGTTCGTGGTAGAAATACAAGCACATTACATTCTCGTAGATTCAATAGAGCAAATGAAAACCAATATGAACAATTCCAATTACCTGATATGATCCTCGAAGAGCTATCCAATCAAATTGAATTTCCCTTGATACCGCCTTATGCACATACTCATAGATCCCTTGAAGGCGGTTTAATGATTTTCAGAGATTCCGATCAAGTTGAAGGTTCAATCATGGAAAGAATTGAGCGTGACAATGAAACCGCAATGGATAGAAGATTGCAATCTGAAAACACTTATAATAAAAAAGCTTTAGAGGATAAAAAATTAGTGGCCAAGAATGAATTGAAAGGGTATTCAAATAATATTAAACCAGATGAAAATGGAATGTGTGAACTTTGTGGGATAACTTTAGGAGAAGGTATACCTGAAGCCTTCAAGCCAAACCCTCAATGGGATTTAAAATTAGCTGAATTTTCAAAACATTCCCATGTTCAAGCTCCTTGGTTTTGTATTAAACAATGTTTTGAAACTGATCGAACATTACTGAAACGAGTCTTTACTTCAAAATGTGGACATTTATTCTGTGGTCGCTGTGTTAAGAATATAGTTAATAAAGATCGAGGAAATGGTCGGAAGAATAAACGTAGTGATATTACTATTGATAACCCACTTATAACAGCACCTAGAAAGTGTCCAGCAGAAGATTGTGGAAGACAATTCGTCAAAGGTGGGAAAAATAATTTTCAAGAATTATATTTATGAACATGTAAAACTTATGTATGTAATATATCAATGTGAAATCAAAATGATTTTACGTAAACTAATGCAAAAAAAATCATTATATCGTATTACTATAAATTAAAAGCACTTACTTTGCTTTTTGTTTTCATAAAAAGAGAGAGAGAATTGAAAAGAAACAACTTGATAAAAAACGCAAGCCCAAAGAAACACAGTAAATATAATGAAAATCACCAAAATTTAAAACTTTAATCAATTCTAGCTTCTGATAAAGTTAATGGTTTGATATTATTAGAGAAAATAGAAGAACCACTTTTAAATCTATTAATTTTCTTTAATTTTTCTCTGACAACCATAACAGGAACTGTTGATTTAGTAACCAAATAATTAGACAATGAACCCAATAAAACCCCCTTAATGGCACTTTGACCTTTTGAACCAACCACAACCAAGGTAGGTTGTAAATTGTCGATTAATTCAATGATCAAGTGTCTTGGAATTGGGTGATGAATTATTTCAATAACTATATGAATTTGTAACTTTGTTAATTTTAATAAATTTAAAACTTGTTGTTTTGCTTTATTTAACATATTAATACGGAAATTTTCTCTGCTAGATTCATTTAGAGTATTTCCCTTCAAGTGGTGATTAGTATCATTTTCTTCGATAACATAAACAATAAATAAAACTGAACCGTCAACCAAAACCGTACCAAGGCACCATTCTAATGCAAAAATTGATTCCGGAGAAAAATCCATACAAACTAAAAACATCTTTGGTTTAACCTTTGGATTGATAAGTTGAAAAAAATTACCACGGGTTATAGTTTGGATCACTCTTGATTGATTTTTATTCGAATCAATTTCCCCTTCTTTGATGGTCTCATTCAATTTTGAAGCAAATTCTGAATCCAACTTATCTTCGACAGCAGAGGTGTAAGGAATCATATACTCTTTGTTATTATCTGATTCAGGAGAACTTTCTTTATCAACTGGATCAACTTCATTTGGATCATTACTTTTCAAATTTTCATTCTCTTGGTCAACAATTTTTTTACGATAATTCGAATAGTTTTCCAACTTTTGTTTTCTTGACTTTTCATCTTGATCAGTTTTTAACAAATCCAACTCTTCATTACCAGTAAGGGCCTGTTTATCTGTTTCTAACTTCTTCAATAGATTTTCATTTACTGAATTACCAGTAGATTTAGCATTTGCAAACCCCCGTTCATGAGCTGTCAATTGTTCTAATTTTCTAACTGTTGATCGATCATTCAAATTTGAATTTTCAAGAATTGACGATATCTCATTGATTTTTTCATCGTGACATGCATAATTTGGTAAAATATTCCCAGTGTCGTCATATTGAAATTTCTCGTTATCATCATCATCACTAATATGTTCTTCTTCACTCACTTCATTATCCCAAAAATCATTATCTTCATCATCTTCACGACTATTGTCACCGTTCTTGCTGGTTCTCTTCAATCTCTCCAGTGGGTCATGATTAGTTATTGACCATTTCAAATCTTTATTAAATCTTTCGTCCAGGGTTGAGGATGATCTGCTATTATTTCCAGATCTTGATGGGGAAACTGAGCGTCCCCTATTTGACATGGATTTTTGGATAATGGCCAACTTTTCAGCCTCTAACCTAGATTGACGACTAGCCATTGCAATACTATATCTTGTAGTTGATAATTCCTTCAGCTATTTCAGCTTTTTTAATTGCGTGAATAGTTTTATCCTCCCCCGGTCAGCCTTGGCCAAGACGGGGGAGTAACCCGCAAATATTCGTTTAGCATGTTTTACAGTTTATAGTTAATGCAAAAAAAAAATGTATATACTAGTACCACATCCTCAAGAGTTAGCTTTCGGCAACCAGGCTATGTCTACAGTTATAAATAGCGTACCAAGTAATCATTACTGATTATCGTGCAATTTAAGGTATCTAATTAGTCATCGTTATCGGTGTATTCCACTAATAAGTTTCCCCCAGATTTCAATTCAGGGATATGTTCAATTGAGGTATCGCTAAATTCAAAGATTTTTTTGGGGAAAGGTTGAATTAATTCAAAATTGAAGGGGAATTTTTTCAAGTATTCATCAAAATCAATACCTTTATAGTCGTCTTCCGATTGTAAATTATTTATGTAAGTTAAGGCATCATCATTATTTTGTAACTCTAAAGATTCATTATTTAGTAAATCGATTGTAAATAATTTACATTCGACATAGAAATAAAGATCAATCAAGTTGATTTTTAAATTTATAATTTCAATTAAACGGTTACCGTTTGGTAATTTGATTGCAATTTTGGTAGTTTTTCCATCTAAAGATTCATTTTTAAACTTAAACCAATTTGACTGGATTAAATGAATTAAAAAATTATCGTGAGTTTTTTGGTTATTGAGTAATTCAGTTTGTTTCAACTTTTCGTCTTCTTTTTGCTGTTTTTTCAATCTATCCTTTTCCATTGACTTCAAGTATGCAGAATCTTGTTGTTCCTTAATTATTCTACTTAGTTCGATTTCTTGTTTATCAATTCTTTTAGTAATTAATTGAGGATTGAAATTTTCTAATAATTTATTTAAATTTTTCAAAATCTTATCACTTGTTGTTTTAGTATCGGATAAGTAATTATTTGAGATGTTCGATTTATAAGTGATTGACATTGATGACATAATTGAAGAATTATTAGTAACGTTCCCAATTAACATTATATAAGGTAATTTTTTTATTTTATAAGTTGAGCCTACTTCGAAAGCTTCTGGGTTTTTATCAATGTTATTAGTATAAATGCAAGTTTCTTTAAAAACACCATTCAGTTTATTGAATAATTTATTAAATTTTGGATTTTCCAATAAATTTTGATGGAAAGCTTGAGTGTCTTTATTATCATTAACTAAGATAACTAATAACCATTCAAAATTGTTTTGGCATCTTTCATGAACTGAATTGAAATCATTCTCAAAAAAATTATAATTTTCAACTTCATGATTAGTTATCATTTTGTAATCCTCTTCATAATTATCATATTTAAACTTATTGGGGAATTTGTTAACTGTCGAAATTGTATTTCCTAAACCAAGGAAATATTTCAAAAACAGAATAATCATTTGTAATAAAGTTTTTGGTATAATCAATAAAAATAACCAAATTGAAGTAATTGGTGATTTTGTCTTTGATTTTTCTTCATCGAAAACTTGTTTTTCATTCGTCATACTATCTTTTATCGATTTATGAATACCCAATTCAAATGTCCAATTATTTGATATTCTAGGTGCTTTCGGTAATCTTGGTAAGAAATCATCTAGTAACATTTGACTTTGTAAATTCATGTTACTCGAGCCAGTTCTGTGATGTAAAGAAGTGTTTTCATGATCAAATCTTTCAAAATCGTGAGATTCTTGTTGTTGATTTGACTCTTGTTGGTGACTTGATTCATTTATTGATTCAAATCCATTATCAAAGTAATTTATGGCACAATTATTCAAATTCCAATCATTAATGGTCAATAATTTGATTACCTCTTCAGTTTTTTCTTCTTCCAGTAACCCGGTAAGGGCTTTGAACTCATCGACTTGAGATTTTTGATGAGCTGTTAATTGATCCATGTTCTATTTCATTAATGCTGACGTTGAAGTAATGATAGCGTACTAGTTTTAATGATTTTTCCACTCTAGTGTGGAAAAAAAGCTGGGAAACCCGGTCTCCGGGGGAGCGGGCACAACCGAGGCTTCCGCCGAGGGTGGATACCGGAACTCCAACTGGCTGCAAAATCCAGTTCCCTAACTTTCATGAACCGTTCTACTGATTATTCTCATAGCATTTGCAGGAAGGGAAGCACTAAAATATTTTATAGGTGACGTATCCAAGTGATCACTGAGCATCCAATTAGTTCAGGTATCATCTCACATAATATGAACTATTGTGCCTGGCTGGTGTCACGCGACAGTCAACTATCATATTACTTTAATGACGAGGGCCCTTCACTGTTATCTTGTGCATATATCCAATGAAGCTTAAGTGTTTCGCTTGCTAGTTAAATAAAAGTGGTACTTACTGGTACAGCTTGACTGTAAATATCTTAACTGTGCACTAAATTGTGTAAGTAAGCTGGTTCAATCTATGGCCCAAATTATACTCTTCAAAGAATCAAGGGAAAACCAGCTCTATTTATGTTAATCGGGGAAGTCAGTGGGATTTTCCAATATGATCTATCACATTGCAATACCGCTCATCCACAAACACGTACGTTTTAGGTAATTGATACCAGTATTTTTTTTTTTTTTTCGGTCCCCGATGTCTCACATGTACGGGTGCAAAAGCGTGGTGCACGTGTGTTTTTTTGTTTTCTGCAGGTTGCGGTACTCACAACCCGCAAACCTAATTTCCTACCGAGCAATCAACCGAGGCAAGTGGAAAGGTGGACTCCGTCAGTATCCGTTGACCCGCTGCACTAACGACTATCATAAGAAGCTGTCGCTAGTCCTAGGTCTGGGATTGTGATAAGTTACACCATTAAGCAAAGGTGATTGAGTGATTGTAGTTAAGAATTGTAATAGTCGCAAAAGATTATCACGAGAATCGTCCCAGTCATTCGAGCAACGCTAACTTGAACACGCATTGCTGTTAACCTTTGCTACACTGCCAGTTGGTCTTAATTCCCTGGCGTACACCAGCAAGTATTTGATTTCAACAAATAAGTGTGCTGGATTTGTTTGAGAAATGATTATTTTTGTTTTGTATGGTTAATTAATTTTCCAGCTTTTAAATTTGCTACACTACATATAAAGATTGTAATTTCTTCATCTGAAATTTTTTTTTTAAATAAAATTTTCAAATTTAATCTTTGACTTTTCTTTTTCAACTTACATCTTTCTTCTTACCTTTCAGCAGGTTATTCTTTATAGACTTGTGTTTTTATAATATTATTCGATCGAGGTGGATAGATTTTTGTTTTAGTTTTAGTTTATTTTTCTATTTATTTTTTTTTTCTTTTGTTAGTTATCTTCTATTTTTCCATTTTTTGTATTATATCTGCTAATGTCGAGATTTTTCAAATCAGTCTTTGGTAAGGCTACATTAGCGACCACTGCCGTAGTTGGTGGAGGTATCATTTATCTTGATTTCATTAAACCTCCAGTGAGTCCAAATTTACAAAATTCTTATAAACCATTGAGAAAGAAGTTGGAAACTCCTCCTTCTAGAGAACAATTACTAGAAAAAGTTAAGGCTACTCCCAAATTTGATGTTATTGTTGTTGGTGGGGGTGCTACTGGGACTGGGACTGCAGTTGATGCTGCCACTAGAGGTTTAAATGTTTGTTTGTTAGAAAAGAATGATTTTGCTTCAGGTACTTCTTCCAAATCCACTAAAATGGCCCATGGTGGTGTTCGTTATTTAGAAAAAGCTATTTTCCAATTATCAAAAGCTCAATTGGATTTGGTTATTGAAGCTTTGAATGAACGTGGTAATATGTTAAGAACTGCTCCTCATTTATGTTCAGTTTTACCAATTATGATTCCAGTTTATAAATGGTGGCAAGTTCCTTATTTCTTTATTGGTTGTAAAATGTATGATTGGTTTGCTGGTCATCAAAATTTAAGAAATTCTACTGTTTTCAGTAGAGAAATGACTAGTGCTATTGCTCCAATGATGGATGATTCGAATTTAAAAGCCACCTGTGTTTACCATGATGGTACTTTTAATGATGCTAGAATGAATGCTACCTTGGCAATTACTGCTATTGATAATGGTGCAACTGTTTTGAATTATATGGAAGTTTTGCAATTATTAAAAGAAGATGGTAAATTGATTGGTGTTCGTGCTAAAAATCGTGAAACTGGTGAAGAATTCAATATTAAAGCTACCGCTACTGTTAATGCAACTGGTCCTTTTGCTGATAAATTATTAGAAATGGATGAAGATCCTCTAGGTTTACCTCCAAAGAAACCAGAAGCTCCTCGTATGGTTGTTCCTTCAAGTGGTGTTCATGTTGTTTTACCTGAATATTATTGTCCAAGAGATATGGGTTTATTAGATCCTTCTACTGCTGATGGTCGTGTCATGTTTTTCTTACCTTGGCAAGGTAAAGTTTTAGCTGGTACTACTGATACTCCTTTAAAATCTGTTCCTGAAAATCCAATTCCATTAGAAGAAGAAATTCAAGATATTTTGAAAGAATTACAAAAATATATTGTTTTCCCAGTTGAAAGAGAAGATGTTTTAAGTGCTTGGTCTGGTATTAGACCTTTGGTTCGTGATCCTGCTACTGTTCCAAAAGGTACTGATCCAACTGCTGGTTCTACCCAAGGTTTAGTTCGTTCTCATTTAATTACTAAATCACCAACTGGTTTATTAACTATTTCTGGTGGTAAATGGACTACTTATAGAGAAATGGCTCAAGAAACTGTTGATACCTTGGTTAAAGATTACAACTTTGACGGCCGTAATAAGCAATTATTACCTTGTCAAACAAATAAGATCATCTTAGCTGGTGGTGAAGACTACTCCAAGAATTATTCTGCTAGATTAATTCATGAATATAAAATTCCCCTCAAATTAGCTAAACATTTATCTCACAACTATGGTTCAAGATCCGCTTTGATTTTAGAATTATACACTCAATCTGATTTTAACAAATTACCAATCACTTTGGCCGCTACTAAAAATTTCCATCCTTCTGAATCTGAAGCTTCTTCTGAAAACAACTTGTCCTACCAATCTTTCGATGAACCTTTCACCATTGCTGAATTGAAATACTCTTTGAAATATGAATACATTAGAACCCCAGCTGATTTCTTGGCTAGAAGAACTAGATTAGCCTTCTTGAATGCTAGACAAGCTTTAACTGCTGTTGATGGTGTTGTTGAAATCATGAAACAAGAATTTAACTGGGATGATGAAACTACTGCTAAATTAACTAAAGAAGCTAAAGAATACATTGGCCAAATGGGTATTTCACCAAAGAGATTCGATGTTGAACAATTTACCGTTCAATAGACAACTCGAGTTTTCAAAAAAATGCTTTCCTGAGTGGAATTTGCAATGATCGAAAATATTGAAAAAAAAAAAAAATCAAAACTGCTAAAATAGCTTGTTTAATTATTCTAGATTTTTTATATATATATTCTTATCAGTTTTATGTAATGATGTCTTAATAAAAAAAATTTAATAAGCCACGATTAGTCTAGCTTCTCTTGTACTATGTATTGTATTTATTGAGAGCTGTGCCGCACTATTGAAAAAAAAAATATATATTAATAGAAAAGCTACTTCGATAAGAAGTTTCCGTCTTTTATTCACAACTTCTTTCACTTATTCTTTTTGGCTTTACCGATATTACGATGAATGTAATGAGAAACCGAGGTAGGCGATCTAGAAATGGATGCGTCAATTGTAAACGGTTGAAAATAAAAGTACGTGAAGATTCGTGATATTTATCAAGATATCCTTTACTAACAAATACAGTGTAACGAAGGTAAACCAGTATGTGAATACTGTCTTCATACACGCAGAGAATGTGTGTATCCGAATGAGGTCTCTAGTGATAGTCTATCAGGGATATCCCAGTTATCGTCGATGACTTCAAGTCCATCAATGATCTCTAATGGATCAACACCAAATCAATTACACGAACTTGATTCAGATATGCAAAGTTTATGTTTGCCTGATCTCAGATCGCAAATGGTATTTTTATCACTTGCAAGAAATCTAGAAATAACCAGGTTCGAATTAAGACTTTTGAAGTTCTTTCACGCACACTGTATTCCAATGTTCTCATTTGATATGAATAGTGGAGTTGATAGAGTTTGGAGACAAGAGGTGCCAATTTATTTCACTGGTTCTAAACTTATCAGATCAGCTGTTTTTGCATTTAGTTGTATCAACTTATGGCCGTTATGTGATTTAGTTGATATTAAAAGAATCGATGATGGAATATCCAAACTCCAACATGGAGTAAGACCCAGTCGAACTTATAATGAAAAACAAATCCTCAATACCTCTGTTGATGAAGAGGATAGCAAAGACCCTTTTTTTGATAATTTTTTTGCAACTGGTGAAATCTCAACTGAGCAAAATCTTTTCTATAAAACATCGAATTATTTCTTATCCACCCTAAATGACCTTACTAGTTCAATTCAAGTGGATCCTTCAAACACCTTCCAATGCGTTGAGTTGTTCTTAGCAAGTAATGTTATGTTCGCTTTCCTTGGGGTCCATCCTCATGGGTTGGTTCCATTAATAGATTTGGATGGAGAAAAAGTTGGAGATAGTAGCTCAAATACTGACTTCATGTCAATTTGTTTTAGGTTGAGGAATTCTAGGAACGATTGTTTTGATAGAGTTTTGGAAACGCCTTTCAAAGACTTAATGCTTTTTTCATCCAATAAAGATCAAGCTGCAAATAAACAGAAAATACCCTTAATTGAAAAATTAAAGGAGGAATTACAGTATTATTCTAGTATAAGTTATGAGTCAAATATAATTGAAAGTTCAATCGATAACTTGAAGACGTGCATGCAGGTGGCTATTTACTTGAACTATCCAATTCCAATATTCACCTGGACTTTGCTCGTATCTGAGGAATTTTATAACTTAGCCTGTGACCGAAATTATTTAGCTTTGAAAATCTTGTTTGTCTATTCATGCTTGAATTCATACACGAGCTTCAAAATTTACAATTATCAAAACATGTGGGCTGATTATATTAACTGGTATGCTCAACATTATACCCTAGACCATTTCGAACAATGTTTTTATAAGATCGTTATCGAAAAAGGTAAAGTAATCGATTACGGAGATTACGAATTGCTTAGAAGTTTTGATCCAGAAAAAGAGGTTACTCATCTCTAAGAGTACTACGATTGGACTTGATCAATAACCGCAATTCACTGTTTTATTTGCATCTAACCTTTAACTAAATCTATAAATAAACTCTTTTGTCGATGAAATATATATCATGACTAATTCAGAATAACATTTGCAACATGTATATATATATATATATATATATTTTTTTTTTTTTTTTAGGAGAGATTACCCAAACGAGGACTGATTCCGAGGATCTGTGTCTGGAGATTAAAACGCAGAAATTCTCTGAAATATAAATAGGCTGACATATGCTGATGGTCTGTCTAGAGACCAAAGATCAAGTATACACAATCGGCCTAAATCATGCCAGGAACAGTAACTATCAATACGGACTTTTTACTTTTTGACCTTGACGGTACTTTAGTCAATTCCAATGAAGCAGTTGAGGCTACTTGGCATGATGTAATCAAGGCCCATAATGAAAACCAAAAAGGATTGCCACCGCTTGATCCAGTAACGTTTTTGAAATCCTCGCATGGATCACGAACTTCGGAGATTTTTAAGCGATACTTCCCTTATTTTGCAAGCTCGACTGAAGATATTAATAATTTTGAACAAGGTATTGTCACTAATTATGGACATTTTGCTAAGCCAGTGAATGGTTCTACAGAGTTATTAGAACAAATCAACAAGAATCATCATGAACAGTGGGCAATTGTAACGTCTGGTACTTTTAAATTAGCTCATGGATGGGTTGAAAAAGTGTTTCCAAGTGTTACTAAGCCAACAGTGTTCATTACTGCGAATGACGTTAATGATGGGAAACCAAACCCTGAAGGATATTTGAAGGCCTTCCATACGTTGGTTAAGTCTAAGAAGGGAACTCCAGAGGAAAAACAAGCAATTGTTTTTGAAGATGCCCCCACTGGAATCAAGGCTGGGGTCAATGGTAAATTTGTCGTCGTTGGAATTGCGACTACATTTTCGAAGCAAGTTCTTCTTGATGCTGGTGCCACTTACGTTATTGAAGACTTAAGTCAAGTACGCTTGATTAATGACCATAAAGGTTCAATCGAAATTTCATTGAAAGTTTTATAGAATTATATATTGATATAGAATTATATATTGATATAGAATTATATATTGATATAAAGTTATCATAATAAATATTAGTAATTAAGAAAAAGTTTATTTTGTTTTTTCGAATAAATGTAAGTCATTCATTTCTTCAGTTACTTTATTGACTCTGGCTTTCCTTAAATCATTTGATCTTTTCTTATCGGTTTTAGCAAAACGTTCACTATCAGTTCTAGCATCAATTGATCTATAGCCACCAGACTCAAGGGAATTATCATTAGGATCAAAATTGTATTTATCTTGATATTCCGTGGTTGGTTCTCTCAATATTTGTTTGATGTCACCATTACTCACAATTTGATTATGAAGACCGAAACCAAAGCACCATTTTAAATGAAGTAGTCTAAAATATAAAAACCAACTATTTATTGGTAATGATTTTGATTTAGCTAATTTGATATGGGTTGAGCTTATTAAAGTATGGGAAATTTCAATACCTTCTGGTGATCTTTTGTAAATTTCTTCTCTTTTCTTCGCATCAGTATAACTTTCAATTGTATTAAGGGTTTCTCTAAAGATAGAATGAGTTTCATGTCTATCCCTTTTACCAATCTTTTTAGATGATAAATTGGCTAAACGGTTACATATTGAAATTAATGAAGCTTGTTCATAATAAGGAGCATTATAGTTATATTCCTCGTCTTCATTTTCGATATCATCATTAGAATCATAAGTATAAAGTTCATAGCATAACGCAATTACTCTACCTGAGGCTTTAGCGATATCGATATGTTCTTCATTATCCAAGATTTCCACTAACTTTGGAACTAATTCACTTAAAAATTCATTTAAAAAGTCACCTCTTGGTAATAACGTTAACAAAACACCAACACCATGTATAGCCGATATAGCAATCGAACCTTCTGAGTTTGCTTGACGTTCTTGTTCACTAACCAATTGTTTATCATGATCTTGGTGTAACAAAGTAGAATACTCACGATCACCGGAATCCAATTGACTTTTCAAAGTGAGAGCACTCTCAACGTACCCTTGGGCTAATTCAAATAACCAATTAACTTTTTCATCGATTCCATAAGCTGATGTACCGGCATATAAAATGAGTAACAATCCACAGTAACCACTAATGAGTCCAGCCTTGTTATCATTAGTTACAGAAGCAGTTGGTTGATCTTGAATCAACTTTTCAATGGAAGAAAATAATTGACTTGATACCAACTCTCCAAATTCTTCTAAATCACTGGACAACAATCCAATAATTGATCTGAAAAGTAAGATGAATTCACTTTCGGATCTGAAATTTCTACCATATAAATTTTGAATTAACTCTTCAACTTTAGATTCAGACACAAACTCTTTAGTCCCTGCATGTTCTTCGTTAAACACAATGATTGGTTTGGTAACCACTAAACGATACAATTGAGCCAATAGCAACTCACGGGATTGTGATGAAACGTCGGTTCTCGATTGTGTCAATGAATAAATAATTTGATTAATCGTAGTCAGGTCCGATTGTATCCTTGACTTATTCAATTCACTAATGGTCTGCTGCTTATGATCATTCTTGTTATCATTGACGAACTTCTTATCTTTGTTTTCATGTTCCAGAAGATCTGACAGTCCAAGAACACTTTGTAAATGCTCTAACTTATTAGCCAATAACTCTTCAATGCTTTGAAAATTAACATCAAGGGACCCGTTCTCTTCTCCGTCTGGATTGGGGGTTCTTGCTCTAGAGGAAGACCTGGTCGAAGACCCAGATAATGCCTCTTCCCTCAACGATCTTATTTTACTTGATGGCGGCATTGTAAATAACTAGTTCTTTACTCAGCTGTCTATTATACTCAAATAGCAAAATGGCAAGACTTTATATACTTATACTGGGGTCATTTTTAAAGTTTTTTTTTTTTTGCTGTAGAAAAAAAATGCGACAAACGTAACACAAATTTTGACCAGCCTTTTTTGCAATTCGAAGATTAGTCTATTTTTCAAAATTTGCAACTTTAACTTCGATTAGCTACATGGAGTTAGGAGCTCGACGGAGGTCCCAGTTGTCTCCGTCGGTTGCACTTGACTTATAGAGTGTAAGGAAGCTTAAGAAAGGACATGCACAGTGTTTATTACGAGTTTGGTTCGGAGGGATGAGCTATGGTATTGTAGTACATAAATTAATAATTAAAAGACAACCTCTTGTGGAAGAACATAGACCTTATGACCGCTTTCACGAACCGTTTCTTTATTGGAATCACGCGGCAATGCTTTTCTCATGTCGAAGGCATCGATGTCATCGTTGATTTTGTTTCGGTCTTGCGGTAGTTCCCGGCCGTAATAGCCAACCACCCTTCTATAGATAGAGTAGCCTAATTTTTCGTATAACGTCCTTGCCACATCATTGGTTGCTTTCACAAATAAGTCCACAAATAAGGTTTCATGTGGTTTAACTGCAGTTAAATTTTCGAGGTTTATGCATAAATCAGAAGCCAATCCGATTCTTCTATACTGTTCATCAATCGTGACTGCAGTTATATGAGTGTGCCATTCCTTTTTCGATAATTGGCCTTCAGTTTTTCCCATCATGTATCCACTGACGTTGTATGGCTGGTTGAAGTATCCATTTATGCTTGGTTCTACTGATTTGAAAAAAAGTGACGGCCAGTCAATTAGGTATTGGAAATAAAACAGTAAGTTGAAATTTTCGGTGTAAGGATCGAGATTAACAGAATTAATCTCAAAGAGATCCGACATCTGGAAAGGTTTTATCGATGTCATCCTTGTTCTTCTATATTAACGGGTCGTATATAATATCTTATGTAACCGTATTTTCCAATTTGTTTAAACAACAAAAGGTCGTGTCGCGGCGTCGGTTTTGGCTCAAAAAATTTTCTCAGTCGTCATTGAAAAATCAACTTTTTGCCAATAAGTACAAGCCCTTTAGAATTGCAATTATTCATATAAATATAGATTATAGTGTACAATGTTTGGTGGTCCAGGTCAACAACTTACTGAAGAACAAAAAAAGATCCAAGATCAATACGTTAATGACAGTTTGAAAACTGCCGGTCTCATTGCGGGTGCTTTATGGGTTACTCCATTAGTTTTCCACTTTATCAAAAAACAATTTTAAGTTGTTAGATAGATTAATGTATATATTCACCAACTCAGGAAGTCATGAAAAATTACGAAGGGAAGTCTTTACAAAAAGAAATTATATATTGTACATAATATTTTCAATTAAATAAAGAGATTTTTAATCTATTGATCTTCTTCGTCTTCTTCATCTTCAAAACTCATCATACTCTCTCTCAATTTATTGATTTTAAGTGCAAGATTTGAAAATTGCATTCTATCGGCAACTTTAGCAGCCCCCAGTAATGTTTGATCTTTTCTCATCAATTTAGCAATACTTGTAGCTCTTGATAATCTTGAATCTTGACATGCCGATATAAATAATTTGATTAAAGATCTTTCGAACTCGTTTGAGTATAATTCTAGTCTTTCTTGGATCTCGTCTCTTGCAACATCATCCTCCATAATTTCTTCATCTTGAGAACTTTCAAAAACTACCCTACCCATTGAGCTTACTCTTAAGAAAGTTTCTTCAGCTTCATTTTCGGATTGTTTAGTCTCAACTAGTTTCTTATCACTGGGGTCAGATTCGAACAATTCATCGACGGAGCTCTTTGCTTTCGGTACTGATGACGGGATTTTGATTTCTAATTCAATGGGTAATGGTAATGGGAATCCTGGATATTGTTGATTGTTTTTCAAAATCAAACAATTCAATTGGTCTTGATATAAACCTAATGGCCAGCATTTCCAATGCTTTTTGGATTCATTTGTACCGTTTTCAGTTAAGACGTCATGACAATTCAATATTGGTAACCATCTTGAATTATTGGTATTTCTCCAAGATTCTAAAATCAACAAAGTATCATCGCTACCACCAACTAAACAAGGATCATTATGTTCGTTGAAAAATACCCCTTTCAATAATGGTTTTGAAGGATTGGTAGATTTCTTCAATGGTAAAAATATATTTTGTTGGATGTATTTATATCCATCTTCAAGGTCGATTAATGAATAGGTAAATAAATTAGGTGAAACTTGATTAATCATGAATAAAACAGAAGTAAAAGATATGGATAATGTAACAATTGGAGTGGTTTTCATGATATTTAAGCAAAGTCCATGAAAATCAAATATTCTCAAGTAACCCAAATTAGAACCAACCACTATGAAACCATCACTTCTACTTGTTGATGTCCCAGTAATACTAACTGAAGTAAGATGTTCATTTTTCAAAAGGGGAACTTCACGATCCCAGGAATCGTTAATACTATCATGATTTCTATAGAAAAGTTTCCCATTATGATTTGAGTGTTTTTCTTTATAACCAGAAGTTGCCAAAACAAGACCTTTAGAATTCATTGAACACAAGTCATATCCGGAATAGTCAGTAAAATAATAATCTTTATTATCCTTTCTATCGAAGAATGATATACTAATACTTTGTTGTTGATCTAAGTTTCCATCACCAAGATTTGTTCTAACAGACCAAACATAACCAGTTGAATTCATAGTCAAGTATCTTCTATTGGGTGAATTATTTGATCCGGTATCAGATTTTGCCCATGGAGTTGAACCGCATGAATAGGGAGCGATATCTTCATGTTCCTGTTGAATTGGATTACGATTATTCATTTTTGAAATGTAACCGTTTGAAGTTTTCTGACGTTTACGGGATAAATCATCTAAGATATAATCAGCACCTTTATTATAATATTTCATGGGGTTATCCTCTTGATCTTCCTCGTCTTCATCTATAATCATTGAATCTTCCAAATGGGAAACTGGTTTGCCATTTGGCTCATTTACTAGATCGTCGTCATCGGCATTTTCTTCATCATTTGATTCTTCAGCTTCATTATTAACGAATAATTTTGCAGTTTTTGAATTTGAACCATTAGTATCCGGAAACGAAACATTTGATAATCTAACAAAATGACCTTTTGTTGTACCAACAAAGAGGGAATCCTTATTCCAAGTTAAACTAGTTGGCTTTGAAGCTTTGAAAGAAATGGTATCTACCAATTCACTCGACTTGGTATTGAAAAACTCGATTGACTCATTATCATAAAGAATGGCCATGTAATCATTTCTCAAAGGTGAATAATGGAAATCTATTATTTTGACATTCTCGGGCTTATCATCATTGTGCAAGGTTTGAGAAGGAGTTTCCCAATTAGACCGATTATAGATGTTGATTGAATTATCATTAGTTGCAATGGCTAAAAATTCCCCATTCATCGACCATTCTGTTTTAGTTGACAAAAGTTCAGCATAAGTACTTTCATCTTCATAATCAGGTTTATCCATTGAAATTTTGATATTCTCAATCAAAACTTTAGGTATTGTTTGAATTAAATTAGGAGTTTCATTTATAACCGAATAAATCTGAATATCTTGATTTGATAAACTAACAGCTAGTAATTCCCCCGTTGAATTGTAAGAAACATTAAGAAACTGGTTTGGAAGTGTTATTGTAGATAAACCATTATCATTTTCCTGATCAATAATAAATAATTTATTATCATCACCTCCACATAATATTCTTTTCCCTTCATTAATAAAAATTGAATCTCTTAAAGGTAATTCTGTTCTATGAATCACCCCTAAAGATTCATTTTTCGATAAATCAACACATTCAAGATGACCTGCTGTGTTGGTCACCAATAGCCGGTCCCCTTCGCTTGATAAAGATGTCAAATTCTCAATAATATCAATCGAAGTTGGCTCTAAATCAGGTTCGTCAATATTGAAAATCTTGACTATACCTTCACTATTACCCACAATCAATTTATCTATGGTGGTATTATAAGTGACAAAGCCATACCCGTCGAGGAACGCGGATACAGGAAGCTCAGTAACCTTCATAGTCTACTTTATTGGTGAAGATATGTTCATCTTCATACCACCAAAACAACTTCAACAAGTTTTCTTTAGACGCGCCAGATCAAAAACTCAACAGGACGACGCGTGGCTGCAAACTCCGTACCGCACACCGACTTTGATAGTGAAACAAGATTCAGGTTTAGATCTCTTAGACACACTGTTCCTCGTAGTTTACAGAAGAATAAAGCTCGTAGTTTACAGAAGGATAAAGCTCATTCGACTATATTCAAGGGTAAAGTTAAAGGGTTGTCACTAGAAATCGACACTAGACCGACGAGTATTTGCGTACTCTTCTGGCCCAGCTCCCACAATCCCGTATCCCACCCTCTCTACTACATCCTTCCGCCCACCGCCCTACACCTTATCCTATCTAGTACGCAGCCAGTTTCTGTTTGAAAGACCAGGAAATTGGTTTATAGTAACGTAGTCTTGAGGGATTTTTTGGGGCCACCAGTCAAAAAAAAAAATTTTCCTCTAATTGACAAATTTTGTACGCACTGACAAAGCTGTCAAAACTAAAAAAAAAAAACTGCGAAAAACCCATTTACAAAAAAAGGCTGAGGTCTCTAATCAGTGAGGGAATTTTCGATTTTGGATTCGTGCTAGCTAACTGGCACCTTTTGCCCTGTTCATTATTGAGATATGTTATTGTAGTGGTGGGAATCCATTGACGTAATGCACTGGGGCCTTTTAGAGTTCCGACGTAAAAGCATCAGGGAATTACGAGTGAATGAAACGAGCCGGTCTCTTTGAATAGCCCATTTGGTGTAGGAGTAGGTTACTACTTGGTCTTGCGGTAATGGCACTGGTCAACAAGGATTCAAAGATATTGGTCAGTGTTTTTTTTGCAGTGTTAAATGTGTGCTGAAGTGCTGACGATATGCTCAAGGGCTGAAGATATGATCAAGGCATTAGACAAAAGCATATTCATAAATATTGCAGCTAAAGCATTGTCGTTGTTACTTCATTTGGGAGGCTTTTGATTTCAGACAAGATTTTTTTTTCATTTCAGTAATTTAGCTAACTGCTGCCCTTTTTTGTTGTATTATTAAACCCAGTATTTTTTTTTTTATCGACCACTTAAATAAATCCCTCAAGCTATAGTAGCTAGTTATCAGTTCGTAGTTTATTTGTCATATGCCGGGATCATGCTAGTTCCCCTTTACCAATTGGTGCAACGAGGCGATAATTTGGGCAGGAGTTGTGGAACGGAATAGTGTTGTGATTCTCACTCAAAGGTTTGTTCGTTACTTTAAGTTGTTGCAAAACGGTTTGTCACTTTTGCATCGTCTTTGAAGAACGGCGCATTTGGCCAACCTCTTGTATTAAAGCCTCTTGTAGGTCATCATGGGGTTTTTGTATAAATAATTTCCCGTCTTCTCTCTTTTAATACTTTTTTGCTGTTTTTTTTTTTTAAGTTATTTATCCTTCTTATAGAATGCAATCAAGCAATATACCGCAGACTCCTTCAATCAAACAAGATATGGAGAATAATAATTCTATTGAAATAGCAGAGAATGTCAGTATAGCTGCGTATTCTGAAGATGATGAACGAATTGGCCGCTATGATGGGGATGAAGAAGACGACGAAGAAAACAAGTTCGATGAAGAAGCCCAAGGAAACACTGAAAAAAAACTATCAGTCAAAGAAGTATTAATGCTATCATTCAGTTCATTGGGGGCAATTTATGGTGATTTAGGTACTTCTCCCTTGTATGTTTTAAATTCAATTAAGTATCCCAATGAAATTCCAACAAAAGATGATATTTATGGAGGTATTTCTTTAATTTTTTATATTTTTGTCTTCATTGTCCTCATTAAATATGCTTTAATCGTATTAGTAATTGGTCCTAATAACGGTGAAGGTGGTCAAGTGGCAATTTATGCTAAAATCGCTAGACATTTAAATATTGGTCCAAAGGGAGTAGAAATTCCTGGGGCCCCAGTTAAAAATGACTTGGAATTATTGGCAAGAGAAGAAACTAACCTGAGTTTTATTTCCCATAACTCATTAATTAAAAAAACAAATGAATGGAAAAATCATCCTAAGGTTATCAAAGCAGTTTCAACCATTATTTTGATTTGTTGTTTCTTGGGTTGTTCTTTGGTCTTTTCTGATGGTTTGTTGACCCCAACCACCTCTATTTTAAGTGCCATCGCGGGTATCCAACTTGCTGATCCTTCATTTAATGCAGTTTTGGGTGTCTCTGAAGTAGTTATCATTTTCCTTTTCGTGATTCAGCAGTTCGGTTCCCATAAAATTTCATTTGTTTTTGCCCCAATCATTCTTGTGTGGTTGGCAGGTTTAGTGATTTGTGGAATTTATAATATAGTTAAGTATGATTCAGGAGTCTTTAAAGCCTTGTCCCCCTACTACGCTATTAAGCTTTTGAAAGCTTCTGGGATTGATGCCCTTAGTGGTGCTATGTTGTCCATTACTGGTACTGAAGCAATGTTTGCTGATTTGGGGCACTTCGGTAGATTACCAACTCAAATTGGTATCTTTTTCGTTTTCATTTGTTTAATGCTATGCTATTTGGGTCAAGGTGCTTATATTGTTGAACACCCTAAACAATTCACAAATCCATTTTATTTATCAATTCCAGGTGGTCCAAATAGTTGGAGTTATTGGATAATGTTTGTACTTGCAACAATTAGTACTATTATCGCAAGTCAAGCTTTAATTTTAGGTGTATTCAGTATTGTTTCTCAATTGATCAACTTGGATTGTTTCCCTAAATTTAAAGTTAAACATGTTTCTTCTAGTTACGCTGGTAAAGTCTATATTCCTGTTGTTAACTTTTTATTACTTATCGGTGTATGTTGTACAGCAGCAGGTTTTAAAAATTCAAATAACGTTACTGCAGCATATGGTTTAGGTATTAATTTGGATTTTTTAGTAACTTCAACTTTAATCTTGATTTGCATGGTTTATGTTTATGAATTTAATTTCATTTTTCCATTAGTGTTTGCTTTGATTTTCTTACCGTTGGAATTTGCCCTTGTTATTTCTAATTTAAAAAAGGTTCCCCATGGTGCTTGGTTCCCATTGATGATGGCGGGATTAAGTTTCACCTTCTTGACTCTTTGGAGATATGGTAGATCAAAAGTTGTTGAAGAACAAATGACCTCTAGAGTTAAACTTGGTGATTTATTCCCTTCATTCAAAAGGAAAGCCCCAGAAGAAGCAACTTTCGAATTAAGAGGAAGAGCAATGGTTAAAAAAGATTCCGATGAACGAGACTGTGGCACTGACAATGAAAGTCATGATTCTGAATTTGGTATTACCCTTCCAAAAATATTGAAGAGTGATCCAACATCCTTAGAATTAAGTACTAGATTTGGTAATTCTACATTGAAAAAGTTCAATGGTGTTGGTTTGATTTATGTTGATTCACCTCATCAAATTTTAGCATCTCCAAATACAGTTCCAAAAATATATGAAAGAATTGTTCTGAATTTCCAGTCGCTTCCTTCAATCATGATTTTCGTTACTACTAGAACTTTATCAATTCCTAGTGTTCCAAATGAAGACCGTGTTTTGATAGGGAACATGAAAGTTCCTGGCCATTATAAATGTGTGGTTAGATTCGGATTCATGGAAGAAATTCATATAGATAACTCTTTGAATGATCATATTTTGAATATCATACCCGAAATGACTGGGTTGAAAGTCCTGATTGGTCTTAACAATGAAGTTCCAGTTGTTCATATTTTTGAAAATAATGACGTTAGATCCCATGAGTATAATTCCAGCGGCAAAAAAACCAAGAATCCTTTCGTTATTATCCATCATTACATGAGAAGGTTCTATATTAACAGCATATTTGGGCCATTAGACTCATTATTTAGAGTCAGTGATAAAATCTTACCAGTTCAAAACGAAGAGGATGAAACCGCTAGCAAATTATTTATAGGTGGTGTTATTAGGATTTAGTTTCATTATATTTTCTATTGGTTTGTATTATATAAATGTATCTTATCAGCCATACTTTTGTAGCATTCGTGTACGTACATTTAGTAATGATTTTGCAAGCGATTTTTAAGAGCGACGATATTTAAAACTATTGATGTACAGATGTTTCGATAAAATTGTGAATTAACTTTTAATACACCAAGTATTTAAGAAAAGAACTCTAAGACCTAGGAATGAAAACTTTGAGTGGAGTGATTTAGTAAAAAGACAACAGTAGAGAAATAGACAATATATATATAAAAAACAGAAAACACACACTTAAGAACTAGTGGGGAAATTATAAATAAAATGGGAAGTGAAAGATGATCCTTCATAACATAGACATGGAAATCAATAGTTTAGGCCCATTCAGGTTTGTTATTATAGTCGCTATTTTGGAAATTACCTCTGCCTCTGCCTCTGCCTCTTCCTCTTCCTCTCCAATTACCGTTGCCTCTGCCTCTGTAACCACCACGGCCTCTACCTCTACCTCTGCCTCTACTTCTATCGTCATTAATGTAAGCTTCACCAAAAGTATCCATATTAAGGGTTTTCTCTTCGTTCCATCTCATGGTATTTCTATTATCGGTAGAAGATGAAATGTTATCGAAGAAAGATGAAGATTTGTTATAACCGGCATTTTCTGAGTCTTCTTTTTCAGACTCTAAGTCTTTAGAGAATCTAGCGTTGGCAGACTCAAAGTCAAACTCACCATCGGGGATTTCGATACCAGTAGAAGTTCTTCTAGTAGATGGTTTGGCTTGAGGTTGGGATTGAGGTGGTTCTGAAGCAGGTTCTTCGGTAGCGACTGGTTCCGGTTGGGCTTGTGGTTGTGCTTGGGCTGGCTGGTCTTGAGAAGTAGTACTAGCTTCAACTGGCTGAGTTTGGGTTGGTTTTGGTTGTTGTGGAGGTGAGGTGGATGCTGCCACTGGTGCTGCTGCTGCTGAAGTTGGCGCATGTGCTTGTACTGGTGCTGCTGCTGGTACACCTGTTGGTTGAGGTGGTGGTGCATAATAACCTTGTTGGCTTTGGGTTGGTGCTGGACCAGGAGCAGGAGCTCCTGCTCCTGGAACTGCTTGAGGAATATAAGGTTCAGGTTTTGCTTGATCTATTGGAATATCCAACACCGACAAATCCTTGACATCAGAGCCCCTAAATACAACATAATCATAAACATCGTTACCTGGTAAGACTTCCATGTTTGGATTCCCACTTTGAGCCATTCTACCTTCAGTACCAAATGATCTAACCGATTTCAATGCCACGGTAGCATCGTTCCCATTGATATTATCTAACAAACCAACATAACGAAGACCCTTGTTAGAGATCAACGAAATAGTTTTACCAATATATTGAGACATCTTATCACTATTAGTAAAGCTTTAACTTGCCTTCTTACTTCCTAAGTATAGAGTTGAATTTTCGTTGCGAGTTTTAGTTTTTTCTGACTTTTTTTCGACTTTTCAAAGTGAGACACGCTTCCACCGATAACAATGCTCAACGAGCCGTTATAGCACTTGGTTGTAAAGGATTTAGTTGAATCTCTTAGTACGTAGTCAACCGGCTGTATACTTGAAGAAAGTGCTTATGAAGAAGCAGTTGTAAGAAAATGCCTTGAAACTATACTAGGATAATGGCAGTATTTCAAGTGATTTACTGCAAAATTCAACGATAATTGAAAAAATTTCAACAATAGCTAAAACATTTTTAATCTTTTCGAGCAAAAAAATGCCAGTTATATCTTCTACAAAGCATCACCACCCATCTCAGCACCACCCATCTCAGCTTATTAGAGCTGAGTTAGGAATCAGTTATACTTAGTATAAAGGCAGTTGCGACATTCAATGTTTTGGAGACATTTTTGTGCGACATTTTTAACCAGAAAAAAACCCATTTATCTCTACGTTGAGAAATGAAGGATATCAACACTAGGTAGTACTTTTGAAAGGTTGATTGAATAAGTATACATACAATGAGTGATTCAGAGTTAGGCGGAGCCCAGGATTTGAATCAAGAAAACGTTAAAGTTGAAGAGTCAAGCCAAGACTTGAGAAACGGTATTGATGATCCAGTTAATGAGGAAGAAGGTGAAGGTGAAGAAAAGGTTGCCATAAAGCACCAGTCGGAAGGCGCTGAAGATATTTCAGGACAAGAGGAGGAACCAGAGCAGGAGCAGGAACCAGAGCAGGAGCAGGAACCAGAGCAGGAGCAGGAACCAGAGCAGGAACCAGAGCAGGAACCAGAACAGGGACAAGAAGAAGCAGAACAAGAAGATCAAGACGATGAGAATATCTATTCGATGAGAGCACATAAACGATCTAATGAAGAAGAAGCTGGAGGAGTGACGAAGAAGAAGAACATCAGAAAAAGTACAAGGGATGAAACACCAGATGATGGCTCAGGATTTGTTCCATTCAATGAAGATGGTGCATACGATGAAAACAATGAACCAGTCATTGATTATAGTAATGAAGACCCATCAAGTAGGAAAAGAAGATTATTGGAAGAAAAAATGACAGCAGCATTAAAATCTCAAACTGTTAGACGTCGTAAAACAGATGAAGATGACTTAGAAAGAATGCAAGATGATAGAATTGATGCATTAAAAAATAAAATGATTGAAGCTGCTAATTTAGATGTTGAAAAAAATTCCCAAGGAGAAATTGCAACTGAAAAGATAAAATTATTAAAAGAAGTGAGTGATGTTTTATCAAAGGCAGATTTAGCTATATCAATTTTAGATAATAATTTATTAGAAGCGGTTAGACTATGGTTAGAACCATTACCTGATGCTTCAATGCCAGCTTATCAAATTCAAAAAGAATTAATTCATTCATTAGAAGTTTTACCAATTAAAACTGACCATTTAGTTGCTTCAGGTATAGGTAAAGTATTAGTCTTTTATCAACGTTCTCAAAGAACTGAACCAAATTTGAAAAAAATTGTTGATCGTTTAATTGGAGATTGGACGAGACCAATTTTGAATAAATCTGATTCTTATAAAGATCGTACTATTCAATTCCATGACTATAATAAAAACAGATTCACTAATCAATTATCATCTACTAAACGCACTAAGCCAAAGGAAACTAAAACATTATATGAAGAAAGTGCCGAAAGAAGAAATAGAGCTGCAATCCCATCAGCAAGAACCACTGCTTATAAAATTGCACCAAAAGTTGATCCAAGTTTATTAAAGAGATATCAAGGTAAGGGACAAGATGAAAGATTTAGAAGAATTAATCAAAAAATGACATTAATGAATTTTAAGAAGAAGGCAACTAAAAAGGGTGGACCTTCAATTGAAGGTAGAAATTTAGCCATGTAATATATCTAGGTAAATAAAGAAATACAACGATAATAATAATATTATATATAATTTTTTATTTTTATAAAAGAAATGGAAGAAAAGAAAAAGACTTAGTCATAAATTCAAACAATGAAATAAGATTGAAAGGTAGTAAGTAAAATGTGAAATGGATATTTATAAATCAACCTTTTTTTTGTAATTACAAGTATTCAAAAGGAAATCAAATATTCAATACAATAATCAATCTTCATTAATAAAGTACATATATTAATATATATTATCACATCCCACAATAAAACATAAAGTATTTAAATCAAATTTCATTTGAATTAAAATATTAGGATGATAAATCTATGATCTTGGTTTTTCTTTCTTTTCTTTCCATAAAGCTAACAAGGAGACACCAGAAACCTTGACAACCTTGAATCTAACACCTGGAATATCACCCTTAGCTTTACCTCTTCTACCGAAACCGGCTAATAAAACTTCATCATTTTCATCAACAAAGTTTAAACAACCATCATTTGGAACGAAAGCAGTAACTTTTTTACCGTTTTTAATTAATTGAACTCTAACACATTTTCTAATAGCGGAGTTTGGTTGTTTAGATTCAATACCAATTTTTTCTAAAACGATACCTTTGGCGTGAGAAGAACCACCAAATGGAGATGATTTGAAAGCGGTACCTAATAATCTGGCTTTATAAGCTTGATCAGCCCATCTGTTGTTACGACGGTGAACTCTTAATTTTCTAGCAGAGTTAAGACCTCTTGGTTTACCGTTACCCATCTTGACTTATTGATATATGTTAATGTTGAAAAAGAAAGGAAATGGATTCAATCAACTACCAAATAAACTAAAAATTTTATGAAAAGTGAGAGTAGTGAGATTTTCTCACTTTTTTTTTTTTTTTACCTTCACCCTACAGATTTTTCATTTTTGTTTTTTTTTTTCTTTTTGTTCTGTTGTGGTGAGCCCTCCCGATTATGTAAGCGCCCTCACGTGTTGCTTGTCAGTTCTCGAGGGCTTCAGCCCTAATGCGATAAAACAACCGATAACGCAGCACAAAAGAGTGGGGAAGGATTGCTGCAATTTTCTCATTTCATATACAAGTATCTTGATGTTTTTACAGTCACTAAAATTACATACAATTACAGAGTGATTAGTAGGCTAGTATACATTTAAACATAACATTATAGTCAATATAGTGTATGGAAAGAATTAAATAAGCTTAACGTTTTAAAGACTTTCTGTTCTTTAATAACTTTAATAAGAATAAAAACAATAAATCAATTTGATCTTTAAACATGAATAACAAACCTTGAACGAAAACACCTTTTAACAATTGAGGAGCAATACCTTTATATAACCCTTTAAATTTTTCAGTTTCCCATAAATGAGATAAAGCATGGGTGAAATGTTGAAATTTAACATCATCTTCATCAAAATCATCATCATCATCATCATCATGTTTTTTTGATTGGTCTTTATTAGGTTGTTTTTTTTGTAACATTGCTTTAGAAACAATTAAAGGTTGGGTTGCAACGGTAGCTAAAGATTTAGCCAAAACCCCAATTGAAAAACTTTCCAAAGGACCCAAATATTCTTTAGAACCAAATAAAATTTGTTTCAAGCGTTCATAAGAACCATAAGTAATTGAGGGATTAATACATAAAACCAAACTCACTCTTAAACCTCTCCATAAACCACAAACTCCGTCTTGGTCTAAAACTTCTCTAGTTAATTGATATAAACTTTTATGAGTTTTATCAGTTTGTTGTTGGGTAGTAATAACCCCAATTGGCATAGTAAATAATTGAGAAATTGCAGCAGCCAATGCACCCAAGAATAATTCGGTAATCGTAGTCGGCTTATGATTTGGAATATGTTTATATAAATTAGCATAAACTCGTTTAACAATCGTATACCAATAAAAATAAGAAAAATTTTGAGCAGCAGAACCAAGAATCGATGAAAAAAGTCCATGATACCACCCCAATACACCCTTTTTAGCATAGATCTTCTTCAATGCATCAATAGTGTTCTTATATTTTAGCTCTCCATCCTTACGTTTTTGAAGATAAACACTCTCGTCTGATTCTGATGAGACTATCGGACTTGATGATTCCTTATTACTTTTTTTAACCTGGGTCTGAATCAATGTTTTACTCAAATCTAGAGGATACACCAACGTATTGGCAATTGCTGATGCCAATGCTCCACTAGCAGCTTTTTCAAATGGTGATAGTGACATGATTTTTGGCTTATGATTTGATTAGTGAGGGGATCAATCAACTTTCAAAAAAAAAAAAAAAAAGTACCAAACCAAACTAAAAGCAACAAAATATGGGGATTCTCTATTAAATAAATAAGTATTTGATAGTAAGAACCTTATTAGTTAATGCAATTGATGATAAATATATGTATATATATATATACTCGGTTGATAAGATGAGGTCTTTTATTTTTTCCCTCTGGTTGTTTTATTTTTTGGTGTGCCTGTTTTATTTCCTAAACAAAAATCAACCGAATAATCTATTAAACTACTCCAACAATTATCCACCGGGTGCTCTATAAGAATTGAAATCAGAAATCAACTAACGGTAATTCTAAATAAAACTAAAACTAAAACTAAAATTAAAACTAAAAGTAAAAACAGACAGTCTGCCAATTGGGAATCAGTCGGTATTTATTTGATAGTACAATTACCGAGGTCAAACCCTAAATTTTCATCGGCTCAAACGTCTGCCTAATCTCAAACACATGCGTACAACTGTCGCAGTGCACCCGTGCACCCACCATAAGCGTTCGCCTTCAAAAATTCTTGCACCGTGATTTCCTCGGACTTGCTTTCAGTTTGATTCCCCACAATTGAATTACTGCAAAATCATAACTCCCGGTATTTCACAGGTTAGCAGTTCCATACCCGGACCTTACGATCCGTGCCACAGGTGACGATCACTTCTCTGGCATGTTGGTTGCCAGATACGTAGCTTTTGATTCGGCCCTGGTGGGCTTCTAGCTCAGCGATAACATGGTGTGATACCAAGTCTACGCCTCTGATGACCCCGTCTTCCCCAATGACCCAAACACCACTACCATCTTGACGCCATTCTATCATGGCGGTGGAATACTTATCTTGAGGTGACATGGTGCTTAAGTTTTTCAATATTTGATTTCTCTTTGTAGTCATGTTTTTGGAAGGAGTGATCTTGGGGAACTCTTTTAATGAAACAACGATGAGTCTCATGTAAGGTTCGTGGGAGGTCCCCACTGCAATCAATGGGTATTGATGGTTGAAGATCTTGATACATCTTGGAGAGAATATCGATGACAGAAACTCGGCGTCGTTCAATGATATCTTGTATACTGGGACGATTTCAGCTTCTTCCAATGTGTACACTTCCAAGAACGTGTAGTCATTTTTACCAATAACGATAACCAACTTATCTTGGTAATTGGTGACATCAATACAACTTCCTTGAATTGGTAATTTATACTGGGCCACTGGCACTAATTGGTTTTTGGTAAACTCGGTAACTTTAATCATGAAATCCCAGCCCATGGAAACAATATAGTTTCTTTCTTGTACCGAAATGTACTTGACATCACTTATAAGTTTTTGGTGTGTTTTCAAATTGGTGATGGGGCTAATTTCATCATTTTGGATTTCGAATATCCAAATATTACCATCCATACCAACGAGTATTACTTTATTACTATTTTCAATACTAACAATCTTCTTTATAACCACTCGGCCAATCAAATTAGTCTCTTCTTTCACGATTTTCTTGGTTTTTAAATCAATCATATAAAACTTATTATCAGCACTTCCTAATAACAACATGTCATCACAAAATATCTCACTAGAAATAACCAACCCATTAATTATTTGATTCCCAATGGCTGATTCACTGTTTTGAGGATACGGTGTTGACCATGGGACGAGTTGCTTATCGCTAATTTCTCTCAATTCGTCATCTGATATCTCATCAATATGTAATTTGTCTGAAACCCCATCGGTTAACTGCTTAAAATTGCTTCGATCATTGACAATCTCTTCTAATGATTCTTTCGTAGGTAAATCATCCACATCGCTGGAAATTGGTACTCCAACTTCTTCTTCAAACTTTCGAAGAGTATGATGTAAATTCTTTTCCTTTAAATAATGCGCTACTAAATTATGGATTGACATTGGCTTCTTCGTTTGACATCTTATCTGAAATTTTTCATCTTCTTGTACTCGCAGACTAAAGTATTAATCTCGCAATGCAAGTTATTGAGATTTTTACAGGTTGACTGGCTCCCATTCTAACAACTTACCTTTTGATCTTCACCAAAGCAAGGAAGTGACTTTGATTGCCCTAAGCATTCTTACATCCTGAATACTCCCTATACATTGAATGTAATGGGACGTTTTCACCCAAATTTTGATGCATATTCTAAAATAATTGCGAAAAATTTGCAGCTATTTCTCAAAGTGGTTGGTCTTTCTCGTCAATGGCGAATTGAAAGAAATAAGTCTCTCTCTCTTATATTGTATCTTATATTAAACTACGTATTCTCAACGTTTAAACCATGAATTATGTAGTCTCTTATTCTTGCATCTGTTTATCCCCTACTCGACTGAGCACATTATATATTCAACATTGTTCCTTTCGGATTGCTATAAGTGAGAGTCTTTTTAGCTCCAAAATACCCAGTTTCCCGGCTTGTTCATCCGAGTTCTTTGTTACGTACTTAAGCATATATTACATTCATACATTTGAAAATGCATAGTGGCGCACACCTTTTGCACAACATTATTTTTTGAGTTTTCGAGCAATCTGATGAAAAAATATACATTACTGTATTGCATAAAGCTGTCAAGTGTAGTTGAATGCACAATATTAACAGTTTGACTTTTAACATAGTCAAATTTTACTTTTTCAAACAATACAGATATCAGTAAACCATAAGTTTGCAAATATCGTAAAAAGGGTTTTATAGTGTAGTGGTTATCACTTTCGGTTTTGATCCGAACAACCCCGGTTCGAATCCGGGTAAGACCTTTCTTTTTTGCAACCATCCTAGCATATTATTCAATAGTATTGGTTTTTCAGAATGATATAAACTGACATGGGACATGCTCTAGGCTGCTTATTTTTTTACAGTAAAAATAATACGTTACATCGTTTAATCTAATTTATGGAAAGGGACATCGAACTTTTCACAGTAATGCTTCGTTTGATTATTTTCCCAATACTTCGGTGGAATAAGATCGACACTAACTTCGTTAGTTGGTGCAATCTTCTCGAAATTCAACGGAATTAGCATGTCGCGTAAATCAATCTTACTTTCTTCGTAATCTATTAATTCCTTTAATTCCTCGAGCAAGGGAATTGGTTTTTGATTAATCCTTAGCAAATTTCTGGCATCAAGGTTTAACCAATCATTTGGGTGCTCCAAGATGTATTTTTCAATTATTTTGTTAATAGCAATCGAGCGACAATCAAAATAAAGTCTATCGTCATTGGGTTTCAATGACGGATGATTGGTATCACGGGGTGAAACATTCAAAATTTGAAGGTATTGACGTTTATTCATGCACTTGTCTAAGGCGAGAAAATAAGTCTCTTCATGGGGACTCTGTTCCAAAGATTTTGCTCTATTTACATTTCGTTTCACTTCAACCGGTGGATGCTCCTTTTTTTTGGTCAGAATTTTATCAGTGGGAGAATCCATATCGAATTCAATTTCGTCTTGGTTGGTAGTAGATTTCTCACTCGACTGGCCATCAGGATTGACAGGCGAATCCATATCAAATTCAATTTCATCCTCATTGGTAGTAAAGTTATTCTTTGATTCGGCCCCAGGAATTATAGGTGAATCCATATCCAATTCTATTTCATCCTTATTACCTGAAGTATACGAGTCCATATCTAATTGGATTTCGTCCTCATTCTTGTTACCAAAACTCTCATTACTGAGTGGCCTGTCAAGTTTAGTTGGATCCGAAGTAGGTTTATTATTCTGTGGGGTCTTGTTTCCTCCACTTATAGAAAAATCACCTCCTACCCTATTCGAATTCAATTTATCAAACTTCTTCGTGATAAAGCCCTTGGATAACTGATCTCCCGAGTAAAGGATTTGGGCTTCAAATTTTGTATGCAAATGTGATGAAAAATAGTAGTTTGGTCGTAATTTATTTAATATAAGTCTATTAAGAGGACTTCCCAATCGACCAGTTCGAATGTCATCTTTGAAGAAGGGCTTTTTACGTATTAGCAGCGAAACATCACCATAATCCCATATACCTTGAGGCCAGTCATGGCTGACAACGATATCAGTGTTGAAGTCCTGTAGATAAGTTTTCAAGAAATTTTTAGGTTTGACATGGTATATAGATCTGATTATGCTATTGTCATAGGGTAATTTCAATTCGTGGTCATGATGGCTTTCAGCATTAAAACTATGATAATTCCATATACCACTAATCCCACTGATTTTAATGCCTTTAAACCATACTGAACCAGCAGCACCCAAATAATATATGTTTGGGGCAACCCAACCACCATATTCGAGTTCTTTTAAGTATGAGGAACATTCATGATTACCACCAATGAAAATTGTCAAGACAGGAGCCTTCTTTTTCCCACTATAATAGGAATGGAAGTCTCTCATATGTTTGAATTTAGGTGGGACATTCATTGTCTCGAGATCTTTCCGGTTCCTGTTTGCCTGAAAATCACCACAGATGATAAGAAGATCTACTGGTGGTTTAGGGTTGAACTTGGTTCTTTTCGATTGACCAGAGACCTTATGGTCTGGATTGGCAAAAAGAGCATCATATATTGCGTCAAGCTCGCCATGGCAGCATCCTTCAACTGCTATTCTGACGTTCTCCATAGCTTACCCAATTCCAAGTAAAGAAGATTGACATTGAATCTCCGTTTTTCTTGAAACCGAAAAACGATAATTGGTGCAAGGATTTTTTCAAAAGCAGATTACAAACTACAAGTCTTCCGTATATATATAAATTTTTCATTTAATTTTTGTATTCGAATTTTTAAAATCTAAACTAGATTAGAGTCAATCAAAGGGAAGCATCTAAAATTTGTAAACATGTTCTTTGTTGTAGCCTAATTCAGCCAAGACACCAGAAACTTCACCTTGGTCGGATGGAGAGTTTTTCATACCAGAGAGAGCTTTGTATAAACCTGGTGGACCACAGATGAAAATTTTGTTATCTTTAGATGGACCGTCCAAGTTCTTTTCTAAGAATTCTTTAGAAATGTAACCGGTTTGACCTTTCCAGTCATCGGATGGTTTATCAAGGAAGTATTCAATTTTAACTTGATCTTTATGAGTTTCGGCAATCTTATCTAATTCATCTTTGATTAAGATATCATCAGCAGTTAAGTTACCATAGTACAAGTTAACTTTAGTTTTATCATCAGGATTTTTAGTAATTTCATGTAATAATTGATACAATGGAGTGATACCGGTACCACCACCAATCAAATGGATAGCTTTATATTGATTTGGTTCCCATTTCCATTTAACAATTGGACCTTTGAAAGAAACAGTATCGCTTGGTTTCAATTCAGCTATATGTTTGGAGAATTTACCATTTTCATAAGTTTTAATAACAAATTCAATGGTACCCTTTTGGTTAACATCAGAAACTGGAGTGTAAGGTCTGATAACGTTATTACCTTTAGGAGTAACGTATTTGGCCATAACACAAGAAGCAGTGATTAAACCACTGACATCGTCTTGGTCTTTCAATTCAAAAATATATCTTTTAGTATTATGAGAAAGTTTGATAGCTTCTTTTAATTTTAAATCAACCCATTCATCACCACCAACAAAAGTTTTACCACTTTCATTTCTAATTGGATTAGCAGTTGAAAAATAGTAATGTTGATAAGCTAAACCAAGAGAACCGGCAGTAACGGCCAATGGCAAGAAAACTCTTGGATTAGAGATGGTGGAGGTTAATCTAGAGGCGAACGACATTCTTACTAGCATAAATAATACCTTCAATTGGTTAAAGGAAGAAAGATAAAGCTTATTTATAAGTGAGCAAGCAGAGGACGAATTGCTCCATATAAAAAAAAGTGAGAAATTGTGGTTGTTGGCTTAACTATTACAAATATTTGATAGCAGTGCACTACCGAAGTCTTTTCAGTTTACTTCATTGCCATTGGATGTTTAAAACACCGGTAGTAAATGACCTTAATAAATTACTACACTTATCATTAAATGCTATCTACACCTATATACAATAATCAATTGCGCTTAGGAAATGGAAAATCCTCGATTTCAAAGTGTTTTTCCTTCTTTTTTTTTTTTTTATTTTTTTTTGCATCAAAAGACAAAGTTTCATTTGGTGATAAACCATTGACCCAATGGCAACTGTAATCTTGTTTCGAGAATCTTGTGACTTTGCTTCAACCCGCATGTCTCTTTCATAAAACTGAAGCAACTATATTATCATGGAGCAAGTCAGTTAGGCTATATGGGTTATACGGATGATGGGGCCCGGACTGTATACAGTCCCCGGCAAACCCCAGTACATATGAGTCGATTTTTAATCAAAGGTGCTATCTACTAGGCACTAGAGCTAGGTCTGTTGGTTTTCCTTAAAGATTCAAAAATATAAGCAGTATGTTGAAGAATAAGACCCACAGGGAGCTACTTCATCTTTCCAAGTGCATTGTCCAGCCATTGATCCCGCAATTCCATAAAGGTCAAGCAGGAAAGGTTGGAGTCATAGGGGGATGTGAAGATTATACTGGAGCACCGTTTTTCCTGGCCCATTCAGCAGCATTGGTTGGAGCAGATTTAAGTCATGTTATCTGTGAGAAGCTAGCAGCTCCGGTTATCAAACTGTACACCCCCGACTTGATGATTCATCCGTACTTGTATGAATTGTCAAATCCTGACATTGAGAAATATATTGATGATTCAGAATTGCATAAATTGCAATCAACGTCCATCGAGGAGCTTTTGAATTCGAGGCAGCCAAAATTAGATGAAATAATCGATAAAAGAGTAATGCCCAAGATGGTGACGTTACTCAATCGAATGGATGTAATCATCATTGGACCAGGATTTGGAAGAGACGCGTTGATGTTGAAAACACTTATACGTTTAATAGAAGAAATTCGGGTTTTGAATAAACCGATAATTCTAGATGCTGATGCCTTGTTTTTACTATCAATAAAGCCAAGCTTAATCAAAAATTATTCGAAGGCTATTCTTACTCCCAATGTTGTTGAGTTTGATCGTCTTGCTAAAGCTCTTGGTATTAAGAATGATTTGAAAAATCAGGAACTTGATCATGCTGTCAATAGTTCTCTTGAACTATCGACCAAACTCGGTGGGGTCACTGTCATACGTAAAGGTGGCCAAGAAGTCATTGCTAAAAATGATCAATTCTTGGTGAACGATGTTTCGGGATCTTTAAGAAGAGTGGGTGGCCAAGGTGATACATTAACTGGAGCAATTGCCACCTATGTCAATTGGGCATATAATTATCAAAATAAAGTCTGGGATTCTCAGGAGGGAAAACTCACCACTGATGAATCGGTTTTACTTGCATGTTTTGCTGCTTGTACCACCGTTAGACTAGCCAGTGCTAAAGCATATAAGCAATACAGTAGATCGATGCAGACCTCCAATGTCCACGAGTTCTTGGGCCAGGCCTACGACGAGTTATTTGAGGCGGAAACCTTGATCAAGTTGTAGCATTTTTGCAGTTAAATATAAGTTTTGTTATCGTAAAATTCTGTCTTCTCACGTGATTGTTAGTCAATTTGTAGTCGTCGCTAAATACCGAGGTCATTTCCCCATACAAAAGCAAAAAACAGAGAGGAAAAACGAAAAAAAAAAAAAAATTTGAATCATCCACTGCGAATAAAAGGCGTGCAGAATCTTTACTAAATAGGCTAATAATAACGAGGTTTATCATTAGAAAAGCATTTTTTTTAATAACTTCAACAACTTATTCTTCTTATATATTCAAACATGGATGCAAGTTGTGGACCATCGAACGCATTACAGAACCTTTCAAAGCACACTCAGCGTGATCAGTCATTACAAAATGAGTTTATCAACAGAAATGGACCAGTGAATCCGGGGCAGTCATTTAGATCGAATTATACTGGAGTTGATCACCAGTTAAACCAAGATTTCCAGCAGTTTAATCAACTGCAGAATATGAATGGGAATCCTGCGTTCATGAACCAGTTTGGCCCGGCGCCGCAGATCCCCGGACGTCATCATGAACAAGCACAGTTCAATCAGTTTAATCAGTCACAGACCCATTTTAACCAACCGCAACTTCACCAACCGCAAAGTAGTAATTCAAAACAAGGGTGGGTGCAAGACTTTTCCAATTTGGCTATAAGTAATCGACAGCAACCAACGAATGACTGGCACACTCAGTTTATGAAGCAACAAGGATTTCAACAACACCAACCACAAGCACAACATCAAAGGGTGATGCCGAACCATGCGTCGGGATTCCAAATGAACATGAGAACAAACTTATCTCAACCAATGAACCAGATGGCAGTACCCACCGAGCATCAAGAAATGCATCGGATGGAACAAGAAAAGCAAGTTTTCGACGACCAATTCGACCAATTAGAAAAAGAACTCGAAGCACAAGCCGTTCCAGAACAGACGATACTGGAGGAGATAAATGAGGTATCGACCAATGAGAATGAGAAGGAGGAGTTTGCCAAAACTGCCCAAAGAGTGTATGATTCAATGTTATCCCAGCAAAATACTCAAACAACAGAAACAAGTACCAAATTTCAACAATCGGATTTTCTCAAATTGATGAACTCTATATCCAGCCGGAAAGTCGAGCTTTCACAAGAAGGGAACAAACTAGTGAATGAGAGTGGCCAGGATATTCGAAATCAGGAACATATATCAAATTTAGCCGATCCATTACAGGATGTCAGAAATGAAGTGAGACAAGAACCCTTGAGTGTCCGACACGACAATACCGATTACCATCGTGCGGTCCACGAACCCCAAATGAATACCGAAGAGGCTCTAAGAGGCCACTTGCCAGATCCTTTGGCCCACATAAAAGATGGTGAGCTCGATGCCTTTGAACCATTGCAAGCAGCCAGAATCGTAAGTGGAGACCAGGTCAAGGGTAACCAGTGGATGGAGGACTCCAACTGGGAAATCGAGCCCGATGCATTGCATGGATCCAGATTGCAAAAGGGAAGAATCCTAAATCAATACGAACAAGAGGTGTTTGATGATTACAGACAGGACGACGATTTCCATTAGTTTAGCACCAATTCAAGACAGTTAGTTTCCATGGACTCATGTAATTCCCCAAGTAGTTTAACCAGTACGGAACCGAACTCTAGTTCAACCCGAATATTTGCAACCAATTGTAAATCCCAATTCAGAGGAATGAGGGGATCGCACTTAAGCATAATGGGGCCAGGGTCGTGCGCACGCCACCACTTTCCCAGATCAACGCCAAAAAAAAAAAAAAGAAAACAGCAGTGCAAAAGAACACGGATTCAAACGGATAAACTCCTGGAGGTAAGCCCGGAAGAATCCAGAATCCCCGTGACAGAATAAACCCAAATAAAACAAAAATAAATAAAATGGACAACACCATATATACAAAGCCTTATTTGTGATTGCAAACTAAAACGATTACATCATGGATGAGAGTCTAATGGCAAATGACATAATCGGGTTGCAAGTGGGTTTATTGTCAGCAAATTCGGGGTTTAGTGGTCCGATGAGCAAGGTGAGAAAGGGGTGGGTACGGATGTAGCTCAGATCTAGATGCACCAACAATCGCTCCAATTCCTCCGGTACCTCCAACACCAACAATACCTCCAACACCTCCAACACCTCCAACACCTCCAACACCAGTACGCTAGTACAACCAGTACGGTGGCACAACCAGTAGCGTAGTAGCGTAGTAGCGTAGTAGCGTAGTAGCGTAGTAGCGTAGTAGTGTAGGCGTAGTGAAGGGTGAGTTCTGGAAATGAGTATGGAGGATGGGGGAATGGGGAGATACGAGGGCATTGCCGGTCGACCTTCTCGCTATTACATCATCCAACATCCGGAGCACAATTGAGATCCGAACACAAAAGACACTTTTCTTTTACTCGTTTCTTTTGTGCTTTTCTTTTCTCAACCAAAAAAAAGAAAGATTCGATAAGATAGTCGTTGGGCCCCCTCTTCCAATTAATATAAATAGCTTTGAATATCCATAGTTGGATGAAGTTTTGGATATTGCAAATTAATCAACTTAAATAATCAACAATGACTTCTGCTATTCCATATAAAATCGAAAAGCCATTCAAAATCTCCATTATCGGTTCTGGTAATTGGGGTACTGCTGTTGCTAAAATTGTCAGTGAAAACACCGGTGAAAAACCAGATATTTTTGAAAAAAATGTTAATATGTGGGTTTTCGAAGAAGAAATTGAAGGTGAAAAATTAACTTCAATTATCAACAGAGAACACGAAAATGTTAAGTACTTACCAGGAGTTAAGTTACCAGAAAACTTGATTGCTAATCCAGACATTGTTGATGTTGTTAAAGACGCTGACTTATTAATTTTCAACATTCCTCATCAATTCTTACCAAGAACCTGTAAACAATTGATTGGTAAAGTTAGTCCTAATGCTAGAGCCATTTCTTGTCTTAAAGGTTTAGAAGTTGGTCCTGAAGGTTGTAAATTATTATCTCAATCCATCACTGATACCTTAGGTATTTACTGTGGTGTTTTATCTGGTGCTAACATTGCCAACGAAGTTGCTAGACAAAGATGGTCGGAAACTTCAATTGCCTACACCCAACCAACTGATTTCAGAGGTGAAGGTAAGGATATTGATGAATACGTCTTGAAACAAGCTTTCCACAGAACTTATTTCCACGTTAACGTCATTGGTGATGTTGTTGGTGCTTCTATTGCCGGTGCCTTGAAAAACGTTGTTGCCATTGCTGTTGGTTTTGTTGAAGGTAGTGGTTGGGGTGATAACGCTAAAGCTGCCATTATGAGAATTGGGTTAAAGGAAACCATCCACTTTGCTTCCTACTACAAAAAATTTGGTATCAAAGCCTTAGCTCCTCCTGAACCAACTACTTTCACCGAAGAATCCGCTGGGGTTGCTGATTTAATCACTACTTGTTCCGGTGGTCGTAACGTTAAAGTTGCTAGATACATGATTGAAAAGAAGGTTGATGCTTGGGAAGCCGAAAAAGTTTTATTGAACGGTCAATCTTCTCAAGGTATCTTGACTGCTAAAGAAGTTCATGAATTATTGGAAAATTATAAATTACAAGAAGAATTCCCATTATTCGAAGCTACCTATAGAGTCATTTACGAAAATGCCGATGTTAATGAATTCCCAACCATCTTAGAAAATTAAGCATCCTGAATTACTTTGATAGTATTTTGTATATTAGTTAATAGAATTTTAAAAAATTAAGTTATTGATAATTTGTTTTTTTGTACTCTAATTTCCTACCCTCGGAAATCCTCGAAATCGGACTATGTCTGCATCCTCATCTTGAGACGGTTGCATTTACGCAACCTTCGAAACTGGTGCTTATGAACTCACGAGCCCATTGGCTAATACTCCATTGCTTCATTGCTGGTATAGTGTGCTGAGGCACTTGATGCCTCTGGAACAGTCCTGTAACTTGCTTATTGATATTAAAACTTGCCTTGACCGGCTATTTTTATACTCGTACACCTTGATGTACTTACTTGTACTTAATATAATACTTAATACTTGTACTTAATACTTATACTTATTACTTGCTCATACATACTTATATTTTAATACTGATTGATGTAGTTGAGGTAATTGCAAAATTGCAAAATCACTTGCGCATGCTAAATTGACGTCAGGAGAAAAATTGGTACTCCACAACATTTCAACTGGTTGTTACTACTATTCAACCAGGATGGACTCGAAGTACTTGGATAATATAAAGCAGTATAAGCCGGTGAATTATCTAAATAGCTCGCTTTCGATTTGGCATAAATTGCCGGTTGCTCGTCGACTGTCGGTGTTCATTCTATTATTCTTTGGTTCATTAGGTGAATTAAGAGTTGTCTTAACTAAAAGATCAACCAAGTTGAGAAATTTCCCCGGTCATATCTCTTTGCCCGGTGGCAAGGCTGATAATGGATTGGAGTCGGAATGGCAGGTGGCCAGACGTGAAATGTTTGAAGAAATTGGTATAAGTGAATCAAATCAATACTTGAAAGAAAATTATGGGTTTGTCATTGATCATATAACTACTTTACCTTGCTATCTTTCAAGAACTTTCTCAGCAGTCAAACCATGTATTGGGTTTATGAATTTTGATAATCCTGAAATATCAGAAGTTGAATTGATTCATAATTTGAAATTATCAGTAAACCCGGGGGAGAGCTCGTCGGTTTTCTCTTGTCCTTTGAAAGATTTTCTTTATCCTTTGAAAGAAGGCTTGGAGGATGGGGTGGATGCTGCTCCTTCTGCTTTGGAAGCTTTACTGAGAAGCTCCCATCGGGTAAAATGGGGTGGCATCCCCTGGATGTTGAGATCTTATGTTTTTTTACAACATAATGAAAATGAAACCGGTTGGTTAAAGGAAATGGCCAGCTTATCCACTTCGGAAGAGGAGTCGGTGGATGAGTCTGGTGATACTGAAGATGAAGCTGCTAAAAAAAGACAATCTCCTCCTCCACCAAAACGCCAAAAGAAAGATTTATCGAATTGGGGTAGACTCGGCTCAAGACGTCTTTCTGATACCAATGAGAAAGTCTATGATGTTTGGGGGCTAACCGCAAACATCCTACATGATTTGGCTACAATTGTTTATTCTAATCCCGACTCAAATAAAGCCTTAGGTGAAGAAGAATTAATTCATAGTATTTGGGATAAAGGTGGTCAAATGAAAGAAAAATCTAGATCTGATCTGGAAATCGCTTTAATTGAATCCAATTCAGTGAAAGATTTTGGTTTTGGCGATATCCTACCAAGAACAGAATTTAACAGGTTAAAAAATCTTTATAAAATATAAGTTATTAGATTATCAATTTGTAGATAAGTATATTCTCTCACTGAAAAAAAAATTGATGTCAATCTTTTTTTTTTTTTCATTTCTTCATTCAACATGCCAGAGGATAAGTCTGTGAACAAGATCGCTTCCGTACTAGAAGACGTTTCGATTAAAGATGTGAAAGAAAAACCACTGGCTTTCAATCTAACTCCCTCCGTTAGTCAGGAATCGCTCTCATCAATTGATCGTAAAACCATACAATTACTAGAGCTACTAGATCAATATCAAATCCTAGTTGAAAAACTCTCTTTGGGTTATACCAATGGGTTTCTCACGTTGAGTAGAGCTAATTACAATAGTGGTATAACCAAAAAATACGGTCCAGACTCCTTTGATTATAGACCTTATAATGCATGTAAAACCATCGAAGTAAACGGAGATTTTAAATTGAATGAGTTACTACCAAAACCACAAAAGAAGATAAAGAAGAATGACAAAACAACTGAAGATCCAAATACTCTGAAATCGTCAGACATTCAATTGAAATCAAATAATGATACCGGATCCTTGAAAAATCGACATTTGAAAAAAAAAATTGAAAAGGAGGAAACTACTGAAATTGACAACGTTGAAGTACGTGATCCAATCTACCAATTTGGTGGTTTAGTACCTTATCAATTGAGGCAATCACAGGACTATTTCAGTGCTGTTGTTAACGACTCTATTCGCCTAGTAAATTTAAAAAATAAAATTAATCGAATAGTCGAAGAAATTGATTCATTCAAAGAAACCTGATTAATACTGCTACAAAAGAAAAAAAAATCATCAAAATGCAAATATTTTATTATACAAAGAATTAGTTTTCAACATCACTATATAAATCGCTATCATTTTCATAATCCTCAGGCTTAATTTCAGGTTTATCGTCATCACTTTCGCTAGAAGATTCGTCATCTTTATCATCTTCAACCACTTCACCGTTCTTTCTAGCTTCTCTTCTAGCCTTTTTAGCTTCCTTTTTAGCGAGCTTGGCTTTAACATTTTCTTGTTGTTTAGTTCTTCTTTCGGATTTGATCTTTTGCAATTCTTGATGTCTTTTTTCCAAAGCTTTAATATCTTTATCTGATTTTTCAATATTAGCATGGTATATAGTTTTAGATGATCCAAGTAATCCTTCTTCAATTTTAACTAAAGTCATATTTATACGAGGACCTAACTCAGTTAATTTAATAGCCCTTTTCTTAGTACTTGGTGCAGTATTAGTTTCTTCTTCAGCTTGTTCACCCATTGGATCATCTTCAGTTGGTGCTGTAGCATTTTTCTTTTTCAAAATATTATTCTCTTCATTTTTAATTTCAACAATTGCATCATCTTCAACTTCACTATCAGAAGTAACACCCCCAACAGAGTATGGATCTAATACCAATTCGGAAATATCTTTATTCTTGGATAAATTTGGTATATTTTTCTTTGGATTGTGATGGGAATTAATCAATTTTTTTATATTCCTAGTTTCTTCCACTAATTTAGTGTTGATGGCATAATGCCTTAATTCTATATTCCCAGTGACAGGATCTTTGTTTAACATCAATACTCTTTTAATCCCTCCAACGTTAGTGCTTTGTGGTTGAATTGGAGGGAACATATTTTGGAAAACAGTAATCATTAATTTTTCATGATGCTCGAGTTCATTCATTTTGGACAGAAATCCATTCAAAACTAATAACGGAGGATTACGCATCTCAATTGAATCTCTTCCAACGGACTTTGGATGTTTCAAAATCAGTCTTACATCTTTCATCAATGAATATGTATTGATCTTGAATTGTAATGTTGGTCCTCTAGGCATCTTACCTATTCTTAATGAAATATTCCCAGTTTCCTCAGATTGATTGAAGATAAATAAATCTGAAACTCCCAAGGGCCCAGCCATAACAATGAAATCCTTAAGCTTATTGGTCTTACGTTCCCTTAAATTCACTGCAGTATGTGGTTGCATAACATTTCTAAAATCTTTCACTAATTGTGTTAACGAATGATTTCTTATAGATGATCCTAGCCTAATAACCATTGATCTGGGTATTTTAGCAAGCTCCTCTTCGGAAACTTTCTTATGGGTCCTGGTCTTGGTTCTTCTTTTAGCCATCGTATATCTATCTATTCAACCGAATAACTTAAACTGTTAGTTAACTTGACTCTAATAGAGCTGGTATTAAATGAAAGAAAAAATGAAAAAAAAAATTAGTGTGAGAGAAGACCTCATCACTAAGATAAACACTGTGTGCAGGTTTTTTTTTTTTTACTAGAAACTTTTTTTCCTCTTCTTCCCTTCGTTGCCTTAATAATTGAATTCTTCAACTTACTTTCAGTAACGAGGAAACGTAGTATTCATTGACATAAAATGGCTCTTAAGACAGACACCCTACATAAGAAGAAACCAAAAAGCTCCAGTAAAGTTGACGCTAAGTCTTTGGCAGAAAAAATCAAGAGAAATGCATTAAAACAGCAGTTGAAGGATAAGAAAGAAGAAAAAGAAGAAAAGAAGAAGGATGCCGAAGAAGCTATTGAAACTGTTGTTGACTCTGAAGATGGTCCAAAGTTCACTAGTTTCAGTGAACTCAGCTTGATTCCAGAATTACTTGAGGCCATTCAACAAATGAAATTTAGTAAACCTACCCCAATTCAATCTGAATGTATACCTCATGCTTTAGAAGGTAAAGATATCATTGGTCTTGCTCAAACCGGGTCTGGTAAGACAGCAGCTTTTGCTATTCCAATTTTGCAAGCTTTGTGGGAAGCCCAAAGCCCATTTTTCGGATTAATTTTATCACCAACCAGAGAATTAGCCTATCAAATTAAAGAAACTTTTGATGCCTTGGGTTCATCCATGGGATTAAGATCAACTTGTATTGTTGGGGGTATGGATATGATGGACCAAGCTAGGGAACTTATGCGTAAACCACACATTTTGGTAGCCACTCCTGGTAGAATTATGGATCATTTAGAACACACCAAAGGTTTTTCCTTGAAAAATTTAAAATATTTAGTCATGGATGAAGCTGATAGATTATTAGATATGGATTTTGGTCCAGCTTTAGATAAGATTTTAAAAGTTATTCCAACTAATAGAACAACTTATTTATTTTCAGCTACAATGACTAATAAAATTGAAAAATTACAAAGAGCTTCTTTAAATAGCCCAGTTAGAGTTGCAGTCTCTAACAAATACCAAACCGCTGATAACTTGGTTCAATCAATGATGTTAGTTAGTGATGGTTATAAAAATACTTATTTAATTCATTTATTAAATGAATATGTTGGTAAGTCAGTTATTATTTTCACTAGAACTTGTGCTCACTCTCAAAGAACTTCGTTATTAGCTAGAATACTTGGATTCTCAGCAGTTCCTTTACATGGTCAATTATCACAATCTCAAAGATTAGGTGCTTTAAATAAATTTAAATCTGGTAAGGCTAATATTTTAATTGCTACTGATGTTGCAGCTAGAGGTTTAGACATTCCTTCTGTTGATCTTGTTATTAACTATGATATTCCAACTGATTCCAAAGCTTATATCCATAGAGTTGGTAGAACAGCCCGTGCTGGTAGATCAGGTAAATCGATTTCTTTAGTCACTCAATATGATTTAGAAATGTATTTAAGAATTGAAAATGTTTTAGGTAAAAAATTACCAAAAGATCCCTCACCTTCAAAACAAGTTTTAGATGCTTTACATCATCATGTTGATAGAGCCAGTGCTGAAGCTATTAGAGAAACAAAAGATTTCCATGAAAAAAGACTCACGCATAGAAAGAAGAAAGATGATCATGATCGTGAAGAACGTTAAGAGGCTTCTCACAATTTTGTATTATAGATCTAGGTAAATTACAATTCAATTCTGCATAAATAATTATTGATTTATATATCTCTATATATAAATATATATGAACGATTTAGTTAAATTGTAAAAGAATGTAAAATTATATAACCAAAATAGAGAATTGAACAAAAAAGAAAAACATCAGTGAACAATGTGTAATGTGAATTGAAAAAAACAATTAAACCTAAGGAGCAAAAACCTATAGGTTTCAGCCAAAACTAAAAAAAAAATATAATTAATCATAGAGAAGTGAAGTCATGAAAAGAAAGAATAATAAAATGGAAAATCATTGATGTACGAAATGAACAGGACACTCACCATATCCTTTCTTATTAAACCAATCTTTAATACATTTATAATGGAAAACACAGAGACACTCGAGCCTACCAACTTTATCACCTGGTTTTAGGTCTTCCAAGCATATGACACATTCATTATCAATACCTTTGAAAATGTTCTGTTTTTCAAGTGATGGTTGAATAGTCGAGTTTGAATTAACCGATCCAGCGATATCAGTTTCATTATCAATTTGGGGGATCATAGAAGACAGCGAAGTAACTTGTTGTATAGTCCCAAAAGAACCAACATCAATATTTGGAATTGTCTCAAACTGTGGCATTGGAATCGGAGGAATGTTATACACCAACATTTTATTCCTTGCGTGAGCTTTGGATCCTCCACCAGACCCAAGTCGATTAGTATCTGAATTGAAATCAAAAGAGTCAAGACAATTACTGATATGTGCTTCTTTGTACAGTTCAAAATCGTCATGACTAATATCAGACACTGAATTTGATGTCTTGTGATCCTTAATATAGTTTTTCAATAAATTCTTGGAGCAGACTGGACAAAGATTGAAATCACTATCTTCATCCCTATTGCGTTGTCTACCATGATAGTGATAGTGATGACCGTGATTATCACGACTCTGCACGTCAATTGAAGAGTTTGTAGAAGATTCTACCATACGAGTGCTGGTTCTAGTACTATACTTTGTAGTACTATCATTATCATTGGCTAAACTGGTATTTTCCCCATCATTGATACTCATGTCACTTCTACCAATAAGACTACTATTCTGAGATGCCAGCTCACTACCACCCACCACTAGACTCGAAGAGTCTCCTGGAGATCCAAACAAAGCTCGTCTAATCATATTGATTTCGTCTGCGCATTCATCACATGTTCTATAGAATTCATAGCTATTCAGTGTTCCCAAGGTATTATCTGAATTAACCACATATGTATTCGGAAAGTATCTCACCAGCTGCTCAGAGCATGATCCACAGACCACTCTACCACATTTCCGGCAATGATGTCTTCTGTTAAAGAACGTATATTGGGAGTGGCACAAAAAGCACCCTGTTACGTCCGAGTCATCTTGCCATTCGGGGCCCTCTCTGAAAACTTCCATGGCCAAGCAAACCACTATCAATCTAAACACTAACGCGGATCAAACCAGTTTATAAGCTAATAACCCTTGCTAAAAGTCAATCGACGATTAGATTCTTCTGATAACGAAAGAAGGAGTATTTGTATTGATAATGATTTTTTCCTGGAGTCAAATCATAATTTCTGCGCGAAGCGATACCGGTACGCCCACTACTCCAACTTTGTTAGGTATTCAATTTTTGTTAGGATTTTTTTTTCCAATCCATAAACCTTTAGGCCTTTAGTAACCAGGGTTTTTGTTTTGAATTAGGGTAAGAGGTCGTGGTATCAGTGATGTCAGATAGACTTACGCAGCTACAGGTTTGTTTGAACCAGCTTATAGAGCAATTCAACTCGACCGTGAACTATGTCAATGTCCATAGCGAGCCAGCACTTCTTGATGAAGACCCAATGTCGGTCACCAATATGGCCGTGAATGCACCCAACCCGGGCCAGCAGGCGCCCCCACCGGGCCAGGCCCAGCAGCTGAACTCCCCAGGAGAAAGGCCACCGGATTCCAACTCGGTGTCTAACCACGCGTCGGTTAGAGAAGAAGCAGAGGCCAATTTTGAAAACACGATAAATGAATTATCCACTGATATAATACTAAAGTCTCGACAAATAAGTATGTTGATAGATTCTCTTCCAGGGATAGGAACTTCCCCGGATACTCAATTAGTGACAATCAATGAATTGATCAAAGAGCTCGATGAAGTTGAACGGAAAAGAATTGAAAAAATTGAAGAAAAGGATAAGCTCTTGGCCTGGTGTGAGACCTTGATCAAGGAGGTTGCGTCGGGGATATCTGAAACTAGAAGCTAAAGTAGTACAAATTTATTACCGGGTGTATTTACAAGAAAATTATAGAATGAATCACTTGCCATAAGCAACACAGTCAAAGTCCCATGACGGGAACCATTTTGCTTTGATACATTGATCAACAGTCCATTCAGTTCCGTATATCACTGGTGTGAATGTGACGAAAGAGTAGAGGGCAGCACTTGCAATTGCAATCACCATCAAAGTTCCAATATTTTTTCTGACATTGAGTTGGTATTCTCCATATTGTGCAATCAATAAAATTGAAAAATATACAGCAACAAGATAATGATGTAAGAATAGTTGTCTCGACATATTGAACGAAGGGAAATAGTTAAGTAACCAACCAAGAATGAAATCAAAAGATCCATTGTAATAGACCGTTTTATATAATGGATCATCTGGACGTTTGAATGGATTCATGTACCTAATAACATAAAATACAAATTTAAATGCAACCGTTGCTATTAAAAAGATTCCAATGTAATATATAGCCAAGTTCCCTAAGAAATAGATATGACTACCACTTTCGTCAATTAATTTTACTTCGGTTAAAGAATTGCTGTAGTAATTAACACCTCTTAACAAAAATGGCCATGTCTCAGGTGCCGACGCATAGGAGTGATCCTCAGTGAAACTTTTATTTATCCTGAACATGGCTTTATGAACTTCAATCACCTTACTGAAAAATCCAACTTTTCCAAATTGAACGGTTGGATAATTCTCACTTTCAAGGAGTGGATGATGGTTTGTTTCGACATACCATAAACTATTAGGAATTGTAGGTTCTTCGACACATAATACCTCATTTTGACCAAACCCCCATGATGGTAGTTTTTCTTCATGTCCAATTAAAATACATTTAGTACCTCTATGGATTAATTGAAAAACAGTTTCAGTAGTTCTTACTTTGATTAATGGTAAGTCGTTGGTGGAATGATCTTTTTTCATAGCTATTCTAACTTTCCATTCGTAATTTATATCACCAGCCAAATCTCTTGTCCCATTACAAGAAACTTCATTTGAATATTCATGTTCGGAAATCGGTGGTCTGACATCATTAACATGCAAATACTTGCCAGTGGCAACATGATATAACCTGATTGTATCACCATCTTTAACGGGTCTGAATTTCTTTTGAAGTTGTCCTTCCCAATTCTTATTTTTAGTTTCAATTATCCATTGATTATTAGGGTCAGGATTAAAACCATATAAAGATACTTGTTGTTCACCAGAACCAGACTCATACTTATGATCATGTGAATGTAAGTATGCCTCCAAGTTATTTTGCTTCAAGGTGACAGTACTTCCATAAGATACTTCAACCGGACTATTTATGATTTCATCGGAATCTGCTAGGGTTGACTTGAAACGAGGTGACATTGCACCAGATCCGCTCCCATTTAGAGGTAAGGTCATGAAATGAATTGCGAAGAACCCTAAATACAAAGTCAAGGGAAGAATAATAAGTCCGAAAACTCTTGAAACGAAGTGAAATACCAATTGGGTGATGCTAACTTCCAAATCGCCCAATAATTGCCAAAGCTGATAAATTGTTAATAAACCAACCCATGCAACAACGTATAAACCAGTGAGTTTTATTGATGTGCTTATACCTAAACCAAACCCAGTTAGGATCAAAAACTTAAACCATCTTTTGGTAAATGGTTCACTGATCTGAAAACTCTTAAATGCAAAAACAGTCAATGAAGCCGCAAAGACTAATGAACTATCTAATAAAATAAATCTAGATTGAGTAACTAATGAGTTTTCGATCAAGACCAAAAACGATCCGAAAAATGAAATCATTGATCTACAACCCGATGCCTTCAATGCACCATATGTAGTCAAAATACTCAAAACACCACATATTCCGGAGAATAACCTCATTTGAACATAGGGAACATTTTCATCAAATACGTCACCAATTTCAGCAAATTCAAAATTTCCATCCCATCCAAATGCAATTGCAATCCAATAGTACATCAACTTGGCTAATGGGGGGTGTACATCCACAAAATATTCACCATTGAAGTATTCTCTGGCAAATCCACCAAAATGGACTTCATCAAACACAACTCTGGGTGGCCAAGGGATCTTATATAGCCTTACAATGACTCCTAAAGCTAGTAATAAGAAAATAAAAAAATGATCAACTCGAGAATATTTTGATTTTTCAATTAGTCCCGGCGAGGGCCTTGAGCTATAATAAAGCCTTGACTTTCCAGGCTTATACCCCAAAGGAAGTTTTTCTTTTTCCAATGCCATATCTTGGAAAGTGTGCTTGTATGAATGAATAAGATGTATTGGACTTCTGTACCTTTATTTCTCAACGTGTAAAAAACTGTTCGAATTTTTGTTACGCACAGCATAATCAAAATTGCAAAATGCTTACAATAGATAATGAAGTAAAATAATGATTAAATAAATAGAATACAGTAATATATATGTATGTATGCAAAGAACAGGAAGATCAAGGACAATGATGAGTGAAGCAGCTTTAGAAAGACGAAATTAATAGCCAATATATAACCCCCCATTTTTCTCATCCAAATAGTTGACTATATAGTTGACATACTCAGATTTGGGATCCCAACCAAGTTTGGCTGTGCAGCTGACATTTTTCAAATGTGGAAGTTTTTCATCATTGATAGCGATTGCTAAATCGATAGCATCGATTTTATTACTTGTGCCAAGCATGCCACTACTATCAATATGTAAATTTCGTAATGGTCGGTCATATGGTAAATATTCAAGATTGTCATCATCGAAAAATGAGCTCGAAACATAGTCAACAGCTATTTCAAGATAAGTTAAATTAGGACAAAGGGTGAATACCGAGTCCATTGAGTTATCATGAAGCCCCGGCATTGGGTATTGTATTTTTAATGAGGTTAAATTCTTTCCAAGCCTATGAAGGATATTTTGAATCCCAGCATGCTTGACAGCGGGACAATGTGAAAACTCGAGTTGAGTAAGGGTTGATGGAAAAACTGACCTAATCAAAAATTCATCGTTAATCCCACCTGATATCCTCAAAAAGGTTAGTTTAGGAGGCCAGTCTATACCCTCAAAGTCATGAATTTCAATAGAAGATCTGGGGAATGAAAGGTGTGTGAGCTGGTCAAGTGTCCTAATTGATTTGAAAAGCTCTTCAAGATTAAGGGTTTCTGACACTAATCGTAAATCCAAAACTTTTAACTGCTGACAATTTTTCAAAGCAATTAAGGGACCAAGACCAAAACTTGTTTGGGGGGCGACAAAATACTCCAAATTCTTTCTAGATTTTTTCAATAGTTTTGCAACATATGCATTTTTACCTGTCTGGATAATATACGAAAGATCGAGTTGCTTTATATAATCCCCATAGTCCTTCTTTGATGACATAGTCTCAACAAATGAAAAGAAATTGGTAGCTTTCAATTTTGGATTTCGGTAAATCAACGGAAGTGTAAGATTGAAAAATAATTTGGAGACTCTCATAAACTTAGGTTTTAATTTGCCTTGGTGATATAAGATTAAAAGTATTTCCACAATGATTTCAACCGGTAATGCCATTAATTTTGAAGATTCTCGAAAATTATCTTGAATTAGCTTCATTTTCTTATTATATTCTTCGTTCCCGTTATTCAAACAACATTTGAGTACATCTACCTTTTCAAATTGTGATCGGGGCCATACATTGCTCTTAAAATTCTGTTGGTTAGTAAGAATGTATACCGAGCTGATATTCAAATTAGTCTTGATATTGAAATCCTTATAGTTTCCAAATTGATCCTTGGAAGAAAGACTTTGGTCCCCTTCATTGTAGCCAGCATTTTCATTATCATCATATTCCTCATCGCTGCTTCTATCTTGTCCTGTAAAGTTTGACCTGTAAACGTACCTCCTGTATGGAGGACGGACCTGCCTGGGTCTTCTTTTGTTAGCTATTTTTAATGTTGAATATTATGGATCAGTACCGTAGCCGGCTTCAAAGAATGACCAGCTGACTTTGATAGCTTATTTGGTTGAAATTATTCAAGATTAGCCCTCAAAAAATTTCAAAAGGTTAAAAAAGAGAGTACATCCAAATCCACAATCTATCTTTTGTCATCAGGATTTCTAATTAGTAAGTGCAGTACTTGATTTTTTTTTTTTTCAAAAAGAAAAAACGGTCCAAAAACGTTTGTGACTAAATGCGAATATGTTGATTGCAAAAAGATCAGTGATGAAATCAGCCCCAACTTCGAAAGTTACCAAGTCACAGTCTAGTCAAAGACATAAGCTTCTAATTGACTTTTCTGAAGAGCACACAGAAAGCACTCTTGCTAAGTTCTTCGGGCTTGGAGAAGGGTAAAAAAAAAGTCTTCCAGAAAGATCATTGCTTAATCGAAAATGTAAGCTTAAGTTTGATTGCTTAAATCCACAGGAGAGTTTGTCGAATTATTGTACGGATGTGAATAATCGAGATCCAAATCATAATATCTGGCAAGCAGTCGCAAAATTATCTTTCTAGCTTCAAATGGTTGAGCATGATGTGGCCGGAACCGACTATTTGGGTGAGGGGCTAAGTGAAACTTTTTCATTTCGCTGAAGTTATGATTTTCTTCAAAGGTCTTATCATTTTCACTTGTTTGTAAACTTATGATTACCATCATGGGGTATATAATAAAAGTTCGTATCAAAATTTTTGGAAAAAAAAGATTAATAGAAATTATTATACGTATTATATTGAATGGAATGGCTGTGAATACTAATAAATAAAATTCGAAGATTTTTTTAGTAGATTGAATATATTTTTCATAAACATAGGATCCAAATTGTTTCATTTGTTCAGTTTTCTGAAAAATGTGAATATTGACCATTTTCCAAATTATACTTTTAATTTGATCGATATGATTTATAGTCGTAAGGTAGCAATCAGCAAAAAAGCTTTTAACTAGAGGCATAATGTCAGTGTAGTATATTTGAATCATGGAGAAAGGATTCATTACTGTTTCTTTCAATGAAATATGACTTAGCTTTTCTATCAATTCATCAATGGTATTGAAGAAATAATTTCTATATGAAGCTTTGTTCTTCCTGCCATATTTACCTTGCTCATGGTCATACGTATCATTCAAGCTACCGAGGTCATGAAGTTGCTCTCCTTCATATCCATCTAAATGTTGCAAAAAATGATTTTGATGGTTCGGCAAGAAGTTAGCATTAACAACTTTTCTGGTGATAAGATCTTGTATTGCAGACGTGAACGGTAAACCATGCAATGAAAAATAGCCCCTATTTTTATCTGGGTTTCTTGAAAATGGGTCATTGGAACCTTCGTTTATACCACTACCGTCTTGGTTGGGTATAAACTTATGTTTTGTTTCTTCTGGCTCCTCAAAAATTGTTGACATACTCAATGGCATGGGATTCAGTTGAAATTCCTCAATATCGTGTTCCTTGTGGGGACTTGAACTTGCTTGGAAAGAGGCTGAATTATTTTTACTCTCTATTTTTTTATGGTACAAGCTCAGACTAAAAGGAAATGGCTTGAATGTTTGAGGTTGATGGTTCTGCCTTTCGAGCTTCATTGTTGATGCATCAGACTTCTCGACTAGATTTTTTATTTCAATGTTAAGCTTAGTGATTTCTTCTGAAAGGGATTTATATTGTGATTCCTGGGTGCTAGCTACTGTTTTCAAAAAGCTGTAATACTGGTCTACTTTAGAATCGATCAATTCAACAATATTTTGAAACTGGATCATATCAGTAATTTTCTCTAATTCGATGATTTTGGAGTTCCCGAACAATTTCGACAAACGCTTCATTTTAAGTTTTGCAAGATCCATTGGTGTTTTTTCTTTGTTGGGTTTATTACCTAGTAGTAAGTGCATGTTTTCCTCCGTAATGCTTGTTGTTAAATCATTTTCAGCAAGTGACTGTTCTTGTAAAATTTCATAAACTGCTAAAAAGGACCGGAAAGCCCCCCAGAGAGAAAACACACAAATATTGAAATTACTGAACACAATGTCTTTCCTTAATTTGGATGTTATAATTAGACTCCTCGATAAGACCATCAACAAGCTCCCAAGAATAATGCCTCCAATACAGGAAAACATTGCAATTAACTGATATTTTTGAAGCTTCAATACCATGTGGGTTTCCTTTATGAGAAATTCCTCTTCGACACCTTCATTCAACTTAAATTTACATTCATACGCTCCATTGATATTCTTCAAATGAAAGCTTTTTGTTTCCCGAATTTGTTTCAACCAAAACCATGGCCATTCTGAGGCGAACTTCACAAAATAACCAATAGCCATTATCATGAGGATATCGGTGAAGAAGCTTGCTATGTCAACTTCTTCAGACAATTCAGGAAAGAATATGGGGGTCAATATTGCTAGGATAGATGGTAGAACTACCACTGCTAAAGTAAAACCTCTTATGAGTGTATCGTTAGGGTTATTTTGAACATTCCAAAATCCAAAAGTTTCAAAAGCAACCTCTGGCAGCTGCACAGAAGTGAAAGATGGCGAAGTTTCCGAGCTGTTGTTTTCACTTGAGCTATCTTGTTTTGACTTGGGAGCGACACTCAGACCTCTTCTCTGTCTCTGCCGTGGTGGTTCTTCAGCGGCGGGTGGGATGTGACTCGCAGCATTGGAGTTTCTCATTGGTGCTCTTCCCTCGGAAGTGGCGTTATGGGCGTAAAAGTTTTTTCCAGTTGGTATCATAGTCAAGCAATTACTAGTTGATCAGAGTAAACCTTCCTTTCAATTCTTTTTCAAAGGAAGACTTGAAAAGCTTTAAATGTGTTGAATTTCGATTCCTTGATTTTTTTGTGGTGATTTCGCAACTCAGAGTTGTTTTTGTTGCAATCCAGAAAAGGATTTTTGCAGTCACACTCAAAGACATGAAATTAAATATATTTATCAACTCTATATACTCGAAATATATATCTTTCTGGTCCAGACCTGCTTCGAAAGTATTTACAGCTTTTCTTTTGTTGTGTACAGAAGTAGGAGGAGGAAACCGAGTGAAAAGATGACAAAAACTATCAAAGTTGCACATTGAAAGATAAGAAAGTCGGTAAAAGACTATTATAAAATGATAGAGAAGTATATATTCATTGAAAGATGTGCTTAAAAAAGTGGCACTGTGAAGTAAGGATTCTTATATACCCACTTCTCTCAATGATATGTTTGGCAATGATTTTGGCGTCATTTCTCGAGACAATAAAGCTTGTTGAATTACAAGATAGTATTCAAAGAACTTAAAGATATTGCTTCTTGGATATAAAAACAAATAGAAAGTTATGTATACACACTTGTTTTCTCGTCCAAAAGGAACCATTCCTTAACAATGTAATAGTTACATTCGAGTTATTTGGTGCTTGCAAATAGGATTATTTCAAAAAGCTTGCGATTAAGCTTCTGTATTCTAAGTAACATCACTAGAACTCAAAAAAAGGCTTCACACAGCTCTTTTCTATAACTTAATTCTAGCTTTGTGGATATTGAAAGATATTATAATACTTTGGATCAAATAATAGACGTTGCAGTAGGACCTAATGGTGAGCCGGTGTTTCTTGAGAGAATTAAAAGCTAAACCTTTTTACTTACGTAAAGAGAGCAAAGCATTTTTACAAATAAGAAGTTTATATTCAGAAAGTCTTATAAAGTATACTTATCATATACGTTATGAATTAATGTTAAAACTATTTAACAAACCTTCGTTGAATTCATAACAGACTGGATGATCGTAATTGGATACAAATGCACAGTTACCCATATCTTTTTTAAGATCTTCTCCAGATACTAATATTTCTGCACTTTTCTCTGGTGAGATATCAAAATCAAATATATCCATGGGTAATCCAAGTGTTGTACATGCATTGGGTACGTCAACAACACCGGCAATATGGCCCTCGATTGGTGCTGAAGACAATAACAAATAAATTTGATAATCATTATAACCAAATCTTCTAAGATACTCAATCGCACGAATACAAGCTTGTCTATAAGCTACGGTTGCATCAAGGAATTTTTGTTCACCAGTTTCATCAACTGAGAATCCTTCAAAGGTTAAGTATCTTGATGGACTGTAATGATTCTGAACATCACCAGGAAGAAATATTGGTGATTTTAAATTTAATAATTTCATGCCATCTTTGATAACTTTTGCTTGAATTGTAATAACCCCTGCCATTTCAATTGCCCCACAAAACGAAATTTCTCCATCTCCCTGAGAGAAATGTAAGTCACCAATTGAAAATTTAGCTCCCTTTACGTAAACAGGGAAATAACACTTGGATCCCCTAGATAAATTTTTGATATCACAATTCCCACCATTTTCAGGTCTTCCAGGAATGGTTCTTGACCCTTCTTTTGCAATTTTCTCCTTTAATGATCCTTCAGCACTACCTCCGTGAGCGTTTACAACTTCAGGAAGGTTAGCAACTGAAGTATCATGTAAATGTTGAATCTCCTCTTTAATAGATTTTTCCCTTTTATTCCATTCAGTCAAAACTTTTTCCGATGGAGCAGTACCCATTATACCAGGATGAATTAAACCCGAGAATTTAACATGGGGAATGTGTCTTGAAGTTGCATGAATTCCTTCAAAATCAAAAAGGCTTTTGCACATTCGGGATAAAATTTATCCAAGAACCCACCTCCGTTTGATTTATGGAAAATACCACAATAACCCCATGGTTGTCTTTCTAAAGGTTGAACGTCTTTGATCTCAACCATCAATACATCTCCGGGCTCAGCAGTCTCGATGTTAAACGGTCCAGATAGATAATGTATTCTTGATAAATCAACATTTTTCAAATCATCACTAGTATCACTATTACAAATCTGATTACCAGTCCAATCCAAACATTCTATCTTCACTGTTTCTCCCGGCTTAATGGCTTCTGTGAATGGAACATCAGGGTGCCATCTATTATGGACTTGAGGTTGAGCATCTCCTGGTTTGTTCAAGTCAACCTTTGTGACATATCTAATTGGGCTTGGTGCCATGTTAGTTTACGATTGATTTTATCTCGAGTAAAATTTAAGTAGTAATGGAGTTGGGATTTTTCCAACTTTATATAGTATAAAGGGGTATTCGCGTAGCCCGATGCAAATCTTGATAAGGTCAAACTCCAATTCTTGATAAGGTTCAAATTCCGGTTTATTATTCGCGGTTATCGCCTCTTGAACAAAAAGCTCCTTTCATCTCACCATCTGAAAACCGTTGTTTTGCAGCCAACTTAGAAAGAAAAATTAAATATATTTGCTAAACCTATATACTCGAAATAAATAAATAGTTTTGTTATCCTCCATGAGTATGTACAGCAATTCTATGGTAATTAGAGGAGGAAACAAAAAAGCAGAAAGATAAAAACTATATACAAAGTCGAACATCAGAACGTGAAAGAAGTAAATAAATATCTACTTTCCTTCGTATTTTTTAAGGTCAACATCAAATTTTGCCTTCTTACCTTGTTGTTTATACTTTTTAGTCATTTCAAGACTTGAAGCAATCGAGTCTGCCATAGTTACTATATCATCATCGAAATAGGTAGAATCGGCAGTGGTTACTTTTTTCCAGTCCTTTTTACGCTGTTCCTTTAAAAAGGACTTCTTTTGAGTTTTCAGAATGGCCTCTAATTTTTCTTTCTTCTCATCAGATAAGGAGTTTTTAACTATAACACCCTTCTTTCCCAATGGCGATGGCCATAAATCACCTCTAGCCAGCTTTCTGGCATCATGGTAAACCTGTTTACCTAAACTTTTTGGAATTTGCCAAATTTCAATCTTACCGGATGGTGCACTAACGGTTAATTTGACGTTCTTTTTAACTTTTCCTGGATGGGAAATAATACGAGGCCAATTCTTAGGGTCTTGCTCATCGATGTCAGTCGAGCTATTATGAGAACGTTCGTATTCGATATTTTTTATACTTTCGACATCATTTGGTGATCGTTGAGCGATTAAGTAGGAAAATGAACCCGTTTCAGTATTATTAGATCCAGGTCTACCAGTACCACCTAATTTTTTTAAGGAGTTTCTCAGGAGATTATCTAATCCAAAACCATCTTCTGCGGTCTTGTCCCATTTAGTTGCAAGCCTACGGCCCTTCTTTAACTCCATAGTATATTTTGGTCTTTCCACGGTTTTGTTAAAGGAACAGAAGTTGAAACGATGTTTATGAGAAGAAATCTTATAGTACTTAGGATCTCCCAATTGTAATGGACATTTTCCGTGATGTGAACATGGTGCTATGATACTGATATGATAATCGACACTATCAGCGTTAAGAGTAGATTGTGAGAGAGGCGGCTCTTCAAAATCTAAAGGAACAACTTCATATTCGTCACCACCTTCATATTCAAATTTCAAGTCTTCTTCCTTAACTTCGCCATATTTTGAATTGATTTCCTTTTCGAAATCCAGCAGGCTCTCTTCCTTGAATTGAGCTGCAATTTTCTCATCTTCGGTAAATTCTAAATCTTCATCTTCAAAATCTTCATCTTCCAATTGTTTGAAAAGTTCTTCTTCATATTTGATATCATTATCATCAATGAGTTGATCTTCTTTCTTTAATTTTTGTGGTTTTAAACTTGAACCTTTAATATAAGGTCTTGGAATCTTACCACGTTCATTTTGATATGATTCTGGCCTGATCATCACTTGCCTAGCTCTAGCAATGGTTTCAAACCCCAAGGCATTACCTCTTTCAACTAATACTAAATGACCGTTTGGCTTCAATAATTTCAAAATCATATGAATATTGGTGTCGATATCTCTCGAAAAACTATATTCCCTTGTTAACAAGGCTTGGTTTACCATTATTAAATCATATCTTTTTGACACAGGTAATGAGTCTCTTAATTTTGTTTTGATTTGAATTTTACTTGCATCGACAGGACCAACATAGTCGTCTACTTCTGGTTTTTCTTTTTCCAACACGTCCTCCTCTGGTGACACACCTTCGTTTTTATTCCCTTCAATATCTTCATTTTCATCTGGTACTTCATATTCTACTAAATTTTCGTTTAATTGACGAGATAAAATAATCTTAGCTCTCTTTTTCATTTCATAATTTGATCTACCAACAACGTAAACGTCTTTTTCTTCTGGAACCCATTCATTTCCCATTATTTCATTAAGAGCAACCATGCCAGTGGCTGGACCATGTCCAATATCTAACACACTCTGAGGATTAAACTTATCTTTACCGACTCTTTTCTGTAATTCTAATAAAACATGATGTGCGTGGGAGTAATTTTGCAAAAATAAAGAAGCTATATGGGCATCACAATCTAAGGCCGACTCTGGGGCTAATAGAATCTGATCCGAACTTAAACTCTTAAATATATTAGCGGCTCTTTCACGTAATTTATCCGGACGAGAAGTACTCAATATGTTTTTGTTAATGACTTTAGCTATTTCAGTGGGTAGAACAGTAACATTTCTATCAACTCTACCTTCCAAAGTTAAGGGATGTAACCTTGCTTCCTCTGAGTTGTCACCTTGTTTTAAAGATCCATCAGGATTTCTATATGGTGATATCTCATCTTCAAAATCATCCTCTTGAATCCTCACATGCTTGTCACTCTGATCCTCATTAAGCTGCTTATATTCTTTTAACCGTTCACTCACAACCAACTGGCCAAAGGTTTCGCTATGTCTTATTTTGTCGAATGGAAGAGCTTCCGTAGCCTTGACATCATTTCCCAGTTCATGTTTAATGAAATCATAGGTTGATGGATCGAGGTTCTGAAGTTTTTTCAGTGATGAGGTTGCATTAGTTCGGAGGCCATAAGTTAAATTAGCGTATCGAGATAAGACGAACCGTCTACTTCTCAAAATCGATGTCCTCGCTAACATTAGTATAATATTCCTTAATGCTTTGTTTCGGTTGGGTTTATTTAAGTTAGATATCGTCCCTTATATCTCATCGTAAGAGAGATTATAACCATATTGCGCTGTGTGCAGGTTGCAAATGTCAGCATTCTAAACTGTAAAGCATCATCACGTTTTGCAGGTTATTTTCTTTTGCAGCTTGAGTTTCGGTAATTACAGGTTGGAAGAAACAGTGCGATATGACTGGCTCAATACGAAGGCTTTCTCTTAATGGTGTATTTTTTTTTGTCTCTGGACATTCAGAATTTTTTCAATTCGATTCAGCGTTTCTTTAGGTTTAACCAATTGATTTTTGCAATAGAAGAGACGGAAATGTTCTCAAGACTGACAATGAACCGTGGAATACCGGTTTTAGTGAGTGTTGCTGCTGGTATTTCGTCCAGCATGATATTCGGAGGACAACCAAGCATTCATAATGAGTCTAAACGTAGATTCTATGAAGATGAATCCAACGTTGTTCCAGTTCCTGGAACAGTCACTCCAGCTGCCGGATCCGAAGTAGAGATACTAGGCCCAAACCGCTTGGTTGATGGAATCTCCGTCCGTTCACCATCAGCATTAGAGAGCACATTTAAAAGTGGGAGAGAATCGGTGGTTAGTGCATACAATAGTTTACAAGGATTCTTAAATAACAAATATGTTCAATATAATGAGAAGGAAAGACAAGTTACGAGTACTGTTAGTGGGTTGCACAACAAAACTGAAGATCTTTTACCAAATGGTATATACATATTAATAGCGGCCTTGTCTGGTAACATTATGGCCCGCCAGAGAGGAATTGTTTCAAAAGCCACTTTTCCAGTTATTTTAGGTGTTGCATCATTCAAATACTTCTTGCCTCAAACATTCAGTAATACCACTGGGTTCATCTGGAGTTTGGAAGAAAAATACATCCCAGAAGTGGCTCACTCGCAACAGGTTTCGATTGAAAAAGCTGATGAATTCGTTAATCAAATTGAAAAAGCCTCCGAATCTAGTCAAAAATCATTACAAGGCCGTGTTCAATCCTTGAGACAAAAAATTGCCGACGTCACCGGGTTGAACATCGATGGTGATGTAACTAAAAAATAAAATGATTCACGATAGACTTCCTGTCTCTTTTGGAAGTAGTTTATAACTCTCATGTACAATAAAACAATTTAACTTGATGATTTTTTTTTTCTTATTCCCTTCTTCGAATAGATTATTCGTAAGACTTTAGCAATGTGTCTTCTTCAATCTATGTTTCGTTAGTTCCTCGCAATGAAAGAATTCTGTAGTACAACTTATCATATCATAAGTGCATATCGTGCTCTATAGCGTTTTTTTCGAGATGTTGCAACATGTTTTTTTTTTTGTTTTTTCTGGCATTTTTTTTTTTTTGTTAGCCATGAATTTTTTGGTTGCAAGTTTACAAATACTAGAAACACAGATGATGAATAAAATCAACTTATCCTTCGAAATCCTTTGAACAGTGAGCAGATTCAACTATCTTTACAAACTGTCGGTTGTCAGTCGTTACTAAACGATTGTGATAAGTTAGGCGAGAGTTAATCTATATAGAGTTACTAGTTAATTCGTGTCGAAAAAAAATAAAACTCCATTCGAAATAAACAACAACAATATATATTGATGTTTAATACGGGGAGGCCCCATCCAGTTTACAGGCTCTCGGATTTGAGAGATGGTGACAGTCCTTTAAAAGAGATTCAAAATCTAACAAATTCTAGTACTACTACTGAAACTGATTCTACATCAAGGTCTATTTTACCAAAGTTATCATCGACAATATCAAGTTTCCCATCAGTGACTACTCCAGCAAACGAGAACAGGGTTTCTTCGATGGACATAAGACCAGTCACCGCATTTTTTAAAGTATTGGATAAAATGTCTTTTAATATTCCTCATTTTGTTAATTCAGATACTAGTAAATTATCAACTAATGATTCTGATGAAGATAAAATGAAGAACCTTTTCCCGATCCAGAATGGGGTATTGGCTTCAACTTTAGAAAGTAAAGTTACGAGAGTACTTAAAGCAGAACAAAAATCAATGGCTGCAAGAGAAGATCTTATAAAAGATTTTAGAAATTGGACTCTGCTGATTCCAAATACTGAAAGTTCAAGTATGGTCAAAGACTTCACTGAACTCTTATCACGTCAAAAAACCGGTGACCAAGCAACTCTCACAAAATTATCCCAATTGAAGAATCATTTGTTAAGTGTTCATGCTAGAGAGAAAAAACAACGAGAATTAATCAATGAACAAACCAAAATCTTAAAGCAAATTAAAGATTCTGAAGTTAAATATGGTCATAATGCAACCGTGACAGCATTACTTAGGGAAAAATTGGAAGCAAATATATATAATTTAGAAGTTGTCGAATTGCAATTAGTAAGATCAATTTCAGAAAGTTTAAGAGAAGCATTTTTAGATTATATTACTGCTTTACACACAACTTCGATTAAAAATTATAACGCATGTTCCCAGTTTTATGGGAAGTTAATAAACTGCGAATTCCCAGTTAACGAGAAATCTAATTCTCGAGAACCTGGATCGGGGGTCAAAGTTTACAATAATAGACGTGAACGTCCTCTTTCTGCTCCTTCATCGTCATCTAATTTCATGACGGCGGAAGTTAAAAATATTTTAAAAAAGAATTCTGCTAATGATAATCAAACTCAACCAATTAAATTGATTGACAATGATAAAGTTAGTTATACTCCTAATAAAGAATACCTTGGAAGGCATAAATTAGCTCCTACAAAAAACCAATCGGCCCAACCTCAACAAACATCACGGGATGAAATTGGTGAGTTTGAAAATGAACTTTTCAATCAGGGTTTTTTCAAAGAGCCTGGTGTTCTTCACAGCGGTGAATGGAATTAGATAGGATATATATATTTATGATACTGAAAGAAAGAAAACAAAAACAACCGTAGACTTGTCATTATAATCATTTAATATTTACGTATTTTATATTTATGTAATGCGACGAGCTCTATAAACTCTATAAAGTATGTACAAGAGGAGTTACCCTTTATGCTTTTTGTTTTAATAATTTCGTCAATGGACTTGATCAAATGGCCAAGTAAAATGCAATTTTATTGACTAGCTTCAGTGTTACCATTTTTGAAGAATTTTTTCCCAATTTCATACGAAGAAATCATAATAGCACAAGATGGTGCAATTTTCATTAAACGAGGGCCAAACCCAGAGTATAAAGCACTAATACCTTCATTTCGATAAATCTTGTAAAGAAATCTAAACATAGAAGGTCTTTTCAATTTTTCACCTTTTGAATGAGCTTCCTGGGTGGTGATCTGTAATCTTGTTTTACCTACATCGAAAGGATTAGTAAATAATGCAGCAATGGCACCAGAAGTTGAACCAGACAAAAAACTTGTTGCAAAAACTTTCCAATCTTCATTTTGTGATTTAATTTTTTCATTATTAAAATCAACTTGTAATGCTAAGCTCAATCTCTCTTTAATGAACTCATAACAAGACCAGTATATTCCCGAGAATGGAACGTCTCTCCACAATGTGATCTTTAACCCGGTGAAAAGAGTTCCAATACCGCGTTGGTTAACAAGTTTATAGGAATCATGAAGCAAAGTTTTCAAAATCTTTGAATTACTCGATCCATCTTTCAAGTCAGAAGGAATTGATTGTAATCTTGTTTTAATCAATTCAATTGGCGAGACAAACGTGGCCGCCATTATTCTTGCAAAAGCACCACATAATAGTGGATTGAGAGGATGATATGCTATAGGTGAGTGATCACGGATGTATTCGTAACCAGTGAAATAAATGATATTTGAAGGAATGGCCATGAATAAAGTAAGGGAAAGCCCCCGCCATAAAGTCACTAATCCTTCATTTCTACTTATATTAACAAACCCTTGGAAAGTCGAATTGATACGAGAACAATTCTCCGCTGATTGACAGTATCCTCCATTTATCCAAAAAAGCTCGGGAGAGTCAGCAGCTAATGCTTGGAGTGGATTGCCCGAGGCTGCAATGGCATTTGCAGCTGCTGGTGCTGATGAAGATGGAACTCTTGGTATATTCAACTTTGCAGCTTCCCCCATATCTAAAGCTTTAGATGCCGATATCTTAGCAAGAGTGTTTCTGCCATTCCCATCTGGTAATACATTATTGGCCTTTGCATTACAACATACCTTATCGGAAGGTAGTATTTCTTGCTGTTGTATACGGATTCTAACCACGTCAAAAGGCGTCACCACCAATGACGTGAGAAACGATCCCAGTGAAGCACTGATCATTCTCTGCATCGTAGTGATCTCTTCAGCACTTCCTTCAATGTTGGACTTATTGTTCTTTGCAGTTGGTCTCAGGGTACGATCACCAAAATGAAGATCGTTATCTTCAATACCCGCCGCTAGTTCAGAAGACATGGACATCTCGCTATTCTAAAACACTATTCACTATACTGACTCAAGGGTATTATCTCTAACGAAAAGAATCAGAGGTAGAGGTTTGTCTTTCGCCTTAACTGTCTTTTTCTTCTTTTTTTTATTACTTCTTTTTTTTTGTTTTGTTAGGGTTCCAGCAAAGTCATTGCCTGTATACAGTGCCAGCGTGGGTTGATCGATGGTTTAGCAGCGTTTTTTTGCTTCCGCAAAAGTGTGCTCTCCGATGACGGTTTTAATGAGACACACAAATCTATAGGAGGCTGCGAAAACAAAATGGTTAGCGATAGCGATGTTGTACGGTTTATATTATTATATATTATTGTATATATCATTGTATATATCATTGTATATATCATTGTATATATTGTATATATTATTGTATATATTGTATATATTATTGTATATATTGTATATATTATTGTATACGATGTCGACATGCTATAGATTAATAATTTATTTATTACAAGTATTCCAGAATGATATCGCTGCAGTTGTAAACGTTGATGCTTGAATCTTGATTATAGTTGGTGGCCACCATCATTCTATGGGGATGGAAGGAAGTGCTGGATAAATAATTGGAGGTTCTATTACTCAAGTAGTTTTCGTGTGGTTTACGTAAGGTCGAGATTAAGTCACCAGAAGTGGTCCAGATATTCACGTTTTTGGACCCGGTGGTAATGATAGGAGCATGTTCATGAACATCAATGCTTCTGATTGATTTTTCTGGCGAATTGTCGAATGAAACTACTGGTTCGTCCAATCTTACGTCCCAAAGATTGATGAAACCATCCGAAGACCCACTCACTAATTCTCTAAATCCCCCTCTTTGCATATGGATGTTTCTTATGGAACCACGACCGATAGAAGCCTTCAGCACTGGGTTGGAAGATGAATAAGTAGCACGGGATTTTGGCCAAGCCTTAACCATCGAGTCTCTTGAGTCCATACGACGGTCATATACTCTTAAACTTCCATCGTCAAATCCAGCAACAAAGATGTTACCAGCAACTTGATCGGAGGTCAAGGATGTAATGGATGAGGTAGAACGAGCAGGAATATCAACTAAACATAACTCACGAGGAGCATCCCAAACTCTAATTATTTTGACATCACCACTCACTAGAAGAGACCCTCTTGATTGTTGCCATTCAGAAATTAAACCAGAACTTTTGGACGTTAATAGTAAATCAGTTAATGCTCTCCAAGATGCAATAAGTTCACAATTTTTTTCTTCTTCTCCTTCTTCATTTTCAGTATGAAATTTCTTATAAATTTTGATAACCCCATCTGATGAACCAGTCAACAAAAGAGGTAAATCATCTTCATTTAAAAACTTCATATCAGTTATCTTAGTACCAAATGGATTCCCGTTAGAAAATTTCTTAACAATCTTACCAACTTCCCAATCCCACACGGACACAGTATCTTTTTCATCGCTTGCAACCAAGATTTTTTCAAATTGGGTAAACTTAATTAATTTTGGTTGAGACTTATTGTTCAAAGTGATAGGAGCGTTTCGATTCCAATCACCTCTAACCGCCAATTTCTTCTGTGGTTGAGTTTCTTGAATTATTTGTTCATTTCGATTACGTCTCCATAACCGTTTAATATACTCTTCTGAACCTGGCTCATCGATTTCATTTTTTGACATTTGAGGTTCTTGAAAATACTCACAACTATACTCGAAAAACCCGGATTCATCTTTCAATTCAATATCGGCAGTTAAATCTCGAGGAATGAAACGAGGAGTCTTTGGTTTGAATTCAGCACCGTATGTACTTGGTGTGGGTCCTGACTGTAATATACGAGTAAAATTTTTCAAGTCATGTTCTTCGTTAATTTGGAAACTTTTGAATAACTTTGAAATTGACATGTTCTTGATCTTGGAAGATATCGATTCTGCATCTGTATTGTCATCGTTACCACGACCATTTAATTGTTTTTGGTATAATGCATTCAAATTATTGGTAGATGCTGATCTAGTTTTCATTGAGGTTCCATCAATAAGTAAATTATTCTTTCTATTCATAACCGCACCACCAGAAACTTGTCTTTTCGTCGGCTCAGTACCGTTACGTATATTCCCTAATGGTCTATTGATTATTGGCTGCTTGAAATTCTCTCCAATGGTTATGGTCGATTTACTTAAAAGATAATCCTGCATTTCTTTGACTAACGGTGATAATTCACTTTGATTCAATTTTAACATTATAAAATCAATCAAGGTTTCTGCTAATTGCTTCACTTCTAAATGAGGATCTTCAGATAAAATTAAAAGGGCTTTCCAAATTGAACTGAAAATTGAACAGTATGCTGGTGAATTCTTTCTGAATTCATGTAAGTAATTAGCATTGTCAATCAAAACAATTTCCTCCTCAAGTTGGTTAAAGGCAACAACTAAGAAAAACTTGGTATAAACCTTGACAAATCTATTAATAAAATATACAATCTCTTTTCTTACCATTGATGACCCATCTCCCAACAAACTTAAAATGACATTAGCTAATTTCAAATCCTGTTGTTTTAATTCATCTTTACGTAACTCAGCATTAATGTTAGATGATTGAGTTCTTTGTGGCTGTTGTTGAGGTTGACCTTGGCCTTGACCTTGTGGTTGTGCTTGGGTATCACTAGAATCACTCAAAAAGTTAGTCATAGCCAAAATAATTGAAGTTCTAACTTCTGGAATAGGATCATTCACCAAAGTTAAAAATGTACTTAAGTAACCATCTTTATGAATAATCCATCTACCATCAGGATACTTATACCATAGTTGTGATAATAACAATGAACACCATTGACGTAATAAAGGATTCTCACTAGTTGCTAAAAATTTAAGACAATTATTAATTAATTCAATTGAAAAACATAATCTTTGACCACTTTTGAAATCTTTAATGAAAAGGGTTAATATAAATGCGCTCATGGCTTTATGATCATCATTTATCAAGATATTGGCTGCATTACTTCCACTAATACTACCTGGGGCCCCAGGAGCACCAATTTGGTTTGAAGGGTTGGAATTGAAAATTAAATAGAAATAATTATACCCCTTATCTTTACATAATTCCTGTTGAGTGCTCTTATAGTCGATGGCCATGATTCTAGCCCAAATGAAAATAAGCACGGGTTTTAATTCTTGAGCTGGACTTAATAACAATTTCAAAACATAAGGAAAAATACCAATTGATAATGAAAGATATACAGCCCACGGACCTAAGTCTAAAAACTTGGATAATAAGATTAAGGCTCTTAAACGATGCACTTGAGACAATAAAACTTGTAACACTATTGGCAACTGTTCTGGGGCATCTTTAGTGGATGGCCCTGCGTATTTAAGCCAAATCTCAAAAGCCGTTAATTGCTGTTCGAAGAATGTAGAGTGTTGATAATTAGTTAAGTTCTGATTTAGTGGCGGTGCAATCAGAGGTCTTGGTCCTCCTAATTGAGGGGGTATTGCTTGTGTTCCATTTGGTGTGGTCAAAGGAGCACTTGGTTTAGCACTGTTACTTAAATAGGAAGAAGTATTATTCGAAGTTGTATTGATCCCGTTTAATTTAGTGGTAGAAGCTTGGGGAGTAGCTGCCATGTTTTTGTAATTGCTTAATGCATTATCTTCAGTAGGACTAGGATTTTTATTTCTTATCAACTGAGCAAAGACCTGATCTATTGCTAAGTCCCAAGAATCCCACATTGGATGGAATCTTACTAACTCGGGCAATGGAGGATCACTGATAGGGTTACAGTTTAAATGGGGCATGATTCTTTTGGCTAATAAGAAATTTCTGAATAATGCAGCAACCATTAAATCTTGTCTGAATAATCTTTTAAATATTGGTCTCGATAAAGAAGTCCAGGCAATAGTATCAGTTATTGCGGTGAAGATCCAATTCAATTCACCTAATGGAGTTCTTCTATCAGTTAATTTACCGGGTATTATTACATTACCAATTGAATTTTTTGGAAGCATATTATAGTAATTTTTTTTTAAAGGAGATTGCATGATAAGCCATTTTACACTGATATCAATTGGGCAAGTCAAGCAACAGGTGAATAAGTCAGCAGGTAAATCAGGACTCATGGGTAAAAGTTCGTCACTTTTACAAGCAGCCAATTGGATAGAATCTAAGTATGCAGAAGTTGGAGAAGGGGCACTCATGTCATGGTTACCATCATTATCATCGTCTATTCTTTTTTGAACAAACTTTTTAAAGTTATGAACTATATTACCTGCACTATTACAGTCATAAACAAAGATAACTGGAGCCCCCAACCAAGTTTGTAAGTCATATAAAGAAATGGGGATGTATTGGGTATAACCTCGATTGAAAACCCAAATTTCACCACTAGTAGTAGGTTGAGGAACACCATGACCATTATAATGAAATAAAATTCTTTCTTCTTTAGCACTTCTTCTTAAGGTATTGCAAAATCTTTTTACATCTTCAACGCAAGGATCAAGAGATTGTTTATATCTTGTTCTTAAAGATAAAGTTTCATATTGAGACTGCAAATTTTTACCGATTGCTTCTATAGCTTTCTTTGTATCTGAATAAGCAGACGAATCACACCATGCTTCATATTTGGCACAGGGATAAGTTTTCATGATATCTGGTGGATCGACTCCAAGATTTAAACATAGTACCAATACAGCACTTATAGTCTTTTGTCTTTCACGCATAATTTTCCAATCAGTTATCGGTTGATAATTTCTATAATATTCAGGGGATTGTTTAATTTTTTCAGAAATCGGGTTACCATTAGTATTATGTCGTTTATCATCAAAATAAATATAAAAAGTATTTGCAAGTAAAGTTAAAAAGTTTTCAGAATTATACTCTTTCTCGAAGCCATGTCTCATCTTATCATTTAGGGGTTTTAATGGCTGAGGGCCATAATAAACCATCTGTTGATTAGACATTATCCAAAATTGAAGTGGGGATAAAACTATTCACAGCAGATCTTTTATCTGCTAAGTGGAAGACCTTAAGGATAAATCAAGAGATAACTGAAACACAAAAGAAGTCAATGTAATTTATTCTTGAAGTTTCTAGGTCTATATTCCCTTGATATAATTGTAATTCTAGTACGAGATTACCAACAAATCGAGAAGCAGGTCGTTATCGACCAAATGAGAATTTTTGGAATGTCGTACATTGAGATGGATACAGAGCTCCGTACACCCAAGATACGAATGCAAATGAGTGACTACAAGTAGATAGTGAATGAATATAGAATTGAAGATATAAGTAAACCATAAAAGCCATAAAAACCAAAGAAGCAAAGGGAATCAAAGAGAAGCAAAATATAAAAAAAAGAAAGAAAATTAGATGGTTAAAAATGATATTAATAAACCAAAGATGCAAAAAATGGGAATTAACAAGCGGAGCTATCCTTTGGATTGATTAATTTTCCCTGATAACTGTAATATTTACTCATATCGACGTGATGTCTTTTACCATTACCAGCTTCATACATGGAGCATCCATATAAAGAAGCATATGGAGGAGTATATAAATGGAGAGAAACAGATACTTCATTATCTAAAGGGTTTGAAATTTTATGCAATCCGATATCATCACTGATATAACCAACGTCTTCGCAATGAAGGAGGGTTTCCTTTTTAGGAACGAGTTCATTACCGACTTTCTCTGGGAAATCATAAAGCGACTCTTTCAAAGTACCTTTTAAAATCTTCATACAGCAATGAGCATTTGCGTGATCATGAATGGCACTTGACTTTGTTGGATTCCAAACCAAGATAAGTAGATTAGCATTGCCATTTAAGTCAATGACTCCATTTCTAGTATAACTACGAGATGGGTCATTTAATGCATATTTCCCCCATTCCAGTTCATCAGATTCATACAGTTCCATCATTTCTTTGATTTTTTCAACATCAATATCCTCAGATGAAAGACCTTTATCTGGACCTAAGCTTTTTTTCAAATCTTCAATCAATCTACCAAATTTATTATTTGGGATTTCATCTTCTAATTCTACCTTAGTTTCCGCTTGAGGTTTAGTTCTATCAATACTTTCTGAAGGATGCATTGCTCCACATTTGCAAACAGAATGAGGAGATGGACTGGAAGCAGTAGAACGCATCAAGGAGGCAGCATAGGCATTATTCTGTTGAGCAAAAGAGTTAGATTGATTCACAGTTAACATGATGGAAAAATTTCTCAATAAATCAAATTTTGATGGATTGACGTTTTTTCCTTACGAATAGCTAATTTAGGATATATCCGACAAATGAGCACCTATGATGAAATGTCACTTGACCTTAAGCGTAAGATGAGTGGTATCAAGACAGGACAACAAAAAATATGTATTTTACTACCCTGGAAGCTTGCAAGAGTGTTTGATGAAGATAATCCCCTAACAAGAAACCAAAAATAGCGGGAGCGGCCCAATATTTATATTCTTTGAGGAGGGGGGGGAACAAAAAGAACAGCAAATCGCCCGACGAGCAATTATTTTGGGCGGTACCTGCCTGATTAGGCAGGTGGTCTTACACGACCGGCCGCTCGCGTGTCTGTAATCTTTGAATCAGTCCGCTCCTTTCAATTGTTACGTGTTGTATCTGTGTTGGAAAGATAAGATAATCGGTTTCCCAAGGATTGTTTCTTTCCACGACGAGGCTTGTCCTATGAAATTGTTGGGAAGCTCAGCACACTCTCAGTTGTAAAGTGTAGCCTTCCTCGTGTAGTTTTAGTCTGGAGTCTCTATTGGAACTCCTCTCTATGTCAATCGACCCATGCTGTCTTTACGGGCCCGGAAGTGGTATTTTCGCGGCGGCCCTGTGGCCAAAAGGGTAATAACCGCTATATTCATTTTTTTCAAGTAATGGCCGATAAATTTAGCAGCAGGCCGGAAATAGCACTTACGATGAAAAGACAGACCGGGGAGGGTCAAGCCAGCCGGTTTACAGATCTATTCTCCATTAGCTCGATCCAGCTCAGCAGTATTCATATATATAGTGTAGCCAATGATTGGTCGCTAACCACTTCGTACTTACCAGTGAGCTCTCTACAGTCCGTTAAAGTGCTACAGTTTCAAGTCCCATCTGTATCATCAATCAAATTGTAGTTACCGGGAAGTCTGAATCTCAAGACCCGTTTTGAGAATAGCCAATTCCGGGTAGATGTACCTAATCTCAGCAGACTTTCAACACTGCCAGCAGCAAAAGCGGCAATAACCGCCATGGTCCTTCAATCGATGCTATTTTTATTTGCAGCTAACCTTTTGAAGTATTCGTAGATCGTAAGTTCGATTGAGTGGAAATTCCTTTCTGCCGTGAGTCAGAAATTTCAAACTCCGCAGGCTAAAGATTACTCATTTTCAAACCCCGCGGGGCCTTGAGTGATATATTGCGTTCCTGACAAAACCACGCATGGCAGCCCCCGATCAGTTTAATGTACTCATAGGAAGAGTCAGGGGGCATACGACGACAGTCCCTGCCAATGTCAAACGGCTGAAGAGTAAGAATGATTTGTCTCAAACCCCGTTCTCCGTTTTCTATCAACACAAAAGTCTGTTCTTTTTTTTTTTTTTTTTTTTTTTTCTATTTTATGCAGTTTCCACGGAACATGCATAATAAAGCATGATACTTGCTATAAGTATATATATTTGAAATCATTCCTTTTGATAACGATATACGATTTTTAAAATGTTTAAACATCAAGACTTTGATACCAGGATATTCTCGCAGGTTAGGATTTGACAATGACGCTGCCAGCTAGGAACCGCGACAGTGAGATGCATGAGGCTAGCTCGCTGGTTGCGAATCTATCTCAACTGAATAGTGAAACCTTGACAAGTGACTTTGCCGAATCTTCTATATGGGGAAGACTCGGTAAGACCATTGATGACAGATTATTAAGAGGTTTTACCCCGTTATTTTTTGCACCGGTCATGGGGACCGGTGTAACTAGTTCATTACTTTATAATTTTCAGTATCCTTCGGAATGGTTGAAAGTATGTGGAATAATCATGTGGGGGATAAGTATATTTTTATTCCTAGTTGGGGTAGCTTCATTTATTGGTGCATTGAGTAAGTATCCCAAGACATTTGCTAACATTCATAATAATCCCGAAGAAGCGGTGTTCATGGGCTGTTTACCAATGGGTTATACGACGTTGGTTAATTTTTTATACTATTTGGTTAAAGATCGTTGGATTATAGGTATTTATGTTTTATGGTGGATAGCTGTTGTCCTTTCACTATATACTGCTTGTATCACCTTTTATTTTGCATTGCTTTCCAAAAGAAGACTGGTTAAAAATCAAGTGACTTCTAAACAATTCCACTCAACAATGTTATTACCAGTAGTTACCCTTACTGTTGCTTCAGCATCTGGTGGAATAATTGTGCCCGATTTACCTACAACTAATTTAAAAATCATCACTTTATTAGTTAGTTTTGTATTATGGTCAAATGCTATAGCCCTCGGGTTAAATATTATTCTTACTCTATATTTTCAGAAACTCTTTGCCCATAAATCACCGGCTACCGAATTGGTATTCACTACTTTTCTTCCAATTGGTCTTTTGGGTCAAGCGGCTTATTCGATTTCTCTTTTCGGTAAAAATTCGTTTGATCTTATCATGCAACATCAATATACTCTATTGAACTCTCCATTTTTCAGTTATATGAAGAGTTACAAATCCGATATTGCAAATGAATCAAGACTCGTTTGCTTGATCATTGGAAACTCAATAATTTCCGTAACCACTCTAGCTGCATTATACCTTGCATCTTTTGGTTATTTCTTGACGTTCCTTGCGGTAACCACTAGTTTATCCAAAGTTCCTCCATTTACTAAAAATCCAAATCCAAAATATACTTACACTCCGTCTTCAAACCATTTTTGCTCAAGAATCTTCCATGGTTCAATCAAATTTAATAAAACTTTTTGGGCAATGACTTTCCCTCTAGGTACAATGGCCTTGGGGAATACTGCAATATATGACACTCACAACTCGTTTAAAGCTTTCAAAGTTATCGGGGCCTGCTATAGTGTGGCTGTCATTGTAATCGTAGTTGGTTGCCTATGCGGACTTTTATACAAGATTGGTATTTTACTTTATTCTATTATTATGGGCGACACGAACCGGAAAGGGATGAATGAAATCGTTTAGCCCTTTTATTTGTTTGCATTTCTGCATATTTATATATTCTAGATATCATATAACTTGGGCTTATGCCTATTATGTATTGAATTAATTCTTAATATGATTATTTTTGATGTAGTGATTTTGAGGATGCAAAATTTGAACAAAATTGTTTGTTAGGTGTTCTCACTGAAAAATTTAGAAAAACAAATCTGGAAAGAAAAAAGTCAAGTAAAACATACAACAAAAGCTTGAAATCCATTAGTTAAGGTCACCGTTGATTCTCAATCACGAGAATCGTTCTAAAATTATTTAAATAAACAAAAAGAAATAAAGAAAACGGTGTCAAGCTTCACGATCATTCATCATGAGTCTTACGATCCTTCTTCCTGAAAGATTAGATCAACTAACTGAAGATGAAAACGAAAAAGACCTCGACAATTTTTTAATCAATCTCGATTCGGTCCCCAAGAGAAAACTTATATTCTTCGATGAAGCGCTAATTGGGTATATCAAGTTTGAATCTAGCCTGCCAATTTCCCCGGATTTTAACAATCATGCGTATTTAAACGTTGCAGTAATACCTGGTGATCTGGATTTAGTTAATCAAAAGTCCTCGACTAAATCTGAAAATGGACGTACTTACTCTGACTTGAGTAATGGAGAATTATCCTCTAATAATTATAGTATCATGAGTATCCCAATTACTCCAGAAAATGTAAGGCTAAAAGGATCAACTTCAATTAATGATAAGCATTATGTTATTTGGAAATTTGAAATTCCAATTGGTTATCCTCGAACAAAATTTTCCGATCCTAAAATATTGTTTTCATGCTTTTTAAATACTTCTAGCACTCCCCCTCTCACTTCATCTTTCAGTCTGGCTTCGGTTGATAACGAAAATGTATTAAGTAATGGACTTGAGACAAATCAATCATCCCAAAAACTTTTAACTGACTTAAGACCTGATACTAAACGAAATTTATTCGAAGAATTGAATAACCAAGTATCACTTAACCCTGATCAAAAGTATTTCTTATCTAGTAAGAGTTTGAGTCCAGAACCTGAATCTCAACAAAATGGTAACTCCTCGGTGGAGAATGGACAATCCATTTCTGAAACCATAATAACAAGCGAAGATAAGTCTGACATTGGATATAATGACCAATTGAGTACGAAGTTGTGCTTACCTGTTTCTGTATCCCTAATAATCAAGCTTAAATCAACAAAACCAGCAGGCAGAAATAATATATTACTAGCAACCTTGAATATTGAATCGTCGGAAGAATTCCTCAAAATTTTGAAAAACAACTCTACCGAAGACTCAGCATATAATGACTATTACTTCAATATCTTGGATTTGAGCATGGAGTTCAAGTATGGTATCATTGAAAATTTTCAATCAAGTAATTTCAAATTTCCGATTAGATACAAACTTGCAGATTCTATCAATATGACATATAAATTAATAAATAATGACTATCTTGATAAAGAATTGAAAAGTGCTGATGGCTATAATAATTCTAACAGTACTTCACTTTCATCAGGAGTTAATGTTAATTCCTCTAAACCGATCGGGATTAAATTGGTATTACAAAAAATTAAATACTTTCCAGAGCTGGATTCTTTTCAACCAGTTTCAAATATCATAACGACTAATTGGTCCCCTTATTTGGATTTCAGTATAGTGGCACCGCCAATTAACAGCTCATTAAAGAGTAGTACCGCTTCTCAATCTCAATATCAATCACAATCTCAATCTCAAATAAGAGCAGCAAATGGAATGAGTCCTCGGAAATCTGCATTAATGAATAGCATGTATAAGTCGAAAGGGGTCGATGTTCCTAATAGTCCATTGACAAATCCATCTGCCGTAAATTCATCGACATCTCTTGGTTATCATCAAATTAGTCCCACGTCTTCATTCACAACTAGCAATACAATGGCCAGCTTTAATGTGAACAGTAAGAAGCTCAATAAATCATTGTCTTCTACTTCTTCAGTGACGGTCAACCTTACCACCAATAATAATTCCACTCTAGCAGGTCTCAAACTAACATTTAAAGGTAAATTAAACGTCAGTCTTGGTGAGATAATAACCTGGAAGCTTCAGGCCATCAATAATTCACCAAATAAACTCAATTTATCGTTGATCGTTCAAAATCCAATAAATTTTAATCCAGTATATTCCGCGTCGAGTACATCCGCTCCGATCAGCTCGAATAACTTTTCATCATCTAATTTATTAGCCACCAATGAGCAAAAAAAAACGGAAAACATATTGGTTTATAATAAACTTCAGTTGCATAATCTCTATTCCTCCTTAAAGTTGGACACCAATGGTATTATCATTTTGGATAACGATGTTCGAATTGGACCTATCGACTCTCATTCAGTCTTTGAAACCGATATCAAGCTAATTGGTATTTCAAAGGGTATCTATAACTTAGATGGAATCAAAATATTCGATATTAGCAGCGGTGATGGTATCGATTTCGGAAAATTGGTGGAAGTCTTCGTGGTATAATCCTTTTGCAATCTCTTTTTTTTTTTCTTTTGTATTTTTTTAAAACTTTTTAGCATTATCTAATTATTGTATTTAACGACCTCACGAAATAGACAATAGCTAATATTATTAAAAAAAAAACCAATTATAGAACTCTATGTATTCTGGATAGAATTCAACTGCAAAAAAGGAAGCTGCATTAAAAAATTCGAAAAGGGGCGAGCTGGGAATTGAACCCAGGGCCTCTCGCATGCTTAGTGATGTTCCGTTCAGTGTACTGAACAGTCGCCCAAAGCGAGAATCATACCACTAGACCACACGCCCATTTTACAAACTCTGAAAATTTCTAGATATTGATATTCTTGTAATTTTAAAATAGTGTTTGCTTCAATACATAAGCCAAATTCTATCACATCACTTAATTCAACATGGGTTTTCTTGACTAAACATAGTCTTTCCCACTCTAGGTATATATTAGTAAATAACTATTAAATATATATTCTTATATGTCAAAAAAAAAATATAAAGTTTTTATCAATTTTTTCTTTTGTACTACCACTTGGAATAGGTAAGATTTTAGTAACATTCTTAAAACCTTCGAGCTCAGGCAATTGAGAGATCTTCAAAATCCATGATAAGGCCAATGACTCTAAAGAAGTACCTTTGGAGTGAGCAAAATCATATAATTTTTAAACAATTTCAATATTATGCTTATAATTTTCAGGGCCAAACTTATCCATGTGATGTCTGACATCACCTTTGGGAATTGAATCCAAGAAAGCGTCAGTAGTTTCAGCAGCATGATCAGTAATTAAACCTCTACAAAGAGGACTATAAGCAATGATTGGGATTTGTGTTTTCGATAATTCTTCCAAAACACCATTGAATATTAAATCTTGACATGATAAAGATATTTCTAACGTGGCAAACCGATCGCCCAAGTCGGCCATCATTACGAACCTGATGGCTTTGAATACTGCAAAGTAAAAACCGAAAATTGAAAACATCAAGTTCGAAATGTAAATACTTCAAATGATGTCACGAATAACACGGACAAGGTTACTCAATTGTCATATGTCAAATCATAAATAAAAATAATTATATTGTGATAAATACAGGTCTATGACTTATAGTTATATGAGCGTATATACTATTGTTCAAGCAAAAAGTAAAGCTTCTGTGCGTTCATTATATCTGACTCCTTTAACTTCAAAACCTTTGGTAATACTTTGAATTTCTGCCAAATCAGCATCGGACAATTCCACGATATTACCGAAGTTTTTATCCATTTTTTCGATAGTACTACCACCTGGAACTGGGATAATCTTGGGGAGATTTTTGATACCTTCGAATTCAGGTAATTCGGAAAGTTTCAAGATCCACGATAAGGCTAATGATTCCAAAGAAGTGTTCTTCTTATTGTGAGCAAAGTCATACAATTTCTTAACCACTTGTAAATTGTGCTTATAGTTTTCTGGTTGGAATTTATCGAAATGACGTCTAAAATCTTTTTCATGGAGTGAATCAAGGAAGGATTCACTATTTTCAACAGTATAATCGGTAAGAATACCTTTGGCGATTGGAGAATAGGCAAAAATTGGAATTTGCTGTTTAGCCAATTCTTCTAAAACACCATTATAGATTAAATCTTGACAAGTTAAAGATAATTCTAATTCAACGGCAGAAATTGGGAATACACCAACGGCTTTCCTAATTGATTCGGCACCTACTTCAGAAAGACAAATCCCGTCAATATCACCAGATTTAACGAAATCAGCAATGTACTCAATGGTCTTTTCATACGGAATTTCAAGATCTCTTCTAGCAGCTCCAAATAAAATTTTGGGTCTTTCAAACTTATCTTGAGGAAAATAGCTCAAAATATTCTTAATTGACGCAGTGATACCTTCCTTGGATCCTTGTGGCTTATGTCCTATCATTTTGTAACTACCTATGATTGAAAACACCAACTTTCTATTTGTTTCATTGTCATTTGACTCCAAAAACTTTCTCATGAGGACCAAATTAGCAGGTCCATCAAGGGTCTGATCGTAATACTCCCCCCAGTTAATAAAATTAACATTAAACTTATCAACTACATACTGAACAGTTTCCACATTTGTTTCAATTGGTTTTGGTTCTGGCGTAGCAGTAAGGGTCATAGTACCATAACTGAGTTTATCGTGAAGTTCAACCGGCTTGAAACTCATCGTCCTTGATTTTTCAATTGATAATTGATTTGTTAATTTAGTTTAGCCAATTGATCTCCAAGAATCTCTACATATGCCTTGTTTTTTTAGCTGGTATTTATATCTGTCAATAAGCCAAGTAAACATATTGGTATAGCTAATGAGGTTTAGACCGAGCTTAACTATGGGCCATATCTCCGCTTATATGCGAACTATCAACAGAACAACGAAAAAAAAAAAAACCGTTGCAAAAACCGAGCATTGGGACCGATCTTGACGGGATTAGGGTGTAATGTGAAGCTTATTCAATACTCAGTACTTCCCCATTGGAACTACAGATCTCCTTAATGTATTGTTTGCAGTTGAATAGAGGGGCCGATACAATTAGTCAGCAAGAAGAATTCAGGGATTAGAAGACTATCAAAGTGATTTCCATCATCTAAAATTCGCCCATCCGATTTTTACCTTTAGCTCATCGAGCTGTTGGTATTAATTGTTAGATCTTTTCCAAAATTTATTTCAGAGATTTACATAGTCCAATGTCGTCACCAGAAATCACCTTTCTTCAAAGAGGGTCGACAAATTTCTCAATCACATTGGTTTCAAGACTCAAACTAACCTAAGGCATCTAGGAGGTTTGGGAGTGCTTAACATTCCCTGGCAATTAAAAGATCGTAGACCAAAATTTGTGATTCACCTTCTCACTGACAATAAACCCAAAAATCATTATACTTGATTTCGCCACAAAGTACAAATTTTTGTTTTGGCTACGTGCTATGATTTCGTAAATTTAGAGAACGGGACCTATATAGTACCATGGTATGCTCCACTTCTAGGTCACAAACTCAAACTCAAACCTTATTTGCATATCTTAGGTCCACATATTGAATATCACCCTTTCTTCTCAAAGCTGGAAAAAGCCTATTTGAGTGCTTGGTTTGATGTATTAGATCTTTTCCAATTGGTTGAGCATCCGAAAGCCTGTCCTTCCAAGAGGGAATTCCGCAACATGGTTAACTCTCCTGCGCCAACTTTTAGAAAACTCGGAAACCATTTCTCCAGAGACTTTTCGAAGTTTGAGTCAGAAACATCAATTACAAAACGCACATTTTCCCATTAGTCAACATCTCAACCAACATTCCCCCAGACTGGATGCGCAATTAGCAAATTTTTGGAAAACTGTTTCCAAATACTCCTTTTCTAAAATTTCTATCGATAACATTCATCTTTTCCATCTTGGAGTATATCTCGGGATGATTTAGAATCAAGATGCTTGCTCACTTTGTCTCCATGACTTTCTGCCACCTCGTTCAAACCAACATTTTCTCACTCACGTATACACAGAATGTCCTGTTACTAAATTACCTTTGGGAGTTATCAGGATGTTCTGCTCTCACCAGACTTTGGCTGCAAATTTTCGCACCTCAGATTTTAACCATTACTTCAATTCCTAAGCTAAATAGATACCTCTACTTCATTAAATGTTTTATTGATCTCCGAAGATCTCTGGTATCGGACTCCCCAGAATCCTTACCCGTCGAATCATTAAAACAAAGGTTTTTTCTTAGCATCATATAATTTCTAAACTCATTTTTAGTCCTCATGACTGATTAATTTTAATTTTATTCAACAAAGTGGTTTTTCCTATTTTCCACTGTACACGTTTATATTCTCTTCTCTATATATTGCCTCTATAATTCTTCTATATAGTTAGTACTTAGTGAAATATATAAATATATGTGTGAAAAAAAAAAGACTTTCCCAATCTAGGCATATATTAGTAAATAGCTATTAAATATATATTCTTATATGTCAAAAAAAAAAATGTATGATCATTGAAGAGTAATGTATTAATTATTGTATTAATATAAAAGTTACTTAATTAGAATATAAAAGAAGAGAGAGACTAAGGAGGAATCCACGGCTATTTATATTATTCTCCTAGTTGGTTTGCGAACGTATTAAGTTCATTGTACGATGTCCAACGTCGTACGATGTTAGAACCATGGCGAAACACCTTTCATCAATGAAAAAAACCGGTTCTTTATACTCTTTAAAAGGATATTTTAAAAATTTTTAAGTTTTTTTTTAAAAACATAAGCAATCCAGAATGGGTCTATTTGATTTAATTGCTTCCTACAAAGATAAATATTAGTATATTGTCATTAAATACATCTTCTTATAAGTGAAAAAAAAATTTTTATTTGTTAAAGTTAGAGGACACTATCAATTTCACAATAGATATATTGGGATAACAAATATGAAAATAAATTGGATAACCAGTATATCAAGGTTATTTATGTTAATCTGTTCGTATATTCGGATCTATTAGAGGTGAACGACAACTGCAAAAACCTCCCAACATTGGACCTGACGCCTAAAAACATTCCCTGAGATCGTATTTTCGGATATTTTATAAGGAAGAAATACATAAGTAAGCTCTTTAATGAGACTTTTTGGAAGCATTAATATTGATCATGGCGAAGTACTATCTATTTTGGCTCAATTCATCGAGAAGAGATCGCAGGCTTTCTCTTTTCGGAATTAATTGAATTCACATATTACTTCACCTTTAAGGGCTCTTCAGACGAGGTTTAAAGAAATGAGTTTAAAAGAGTGTCGCTCTCGAGAGTGCTTGGTAGTTTGAGGAATCAAGGTATCTACTTCAATCGCTGGGGATGTTATCATCATGATCAAACTACCAGAAAGGCTTTCGAAGTCAGAATCTTGTATCGAGGACAGGTATTTAATTAAGGGGCTCTTGAACTGAGTATAATGATATTTTTAATGTGCTTTTTAATAAACTCGTCCTTGTGCTGTTGGTATTTGCAGCAATTATTTTGTGAATATTCCTCAAAAAATGTACAGAAATCTCATTAATCGTAGAACCTCTCCCCCAAAGCTAAGAAGGTCCAAAATGGTTGACACCATGTTCACTCTTCACTTGACAGGTCTTCGTTTGAGCCGACCTACACTATTAAAGACCCGCATAGCGTACGATAGAGCCATACGAGGCCCAATTTTGCATTCACTTGGGCCGCACAGTCCTGTGGTGGTCGGGTCGGGCTCGCAGACGAAAAGGCAAATGGTCCAAAAAAAGTTTCAAATATATATACTCCACAGTTACATGAATTCAAGTGAATAACTGATCATTAGGAAATTAAATAAACCTGGCAAATATAAAGTCCGATTTAGTTTTCTTGTCGAATTGTTTTAATAGTTCAATTGATTCAAAATGCTGTCCGTCGATTTACTCTCCTTAGCTAAAGCTCAATCAACTCCAACCTGGACCCACACTCCAGAGGAAATTATGGAAATTGCAAAGGAATTAGCACAGAAGGAAGTGGAAATGAATGACTACGTTGCTTCAGTCGAAGAACCAACGGTTGAAAATTTGTTGATTCCTTATACTAAGCATGAAAACGAAAGTTCTTTTCTTGAAAATCAAATCGTATTCTATCAAGATGTTTCGGCCGATAAAGCCAAAAGAGATGCTTCAACCAAAGCTGAGCAGTTACTTCAAGAAAACGGTATTGAACAATCTTCAAGAGTTGATGTTTTTAAGGTTTTGAAAAAATTGCATAATAAAGTTAAGGATGCAGATGAATCAGTCATCGATAAAGAATCAAAGAGATTTTTAGACAAAGTGGTAACTAGTTTAGTCAGAAGCGGATTGGACTTACAGATGAGAAAAGAGACGAAGTAAAGAAATTGAAAGTCGAATTAAGTAATTTGTCTGTTAAATTCTCTAAAAACTTAAATGAAGAAAATGGGTTCGTCTTATTTACTTTAGAAGAATTAGATGGTGTTCCACAAGATGTTATTGATGGATTTGAAAAAACTAAAGATGGTGAAGTAGAAAAATTGAAGATGACTTTTAAATATCCAGATTTATTCCCCGTTTTGAAATATGCTAAGAATCAAGAAACTAGAAAAGCTGCCTATACTTCCAACCAAAATAAAGTTCCTGAAAATGCTGAAATTTTAGAAAAAATGGTTAAGCTTAGATTTGAATTAGCCAAATTATTAGGTTATGAAACTTATTCTGAGTTTATCTTAGAGGATAGATTAGCCAAAAACCAGAAGACTGTATTGGACTTTTTAGATGATTTAACTTCTAAATTGAAACCATTAGGTGAAAAAGAACTCATCAGTTTAAAAGAATTCAAAAATCAAGATTTGAAATCGAGATCCTTACCTACTCAAGATGAAATTTTTGCCTGGGACTCAAATTTTTATGATAATTTATTATTAGAAAAGGAATATCAAGTTGATCATCAAAAAATTTCTGAGTATTTCCCAATGAACTCAACTATCGATAAGATGCTTGGCTTTTATGAACATTTGTTTGACATTAAATTCGTCAAAGTTGAGAACTCTGATCCTTCTACTGTATGGCATGAAGATGTAATTAGATTTGCTGTCTATCAAAATATAAAATATGGTGAATTGGAATTTATTGGTTGGATTTTATTTGATCTTCACCCTCGTGAAGGTAAGTACGGCCATGCTGCTAATTTCGGGTTGGGTTCTGGTTACGAAAAAACAGATGGTACCAGACAAACCCCATATACTGTTTTAGTTTGTAACTTTACTAAACCTTCCAAAAATAAACCTTCTTTATTGAAACATAACGAAGTCACCACCTTTTTCCATGAATTAGGTCATGGTGTCCATAATATTCTTTCAAAAACAAAATATGTTAGATTCCATGGTACCCATGTTCCAAGAGATTTTGTCGAAACTCCTTCTCAGATGTTAGAATTTTGGACCTGGTCTAAAAATGAATTAAAACAGTTATCTTCTCATTTTGAAACCGGACAGCCAATTAGCGATGAATTGATTGACCAATTAATCAAGTCAAAGCATGTAAATACTGGTTTGTTCAATTTAAGACAATTGCACTTTGGTACTTTCGATATGCGCTTACATACTGTTTCCGATAAAGAAAAGATCGAACAGTTAGACATGACTAGCTTGTGGAATGACTTAAGGGAGGAAATTGCTTTATTTTCCAATGGGGGTGTTACCACTAAAGGTTATGCATCATTTGGCCATATTGCTGGAGGTTATCAATCAGGTTATTACGGTTACTTGTTTTCTCAAGTTTACGCTAACGACATCTACTATAATCTTTTCAAAGAAGATCCTATGAATGTGGAAAATGGTATTAGATATAGAGATTTAGTTTTGAAGAAAGGTGGTTCTGAAGAAATTTTAGATGTCTTGACTGATTTATTAGGTAGACCACCAAATTCAGATGCTTTCTTAGAAGAATTGTTGAGTTCAAGCGCCTAATTTAATTATATTCTTGCAAATAGAGAATCTTGTGTATAAGTTTACAAAAATATTAAAACTAAATTTACTAAATATACATTACTTAGATAGACTATCTAAACAGGTTATACATATGGAATGGTTCAAGCATCACCAGATTGAGAGTCAAAAGGGGTAAGTTTGGCGGTACCATTTGACCAAGAGACACCATTATAAGTAATTTCTCTGACAGCAGCAACGATGTCTTCGAAAGAACCTCTGACTTGTTTGGTAGAATCTCTTTCTCTTAAAGTAACAGATTCATCTTTGACTGAATCAAAATCAATTGTGATACCGAATGGAGTACCCAATTCATCATTTCTGGCGTATCTCTTACCGATAGATGCAGATGAGTCATCAACTTTGAAAGGAATTTGTTCTTTTCTCAATTTAGCAGAAAGTTTCTTGACAATTGGTTGTAAATCGTTATGAGATGATAATGGAACAAGCAATACTTTAGTTGGAGCAACCAAAGGTGGCAAGGAAAGAACTGATCTATCTTTATCTTCAGGTCTAGACCAGAAAGAGTGTTCGAACACGGAGTAGATAATACGACCGATACCAAATGAAGGTTCAATGACATTTGGAGTGAATTCACGAACGTGTTCAACTTTGGTAACCTTTTCAATGTTGATGAATTCGGTGTCTAATTCGATTGTTTCATCAGGAATTGAAGCAATCTTGAAAGAGATTTTTCCGGTGTCTTTCAATTCTTTGGCCAAATCTTCTAATTCACATTGAGTTCTTTCCAAGAGCCATTTTTCAACGGTACCGGCATTCTTTCTGAATTTTGGACCGAATTTTTTCTTTTGAATTTCAACTTCAAATTTTTCAACAGTGACTGGTTCCGGTAATTGTTGTCTAACAACTAATTTTTCATTAGTTCTCGCAGAATGGACACTTAAATCGTAAGCAGATCTATCAGCACAACCAACACATTCTATCCAACCATGGGAAGTTTGTAATTCAGCATCCCAACAGTCTGCAGCGTAGTGAGCCATTTCATTAGCCATGTGCTGTCTGAATCTCAATCTAGTAGAGTCAACACCAATCTTTATTAAGAAAGAGTAAATTCTAGCAATGAAGTAACCTAAGGTTTCATTATCAACCATACCAGATTTAACAGCTTCACCGATGGTAGTTTCGACAAGTTTATTAGAACCAGCGACTTGAACATCTTTAGGTAAGAAAGATAATTTAACATCTTTGACTTCATCAAATCTTGGATGAGATTTATCTTCTGGATCAACGAAATGTTCAATTTCAGCCATTAAGAATTCACGAACTCTTAATAAACCTGCCCTTGGGGAGATTTCATTTCTGAATGATTTACCAATAGAAGCAGATGCAAAAGGCATTTTTTCATTATTGAAATCTAACAATTTAGAAAAATTCAAGAATTGACCTTGAGCAGTTTCTGGTCTTAAGTAACCTTTCATTTGACCAGATGGACCGATAGCAGTATCAAACATTAAGTTGAATTCAATTGGTGGTTCTAATGGACCACCGGTACCAGGGTTAACAATGTTATATTTTTTGATTAATTCACCTAATTGAGGGCCGGAGAAACCATCAATTTGAGCCAAAACATTTTCGTATTCTGCAACTTCTTCATCTGGTAATTTGATGTTTTTAATTTCCTTAACCTTCTTCTTTCTCTTTTTTTTATCTTCATCTTCTTCAACTTCTTTGGTGGCTTCACCTCTGGCAGCTTTATCACCTTTCAATCTGGCTTCAAGAACTTCTTCAACTAAATGATCGGCTCTGAAAATTTCACCAGTTTTCAAATCTTTACACATCCAATCGGCGAATTTGTCAACATGACCAGAAGTTTTGAAAACTTCATGAGGAGTTAACATGGTACAGTCAACTTCCAACATGTCTTCTTCTAAAATGAAGTGTTTTCTCCAAGTGTCGACAACATTAGCTTGTAAGGCACAACCTGGTGGACCGAAATCATATAAACCGGAAACACCACCATAAATTTCAAAAGATGGGGCGAAAAAAAATCTTCTTTTCAAAACTTGTTCTAAAGTATCCCTTGAAAAAGGAATAGTACTTTTGTTGGTAGACATATTTGCTTTACTTGCTTTCAAAACACGAGGTATAGCACTTTTTAAATTGCGAAACAACACTTTTAAAAAGCAATTACTTATGACTATAAACTATAACACCAAATCAAGTAAAGATGTGGAATCTTTGTCTTTAAATTTAACTAAACAGACTTTTTTTTGTTAGCTTTCGATGAAGATTTTTCATTTTTTTTTTTTTTTTTGGAAAAGTGATTATATTGAGGGTCGCACGATCGGCCAAAGAAGTTGTTTTGTCATTGAGATTTCGCAGCTTCTAATGATACTTACAATTTTACAACCAATAATAAGGAATTCGTCATTACGATTGAGAGAGAAGAGAGCTTTATTGAAAAAATTCTAGGATTGCTTGAGTTTGGAATCTTGCGACAAGTAGTTAGGATCGGTTTCCACATCAAAATCGTCCCATTTTGGATGTCTCATGTCCCACCAGTAAAAAATTTGGGAGTAGGGATAAGTCGTTGGATTGTATGAGTCACTAGCGTACCATGAATAGCATCCTCCAAATGGAGTACCGAAGACCGCATTTTTCAATTCACCTTGGATTTCGTTAAACCAATTGTAGTACGCTTTTGTTTTAACGCAAACAGATTTGTAGGCACCAGATAAGATTTTTGGGGCAATTCTTTCAAAGTAGGCAGCACAATTCTCGCAGGCCAATTCGACAGAAGAGTGTCCAGTGGCACAGTTGGGACCGGCAATTAGAAAAAAGTTGGGACAGTCTCTAATCATAACAGTTTTATAGGCGGTAATACCGTCGTCGTTCCAAACCTTTCTGGCATCGACTCCGTTACGTCCAATAAGTTCGAATGTGCTGAGACTCTTATTGATGTTATAACCAGTGCAGGCAACGATTATGTCTGCCTCTAATTCCGTACCATCAGATAACACAACAGAATTTTCAGTTATGTGGTCAATTTCATGCCCCGTTAAATGCATTCTGGGATCGTGTAAGCTAGGAATATATCTATAATCAAAAATCAATCTTTTGCAACCAACCTTGTAATCAGGAATAAGTAAATGATGGTATTTTTCTGGTGCTGTCTTCATATAATTGACCGACTTTCTTGTATTAACCCAACGAACCATTCTAGCGAGAATTCCATCACCTTTATAGAGAGGCCATCTACATTCTGCAACCGATGCCACAATTAATCTCATAAGATACAAAGTGTACCGGGAGTATGAGGCCAACTGGTATAGCAGATATGTTATAGGTGGAAGTGGAGGCATGATGTAGTGTTTAGTCCGGGCAATCTGATGAATACTTTCAACTTCATATTTTCTTAATAATTCTGGCACAACTTGTGCAGCAGAACAGCCATTTCCAACAACAACAACTTTTTTATTTTTGAAAGAAACCTCATGATTCCAAATGGCAGAATGCATGTAGACCCCTTTGAAATTTTCCAAACCTTTTGCCTTCAATTGATTTGGTGTAACCAATTGCCCTTGGCCACTAATCAAAATCTTACTAGTATGAACAATTCTTTGACCGGTTGCCAAATTTCGTGCTGTCACTGTCCAGTTTGAATTCTCGTCGCTGTATACAGCCCTTGTAATAACAGTCCTGAAGTGTGAGTGTCTTTCTAACCCATGCTTCTGGGCAACTTGTAGCATATACTCTTCCATTTCATATTGGGGAGGCCTTAATTCGCTCCAATTGTTATTCAATTCTTGTGAGAACGAATACCATAATGCTGGAATATCAGATGCACATCCTGGATATGTATTGGCAAACCAAGTACCCCCAAAATTGGCATGCTTATCAAATATAACAAAATCTCGGGATTGTTTTGTATTCATTTTGTTACACGTTAACGCTGCTACCATCCCACTAAATCCTCCTCCAATGATTGCAATCTCTGATTTCGAGTACAATGTAGGTAAGGTGTCATCCTTTGGAATCGAAGGGTCAGGGCCGAGGACCTGAACAGCATCCTCGTAGGATATTCTAAACTGGCTTGGATCAGTGTGAGATTTATGAGCTAATTCAGTGACTGACATTATTTCAAACTAGCTTCTTCAAGTATTTCATCTCTAAAATATCATCTTCTGATGTATATATATATATATTGATAGATAGTCCCAATCTAAATCTTCCTCCGCACCCATATGATTTTTTGCAGTTCTGCGCATATGAAATAACAGTATGCGGAAATGTTCATTCATGTGCAATCATCGCTTATTTTATTCCAGCAACCAGGCCACTTTGGATGCAACCAACAATCTGATTCAAAGGTTGCAATTCGAAATACAAAGCAGAATATTTTCTATCGTGAATTATTGTTCTTAGAGTAAAAAGTTTATATATATCGTAAGTTAAAACAAGATTATCAGGTCTATTTTTCAGGCATTCTCACTTCATGCCTATGCCTTTGGCTAATTTTTATATGTTTACAGGTACTTATTAACTGAAGTATTTAAGGGAATATACTTCTCATTAAGATCTCAGAATCAGGTGTTTTGAAGGCTTGTTGGAGATTTCTTGTTTTGCAACCAGTCTCAGCTAGTGTTCGATTCTTTTGCTTCACTTCTTTATGGACTACTTTCAAAGTGTGTAAGCAGATAATATATATTGTCAACAAATGCAAGACATTGCCAGTGTATAACCTTAATTTTCCTTTTTTGTCCAAATCAGGCCGTTTTAAAGATCAGACCATCTTCTTCTACCATCATTTCCTCATCATATTCGTCGTAGCTATCCTTGGAGTTAAAATCGTCATTGATGAATTTTCTCAAAAAGATGATGATGATACTTACTATGCAAGTCAATCCGAAAATTTGATCAAACCATAAGTCAATAAATTCAACCTCTTTTATAGAATCACGAGTAATTGAATTGGCTGAACTGCCGGATAAAGATAGAATTCTTGAGATTTGATTAGATAAGTTCGTGGGTAAATTTGTTCGGATAAGAAGGGCAGTCGATATGACGTAAATAGCCAATAATTCAGAAACAATTAAATTTTTTAACCAATTTTTTGTTGTATTTGAAATTCTTGTTAATGATGGGAAAACCTTACCAAATGACTTAAAAGTGACTAGAACATTAGAGAATGAGCAAAGGAATAGCCCACCAGATAAAATAAAACCAATCTGATTAACCAATTGATCCTCTGAAAGCGGAATGTTTGTGAAGATTGACTGAATGATTTTTGTTATGGTTACAGCCAAGGCGTCTCTTGTAGGAGTACTAATTTTTTCTTCTCCGACTTGATCTTGCATTTTAATAACATCAGTTTTATCATGGAGTAGGTGTGATTCTTCGGATTGAAACAAGAAATAGTATGGTAACCTTATGAAAATAACATTGATGATACGATAGGCACAATAAATCGAGAAAAACATCATTGAAAGGTTTAATATCTTATTAAATAACTTATTTTTACTGAGTGACTCTTCTTTTTGTTTACTAAATTTGTAAATTGCTTTAAGTAAATCATCATATAATTGATTTCTTAAAGATTTTAAGGAATTAACTTCATTTGTAAGTTCATTTTCTTCAGAGTCTTCTTTATTTAAATTAATACTAGCAAAAGATTGGACTCTATGAAGCATACCTCCAAATCTATTAGGTCTTACCGGTGGGGCCAACAGTTGCTGTTTTTCTTGGTAATCTAGATGAGAGGTTTGATTCTGCCTTGTGTGATGAGATAAAATATTGTCTGAGGACTTAACCGTGTCATCAGGCCGGTTATAAATGGTCCCACTATTTTCGACCAATAGTTTATTCAAATCTGAAGTTCTTCTGGTGAGAAGAAGATTAGTGTGATTATACGATTGAACCAAGTTATTAATATCTAATTCGGACACCTGTTTATTGACCCCAGCCATCAATTTTAATCTATCTGGCAAGATTCGATTAAAAATCCCACTTTCAATGAATATCTTATAAGGAGTTGTAGTAGATCCAATACCGGAAAGAATTGCCATGGTGGTGATACCAGTAATGACAATTTCATTAATTTTACGCTCTAATAAAGAACGAGTATGAAGGCTTTTCAAAGATGGAGAAAAATTTTGTGATAAATGGCCAAATTTATGAAGGAATAAAAACCAGATCATATAACAGGAGACCGTGCCTAGTTTCTGGAACACAGTACAATTAATCGGTATAATATTTTGGGACATATAAAGACTAATCATCACAAAAGGTTGAATAATGGTAATCATGAAAATCAAAGTATCAATGATAGTATGGAACGCCAATAAGCGAGAATCATGGTCAAACGTACTAGTCAACTCACACATCATCAAAACAATCAACTCAATACTCAAGGAAAGGACAAAACTGAAAAGAATACCAATGAAAACATTTGAGTTTTTAAAATTTAACCAATTCTTCTCACCACCAGGGGGATTGTATATTGAATCATCATGATCTGATTTTTTCAACTCTAAAGAAGCCTCAGATTGCAGATCTTCTTCAACAACATCTAATTCAATGATTGCAACATTATATTTTTTATTTATCTCCAGTGACAAAAATCCGTTTATATCAGATCGAGGTATATCCAAACGAGTAGAATAGTTCTCAATCAAGTTATGCTTGAAAAGAAACTTATAAGACCATATGAATATACCAAGGAAACAAAGTATGAACGGAAATAAACCTAAGATTGTATTCAACATCTAATAGCTTCTTCAATTCAAGTGATTTTTATATTGAAAAATTAAACTGCAACCATTTAATCAACTCGGGGATTCATCCAATTAATTTATATACTTCCCACAAGCTAAACCTCGTATGCTGATGCTGGTTTCCAAAATACCTTTTGCTATAATTCAGAAGGAACAGTGTAACCAAGGAATTAGACGCATATCCATACTTGACAGCTGATTAGCCTATACCCCCAGCACAGTATACTTGTTCATGGACGGATTTGAGATTAAAGGCAGTGTCGACTCACGTGACCATTTGACCGGAAATCCTTTTTATTCTATTGGTTAGAAACCTCGCACGACCTTTTTTTTTTCTACGATTTTTTTTTTTCAATTTTCAGTTTTCAATTTCCAGTCTTCTCAAAGTGATCTTGTAGTTTACCAGTTAATAACGCTATTCAAAGCCTTTAAGAAGTCATCCACCGGAAGAAAACCACACAGAAGTATCCAAGATGCCGATAATGCGATTGAGAGCAGAAAAGAAGATGAGAAAACATCTTATAGAGCAGTTAAAAGCTCGTAAGGTGTTAGGCTCTAGACTAGCACAAGGTGGTGATAAGAGTGCAGAAGAATTACAAAGTTTGAATCTCGGACCACAAGTGTTTTTGTTCAAGAACTTATTTTCCGGGCAAGTATTGTATTCACAAGTTCCAGCGTATCATCAAGACCAAATTGACGCTCAGTTCAAAAGACCAAATTGGGAAAACAGAAAACCAAATAGAAGAAATGATTTATGGAGACTTATGTGTGTGGCCAACTTTGCTAATTACGAATACGCCGTTGCCGCGTATAAAGGTTTGGTTCAATTAAGAGAAGTAAGAGACATTCATCAACAAAAGGAAGCCAAAGCTTTAAGAAAGAAAAATAAAGAAGGTAATACTTGGTACGCTGCTCAATACAGACACACCCATTCACAAGAAGCGGTTGCTGACTTGGCCCATGTCATTGAAGAATTCGAGTTGGACCAAACTACCCTCTTATGGGAAAACTTGTGGAGAAAAGGTCAAGACGAACATTGGAGAGCTGACTTGGTCGAACACGACGTGTTACCTCCTTTCAACCAAAAACATCAAACGGTTTTGATGGACGAACTTAGAGCTCATGCCACTGAGGCGTTTGCCCAATTAAGAGAAGCCGAAGCACAACCTTCCGAACCTTTGGACCAACCTACCCCTGCCTAACCGCTATCCCATATTCCCATCCTTCTCTCACCTAATAGCCCATTCTCCTCCCCCCATAACAGTCTCATAACAGTCTCATAACAGTCTCATAATAGTCTCACAATAGCCCTTCCAGTCACAATATTCACAACCATCCTATATATCTTATAATAAATGTACATAGTAAATCAAACAAAAAACAACCAGTACACCAAAAATTGTAGCCCCGTACACCACCACGGCTTTGTCTGCTCGCTTCGCATTTTATTATCTTTTTCCCTTTTTCACGGCTCGATGACGGGGCCGCCACAATAAAACGAACAACCGCCAACTTTACTTTTTTCGATAGCGAAAGGATCAAAATCACATTTTTTGCCCATTCATTTACACAGTATTTCAACTACACCAAAGTCACTTAATTTACCAGTCAACACCTTCACCCGAGCTTCACCAAGGCTCTCCTGCTGCTTCTTACTGTATTGCTTCCATCCTTGTTGCAACTGATTCGATAATATTTTCTTTTTTTAGCTTTGCTCATCATCGAAGAGCTTTCACAATATGGACGTTTACTATAGAAAGCTGATGGGTAACGGCACCGTTGCGAGTAAGTTTCGTCTTAATACCAAGTCTTTTCCAAGTATACTGTCGAGTGAATCGGATATTCGAGATCATCCCAAGACTTCTGATACGAAAAAGAATGAAGATATCATCACCGATACTTCTTCAAGCTCTTCCCAGGTGGAAGAGAAGCAAGTTCTCTTCAGCGATCATGATGCTGCTACCCACGAGTCGGCAAACGCTTTATTGAAAATCTCCCAGCAGAACAAGGCATTGCTCAACGATCTGGAAGTTGGTCACAAGTCAAGATTCAAGTTGGACAAGTCGGTGGGACAATCTCTTAAAAACAAACTCCCGAACGGGAAACCCGACTTGGAGCAGTCCTCATTTATTATCTCAACATCAAATTCCATCGAGCGCCCTGAAACCCACCACCCAAGTAATTGTGTTCGCTGTTACCGTTTGAAGAAAAAGTGTACCAGGTCGTATCCGAGCTGCTCTAACTGTGCTAGAAGAGGATCTCCTTGTGAGTACATCGATAGAAGTATCAAAAAGAAGCCTTCTCCTCCAAACCCTCCTAAAAGAAAGTATAGTGAATTACCAGAAGCGGTTCCTGAAACCAGCAAAAAGGCGTCCACTGATGAGGTACCAAGTGATCGAAGTGAAGATGATCAACCTGCGGCGGAAGTTTTCCATATTTTAGATGAAAGTAAATCCTCATCACCTAACTCAAAGGAATCACTGCACTTACAAACTCTAAATGGCTCTGATACTCAGGTGGTGGCTCATAAGTTGGTTTCCATCTCTTCGCTACTATCTAGTGATGAGCATCAATTGGCTAAATTGAATCATCATGAAAAGGATTCACTTCAACGTAATCGTCGTAACACCCAATCCAATAAAAAATCTTTGGCTAAGTATGGAAATGAAAGCTCGCAGGATCTTGCTAATATTGTTTCTCAAAAAGCCTCTGGCATCATTGGCAAATCTAGCACTAATCTTAAAGAAGAATTTATAAATATGAAAGCGTTCCCAACTAACGGTTTACCCCTTTCCTTTGCTTTAAATTATTTTCAAAATTATGAGTGGTATTATCCATTCATTGAAAAAAATCAATTTTTTGAAAGCTTTAACAAAATCGATTTCCAAACTGAAACGATTTTAAATCTCGATATGTACTTATTGTTAAGTATCGGCTGTCTCATATATGATCATAATACTGGAACAGATTATTTCACGCAGTTTTTCAGTTATAAAGTAATTGAATCCATTGCAAATGTTATTCAGTTTGATTCTCTTATAAGAGATGATCATAACGGTTTTGATCTTGAAAATATAAAGTTGTTCTTGCTTCTTTGTATATTTGGGCTTCATCTGTTCAATGAAGGATTATGTTGGGCTTCCTTAGGGTTGTTGACTAGATTAATGATTCAATTCAACTATCATAGACCAACCGAAGGAAACTTTTCGGTATTGAAAGAACGTATTTTCTGGTCGGTGCACAATTTGGATAAAGAATTAAGCTTGTTGGTTGATAGACCAAGTCAATTACCCATTAATGATTATATAGCGTTGGAATTACCGCTCAAAGAGAAATTGAATGAACAAGATGAATCTGATACTTTTATAAAGCTTTTGTCAAAGAGAATAGAATTACATAAGCTCCAAGATCAAGTCAATTATCTCAAGTTAACAACCACGAAGAGAAGCCAGGAAGAAACATCGGAAGTTCTCAAAGAGTTTTCTTCAAATTTGGAAAAATGGAGAATTTCAATGAGTCTGTTAATCCATACAGAATATTCTGGACTTCCTAATTTGCAGGAAATGATTGGCGTAATCAACTTGAATTATTACTTTCTATTGATAGAAATGGACCAAGTTTCCTCGAGTGAATCTTTCCAATTCACTTTACAGTTTTTATCAAGCTCATTTGGTTTATTATTAACGGATAGCTCAAAACCCGAATCAGACAAGACCAATGCCGATAAAGCTAAACCTACCACCAAGATCTCAATGAATTCTCTTTTTTGGTATAAAAAGTTTTTCAAGGTTATCAAATACAATCTCAACTCATTATTAGAAATTGCTGATTCTGTACCTGAATCTTCCACAGTAACACCTTTGAATTTAAGTTTGAAACTAAGTGAATTTAATGGGAACCTTCAATTGATGATCAACCTTTTAAGATATACATCCCAAGGCCACATCAAACCTTCTTGCTATTCAGAAAAAATTGATACAGCCATCACTACTCTCTCATCCTTAAATATGGAGTTGATAAAGAACGGAATAGTCCTGCAAAATAAAGACTCCCTCATTCATGACATACAGAGATTCCAGACGCTTATCTGATTCTTTAAATCATTCTTCTTATACCTCTGTCTTGATATTTATCTTTAGTTCTCCTTAATGTATATTTAATTTCTTTAACTTTTTGCAGTATTTAATCAATAGACTGGTAGTGTGCGCACCAAAACCCAAATTCAATACCCTTTGGAGGGCGAGAAGTCTTGCCACCTTCAAAAGAAAAAAAGGTTGAACCGTTAATAGATTCAGTCTTTATAGCCATATCCAATTGATATTATAGCTCAAGCAATTATACATTTAATAGATTGAATCTGTTGTTAGAATTGTCTAAGGAGGACTGTTAATTTTTTTGAAAGACTGAAAAAGCAGTTCGTTAAGATAAATCACTGAGATTTTTAATTGAATCAACATTAAATATATACTATAAGCAAATAGAATAAACATGCCACCAAAAGCTGATTGGGACAAGTATGTTGCTCCAAGTGAAGAAGATGATCAACAAGATAAAATCACACCTTTGAGTGATAATGATATCCAAGTTTTGAAAACATACGGGGCAGCACCATATGCTATACCATTGAAAAGTATTGAAAAAGATTTAAAGGATATTGAAGAAAGAATAAAAGATAAAATAGGTGTTCAAGAAAGTGATACTGGTTTAGCAGCTCCACATTTATGGGATATAAATGGTGATAAAATAAGAATGAGTGAAGAACACCCATTGCAAGTTGCAAGATGTACTAAAATCATTGAAGCTAGCAATCCTCAACCACAACCAGGTTTACTCCAAAATGCTGATAACAAGTCCAAATATGTCATTAATATAAAACAAATTGCCAAATTTGTGGTTGGATTGGGAGAACGTGTGTCGCCAACCGATATCGAAGAAGGAATGAGAGTTGGTGTTGATAGACAAAAGTATGAAATTCAATTACCATTACCACCAAGAATTGATCCATCAGTTACCATGATGACTGTTGAAGAAAAACCAGATGTTACTTATAGTGATGTTGGTGGATGCAAAGACCAAATTGAAAAATTAAGAGAAGTTGTTGAATTGCCATTACTATCACCAGAAAGATTTGTTAAATTAGGTATTGATCCACCAAAGGGTATTTTGTTATACGGACCTCCAGGTACTGGTAAGACATTATGTGCCAGGGCTGTTGCCAATAGAACTGATGCTACTTTTATTAGAGTCATTGGTTCTGAATTGGTTCAAAAATATGTTGGTGAAGGTGCTAGAATGGTTAGAGAATTATTCGAAATGGCTCGTACCAAAAAAGCTTGTATTATATTCTTTGATGAAGTTGATGCTATTGGTGGAGCTAGATTTGATGATGGTGCTGGTGGTGATAATGAAGTCCAAAGAACTATGTTGGAATTGATTACTCAATTAGATGGGTTTGATCCAAGAGGTAATATTAAGGTCATGTTTGCTACTAATAGACCTAATACATTAGATCCTGCTTTATTAAGACCAGGTAGAATTGATCGTAAAGTTGAATTCTCTTTACCTGATTTAGAAGGACGTGCTAATATTTTCAGAATTCATTCAAAAACTATGAGTTGTGAAAAGGGTATCAGATGGGAATTAATCTCAAGATTATGTCCTAATGCTACTGGTGCTGAATTAAGATCCGTTTGTACTGAAGCAGGTATGTTTGCCATTCGTGCAAGAAGAAAGGTTGCTAATGAAAAAGATTTCCTTAAAGCAGTTGATAAGGTTATCAAGGGTAACTTGAAATTTAGTTCTACTTCAGAATATATGCAATATAATTAATGCAAGTTATACGTTAGTTCATGTCGTCATTCTAAGGTATATTTACCTCAGCTTTTTCTCTACTCCCTTTTTTTTATAGTCTTACACTTTAATGCAAAATATATATAAAATTTTTTCTAATTAATCTGTATTCTATTTTACATATATCAATATATACAATTCTAATCCCACCAACTAACGCAACCCATACCTTCAGCTTGACAAGAAGCAACAATAGCATATGGAGGTGTTTTGTTTTTAGGTTCTTCTATACCCGATGCTTCAACACTTGATTTTGGTTTAATGTTTGCAAAAATCTCTTCTTCTATTCTAAATCGTATTTTTTCATTAGATTCAATATATAATTCATTCTCCTCATCTGCTTTCCAAACCCATGCCAGTTCTACTGGCTTAAAATAGCAAGATTCAAATAATAAGTTCTTAGGAATAAATATATCATCGAAAAAGGTTAACCTTACCTTGATTCCTTCAGCTGTACATTCTTTGACCCATCCGGTCAAGATTTCTCCCATAAATGGTTTCCATACAATGCATCGGAATTTAACATCAACAAAAGATGCTCCATCACCTGGTTTTAGCATCCCGTCATTGATATCTAGAAGGTCCCATACCGATATCACTAACCCTAAATTACTTATGACTTTATTGGCATACTTTTTATGTAATTCATCATTGATGGCATGATGAATGGGTGTATTAAATGTATGAGGAGGTATACGAACGAGGTCTTGTATTTCTGATAAGACAAACATGTTATCTATAATGCAATGTGTTGAACCGAGTTCTTTTGAACAGTAGAAGAGTTGATTGAAAATTTGATGATGAAAAAAAAAAAAAAAAAATCAGAAAAATCCAACCTAAATCTCATCGAGAAAGACCGAGCGTATCTAAACATGGTGCAAAAATTCGTGTTCCTATCTTTATCACGGATAAACTACGTGCAAATCATAGAGTTAGAGTATAGGATCATTGGATAGAATGAGCAGTGGACCTAGAGAAGTCAGTAAGGTGACTAAAAAGCCAAACTCCACTTCGAAATCGTCAGACAGAAGATTAGCTGGTGGAAGACGGCCTGAAAACTATCTTCATAATGCCATCATCAATAGACCCTCACATGCGATACGAGTTTCTAATAGCACTGACCAGAGGTCAACCACCGGAAAGACTGTAAAGAGAACAGGCGGAGGGAAAACTTGGGAAGATACGTCATTACTTGAATGGGATCCTAAGCATTTTAGATTATTTGTGGGAAATCTAGGTCCAGATGCTAATGACGAATTACTACAAAGTGCATTTGGTCAATTCAAGACTTTAACAAAAGTGAAAGTGCCTACAGATAATAAGACCGGTCAGAATAAAGGATATGGATTCGTTGCATTTGAAAGTGCCGATGACTATTTCCAGGCTTTCAAGCAAATGAATGGGAAGTATGTAGGACAACACCCCGTTCATTTGAAAAGAGCAGAGACTCAAATCAAACCCATTAAGAAGCAGAATTCTAAGAGAAGGTGAAAAGATAGAATATTGTTTAATTATTTTTGCAACTTGGTGGTTTAGTCACGGCTCACCCCTACTAATGCCAATTGATATTTTCCAATTAGTTTAATGAATGCCCAACGATACTTTTAAGACCCTTGAATGTACTTTAGTTACCATCTTTATGTAGTTTGTATTCACTTTGCTTGCTTGGTAGCTTTATAATTACAGATCAAAAAATGAGAAAAATTTTTTGAAAAAAAGCGAAAGAAACAAAAACTACTACGAAGCTCTAGACTATTGGGAGTAAGCATATAGACATGATTACATTAGGTCCTAGACTCATAAATCGCTCGGGGCTTCTTCGAAGTTCTTACTGTGCTAATTTGTTGAGGTTTTCTATAAGATTCAAGTCGAACTTGCCTCAAGACGTTAACCAAAAGAAGAATTTACCATCAAATGAAGAATGGAAACATTTGAAACAGCATATACCGGGAGAATCAGTTCAGCCTAATGATCTTAAGAGCCGGATTCCCAAGTTCCCGCTTGCCAAAGAAAATGTTCCAACGTTATTACCAAGACCAGGAGTTCCTCAAGTTGGGTCCCAATATTCATTTAGACAAGTTCTTCAAATTTTGAAAAATAAGACCAAACCTGAGTTAATATACGAAGCTGAACCACACAGACTATACTTTCTCGCATGTCTTTCATTCGCAGCCGTTCTCACGATATACGGTGTTGTCTTAGCAGAATATGCTTGGTTTGAAGCTAATAAAGAATATGATGAAAATGAAAAAGAATTAAATGGACCATTAAGAATGAGAGAATTTGGTTTTACGTTATTGAAAAATTCAACGTTCGCAATGGTTATGTTCGGAGCAGCTTACTTAATTGGATCTTTCCCAACTAGATTAATCAGAAGAATGTGGTATTTACCAGGTCCGGTTGAGCATGTTCAATTCACTTCCTATTCGTTATTACCGGGTAGACCTACCCCGGTGATAACCGTTCCATTGAAGAACTTAGTGAGAAAACACCAAGCTAGAGTCTGGACTGGTAAAGGTTTTTACGGGACTGCTGATAAATCAATGTTTTTCTTCGTTTTAAAAGAATCTGAGGCTAAAAAATCATGGATTGTTGATAGAAAAGGTTTTTTCTGGTCAGATGGTAGAGTTTTTGATTATCTTTTCGGGAAAGAAACCGTTGCAGAAGCAGAAGCTGGTATTCCGTACGATGAACAAATTGGTATTGTAAACCGTGAAGTGAAAAAACAAAAACAAGAATTAAGAGCTAAACATGGGATGTTCTATAAATGGAAATTGGCCGGTAAAGATATGAAGCAAGATGCTCAAAAAGGTGCCAACTATATTTCCACTTTAAAAGCTAATAATAAAAAACCAAAATCACTTCCAAACAATGACTCAAAAACCGTTAAAAAATGATTTTACTTCGCTTTTGTTTCCAAAAAATCAATAATTCATGTATATAGTTTTTTTTTTTTGTAAATAAATATTAATAGCACACCATAAATAAGACCTAAATGATTCAACCTGGCTCTATAAATTCCAAGTAACTTTAACAAATGTAACATAAATCAGTCCACTTGACAACATTGTCCGTGAACGTTGTGGCCCAAATTATGTACTATTTTTTTTGCAGATTTTTTTTGCGCAAAAAACGGAATCCGTCAAAGAAAACCGTTGCAAAATTTAAATACGCAGCATCCAATCAATTTATGATATTAATCGAATCGGGTTTCTACCCTTTGAATTCTACATTTGGAAGTCTACAGTAGATTAGATTATGGTAATAGTTCATTACATCATGATACAGTGATCTAAAAAAGTAGAAGCAAACAAACAATAAAAAAAAACAATATATACACCGATGCAAAAATGACAAGCACGTAACCCCAAATGAATAAAAATATAGAAACAAAACAGAAAAGAAAAGAAAAAGAAAGACAAAAGCAAAAAAGATGACCAGGAAGTGATTAGTATAAAAGATTAAACTTTAACGTTGATCTTCATACTAACAATGCAGTAACGACAACCAATAAAGAAGCAAACACCAATCGAAGACAATAAACCACAAAGGATAGCAAAAAACTGGTACCTTTCTGGAGAGCCATCGCCAATGACAGCAGCGCCCATTGGAATACCGAATAAGAGGCCAAGACTAACGAAGGTGTAGAGTAGACCATAACGCAGGCCAAATTGATTAGTCGAGGTAATAACTCCAAGACAAGCAGGAGTTAAGGATAAGATTGAAGAAACGAAAAAGCCAGCGATTACTGCAAAAGCATAAAGAGCCTGGATGTTACTTCCGAAGGGAACCCAAATTAAAAGACAACTAATAACATACCCAATTAACATGGTGATCATTACGTTAAAATAACCAATATAATCAGAAAGAATATTTGGTAAAAATCTTCCAACTAAACCAGTTAAATTAAGAATGGTGACTAAGAAATAAGCTTGAGAATCGGACATACCTTGAGTAGTAGCGTAAGAAGAAAGATATGTTAGTAAAAGAAGTAGCGATAATTCATTTAAGAAGGTAGCAATAACCAATAAAGTAAACTTAGTATCTTTAAAAGCGGTTAAATCAAAAATATTTTGACAAAAAATTTTCAAATTAACTAATTTTGAAGGATTTCTTTCAATTAAAAATGGTCTTTTAAATCTTTCCTTCAGTAATAAAGTAGCAAAACCCATACAAAATAAAGTGAAGAAACCTAAAACTCTTATTGACCAAGCAAAACCAATTTTAGGAAATAGACTTCTTAAAAGTAAAGGAATACAAGCACCACCAACACTACCTCCCAAAGTTGCAATTCCTAAAGCAATTCCTCTTTTATAAAGAAACCAATGACTGACACTTCCAACTAAAGGAGTTATAATGATACAATTACCTATACCAATACATAGAGAAAAACATAAAATAAATTGATAAAGAGTAGTACTTATACTCATAGTCATGAACCCAACGAACATTAAACAAGTTCCAATGATCAATAATTTACGACTACCTTGATTATCAAAGAGGGGACCTACTATTCCTCCAAAGAAAAATGACAGCCACAGAAAAATTGAAAAAATCCAAGAAACAGTTGAAGTATCAGTATCTTTCAACTGATGAGAAGAAATGTAGCTTTGAATAGTTCCAACTGAATTTAGCAAGCCGAATGTTACTATCAAACCTACGAAGGAACCTAATACAACCCCATTTGCTCTCCAACCCCCATCTGGGAAGTCATATTCTTCACTTTTCAAAGAAGTTTGCAGACTATCAAGAGACTCGAGTTGATTTTCAACATCAATACGGGGTGAGTTTTTTTCAGAAGTCATTATACACCAGAGTGTTGTAGTTGTAGTTGTTGTAGTTGTTGTAGTAGTTGTAGTAGTTGTAGTAGTTGTAGTTGAAGTAGCAGAAGAGGATTAACTAAACTTTATATAAACCTACAAAATCTCGGGACTTTTTCCCTAACAGTTTTACCCTTCACACTAAACCCTTGCCAAATAAACTAAACCACCCCAAAACCAGATCAATTTCATGAAAGACATATGGAATTCTTATTCCGACCTGGTTATTGTCCTTTAACCTCATCATTCAGAGCTTTCTGTATTCCCAATTTGTCGCGTGTATTCCGTTTTGAAATTTTCTGGAATAAAGAAAAGACCTTCTTTTTCGCACTTCTACACCGTTTTTTTTCCCTTTTTCCCATCATTTTTCACTGCTCGTCTAAATTTAAGGGTGCAAATTATACGAGTGTCACCCACCCGCCAACCCAAACAAAGAAACCAAAACAGATGCCCATTCGAGTGGGAGTGGGTCTGCGATGGGCCCATTCCAGTGGGTGTTTTGGGGAGCAGGGACGAAGGGGCAGCACGACGCTCTGGGAAACCCCCGTTTTAGGGCCTGTCATTGCTAGCATGTTTGTTTAATGGCAATACAGAAAAGCCGAGTTGGTTGCGTTTACTACCAGCATCGATTTTCGTTAAACGAATAAGCTGATGTAATGAATGAATAAATAAATCTCTGGCTTGATAGCGAGCCCGTTCAAAAATATTTAAAGTTGGTAACATCGTGTCTGGCAAGCTGATAAGGTTTCCTTTCGTTAAAATGTAAGTTAAAAGCTTAAACACTAATAATGGTGTATGTTTCGCTCATTACAATACCAGGGTTAAAGTTTTGGTGTTTTGCATTTTCTTTTTGCGGTTTAAGACACTTCCAGGGATCTTGATCGAAATAAAATGATATCATATCCCTTCTTTGCCACTACGAGAGCCTGTTCAAACACTTGTATTATAAAAACACTTGTATTATATACAAATACTTTATATTATAGAAAAAAGATATAACAATCAAAAACACTAGTACAAAGGATTCCTTTATACAATTGGCTCGGAATTGACCACACGCATTGGGTAAACGGAAACTTGGGGGGTGTGTCTTGCAAATTTTGACACATTATCAAAAGAGTAATAAAAGAAGCTTAAATTGCGTTTTTAATTTGCAACTGACAGAACTTGTGCTCAGTATTGTTTGAGCTATATAATTGTAAGCGTTGGCACCTCGACTCGAAGGAACCCTATCAACCAGCACAGCTCTTCAATTAGAACTTATCACGCCTTTGTTGGCTACTAAACAAGAAATAAGTTCCGTAGAAGAAGGCCCACTAAAATCCCCAGCCGGCGCAACCACTACTCAATGGTAATCAATGGTCGATGCTTATCAATGGTAGATGATCAATGGTAGATGATCAATGGTAAGTGGTTATCATTGGTTACCAATGGTGATCTCTATGGAGATAGCAGTAAACGCGAATGGCGGAGGCTAGACAATTAAGATTCAAATAATGCAACACAAAGGGTGGTTGGATATCACTTGTTCGAATCTGCCCGTCTGATCAAATGCTTAACACCCTTGTCCCATGGGCTCAGTGTAGTCGAACAAAGGCTTGAAAGATCACTAATTGGAATGGTTGAATCATGCGCGATATTTTGCAGCCACTCTGGTGGAATCCGTGGACTGAAACAGCAGGCTGAGAGAAGCGGATGGCTTAAGGCTTGGGTACCTTCTCGAAAGGACCAAAACCAGGTGACTGCTGTGAATTATTGGAATTAAGAGAAACCAATACCTAAGAGGCATGCATCTCGGGATATACCTCTCATATGAATCCAATCGCCTCTTCTACCTCAGAAGTAGCCTGATTTCCCGTGGCTACCTTGTCAGCTTTCTGCTTGACAAAACCTTATACGGTTTTATATTATATTACCTGAATAGAGCATTTACCAGAATGGTTGACTATTCAATAGAGAAGCTGACTTATCTTCTTGCTAAAATATGGATAAACCCATGACCAATAAAATAATAGCTCGAGCTCTCGTGGTTTGCTTTGTCTTCAGCTCATAAGAAGGCAATATCATCAGAAGGCAATAGAATCATTGCACAGTGTTGATATAGTTTCCAAAGGCATCCACACCTACTCAATAAGATATTTGCCCAATACATCTTATTACCATAACTGATATGATAAAAGTCAAATATTAAATATATAGCAGAATGCATATAGAATTTCCATTAGCAAGGAAATACCCGTTCTATATCCTATATGTTTTTTGATACTTGCTCGATTATTTCACAGAGTGTGGTTGTCATATCTCTAGGTTAAACCCCAGCTTTTTCTTGTATGTGATTGGTTCTCTCATCTATCGGGGTATGTGGACCTCTATCGTCCTCGAGTGTCTGCTTTAGTAGATACAACTACCAGAATGAACGACCATAACACACGCAATAAGCTATTATTTAGAAAATACCAGTAATCTTTTAGCTGTTATTAAAGGGAAAATAATTTTATTACAATTTTAAATAAGATATATATTACCGAATAAAAACTCCCTGTAGGCATCGATCTACACTTTAATCCATTAACCAATGGGATTAGTCATGCACACCACACATCTAAGCATTTCTTACCAGGGAATGCCTACTTATTCATATACATGTTTCTGTAATAGATACACTTTTCCAGCGTTGTTTCACAAACGATGTTTGTAACACCTTTGCTTGATCCTTAGCTATGTGATCGGTTCTGATCTTAATCAGACCCAGACATCTTTGCCAGACCTTCAGGTCTGACTGCTTCAGACAGATCGAAAGGCAGTGCAATCACAAAAACATGACTCCCGCCACCACAGAAAAAGCTTCTGTCTTATAACTGCCAGAGTTAGACTAAGTGGTATCCACTGAATAAACCTTTCAATTCAGATCAGGAAACCCGACGATCTAGGGGGATTCACAGATAAAAATTGCATTTTGTTTCTTTTTTGCTTGAATAGATCCAGTCTACCCATGTTCTGAAAACAAAACAATAACGGGCGTCTGGCGTAGTTGGTAGCGCGTCTGCCTTGCAAGCAGAAGGTCACCGGTTCGACTCCGGTGTCGTCCATTTCTTTTTTTCATCAATCTTTGTCACGCAGATGTCATTTTTTTAGCTCCTGCTGCACATGCGTTATCATGCATACGTCAAAGTGATATTTCATCAAAATAAATAATTTTAATCTATGTATGTATAAAGAAAAAAACTAATAATACTATAAATATTTATACAAGGTTAGTTTACACATATTAATGCTTCAAACTCTCTAATTCATTTAGCAAATCTTTAATGTATTTCGAAGCCAATTCCACGGTGGTTGCTTTTGAAGGAATAGAAACTTCATCGTGATAATTTTGAGGAATTAAATTACTCAAATCTTGAACTGCCACATTCATACGATTTCTTCTTCCTTGCTCAGCTAATTTATGAGAAGCTTTCTTAGTAGCTGGTTTTTCACCCTTTTTCTTTGAGGTTGAAGTACCATTAGAATTCAAACTAGTATTTGAATTAGCTCTTGTTCTTTGACTGCCTAATATTGGCAGGGTTTCACTTGAGCTAGAGGATTTTTTCGAGGTTGAGTTTTGTCTTGAATTGACCGGACTTGTAGAATCATCATGATTATTAGCTTCTGCTAACCTCCCCATTGTAAAGCCCATTAAAGTAGGAGTATTTGAGTTTGAGTTTGAATTTGAATGTTGTAAAGGATTATTATCGATATTTTGTTTTTTGGATTGAGGAGGTAACATTGGGGTTGTTTCGATTGATTTTGAATCAATTGAAGATTCCGGTAAATTTTCAAATGGAGATGAATTTTTAATAATGTTTGATCTTGAGTTCTTCAAAGAAGGAGATTTTTTCAATTTATTATTAGCTTGTAAAATGGGAGTACTATGAGGAGTTCTTCTTTTATGATTTGAATTAATTGAATTTTTCTGATCATCATTTGAAGAAGGAGCGAAAACTGAAGAACTCGATCTTCTACGATCATTTGACGGTTGAGCATTCAAAGCTGGAGAAGTTAACGGTTCAAAACTCGCTGAAATTGGTTTTGATTTATTAATGTTAACTTGCAGATCTAAAGGAGTAACCGCCGGAGAAACAAGCGGCGTGAACACTGCATCGGGGCGAACATGCGACGAATATCCTTCTTTGATGGGAGTATTGGAAGACGTTTTATGGTAATAGTGTTGGTTATTATAAGAATGATCATTTTGACCGGGCAATATCGGAGAAACAAACCCATCCTGTTCGGCCTTTTCTTCATCTATGATTCTTTTCTGGGCTAGCATACTAGGGGTATTCTGAGGAAGATTGGAAGGAGGGTAGGCCGAGGAGCTTTTACTATGGTGGTGGTGGTGGTGATGATGATGATGTTCCTGCTGGTCGTATTGTTGGCCTGGTTGTTGATGTTGCAAATGATTTGACTCGCTAAAGTCCAAATCTGGCAACATAAAGTTGAATTGGTCGAGGTTTAAGTCCGGTAATTGATGATTTGACGTGTGGTTGGGGTTTTGTCGGGATGGTGCTTGGTTCGAAGCTTCATTTTTCGAATTAGTATTACCACTATATAAATTATTTTCAATTTGCTGTAAAAAATATTGATCTTGTTCACTGAAATGACTATTTGCTGCTTGTGCACTTGGAGTAGGATGATTACTTGAAGACGGGAGTACTATCCGGCCTGGTGTATTATGATTCGACTCCTGTTGAGTCGGAGTATTACCAGTACTCTGATTCAAGTGTTCGCCCAAATCAAAGTATGGTGTTGGATTATCAGTAGTTTTACTAGCTGAGTTTGGGGAAAAGGTAGTCCAATCGTTCAGTTCCATTCTTAGGGGTCTCAAGGATTCTATTTACTGGCTTAATGTTCTCTTTCTTAATGGAATATTATCCATCATCTAACTATTACTGTAGTCTGACTGTTAAGTTGTTAGTATAATTTTTTTTTTCCCTTTAGGTAGAGTCATATTCAGTCAACCCTCCGAATCCCACGTGGGTGTGGATTGATGGAAGAAAGGCTGTTCTTTTTTTTTTGGTTGGTTTTTTTTTGTTTTGTTAGCACAATCTCATTTGTTTGACAACCTTCCCTTTTGGTACCCTGTCCTGGTGAATGGGTGTTTGTTTGGCGACTTCCAGTCGAGTGACTATGGCAAAGGGAGTTGGTTGATTCTATGCTGTTGATTGTATCAGCGGGCTGCTGGAGGTGCTTCTGGCGCGTGGTAGCAGGGAGCCAACGTCATGGCAGCCCATTCCGGGGGTTGGTGGATGAGGATACTCTTGGTAGAATGGAGTGGTTCCGAAAGGTCAGGAGTAATCTTTGATAATCATGGAATGGTGTGTGTAATGTATGTATGTATTGATGTTTGTATGGATTGATGTTTGTATGGATTGATGTTTGTATGGATTGATGTTTGTATGGATTGATGTTTGTATGGATTGATGTTTGTATGTATTGATGTATGGAAGATTTACGCATTGAAAAAATGAATGGTTCGCCTTCTTTATCGATGAAGTACTCGAGTTTAAGTAAACATGAGAAGTCCTCATCTTCTCCACCTACTCCGGTGAGGATTCGCAAGCAAATGGAAGATTCGGCTGCAAACGAGCTTCACGATCGTGATGGTGGTCTCGGGAAGAAAAAACTAAAGAGAAACTACGGAATGAAACCAATATCAAACTTGTCTTCCAAGTCGTCCATATTCAAAGATAATAAGGATGATTCGACGAAAACAAAGAAGAGGAAAACCAATGTGTTTGTTAATAAATCTTATAAGCAACCTTCTTCCGAATCCAGTGATGAGGATTTGAACTTGATTGACGTGAAGAATTTGAATTACCAAAATAAATTGCATGGGGAAAATTTCGACGAAATAGATAAGATCTTGCAACTGGATAAAAAACTGACTCTATTGCATGATTCAACTACTTTTGCTTCAAAGTTATTGGGCAACGATGGCAATATCTTATCTAATTTTGCTAAAAATAATCTGGATAGAATTAATGAAGTGAAGAAAAATTATCAACATTATAACTTCCCCCCTCCGATAAAATCAAGAAAGCTCTTGAAATCACGAACATTAAAGTATCTTGATCTAATTCCAAGTATAATCAAGGGCAAAATTGCTTCAAAATACTATAATTTAGCGTATCAACAACAGAAAACCTCCTCAAACTCAAAAATGTCAAAGGACGAACATTGGCAAATTAGCTGGAACAAATACGTCGGGGGTTATTATGGTTTGGAACGCCAACACTTCATAAACTTGGTCATCTTGAGTAAATGGCGTAATCTCATCAATAGTAAGGAGCTGTCAAACCCAACGCTAAGATATTGGACTACTAATGATTTTTCGGCTTACGTACTAGCCAACGAAATCATCATCAGACTCGTCATGGAAGATATGCACTGCTCCCAATCAAAAGCAGAAGATATCATCAATAAAACTACAGAATATGGTACTATTGTCATGGATTCAATTCCTTTGGAACATGATTTGGGTTCCGGAGAATTGTTTGCGGAAGATTCTAAAAAAGTCCTAAAAGGTTTGAACACCGCAGAAGCTTCAGCAAATGATATCGACCCGGAAAAGAAAGATATACTAAGTACAATTTTAAGTAGTGATAGCGAATAGATATTGCAAAGCTCTTTTGACAATTTTATTTTTTTTTTTTTCATCATCGCGTACCGATAAAAGATGGATCATAAAAATTTTCGATAACTAAATTACTTGACTCGTGACTACTGGAAACTACTAGTTCTGGTTCGTACTTCTTCCCATTTAACAATTTTGTTCTCATCATCTTGCTTGAAGTCGGTTGTTTCTCCGACAACCAGTAACCCCTTCAAGACTACCTTCATTCGCTCATTTCATCAAACAAATAAAATGTTTAAAGATACGGTTTTTATAAACAATTTAGCAGCCACAGCAATCACTGGTAAAGATGCTTGGAATCGTCCAACTCCTCAACCAATTACTATTACCGCTAGCTTGAAAACAGATTTTCAACAAGCCTCAATAACTGATAATTTGAAATATTCTTTAAATTATGCAGTCCTTTCAAGAAATATAGCAGAATATATGAAAATTAATGAACATAAAAACTTTAAGAGTTTGGGTAATATCGGTGAATCGCTTTCAAAAGTCTTGTTAGATGAAAAAAAGGGTGGCGGGTTCGAAACTGAAGTTACTATTCAATCTAAAAAATCTGAAATTAGAGCTGATTCAATTGAATATAAATTATTCAGATCAAAATTAAATGATTCAATAATTCCTCCTGATGAAATTAAAGTTAACGGATTGAAATTATTAACCATCATTGGTGTTTTCACTTTTGAAAGACTTCAAAAACAAATTGTTGATATCGATTTAAATATTATTTTGAAACCAAATTCTTCGGTTATCATTCATAAAATCATTGATGAAGTTACTTTATACGTTGAATCTTCTAATTTCAAAACTGTGGAAGCCTTGGTAATGAAAATTGGTCAATTGATTTTTCAAAACCATTCTGGTGAAGGAATTGAACGTATTTCAACTAAAGTTACTAAACCGAATGCAATTACTTTCACTGACGGTGTTGGTGTTAGCTCAACTGATATGACTGAATCTTCTTTCATTGGCTTAGAACCCATCTCGGTTAATGAATATTCAAATATTTCAAACTTTAATTTACCAACTAATCAAAATGAAGGTATCATTACTAATAAAGAACATATCGCATATATTGCTTTTGGCTCTAATCAAGGTAACCAATTAAAAAATATTAATGATTCGATTGATCTATTGAAAAATTATAATATAAAAGTTCTTTCGACTTCGTGCTTATATGTTTCTAAGCCAATGTATTATAAAGATCAAGCAGATTTTTATAATGGGGTTTTAAAGATATCCTGTTATGAAACTCCGCATGATTTATTAAAAATTTTGAAAGAAATTGAATATAATCATATTAACAGAATAAAAGAATTTGATAACGGACCAAGAGAAATCGATTTGGATATCCTATTATATGACGATATTAGTATTAACACTCCAAACTTGACTATTCCTCATAAATCAATGCTTGAAAGAACTTTTGTTTTACAACCCTTGTGTGAATTGATTGCTCCCGATACAATTCATCCCGTTTCCGCTGAACCTATCCACGATCATTCAAAACAATTGATTATAAGCAATTCCAATGAACAACTTCAAGAATCCTCAAGATTACTTCAAATAACACCCATTCCTCGCTTAAAGGAAAATTTATTAAAATTCGATCAAATTGATCATAAACTGCCAACTGTTGTTATGGGTATTTTGAACGTAACCCCGGACTCTTTCAGCGATGGAGGGAAGAATTATAATCTTTCCGAAGACCAAATTATCAAAACATGTCAGGACCTTGTTAAACTGGGTGCAAATATTATAGACATTGGTGGTGTATCAACGAGACCCGGTAGTCAAGAGCCAACAGAAGAAGAAGAATTAAAAAGGGTATTACCAATAATTAAACTAATAAGATCATCTAATGTTCTCGAATTGGAAAATATTATTCTCTCGATTGATACTTATAGGTCAAAAGTAGCTGAGCAATGTCTTTTAGCAGGTGCAGATATTATCAATGATATTTCAATGGGTCTTTATGATGGTAAGATCTTTGAAGTGGTTGCCAAATTTGGATGTCCTTATATAATGAATCATACCAGGGGCAATCTGATGACCATGTCCAAATTGACTAATTATGAATCCAACATGAATGAAGACTTAATTGAATTTTTCATTGATCCTGTTAATGGACAACAAGAATATAACAAGGAACCACCAGTGACCAACCTCATAAATGGAATCTCAAGAGAAGTGTCTTTACAAATGTTGAAAGCATTTAGTAAAGGGGTTAAAAAATGGCAAATAATCATGGATCCAGGTATTGGATTTGCTAAAAATTTACCGCAAAATTTAATGATTATAAAAAATGCAACTGATTTTAAAAAATATTCATTACTTTCAAATGTCACTGATGTTGAAACTAATGAGACTCAACACTCATATGTTAGTTTCAATGGATTACCAACATTATTGGGACCTTCCAGAAAGAAATTCTTGGGCACTATTTGTCAAGAGTCGAAGCCATCTGATCGTTTAATCAGTACCTCTGCATCAATAATGGCCTGTATTGAACAAAATGCCAATATAGTTAGGGTCCATGACGTGGAAGAGATGAAAAAAGTTTGTCTAACTGGTGACGCTATTTATAAAGGTATATATTGAATATAACCTTGATTAATCAAGTTGTAGTCTACAATAGTAAGCCAAAAAATAAGAAAAATAAGAAAATCACGCTTCTTAAAATAAATAGACATAATTGAGGTTGAATCATTAAAGTACTAATTAAAGTTTTTGGAGAGAGTATTTCTAATTTACAAATTTTTATGTATACAACATTTTTGTCATTAGATCCGAAGACCAAAATTGTTTCATAAGTTTATTTTTTCCACTTCAAAAATAAAAAACACCTTCTTCAAAAAGATCATCCACCTACACTAACACACTAACGTACGCTTAAGCAGCAGTACAGAACTTAGCAATATGTTCAGCTGAACCACATGAGTAACAGGATTTTTTAGCTGAAGAGTCTGCTGGAGCAGAAGAACAGTTGGTAGATTTATGACCGTAACCACCACAATTATAACATTTAACATCATTTGCTTTACAATCACGGGCAAAATGATTTGGTAAACCACATTTATAACAAGCAGAACCTTTAGTATCAGATTCACGACCAGCTGAGTAACAGTATTTGGCAATATGACCTGGTTTTTTACAAATGTAGCAGGAAGTACTCTTGGCTGATTTATCTGGACAGTCACGTTGTAAATGGTCAGTACCACCACAAGTAAAACATTGTTGTTGTCTTTCTTGTCTTGGTTCGGTACAATCTTGGGAAGTATGACCGGCCTGTTTACAGTTGTAACAGAGTTTATCGGTTTGTTCACAGTTTTCAGCAAAGTGGCCTACTTCACCACATTTGAAACAAGTACGGAAAGACATTTTTGGTTGAATTATTAGTTAGTTTCCTATGAAAAGACTAGCTTATAGAAGCTAATTTTAAATTTTTCATAGTGTTTTGTCAGTTTAATTTCCCGCAAGCGAAATTTTTTCCTCGTTTTTTTTTTTTTTTTGGTTTTTGACCGTTCTCTTTTTTGGGACCATTACATCGGGCTAAGCAGGAGTTACCCGCACGCCATCGTCTTGATCGAACCATCTAGGAACACGATAAGATATGGTGATAACAGGGCAGAAGCTAGGGAATCACGAAGCATTTCTGGCCGATTGAGAGAACTCAACAATGACGTTTTTCCCATCGATTATACAGCCCTTGTGCAATTTGCCGTAGGCTTTTTCAGCATCATTTTTGGTAGAGAACTCCACGAAACCGTAGCATAAGCTTTTTGCAGTTTTAGCATCTATAATGATATGAGAAGAAACGATTTCACCAAACCTGGCAAAAATGATCTCCAAGGACTCCGAGGTGGTTATTGGATTTAGCTTTGCGATGAACAAAGTCCGGGGAGAGGGTTTTATATTATAGTGGGGGAGATCATTCATTAGTTCAAGACCAAGAGCTTGATAGGTTGATTCTTCTAAAGAAGATTCATTTTCTTCGAAATTTGAAATTTGAATGTCACTAGGAAAGTACTTTTGGTTTTGAATCTTCATATTTGGAGGATTGGGGAACGGATCATGGATAATATGAGTACGAATTATTCTTGTGTCGTCAGATATGGATTGTAATACACTGAATCCTTCCACCACTTTACCAAACGCTAATTGGGATTCGAACTCCGCTGGCTCAGTGGAATCAAGACATATACTAAATTCTGATCCAATCTGATTATCATTAACGGTGGTAAAAGACACTAGACCAACTGGATTTTCATTGTACTCGGAAGCTTTTAGCCCGGAATCAACTTCCAAATAGTCATTAACGCCAACGATACCATACTGTTCGAGTTCAACGTATTTGTTGACCGAGTGGTTTGCTGAGTGGACTCCATTTGGATAATTAGGATCACCAGAGTAGATAACCTTGTTATTTTCAATCTTGTAAAAGGGACTGAAAAAATAATGATTGATTTGACAGAGCTTTAGAAAATTATAACATGGCAATTCTTGGGTTTGTACGAATAGATCAACAACCAAGCTTCCTTTAGTAGTCTCTAGCAATACACTCATATCAATTTTTCTCGAGTCAACTGGAAAACTTGTATTTAAATTGAAATTCGTCAATTTCGTAACTAGAGAGGTTGAACTGTGGTGGTTCCGATGTTTGTGTGGTGTATGGGTGTTTTTGGCCAGGGATTTTCACTCGGTCATTTTACTCAAACACTTCACTTAAACGAAAATTCAACTAACTTCCAATTAAGTCGGATGAATCAAAGTGAAAGATAAATTAAAAAGTATAAGATGAAAATGGCAAAAAAGAATGCGATTTCTGTGGATCGAACACAGGACCTTCAGATTAACTGGACTGAAGTTTTCTTCAGTCTGACGCTCTCCCAACTGAGCTAAAACCGCTTCAAGGATCGAATCGACATCCGCCTCGCTATCCGTGGTACTTGTCCGCTTGGCCAAGTGCACGAATTATGAATTGTGAGAGATTCCAGGTTTACGGGTGTACAAATTCTTTAGGCGCCTTTTGAAATAAGCACCTTTGAAAACTAAAGAAAAAAAAAAAAAAAAAAAAAAACTAATCTACAATGCAATTCAAATCTGTTGTTATCGCTTTAACTGCCGTCTCTGCCGTCTCTGCTGCCAACGCTTCCAACGGTAACAATGGTACCAACGGTACCTCCAGCTCTTCTTCTGACTCTGGTGCTGGTGCTGTTGGTGCCGGTTTATTCGGTGCTGCCGCTGCTGCCGGTGTTGCTTTATTATTATAAGTTGATTAATTTATAGACAACTCTTAATATACACTTAATCTGTTAAAAAAAAAAAACAAAAACTTCATGAAATAAGCATTAATTTAGCATAAATACCAACTCGTAGTATTATTCAACCATTGCTCATATCGAATACCTTTTATAATGGCTGAATTAATTTCTCTGTGTGCAATTTTGCCAACTTTTTATACTCCACACTAATGAGAATTTACAGGAAAACCAACTGACTGTGTGAAAAAGCTTGAATATGCTGTCACCCAGCTAAATTGGGCACAACAGGTATGTTCCCCTACTTTAATCAAGATACTTATTTGTTGGAGTGTTTTGTAAATGATTGCAAAAAATCTCATTAAAAAAAATTCCTACTTTAAAGTTTGACGAAGTACATGTTTTAGCATTGGCACAGGTACAAAAAGCATCACACCCACGGAGATTTACACGAAGAATCACAGTGAGGCTGATTCAGGCTTCTTCAGATAAGTATAACTAATCAGATTCAAACCGAAGTAAGTCTCAGCTAAGCACCAAACTAAGATACTTAACTGATATGAGCCAAAGCAATAGAGTTGTAACCTCTTTACCAGACAAGACAAAGCCCATGGAAGAAACTGAGATAGCCAACGGACTGATATACATTCAACCCTTTGCCTTCATTCGTGTTTTGTTCGACTTCAGACCTATTGAATATTGATTAGACTCAAGAACATGGCTCGGCCGACAGAGGTACGGAGGCTTTTAGTAGAAGCTGTAAAAAATTCGACGTAAGCTGCAAACCCCCCCCCTTTGTTTCCCAATTCAGAAGCTGCTTTTTTTTTTTCTTTTTTTCCTAAAGACTAGTATTCGTTGATAGATCATCAAGTAAGAAAGAGAAGCGGGCAAAGTCTTCTAGGTGCTGATTACACTACATATTGTAACATAGAATCCATTCTAAAGTATCGGAGTGAAATAATTTCCAGGAATATTAAGTCTCGTTTGCTGAAAATTTGACATATAACGGATAAGAAGCAATTCTAATAGAAGCAAAAGAAAAAAGGAAAAAAAATAAAAAGATTAGAAATACAGTTCAGTATTTGAAATATCCAAGTTTCCAATAGTTATATCATTATCTTATCAAAAATGGAGGATGTGCAATGGAGTAACCCATCGTTGGGACCGCAAAATCCAGACACTTGTCTTGAATTAGTTGAAGAAAACGTTGATTTGTTCAATAGTTCAAATCAGGCCCAACAAGCTCAACAAGCTCAGCAACAAGACCAACAGCTGGCTTTCCCAAATCAACCTTTTAATAATGGGTATAGTGGAAGTCCTAATTTTTATGATCAATTTACAACATCTCAACAACAAAATCATGGATTTTTACCTGAATTTAATTATAACGGGCATCCCGAAAACCATTCAAATAATTATAAGAATATCAATCCTATTGATGACCCATATCTTTCAAATAATATCACCAGTCATAACTTTGATAGTAATCATGCCCCAACTGGTACCAGTAGCTCCATAAGTTCATTTTCATCTCCAGTTACCAATCCGACAAGATTCAATATAAGAACTGAAGGAGGTTCCCAAACAGCGGAAAATAATAAAGTCCCTTCTCCAGATACTTCCTCTACATCCACATCTGCTCTAGATACGGAAAAACCACTTACAAATAACAATGGCAAAACAAAACAAAAGGCAGGTCTGGCAAAGTCTAAGAAACAACTATTAGATGAACAAGATGCTCTATTAATGGCCCGGGATGATTCAGAATTAAATGAAGAAGAATTAGCGAAAAAGAGGAAAGCTCAAAATAGAGCAGCCCAAAGAGCTTTTAGAGAGAGAAAAGAAACTAAATTAAAAGATTTAGAAATAAAGTTACTTCAAAGTGAAGATGAGAGACAAAAATTGTTACAGCAATTAGACCAAATTCGACAACATAATCTCACAATGCAAACAGAGAATCAATTATTGCGTTCGGGCAATGATGCTCCAAGTCACCATATTGGCCTTTATGCTGAGCACGCTAATAGAGGTGCCAATAAATTTACTTTTCCCCAAAATCCTCGTGAATTTGTTGAAAGCTTATATGCTGGTACTTCACACGAAATAAAAGATGAAACTTATAATAAAATATACGAAGAACCTGATGAACCTGGTAAAAAAGTTTTGGCCGTTGGTGCTGTTTGGGATTATCTACAAATCAAAGCCGAAAAACCTGAATATGAAGGTAAATTAGATTGCTATGAAGTTATGCTCAAATTAAAAGGTAGTGAAAAATGTCACGGCTTTGGCCCAGCTTATCCACTTGAATTGGTCGATAAAGCAATTAACGATGTCGCCAATGGAATTTGAATCTGTATATACCCCCTTGTTTGCATTTCCCCGTTTTCTTTTCTATAAATGGTTTCTGTTCTAGCTGCATATTCAGCTGGTGGTTAACGAGTTTCAGTTCGCTTCTGTCTTTTTGAACTTTTTTTTAGTCTTTAATCTTTTGATTTTTTGATCTTTTGCTTTCGGACAACATAAACATTTCCTTCTTTCTTCTCTTATTGTTTAAAATTATCATTTAATATATTTTACTGTTTCAATATGGGGCCCATAGAGTGTATTTGTTTGCAACGTAAGAAACCTCCATACACCAAATCGAATAGTCCCATTCGGTCGAAGATTCCAGAAAAACTGGAGGGAGAAAAAAAATTGTTCTCTCAATATTTATATATATTTCATTCCATTGAACTAGATTAAAGCTTCAACTTGACTCTAGTTAGAACAAGTTCGTATAAACATGTCAGCCGAAGAATACAAAGCCCAAGGTAATCAATACTTTGCTGCTAAAGATTTCACCAAAGCCATTGAGTTTTTCACTAAAGCCATTGAAGCTTCTCCAACCCCAAATCATGTTTTATATTCAAACCGTTCAGCATGTTATGCTTCATTAAAGAACTTTGGTAATGCTTTGAATGATGCCAATGAATGTGTTAAGATCAACAATACTTGGGCAAAAGGTTATGGTCGTGTTGCCGCTGCTCAATATGGGTTGGGCAACTTAGATGATGCTAAAACATACTACTCTAAAGCTTTGGAATTGGATCCAGAAAACGCTTTAGCTAAAAGTGGATTGAAACAAGTCGAAGAAACTATTCAAGCTAGACAAGCCCAACCTGATTTAGGGTTGGGTGCAATTTTCTCTGATCCTAATTTAATAACTAATTTGAAAAACAACCCTAAGACTAGTGAATTAATGAAAGACCCTGAGTTAGTTCAAAAAATTGTCAACATCCAATCTAATCCAAAAGCTAATGCAACACAATTCTTGAGTGATCCAAGAATGATGACCGTGATGGCTACCTTGATGGGTATTGATCTTCCTGATGACCCATCAAACGCTGGTTCTTCTGCTCCAAAACAACAAGAAACAAAACCAGCTCCAAAGGCCCCAGAAACCAAAAAAGAAGAACCAAAGAAACAAGAACCTAAGAAAGAAGACCCAAAGAAAGAAAGTCAAGATGTCGAAATGGAAGATTCTGAAGCCTCAGACGTTAAAGCTTCGCTTGCTGCCAAAGCAGAAGGTAACACCTTGTATAAGCAAAGAAAATTCGATGAAGCCATTGCTAAATATGATGAAGCATGGACTCTCCATAAAGATATAACTTATTTGAATAATCGTGCTGCTGCTGAATTCGAAAAAGGTGACTACGATGCTGCAATCGAAACCTGTAATAAAGCTGTTGATGAAGGTAGAGACATGAGAGCCGACTATAAATTAATTGCTAAATCTTTTGCTAGATTAGGTAATACCTACTTGAAAAAGAATGATTTGGAAAGTGCTGTAAAATTTTTTGATAAATCTTTAACTGAACATAGAACTCCAGACGTTTTAAATAAATTAAGAGCTACTCAAAAGGAAATCAAAACTCAAGAAGCATTAAACTATATCAATCCAGAAAAGGCCGAAGAAGCAAGATTACAAGGAAAAGAATTTTTCACCAAGAGTGATTGGCCAAACGCTGTCAAAGCTTACAGCGAAATGATAAAAAGAAGCCCAGACGATGCTAGAGGATACTCAAACAGAGCTGCCGCTTTGGCGAAATTAATGTCTTTCCCAGATGCTGTTCGTGATTGTGACTTGGCTATCGAAAAAGACCCAACATTCATCAGAGCTTATATAAGAAAAGCTAATGCTCAATTAGCAATGAAAGAATACTCTCAAGTTATGGAAACTTTACAAGTTGCTCGTGAAAAAGATTTAGCTCTCGGTGAAGGTAAAAATGTTCATGAAATTGATCAATTATTTAACAAGGCATCTTCCCAACGATTCCAGGCCCTTGAAGGTGAAACCCCAGAACAAACCATGGAAAGAGTTTCCAGAGATCCTGAAATTGTTGGTATCTTACAGGACCCTGTTATGCAAGGTATTTTAGGACAAGCCAGAGAAAATCCTGCTGCTTTACAAGACCACATGAGAAACCCAGAGGTTAGTAAGAAGATTAACATGTTGATAGCTGCTGGTGTTATCCGTACTAGGTAGATAAGTTTTCATTTTACTCTTTAAAGTGTATCAATTTTTTTTCTAATGGTATTTAACGTCCAATTAATTTCTTTTTCTATCACGATTCAAAATGTATAGTCCGACTAATTTCACAATAAAACTTTACGAAAACAAATACACTTAACCTTATGTAATATATTACCTTTAAACTCTGTAAACACTTTATAAACCGTTATCAAAAAAAAAGTTGGGCAACTCGTAAAGTGAAGAAAATAATACATTATTTACTGAATCATTATCAAGACCATCTCCCAGTTTAAAAAATTGATCATCGACATAATAGTTCGGGTAAACGGGTTTCAGGGTGTCGACACTTTCTGGCTGCTGTAAAATATGGGCTAATGAATGATTACTAAGACTAGTAGGAGTGTATCCTGATGAATCATTACAAGAAGGCGCACCACTATGAGAACCATTCGAGTTACTCGAAGTGTTCGAAGTATTCGAATAGTAGTTAAACTGGGGAGAAAATGCATTAATTGGAGCACCTCCATTGACTTGTTTCTGGTGGCTATCAGGCAGCAGAAGCAGCAGTACCCTTGATAAATGACTTTGGATTGCATTTTGCTGTTGATTTTGATGCTGTGGTTCTTTGTTTTCAGAATTGATAGTGACGAATCCGGATGCACTATATTGCCATCGAGGAACCCCTCCAAGTGATTGATCAAATAGTTTGCTGCAAATTTTATTAATATGATCGTTAGCATTGAACTGTTTATCTTTCCTATCCACTGGTGTAAAAATATATGGGTAGTTCTTTTCGCAGCTCTCTAAATACTGCGTCAAAAAGTCATTTCCTTTCAAAATATCGACTTCAAGTTTACCTTCTAAAATTTTTATCAAAATACGAAGCATGGTTTTAACCACCAAATCGATAACTGAACCTCTCTGCTGGTAAACTTTTGCAGAAGGATTATCAGATTGTTCAGCATACCTATTATTATAACCGAAGAACTTAACCGCAACATCGATGAGTAACCCAAGGTCCTTCATACTATCACTTTCACCTGCTTTATTAATACAATTACCAAGCAAATTTAAAAATGCTGAAAATGGGAAGAATATAATCCAGTTGATGAATGATAAGGGAATAGTTCTAAGATCTAGTGCAAGTACGATATGAAGAATAGTTCTAGCACTATCAAGATACAATGCACGATATATTAAACTTTCTTCACAGCTTTCATCATGGTCAGGTGTTACTATTTGAAATGGTAATCTATTGATAGTCATCAAATGGGAAAAGTAAGTTAGCTGCGTCGCTATGACATTTTCCTTAGCACAATCAATATTCAAACCATTCATAAGAACAGGAAATTCCAAGTATTCCTGAAAATCAGAATCAGTGTATAAACGAGGACGAATTCTTTTGTCCATAGAATTTCTGAGTTCATTCATTTCTGTATTCAAGGAGTTCAAAGTCGAAGAAATACTTTTGAACGTTGTTTTAACAGAGGCACTAAAGAGCCCTTTGTAACTTCTTGCACGTATTCTGGTCAACTTCATCAAGAAGTAACCAACGAAGTTATGTATTTGTTTATTTTGGGTTATATCTTTGATCACTTCTGGAGGAACTACCATAGAGCAATCCTCGTCTTTACAACCCTCATTAGCTTCCGAATATTCTCTATCTCTGGAGGTCAAAGTGGAAACATCACATTCATCAACCATTGGCGTACTTCCGTTTCTATAACAAATTTCCATATCGAAATATTGGCAGAACCACCATATCCTTCTTCTAAAAGCTCTATCTTTCTCCGGAAAATTCTGAAAGCTTTCAAAACGATGTAATCCTAAAATTTGAGCGAAACGCACAGCAACACTGACTAAAATCCAGTTCATATGAGAAGTGACAAGGGTGGTTTCGAGATAAATTATAAGTAATAGGATCCCTTGGACAGTTACAATACCTTCACTGATGACCGAAACTTTACCATAATAATAAATTGACTGAAGAAATAACTGGTCTTGAAACTCGAGTAGTTCTTCTAATTTGAGAGAATTAAGAACAGGTAGACTTGTCTTTGGATCTACTGGGGTAGAAGCATTATCAGTAGATGCAAGTTTAGAGTTTAAGCTAGTGGCTTGATCAGAAGTTTCTCTATGCAGCTTCTTATTGATAAAAACAGAGATGCACAATGCTAAACTGATGTTAATTATGAGATGCTCCGAGGCCTTTAGTTTTTGGGTATTAGCATTAGCCTTATCCTCTTTATTTGAGTAGTATGTCTTTATTAATTCTTTGATTTCATTGACGTCACATAAATAACATGCAATGTATATCTCATCGAAAAATTCCAATAATTCAAAAGTCAACTGAATACTATGAGGTAGTATCCCTTCGTGTAGAAGTAAGCGTTCCTTTTCTAAAGAGAAATAAGGTTCAGTCCATAATGAGTTATATGTTTCTTTACAGGCTGCAAAAACAACAGGTATGTTTTCTAAAGGTACCACTAAGGACATATCACGGGGTCTTAGTTTTCCCTTGATGTATTTTATACTCTTATCTGAAAAGATGTGGAAAGTACAATGTGATCCAAAGTAAGTTTCCAATCTAGCAACACGAGATGTATCATCAAATGGATTTTCTCTAGCAGTAACTGAGCTCTCTTTAATTGGTAGTATATCCTTCTTAGATTGATCCTCATTTCTTGATGGAACTTCATTCTTATTATCCTCGCCATAATCTTTCTCAGACTCATCCAGATCTTCAAAATCATCAAGATCATCATCATTAGACTCATTTTCCACTGTTTCGCTACCAACTACTCTCTCTGAATTTGGATCGATCCGAGTGGCCAAATTAAGAATTAATCCTTCTAACTTAGCCAATCTGCTATCTAGAGACTTTATGGAATCACTTCTTGTTATTTTCTTATTCACTCTTGGTTTTCTTTGTCTTCTTGTTGGATTATCTTCAGGGTAAATACATTCTTTACCACCGTGTTGGCAATTGGAACAGGTTGGTTGTCCATCACATTTAATTTTCTTCTTACGACAAAACACACATGCCTTAGAAACCCTTTCTCTCTTTTTTTGAGTAATCACTTCCATCCTGGTGTATTCAATAACGAAAATAAATAGATTGGCACTTTCTGATGCTTATCTTCAAACTCCTTCTCGAGAATACACTGGCACAGGCTTGCTTCTTAGCCGAATGTATAAATATAATCCAGAGCGGTGTTTTAGCCCTTTGCCACTTTGATAAAAGCCTGATATTTTTATGTTTATATTATATTCTATAAAAAAAAAAAAAATTTTCGGAAGACGGGTGCTATTTTGAAATGTCAGCTTCCGAAATTGTAATACATCGAAAAAAATGCTGCTAAATTACAAAATGCCTTTATTGCACAGGAGCAAAGGCTTCGACAGTGATTGTAGAATATACGAATCGATATTTGTAGAATAATACAGAAAGAAAGAAGAACGAAAAGGAAAGAGGGTCCCAAAGAAAAGAGAGTCTCTAAGAGAAGGACTAGCTAAAAATAAAAGAAGATGAACTAAGCAGGCAAAGAAGATATCTAAAGTCTATTCAAGATTAGAGGAATTCAACCCCAAACTATTATCAAAGAAAAAGTTTGGAAGATTACTCATCTGTGAAAAAAACTTATCGGATAAAACGTTTTCTTCACTTGAAAATAAGTCATCTAAATCATTTATACCTCCTGCATCAAAACCTTTAGACAGTTCATTTTGACCAGAAGCGGAGTTTGGATTATTAGCAAATTTATCATGGTTATCCATTGAGTTGCCTGGAAATTCCCGTTTCCCTTGGTAATAGTTAGGAGAAAGACCCATTGGGTAAGAACCTAAGTGGTTAGACATTTGCGAACCAAGAGCGTTGGGACTGTTTGTCAGTTTAGGAAGATAACCAAAGCCCGCATTATCAGCTAATGGATTATAAATGGGGGCACTACCAGAGCTTGTAATTCCAGGTAAATTGTTAACTTCATTACTCTTACAATCAGCATGCGAAGCAAATGCAGATTCTCCTAAGACAGACAAGGGCGCTGAGCGATTGTTGGATTTGAGTAGTTCAGGATATGTTTCTATCGGGTCATTCAAATGGTCTGATAATGCTTGATTATTTTCTAAAATACTAGTATTATTTTTAGTTTCGTAAATAACAACAACGATTCTAAGGACTAGTCTTATCATTATGGAAAGGAATTTTTGAGCAGATATATCCCCATCGTAATTTGCATCATAATTTTTGAATGAGAAGAAGTCAATGGAGTTTTCGATTAATAAATTCAAATCAGAAAGAGCTTCTGAACTAACAGGGTGGTTTATAACCGAAGCTGCCAAATTCAAAAATGCAGATACAGGGAAAAACAAAACCCATGTATTTAAGGTTAGTGTAGTGAATGATCTTGCACTTTTTGACAAGATTAAAATCGTTCTTGCGCTATCCAACGATAAGTTTTTATAGCTTAACCACTTTCCCCTGTCAAGATCAGAGACCCCAACCACAGACGGTATTCTGTTAATAACCATCAAGTGTAAGAAAAATGTCATATGAACAATAACAATGCTTTCCTCTTTAATAGTTTCTGCTTTATAAGCTTTGAAAGAAGGATGATTGTAAAATAATAACTGATTTTCAATCGGCATACATTCTCTTAATTCAAACATTTCTTTATTCAACTTATCTAAAGCTCTCAGTAATTTTTCAAATGTATCTATTTGAGCAGATGCCAGAAATAAACTTTCATAACTTCTTGTACGAAGTCTTGTCAATAATGTGAAATAATACTGGTGTAATAAAACGTTTCCATCGTCATCTCTAAAAAAAGGCTGTCGTATACTAGAGGAAAGCTTGGAACCCATCGAAGGCATATGAATATCTACGTTAGGCGAAAACGTATTGTATGGTGAATCTTCTGCATTAGGAGCCAAGTCAGCACTTACATCAGCATAATTGATCAATGGAGGTTTACCGGCTCTGAAACAAATTTCCATATCAAAGTAGTGACAAAACCACCAGATTTTACGTCGCCTTTCTGCTTCAGAAGGTGGGAAACTAATATAAGATTCAGCTCTATGTAACCCTATCTCTTGAGCAAATCTGACGGCAACTGAAATTAGAATAAAATTAACTGGGGAGAAGAACCAATTTGCCTCAACAAAAGTGATTAACAATAAAATTGCTTCAATTGTTTCTAAACCATCACTCAATACGGATATTCTATGATAATAGAAGATAGCATAATCAACCATTTCATTCCTCATCTTCAATAAATCTTCGGTAGATAAAGACCTTATCGACTCTGGAAGTGGCCCAGGGATGTGGTGACGCGGATTAGAAGAATGTGACTGGTTAAGTCTTTCATCATGAATCGTTTGAAGGCAGAAGGCAATGGCAATTGTCATTAAAAGAAATTCTGAGCATTTAAAACGACGCTTTCGATATCCATTAATACCATAATACGATCCAAATAATCCTTTCATACGCTCGTAGTTTATAACTAAGCAGCAATGAATGATCTCTTGATAATAAGTATCAATTAAAGCAAAAATAAATTCTGAGTCTTGAGAAAAAGGTTTTTCAAGTAATTGTCTCCTTGATTTACGATCATAAATTGTAGGATCTACCCATTTAAGTATGACATCTTTCATTCGAGTTTTCAAGAATATTGGTAAACGGATAATGGGAGTCACAAAATTAGACTTTTTAGGTCCTAATGTTTCTTGCATCCACGCCAAACTTTTTTCAGAAAAGATACATAAAAATGAATGAGTTCCAAAATATGTTTCTAATTGACGATTATGCAATAAGTTATGTTCGGTCTTGTTCTCATGGGTACTCAGTTTAGATTTTTTCATTTTATTAAGATGATTCTCAGGAGAAGTAGCAACCTTGAATACCGACGGCTTTGGTAATGTGTTAGGTTGCACCGAAGAGACGAAGTCCTGTTGTTTGGGGACATGACTCTCATATTCCTGGACATCATCAGTCTCAAACTCTTCACTTGTATCACTTTCTTCTTCATTAGTAGATGAGTTTTCAAATTCTGAATTTTGACTATTTGGATTTTGGATCTTCAAAGGTAGATTCAAATCAGTAGGAGGAGAAGATTTACTATTTGGATTCAGTAAATGGCCAACTATACTGGTAATAGCCTTTTCTAAACTTAACATTCTTGAATCTAGAATTTCTAAACTTTTAGTTGCAGTCATTCGTTTTGTAATCCCCTTCTTTTCTTTAACTTCCTTCTTCGGTTTCACTTCGTATAGACAATTAACATTGGCTTGCAGACAATTACCACATGGATACCCACCAGGGCATTTTATCTTTCTACGACGACAATTTGTACAAGCATTCTTTATTCTTTTTGATTGAATATTCGACATCCTGCTAATCCGGCTACTACTAAGACTCACTAAAAATGAAAATTAGTTATTATTAAAGTATTTCTGATCCAAATATCTTGCAATTTGGCAGGTAGTCCATGCAAGCCTCTTAATTTTCTTTTCAACAGGGTTTTTCTTTTTTTTACCAATTCAACAGGGTTCTTTTTATTACCAATTCAACAGGGTTCTTTTTATTACTAATTCAAAGGCAGGGTCGCCCTTATCTTGTACATGCGAAAGCAAATTCCCAAACTATTGTACAACAAGCGTAGATATTTAGATGAAATGTACAATTCTCACGAAAATATCTGAAATACAGTGACTTGGAGAAACTTTTCAGGTCGATTTAGTTTGAATTTAGTTCAGATTGATGAAAGAACGAGGCATCAACGCATTAAAATAAAAAAAAACTGAGATTTTCCTAATTAAGTCCTTTTACCTCGGCCGCATTTAATTCTTTCAATCTCCGACAAAACAAACCCCACGGAAAGCGGAAAACAAAAAAAACAGAGACTACCCGAGAATTGAATTATAAAAATAAACACTGAATATGGCTGCAACTTTCAATTGGTGGATCAGACGAGTTTATATATAGGAAGCTATTGAATTAAGACAGGCCAGAGAGGTAATTAGAGGGAGATAAAGCGTGATTTTCATTGGGGTCAGCGTCAAAGAAAAAGCTGGGAAGTCCGGAGAGCCTCAGAGCAAAAATTTTAGCCAATTCTTCGTCCCCCAAGTTTTCAATAAAGCGATTAGCAGATATAAAGGGACCATGATCACTTGTTGATTCTGAAGTGGAAGTGCCACTACTATGGCCGTTAGCAGTGTCAGAATTGAGAAGATTAGCCAAGCTTGGCTTTTTTGAAGTATGGTTGGGGGTAAATGTAGTGGAAGGAGCAGTATTGACAAGATCATCTGAGATAGAAAAGAGTTCAGGGTACATTGATTCACAGGCATTCAAATGGTCTGATAAGCCTGCAAATTGGGCTGATATGTCATATCCGGAGTCATTCTTTATCAAGGCGACTAACGCTTTTAGAAGCAGTCTAATCAAAATATCTATCATTCTTGTTTTTGAAGGTATTTTCTTTGAATTCTTTAATAAAGGATTACTTAAATCTTCAAATCTTTCGCAACAGGAAGCGTATTTTGAAAAGAAAAAAGATACTTTAATTAATAAAGCACAATCGGTTTGAGTTTGAAGATCATTTGGGAAGTTTAAGCAATGTGCCACAAGCCCCACAAAAGCCGACATTTGATATGAGGATATCCAAGACGAAAAATTGCCAGTTTGATCAGTCAACTTATCAATTAGCAAAGTTATGTGTAGAATGGTTCTTGCGCTTTCTAACGAGATATGAACTGATTTTGAAATTGAAGGAGTCTCCTTATTATTTTCGTTATTCGTGATAGGTAGCCGATTCGTTAAAAATAAGTGATTAAAATAAAGCATTTGGAAAAATAACTTATCTTGTAAGCTAATTGAATAGGACCCATTAGGCGTCTCAAAAGTTTCACTTACCCCAAGTGAACATTTACTTAAGTTTTTTTCAAAATTTGCTTCATTATAAAAAAGTGGCCTTTCACTACCCATTAAGTCAATTAATTTGCCAACTTTTTGATTACTATCTTCGATTATTTCTAAAACCCGATAGATTGATGAGGAATCTTGAACGAACGTACCATTTAAGGATCTGAAAACACATCTTCTAATCCTGTTCAACATTAAGATGTAAAAACCATAATAATATTGAAATCCATTCAATGAGGCAAAATCAACGACTTTTGAGACATCTTTAGAAGTTGGACCACTGCCATTCATAAAGGGGAATTTTGGAGTTGGTAAGAAGTAATTGTCATCATCGGTTAAAATAGTAAAATCTTCATTGAATAAATTTGTAGTTTTTGAAATTCTATAAGTCATTTCAGAATCCATATGCTCACAACACCACCAAAGTCTTCTTCTTTCGTCAGCATCCTTTTGGCTTAAGTTTTTCAACATTCCCAGATCATGTAATTTAATGATCTTTGAATGTCGTAAGATATCAGTTGCAAGCCGATGAGGAATATTATCATCGTGAGCGAAATTTGCGTCAACATAACCTAGAAGAATAAGAAAGGCTTGTATTGTCTCAATTCCCTCATTGTTGTTTTTGACATTATCATAATAGATTAAGGATTGCTGGAAACATTTATTCTTCAAAGAAATCAAATAATTTTGATCTAATTTAGCCAAGGTATAATAATTATTTGTTACTTTATCATTGATTGTAAATCTATTAATTAAGCAAGCAGCAATACTAATGTGAATTAAGAACAATTCTGATTGAGTTAATGTTTTCGACGGATCCTGTTGATAAAAAACTATGGCTAAATGTTTAATTTTATCCACCCTACAAACCAAATGATTTGCAAAATTCTCATTATGGAATGCATCCAATATTTGAAGTACAATTTCGGGATTTTTTGGTAGAACTGATTGTAAAGGGGTGTAACCATGTATCAATTCAAGTGCTTTTGGATCCATCCAAGCACCCATCAACACACTTACCGATTTGAAAAATGCCCGGGGCATACCTATAAATGGTTTGATTGCTGATATATCGCCGTCTAGCTTTTTTTGAACCCAAAGCAAACTTTTCTTTGATAAAACATTGATTATTGAACATGGATAACCAGAATAGCAACACTTGGGTTCGGTATGCGATATCTTCTTATCCTTGATAGAGTCAATAATCTGACCACCCGAGTGCTTGTTAGAATCATTGGAGTCCGGGGAAACGACTTCCTTCGAGAACTCTCTGCCCTTATCAATACATTCAGGACCAGAGAACTGTGTAACAAGACGCAGAATAAGCCCTTCCAAAGATGACAATCTGGAATTTAACTGATCAATCGAATTTTTGGCAATCACCTTGGTCTTGGTTCGAGGTCTTCGTTTCTTAGCAAATGAATAGATACATTCAACATTTGCATGGATACAGTTGGTGCACGAGCCAACCCCATGATCTGTGTGACATCTCTTCTTACGTTTTCTGCAAAAATCACAAGTTTTAAGTTTGGACTGGTTCATAATGTACTAGTGAAGCAAATATACAATTAAAATCCGAGGAAGTTCCTTGACAATTATTAAAAGATTCTTCGCTAAAACTATAGTTGCAAGTAATGGGTCATATGGAATAAGTTGGATAGAAAAGCTGGGTCCTTCAACAAGTTATCGTCTTTGGTGGGTTATAATATAAGTAGCTCAAAAATTGTACGAACTAAATCTATTTATCTAACTCGATTTCTTGTTTTTTTTTTTTTTTTTTTTTGTTTTGTTAGCGGCTTCGGAAAGTAGGTTTGTATCAATATCTCCACTGCCGAAACAATAACAGTCGAACCTTACCACTTTACGGGCTACGGCTGACCATTGTAAAAACCTCAAATCCGGGGAGTGTCATTCCGCAGAGCTGGCCCACTCAACAGTGAGTTCTCCTCTCTTCTGCTTTGAGATCGCCGTCCGGTGCTTGCTTCTCAAGGTTGTCTATTGTTGCAAAAAGCAGTTGTTGTAAAAAAAAGTTGGTCCCATATAAATTGCCGCACCCGTACATCTCAAGATGGAAAAGCCGTGCACCCTGTCTATTATTGGTAAGTACGCGTAGATTCATCAATAGTAGCCTTTTTTGTATAAGGAATACTTTCACTACTTAATAATCTAGTAGGTAAGATAAATAGTTTGCTTTCGATGTTAACAACGATAAGTAAGGACAATATAAATACTTAAATATAAGTAAGGACAATATAAATACTTAAATATAAGTAAGGACAATATAAATACTTAAATATAAGTAAATACATTTTCTAATAAGATAATAATTAAATTGACTATATGTTTCGATCTGTTTTTCAAATAAAAAGTTCCAATAAAACAGATACTAATATTAATACTACTACTATAGTGGATTAACCTAATAGAAAGAGACTAGGTGTGTTAACACCACACACACAACACCCATACACCAGGCAATCTTTTCTTTCCTCCTTGTTCGGGTCGTGCGATTCCCCCCAGACTAAGTCTATTCCGACGCTTTAGAGAAAAAAAACGGCCTTGGTGAAAAATTGGATAGTTATCTCCCAAGACGACGAACAGCAGACGATGGTTGCAAGAAATAATCCCATTTTGGCGAATAAGGAGGATGCCAACTTCCGTGAGGCCTTGAAGTTGTTTGACAGCAAACAGTATAAGAAGGCATTGAAGTTAGTTGAAGCCAATATTAAAAAGAATTCATCTCATGCCGAATCATTGGCATTGAAGGGGGTTCTTAATCACCATTTAGGACATAAGGCCGAAGCAAAGCCATTTATCACTAAGGCAGTTAGTAAAGAGCCTGGTAATTACTTGGTTGATCATCTTGCTGGGATCTATTTCAGAACAATTGATGATTACCCAGAAGCAGCCAAATGGCTTAAGGCATCTATTGATAACGGATCACCAAATAGGGCCATTTTACGTGATTTGGCTTTATTGCAATCTCAAATTAGAGACTATAAGAATTTGAGAGATACTAGACAAGCTTATTTAGAATTTCAACCTGGTTATAGAGCAAATTGGACTGCTACTGCCATTGCTCAACATTTAAATAAAGATTATAATGCAGCAGTTAATACTTTAACCAAGATTGAAGACATTATCAAACCTCATTTGACCGAAGCAGATTTATACGAACAATCAGAATGTTGCTTGTATAAAAATTATATCGTTAATGAAGCAGGAAATTATACTAAAGCTTTAGAACTTTTAGAAAAAGATGAAAAGGAAATTACTGATAGATTATCATTTTTAGAATACAAGGCTAAGTACCTTGTATTACTAGGTCAAAATGAAGAAGCTTCCTTAATTTATCGCCAACTTTTACAAAGAAACCCTGATAATGTTGATTATTATACCTTATTAGAAACCGCTTTAGGTACTTCATCTAAACCTTTTGAATATAGATTAAAATTATATGAAAAATTGGCTCGTTTCTACCCTCGCTCAGATCCTCCTAAATTCATCCCATTAACTTTTTTACCTTCCGATCATCCAAGCTTTGAACAAAAGGCTAGAGATTATGTTGAATCTCAATTGAAAAGGGGAGTCCCTTCTACTTTTGTTAATATTAAGCCTTTATACAAAAACATTGAAAAATTAAAAGTTATCGAAAAAATCGTTTTGGAATTTTTCAAACTTCAAGCACCTTCTTTAAATCCAACTGTTACAGTTTGGTCAAAATACTTCTTGGCTCAACATTATTTATACTTGAATGATTTGGTGAAGGCTAATGACTATATCGATTCAGCTTTGGATCATTCACCAACTTTGGTTGAACTTTACATTGTTAAAGCTCGTATCATAAAGCACTTTGGTGATTATGAAAAGGCAAGTCAAATAATGAACGAAGCTCGTGAATTGGATTTACAAGATCGTTTCATCAATTCTAAAACTACAAAATACCTTTTAAGAGCAAACAAAGTTAATGAAGCCATTGATTGTATCTCTTTATTCACCAAGTTAGATGATGATGCGGTCAATGGCTGTAAAGATTTACATTTGATGCAAGTCAACTGGGTCCTTATTGAAAGCGCAGAAGCTTACACTAGAATATATCATGACTATGAAAAACAATTGAAAGATTTATCCCCAGAAGATTCATCGGAAGAATCCTTAGCCGCTGAACAAGAATTAAAAGAAAATATCGATATCTTCAAAGGTTTGGCTTTGAAAAGATACCATGCAGTCATTGACAATTTCAAAATCTTCTTTGATGATCAATTTGATTTCCATTCCTATTGTATGAGACGTGCTACTCCAAGAGACTACATCGAAACCTTGAAATGGGAAGATAAATTACATTCCACTCCAATTTATGTTCGTACCATCAAAGGATTGTCTTCAGTCTATTGGGAAATCTATGAGCAACAACAAAAACAAAAAGAAATGGAAGCTTCAAATGAAGATAAGGAATCTTCTCCAGCTAAATCTAAAAAGAGCAACAAGAATAAAAAGAAGAAGGAAAAGGCTCAAAATATCAAAAGAAAAGCTGAGTTAATTTCAAAAGTCGAATCTACTAAAGAAGACCCCGATCCTTTAGGTGCCAAATTATTAACTGACTTAGTTAATAATGCAAATGGTAAAATTCTTGATTTGTTATTAGAATATATCAAAAAATTGACTACTGAAGCTGATAGTTATCAAATTACTTGGGAATTAGCTTTCAAATTATATAAAGAAAATAGCAAATACGTTTTGGCCTTACAAGCATTGAAAAATCTCGATCGAATCTTGAAACAAGGCCAACCAGACAAGAAATTCAAAGTTATTGCTAAATCTGCCATTGAATTACTCCATGCTGCTGAAAATGATCCTAATTCACCAGCTGCTATTGCAAAAGTAGTTGAAAAAGGTTTACAAGGAATTTTTCCTGAATTGAGTGAAGGTAAAGCTAAGTTTGAAGAAATCTACGCCTAAGTATGAAAGGAGTTTATTCATCATTTTAGACTGAAAAAGTTCATATATTTCGCTTTCAATCATATAGAGTAAATAATAGCGGGTTTTTTTCTCTCTTAAATGCATTTATGTTATATATCTACTTACGAATTTATCCAACTGTCCACTTGACTTCTTGCAACATTACCAGCCAAGTTCAAAGTCTGTTGACCCATAGGGAAGTAACTAACAGTATACCAAATCGCACTTATCAATTGTAGTACGGCAAATATTATAGAAAGTATTGTACTTTTCAAAGATAAACTACTAATCAAAGTCATTATAATACTGGTAATAAAAGTCACAGTGAAAATGATTCTAGTTGACAGTAGTAAATGTAACACATATGCTTGAAACCCTTGTAGAACACCAAAACTTACCAAAAAGAAGATGGAACCCAACGACCATAAAAGGGCAAATTTTCTGGGTTTTAATGACAAAACTGGAAATAAGAATATACAGATCAAATAGCAGCATACTGAACCAGCAAACGTCAATCCAAAGATCAACATTCGATCCCATCTTGACAATTCAAAGTAGCCTGGCTCCGAAGTCACATAGTTATCTTCATCTTCAAGATATACTGAGTTAGACTTGAAAGGATTCAATTTCAGAAGCTTTGATCTGAAGTTATTCGAGGTGCCGGAATTGCCAACTGGAGTATCATTCTGCGATACTGGAAGATAACTTTGTCCATTTTGATTACTGGACCTGAAGGATTTGAAGAAACTCATAAAGGTAATTTAATTTAACGCAGTATACCACAATTGGTGCCGTTAGTGGGAAAGAACAGTCTGTTCAATGAATTGGTCTTCGTTGGCATATGACCTTTTCCACTTTTAATTTTTTTCACTTATAAAGGTGTACGGGTGTACATTCCCAGTGAACTTTTCCTTATTCATACGCTTTCTGATCTCGATAGTCTGAAAGTTGAAAGACAAGCTTATAAGAACCTCGTTTGATAGACCATGTCTGAAGTAGCTCAGGTTTCTCAGGAAAAGCAATTTGTGAGTACTTTCTTACAGCTCATCAACTTATCTGCTGATGCTCCCTCCAACACTTTTCTCTCGACTGATGATTATAATAAGTTAGAATCATTGGGTCCTTCTTTGCCAAAAATTAAAGCATCTTTACCTAAGGGAGGAGAAGATGACCAAGCTTCCAATAAAGCAGTAACTTTGAATTTTAAGTCCATAAAACCACCATATAAGTTTTCAACCCAATTGAGTGATGTTCCATTGACTCATTCTATATATAAAGTCAAGACTGATCTTATCGATTCTGTTTCGAATTTAAAGGATACCAATGTCAGCACCACCGACTTGAAATTGATGATCAAAGGTAAAGTCATCCAAGATTCCACTATACTTTCATCTGTTCCATCTGTAACTGATGGGTTAACTTTTATGGTAATGGTCTCTACTCCAATTTCAAATTCACAACCAGGAGCCTCAACTCCGGTAACAGAGCCATCGAAAGACTTGGACGATAGCGTATCTGTTCCTAACCCTGACGAAGGGAAATTGGAGATCTCTCCAAGTACATGGAATAAGCTTCACCAAGTCTTACTTAATGATTTACCTAGTAAAGTATTGGCCGATAAAGCTTTTCATAAACTACAAAACAACTGGGCTAGTTGAAATATTTTATTCTTTTTCTTATAAACTTCTTATATAAGTTGAATAACTGAGTATATACAAGTTCGTAACATCGTTAAATAGAGTTTGTAATTTAGTTCTTCCCGTATTTTCTGGATAGCAAATCGTTCAATCTATGTCCATCAGGTCTTCCGGCTCTGCGTTCGTATACATAATAAGCAGCCACTCCTATAGATAATGCAAGCAAAGGGTCAGATACTCTGGAGATCAAATATGGGTATTGGATCATCTTTGTCTCAAGATATAATACGGTCTTGCAGTGTCTTCTGAGCTACCAGTGTTTTCTGATACTTTTTTTTTTTTTTTTGTCAACGAGTTCTCACTCGAAAATGGTTCTTCTACACCAATCGACTGCAAATGAAGTATAGCTGATTTTTGATTAACCTGTTTTATAAATAATAAGATATATATATATATAATTTTGTTTGTCATTAGCGTTGTTTCTTAGCAAATTTCTTCTTCATTTTGTTGCTGATGTTTCTATTCCAGGCGACTCCACTCATGATGGATCTATTGAATCCATAAATGTCGTGAATATCGTCATCAGCATTATCTAAGCTACCAGAGCTATTCAATGCTTTTCTTTCTTCTTCACTCATTCCTGCAGTGACAACCCCCTGCTTTTTATTCTGTAATTTAGCCCTTTGTTTGGAAACAAATTCTCTACATTTATTAATTTCGTCTTGAGAGAGAGAACCAAATCCATAACCTCCAATTTTTTTGAAACAATTATCAATTAATAAGTTTGGATCAAGTATCGTTTTTGGGAAATTTTGCATGAATTGGAATAGCTCAATTTGTTCGGTTTCTGATCCACCACCATTACTTCTGGTAGCTTGAAAATCTGGATGATCGAAGCATAATTTGCAAATAGTTAACGATATTCTAAAAATGGTCTTAGAACCTTCATACCATAGAATATCCCATACTCGCAATGCACTCTCAAATGGTAAAACACCTACAAAAACCGACATAAACCAAGAAGATGTAACCAAAGTTACTGGTGGTAATCTTGATAAGATCTTATCTGGTGATAATGTTTCGCCTTCAAAAGTTTTACCCAAAACCCCCCATAGTTGAGGGATATACTCCTTGACACACAACATAAGAACCCCTTGATCCGTATGAACACCCTCAAGATTTGCGGAATGGACTTTAGGAATTATCCTTTCAGTAAGGATCACTAACATCCAAAAAGCATGTTCTTCGCTCATGAATAATAGAAGTAATCCGGCAAGGAAATTTAAAGATTGACAGTAACCAATCTGAGGTTGATAGTGTGCGAATGCTATAAGTACTCGGCGAAGCGATTTAATCATGCTGGTTTCTTCGTTATTTGAATCATTTTTTATATCCGTGCCTGTGAATTTATTAAAGTGAAAATTATCTGGAAAGGTACGGTTCAAGTCTCTTTCTATGACTTCGGTATCCTTATTTTCAATGCCTGTAGTATTTTCAACAATTTTATCATAAATGCCCGTATTTTTATTCAATTTTTCGTAACCTCCAGCGTAGAAAAACCAAGCATTACCTCTCCATTCGGGTGGTAAGCCTTTTCTTATCATCTTTTTAACTCGATCTGATTTAGGAGGAAACCTAATTGGAGTTTTCCCGGTGGGGTCAATAGATAAGCCATGACTTTTCATTAACAATTCCCATTTCTTCTTTCTTCGGCTAAGATGCGTTGTATATTCGGAAAACCATTCATTATATTCTTCTTTGGAAATATCATGGAAAGAGGACGCCTTTCTGAATCCATAACGGTCGAAGTCAGAGGCTAATGATTCGTCTATGCTTTCTTCATTTTGAACTGAAAGATAGACGTCATGGTCTTCATTTCTTGGATCGGATTGAACGGATCCTTCTATTGGAATCTGTTTAACATTTGTATCTCTACTTATTGGTTGAGCTTCTTCTATGGGAACTTCCTGCAGCAGTTCTTTAATTATGGGAGGTTTATTATTAATGCTAGTGTTTGAAGTATTATTGATCTGATTAAAATGGAAATTGCTTACAGTATCACTATTACTAACCATTTCATTATGACTCTCCATATCATCGAAATTCTCTCGATTAATAATAGGAGCAGAAGTTATATAAGTCTCATCTGTAGCACCACTATTATAAGGACTGCTTTTATTTTCACGACTCATTATATGAAGGCCGCTACTACCGTGAATCCCCAGGGGAAGAGATTCTTGAATAGCAGTGGCCGGAGTATTCACACCAGTGCTAGGAGAATCTAGATTATCTTCACCCAAATCATTAGCTACCACGGTGTCAATCACTAGTTTCTTCTTAGACATTTCAGGACTCGATTCCACTGATGGTGAATCAACTCCATATATATCCAATAGAGAATAGTTTCGCGAGTATGAAGATTCGGACCTTTGATGGTTATTTCTCGGAGTCAATAAAGAATCAGACGGATCCTCGCTCTTCACATGAGAGTATGCTTCGGTTGCATCAGTATTCTTGCCAATATGCTTGTTAGTTTCATTCTTCGACATTCTCTCGGGTCTTCAAATATAAGGAGGGGACTATTTAATCTAGATTCAGCTGAAACACGAATTGTACTAGATTTGAATTTGAAAACTGAAATTTTATCTGTTCCAACTCTAATTAGAAGCTTCCACTTAATATAAGCAATTTAAGGCCAAAACCACAAATAAACACTCAGTGATATTGAAATCTAGACGGTTTGTGGAAGTCCTCGGTGAAGACGAAGAAGATAATTTCAAACTGAACTTCCAATGTCTTCTTCCTAGTAAAGTCGTAGAGATTCACTGAGTTTCAGTGCTCTTTGTTTTTCGCTCTCTTTTTTAGGGCCCTAAAAATCTCACATTTTCAACTAAAAGTACTTTGAGCACAGCACAAAAGAACAAACTCAAAAGCCAAGGCTAACTGATAATAATTGACAAGATTGAAACAACTTACCAGCTCTTTTGGCTTAGGGGGATATTTATCGCTAGAAGAAGTCATTTAAAATGTACTGGAGAAACACTAAGTGGATCACGAAGATTTATGACTCGTGCAGGCCCATGGATTTGTCAGAGGGCCTTTTGGTATCTCATGATCTAGATACCCCAGTTGAATATATTAAAGGAGCCATATATCAGCAAAACTGCTACGAGGGAGCTGTTCCCATGCTTAATACGAACATGGGGTTAGTGTTGAAAAAGTTCAGTCAGTCATTACCGACAATACGGCGATCTTGGGAAGAGTATACGAGAAAAGGTGATCGTGGATCATTTGCTTATAGCGTAGTTCCTATAATTTACTCAATATCCATTCTGGCAGTGATTACCTGGTTTTTAACGTTGTTCATTCTCACAAACTATACTATAAAGTCATCACTACTTTTGAAGTCGTCCACAATTCTTTCATCGGTGTTCTTGTTGATAACCGTAGTTAAGTCGCTAACGATTCTACATAATCAACAACGAGTGGGTTATCTTCATGGTGCTAGTTTATTAGAATCTATCAATGACAATTTAGTATTAAATATTTTTGATTTGATCGTGGTGATATTGTTGCAAATTAATCAAGTCCAAGTGATTATGAGAATCTTTCTGAGACAAAATGATAAACGATTAACCTTTTTCGTTGGGATCATTGCTTGTCTCACTTCCCAGGTCATTTGGGCTGTCACTAAATTTCATAACTTTGACGAAGAAAATGAAGCTGGAGATATCTTACCGGCTTTCATTTATTTAGTAAGAATTGCAATGGCTGTTTGTTATGCTGCTTTAATCTCGGTTTTCCAATTAAGTAAAATAAGCTATATAATAGCCAATAAAGATATTTGGCTATTGTCTTTATTAACAATCATCCTTATTTATAGTCCGGTGGCTTTTTTCATCGCTGATGTTGCAAATGCTTGGGTGTACGAATTATCCGAAATTTTTTCAGTAGTTACTTACGTGATTTGTGTTGTCATTCCTTGGGAATGGTGCAATAAATTTAATATGATCATGAAAATAAAAGAAAAGGAAGGGGTTTTGGGCAGAAAGTTTTACGAGGATGAAATGTACGAACTTGACCGTTTCGAGCTTTTCGTTGAACAAGATACAGATAACGAGAATAGTGATGGCGGTGAAGATCTTGAAGTCAGAAATAACCCTACACATGAATTCAACAAGGCCAAACGTCAAGATTCTGAAAACTATAGAACATCACCACTATATCAACCATCAAAGCCAACAAAATTGGTAAGCTCTTTTAGAAATGCCAAATCCACATTTTTGAACTTGACCGATAAAATTATTGCTACCGGTTTAGCAATTCCCAGGTCAGTCAGTATTTCCACTCCTCCAATTGGAATACAAAATGGGAATCTTCAAAATTCTCAAAGTCAGGGTCGCTATCACCCAGTTTCTAGTAGTGATAGGGACGCTGATCCGCATCTTACAACTAACACCTCCCCTAATAATCCAACAACAACTACAACTACAAACGAAACAACAAATGGTGGTAGACGAAGAGACGTCTTTGTTTATTCTAGAAGAGAAGTTATCTTGAATACTTCAGATGATGACTCATAGTCTAGACCATACGTACATATGTAAAAGACAACCTAATTCTATTTAATGTATGAATAATGACTTTTATTTGGTTTCCGTTTCTTCTTTCTTTTCGTGACCTTTTGTAGCAATTTCTAAAGCTTTTTTTTCATACCCTGGGATATGGATATATTCAACATTGGCTTCCGTCAACTTCTTATAACCAGTGTTATCCTTCACAAAAATATCTGGTTCCAAGACTCCAACAAAACATGTTTTGATCTGAGTTTGCAAAATTCTATCGACACAAGGTTCGTTACCACTCAACCTTAAGGAACATGGTTCCATGGTTGTATAGATTTCGGTCCCCGGAGGTACTTCTCTTTTCCCGGTCTTAGTGAAATACTTTTCTAGTGCACATTGTTCAGCATGAGTATTACCAGGAAGTTCTCGTGAATGACCAGTTGCAAGAACTTCACCATTTAAAGTGAGTAAAGCACCAACATTAAATTGAGTTTGAGTTTCACCACATTTATTTGCATTTTCTAAGGCTAGCTCCATGAATTCTCTATGTGGATCAATAGCCCAATCAGGGTATTCAGTTTTATATGACCAAGACTTATCTTCTGCTTCATACTTGTAAGCATGTAACCATAAATCTAAGTCATTGGGGCCTGGATCAGTATAAAGATCATACTCACATGTTTTACATTTTTCACCCAGTAAAACTTCACCGTCTTCCTGAGGATGAATCCAAGTAGAACAAGCAATAGACTTACCTATCCGGTCCAAATTTTCCATTATCTCTTCTTGGTTACATTCACCATTTTTGCCTAGGTTATCTCCCCAAACCTTAGGACTGGAGTAGATAGGGTCATTAGCAATTGGGTGGCCAATATATTGTAAATGGACTCTAATTTGGTGAGTTCTTCCTGTCAACGGGCGGCATTTAACAACGGATGTATTTGTTTTTATATCATAGGATATTCTTTTAAAAACGGTCAGCGCTTCTTTACCATTTTCAAGGTCAACTTGATTAAACCCTAACTTTGGATTTATAGTAGTTAATGGTTTATCAACAGTCAATTCACAATTTTCATCACCAACCGGAAAGTTACCCACAACTCTCGCAATGTATTCCTTCTTAACGGAGCGATCTTTAATTTGTTGAACAAATTTATCAGCCCCTTTGGCATTTTTACCAAGAAACATAAGACCACTAGTTAATCTGTCGAGTCGATTACAAGGATGGACGATTTTCCCATATTCGTGTTGAAAAACTTTGGTGATTGTATTATAGCGGTATCGTCCGGCAGGATGAACTGGAATACCTGAAGGTTTATCAATAACAACTAAATCATCATCTTCGTGGACGATTTTGATCGGTCTAGACGTGACGGCAGGTTCATGCTTGTGGCACCTATGAGAGATCAAGTCTCCATTTCTAACTACTGATTCAGAATTTGCAGGTACTTTATTGAGACTCACTTGGCCGGAAGCTATAGTTTTTTTATAGAACTCTGGTTCACGATCTCTAAACTCATTGACAAAAATATCAACTAATTTTCGATCTCTCCATCTCATTTTACAATAGGTCATATAGGTGAAAAAGTAAGGATTAACTCTTCTTAATCTTCCATCAATAAAATATCCTGCACCTTCAACTTCTTCTTCTTCTATAGTTTTATGCTTATTGATAGTATTCGTAGAATCAACATATGAATCTTCACCCAATTGTTCGTAAGCAGTGGTTGTTAATTTATCTAGAACTTGTCGTTTGACTCTGAAACCTAATTGATCCCGTTGGGGGGCACCATTATTAGCAGGCCCAGGGGAGTTCAATCGTTTGGTTCCCTTGATATCAGGATTTGGCGATCCAACCATTTGATATAATTTAATTCTTAAACTTCTTGGAATTCGATTAAAAAAGGGTATCCGACTCAACCTCATAAACTTTCAACAAATAGACTGAAAAAAGCGAGCTTATATTTGGTGGTGATATGAGGCCAAAGGTTTATGCGTTCAGAATGCTAATACGAGATGAATTAAACTTTCTATAATGTATTTCTCAATGAGCATTGGAATGATTTCTAACCTTTTTCTATTTTTTTTTTTTTTGCTAGTGTTAGACAAGGCTAGCTGAGCTAAAATATATATATCAGGTACCATACAAACCCAGGGATAAATTATTTGGAGTGAACCTTGTACTTGCTCTACGAAGAATTTGTATTTACTCTATAAAAAACTCTATTTACAATAGACCTTGTCTTTTCAATTCTAGATAGTCTTTTTCAGACATAACGTTACCTTCATCATCTTCAACTTCAACAGCATTTTCCAAATCAGTAGTTTGGGCTCGTTTTTCTCTTTTCAATCTTTTCCATAATTCCATGGCTTCACTGATTTTGGTAATATTTTTGAAAATTGGTAGACATGTTTCATCTACACCGAGACATTTTAGACCATGCTGATGCTTTGGAGTGCTGAAATGCTTGTTAAAAAGAACCGGTCCTTTATAAGTAGCATTTCCACATATTTCACAATCATAGGTACGATTGAGACCCTGTAACTTATAAAGCCAATGGGGAACTGGTCTACCGTCAATACCAAGGGGTAAACTTTTTGTATCCTCATCGTCAGAATCAAAATCGGAACCAGAATTATTAGCTTCATCGTCAGATGATTCATCTGCAGTGGTATATTCCAGATCATTTTCTTTAGTGGATAAATCTTCAAGCATTTTCTCACGTTCTGTTAAAGCAGCTTTACGTTCATGATTTGATATTGTAGCTTCGGTGATTGGAGAGAGCTTTAAAGCCAATTGGGATATTTTATGCTCGGATAAACGAGCCGGGTTTATTGGTTTTTGTTTGGATATATTTTTCTTATGTTTCTTACCATCAAGATGCCCTTTGTAGACAGAATCCTTGGTAAACACTTTATCACAAGCGTTACAGTATACTTCACCATTTTCGTTAGGTTTGCCATCATTAGCTGATGGATCGAAAGAATCGGAGATTCGATTTAAGAGTTCTGAAATGTTCTCATACGGATATGCCCGGGCATAGAAATTTGATAAATACGCCAACAACTTGTTCAAATAGTCATTATAAATCGATGAGTGGTTGTCGACGTTATCGTAAGGGAATTTCAGGAATAAACTCAAATATTCGAGGTAAGTTATTTGATTAGCTGATTGAGTTTCTTGAGATTGTAATGACTGATATAAGGGGAAAAGCTCTGATAAGTCAATGAATTTCCCATATTCTTCTTTTGGATTGAAAAGGGAATCAATATTTATATGACTTGCTGCAACAGATAGAATTTGTTTACGCTTGACCATTTGACGTTTATTTTTACCACGTTTGACCCATTTTAAATCGTCAGGCAGAGCACTCGAGTACATTGAGTATAGTCTTATGGTGTCCTCTGCTGGTTCAATCTCATCGGTATCACCTACTTCATGTCGAGAGTTAACAAACTTCAATAAATTATCAAATTGCTGAAAATCACGACTGGGGTCATTCAAAGACTTCAATTCATTGGAAAATATATCTTTTCTGTTCTCGTAGTTTTCCAAAAATAGAGAACATTGTTTTTTGTACTTATCAAAGAAGAATCGGAGTTCATGTTTTTGCAATAAAGTTTCTTTGGAAGGACGTTGTGATTGGGATGAGGTATCAGAGTTAGGTAGTAGATGAGGGTATCGGCGAAGACGTGTTGCGACTGCCTGCTCAATAGCATCAATTTCTTCGAGCAAGAATCTCTGGGGCTCTATAAATCTGGACATTTTGTTGATAAGATAAAGATGAAGTGATGACTTAAAGATAGTTTCAAAAGAAAAAAAAAAAACGAGATAAAATTAATGTGAGAAAATGACAGCCCCGACTATCAAACCCTGGTTTATCTTTCTAATATCAAAGTATTTTGAACATGTCCCAGCTTCCATTATTTCTATTTACCTACAATTGCAATAGGCTCAAGTTGAATTCTGAGGAATTCATCAGCAAGATTGTTGATGTTTTGCCCGATACTCTATCGAGTATATATGTATTTGGATTTCAAGAATTGTGCTCCATACTAGATGGTAGTTTCCCCGATATTGCTAATAAGCATATGATTGACTTGAACAAGTTATTGTTGGATGCATTCAAGACCAAATATGCGAATGAAGCCGTTAGATTTCATACGATATCAATTGAGCATGTTGGATCAATTGGACTCATAGCAATTACCCCATTTATTCTGAGAATCAACAAGGTGAAGAGTGCTCAATGCGGTTGTGGATACTTTGGGTCATCGATGAAAGGAGGTGTTGGTTTAAGGCTTTCATATAAGAATGGCGATGAAGATATTGAGATAACGTTTGCTAGTGTTCATTTAAGTGCTGGAGAAGGCGAACACTATTATATTAAACGGAATAAGAACATGAATGATATAATGAGAAGTTTACAATTCGATGATGGCTGGAGTTTATTGAAGCCAAACACTCACTGTTTCATACTTGGAGATTTAAACTACCGAACTACAAAAAATTATGATCCAAATTCTGATACCAGTAAAAGATTATTTGAACTCCACGATCAAACTAAAAAGACTAGTCATCCCAAATCTATTGAAGGTCTAGTTGACAATCATGATGAATTAACAAGTGGCATTGAAAAAGGCGATGTGCTCACTGGATTCAATGAAGGGTGTATTGAATTTTGTCCGACTTACAAATACGTACAAGGAACTGCTATTTATAATACCAAACGGTCACCAGCTTGGTGCGATCGAATCTTATTTCAATCTACTTATTCAATCAAACAGAAAGAACAGCCCAAAGTCGTCCGGTACGATAGTATACCGAACTTATTAATATCGGACCATCAACCAGTTTTTTTGGAAATCCAAATTCCTTTCCAAGCTCCAGAATCAATTATAACTAATGATAGTGGGTACTTGAAAATCTTACCAAACGAAAGATCTGATATTCATAAACTTCACCCATCTCACAATGCTGACTTGAATGCAAATCAATTATCAGAAATGATTAGTGGACCCACCCAAATTTACATGAAGGCTACTAAAATCGATTATATCGCACAACTAATTTTACGACCACTAATCGATTGGATCGTTGGTTATCTCATGTGGTTTGGAGTTAGCCAACGCGGTAGATTACATCTTTTGGTTATCTCTCTAATATTTGGTGGTTGGTATTGGTATATGAGGGGAGGTGAATAAAAACCGAGTTTCAGTTGGTTCTGTTTTTTTGCAGACTAAAGTCCTGATGAGGGGCTTTCCCATAAGTCTTCTCCTCAGAAGACTCTCAGGAGACTTATTGATAACACTAGGACTTAAGCTTCTGCAAAAACCTCCTGGATAGTCTCTACAGTAGTAGTATCTTCAATAAACCTTCAATTTCAAGTTATTTACTCACCTGAACTTAAAGTAGATATAAAACGGTTGCACTAGAATACTTTTCTTAAGCCGTCACGTGACCGTAGGTCCCCGAAAAGCTTCCTTTCTTCCGACGCTAGAGCCTCTAGACTGCACAGAACCCCATCATCAGCAGGCCATTAACGGATTAATCGAGAGGCTATTGCCCTCTAACTACAACGGATGATGGGAACTTGTCGAGTAAGAGTACGGCCAGGTTGCGGGAAATCCCTAGGGTCGCTCGGAGAATAGCCACACTCCGTAGCTCGACTCCGAGCAAAAAGGTGGAGTATGGCCAGTGATAAACGAGTCGATGGTTAAATCTCTTGAGAGAATGGCTGAACCGTAGGTGGAGCCATGATCGGATTAACAAGCACTTCGGACTTTTGAGATGCGAAGACGTAAAAAGAAAAGTGTGCCTTTTTTGGGCAACTTTTTTTTTAGCGCAAAATTTAAAGGTGTCTCAGTGATTGGTCCCATCGATCCGAGAAATTGTCCATCTGAGAAGATTGCAACACAAGGAAAAATTTGCACTCATTCTCCAAGATGACTCAGGGTCGATTATTATAAATATGATTCAATATCCATTGAGTTGAGAGAGATTGTTCTTATCATTATTATATATTTGTATTCAGTATACTATTCAGTATAAACTATTCGATATAAACTATTCAATATAAACTATTCAACAATGTCTGCTCCAGTCAAATTAACTGCTCCAGAAAAAGAAGCTGCTATTATGAAAGAAATCAGATCTAATTCAGTTAAATACCAACCTAAATTCGAAGGTTCTTTCTTTGGTGATATTTTCGGATTTGCTATCAAAAGTTCAAACTAATGTTTTTACCAATTTCTTCATTTCTTCATGACTTTACGTGTCTTAATAATTTTACATAGCTATGGCTTTTTAATAGAATAATTTATGATTTAAGTTTTGATGTAGATGAGTGTTCTTGTGTTCGAGTACTTTCTCGGTGTTATCAGTATTGCAATAAGCTGTTTGTTTACATACTACTCATAATCCGAAGTCAACTCCGTAATGATCGTTGATTTGTTGATTTTGGTTCGTTAGGTATTGCACCAGCTTTTCAGCCATCTGCCAGCTTAAGCCCGAGCCGTTATCAACCAATCTCTTCTAAGATTAATCCGAGTGGTTTTCAACGTAGGTATACCCGGATAGATGATCATGCCGCTTACAATAGAACCCTTTTGCGAGATGGAATCTCTCTTGGGAGGCTTCTGCGACCCATTTCGAGGCTTGAAGTATCCGCGATCTAGTGGCTCGAGGCATCTATATCCAGGTTCCCTTATCTAGTCCGAGGCCCGAGAGTTTTGCTTGGTGCTCCGTCAGACTCAGGTCTTGGTGAATCTGAGAGGAGCTCTAGTCAATAGTTAAAGACGCGTGCGGCTACAGTTGAGTGAGTCGCTGCAAAAAAAGTTTGGTTTACCGAGTCATTATTTTCACACCCGTACCTCCCGTGTAAACCATACACTTATATCTTCTCTAGGGTTGACAACTGGACCTTTGTCTAGGCTTTGTAATTCGAATAGTTTGCCATTTATGCAAATATACTGTAGTTCGTCACCAGAAGCTTGAGCATACACCAAGACTTTTTGCTCGAACTCTAGTAATGCCTGATATATTTCAGGGTTTACTAAACCCAAGCAGTTGGCACTAATTATATCTAGTTTATTTAATTTTGGCAAATTACCGTTCTTTAATAAATTAATTAATCTTGATTCATCAGGTGCAATTCTTAATGTTTCTAAGTTTTGGCATTTGACAAGATGGTTATAGAATGAAGCCTCCTTCATTTGTAAATCAACATCAAACATTAGAGTTTCTTGTTTGATTTCAATAGAAAGATGTTTCAAAGTTTCTGTTTTATTCCATGAGGTTATACCTTTACTATAGTCATTATAATTCGTATCAAATGTGTTATTATGGCGTATAGTGAGGTCCAAGGACTCAAGTGATGCTAAATCTTTTAAAAAAATTGGTACGGTATCAGTGAATGCTTGACGAAAGTCAAGACGAAGATATTTTAAATTAGTTAAATGACTGGATAACTGATTTAAGAAACTTGGTAATAGGTTTTCACTTATTGATGCCGATGTGATGGGCAATGTCTGAAACTCACTCATATTTGACAATTTTAGTGTTCTTAAAGATCTCAAATTAGCAGTCTTAATCAACTCATCTGCATCTTGTGGTTGAATAATACAGTCATTCAAGGATAAGCTGGTTAAATTTGGCATCTTCCTCAAATTACTGGAGCAAATTGTAGGGATCACTGAAAGATCAAATTCAGGGAACATGGTCCCTCCGTTATTAACCAACTCATTCGCTATTATATTGGTCTCTCCCTTATAAGTTTCAGTACGTGACAAACTTAACGACCTCAACTGTGGGCCTAACATATCATGGTCACCACCTCCTATTAAATCATTCAATATCTTAGATAGCGTTTTGGAGTTGATAAATGGTTTAATTTCAAATTTTGTTAATTTTGTTAGATTGAACTTTAATTGTGATATTTTATTTGAATCATAGTTCAATAACTCATATAGATAATCAGTAAACCTTATATTAAGGCTTAATACCATCAAATTTTGTGGATTCTCCAAACAATTTAGAAATTCAAATCTAAAATTCCGATTCAGCCAAGTTAACTCTTGCAAATTGGTGATCATGCAGAAAAATTTCCTTATAGTATACTTAAACTCATGTTCATAAGTATTTATAGATTCAGGTAACTTTTTAACCGTCAATATCTTGATGTGAGGGGCATTTGAAATTGCTGGATTATTACAATGAAGTCTTATATAACTCTTCAAAAACTTCATGAAATTATACGAATTATTGATATAAGTACATGCTATATCGTACCAACTCCTGAATTCCCTATCGTATCGGGAATGCAGATAGGAAATCTCTTTGCTGAAATGGGTTATATCGCTATCAACAATTATATGCTGATATAATCTGGGAAGGACCAATAAGTACATTTTGCGATTGACCCTCATTAAATTTGAACTATCTTGTTGCAGAAGCTTATTAATGATACCATTATGGATTTCATATGGCAATGACTCAAACACTGGTTTGAAAGGTGCTCTGTCATCCCCACTAGTTCCGATCAACATTTCTTATAGTCTCTCAAAAAGGCATTCATTGACTAAAAGAAAAAGTAGTTGATTCATTTTAAATCGATCTTATCGCGATACATAAACCTAGATTTATTTACCTTACCGGTTGTCAAAACACAAAGAATCCGGTTGCTATTTGAATAATTACCTTTTACTACCATGGTTTTACTATCTTATGATTTCCTTTCTTACATTTATTCTCACTTGTCAAAGAGTGGAAAGATCTAGTGAATTTTTGAAATATGGGGAAGAAATTGAGACTTGTAGACGTAACTATATGTTCTGTAGAGTTGAAACAAAATATACTTTTATAGAGATCATTCAGACTATTCATCACCTACTCGAATTATTTGATTACTTGACTTATTCAATTAGTTGGCTTACTTGGTTAACTATGTAGATTCTTGCAAACCTGACAGATAAGGTGTACGGCTTTTCTACTGGCCCGATTTTGGACAAAATAAATGAAATAGCAGTTTGATCCTCAGCAATCATCTCCGTTATTAATCCAAACATCAATTAAATATTGGAGCTTTGAATTTTCAATTGGTGTTCAGTACAATCTGGCTAATTCATCTTATCAAGGGTTAAATATTAATCTAATATTTTTACCTGCTTGTGTATTTTTTTTGTGCGGTTGACGAATATAATTTTTACGATTAAACGACACGTCCGAATCAATTGGCATATTAAAGAGTGATTGATCTGGATATTGGATTATAATTTTGATAAAAGACCAAGCATGTCAGAAAGTCCAGAAGCACTAGATGCAAGGTTGACCAAGGAGGTGACTCTGTTATCCACGAAATTAGTTACGGCAGTTGCTAAACAATCTGAATTGGAAGAGAATGTATTACATTTACATAAGGAAAATACTAATTTAAAGAGCTCAGTGAATGAATTGAAATCATTTGAGAGTAAGTATTCCAATTTATTTCCCAAATATAATCAATTATATAAGGATTATCAACAATTGAAGGCACAAAAGGATTCCACCGAAACAGAAAATAAAAAATTACAAAGTGAAGTTGAAGATTTAAGTGAATCACTTTTCAATGAAGCAAATCAGATGGTCAGTGATGCTCTGAGAGAAACATATAACTTCAAGGTTAAAAATCGTAAACTATATGAAGAGATTGATGAAAAGAATGCTATAATTGATAACTTACAAGATCAATTAAAAGATTTGAAAAATTTATTTATTAAAATAGAAGATCAACAAAAACTTTTTCAATCTAACTCTAAATCTAATACGCCCAAATTAGATCTGTCACAATTTACTAATGATGAGATTTTGAAGGAAGATTATCAAAGTGACGATATTACCAATAATTCAGCAATTTTGACTTCGGGAGAAAATTCATTATATGTACAACAATTACAATCTATAATATATTCACCAACAGTTAAAGCCATCAGATTTGATTTGGCGATTTATCAACAAGACTTTAAATCATTTATTTATCAAATAATAAAACCTGATTTTACATTTGATTTAGTTAATTTGCAAAAATTAAAATTTTTCAAAAAAATTTGGCAAGAAGAATTAGAAACTAGTATTGGACAAGTACCAGTAATACCAACATCAAGTTTTATAAATCGTTGGCAAAAAGGGAAAAATTTTTGGAATTTATTAGTTGAAGGTAAAGCCATGATTCAACCAGTTAGTGGGATTAATGAAACTTTTAAATTAACATATAAGGGGAAAAACCGTAATTATAATGAAGTACCGGTTGCAGTTAAAGATCCATGTACATTTTGTGGAGAAAATAAAGATGACGTCTTAGAACATGCAAGATTATATACGTTAAAATTATTCAGTCCAATTCCAATTAATCAATCACCAAATAATTCCATTAATAATAATTCAGGAGGGACCACCAATATAAATGGAGAAAAACATGAAGTTATTGCTAATTATCCATTATGTAATTTTTGTCTCATCAAATTAAGAAATATTTGTGAATTTTTCGCCAAGTTAAGATTAATAAATCAAAATGTTTATAAATTAAAACAAAATAATTCATATGATGAATTTGCTCATAGTTCAAATTCAAATTTTCAATTTAAGAGAAATTCTGGTGGATTATCTGACTGGGAAAAACTTGGTAATAGAAGATCAAATACTTCACCCTCGTTATCGACTTCTAATGATTTGGATAAACTTTCACTTGAAAGTAAAGAAAACGGAGGAACTGTTCCAAAAGAAGCTAGGGGAATTGATAAACATCAAACCGGACCAACTGTTGATATGATTGAAGAATCAATTATAATGAAATTATATATCTTATTGATATTAATAAGGAATAAAATATATTGGAGTAAGATTGGATTTTGGGATAACGTTGACGATATTGAAGAATTGAATATTGATGAAATCCATTATGATGCTTTCAAAATCATCTTAGAAGAAGAAATCACTTTAAGACATGGGAAACAAATTCCTGCTCCGCCTAAAAAAGCTTATGGATCTCCAAGTGAAAAAGTCCCTGCTTCTCCAAGCGGAAAAGCCCCTGCTTCTCCAAGTGAAAAAGTCCCTGCTTCTCCAAGTGAAAACGTCCCTGCTTCTCCAAGTGAAAAAGCCCCTGCTTCTCCAAGTGATTTAAAATACAAAAAAGATAAGGATGATAGCGAAGACGAATTTGCCGATAGCTCAACTACATTTACTAAAGAAACACCCATAGATAACACAGTCACCCCGGGTGACAGTCCAGTAAAGAGCACTACAGAGGTCAGCTCAGATCACTCGCTTCCTGCAAATAGCATTGAATCAACCGATTCCACCGATAAAGATGAAGTACTTGAGGCTGACTCTGAAAATAAACTAACCAGGAAAAAAAGTAAGAGTAAACAGTTTAAAAAAAAAATGAACAACGATTTGAATGAAACCATGGAAATGCTCAGAGAAAGCATAGAACATTGATGTATAATTAACTCCCTAATACATTTATTAATACACAATAACATATTCCATATAATGTTTATGTATTACCTATGTTTAGGTAATATCTATCTTTATGTAATACATACAAAACAGAACGTAAGAATCTGCCAACCGACGCGCTTTGCATGCTGTCTAACTATTTATAGCCACGTCTAAAGGGCAATTATATCATAATAGCCAGCTGTAGCCATCCTCCTGATGTGCTTGTAAACCTCCAGCCGGCCTCACCACTTGTAGTTCAACTCATAAAAGTCCAATTGCACTTTAAGGGGAACACGCGAACAAGCGGGCAGTGTAGCAGTGGGTTTGGTGTAACAAAGAAATGGATTGATTGCATTGTTCAATCATGATGGGGACACATTCATCGTTGAATTGTTTGCAGTTTTCAGTCTGAATTCGTTTAAGTACAACTTGTTTTCTTGATCCGAATCTTGTGGACTACTGGTTTAATACGGCAACCGTCTGGTTGATGAGCGTGTTGATCTCATCGAACTTCGCTGGTTCACCGAGTCGCTGGGTACACCAAAGAGACTTACATTGGGCTCAAGCACCAAGCTGTGGGTGTGCGTGTCTTCGCTGAGCGGCGTAGCTGTAGTATAGCTGTAGCTCCAGTATAGCTCTAGCTATAGTGTAGCTAGTGGTGTAATTGTAGTAATTAGGCTGTATGCTGGTGCTTCATTTGTTTGTTTGTTTGAGGATTTTTTTGTTCTGGCACCCGCTTTAATTTGCCTTGTACTTTTTCCTCAGTGTGTTCTTTTGCTCAATTGTCGGTTATCTTCGTCAACTTTACTACTTCCAAGTGGGTTTTTTCCTTAGTTGAAGAGACACTTTCACCTTATCCCTCAAGAAACAGAGTCTTACATTCCATATCCATTTGTTCAGTGGTCCAATTATCCACTCCAGTCGCTTTCTTTTATTCTGTCGTTTTTTTTTTTTTTTTTTTGTCAAGTTTTTTTTGGTTTTTTTTTCTTTTTTGGTTTCATTCTTGTTATTACTATTGATTTATATTGGTTTTTGTTCTGTTTCATTCTTGTTATTTCATTTACTTGTTTCTGTTGTATGCTTGATCTAGTGAAATCAACTAGTTGAAGTCATACTGCTTTTGGTTTGTTGAATATCGGTTGGTAACTTTTATTTATTTATTACATTATTCTAGTATCCTTCTTTCATCGTGAGTGGGTGTTATAATTCAATTCTATCATATATTCATTAATCAGGGGATTACACTTTTCACTTGCTTACCGATTTACTGATTTTTAATTTTCTAACCGCCGACGCGTCTATAATCTTGTATATATTACTTCAAATATGAGACGCAGAAATGAAAATGGATCAGTTAACTCGGGTTCTTTGAATAACCAATTGGATGAAGATTTAAGGAATTCAAGAGCTTATGAATCTTATTATAAAAACCTGAATACTTCAACTTCTCCATCCAGATCTTCCACTACAAATAATAGAATGTCTTCAAGTTCGATATTCAGTATGAGGAAAAATAAAGAAAAGGAAAAGGATAAAACTAGCCCGCCTCAAGTAGATGCTTCGAGTGATAATTCTTCGGTTGATTCTTCAAGTATTTTATCCTCAAACACTCTTCATCATTCAAATTCAAATGTTTCATCTACTCCTAATAGAAGACATAATAGTTATGGTTCTAACCTAACAAAATCTTTAACCAATAAATCAACAACTTCTTCCCTAACCAATTCAAATATTATTCCAAGTCCTCAAATACAAAATTCAAATCATTCTCGTCATGCCTCAACTTATAGCTTTCAAAGTTCGTCCCTGAACAATCCTTATGATGTAAAAACTGCTAGAAGTCACCCTCATCCTCATACTTCAATATCTTCCTCTTCGTCCCGTAAACATTCTCAAACTCCTTTGATTTCAAATCCTTCGTTAATCATTTCAAATCCTTCTTTGAATGATTCAAATAATCAAACAATGTCAGGTGCCCATTTAGAAAAACCAAGTCTGAATTGGGAAATCGACCGTATGTTCAGAGAATTAATGGATAAAAGAGATTTTAAAGCTTTACCAGGCCCTGCTAAGCAAGAAATGATGAATTATGATTATGGTAAAAAATGGATGATGATTGAACAAGATTTTGCTAGTGAGTTTAGACGTCAACAACGTGAAGCTCATACTTCTCCCGGTTATTTCACCAAAAAATTGGTTTCTAAAAATATTACCGCTTCAGATTTAAATGAATTGGGAGTTTCAATCAGAACAGAAAGAATTGATTGGTTACGTAGTTTTATCCATGATTATCAAGGTATTGCTGCTTTATCTGCTTACTTAACTAAAGTTCAAGATCGCATCAATAAATCAGAAATTAATGATATTAATGATGATATCTTCGATAAAGAATTCAATACCTTGAAAGTTTTAAGATCAATCATGAATCAAAGAGTCGGTATGGATAGTATGGATACTGTTTCTGATTTACAGTTAAATGCTACTGCTAGATCTCTCTTATCTCCTCGTATCATAACCAGAAAAATCGCGGCTGAAACTTTAACTTTTATGGTTGCTTATTTCATAGATAATGACGTTGGTATTTATCATCGTACTTTAAGAGCTTTGGATTCCTTACCTCAAAGAGCTCATTTCGAATTTGATACTCATCATACTTCGACTGCTACTTCAACTTCTTCAAGAAAATTGGTGAGGAAACCTCCAACACCTGATACTTATAAAAGATTTGAATTATGGTTGAAATTAGTTGAAAAAACTCTCGATGGTAAAGGAAAATATGTAAATTCTTTAGTTGGTGCAAGTGAAGAACTAAAATCAGCTCATGTTGGTAGTGGACAAGGTCCAACTGAAAATCATTTGGTTGAATATTGTTTTGGTACAATGATGCTTATAAATACTATAATTGATAAGGGAGTTGATTTTAGAGTAAGAATTCAATTAAGAAGTCAATTCACAGCTGCCGGCTTACACAGACTATTGACTAAATTTCATGAATTAGGTTACGAAGCTTTAAATTCAGAAATTGAAAAATTTGAAGCACAAGCTGAAAATGATGCTTCAGAATTGAAAAGTACTGAAAAAATTGATTCCGATTTGAATTTTAATGATCCTGTTAATTTGGTTCAACATTTGTGGGAATCAGTTCGTGACAGTAATGCTCAGGGCTATTTCTTAAGTGCTATTCAAAATTTATATTTAACTCAATCGGAAAAACGAGATGATTCCGAAGAGATGACAAGAAGTGTTAGATTACTCAATGAATTAATACAAAATATTTCTTTGGTCCATACTACTAATGACGAGTCTGCAATTGGTATTGCTATGAACCGTTTAATGAGTAGTTTAACCACGGATGATTCATATCATAAGAGTTTAGATGAAGTTAAAAAGTTTAAGAAAATCGCTGATGAGGCTGTTGCAGAACGTGATGAAATGTCAAGACAATTATCTTTAGGTTCAGATGGATTGATTACAAGTCTTAATAATGATATTCGTGAACAAGAGACAGTTCTTCTAAGAACAAGAAGGATGAATGAAGAACTTCAGTTAGAATTAGCTGACTTGAAACGTAAACACCTTATCGAAAAGCAAGAGCAAGAAGTCGAAATGAGAGAATTATTAATTATGTTGAATAATAATGCCCAATTTGAACAAAAACGTAAAGATGGTAAAACAACTGTTCTGATTCAAACTACAAATGAAAAATTAATTAATAGGTTACAAAAACATATTCATAGAAGAAAAGCTGAAGCTAGATTGGATAATAGACAGTTAGGTACTCAAGTCGAACCAAGTTCAAGATTGAGACAATTGAGAGATCAAATGGCTGATATTGAAACAATGGCAAGAGAATTAGAAATGACAGATTTCGAAACCTATGTCGATCCTTCTATGAAATCTTCACCCCCTGACGTTGGTAATGAACCTGGTGCTTCAGAACCGGAAGCAGTTGAAACTGCCTCTGACTTTTCTGAAGATGATAAGCTTCTTGCGGAACCAGAAGAAGATGAAATTCCTATGGAACCTGTTCCTAAGGGTCCTCCAAGACCTTGTCGTGGTGATGATTTGGATAAATTAGATACCTTAAGAAAGAAATTATCCAGCTTACAAACCGAATCTAACGATATCATGAAATTCAACAACAGTGCAATGTTTAATAAACAGAAATTTTTAGCTATGGAAAGATTAAGAGAATTAGAAAATAACTTTAAAGACTTTAATATTGTTTTCGACTTCAAAGATGATCCTTCCAAGGTTGAGGTGTTGATGCCAACTATGTCTAATGAAGAGAATGTTGACCCAGCAATCAAATCTAAGATTCAAGAAGAATTGGAGGAAGTGGAAAGATTGAAAGCTGAATTAAAACGCCAATTATCTTCTATTGATAAATCTAAACCAAAGAGACAATCGAAGAATGTTATAGAGAAAATCGAAGCTAAATACATTCAAGGTAAGGTGGATCATGGTGCTGCTGATAGCCAGACTCCAAGAACTTATAAAACCAATCGAAAGACCACTATTGGTGGTATGGATCCAAAGTTTTTGAAGGAGTTAAATTCCAAGGTCAATCAAACAAGCCCTATTCCATCTGCTGCAGATGAAAGTCAAGACAGTGACAATTCTAAGTTTGAAGATTCTGTTGAAGAACAGGCGGTACCTGCATCGCCTAAGAAAGAACCCGAACAAAGTGGTCTGGCTCCTCCTGCACCACCACCTCCCCCTCCATTGCCATCACTTTTGGGAGGTCCTCAGGGAGCACCCGCTCCTCCACCACCACCACCTCCTCCTCCTCCTCCTCCATTGCCTCCATTATTGAAGGGTGGTGGTGCTCCTCCTCCTCCTCCATTACCTCCATCTTTAGGCGGTGCACCACCCCCACCGCCACCAGCACCACCTCTCCCTATCCCAGCAGCCAAACGCTCCATGTCTCCAATCGAAATTGCTCGCTCTCCAAGCCCATTCGACAATTACCCAAGACCAAAAAGAAAGTTGAAACAATTACATTGGGAGAAATTCGATGGTGCTGGCGGCAATTCATTTTGGTCGCAATCTGAAACCCGTTCCATTGCTTCTGACTTAATGACTAAAGGTGTTTTCGATGAAATTGAATTAATTTTTGCTGCCAAAGAGATCAAGAAATTGGCTACTAAGAGAAAAGAAGATATTGACAAATTGAGCTTTTTACCTCGTGATATTGCTCAACAATTCGGTATTAACTTACATTACTATAACCATTTGACTGATGAACAAGTAATTTCAAAAGTGTTAAGATGTGACAACGATGTCATTAATAATTCGGCTGTTTTAGAATTCTTTGGTAAAGAGGATATAGTTGAAATTCCAAATACATTGGCTAGAAATTTGGAGCCATATTCAACTGACTATAAAGGAGTTGTTACTAAGCCAGACAAAGATCCGAATGAATTGCAAAGACCAGATAGAATATATTTGGAGTTGGTTTATAACTTACAGCATTATTGGAAATCAAGAATTAGAGCTTTGACTATGGTCGCAAACTATGTGAAAGACTATGATGATTTGGTATCTAAGCTTAAAGCTATCGATGAGACTGTTGATGCTATAAGTAACTCCCAAAATTTGAGAAAAGTTTTCGAAATCATCTTGGCTGTTGGTAACTATATGAATGATACCACTAAACAAGCACAAGGATTTAAATTAAGTTCTTTGCAAAGATTAAGTTTTATGAAAGATGATAAAAACAGTATGACATTCTTACATTATGTTGAAAAGATTGTAAGAATTCAATATCCTGATTTATTAAAATTTATGGACGAATTAGCCAAATGCGTTCAAATTTCCAAATTTTCCATCGAAACAATATCAAGTGACTGCAGAGATTATGCTAAGTCCATTAAGAATGTTCAATCTTCTTATGATATTGGTAACTTGAGTGATTCGACCTCTTTCCATCCTAATGATAAAATCGGTAATGTTCTTAAACCGGCCTTGCCAAAGGCAAATAGAAAAGCTGAACTTTTGCTCGATCAAGCTAATTTAACCTTTGCTGAGTTTGACAAATTGATGAGATATTTTGGTGAAGACCCAACGGACTCTTTTGTTAGGAATTCATTTATAAGTAAGTTTGCTAATTTCATCAGCGATTTCAAGAGGGCTCAATCCGAGAACATTAAACGAGAAGAAGAGTTGAGGGTATATGAACAACGTAAGAAGTTATTAGAGGCCCCAAGAAAACCCAAGAAAGTTGATAATAATGATGATGAAGACGACGATAATGTCATGGATTCATTATTAGAGAAGTTAAAGGCAGCAGGTCCCGCTAAAGGTGAAGCTACATCAGCAAGAAAGAGAGCATTGATGAAAAAGCAATTATTGGAAAACCAACGAAAAGCTACAGCAAGTTCTAGTGCTGAGCAAGATGCTACCTCAACTGTTGAGCCAGAGGTTGAAGAGGAACCATCTCCTGTTGAAGAAACGTTTGCTGCTCCTCCCGCAGGCGAAAGTGCGAATACTGATACTACTTTGGTTCATGAGACGGATTCAACTGAACAAGATGCAGATGTTGGATCTAGAGCAAGATCTTTATTACAAGAATTAAGGAAAACCAATAACGGAAGCTCGGAGAGAGTCAGTGCGGCTGCCCAGTTCAGACAACAAAGGCTTAAACATAAACAGTCTAATTTAACTGCTAATAGTGATGTTGATATTTCAATGTCTTCAAATAATAAGAGCTCCCCTGAGAGTGATATCAGTGCTGTTGGTGGTGGTGCCAATGATGACGTGCTATCCGAACACTGATTTTTAACGACCATATGTAAATGAATATATATAGACTAATCTTACATTATTATTTATAATATTTACTCTTTATGCAAGGAGTTTTATTCATTCGACTTATATGCTTATATTTTCATTACGGGCCGTAAGTATTTCCTCTAGATCTAAATCTATGACAACACCTTTGTTCTCAGAATAATCAAAATATGGCCTATAAATAGGGCGAAATACTTTCCCTGTAACTTTATTATTGAAAGGTCTATCTAGTCTTTCGAGGAAGCGCTCTATCAGCCCATCGGTATTTTTTATTCCTAATGTCTTCACCAATTCTTCGATATCAGAACTTTCGTTGGATGATGGACGTATGGAAATAACTTCTCCGTTCACACCCACGCATATAATATTGAATAACGCAGCCTGGTCCATTTCACTGGTTTCAGGTTTTACCCAATAGCTATTGAACATTGAAGAGTAAACCCGCGGGATACTTGACAATCTGTAAGCGAACTTGCTAGGTAAAGTGGCTTTCTCAGTACTCAAAACAAATATCTGTGAATGCAATCTGTCAGCAACGATGATATCATCACCTAGTTTTGCTTGATTCAGTAAATACTTCGAGTCGGGGTCTTTTACGTACAGTAGAAAATCTTTCAGCTCTTCAGTTCCACAAAATTTACGTAAAATGATTGCTGAGTCTGAATTTGTTGTTACCAATAAACTATCAGTATCAGCGACGGACATAGAAGTGATTGCACTTCTGAAAGTGTGGATACAGTTAACTGGTCTAAGCTTTTTCTCGTTTGCATCGTAGCCAGTGGTATATAAACTTTCTCCACCAGAAAATAAAATTGTATCACCGATTTGCTGAATGTTACTTATAGGTTCCTTGTGCTCGAACGAATTTAGTTCAGTAACTTTGAGTATTGTGCCTCGGTCGTCCGGTGCTGGTACTTTTCCGACGTTTAGTATCTTGAAGGAACCGCTTGTCAGACCATAACGACATCCTAAAAGAAGCTTTTTCGAAACTTTCCCTCCTCTTATTATAGACCAAATACATACTGAAATCGGTTCTTCTTCTTTTTTAAAAATTTGGTCTGGCCTTAGATCTGGGTTAGACTTCATCATCAATTCTTTGTGTTGTATTGGCTTAAATGATTTTCGATCTATAAATTTTAACCGACTTCGAGTGTCTTTTGAAAGACATAATACAACAAAACAAGAGAGATAGGGCAAGTAAAACAATTTTTTGGCAGATTCCGCAATATTGACCTGTTTGACCACGGGACCTTGATTAAGATTTACTGAACCAATTGTTAGACCTTCATATCTGACGAATGCAAAGAGAACTTTTGATGTTTCCTCCAGCAGAATTAATGGAGCTGTGGTCATTATTGCACGGTCAGTCTTTTCTTCGAGATAAACTTTCAGGGGAAAACCAGAGTCATATACATTCACTATCCACAAGTTTCTGCAATTGATCATTAAAAAGTCCTCGCGTTTAGAAGTAAACTGAAGAGAAACGGGAGTAAGTCCTAATTTTAAGAACTTCTCACACTCAACTTCAAAAGAGCTATTTATTTTGAGAACGATGTAACAGCCGTCTTTAGTACCGATGTGAAGAGCGGATGTCTTCTTTAAAAACAACATATCATTGATAATGACATCTTGAAGTCCAGAATCAAAGTTATTATTGTTTGGAAAGAATGAATTTATGGAGATTTTGAAGGGGGGCATCGATTCCAAATAGTTCGTATTGTATATGAACAAATTACCATTATAATCTCCTACAAGAATAGAGATTACATCATCCACTTCAATGAGCTTGATGATTGTTGCTTGATATTCTATTGGGATTTTTGTAACAAATTTTGCAAATTCAAGCTCGTTAAATTCATCCTCCGCGTGAAATTGTGCATCCAATTCTATCAACTGAATTTCAAGTATACCATTATTATCAGTCAATAAGATTAAAGTAGAACTCAACTTATCAGCCGATATCACGTGGAAATTAGACAAATCTAAAGAGAACAGTCTGAACAAATCGGAAACTATAATCAAGCTTCTAGTAATCTGTAAAATATAGTTCTCATTGAGATTGTAGAATGCAAGTGTCAGTTCATCGCTTAAGATCTTTGGATCTTCGATTTCATATAAAATATCTTCAGAATTTGGTTGGTACTCGAGGGCTGCAGTTTCAAATGGTAATGAGCAAAAAAGAAAATTTCGACCTAGTAATGAAATATACCATATGTCAGTAGCCTTTCTTAATCTTTCGTAGGTTTTGCTTTTCCGACGAGCATTATAACCTTTCCTTAACTGGGTCAAACGAGTTCTTTTACCTGTTCCAGTAAGTGCCCATAGCTCTTTATCAGACGGGTTAGTCATTGAACGTGATTTGAATGAGTCAATAATCAGAATATCCAATATAGGAGTCCAATTCTTATAATCTGATATGAGCAGGGCTGTACTATACTTCACTTTTTGATTTTCTTCTAGAGTGCTTAGATACTCTTTATCGAAAAGCTCATTTACCATTAGGTCTCTATTAGACCCAGTATCACTTCCGAATATCAACCGATAATGCTTACCCAGTTTCTCCATGGTGAAAACTGATATTGGATCTGCAACCCTCACCACTGGAGAAACGGACAATTTATCATTATTCGTTATCATGACTGAATAAATGATACCATCATCGGTTGCTATTAACACATTATCAGATTTCTCATCATCTATTTGTAAAGTGTCTGGTATGTAAAAACTTGTAGGAAAACTTCCTCCAAAAGAAAAAGACTTGAAATCATACTCAGCTGAAGTTATATGGTGAATTGTGACAATAATTAGGTCATTTGGGGAAACAAATAAGAAGCTTGCATTATTCGCGAGCGGTATGATAAATATTGGGATAGGGAATGTATTAGGTAAAGGAAGCTTTGATTTTTCTAATGAATCAACTATGCTGTCAGACCAAGACCAAGAAAACAAATGCAATTCCAAACGACATGATTCAGAATATTGTAAAGACAAGAACATAAAACGGCTTTCAAGCACAGTTTTATCCAAAGGCTCAGCAAAACAGGACTGAATAATCACACCATCAACTTGTACATTAAAATGGGGTAAAAGCATAAGACCCGTATCGGTTTGTTGGCAATTGTATATCCGGAAAACGTCCGAGGCAGATGCAGAAACTATGGAAAGTCCTGAAGAATGAGCCGACAAATCAAATCCTGAATCACTCAAACAAGGATTTGAAGCAGAGCTAGAAGTGTCCCACCATTGGACAAGATAAGGTTTTAAGATATGACTAAGCTCAGGATCAATTGAGTCTCCCATATCGTGATTGTCCATGCTATAATTACGGGGCACGTTAAATATCCTTATCAAAAACATAAATCCTGATTTTATTGAAATCAATAAAGAATCTTCATTCACAATATCACCAAAATTGACTCCTCTAACAACACACGAGGATCTAACCGACGCATTCAACCCATACTCAACGTCATCAACCATTATTGAACTTGTTTTCACAATCACTTTTATCGGTATTAATTGTGGAGGCTCTTCTGCTGGTTTGTCTACTTCTTCCTTGTCTTGAGCTTCCATGAAAATATCATCGTCATCAAAGACATCTAACTGTGAGTCTTCTTCTGGTGGAATGAGTGTTTGATCTGCTTCATCATTAATTGAGTCTGAAGATAACCCACGGATCTTCTTATTGATACAAACCTTGAAATCAGGTATGATATTAGTTATTATTGGTGAATGCAAAAGTGTCTGCTTTATGTAGGTATCATTCCCCGTTGACTCGGAACCAAGATCAGAATAGTACGGGATGTTAGAGTACTCTTGCGAGTCTATTTCCATCATTCCTTCCACGCAATTTCTTCTTAATCCTTCAATCTCGTAGCTAAATCAATGATATATGGCCCTTTTCTAGTAGTATCGCTTTCTCTTTTTCTGAAAAAATGCCTAGGGAGCCCAACCTGCAAATTACCGGATGGAAATCTAACCTGCAAATTGTGGGTTTCGCTGCAAAAAATGGCCCTCCACAAAAACTAGCACTTCTAAAGATATATTTGCAGCTTATTTGCAACACGTCCTTACCAACGGAAAGCGTCCCCAACCAGGTCTGAGAATGAAGAGATTCAACTCTTATGAGATCACTGCAGTCGTGGCAGTTTCAGGTATACTTTTAGGGCTGGAGACACCCTCCATGACCTCGTTCATAAGTACTACACAGATGAAAGACTACTTTGGTTTGCTCAACCAATTAGACCAAGGAATTATCTTTTCGAGTAATGCTATTGGAGCAGTTGGTAATTATCACCAAAGAGTTTTTTTATTCTTCATGGGAAAGTTCATTGTCAGGACTTTTTTTTGAGATTATTATTCACAACATGCAAAATACTAACAAACCCAGCTGGGTGCTTTATATGTGGTTCACTAATTGAGTTGTTTGGATGTGTCATTTGCTTCCAGGTGGGAGCCATCTTCTGGTTGATTGGTACGATAATTGTCTTCTTCCTGCCTTATATTTACTTGGTTGCCCTTGGCCGTATTCTTAAAGGTATTACTATGGGGATAATTTCATCACTTGTTCCCGTGTATGTGCCTGAAGCAATCCCGATGCAAAAGAAAGGGTACTCGTTATCACTGATTCATTTATCGTCTACATTGGGTACTTTAGCCATTTATTATATTGGGTTTTTCTTTCGAAAAAAATTGAAAAACGAACTTTCATTTAAATTCACTTGGGCACTTGAAGCAGTACCGGCAATTGTTTTGAGCTTGTTGAGTTTTCTCTTACCGGAGTCTCCCAAATGGCTTGCCTCAAAGAACCGTTGGCAACAGGCTGCCAAAAACATTGACAGAATCCAAAGGTCAAATACGTATAAAAAAATTGAAAGAGCAACAAAGAATGACCGTGAATATGTTTTGGGTGCTTATACGTCTAGTTCCGAGTTTAAACGTTGTACTTATGCGGACTTATTCAAGAAGCAGTACCTCAGCTATACCCTTGTTGGTATCTTAACTCAGGGGTTCGTTCAAATGACTTGTGTCGATAGCTTAATGTATTTTTTTGATTATATTTGTGCTTCTTGCGGATTAAGAAGTGACCATAAAGTATTCGTGGTATCAGCCCAGTATGCAACTCTTGCCCTATTCACGTTATTTCCAGCTGCATTGCTAGATGGTTGCAGAAGAAAAGACTCGCTTACTTTTGGAATGATTATTCTTTCAATTTCCTTTTTTTGTCTAGGTTTGGTGTTTTCATTATTTGCATATTCTAATTCTGCTTTCAGTCTTCCAAACTCACCCATACAATGGGAAGTTCGTGAAGAGCCAGCATCGATTGTTCTTGGTTTATTTTTATTTGTCGTTGCAATATATGGTTCTTTCATTGTTTCTGTTAGTTGGTTATACGTTGGAGAGATATTCCCCGGCCCTTCAAGACCTAAAGGGACGTCTTTATGTATGTGCACTTCTTGGATTATCAAAGCGATACTGACGCTTTCTCTTCCATACTCTTTCCGAATTCTTAAATACTGGACATTTTTCCCAATTTCTCTTTCATGTCTTATAGGAGGCCTAGTAATTTCAAGGTTCCCTGAAACCAGAGACTTACTTGACATACGACTCCAAGCTCTAGAGAAAAAGCAAAGCGTGGAAGTGACACTAGGTAATTCCCATAAGGACCCAAGAGGCAACGCCAAACCAAAATTGATTGAGCATCGAGCCTATAGTGCTTTTTCCAACCAACTACCCTCTCCAGTGGGACTAACTAACAGCTGGGAAATGTCCAAGGTTGTTTCTAGCTCTCCAAAAGCTCAAACGACAGATAGCCTTTCAATTAAAAAGAACAGCTCAAGCTCTGATTTTAACTCTTTAATATCAGACTCAAAAAAGGAAGTTGTAAAATCGAGGAAAAGGGGACGTCCGACAAGCATAGAGCTGCTAGACTACGACAAGGAGTATGCGAAAAGAAAGATACAGAGTCGAAGAAGAAACTCCCTGGTCATCGACGAGGTTATTGAAGTTTATACTGCACAAGAAACCCCTGAAACCGAAGAAGAGGCTCTATCGCAAGGAGACGAAGATTCGTATTACTCCAACGACTGGTTCGAGCAGGAGCGTCCCGAGCTTGAACTGGTCTCTGCAAAGACCATTCAGGACTTCAAATCCCCAGAAACGACTATTACGGCTTCTACAACATCAGGAAGTGCTGCTGCAACACCTGGGGAACCTCTCGAAGCCACTAATTTTTTGAATTTTGACACCTTGAGAATAGCACTGAAATCTTTCTACAGAGCAGCCCAGAATCCCAACCAAACCAAATCTAAAATAAACAGAAAGAAGGGATCGGTATGGAATGGCAATCCAAAGTCTTCCCTTGATTCTTGATAGTTGCAAAAGAATGCACCCGTACACCACTTGGTTTTGGCATTACCCGCACACAATCTGTCGTTTTTTTCTTTTTCGTTTTGGGATTCGAAAGGACTAAGAATACTCTATAGATAAATAGTGAATCAATATTAATAACATATACGAACAGAGTATGTCGAACGCGTACAAAGAGGTCGGAGGAGCAGACCCGCAGGGAGAGTCATTGATTGACCAAAACGATGGGTATTTCATTGAGCCTGATAATGCGGAGGCCAGAAACCCAGTACCAAGCCAGACCAACCATCAGAATAACAGTACAGAACCAGAAGTTATCCAACCACAGATTCCAATTGACCCATCTAAGTCACACATGTTTCAAATCAGTTTCTACAGAAAGTTCTTCGACCTAGATTCGGAGCAATTCTTCACTAAAATACAGATGGCACTCAATCCGTTGAGCAATTCGTTTTCGCCAACGAATAGCGATAACGACGAATCGACTGAATTATATGGATTCATCTGGATCACCGGAACCTTGATATTTTTGATGTTTGTGAGTGCAACAGGATCCAACCTTCTATCAGGATGGCTTCACTCTGGTAAAGAGGCCAAATATAATTATAGTTTTGAACTACTTACACAATCAATTACCTTGTTTTACGGCTATAACTTACTAGTTCCTGTTTTACTATTTGCATTCACCACTTGGATCTTAAAATTCCCAGAAAGACTTTCATTAACAAAAGTAATCTCAATTTATGGATACACCAATGTTTTATGGTTCCCAATCACAATTGTCAATTTTTTGATTGTCTTATTCATAAGCAACGAAAAGCATCATCTCATTTTGAATATGCTTGAATGGGTCATAGTGGTCTTGAGTGGGGCAATTACTGGCTTGAGTAATATCAGCAAAATTAGCCCTATAGTTAAAAAGAATACTTTGCTTTTAGCTGAAGGTAATACCGAGCAGTCAAATAGACAGCATATCACTGTCTTATTGGCCTTGGGCGTGACCCATTTACTTTTCACCGTCTTGGTTAAAATAACTTTCTTTGGAATAAAAGTATAGATGTCTAGAGTCAATAAAATCATGTATTCAATGTCTTTTTGCAGTAGAAGACCGTCCTTTTGGCAGCCTCGACAAGCCCTAAAGATTTGGGGTCGTGCGCCGCGGGATTGGAGTTTCTACTGCGATTTGCCTCGAAAAAATTTTCATTTAAATTATAAAAAAGGAACAACTGCTTCTCTTTTTACCAGTACAGCTTTTTGAAGAGTTAAGCACGAGGAGATCGAGCCTGATGAATCAGGGCTATAAAGAGGATTAATGAAGGGTATGTTTATTTTGCATGAAACCATTCGTGGAATCTGGTCTTGATCTGTTTTACTGGCGGTGATTATTTGCATTAAACCAATTGTTCCAACTGAATTATCCGGGTTGACAACAGCATTTATCGTTAAGTTTCAGCCTTGTATGAGCCTATCAGAACAATCAGGATCAATCCATGATTGATTTGTCCGAGTTTAAATACTAACAATTGTTCTAGGTATGTTTTTTTTTTCTAAAAATTTTCAGGTGAATGAAAGTTATCACGGATTCTAAATGAGGATACTTGTCGACCGGGCGGACATATTTAACCTTATTTGTCCCTTTCTTGTACAATATGGGAAGGAGTCGCATCTCTGTGTACAAATTTTATGAGATGTTGATGAATAAGAGGTGATGAAAGGTCGTTTGCTGATGCTCGAATCCGTAGACATTTCGTACTTGATAGGTTGGAGTTAAGTCAGTGACTAACTGGTTTTAGGCTTTATTTATTCTTTTGTATAGTGTTGAGCTTTCCACAGCTTGATATACCTTGAACTTGATGTTAATGTGCTCTTTTCAATGATGATTTTTTTATATTCACACTGTACGAGAAGTTTCTGCTTCACTGACTACATAAACAAAAAACTGATTTAATGACTCTGATGATAAAGACACATTCAATAGGCTTGTTTCAAGATACATAGACGCGTAATAAACATTCATTGGTCCTTAAGTTATTCTAGTGTAGTAAATTGATTTGTAGAATCAGATGGTTTGTACGGAAGTTTTTTTGTTGATGGTGCTCTTTTTCACTGTAAAATGAGAAGACTCTTCCACTAAAAAAATCAAGAGGACTTGAAAAGATTACTACTTGAAAAGATTACTATCAGACGATATTCACAGATCAAGAAGCCTTGACATTGAGTCCAATTAACTCTCTCACAGCCTCAAAATACTTTCAGGATTTTTTTCCCCGTGGCCAGTCTTTAATTTTCTTTAGACAGAAGAGCTAAATCATTTTTCATTCTGCAGATGGCCATTCGATTTCTGCAAACGAAGACTTCGGGAAGTGGACCACTTCTACCACTTCTACCGTGGAGATTGGTTCAAACATATTCCTCAAGCTCTCATATAATATCTCTTCGAGCTTTACATATTCCAAGTGCATCTCCATCATATAAAAAAATCACCTCATTGCATATACGGCCTTTGATCTTTAAAAGATTCATCATGTATGAAGGCCTTCCCAAAGTAGAACCCAGACGACCAATTCAGTTCACGTCAAAGCCTTCCTTAAGGATCGAGCATAGATACACTTTAGTTCAAAATATACTTCACGATGAATACGTGCTAGAGTCATACTTAAATTTTTTGGAAACAGTTCATACCACTAAAGCAAATATTGACATTGTCGGTACCAACTTTAGAAATGCATTGGAAATAGCAAGCCAATACCCAACCCCAGAAGTTAAATCCTTACTCTTTAATACTTGGTATCAAGTGTTTTTACGTTCTGGTTCCAAACAAGACACTTTCAAAATCATCCAATTGAAAAACGAGCTTTTGCTGAATAAGGACCGTTTCATTCATTTCATGATGAATGAAAGGGAATATAATTCATATGAAAAGTTGATATTACCATTATTATCTTCCGAAAATTCGAGTATTGAAAAATCTTACGCAGATATTTTGGCCCAAACTATGCGATTGGATACTGATAGTGTGGGAGGATTGATTTTTGATAGAGAAAGAATGATCCTTTATTTGAAGAAATCTTCGGTATCTTTACCGGATAAAAGACGCTTTTTAGATATTTTTGCTCGTAAAGGTCTTCTTCATTCCTCAGATATAGATGACTCCTATTATATAATAAGAAGTTTCTTCGATTTATTAAGATTTGTCGGTGATGAACATCTTGATTTTACCACCCCAAAATATAATGTTTATAAAACTTCCTTACAATTAATAGCTGAACTGCCTTCAGGTATAGAAATCGAGGAACATGTCACCAAGTTAAAACAGATTATCGAATCACTCTATGATTCATCCAGATATCGTAATTTTTTAACGTCAACAATGTCTGCATTAATAATACCTAGTCTCACTCTCCATTATTGGGAACACAAATATAGATTACATCGCTTGCTCGAAGGAGAGTCGGATGTTTTGAATTATAAAGATCTCAAATACGGTATGAACGCTCTTAGGAAACAGAAGAAGTATGAGGATGTTTTGAAACTTTACAAGAACTTTCCCACACTTCATCATGACGATCAAATTGAAATTTTGTTACAGGTTAGTGAAGAATTCAAAGATTGGAAATTGCTTCAACAGCAATTTGAGGAAATGTACGGAAGAGGACAACTACCGTTCGTTAACCATTATGCTATTGTCATGAATGGTATTGCCTCTATTGGTGCACGAGAGCAAATTGAAAAATTATACCATCAGTTAATGAAACGTAAAATTAAGCCAACTCCTGCAATTTTTGCTGCTTTGATAAATTCTAATGTATTTCATGATGATGAAGAAAAGGCAACTTACTGGTTTAATCAATATCAGCAAAATGTTCAAGATGAACAGAATAATGCATCACTGGCGTATCTATACTCGTTACTATTCAAGCTAAAATTTAAATCCACAAATGTCAATGGGGCCCTTTCTTTATTCACCAGCGCTCTCGATATTCAAGATAGAACAGGCTCACAACTCATAGATTCAGATTTAGTGGCCCAATTGATCAAATATCTTAACGATAACTACGCTTTGAGGGACATTGAGCATATATTCAAATTGGCAAAAGAACGAGATATGGATAGCAAGGAAGTTTATATTGCATTAACTCAAGCTTATATACGGTTTGAAGAATTTGAGAGAGCTGAGTGGGCCGTGCATGAAGGCCAGTCAGTATCAGATGTTCCATTCAGGGGTTCTGATATCTATACCCTTCAATTGAGAAATTATAGACATTGGTATAAAGCTTCACTTGACCCAAATATGAAAGATTTTGTACACGAGAAAGCCTGGCAGATAGTCTATTTAGCTGAAAAACACGAAATGAGTAGGAAGTATCTGGCAGGGCTTTATTCCGAGCTCATTAGGTTTCACATTCGATCAGATTTTGACAAAGCTTTAGAAGTCCTCGATGAGGTTAAGAAACAGAAAATTTTAGAGGAAGGGCACTTTATTCCTTTCTTATCACATTATTCAAAATTAGATAATTTCGAAGGATACCACCAAATAATGGATTCTTATCGTGAAATGGCGTCTCTCAGACTTAAGATTACTACCCTGACATACTACTACCTTATTCAATCCTTAATACATTTTGATAAGATCAGAGGAGAACGTTCCTCTTTTAAGTTATTAAGTTCAATATTCGAATTGAATGGTTTAACCATAGATGAGACGGATAAGCCATCTGCTTCAGAATCTAATTTTAAAAATGAAGCTCCAAACTTGTGCAGAATTGTCTGCAGATTTGTCCTATCTGATGTTAAGAATCTGTATATGTCCAATAGTCAACTCGTGAATCATTTCCTAGATCAACTAAAAGTAAAACTTGGGTCAAATCTACCTATTAATTTAAGAATAGCGATTTATCAAGAAATGTCTAGACTATATGTCTCCCAAGGTAATCTTGCTTTAGCCGAGAGATTAATTGATAGTGGGCTCAATGATATTGAAAAAATACTGAGGACTTATGTCGAAAATCACCCATTTTCTCAAAAGGAACTTATAGTAATTCCATTTGGACTTCAAAAACCTTATCGAGACTTAGTAAAATTCAAATTTATTTGCATTGGCCATAACAGTGAAGGGCCAGCTAATTATTTGACGGTATACAATAATTCAAATATGAATAATGTGAGATTAACGGGTGAGCAATACAGAATCATAATTAAAAATATTCTTCTTCTCCCTAACGAAGAGCTGATTCCTATTGTTCTTGATATTTGTGAAAAATATTTAGTCAGAGGTAGTATGATTGAACGTAATCTTCACAAACATTTGCAATATATGTATAAACTTATCCTAACCTATGCATCCAGACATGACAATCACGAATTTCTCTCAAAATCTTTTGATATATTTAGCAGATTTTACGATGCCGATATCAATGTCCTTCGAAATAGATGGCCAGGTGGTGATATCAGAGCTTTTATCAATAGAAAATTGGATGAGTTTAATCACACATGGCACAGACGTGGATGGACTCTCGAGAAAGTAATGAATTCTCCAATCAAATTTTTCAACCCAGAACAAAGTATATACTCAAGTAACAAGCTTGATTCTGGATTAGCAAACCGCATACTCAAAGAGGTTAAAAGGTACTGCAGAGGTAACAAAATGAGGGCCTTCGAACTAATGGATGACTTTCCTGATACGATGGATTTCTTGCTATACGATCAAATATCGAGATTTCGTTATCGTTTATTCCGCAAAGAGATAGATAAGATAATATCACCTCCAGATACTAAAGAAAACTTGAAGGATCGTGCAATGCGTACATTCGAAGCTCTCTCTATTGCAAAGGATGATCCTAACATAAGATAATTTTACGATTTTCGCCTGTTTGCTTCTACTTGTCCTGGTTACAAGCTTCGGGTCAATGGTCTTACAGATTTATGATACTACAATATGTCATTTCCTTTCAAAATGGAAGAACTTATTTCAAACTTTAACGAACTGTCATTAAAAATTTCCTTGTAAATATATTTGTATATATAAACTTTATTCATTAATTCTTATCTTTTTTTTTATCTTGTATTTCAGCGAACTTAAAGGTTTCTTCTGTTTGAGTTTCACCAAAAAGCAAAGGACCAATATGAGGTTGTATATTCCATTCCAATTTAACGATCGCGTCTCTTCCTCTGAAAGACTTTTCGATATCCCAAACTGAATACTTGGATCTTTGATTTTTCAACAGGATTTTTGCATCTTCTGGTTTGGTGATGATTTTATCCCAATAGGTGACCTTATTTGACGAACCTTCACTTTTACCTGGATATTCAGCAGTTAAATATATGAAAACTTGTTTGGTATTCCAATTGAATAATGGGGTCAAATCAGCATCTATGTCGAACTGTATTTTCGAGTTTTCCTTTGGTTTTCTATTGACAGACCCGTAATTGAAAGAGTTTTTAACCAGGGCAGTTGGCTTTATATTTGACACACTAGTGGAATTTATTGACCAAACATCAGTTGAATATAATTGTAGTAAGGTTGTGACTATAACTAATGCAGATAAAATTACACTTGATGTAAGTGCTTGGTTAGCAACTGCTTGGAATCTACTTACTATATTAAACATTTTGGCCAATTCCTTTCTAATTGATATATTTCGGAAGAAGCACTTAATCTGAAAAAAAGTTAAGTTGCGTGTTCGCTTTGAGAAACAGGGTAAATGTCGCAGTTGTTAAAATGTCGGAAAACATGTTACAAATATGTCGCGTTCTTTTTTGCAATAAGAATTAGCTTAACTATTTACTGTTAGAATTATATAATTAAAGAAATGAAAATATATGAAAATTAAGGAAATGATGAAACTTAATTTTTATTTTCTAATTTCAAATACTCTTGGTAGAGTTTTTCTTGTTGTTGATATTGTTTGGTTAATCTTTTTCTCATACTCTTGGTAACTTCTTCACCTTTGCTGTCCTTGGTTGGAATACCTTGGTCATCCCATTCGGAGTATAAAGACGTATCTTTGAATAAGTCTTGAGGGTTAACTTTCATTTTTTCTAATTTTTCTTGTTCCTTTTTAGCATTAGCTAAGGCTTGTTCCTCTTTTTTCTTTTGCTTTTCGATTAAAGCTTGTTCTTTTGCCTTTTGTTGGTTGATTAATTGTTCTTGCTCTTGGGGGTTCAAGAATTTAACCAAAGCTGAACCGTTAGGTCTATCATCTAAAGAAACGCCTAAATTAACCAAATCAGATCTAAGAGAATCACAAGCATCAAGGAAGTCACTGTATTGGGACTTATTAATTGCCGAATTACGAATAGAATCACGGAACTGTGCTAAGGCTTTAACATAAGGTAAAGCAACATCTTCTTTAGAGGATGAAGAATCACCTTCGGTAGTAGAATCCAACCAGCCTAATTTATCAGATCTAGCATCAAAACCCAAAATATCCAAAATTTTGACGATCCATCTAGTGATTTGAAGTAAAGAATCAATTCTTAATTCAGTTTCACCAGAAGAAGTTAATTGGATATAGTTATTTGATTTAGAGACTAAATCTTGAATTATTCTTAAAACCTGAGGACTTGATAAATTATCACAAAAGGCGGAGTGAACATCAGTCTGGGCTTGTTTTAAGCTTTGTAATAAATCTCTTTCGTGCTGAGATATTTTTTTAGAAGGATTAGTACCATCGATGGAAATTTTATGTTTAACATCATTATTTAAGGCACGAACATTGGTGAAGAATTTCGAAAGGGTAGATTCATAAGTTTTGACTTCTTGAATCAAACTATCTTTGAAGTCGATTGGTTTATCCCAGTAACTTAATGCAAAAACCAATCTTAATTGTCTACTTGAAAAGTCTTTCAAAGCTTGTTCAATGGTGATGAAGTTTTTCAAAGATTTTGACATTTTTTGACCTTGAATGTGTAAATGACCATTATGCAAGAAATAGTTAACCCATTGTTTATTATTATAATAAGCTTCCGATTGGGCTAATTCATTATCATGATGGGGGAAACATAAATCCACACCACCAGAATGAATATCCATAGTTTCGCCCGTGATATCGGAAGCCATCACCGAACATTCGATATGCCAACCCGGTCTACCATCACCCCATTTCGAAGGCCAAGAGGGTTCACCAGGTTTTGAACCTTTCCATAAAGCAAAATCAGCAGTAGATTTTTTAGAAGATTGACCAGTTGATAAAGAACCTTCACCATCATTAATTAATTCTAAAGAACCTTTATTCCAAGGTTGTAATTTAGCATAATCATGATTTGGATCATTTTCGAATTTGAAAGTATCGAAATAGACTGAACCATCATTAGTGGAATAAGCATAACCATTTTCAATGATTTTATCAACAAAATCAATGATATTTGGAATATATTCACTGACTCTAGTAGTAATTGAAGAAGGTAAAACATTCAATTTGGACATATCTTCATTGAATTTGTTTTCCCAATAGGAAGGAAGTTTTCTAAAGATAGAAGGATCATTAACTGTTGAACCGAATTCTTTATCTAAACTTGGCATTGAAATTTCTTTAATATTTTGTAAGAAATCAATGATTGGCACATTCTTAGCATTATCATCAAAGATGGTTTGATGAGCCAACTTGGAAGCTTTAAGATACATTGGGAATTTGGGATTTAGTTGAGTTTCTTGTTCAGTGTTAACCTGATTGATCCAATCTATAAAATCTTGATCTTGATTAAATTGGGGTAAATTTTTAGAAATATAATCAGAAAGATGTTTTTTAGAAACCTCTACCAACTCATCATTAACTTTTTCATAAACGTTTGATATTTTCTGTTCAAATAAGTATTCTTGACGAGCGGCAATGATAATTTTATCATCGATATCAGTAACGTTTTGAATAAAGTTAATATTATACCCAAAGTAATCCTGTAATATTCTTCTACAGATATCAGTGGATACGTAGTTTCTTGCATGTCCCATATGGGAATGGTCGTAAACGGTTGGTCCACAACAATACCAGTTTATATGCTTTGTAGTAATTGGAATAAACTCATTTTTAGTCCGAGTCAACGAATTGTAGAGTCTTAATTTGGGCTCCTCCTTACCCACGGGCTTGATCCAATCGGGTTGCTGAACTTTGGTCGAAGACATTCTGAACGGTATTTTCCTCAAACAACTTATACGGGATCTATACATACACCTTTGTTAGTCCTTGATGGTGGGAATGCCATACTAAATTTTCATTTTTCATCACCTTGAGTCCCCCTGGTGTACCAACCTTTTTTAGAAAAATATTGGTGCATGGGCCTTTTTTGAGCCAGTGCGCGGGCTCCAAAACCTGCGCAGGAGAAAAACAAAAACAAAAACAAAAACAAATTATAAAATGTACGGGTCTACACAAATGTACGGATCTAAACTACAGTTCAGCACATCACTTTCTTATAGCTATATTAATCGTTAGTACTGCAATAGAGAAAACCAATTGGTCCCGGTCAGATAGTAGGTTGGTCGCATAGCATGGCCGGCCCTATATGAAACTAGGCGTGTTTCAGGCCCACCACTCTAGAACGCAAATTATAAGTCATCATAGAAGGATCCACTGAATTGAAACATACCTTTCAATGAATGCTGGGGGAAAAGGAAGAAACAAGTGAAGTCAAAATCGCAAACAGCACTGAAAATTTACTGGCAAGAGAAAACCGAGACGCTTTGGTCCCGGTGACGCCAGGGCAGCAGCCCTAGAGCGCCAGGGTGCGCGCACGTGCCGGCCTAGTCGGGAAGACGAGTTTAGTGAGGATGAAAATTTTCCATCGAGGCACAAAAACAGCGATGTCTAGAGCGCACCCAAAGCGAAAAATCTCAAGAACGGTATCATTAGAAAAAAAAGTAGAAAAAAATTTCGACCTACTTTACTTACATTATCATAGTTAGTTCATCTAATCAATATAGTAATCAAATATGTCTTCATACTCTACTGTTAAAGCTGCTAACTGGAGATTCGTCGAAGTTGGTCGTGTTGTTTTAGTTAACAACAAAGACTTAGCTACCGTTGTTGAAATCATTGATCAAAAAAGAGTATGTATAAAATGAAGTTATGAATAAGGATGTGGAGGTGGATAGTAGAATGAGACAAGAAGAACGAATGAGAGAAGAGTGAAGAGTGAAGAGTGAGTGAAGAGTGAAGAGTGAGTGAAGAGTGAAGAGTGAAGAGTGAAGAGTGAAGAGTTAATATGAAGAGTGTAAAATAAAGGAGATGACTGAATGAAGAAAGGAAGATGAAGAAAAATACCCTTGCATATCCGGCTTATTCTTATACTTTTAAAGTGGAATACTAACGTTTTATTTAGGTTTTAATTGATGGTCCAAAAATCCAAAGACAAAACATCCAATTAGGTAAAGTTGTCTTAACCCCAATTGTCTTACCAAACTTACCAAGAGGTGCCAGAACTGCCACCGTTACCAAAAAATGGGCTGCTGCTGAAGTTGATGCTAAATGGTCTAAAACCGCTTGGTCCAAGAAATTAGATCAAAAACAAAAGAGAGCTCAATTAACTGATTTCGAAAGATTCCAAGTTTTAGTCTTAAAGAAACAAAGAAGATATGCTGTTAAAAAAGCTGTCGCTAAAGCTTAAATAAACATTATAAATTATTAAATAAAATTAATCTTTATAAAAAATACATTAAAAAAGAAAAAGGATAAAAAAAGAAAAACCTCTTAATATATATTAGTATCTGTTATTTCTTTTCAATTTTCCTTATGTATCTTTAGTTTTTCCATTTCAGGGTATCTTATTTAGGTTTTTCCCATTTATCTCTTTGTATTTTTTAATGGGTATTCTTTTCTTTCTAGTTTTTTAATGTTTACGTTACCATAATTTGTATAAAATCAATATTCTACCCTTTTACCCCAGGATTAACTATTGTAGATCATCTTTTATTATTTTTTTTTTTTTCTATATACAAGTTTCTAATCATCTATTTACTTTCTCTTTTCAGCTTCCGCCTTTTCATAATCGGCAATTAACTGTTTCTGTAATTGTGGTGAACATTGGGCATATTTTAGAAATTCTAAGGTAAATTCACCTTTACCTTGAGTACATGCTCTTAAGGAAGTTGAAAATCCAAACATTGAATTCAAAGAACATTCGGCATTAATACTAAATTCATCTTGATTATTAACGGTTTCATTAATCATCCCTCCTAATTTAGTAACTAATCCAACAACTTGTCCTTGAAATTCATTTGGTGCAGTTATATCAACATTCATAATCGGTTCTAAAATAACTGGTTTGGCATTTAAGAACCCTTGTCTAAAAGCTCCTTTGGATGCGGTTCTAAATGATAATTCGGATGAATCAACCATATGGGTTTGACCATCGTTAACATGCATATGAACCCCTAAAACTCTATGTCCAATTAATGGCCCTTTCTCTAAAGAATCTTCAAAACCTTTTGAACAAGCAAGTAAAAATTTTTCTGGAATTTTACCTCCAACAATACTTTGACTAAATTTATTTTCATTTTCAATTGGAGTAAAATCACCAATTACTCTACCATATTGACCAGCACCACCACTTTGTTTTTTATGAGTATAATCAAATGTGGTTGGAGCAGTAATGGTTTCACGATATGCAACTTGTGGCTTACCAGTAACACAATCAATATTATATTCACGTCTCATTCTTTCAATATAAATTTCTAAATGTAATTCACCCATACCTGAAATAACAGTTTCTTTTGATTCTTTATCAAATGTAACTCTAAAAGTTGGATCTTCTTTTTGAAATCTATTCATGGCCTTTGATAATGATCCATTATCTTTTGATTTTGGATGAATTGATAATGATATAACTGCATCCGGAACAAACATCGAACTCATTGTAATTGCACGATTAGAATTTTGCCCAATAAATGTATCTCCTGAAGCACAATCAATACCAAAAGTTGCGCAAATTTCACCAGCTCCAACTTCCTCAACATCTTCCATATCATTTGAATGCATTCTAACTAATCTTGCAACTTTAACTTTTTTACCAGATTTAAGATGATTAATATAATTACCCTTCTTCAATTTACCTTGATAAACCCTAATATAAGTTAATTGTCCAAATTTACCTTCTTCTAATTTAAATGCTAAACCAACAAAATCTTCAGTACTTGATGGAATTAAGTTAATATGTTTTTCTTCTCCTTTAATAAGTTCTAACCCAGTATTTAAAATTTCATTTGGTTGAGGTAAATAATCAACAACTGCATCTAAAACTGGTTGAATACCAGTGTTAGCTAAGGCAGATCCCATTAAAACTGGAGTGAATTTTCTAGCAATAGTGGCTCTTCTAATTGCACCTTTAATTTGTTCAACATTTGGTTCTTCACCTTCCAAATATATATCAGCAATTTCTTCATCAACATCAGCTAAAGTTTCAATTAATAGAGCTCTTTTTTCTTCAACAAGATCAACTAAATCAGCTGGAATATTAGTATCAGCTCTTAATATTTCACCTTGAGAACCTTCATTATATAAAGCAACACGATCAATGATATTAACAACCCCTTTCAATTCTGATTCGGATCCAATTGGAACTTGAATGGCAGCTGCAGGAGTCTTCAATTTTTGATTAATTTGTTCGATAGCTCTAAATGGATTAGCACCCATTCTATCCATTTTATTAACAAAAGTAATTCTTGGAACATTATAACGACGCATTTGACGATCAACAGTAACAGTTTGGGATTGCACACCGGAAACTGCACAAACAACTAAAACAGCCCCATCTAAAACTCTTAATGCTCTTTCGACTTCAATAGTAAAATCAATATGACCTGGAGTATCAATTAAATTAAAATGATAATCTTTATCATCTTTTTCCCAAGAACAATAAGTTGCAGCAGATTGAATAGTAATACCTTTTTCTCTTTCTAAATCCATATGATCCATCTTAGCACCAACACCATCACGACCTCTAACATCATGAATAGCTTTAATTCTACCAGTATAATATAAAACACGTTCAGTGAAAGTAGTTTTACCAGAATCAATATGAGCAGAAATACCAATATTTCTTAATCTAGTGGCATTTGATTTATCAGTTTCACTGATGTAGTTATTGATCTTATCAATGACAACTTTTTCTTCTTCATAAGTTTCTGGAATTTTGGTAAGTTCATTAATCAGATCAGCATCTTCTCTGTTAATTCTAGCTTGATGAAATGATCTTGCACCGAATGAGCTACTACGAATGGAAAACCCCAACGGTGAGACACCCTGTTTAACAGTGGCAACCCCTTGGGTAATACCACGTAAGAATCTAGACATCTTCCTTGTTAACTCAAAAGCTTTTGGTTATTGGATTCAATAATTTTTCATTCGATGAATTTTTTTGTTTTTTTCTCGGTTGAATTTTTCAAGTTGGGATATGTCCTGCATGAAATCTTTTGGCTTACTTTTTCAATATCTGATTTGATGCGATTCAATGGTTTCCTAGGTTTTGATAAGAGTAGATGGATATGTATAGTGATTACTTCTGTTTGGAATTCAGTGTGTAGGATGAGATGAGCTAGTTCTGGCTCCAGTTAGAATAGGAGTTGAGTTCAAACTGGGTGGGTAGGAAAGAAATGGAGCAATAACTTTGGCTGCAACTTTTGATAAAGATTGAAGCTACTTGAACAATTCAGATATTTATTCTTTCCTATGCATTTCCGTTGATGTAGAGAAGGGGTAATGACTATATTCGTGTAGTTCGGGCATAATTAGAAAAAATGGGATAGGTCATGTTATGAAGCAATTTTGTTGATAATTGCCAAAAATTGATGGAAATCAAATTAAAACGAAACTATGAATTTAAATACATAAAATAAATATATAAGAATGAATGAGAAGGAAAAGGACGTAAAGAGCTAGAAGTAATATATATGAGATCTATAATATAATACAATTGAAGAAACCTAAAATCTAATCTTTTGGTTTAATACCAATACCATTTACATTTCTGAACATCATAACACCATTATTTTGATCATCATCAACGTATTGACAAGATCTAATGACTTTCCATAAGGATTTCCACATGTTTTCACCTTCGTATCTGTAATGATCACCCATAACATTTTTAATAGCATCGGTTGCTTCTCTAGCGTTATAAAAGGGGATTCTTGAAACGTAATGATGTAAAACATGAGTTTCGATAATATCATGAAAGATATGTTGACCAACGAAACCAAAGTTACGATCGATGGTGGCAGCAGCTCCTCTGGCAAAAGTCCATTCATTATCTTTATAATGAGGCATTGAAGGATCAGTATGTTGTAAGAAAGTAACGAAAACCAACCAATGATTAACCCATAACCAAGGCATTAACCAATCAACCGACATGTTGAAAAAACCAAAGTTCTTGTACCATTGGTAGACCATGGTGAAAGTAAGTAAGATCCCAATATCAGAGTAAATGATATACCAGAATTGGTGTTTATCGAAAACCGGAGATTTTGGAGCATAATGAGATTTGGCAATTTTAGAATAACCTTCATAAGTTTGACCAGTGGCATTGGTAGCCAAGTAAAGTTGTAAACCACCCAATTGTTGGAATACAAGTACGGCAAAAGAGTAGATTGGGGATTCTTCCATAATTTCAGAAATTTTACTAGCACCATTTTTTTCCAAAAACTCTTCTTTTGTATATGGAATGAAAACCATGTCTTTACGAAGATGGCCAGTGGCCTTATGGTGTTTTGAATGGGAAAACTTCCAGGAAAAATATGGAACAACCAAGTAGGAATGTAACACCCAACCGATGAAATCATTTAAATTCTGGTAATCTGAAAATGCCCCATGGCCACATTCATGAGCCAAAATCCATAACCCAAATCCAAATAACCCAATCAAATACGAATGCAAAAACCATAAAGCACCTCTTAAACAATAACTAACACTAGCATGGTCCTCAATATTAACTTGAGGAATTAACTTATGTCCGGTGTAACTAATTAACACCATCATACTAATATCTCTAACAACATATCCTAAAGACTTGAATAAGTATCTGTTATAACAATGTTTTGGAATGGCTGAAAGAATATCTTTGATAGTATAATCAGGAACTTTGAATTCGTTACCATTGGTATCAATGGTTACCAAATTTGAACTTGGTTCCTTCTTGCTTCTTTGAGTGACGACACTTTCAACTGCTGACATGGCTGACTACTTACACTCAATAGAAAACCAACTGGCCTACAATTTTTTCTTTTATATATCTCGATGATAACTCGTTGGCACCTTGAAAAAGAAACCAAAGTGAAAAAAAAAAAAAAAAAAAAAAAAAAAAAAAAAAAATCTATTGTTCATCAAGGCGTAATTCGACAAATAAACGTTTACACAATAGCACTTCACCGTCTCTGCGATGGGCTGTTTGGCTGTCCTTCCGTAGATGCCTACGGCAGAAATCAGAGAGCAGGACGAGTTACATAGAAGGGTACAAGAGCACCATAGAGGAGTGATGTCGAGTAAAGTAGTGTAGAAGGGTACGGGACATGGCGATACCTGGACCAAATCTGATTTATAGCCGCATTCTATCCCCGTGTGCCTGAGGAAAAAAGGTCAATGCTCAAACGGTGAGAAGAGCAGACCTCCGCGTGCTTCCTGAGCAGTCGAGGGTATATACGAAGGCTGACAACTCCGTGGTGCTTTATTGGCACCTTGAATTAGTTCAGTCCACCGTCGAAGCACTTCATCCGAAGAATCAAGAAAATAAAATACCGTTTTATTGTGTCACGTGACCGAGGATTGGGAAAAAACCGTTGGCTGGTGTCTGGGTGCGAGTAATTCATACGTTTATATACAATTATATATACCATTATATACGCCATTATATACACCATTATATACACACTATGTGTTGATATATGTTGATATAAATTCATAAGTTTAGACAATACAAGCATGGCTGCAAGCACGAATACAAGCGACATGCTCCTTGAGTCAAGCTCGACTAAGGAAGGTGGGGCCTATTCGAACCTATCGAATCGACCTTATCCATAGTCTTCGGCATGAGGGGTACTTCTCCAGACACTGAATATTCATTTATACGACCATCTGATGTAATTATAGAACCCCCTTGTGTCGAGGCCGTAAAAATGAGTTTTTCATTCTCAAGGTTTGATTTCTCAATTAGGAAGTTTGCAATTTGTGGTTTTTTCAGCCATTTCACTTACTCCTTCACTTTTCTTCAACACCCTGTTCAACGTCTTCAAAGCTTCTACCAAGACTCCTTGCAAAAGGAGCTCACAGATGTATCGCGGTGGCTTCAAACATCCTGAAACTATGTAGAGTTAAAACTCCCAAACCTTATTTGAAATTCATTATAACTTGCAACCACCCTCAAGCTTGGTTTCCTGAAACAGTAACTTTCTAGGAATCCCCTTTAACCACCTCGCGTGAATGTACAAAGGGCCTCTTTAGTATATTGGCTCAGATTTCCAACAATCATTAGCAGATGACATTCCCTTGAGCTTGTACCGAAAAAAACCCATTTGATACCGACTGATACCAATTGGAGCCAGGTACTACCAAGTAATTAGCATATCAATCTACATACCACCTCTTCCTAGGCTTGCGTTTCTTGGACTACCTCCTTCGAGTTTTCACGTAGGGCTGAAACTGTAATCACACTCTTAACCGAATATGGTAAGTTTAGAATCCCCTTCCCAAGTCTCGAGGCACTCTTAGAATAGATCTTAAGACTGAAAATAATTATTAGTTCACAGAATTTTTTTTTTTTTTTTTTTTTGTCTGCGAGAACGAATTTCCTAAAACGGAATAGTAAATGTCAAGACTAATACTTAACTCTTTAGGGAAATTGCAAAATGGCGAATTGGTGGGTTATAACGTTCGAACTCAATGGGGATTTCCTAAATGAAAGGGTAGAATTCATTGTATCAAGTCTGATATAAATATCCTTGAAATATCCTTAAACTTATTCTTCTTTTTATTTATTTTATCATCGAAAAAAGTTTAATAAAGAATTTACATTCTTACAATCGTTACATTCAAATATACATAATGAAATTCTCTACTCCAACTCTTTTAGCCATCTTAGCTACCACTGCCTTCGTTTCTGCTGCTCCAACCACAGTTACCACTGAAACTTCTCTTGTTAAAAAAGATGGTATCACTGATGTTTTAAAAATCTTGGATGAATTGGAAAATTCTCATTCTAAAAGAGATTTAATTGATGATGAAGATCAACTTGTTGCCTTGGCTGCTAGAGATGACAGCTTATTGGCTGACTTGGTTACTTCTTTAGCTAACTCTGGTATCATCGGTGATGTCTGGAGAGCTTTAACTAATGATACTGCCTTGAGACAAGAAATTGTTAATATCACCAAAAAGGCCATTAGAGGTTTAATTGTTGAAGGTCCAACTTTAATTAAAGCCGTTTGGGACTCTGGTCTTATTCAAGATGTTTTCAAATCTATTCTTAATGATTCTGATTTAAGATCAGTCTTGTTGAGAGTTGCTAAATCTTTATTCAATACTGGTGTTGAATTGGTTAGATATTTCTTGGGTAATAGAGGCTCTTCTACTACCACTACTGCTACTTCTACCACCACTGCTGCTGCTAAACGTGATGCCGTTAAACGTGACGTCGTTAAACGTGATATCTTGGATACTAAGGATTCTGAATACTTGGATAAAAGAGATGTTGCTTCTGTTGTCAGTACCATTGTTGATGCCATTAAAAATTCTGGTATCGTTTCCAAATTAGTGAATAAAGTTTTGGAAAATCCAGATCAAACCATTAATTTCTTATCTACTTTATTAAGAGAAGGTGTTGTCGTTGCTGAAGATATCTACAACTGGTCTAAGAACAATGGTTTATTAGAAAAAGGTTTAGAATATATTGAAAACCATGGTGGTGAATTTGCAGGCTCTATTGCTTCTTTCTTAGCTAAAGAAATTGAAGGTGGTAATGTTACTACTTCTGAAATTGACAATGCTGGTTCAAACTCTCAACTTTCTGGTACTACCATTGCTACTACTAGAGGATCCACTGCTACTGGTTCTTCCGGTGGTGCTCTTGCTGCCATCTTGGGTGACTTGACTGGTGATGCTTCTGCCACCACTACTTCTACTAGAGCTAGAGCTTATGCTGCTGCTTCTGCCACTGTTACTGAAGCCGATTCTAGTGATGACGGTTCAAGTTTAATCACTGACTTGTCTGCTGCTTCTGCCGCTGAAGCTGCCTTAAATAGTGCTGGCGCTGGAACTACTTTAAAGAAAGTTAGAAGATTTTATTAGAAATGTTCAATTATACCCAATTTGTTTCTAGTAACGAACAATTTTTTACTTCCGGTTTGATTTTTTTCTCCTTTATTCAAATTTTTTTATCGTCATGATCCTTAATACGTCGCATGTTATTAAATATCCTTTAATTTGGCTCTTCTTGGGTTTTTTTATGTTTTATGCAACTTTTTCCTTCATCTTTGATCACTAGTGGTGACTTGGACAGAACTACAAAGGTTGCTTCTTTTTTCGGTTACAATATCTTTTGTACTATTAGTTTTATTATTATCCAACCACATTCAATTCTCTTATATATAACTAAAATAAAAATTATCTATTAAAAGTTATTGTTGTAGAGTAAAATTAAAACTAGGGAATTTAAAAAGCAAAAAAACGGTTGCGAAATAAAGTTGCTTGGAAATAATGTATTTTTTTTTGGCAGGCTGCAAAATGAAAATAGTTGCTCATCCTTGGTTTATTTGCTCTTGCTTGTTGATAACCAACCCAACATAACAAGAGGTGTTTGAAGCAAATCAAAGTACTGACCGTTGTCGTCACAAGCAAGTCAACTCATAAAATTGCGTATTACTAAGTTTTTTTCTTCAACTGTGGGTGGAGTTCCACAGTAAAGATTTATGCTATATAAAGGGGATGGTATTCAATTGATTAGAAAAATTATTAATAAATTCTACAAGACAATGTCATCTAAACCATCAGTTTCATATAAACCAAGTGTTGCTGTCCTCGGAACATCAGGATTCCTTGGAGAACCAGTTCTCGCAGCTTTTAGTAGACCGGATTTGGTTGATAAAATCCAATTTCCGGTTAAAGCTTTAACAACTAACATTAGACAAAAAAGAGACAATTCTACTGTTCAGTTTGTTGAAGGTTCAATTACTCTGGCCAATAAACAAGCAATCATTGAAGAGCTTGCCGGTACTGATGTTATTATTGAGTTATTACCAGCAGATTTGGGAATTTTCAGGGTGGTTGAAGAGATTGTCAAGGAAATCCAACCAAAAGTGTTTATTCCTTCACAATTCGGTGTTGATTTAGAACAAGTCCAAAAAAACATTCCTGACTTCCTTAGTGTTAAAAGTGATCATTCTACCAAAATCAGAGAATTCGGGGTTAAAGTTGTTGATATTTACACTTCATTATTTGCTATTCCAGAATCTGCATTATACGAAGTGGTTGGTCAAGTTGGTATTAACAAAGAAGAAAATACTGCTACTCTATATGGTCCACCTCAGACCAAAGTAGCAATTTCATTTCTACCAGATATTGGTAATGCCGTTGCCTCGCTCGCTTCAATTGAACCACTGAAATTGCCCAATTCCATCCGTATCCAATCGGATGAAGTTTCTTATGCAGATATCATTAACAGATATGAAGTTGATCATAATATCAAATTGAAAGTAAACCAAATCGATGGCCAGCAAACCTTGAAATCGGCCCAGGAAAAATATAGTAAACTGAAGACTTTTGGTCCTGGTGACTTTTTCTTTTACTTAACCCTTTTCGGTGGATTGGGTACTGACAATGGATTAAGCTACTCTTCCAACGATGACGAATTGGTTAATCCAAATGGCCAACTATGGAGCTGGTCCAAGTTCAATAACTAAAAACACCATACATAAGTATGCATTTGCCTACACTTTAGTCTCTTATTACGTAATTTCTAATTGAAAGTCACCGTGTCTTTTACCATGTCTAAACCTACTTTGTAATCGAAGATGTAGTGGTGATAACTTTAGTGAAGCTTACACTGAAAGTTTTGATAATTTTAGTAAAGCTTACTCTGATGGTTTTAGTAAAGCTTACGCGGGGGATTACGTCAGCAGTCTTATGATATTAGTCAAATTAGTAAAATGCAGCACTTTTCGCTGCCTATCTAAACCATCGTTACGGACAATTTGTCAGCACCCACCACAGCAAACAAGACAACTTGCACTACCATAACACAACAACCGAAGCCTTGATAGCCTCCACAACTCCAAGGGCCGCCACATCCAAAGGTATATAAGGATGGGTCAATCCCGTAATTTCAATTGACACATTTCTATTGTTCATTAAACCCTATTTACATATACATACATATATCTCACAAAATGTCTTACAAACCTTCTGTCGCAGTTATTGGTAGTGCAGGTTTCATTGGGGGCCCCTTAGTCGAAGCCTTTAGCAGACCTGATTTAAAAGATAAACTTCAATTCCCAGTTAAGGTGTTAACTAGAAGTGCAAAGGATAAAACCAGTACTTCTACTATCAAGTACGTCGAAGCAGAACTTTCCGAATCCAATGTTGCTAAGGTTGTTGAAGAATTGAAAGGATCGGATGTGATTGTTTCGTTGCTTCCTCCAAGTCCTGACACCATTTCAGTTCTTGAAAGCACTTTGAAGCAAGTCAAGCCAAAAGTTTATATCCCATCGCAATTCGGGTCTGATATCCGTCCTGCTCAAAAGAATTTACCTGGTTTCTTGAAAATCAAGATCGACCATTCCGATAATGTTAGATCCTTTGGGGTTAAGGTTGTTGAAGTGGTTAACTCTTTCTTTATTGGTGAAGGCCACTTTTTAACCGAAATTGTTGGCCATGTTGGTATCGATGCCAACACCAAGACAGTCACCTATGCTGGTTCTCCACAAACTAAGATTGCTATTTCCTACCTTCCAGATGTTGGTAATGCCGTTGCTAGTTTAACTAGTATTGAACCTTCCAAACTCCCCGACACGGTGAGAATTGAATCTGACGAAGTCACTTACGAAGACATTGCTAAGAAATACGAAAAAGACCACGGGCTCACTTTGCAAGTGAAGAATATAACTGCTGAAGAGTTGCTTAAGAAGGCCAACGACAGAATCCAAACTGCGAAAGAATTCAGTCTCGAAGACTTTTTGTTATACTTGTGGGCAGTTTCTGTTGGTGGCCGTGACTACGGTAACTCCTACTCCAAGAACGACGATGACTTGGTCAACCCTGGTGGAAAGTTATTCAAATGGACTAAATTCCATTAAGTTATTCGAATGGATACCATTAAACTAGGTGTATACGTTTAATCAATAAGTTATCTTAACGTTAGTGTAGTGGCCAATTGCGTTTTGCAGCAAAAGGCTAACATTCCGTACCCAGCCACTTAAACCGACTGATCCTGAGTAGATTGTCCCTGGTACCATACCATTGAATCGAGATGGCGATTAGCCCCGATAATAATGGTTCAAGAAGATTTCGATACCGTTATATTTTGTTGATGCTAGGCCGAACCGTATCCCCGTGGGATTTGTAAGCTTCACGGAACATTTCTTAGCTTTATGTTCCGGGTTGGCTTCTGGTGGAAAGTCAATGGTATATAAACCAGTCTTGGGTAGACTTAAGTTGGATTAGTTTACACCAGCAGAACAGTTTTAAAATGTCTAGTCCTTCAGTTGCAGTTTCGGTAGTGGTGGCAATATTGGTAAGTATTTATTTGACTTTCTTTCCAAGTCTGAGAAAATTCAATTCCCAATTAAGGTTGTGACCAGAGATATCAAGAGCAAAACCAGTACGTCTAAGCTCGAATATATTGAAGGGGAGATATCTGAAGCTAATGTTGATAAACTTTCGGAACAATTGAAGGGAGTTGATGTTATTGTATCATTAACCCCAGCATCTCCTCCAGCTAATTTGGTGAAGGAGAAAATTTTGCAACAAGTTAAGCCACAAATTTACGTTCCTACTCAATACGGGCTCAATGGACGGGAGGTTGACCAAATCTTACCGGGGATGTTCAAATTCAACATTGACCATGTCGATAATGTTAGGGCCATTGGTGGGATTAAGGTTGTTGAATTTTTGAACGAGTTTTTCATTGGAGATGGTTTCTTGACCGAGATTGTTGGCCATGCCGGTATTGATACCGAGAAAAAGACGGTCACTTATGCCAATAAACCAGAAACAAAAGTACCTGTGACTTACCTTCCAGATATTGCCAACGCAATCGTCGGTTTGATAACATTAGAACCTTCTGAAATCCCCCAACTTTTGAAAATTCAATCCGCTGAGGTTTCGTTTGAAGATATTGCTAAACTTTACGAAAAAAATCATAATGTTAGTTTGAAAGTGGAAACCGTCCCCCTTGAAGAAGTCGTGAAGCAGGCTAATGACAGGATTCAAAGTGGCAAAGCTCTTGATCACAGGGATTTTAGCTTCATCATATGGGTAGCTAGTTCTACCGGTCGCGATAAGGGTGGCAGTTACAGCGAGAATGATAACGAGTTGATAAATCCAGGAGAAAAATCTCTCAAATGGACTAAATTCCATTAAAACGCTTATATATGATTAATATTTTATATATGATTTCAAATTTATGACTAATAAATATATCGACTTTAATACTTATTTCTATTTACAATTTAGTATACACGAATGTCTAGCATTCCACAACCAACAAACCAGCCAGTGTTTGTGATGATCAACTTATAATTCAAACCCAGTAAGTAATTCTAATTGTTTGCTAATATCATTTTCAACTGACGTATTTTTTGATTTTCTTTCTTCGTCTTTCATCAAATCTTGTTTTAAATCCTTGTAATCCAAAGAGTTCCCCTTCTTCTCTGGTTTTTTCACATCGGTCAACAAGCTTCTTACATCTTCAAACTCTTTCAAATTCGAATTAAGTTGTTCGATTTGGTGCTTGGTTGATTTCAGTTGATGTTTTAGTTTGGATTTCGATACCGGTTTCTGTTTTGTAATGGCCAGTTTCTTCGCAACAGAACCATGCTTCTGGTCTCTACTCTGGAATTGCTTCTTAGCCATATTGCCCACTATTAAAGATCTTTGAAATACTCTGAAGAGACCGTTAAAAGGCTTAAAAGCTAGAGAAGTAAAGTTATAAAGAGAAAGAATTTTGATAGCGATGTGTTCCGCCACACGACCCATCGCTGTCTGCAGTACTTTCGAGAAGAGGACTGAAAAAAAAAAAAAAAAAAAAAAAAAGAGAGAGAGAGAAGAGCATCTACTCTTAGAATAGAATAAAATACTATAAAATACTATACAGCATTAGAAATGGTGTCAACTCATAATCGTGAAAAGCCATGGGATACTCCAGACATAGACAAGTGGAAGTTGGAGGAGTTTAAGGAGGAAGATAACGCCAGTGGACTTCATTTTACTGAAGAATCCTCGTTTATGACATTATTCCCCAAATATAGAGAAAATTATTTAAAATCGATATGGGCCGATGTCACAAGTGCCTTAGACAAACATCATATATTAGCACAACTAGATTTGGTCGAAGGGTCAATGACGGTTAAAACCACGAGAAAAACATTTGACCCTGCTATTATATTAAAGGCTCGTGATTTAATTAAATTATTGGCCAGATCGGTACCATTCCCACAAGCAGTAAAGATCTTACAAGATGATATTGCGTGTGATGTGATTAAGATTGGGAATTTTGTGAATAATAAAGAAAGATTTACTAAAAGAAGACAAAGATTAGTTGGGCCCAATGGTAATACATTAAAAGCTTTAGAATTATTAACCAAATGTTATATTTTGGTACAAGGTAACACCGTCAGTGCCATGGGTCCCTTCAAAGGATTGAAAGAAGTAAGAAGGGTGGTGGAAGACTGTATGAAGAATGTTCATCCGATTTATTATATCAAAGAATTAATGATAAAACAGGAATTAGCGAAAAAACCAGAATTAGCAAATGAAGACTGGTCAAGATTCTTACCTATGTTCAAGAAGAGAAACGTTGCTCGTAAGAAGGTTAAGATGAATGCTAAAGAAAAGAAAATCTATACTCCATTCCCACCTGCACAAACTCCTAGAAAAGTTGATTTACAAATTGAAAGTGGTGAGTATTTCTTGGGTAAGAAGGAGAAGCATTTGAAAGAATTACAGTCAAAGAGAGAAAAACAAGAAGAGGTTAGTGAACAAAGACAACAGGAAAGATTAAAGGATTACGAAGCACCAGAAGAAGAAGTCCATGAAAATAAATTATTAAAAAAGGAAAAGAAGGAAAAGAAGGAAAAGAAAGACAAAAAGGAAAAGAAGGAGAAGAAAGAAAAGAAAGAGAAAAAGGAAAAGAAGAGATCAGCAGAAGACGATGAAAAACCAAAGAAAAAGAAGAAGGAGTCTGAAGATTAAAGTATATAGTTTCGCATAATAAAATAAACGTCCCCGTGTTAATAAACTTAATTGTAACAATAAACCAATAAGCCAACCTAATGAACTAATAAACTAATTAACTAATAAACTAATTAACTAATAAACCAATAAACTAATGCTAATAAACTAATGCTAATATACTAATAAACTTATATACGATCTTGTTGTGAAAAATCCCAAAACGGTAAGCATCCTTCTATTTACGTGGATGTGCGCACACCAGATCATCAGATACAAACAAACTACTGCTTTCGGGAGCAGAGTTACCAATCTAACCTTTGAAGTTTGTTCAAGACATTGTTACTCTGAAAGTTTGACAGCCGAAGAGGAAGTGAAAGCCAAAATCACCAAGGCAGCTTGAACACCCTAAAGTAAAAAGCTGTGAGAAGAGGATTCGCATTGCAAAAGTGCTGTTGCAAATATAAACTCAAAGACTTACTTTAGTGAAATAACTCCTTTTACAGTATCAAGAGTTCCAAGTATTCCAAATATCCTTTTATCAATTACAAAGTTTACTTTTCACTTAGTTAAGACAGCCACAAAAAAGCCATTTAATTAAAATTTTCATTTATAAGAATTTTTTTTTTTCTCTTTTGGCCAATTCTTTATTACTATTTCACTTATAAGCTAGCATAATCCACATTTTAATCCTTCGTCTAATCTTAACTTCTATCTTTTATTTGGTCCTTGTCTTTCTGTTTGGCTGCTCGAATAACATTCCGTGAAGTACACCCTTACTGACCTTATCGCATCGCATCTCCCGTGTTCCAGGGTATCATCGTCTAATTAAGTATCTTTAGAAAACAAAGACTTAGGGTCATTTGTATTTGGTTGTAAAAGACTTTTTATTTTGTGATAGAGATTTGAATGTCGTTATTGTCAAAATCATATTAATTGATATAAAGTCTTTTCCAATTGACTACCATTTCACATTACTGTTTATTTATCAAATTAATGTCAAAATTGGATCTGTTATTATCCTTTGTGGATGATTTAGATCGAAAATCAAACCATATAATATCATCATTCGATGCTTCCAACTCCCTAATTAATGACATTTCAAACTTGCATACAAACATATCCACGGCTGATTTGACAATTGATTCAATTAGTAACTTATATAATGATAATTTGAATTACCTAAGAGAATTTGATAACCTTTACGAAAAATGCTTTTATCTAGAAGCAAACCTTCATTTAAATGATGATGTCACTAATCAAACAAGTTTTGAAAAATTACATAATGATTTTAACTACCTATTGAAAATTTTCAAAGATAAAAATAACTCTTGTTCGTGGCTAAATCATCAAGATTTTGATATTGAAGAAAAAGAACCCGAAGAAGAAGTAAGCAAAGACTATTCTTGTGAACTCGATCCAATTGATAATACTCCATTAACCCCTGGTCTTCACAAGACAATCTCCATCTCCAATTTGAAATTAAAACCAATCCGTTGTAAATCTTCCAAAATTTCCAAAAAGAAGTCTCGTTATAGATTATCATCAGCTTATACCCTAAACCCACTCATGAGCGGATTTTCAACCCCTCAAGTTGCTTCTTCAAATTCTTTCTTATCTAATAATGACGATGATTTATCCACGGTTATCATTCGTCGTAATCGTGCTGACATTGCCGCTAATCCAAGCTCAACTATAACTCCTTCAACAGGCTCGACTTGTCATAATCATCCTCGTAATGATTTACCCCAACAAAGCGATTCCCGTTATTTACTGTTGAATGCTCTAACCGACAACTCAACTGCTTCTTATATGGATACTTCAATTGACAGAACTACAAATACTACTTTTGACCAACACACTTTTGGCTACGATAAAATTAATCATCAAAATGATTTAAACACAATCAGCTCATCCCCTTCATTCTCAAATAGAGCAAGATCAAATTCCCTACCAGATCTTTCCAGTTGGCAAAATTTAGGTAAGTCAAATGAAGATAGATCACATGAATTATCAAGCTTAAGACATCATAGATTGAACCATTTCATTAGTTATAATGATGGTTTCAAAAATTTTAATAAGTCAAGTTTCACTAGCATGTCCGAAGATGACGAATTAGATCGCCATTCACAAACCTTTTCATCTAATCAAGTAAATATCGATGATGACGCTTTTGAGAACATATCAGTTTACTCCGATATATCTTACGATGATTCTCCATTTAACGACTCTAAATCCTGTCACAATGAAGATTTTGATAACTTTGAAAACTTTTTAAGAAAATCAAGAATTGACTTAAATAATGCATTTCCAAATATTCAAACTCACGATAATCATTTTGATAAAAAAAATTATAGCTTTCATAATCCGATTTCAAACATTCATTTTAATCAAAATCCAGATTTAGGTAAACCAACAATTGAATCAATTTATTCCCATCCAAAAGAACAGACTAATACTTTATTACCGGGGGCTCTAGGTAGAAGCTCCACCAAACTATTGAATGAGGTTATTTCGAAAAATAGTCAATCTGGTACCCCGGCAAAAGATCAGTCTCTGGCATCTCCTACACCAAAAGGTAAATCAAAAAATTTTGCATTATTCAACTTATTGACATCTCCATCGAAGAAAACCTCTTTGGGTTCTCGTGATATTCCTCAAGAAGAAAGAAGAAACAGCATTGATGTAATAAGCAAGTCTCTTACTGAAACTTTCAAGAGTTTAGTCAATAATAACCCCTCATTTATTCAAGTTGGTCCAAATGGTTCAAGATCTGGTTACATCTCTCCATGCTCTAATAATCTTAGCTTATCCTCTAGTGCCCCAACCTTCAGTTCTCTTGAAGGTAGCCCTAGACAGAAAGCCAAAATCTCTCCACCTAAAAAGATCAAAAGAATGCATAATAAAGATAAGAGAGACCCAATATCAATAAAAAATGATATTCAAAACCAAAGATTACCTCCTACTATTTCCAGACTGTACAATAACCTGCATAAGAATTCCAAATTACTCACCCCTTTACAATTTCCTCATGAGAAGAAGCGAGTTAAAAACGGTTATCATTCACAATTGACTATAGGTCCTTCTAAAACTAAAATAATTGATCATGGCGAATCGTCAATTTTTAGGAAGCCGTTGGTGAGTAAAATCAGCCATGATTCTTTGAAACAAGCATTAGCTGAAACTATTATCGAGAATAATGATTAATAGTTCTAATTTTGTTTGACAAATTCTATTTACTTCATTTCTCTTATTGTTACATATTTTTTATTTTACTTCCTTGCATGTTTTAGCCATTTTACTATTTATCCTATTCAGTTCTTCATTTTAGACTTCTACTTCTTTTACTTGTGTTAATTATTGATCTATCAAATATATCTTAATATTTAAACTAATGTACATAATGTATGCAATCTAGATGAATTAATTCAATCAAATCCATGATTTTTGAATATTCCTTTGACACTACTATTGTTCTTGACCTCTCTTACTCCTTGCTCAATCCTTTGGGCCCTCAAACTCTTGATTTTATTGTTTTGTTTCAGATTTTTAGACATGTAAGTAATTGAGGCTTTAGAGCCTGATGCAACTTTATACTGTTTACTAACAGTAACTCCAGAGAAGCTATTTGCGGAACTATTAAGGTCGCTTCCTGATTTAAATGATTTGATGATAGAAGGTTTCTTGAACATTCTCATTAACCCTTCATCATCATCATCTATTTCAAAATCATCACCGTCAGTAGCTTGAGAGTCCGCAAAAGATCTTTTATCGGTTTGCAGCAGCGAAGAATCAATGTCAATTACTGAGTTAGATTGTAAATTACTCAAACTCTTATTTTTCAAGGCTTTAACATCATCGACTTCATCGTCGGACGAGTTAACACCATGTTGATATCTTGAAATCTTTTGCTGCCTCTCATAATCGTCATCATCTCTATTCGAGTCGGTTGCCAAAAAAGACAACGTTTTTCTCACGAACGACTCTTTAATTTTAAGAGTTGGACGTTTTTTCTTGGACGCGTTTAATTCTTGATTATCATCATCACCATCATCATCTTTCTCGGTAGTGTTATTAGAATCATTGAAAGGACTCTCAGACCTTGCTTTGGAATCGCCTTCGTCTGAATGATTGCCATCATCTGAGTCTTCAATTTCATCATCAATTACAATAGGATTATTGGAATTATCTTGAACCAAGTCTAAGAATGCTTTAGCCTTTTCGTTTTTAGCAGCCTTTCTTAATTTTTTATTTTTCAAAAATTCTTGACGTTGTTTTTGAAGAACCTGTCTTTTAAATAGCCTGAAAATTTCGTCTTCTTCGTCTTCATAATCAACATCCAAACTATTGATGCCAGCTCTTCTTGTAAGTCTATGATTTTTGACATCATCCATTAATTTCTCCAATTGTTTTTGATCTTTGATTTTGAAATCTTCCATAAATTTCTGTCTAATTTCTTCGTCATTTAGATCGATATTGAAATCATTATCAATCATTCTTTCATCTTCAGAATTTGCTTGATCGGATTCGTCATTATCTTCACCCCCAATTCCTTTCCATTCATCTTCTGATTCTTCAGCTTCACCTTCTAATATATTTTTAAGACCCTTCTTTTCCATGTCTTTTCTTCTTTTACGGGCTTTTAATTCTTGTCTTCTTATTTTGTTTTGATACATCTTAATTCTTTGCTGAATTTCTTCGGAAGTTTCGTCATCGTTTTCTTTATCATGATCGATATCTTCTATTCGGTTCTGTTGAATATGCTGACGTCCACTTTCTAGTGCTTCTTTAATATCAACATCAGCTTCATCTTGATGATTTTCTTGGGCATTAGAAATTTTTTGAGTAGACTCAGACTCAATAATTTGAGTAGGATCAGCTTGAGTAGCTGAATCTACTTGAGTAGCTTGATAGGTTTGGGTGCCTTGTTGAGACATTGAGATATCTTGGAAAGAGGGTAATTCTACAGGGCCCGAATCTTCTTGACCATCATCATAAGCAACTGAAACGTCTTTTCCATCATCAGTTCTTGGTTTGAGATTACGAAACAATTCTTTATCAGGGTTGGAATCAAGGCCACCCTTGATCACAGGTTTATCCATTGATATATCGATAGGAATATCAGAATTGCTAATTCCGACAGTGTCTTCTTCTTTTTCGAATTCATTATTGATTTGAGAAGAGCTTGCAACTCCGAACATATAACTATCGTCATTTCTTCTCTTTGGATTGATTTCAGGTTGATGCTCATCATCTTCATCATCAGTAACAACCAATTTTCTGTTTCTTCTAGCGGAAACCTCATTTTCATCATCATCAGCTTCATCAGAATTTTCATCATCTACTTCGTTAGCAATTTCATCTTGTTCATCATTATATTCAGAGTCAGGAGCATCATTTGAATCGTAGTCAGAATCAGGAACTTCATCAATGATTTCCTCATCAACTGGATTATAGTCCTTGTCTTCAAGCTTAGCCAATTTAGCCAATTTGGCTTTTTCCAATTCTTTTTCCTTCTTTCTTATATTTCTAGATCTTTCTAATTCACGATTGAATAACGAATCACCTTCTAGCTCTTCATTAACCGCTTCTTCAATGTCAAGATACGGATTTTCTTTTTTCAATTCGATTAATTGGTTTATATTATTTTTGTGTAAATTTTTCAAAAAATCAAAATGTTTTATTTTATTTTGATTTGGAATCATATTCATTCTTAAATTTTTTGGTAATGAATTAATTTTTGAGTTTTTCGAATTCTGAACTTTCTTAGTTGAGAATTTTTTCTTTAATAATAATTTCGATTCTTTTGATAATTCTGGTATTTCTTTTAAATCATCAAGTTGATGATTGTTATTAGAAGCAGATGTTAACGGGAGAGAAGGTCTATAAGGGATTGGAGATGAAGCGTTACGAATTGATGATAGTTGACGATCTGAATCCAGTTCTGAATCATCTAAATCAATAAATTTCCCGTCTTTTGTTGGGGAAGATAATAATTTCCGTTTCAAGTTTTCGGCGTATAAATCGATTGGGTTTTTAGTGCTTGGTTTTTGTTTCTGTTTTGGAGTTGCTGATTGGTTAATTGAAAGAAGGTCATCTTCACCATCAGGTTTTCTAACGTCTTTTTTAATGGGAGAAGTGACTGGACTTGATTTCAATTCGTTGCTTAAGCTTAAATTATCGGGTTGATCTTCTTTATCACTATCGAAATCATCTAAAAACTGATTTTTAGAGAAAGTAATTTTATTTTTAAAATTTGATCTAATTTCCATTTTTCTTTTACTTATATTAATGAATTTATCTTCTTCTTCCAATTCTTTTCTAGTTGGTTGATGATTAATTGTAGAAGAGTCGATGGTTTTATCATATAGTTCATCGTCAAGCTCTTTTTCTTCATCAGATAAAGAAGTATGGTTCAAGTCATTTTCTAAAGATTTTTCATTTTCTAATCTTTTCAATCTTTTAATTTCTGCTAATTTAGCTATTTCTGCTTGTCGATCATATTTAGGAACCTCGTCATCGTCCAGATCAACGAATAGTTTTAGATTTACAGCTTGTGACTTACTTGGCTGAGACTTTACTGGTGAAGACTTCGAAGATGGGTTAATTTCTGCATCTCCGATCGATAGCTGGGGCAACTTCTTAGGTCTGAATTCAGATTCATCTACTGGCAATTGGGGCAATTGATTAATGACTTGAGTTTCATTCGGTTGATTAATTTGTTCACTTGGTTGATTACTTTCACTTGGTTGATTACTTTCACTTGGTTGATTACTTTCACTTGGTTGATTACTTTCACTTGGTTGATTACTTTCACTTGGTTGATTAATTTGTTCACTTGGTTGATTAATTTTTTGAGTCGAAAACAATAACGAGTTTTCAAATGGAAATGATTCATTGATTGGTTGAGTATCTTGGGCTGGGGTATTGATCGGTTGAGTATCCTGGCCAAACAACCGTTGTCTGACCTTACTTAGGATATCCATATTAGGCCCATCATCGCTATTTTGTTCTTGTTCATGATCACCTTCATGATCAGTTTGTTCTTCTTCACTTACTTGGGTATCTGGAATGAAGGAGTAGGTGGTTGAAGGGACTCTGTCGACCTCTATATCGTCAAGGAAGTCCATGCCGTAATGCTTTTCAATGCTAATGCTTTTCAGTACTTGCTAACACTTTCTAATACCAATTCGTTAGCCATTTTGATTTCGTTTAAAACTTTTCCACCCAATATACGCGTTATTTACTTTTTCTTTTTGACGTGTCGCGTATCGGTCAAACCAATCCACCCGTACCCACAAACCAATCCACCCGTACCCACGAATAAAAAACCCGTCTTGCAGTCAGGCACCAGCTGTGGAGTTAAAGCAATCACCCGATTGCACGACCTCTGGATTTATATATGGACAGTTCCATCTCTAGTGATCATTGAATAAACCACCAAGATGTCCCTCCCGATTAAAGATTGTATACCCAATTATTATGAAAGCTATCTTCAAGAAATAGACGATAACCAAACCAGCTACTTGGAGGTGTACGGATACACGGTAATTGAGAACGGAATCCGTATAGCAAGAGCCATCAGACAACAAGATCGACCGGCGGTATTTGCAATTCTCTATAACGACAACAATGATGACCAACCCTTAATCAAGTATAAGAAGAAGTACTACCCCTTGGTCCACACGTTCGAACACACACAGCACCATCTCCACGAAAGCGTCCCCCCGTACGATCTGTCCACTGACTACACCCAGATGATGAACTCTCAAGTGTGCAAGCGCTTAGAAGGGGAAGCGTTCCGGCTGTTGGGGGCCAGGATTGATCGCAGCTACTACAAGAAAGACCCGTACAATTACGACACTTATCGCTACCGGTGGTGATCACGTGTGTATGTCTACCCCCGGATCACACAAAGCCGTTAGGTGCTAAACGATCGTTTACAAAAAGTGACTCTGGACGTGGTACTGCCCGAATTCACATGCGTGGGTTCCGCGCGGCGGTCACGTGCGATTGACTACTTGTTACCACGAGGAATACAACGAGTAAACACTCAACTTACATCTCATTGGAAAAAAGTTTTTTTTTTTGGGCGAAAACTGTGGATCGCATATAGTGAAAAATCTCTTTAAATATATATATATACAATTGTTTTCTTCCTTTTTTTTTTTTTCCTTTTAGTTGAAAAAAACACATCTAGTATACTCTGTACTTTTGTAAAATAACCATGGCTGCTGAAAAATTTCTCTTTACTTCTGAATCTGTTGGTGAAGGTCACCCAGATAAAATTTGTGATCAAGTTTCTGATGCTATTCTTGATGCTTGTCTTGCAGTTGATCCATTATCCAAGGTTGCTTGTGAAACTGCTGCTAAAACCGGTATGATTATGGTTTTTGGTGAAATTACTACCAAAGCTCAATTAGATTACCAAAAAATCATTAGAGATACCATTAAACACATTGGATATGATTCATCTGAAAAAGGATTTGATTATCAAACTTGTAATGTTTTAGTTGCTATTGAACAACAATCCACTGATATTGCTCAAGGTTTACATTATGAAAAAGCTTTAGAAGAATTAGGTGCTGGTGATCAAGGTATTATGTTTGGTTATGCTACTGATGAAACTGATGAAAAATTACCATTAACTATTTTATTATCTCATAAATTAAACGCAGCTTTAGCTGATGCCAGAAGAAATGGATCTTTACCATGGTTAAGACCAGATACCAAGACTCAAGTTACTGTTGAATATGAAAAAGATGGTGGTGCAGTTAAACCATTGAGAGTTGATACCATTGTTATTTCAACTCAACACGCCGATGAAATTTCAACTGAAGATTTAAAATCAGAAATTCATGAACATATCATTAAAAAAGTTATTCCTGCTCATTTATTAGATGATAAAACCGTTTACCATATCCAACCATCCGGTAGATTCGTTATCGGTGGTCCTCAAGGTGATGCTGGTTTAACTGGTAGAAAAATCATTGTTGATACTTATGGTGGTTGGGGTGCTCACGGTGGTGGTGCTTTCTCCGGTAAAGATTTCTCTAAAGTCGATAGATCTGCTGCTTATGCCGCTAGATGGGTTGCTAAATCTTTAGTTAACGCTGGTTTAGCTAGAAGAGCTTTGGTTCAATTCTCTTATGCCATTGGTGTTGCTGAACCATTAAGTATTCATGTTGATACTTATGGTACTTCTTCCAAATCTTCTGAAGAATTGGTTGCCATTATCAGAAAGAATTTCGATTTAAGACCGGGTGTCATTGTTAAAGAATTAGATTTAGCCAGACCAATCTATTTCAAAACCGCTTCTTATGGTCATTTCACTAACCAAGAAAACCCATGGGAACAACCAAAAAAATTGAAATACTAATTTGATTACTTATGATTAATGTGATGACTCATGATTCAACGCTCAACTCGTTGAATCGATATATATAAAAGATACAACAAATAAAAAATACAAAAAAATACAAAAAAAAAAAAAAAAAATAGACCATTTCATTTCATGTTTATGATTCTTATTCTTATTCTTTACTTCATATTATTAATTTTTTTTACTGGATAGAGTTTAATTTTATTGCATTAATTAAGGGAGTCCTCAACGGACAAATAAGTTTATACTAATATACAACTTATATAATAACAATCACTGTAATTGTCTTTTTTGATGAATATATCGAATAAAACTTATACTAGCAATGACTATACCAATTGACCCGCCCATTACAATATCAAGAAAATGATGTCTATAATCTTGAGTCCTTGATAATGCAATATAAAACGCGAGTAAAATTGGTGAACAAGTGATTATATTACCCACGATAGGTTTGCATTGGAATTGACTACCTAACCATAACGAAAGGAAAAGTAACCCACTAAAAGAAATCAGCGAATGGCCCGAAGGAGTAGACTTCATTCCGTCCAGTAAGTAGACTTGCCCCAATGGAGATGAACAGTAACTAATATCGATGTATTGGTCAAGGGGAACATTGGTGTTGGCTCCGCATCTTGCAATAAAATCCGGTCTGGGTCTACCGATCAAATTTTTCAAAATATCAGTAATTACTCCGTTTACCGATAACGAAGTCCATAGTCCTAGCAATGATAAGTTGAGGATGTGGATTGGGTTTTTCCGACTGATATGGACTGCAATGATTACAATACTGGGCACAATTGCCGACCAAAAGTAAAGTTGATTATCACTAACTCTTTCCACCGTAGCAAATGGATGTTGTAACGTTGGATCGGATAATTTAAACTGTCTAAAGAAAGGTTTTGCTGGTTCAACGATATAGAAAAAAACTATAAGAAGCACTCCGACTGAAATCCAATCGGGGACATACTTTTTAAAAGTATTTGATCTTAGGTATTGATTAATCATTAAAGAAGACAAGTTGTATATAAAGAGTGCGATATTTGCACTTTTTTTTTCTCTCTTTTTTCAATCAAGCTTTGAAGATGGTTAGTTTAAATTGTCTTGCTGATGTTTGTCTTATCCCCATTGGTACTGGCCATGCGTCAGTGCTGGATGAAGTAACACTTATAACCCAGTTAGCCCGCGAACTGCATTTATCCACAACTTTACATAGTGCTGGAACCACTATTGAAGGTCCTTGGAGTGAGGTTATGGACTTGATTGGACAAATGCACGAGAAAGTCCATCACCATGGGGTTATTAGAATACAAAGCGATATTAGAGTAGGTACAAGAACCGATAAGAAACAAACTCCACAAGATAAAATTGATATTGTTGAGAAAAAATTGAAAAATATATAAGGTTTTTTTGTTTTTTTTTTTAATTGTTTTAGTTGTTTTATTTTGTTTTATTTTGTTAATAAAAACGCTTGTTAATTGTTTCGTAATTATTGTAATAATTATTTATTAGCGGGCTCTTCTTATCATTTGGAGATGATTTCTTCAGCGACTCATTTGATTTGAGTAGGCTTTCGGCGTAGTTAATTTCGTTCAGTTTTTTCATATCCGACTCCAATGCCTTTTCGGTGATTTTATGTTCTTTTTCACACTCAATAAGTGTATCTTCATTAATTTGGAAGTTCAATGGATTCATCCAAAAGAGTAACTTAATGAAATCCCTACAATCCACGTCGGTATAATTTTTACCGGTTGCTTTATTAAACTCGTTAGCGATGAATTGCCATTTTTCGATTTCTGCGCTATCCAATATTTTTTTCAATAATACTTTATCTTCTTGATTCCAAGATGATGAATTATTATTCCCCTGTTGTCCCACAATCACCTGATATCGATTTCTAGCAGCCAAATATGATCCAACTTCGGTAATTTCTGCAATTTCAACCCAAGACTTGCCCTTTCTTTTGAGGGATACAATCAATTCATCTTGTCTTTGGGTGAATTTTGATTTTCTCTTAGCCCGTTTTTGATTAGTGGTTAAATTAATATCGGGACGTATTGGTGCTTTGGCAAGTGGCGGCACCGGTAATAATTCTTGCAATTTTTCAATAATAGAGCTCGTGTCCCCATCCTTGATACTTTTGCTGTTAGTGCTGGGTTGTTGTTGGTAATTGGTGTAGTTATTATTAGGTATGAGTAGGTAGTTGGTGGGCACGGGTTGTGTTTGTGATTGGGATTGTGTCTGCTGCTGCTGCTGCTGCTGCTGCGGTTGCTGCTGCTGCGGTTGATCGTAAATAGATTGTTGGGGCTGTTGTTGGGAGTGTGATGCTTGTTGATACAAGGGGTTTATTGGATAGTGATTAATTGGAGGTATTGATTGATTGATGGGTAAAGGTATTTGATGGATTTGGTGATTCATTTGTAAATAAGGTTGTGGAACTCCCATTGGACTATTATAGAACCTGGGTTGATCGTATTGTTGTTGTTGCTGTTGCTGCTGCTGTTGAGCTTGTTGCTGCTGTTGCTGCTGCTGCTGTTGAGGTTGTTGATTGGAATTCGACTCGTTATTGAATGACATGTTATAAAAATTCATAATAAAGGGTGTAATAAAATAGAAGAAAGAACGACCAAAAGAAAGAAAGAACAAAAAAAAAAAAAAAAAAAAAAAAACTCAAAAAAAAAAAAAAAAAAAAAGCTTAAGGAAATATTATATTATTTATATATATTATCTAAAATATGATCAAAATATAAGTATGGCGATAATCAATAGAAATCAAATATAATCAACAGAAATAATCAACAGAAATAATCAACAGAAATTCAATAGAAATAATTAATAGAAATAAACTTGAATCTAGAAGATCATTTAAAATCAGAAAAAATTGAGTACTACGGTTATTATTATTTTTAATCCCACCGTAAATATGTAAAGCTATTTAATTTAAATTACGAGATAATATTTCCGCCTTGGACAACTGAAAAAATGTTAGCAAAATCAGCTGAACAAGTCGGCAAACTAAACCCTCCCTACATATTATTTCGTAAAGGCGTGTTTATCAGCTTCCGTGGGTATTGTCTTTTAGTACGGCATCACTGATAGATTAAACCAGTAGGGGGGTTATCTTAATGTTTGTAAGCAGTTTTATTTTCTATCAGAGAGTGGAATATTATATCCCATTCTGTGGGGTACCCACTCTGCCCATCTCTACTTCAGACTCTACCTACTAACGCCCACTCACCGACTCCTACTCGCCGACTCCTATTCACACCAACCCATCACCAACTCTCATTTACTCGTCCATCTACTGAGAGATCTCGTTAGAGCAATCGGGGCGTGTAAGGCAAGTAGGGGCGTCGCGCAAACAAGGGTCACGTGCGGGTTGTTTGTACGGAGCTTTGCCTTGACACTCAGTTGGTGCTGATCTTAGCAGGACTTAGGAACAGAGAAAAACAAGGAAGAAGACTGGGACGAGTAGTGTAAGTAAGAAGGGTAGGAAGGGTAGGAAGGATAGGAAGGATAGGAAGGGTATTGACTCAAGAAAGTTAATTATTCACCTAGTTGACAATTTTTCTATTCACCTCGTGCAAAAAGATTTAGTATAAGAATGTATAGTTAATAATTATATAAGTAACTCAAGTGATATCAGAGTACGGCTCAGGAGTCGGGAGAGTTGAGAGCTTTGACTTGCAAGTGCCTTTTGGCAAGCTGGACAGCATCGATTAGTTGATGAAAATACCCGAATAGTGGTTGCAAAAAGCAGAAAGAAAACAAAGAATTACAGGCAGCTCCGGTGACAGCATCGGGGGTAGGAGTTACTGACCCACGACATCGTGACCTGCGACATCGCGACATCGTGACCTGCGACATCGCGACCTGGGAGCGACATTTGTTCCGGTAGTTTGCGATTTAGTGCTTGCTGGCCATCAAAGCCCGTCCCAGGCAATTAACTCCCGACGCTATGATAAGCAATTAACTGCCGTCATAGCTTAACTATACATAGTAATGGTCACTAAACGGTTGAATTAATGGAAGAACCGTCCAAATGGGAGAGGGTTCGGACGGAGTTTTCAGGGAACAAGAACCCGCTTTTGTCCTTTAGGTCAAGTGCAGCCTTTTTTTTTTTTTTCACAACCTAATCAAGTTGCGATCATGGGGTTTGCTATAAATTAATATAAAACGAAGACATTCTAATTCATAAGTTTGTATAGTAATTATAAAATATTAATATTATTATTATTGAAAATGATTACATCTACACGCACAAGGCTTGGGTATCCAAAACAATTAAGACTATTAAGTTCGGTTAGTAAACCTACCTTATACACTCGTAGTCCCTTAGATATCAAAACCAAGGTTCGTCTGAGTGAAGAGCAAGTTCAAACAAATGATAACAGATTTATAACTCATCCAACCTTCCCTCATCCAGCTTGGACTAATGAAGAGTGTGATATGGTTAAGTTTGAACATCGGGTTCCTCGTACTTTTGGTGATTCAATTGCTTATAATGGTACCATGTTTTTCAGATCATGTTTTGATTTTGTCACTGGTTATAAAAAACCCAAAAATCATCAAGATTTATTAGATGGATTTAAAGGTACTAGATATCAAATGACCGAAGGTAAATGGTTAACCAGGGTGCTATTTTTAGAATCAATTGCTGCAGTTCCTGGTTCGGCAGCTGCTTGGATTAGAACTTTGCATTCGGTACGAAGATTGCAAAGAGATCATGGTTGGATTGAAACTTTATTGGATGAAGCTTATAATGAAAGAATGCATCTTTTAACTTTTGTTAAAATTGGTAATCCTTCTTGGTTCACTAAAACATGTATCTTTTTGGGTCAAGGGATCTTCACTAATGCTTTCTTTTTCATGTACTTATTTAATCCAAAATATTGTCATCGTTTCGTTGGTCATTTAGAAGAAGAAGCAGTTAGTACTTACACCCATTTATTAGAAGAAATCGATTTGGGCCGTTTACCTAAATTTGATGAAGTTAAAATCCCCCAAATTGCTTATGAATATTGGCCGGAATTAAATAAAGATTCCTCTTTTAGAGAGTTGATTGCTAGAATAAGAGCTGATGAATCCAAACATAGAGAAGTTAACCATACTTTAGCCAACTTAGATCAAAAAACTAATAGAAACCCCTTCGTTTTACAGCTTCCAAACGTTAAAGGTCCTCAACCAAATGGTGGATTGAAAGAAGTTAAACCAACCGGTTGGGATAAAAAAGATTTAATCTTATGATTTATGTATTTAGTTTATTTATTGTATCTAGTTTATTTATTGTATTTAGTTTATTTATTGTATTTAGATTTATTCATATGATGTTAATGAGTAGCTCCCAAAAAAATTGTAGCTCCTAAACAAACAATCATTACTAGAAATCCCCAAATACTTAATATCAATCCTCCATATTTTGATAATATATCAATCTTGTTATTTTCTTGTGGTTTTATTAATAAGTATCCGAATAATCCTGGTAATATAAACGATATCGATGTTGATCCAGTAGATCCAACAAATGCCAACACTTTAGCTAATGAACTAACTGATATTGCCAATAAATAACTAAATATCACAATGATACTGGTGATTGCATAAAATCCTCGACTTGATAATGGTACGATAATTGGATCATGTCCATCAGTATCCTGAGCTCCTTCCATTGGAGTGGTTGAAATAAATGAGTGATCGTTTAAACTTTCAATCTCATTTCCCTCATTATTGATTGGAGTATATCCTTCATTAGTAACATTGGTATTTCTTAATTTCCATCCACTTTTAACTCCATTCTTGATGAAATAAATTACATGATTGATTGACCCTCTGCACGGATGACACTGTAAAGGATATGATAAACTAACCATAAGAACAATACAAAGTCTTCCAATTAATGACAGCTTCGAATCTTTTGGATACATGGTTATAATATTCCCATTAACAGAATTCCCAAAATTTAAATATCCAATAATTCCAACAATTAAATAAGAAACACACGCAGTAGATATAGCGTTTCGTATTATATGATTGGATTGTCTAGTTTGAGATCCACTTCTTTCACTTGGCTCTAATTCATTTATAATGGCAAACATATTTTGATGACATGTATATGCAAATACAAATATTGGGAATGATGAAAAGGTTGATTTAAATGATTTTGGTCCAAAAAAATCAACTGATGTGTCAATAGTTGTATCATCTGGTATAGTATCATGCATAGCATAATGGGTTATAACAAGACAGATTAAATATATCACTGAAAAAAGTGCCACTATTGAAGTATACTTTAAACTATCTAATTTTTTCAAATATGACAATGGTGTCACTATTGTAAACATAAATAATGTAATCCAAAAATTACGATTCATTAAAATTCCTTCATTAACATTTAAGGATTCCATAATTTTTGGCATTAAATCTCCAATAACAACCAAATAACTAACTCCAACCCCAAAACATTTGATCGCAATAGCACTATCAAATACAATAGATAACTGTGGATAGGTTAATTGTGATAAACTAAAGTATGATACTGCTCCTTGCTGTTGAGTAAATTTCGATACCTTATTCTGTAAATAAAGTCCAAATGCTGATGTTAAGGATGACCATAATATAAGAAAAGATCCAAATAATAACCCATTACATTTTAACCCATATGGCATGGCAAGAATACCAGCACCAATAATGGTATTTAACAAATTGATGCTACCTGATTTAATCGTAGCTTTACCCATCTTATTTGTTGTTTACTTGAATTAAGCTAAGCTTGTCCAGCAATCCTCTTACTTTATATTCTCGTGTAAAGTGGAATTGATCCTTATCATGAAAGCCTTTTGATTGAATGAAGGAAAGTTCTCTCCGATTATTTGATATGGTTGTAAATCACACTCTTATCGATAATTCCAGTTGTTTGTCTCAATAAAAGTTCTGCTTTCAAAATCGCCAGTAACATTTTTTCTCTTTCTGGGAATCGACATCGAGTATGCAGCTAAGAATTGGATTTCTAATTTGGCTGCCAAATCAATTACTAATGACTGCTGCCATCATCCTTCGAGAAGTCAAATCTCGGAGATGATCCTATAAGGGACAATGGATGGTGCCACCGGCCGCAAGTATTACCAATAGGAGTACCATCCCGGTTGTATACTCAAGTTTATTTGTAAGCGTGCACCATTTTTGTTCAATACAAATATCCAGCCTGTTGCTCCTTTCTTCGACCAAAGTTATAAACCTTGAAGACAACAATGACTGGTAAGCCAATAAGACAAAGTAAACTATTCCAACCAATTAAGGTAGGATCTTTCGAATTGAAACACCGTGTTGCTCATTCACCAACTACAAGGTTACGTGCTGATGAAAATAACGTTCCAAGTGACTTGCAATTGAAGTATTATACCGACAGAACAACCAAACCAGGGACTTTGGTTGTTAGCGAAGCAGCTCAGATTACCGACAATGAGTACCGCTATCCTAATGTTCCAGGTATTTGGAATAATGATCAAGTTAAAGCATGGAAAATTATTACTGATGCAGTTCACAAGAATAAATCGGCTATAGCTTTACAACTCTGGTCTTTGGGTAGAATTGCTGATCCAGAAGGAATGAAAGAGAGAGGTTTCAAACCTTTTGCCCCTTCTGCTATTTACGAAAGCGAAGAAGTAAAGGCAAAAGCTGAAAAAGTTGGTAATACCATTCATGAGATGACTGAAGATGAAATCCATCATTTGGTTAACCATACTTACGTTAATGCTGCTAAGAATGGTTTAGCAGCAGGGTTTGATTTCATTGAAATCCATTCTGCCAATGGTTACTTGTTAGAACAATTTATTAATCCCTGTTCTAATAAAAGAACAGATAAATACGGTGGCTCAATCGAAAATAGAACCAGACTCACCTTAGAAGTGATTGACGCTTTAATTCCAATTGTTGGAGCTGATAAATTGGCCGTTAGGTTTTCACCTTGGTCAACTTTCCAAGGTATGTTAGCTGAAAATGATGAAGTTCATCCAATTGCTACTTTTGGTTATCTTGCAAGTGAATTGCAAAAAAGAGCTGATACTGGTAACGAATTGGCTTATATTAGTCTTGTTGATGGTAGATTCGAGCCAGATGGTGAAAGAGGAGTTGATAATACCTTTTTCAAACAAATTTGGAAAGGTAAGTTATTAAGAGGTGGTAATTACACCTATGATGCTGAAAATTGGGAGACAGTCTTATCAGATATGGATGATGATAGATCAATTGCTGGTTTTGGTAGATTATTCATTTCAAATCCTGATTTACCCGATAGAATCGAAAATGAAAAAGAGTTGAATCCGTATGATAGAAGTACTTTTATGGTTGCTTCCACTAATAAAGGTTATAATACTTATTCAAAGCTTGGTGAAACTATTGATGTTGAAACTGAATCAAAAATGAATGCTATTGCTTTAGTTTAATTTTGTATATTTCACATACTACTTTTAATTTTAACAAATTTTTATAATGTGTATTGATCAGCATGTCATAAACAAATAAAAAGATCAAGAAAATACAGTAAAACTAAATAGAAGAAACAAATAAAAGAAAAAAATTAACAAGACAACCTTCCTTCAAATGAAAATCAATTCAAATACATTGAAAGAATAAGCTAAAGTGCCCACCTTTACCAAGTATCTTGACAAACTAAAAAGAAAATTTAATCACTGGAAGATGAGACAAATAGAAAATTGGTAAAGAAGTAGAACAGAGTAATTTGTATGTAGTATATATCATTCCTTTTTCAACAAAAGAAGAGAGTAATTTAGAATAAAACAAGACTATTTGAGAAATCAGAAAGAGATAAGGGGCTTTTAATAATTCAAAAAAAGTAATAAAAAACAAAAAGGTAGACGGTGATTAGATGTAGTGAGACTTCCCAAAGACAAGCACTCAGAATAAAAAAAATAATAATAAAAAGACCAAAATATAAAGGTGGAAATCAATAGTAGTAATAATAAATATTCAAGTAAATATCATCTTTGACAAAAACCATCCAAGGAATTAAAAGATTAACCAACTTAAGATAAATGCCAAAATAACCAAGATAATGGCAAAAGGAATCGAGATACCGCTAACTGGTTCTTCTGAGGTTGCAGCTTGGGAACTTGATTTTTCACCAGAGGTAACTTTAGAAGAATCAACCTTTTCGTTAGAGTCTAATTTTTGCGATAAGTTATTAATTTCAGCATTTGAAGCATCTAATTCTTTTTGTAAATCATCACCAGATTGAGCTTGACCAGAACCATTACTTTGATCTCTGGAAGGAGTAGTATAAGCATCATTTATAGATTTATCGCTTGGTCTTTCAGGAGTTGAAATAGAAGAAGACCCAGCTGGAACGGAAGGAGCGGTAAGACCAGTTGATGCAGCAGCAGCACTAGCACCGGCGGCACCAGCACCAACACCAGCAGCACCATTAGCAACGTGATCTTCATCACTATCGGTGATAACGTAATTGACTCTTAATTTTTTGGAAACCAATTGTTCTTTATATTTAGCTTCCAAAGAAGACCAGATTTCACCAACTTTTTGAGCATCTTCTAATTCGGGACAAGGTAAAGAAACAATTAAGAATTTATCTTTACATTTAAAATCTTTTGGTAAAGGTTGAGCAAAACCTTGTAAAATGATCGAAATTTTAACTGAATCATTTGGTTCAACCACACTGGCGTTTGGTCTAACACAGTATAATTTAGGAGCAGTGGTTTTAACTTTGAAAGCCAAGGGACTCGAAGAAGTATTGGTTAAAGTCAAATATTCAGTGGATTGCTTGGTAAAAGTACCTAAAAAATTAAGTTAGTAAATTGACCAATGAATACCTTCCCCTTAATTGTCTAGTACACGCTAAATTGCGGTGGTTTATCCAATGTTGTTTGAAACTATTCAATCAACATGTGTCAATAGGAAATCATTGAAAGCGAACGGAAAAAAGGACAGCAATATCAATTCACCTGAATCAACCTGATCAGTGTTCCTTCAATTCAGCAAATCAATCTCGGATCGACTCAAACGTCTTTTCATATGAACAATTAACTCGGTAAACCCACACAGAAACCCCCCATCTTCAATTTTTCAATCCAGCTTATACTAAATGAACTAATGAGGGTCGAAATAATCCTTTTTTTGCCCTGTCAAAATGGAAAAGAATCTCTCATTTAAACACTACATACCTTTAAATTCTAATACACTTGGTTGAACTTCCATTATGGTATGCTATATGAACAAGTTGATGATGATATAAGGAAAGAATTGGTTAGATGGAGAAAGAAAAGGTTGGAAAGGAAAACAAAAACATGAAAAAAAAAAAAAAAAAAAAATCCAGTTTCTTCCTCACTAAACCTTTTTACGTGACAAAAGCAAAATTCACACTAAAAATTTGTCTTCTCTTTAAACGAAAGCGACTTCTGCTACATTCTCAAATACTCTGAAACAATCTTTGCTGGTTTGACTACAAGCGTGATTATAAGTCTGTGTCCTGGCTTCTGTATTGGAAGCTCATGAGAAGGGCCCTCCGTAAATGAACACGATTCAATTAGCACACGATTTCAATTACTAAGAAATGTACCCGTACCTTTTCTTTTTTTGGCCTTTCCCTGGTTTTTTCTTCGTTCGTTCATTATTTCGCCCCGTTGTGCTGGTGGGAGAATTGAAATGAAACGATTGTAAGTGATTTTGGCCAATTCTGTGATTGTTTGTTTGAGTAGACGTAGTGAACCATGTAGAGAGTTGTGTAAAGACGACCCCGTTACGGGGAAAGTTTAAATCTTTATAGGGAATTAACGAATATACGAGAATGCCAGCCCTGCCAGCAAATGATGATTGATAGATGGGATGAGGGCTACAATTACAAGAGGGAAAGATAAATGCATATATTAAAGAGATTAGAAATCTTCACCACGAGAGACAACTTCTTTTTTATGAGGATGTAATAAGATGGTGTGTTCGAATTGAGCGGTGTAACTACCTTTGATATCAACGATTGGAGGATAGTCTTCTACAATACCAGCTCTAACCAATTGATTCAATGCTAATAAGTATTTATCTTCACCGGTTCTTTCTAAGTAACGACGACACCAAGGTAAAGTACCGAAATTCGTTTTAATACTTTCCATTAAAGATTTTGAACGATCAGTTGGAGCTTTCAAATTTTGAGCCTCTGGTATAAGAGCATAATGGGAGCATTCACCAGATCCAACAACGTAACCATTACCAGTAGACCCGAAAGTTTCAATCGCAAAAGTTTCACCTTCTTCCATTTTAGTCATATCACCATTTGGTACAATTGGAACAGTTTTACCAGAATGAATAACGTAATTACCGATATTATGACCATTCAAATTTCTGATACACTTAACTGGATAAGTTTTACCATTTAATTCAACTTCGTATGATTCCATTACTTCTTGAACGGCTTCTCCGATATCATTTAATCTAACATCAATACCGGCTTCTTTAACCCCAGTATTAGTTGCTTCTTTAACTGCATTAAGTAAATTATCATACTTATCATCAAATGTTAATGTAAAAGCTGAATCGACAATATGTCCATTAACGTGAACACCAATATCCACCTTCATAACATCTTCATAACTTAAAACGGTTTTATCTCCAGTATTAGGAGTGAAATGTGCTGCAACATGATTTAACGATAAACCAGTTGGGAATCCAATACCTTGTTTTAAAGTATGGTCATTCCCAGTATAAGTTCTAATAGAATTTTCAATTAAATCAGCAATTTCAATCATACTCATCCCTGGTTTAATACTTGATTTGGCCTTTTGACGTACTCTACGGTGGATCTCGGCACCTTTACGGAAATCTTGCCAATCATTATTACGTTGACGATCCAAGTATCTTTTTTCTTCGCTAGTTACACGGTAGCTGTTGACTTCCAATGGGTACTCTTGCCATTCCCCTTCTGGAAAAATCCCATCGGGGTAACTGTTATCAATAGCAGTTAACTTCTTCTTCTTCTTATTTTTACTCTTCTTCTTCTTCTTCTTGTCTTCTTCACTTTCTGCTTCAGGAATTGATTCCGCTTTGGAATCTTCGATCTTCAAGTCATCAAGTTTGCTTTCAACAGGTGTTTCGGCCGGAATGTCAGCTGGTTTAGTCTCACTCATATTTTGGATTTAACTACTTCAATCTATTTAAGATGGTTATTGCAATTTTTTTTTTTTTTTTTCATTTTTTCCCTTCATCTATAAACCAGTTACGGGGGTGGTATTGCACGTGCAACATCATTACTTCCGGGACTTTTGTAATTACATTACTATAAATATACCATTTATTAAAAATTACTTAAGATTAAGAGATTGGCAAGTACGCCAAGAGAGAACCGAAAAGAAGAGAAATACTAAGCAAGAGATAAACATAAATTAAAGATTTTTTTTTTTATTTTCTTTTCGTAAAAACAAAAATTTTGCAATCATTTTTTAATTTTTTTTTTATTTTAATAATACAATGAAGAAATACATAAACCAAACCAAAGATCCGAACCAGAAATACCACTTATAATACAAATGAGCCATAACCAAAAAAGAACAAACAAAGGAAGCCACAAGTCAAACCAACTTCTAGTCCTTGCCGGAATCATTCAGATTATTTCCAAACAACCCATCTTTATCAAAGTTAATCATTTTACCATCGACAGGCAGTTTATTTGAATCATTCTTGTCTTGAATATTAGCTGTAGCAGAATTAGATAAGTTACTACCGATTACTTGAGGACCTCCACCACTTTGTAAGACGCCGTAATTACTCATCATGGTGTTGAAATCGGGAGTTTTCAAGAAATTCTTATTGTTTAGTATACTTAGAGAATTGTTATTGGAGTTATTATTGTGATGGATATTTGCTGAGCCTGGGGAAGGAGTAAAGAAAACATAGTCACTCATATTGAATCCTGCAGGAGTCAAAGTTAAACCAGAAGATGGTAAACCCGACCCACCATTTGGATTCAATTGATTATTTACTGAGTTATTGAAAAGATTAATCGAAGGAGTTAATCTATTTTGAGGAGTTTTAGTAGTATTTGTAATGTGACGTTTTGGAGTTAAAGGAGGAGGGAATGAATTGGTAGATTGATTTTGTTGTTTATTGGATGATAATTGATTATGAACTGAGGAAATTGGTGGTAACTTTTCATTTGATCTTGGAGTATTATTAGAAGAATGATAAGGTTTTGCAGGAGACGGAGAAGTAGCCAAGTACATTAATAAATCTGCACCTTCTTCATCGGTATTGAAATTCTTAGATTGAGTTGGGGTACGTAAGGGATTTGTATGGAGCTGTCTTTTAGGAAGGGTTGGAGTAGTCTGTTCGTTTTTATTTTTCTTCAGGGATGAAGAGTTACTTAAAGATGGAGAAGGTTTCAAAGCAGTATCCAAAGTGTTTGGTGTAGTGGTTGGAGATGAAGCCTGTTCTAAATTAATTTTAGGAGTTTGATGATTTAAAGGAGAGGATTTCAAATTTTTGATACCACCTTTTTTAGTTGGAGAGTCAATTTCATCATCGTAATTATTATGATGAGATAAGATTTGGTTTGACCGAGGAGCACTCAAGGGAGTTCCTTTCAACGGAGATGAGGATAAGAACACTGCATTTGAATTTTTCATTTGCGTTGGAGATTTCCCATTTGGACTGTATAAATTAGGAGATGATGATAAAGTATTTGAATTGTACGAGGGCGAAGAGTCAAATTTATTCTTCTTCAACATATAGTATTTCAAAGGAGAAGCTTTAGGTAAGTTTGAAGAAGCTGATTTAGGAGAAACTTTAGTGTTATTTGGAGATAACGATTGTTTAGCAGTGATTGAAGCTTTTGATAATTTTTTCTTTAATTGTTTGGCAATTTTTTCTAACTCATCTTTACGTAAGGGAGTTTTCGGTTTAACCCCAACATTAGATGGACTATCTTGGATTTGACTTGTAGTAGAGTTGTTTGCCATTGTAGAATTCATTGAAATATCAAATTCTGGAGATGATGTTTTAATAGGTGATGAATGATTTATAGTATTAGTATTTTCTCTTAAAGTATTCATGATTAAAGAAAAGACAGCCGGTTAAAAAAAACCAAATTAAAATTAATATAAATGTTTTATTAAGCGAAGGTGTAAATTTATAAGTAACAACGGAAATATCCCAATAGCAACTAGACTAATTAGTCTTTATTCAAATTTAATCGGTTATAGGTTTCTAACTATCGGTGAAGAACAAGTAAATTACACGTATTTGGAATAGTATTAACCTGGAAAGCAATCAAATCGAATCTAGTCTAGCAAATGGACAATACTTTTGTAAAAGAACTTTTCCAATTAAAGGGACTTCAAGTCAATTAAGGAGAAGAGCCTGGCAGAAGAGAAGAAGCAAAAATTTGACAAAAAAAACGCGTAATTAGGTACAGCAGTTGAAATCCAATGATATTACCCCTTTGGGGTAAAATCAGTTACGGCATCGCCAACTACGTGCGGCACGTGCGCTTTCCGCCTTAATCCAACCTTTTCCGAGGGCAATGTCTCACCTTTTTCACTTGATTGTTGGTTGTTTTTGCAATTTTTATTCCTCTTCTTAACACCCCCTTTCATCTATGCTGGAAGAAAGGGCCGATCGAGGTGCTCCTAACTCGGCACAATGTACGTATACTGCTCGAGTCACCGGCCTGGCTCAGCACTACTGGGAACTGCAAACAGCGACAGTGGCAGCATCTTACTAGCCCCAACTACCGTATTTGCAGACATTTCTCCTGATTGTAGGTATTTGTTCTGATTGTTTGCAGATATTTTTTCTGATGGCTTGCAAGTATTTTTCTAATTGCTTGCAGGCAGAGAAGTGTCGTGGTGTATGATCAGCCATTTGTATTGATGTGATGAATTGGTATGGAATGGTATGAATTGATACGGTGAATGGAGCTGATGTACGGGTCGGGCTCTTCGCGGATATCACCGTTTAACGAACACGAAATAATTGAATGAGCTAGACAGTTATTAAACCAAGGAAGCATGTTTCAATATATAGCATTGGTATTGGTGATTCTAGTGGTTGTGTCCAAGAGTCTTTCGGGAGTGTTACCCCGGTTTTTTTTGGTTCCACCGTATGACTGGAAAGAAAAGATCACCAAGGTGATCAATTATCCAAAACCAATTTATCTTTCAGTTGGTCATAAAAAATCCAGTTATCGTCGTAGACTTATATTAAGTAGCTTACAGCCTTCGTTTTATACTAACTATGTGAATAATAAGATCAAGATTAATCAATTGGATGCAAAGAATGAGAGTTTTGTACCAAGTATGAATAATCGAGGAATCGATGATCCAAACCGTAAGAAGATCTTTGGGTTTTTCCATCCTTATGCTAATAACGGTGGTGGTGGTGAAAGGGTTTTATGGCAAGCGGTTAAATCTACTTTATTGCAAAGTTCAAATAACATAGTGGTGATTTATACTACCAATCAAGTTGAACCATTATCTATTTTGAAGAAAGTGGAAGATAAATTCGAAATTAAGAATCTTGATTCATCCAAAATTGTTTTCATTTACTTAACCCGTTTTTCAAATTTAATTGATGGTAACTACTGGAAACATTTCACTTTAATCGGTCAACTTTTAGGTTCGGCCTTATTGGCTTTGGAAGCTTTATATCATTTGAGTCCCGATGTTTGGATAGATACAATTGGCTTACCAGGTAGTTACTTACCAGTGAACTACATTTTGAAATGCCCAATCCTTGCTTATGTTCACTATCCAATTATTCAACCAGATATGTTTAATAAATTAAAATTTAAATCTTTCCAAAATTTAATAACTGGGTTCAAATTTAATTCTTCAAACTTCAAGCATGGTTTCAAGTTCATCTACTGGTCTCTCATTTATTACCTCTATATCTACCTTGGGTCTTTGGTTGATATCACTTTAGCTAATGGTTCTTGGACCCATGCTCATTTACAGAATATCTGGTGTCTCAATCCACATGAGTCCATTCAAATATTGTATCCTCCTTGTGGTACTGAATCATTAACAAGTACTTCAGAAGTTGCAAGGCAAAATAAATTCATTTATATTGCTCAGTTCAGACCTGAAAAACGTCATGATTTGATCCTAGCTGAATTTAAAAAATTCCTTCAAGCTTCCACCAAATCTAACATTCCAATCAATAAAACTCCCTCTCTCATCTTCCTTGGCTCTTGCCGTACTGAAGACGATACCTCCACCCTTGAGAGTTTGAAAAAAGAAGTGGCCGAGTTAAACTTATCCGATTACGTGGAGTTTGTCGTGGATTGCTCGTACGATACCATTTTGGAATTGTTATCGTCAGTTAAGTTTGGCTTAAACGCAATGTGGAATGAACATTTTGGTATAGGTGTTGTCGAGTACCTTAGTCGTGGGGTCATACCCGTAGTACACGCATCGGCAGGCCCTCTCTTGGACATTGTTCTCAACGACCAAGTATCCTCCTCCTGGTACAATGACTTGGGTTTTTTCTTTAAGAGTGCTTCTGACCCCGACTTTGATCCTTCCTTGAATTCAGATGATCCCAACTCCTTAAAGTTCAAATTCAACGATAAGATCATTGAATATCCTTCGTTATCCCAACTACTCTCCACCTTCTACATCGAAAACCCAGACCTCATACTGGAATCCAACTTACAGCTCATGAGATCCAAAGGCTCCAAATTGATGGTAGAAAGATTTTCAAATAAAGTATTTTCATCAAACTGGATGGAGTACATGGACAATCTAGCTGTTTTGGAAAAACAGCACAGAGAACTCAGAGGCGATGTCGAGAAAGTCCACTAACCAATGTCTTATATATGTAGTATTTAGTCCTATTCTTTCATTTTAACTTATTAAATTGTAATTTAGCAGCCTATATTGGAAGCGTGTGCAGACCAGGTGTTTTTCCTTCAACAGCCAAAAACAAAAAAAAAAAAAAAACAATCACTGATCTCTCACTAATTTTACTGAAGGTCAACAGTCTGCGTGTTAACTTTGACACTGAAAACTTGAACAAACTGGAATCGATAAATTATCAATCGATAACACCAAAACTTCACTTCAATTAAGCTCCGCGACATCTTGTGAGTACTTGTACACCTGTTGTTGTATCAGTTCCGTTCTTTCGTTTTACATAAAGAGGGTAATTGATAAAATTTCAACGAAAAACATTGACGTCCACCGAAATTTCAATATTTTGGATACTTATATAAATAAACAAAAAGCATAATATTGGGTAAAGTTTATCAGGAATTATTATTGAAATAAAGCCATTGAAGTATTGATTGAGATTTGAAGATAATGAAGTTAGACGTTACTAAACAGTTTTCTACCCGCTCAGATAGAGTTAAAGGTATAGATTTCCATCCTTCAGAACCATGGATTTTAACTACTTTATATAATGGTAAGATTGAAATTTGGTCATATGCAACAAACACTTTAGTCAAATCCATTCAAGTGACAGAATTACCTGTTCGTACTGGTAAATTTATTGCTCGTAAGAATTGGATTGTTGTTGGATCTGATGATTTCCATATCAGAGTTTATAATTATAATACTGGGGAAAAAGTTACTCAGTTCGAAGCTCATCCAGATTATATAAGAAGTATATCGGTCCATCCTTCCAAGCCTTATGTTTTAACTTCTTCTGATGATTTAACTATTAAATTATGGAATTGGAATAATAATTGGAAATTAGAACAAACTTTTGAAGGTCACCAACATTACGTTATGAGTGTTAATTTCAATCCAAAAGATCCAAACACATTTGCTTCAGCTTGTTTGGATAGAACTATTAAAATTTGGTCTTTAGGCTCTTCAGTTCCAAATTTCACTTTATTAGCTCACGAATCAAAGGGAGTCAATTTTGTTGATTATTATCCTCAAGCTGATAAACCTTACTTGATTACTAGTTCTGATGATAAGACTATTAAAATTTGGGATTACCAAACTAAATCTTGTGTTGCAACTTTAGAAGGTCATTTATCCAATGTCTCTTTTGCTATTTTCCACCCTGAATTACCGTTAATTGTTTCTGGTTCAGAAGATGGGACCGTCAGATTCTGGAATTCAAATACTTTCAAATTAGAAAAATCTATTAACTATAGTTTAGAAAGAGTTTGGTGTGTTGGTATCTTGCAAAAATCTAACTTGGTCGCTGTGGGTTGTGATTCAGGTTATGTCATTATCAAATTAGGTAATGAAGAACCTTTATTCTCCATGGACTCAAATAATAAATTAATAACCGCTAAAAATTCTGAAGTTTTCCAATCAATCATTAAACCAAATTCAACTGAAGGCTTGAAAGACGGTGATTCATTACATTTACAACAAAGAGAATTGGGATCTATCGAAATATTCCCTCAATCATTGGCCCATTCTCCAAATGGTAGATATGCTGCTGTTTGTGGTGATGGAGAATATATTATTTATACCGCTTTGGCTTGGAGATCGAAAACCTATGGTAAAGCTTTGGATTTCGCTTGGAATACTCACGATTTTACAAATGCTACTACTTTTGCCATCAGAGAATCTAAATTATCTGTCAAAGTTTTCAAGAACTTCCAAGAACATGTCACTGTTGAATTAGTCTATGAAGCTGATAAAATCTTCCCTGGTAATTTATTATCTGTTAAATCAGCTGGATGTTTATCATTTTACGATTGGGAATCCGGTAAATTGGTCAGAAGAGTTGATATTGACGAAGAAATTCAAGATGTTGTTTGGTCTGATAATGGTGAATTGTTAGCAATTGTCACTACTTCAGGAGTTGGTGAAAATTCTGGTACTGGCTCAAAGAATGATGAAACCTACTTTTTAAGCTACGACCAAAACTTGTATGAAGAAGCTTTGAATGAAGGTTCTCTTGACCCTGAAGAAGGTGCTGAAAATGCGTTTGACGTGTTATATACCTTACCAACTTCTGAATCCATCTTATTTGGTAAATTCATTGGCGATGTCTTTATTTATACCACTAGCTCGACCAACAGACTAAATTATTTCGTTGGTGGTGAAGTTATTAACTTAGGTCATTTCGATCATAAATACTATATTGTTGGTTATAAGGCACAAGAAGGTAAATTATATTTGATTGACAAATCTTTCAATGTTGTTTCCTGGTATATAAACTCAGAAGTTTTAGAATTACAGACATTAGTCATGCGTGGTGATTTGGAACAATTTGCTACTAAAAATATTATCGACGAAGAAACTCTGGAAGAATTACCAGATTTATCAAGCATTTCTAGAGAAGATTTATCCGAAGAATACACAAGTTTATTATCTGGTTTTAGTAAAACTGAATTAAATCAATTATCCAGATTTTTTGAAAAACTTGGTTATTTGAGCTTATCTTATTCTTTATCACAAGATTTTGATTCAAAATTCCAAATTTCCTTATCAACTAATAATTTGAAACAAGCTTATGAATTGTTATCTGATAATCAAAAAGAAAACCCTTCAACTGCTTTAGCAAATTCAGGTAAGTGGAAAAAATTAGGTGATTTAGCCTTGGCTAAATTCCAAATCAAATTAGCTCAAGATTGTTTTTGGTTAGCTAATGACCATGCATCTTTATTATTATTATTATCATCCACAAATAATCAAAAAGAATTAACCCGTTTGGCCGAATCAGCTGAAGCTATGGGTAAATATAATATCGCATTACAATCTTGGTGGTTGACTGGTAATAAAGATAAGTGTTTAGACTTGTTAATAAAAAGTGAAAGATATACTGAAGCTGCTTTCTTGGGAACCAATTATTCTAGTGATCCAGCTAAAGTAGCTCATGCTGTCAAACTATGGAAAAAACAATTGAACGACAAAGAAAGAAGTAAGGTGAGTGAACGTTTAATTGAAGATTTCAGCTCTTTGAATATTAATGGATCTTCTGCTGCTCCTGGTGAAAGCTTAATCGATCTTGAAGAACCAAAAATTAATGGAAATGGTGAGCTAGCATCTGAAGAAGCTGCTGAAGAAGCTGCTGAAGAAGCTGCTGAAGAAGCTGCTGAAGAAATTGCTGAAGAAGTGGATGCTCCGCTTGCTGACTCCCCAGCTGCTGATGCTCCAGCTGCTGATGCTGAATAATCATGAACATTCTATGACCCTTTTTGAATAGACTCATACAAAAAATAAAAAAATTTATTATATGTTATCGTTTTTGCTTCTCTTCTTTTGTCTTTAACTTTTATTCACTGTTGTTTTTATTATTATTCATTTGTACTTTTTAACATTATAAAGTAATTCTAGTTTGCCACGTTCAAAGTGAAAGGCTCAAAAATATAAATTTAAAATTATTATTAGTATGTAAAATGAATCATTCATTAAAGTTATATATAATCGTAAACTCGTAATAATAATATTACATAATATCTATAATTTTGATCTGAATTTTTCCGGTATGAAAACATCAACCTTATCAGCTACTTGATGTTTTTTATTTCGGCAAATAAAAAATAACTCTTGATTTCCAATGGTGTTTGGCCTATAGTCATCATAGTGCCATTTCACAACAACATTGAAAACCTTTTTCAATTTTAATTCCAAAAATCTTAATTCTGGATCGTTCAAGTCAACTTTAGCGATCCTTAAAACCAAGTCACCTCCTTTCTTCAATAAAGAGCATGCCAATAGTAGCGACGCGTCTGCCAAATCAAGCAGAGATTTTAAAGGATCTTGCAAAACATTATTCAACCCCGGGTTATTTCCAGTTCGAATATAAGGCCTAGTGCTAGTATTATTGAAAAAGCCACCATTTTGATAAAATGGAGCACAAAGATCTGACAATATCAAATCTGGTTGATAATCTTGAGGTTTGAGGGATGCAAGAATCTTAAGCTCATGGGGAGCCCGATTAGCCAACCTAGTTTTGGCCAACGTGGAGGGTGCTTCATCCAATTGGTCCATGTAGGCTTGATCGATTTCCTTATCAATATAAGAAGTTTCATGGTCGTCTTGGAGTTGCAAGCGAGGTTTAGACGCGTCTTGCAATCTTCTTAGTGCAACCTCTTTAAAATGGTGATGTATATTGCTATGAGTGCTTTGGGAGTATATGTTACCTTGGATAGTTGATACCTTCAGGGGAGGCGTTCCAAATAATATATCAAACCCTGCAATATGGCATTCCTTACTAAATTCTTCTTCAGTGGTTTCATGTACTTGGAGTAGTTTATCTTTAGCATAAGACGACCAATTTCCGGGCATATAGCCAAGATCAAGCACAGTACGAACACCTTTATGGAAAATCCCAAACTCTCGATCGGTATAGTATAATTTAGCGTGTGAACTCAAGTTGGTTCGATTGATCTTTTCTTGTCTAGTTAGTTTTATGGGATTATCTGGGCTCTTCTTATTTGTATTTTCGTTCTCCAATGCTCCCCCACTGGCATATCTAAATTGTTTGACAAGAAACAGTCTGGCAGGAGGCCTAAGTTTAATTGGCCGGAGGAAGCTAGTCAACATTCTTGGAAAATCCATTCCGTTAGCTATATAGTACTTAATTGATAAGCTTGATATCAGTCCGACATTTTGGGACTCGGGGCCAAAATGTCGCTGGATGTCGGTTCGTAGGGCTGTGCCCTAGCTATATTTTTTTACACGTGACTGGGAGGAAACTTCGCATTTTTTCCTTTTTTTTTTTTCTTCCTCGTTTTTTTTTTTTTCTTTTTTTTTTTTTTTTTCAACTGAGCGATGCTCAAACTTTGGTGAGGGAAAAATTTAAAAGTAATTTTCAAAAAATTGTTACTATTGAACTCTTTTAAAAAGACTTTATCCTCGTCGAATCAGTTTATTTTACCAAATACTTTTTTGGGAGACGAATTTAAGTAAAGATGTCTAAAATCACTGCTGCTCACGTTCGTGAAAACGTTCAAAAATTGTTGGAATTCTCCAACGAAACCAAAAAGAGAAACTTTTTGGAAACCGTTGAATTACAAGTTGGTTTAAAGAATTACGATCCTCAAAGAGATAAGCGTTTCTCTGGTACCTTGAAATTACCTCAAGTTCCAAGACCAAACATGACCATCTGTATTTTTGGTGATGCTTTCGATGTTGACAGAGCTAAATCTGTTGGTGTTGATGCTATGTCTGTTGATGACTTGAAAAAATTAAACAAGAACAAAAAATTAATTAAAAAATTAGCTAAGAAATACAATGCTTTCATTGCTTCTGAAGTTTTAATTAAACAAGTTCCAAGATTATTAGGTCCTCAATTATCTAAAGCTGGTAAATTCCCAACTCCAGTTTCTCACAATGATGATTTATACTCTAAAGTCACTGATGTTAAATCCACCATTAAATTCCAATTGAAAAAAGTTTTATGTTTAGCCGTTGCTGTTGGTCACGTTGAAATGGAACAAGATGTCATTGTTAACCAAATCATGATGGCTGCTAACTTCTTGGTTTCTTTATTGAAAAAGAACTGGCAAAACGTTGGTTCCTTAGTTATTAAATCAACTATGGGTCCATCTTTCAGAATCTATTAAGCGTGATTAGATATGTCTAATTTTAGATGATCTTTTCTAAAATATATGTATAGGTAATCGTTTAATATAATTTTGTCATAATTTTTGTTTTACAATTGTAGTTTTAAGTCATTATTCATTAAGTTGTCGGGAAAGTAAAAGCATTTTAAACGAATTATAAATAATCAATGATAAAAATACACTATTTATACAGCCAGAGATGGAAAATAAATTAGAAATTAGATAAGAGTAGGATGCAAGAGAAATTATAATGAGATATTAGCAAATTAAATATTGAAGAAGTGAATAGTAGGGTGAGCTACTTAAGCAAGGCAGAAGTGAAATTAAGAGCTAGCATTAGATGGTTGAACTTGTGATTGTTCCTCGATGACATCATCATCATCGTCGTCATCATCGTCATCATCATCGTCATCATCATCGTCATCATCATCATCATCATCATCATCATCATCATCATCATCGACGACAGCTTCTTCATTGTCAGTTTTTTTATCTTCATCATTTTCATCATCTTCATCTTCGATTTCAGGATAACCACCGAGTTTAAGAACAATTTTATTAACAATTTCATTCCAATCCATCATACCACCCATACCAATATCACCGTAGCTACCAACAACTTTTTCAACTGGTTTTAATATTTCAATCCAAGGCATTTCTTCAGAAATCAATCTTAATTGACGTTTAGTAGTGATTGCATTATAAGAATAACTAACCATTGCAGGGGCTAATAAAATTGGATAAGAAGTATTCCAAGCTCTAATCACATTGGTTAATAAGTTATCACATAAACCTAAAGAGATTTTAGATAAAGTATTAGCCGTTAAAGGACAAACAATTAATATATCAGCCCAACGACGTAATTCAATATGAAGAACAGGATCAGATCTGGTTTTCCAAGTAGTCCATTCATCGGAATCTCTCCAAACTCTAATTTTTTTAGTGTTTTCTAAATGATTTAAAACTTCATGAGAAATAAAGTTTTCACTTGCTTTAGTTAAAATTAATTGAATTGAAATTTTATTTGGAGTATAAATTTCAATCAATTTATTAATAATTAATTTTATTTTACCAGTTGATAAAGCACCACAAACACCTAATAAGATGTGAACTTTACCATCATCTTGAGGTAAACGAGGATCAATGTTTGAATTTTGTTCACCATTTTGTAAAGAATGTTGTTGAGGAATTGATTTATTTATTTGATTTGAATTTTGAATATTTGTTTGACTTGCCAAACGTTCTAAAGATTCAGTGGCTGAAGGTTTTTGAGCAGTCGAATTAGTCAGATATTCTGATCCGGTTGCAGAACCTGAATCACTTCTTGATCTATTTAAATTCTTCTGTGGCTTTAAAGTTTCATTAACGAAAAAATGGGCATGAACGGAAGGTTGTTTATGATGACTAGCTTCTGAAGGAGGACGCAAAGCATAATTTAAACTATTGGTTGATTCGTTTGTTGAACCAATTGAAGGAGAAGCAATTGGACTTATATTATTATTAGAAATTTGATTATTTGATTCCAAATTTTTCGGAATAGAAAAATTAATAACATTATTAGGTTCATTTGTCGAGTCTAAATTAGAATGTGATTGAGACGCCTTCTCATTCAATAAAGCACCACCAGCAGGTACAACGTTACGATTACTTTGATTAATTGGTTGTTGAGTTTGGAGATTAGGAACCAGAACAGAAGCCTGACCATTGACAGGAGGTCTTTGGTTCAAATTAAGATGGGATACATTATTAGTTGAATGAGCATTATTCAATATTGGAGGAGGAGAAGGGCATCGTAAATTAGAAATAGCCATTACCGATGGAGGGATATCCGACGGAGTTGAATCAGGCAGCATGGCCGGACTTGGACTAGGACTAGGAGACTCTTTTCGAGAAGGAACACTAGTAGATTCTGAACCCATGGTTTTAAGTGGCAATCAATAATCAAAAAGGTTAGTCAGCGACAATAAATCAGCTAGAAAAGCAAGAAGGAACAAAAAAATGAAAGAAATCAACCACTCTTACCAGCAGTTATCAGGATAATCTGATTGTGTGGGTGCACAGTCAAAAGTAAGGAATCCACCGAGCAGTTGATTGAACTTAAAGGAATGAGTTGAATGGATATAATAACGTATTATATTCAATTATTTAAGCGGGAAATCAACTGATTAATCGATTAGTTAAAGTTTTTTTCTCTCATTTTTCCCACTCAAATCTTTTTTCCATGGGAAGAACAAGGTCGTGTGTTGCCATGTCTTCACCAATTTTTTGCTTTTGGTGTCTGGGTGTAGCACCAAAGACCATCAGCTTATTGCAGCCTGGTGGAGCCTGGTGGAGCATATCGGAGCATATTGGAGCCTGGTGAAGCTTGGTGAAGCTTGGTGAAGGCCCACAGCTTAAGCCCGAAGATTTCTTGTGTATTACTGTGTCCAGATGAACCGTAGTGACTAGCTATACGAAGATGTTATTGGCAAGACAATAATTTAGTTAACAACTGGACAAGATTCGAATAACTAGAACCCCCTCTAAAGTACATAAACACGTTACAGGTTATAGATACGTTACAGATTATAAAACCAGTTATAATTGCGTTACAAACTGAAGCTAAAGCTTCGAAAAGATGAAAGAGGCAAGGAAAACAAACACAATGTTCAAAAGGAACAAACCCATTTGATTTCAACGGTGACATTAATTCCTTGTTCTTTAATTTCATTTTTGTTCATTTCCAACGTTGCTCGAGCATCTTTAGCCAGCAACTTAGATTCACATCGGCTAATGTCTATGTTTCACTAAGAATGTAACGTCACAACATGAACGTTGTGCAACAAAAGGGAAAAGAATACAAAGCAAAACCAAATGACAAACTAATTACTGCAAAAGATGTTTTTCTTCATCAAATGCACATCAACCAAAATCATGTAAGAGAAACGGATGATAATCAGGTAATTGAGGTGAAAGAGTTCATTAGTTCTCTTGCCTTTTCATCATCGGTTAGTTTATCATCTTTGATTGACATCTCTTCAATTTCTTCCAACACTTTTGTTTCATGTCTTTTCTTAGACCGGCGTTTTTCGTTGGGTGAAGTTTCTGGTGCTTGTATTGGCATTGGAATTGGAACGGGAACGGGAACGGGTGGTGTAGGTGGTAAGCTAGTAGGGAGCGAATTTGGTGGACCGCTAGTGGGGATTGAATTTGGAATGGATGGAGGAAATGGAGTGTAGTCGCCATGTGGGGGAGGAGCAGGAGGATGCATAGGAGCAGGAGGAGGATAATGATATTGGAGAAAATTAGGGTGATTTGGATAAGGATAAAAAATATTATACATTGGGTGGAAAGGAACAAAAGAGTTTGAAGGAGACGAAGTATTCTCATAAGAAGAATTGGATGAATATATTTTATTTTGAATCAGGTTTCTTTCAAAAGCCAAATTACTTATAATTGAAGATTTACTTGAAGGATGATTTGAATTTTCTTGACTTGAATTCGAAGAATGTCTAGAAAATGGAGGTGGCGGTGGGGGTACTGGAGGTGGAAGAGGAGCAGAAGAATGGTGTTTATTAATTGGATTCAATTGTTGTAAAATATAATTATTAAATTCTGGGAATTTATCAAATCTAACTGTTAAGGAGCGGCCTTCAAATTCAATATCATTGAAATATTTAATAATTTTTTCCAGAGATGATTGGTTTGCAGTGGTAACAATTGCAAAACCCCTACTTAAACCTCTTGTAGAAATAGAATCATCATTTGGTTTTGGAGGTAAAGAATTATTTGCATCTTTCGAATTTGAATAGTTTGATAAGAATTGATAATTATTTAAACGATTTAAACTGTTTAAACTTAAATTTGAAGATGGTTGCATTGGAATTTCCACTCTTAATATTTCAATATTATTATTTGGTTCGAAAATTTTCAGTTTATTTATAAGAAAATTTCTTAATGAAGTCCAAGTTGAATTAAAAGGTATATTACCAATAAATAATCTACATGGATTAACTTTTATTGGATTTTTTTCGTCGTCTTCCACAATTATGAAATTTTCGTCGGACTTTTGTTGATTACCAACCAAATTCATTAGAAATGGAGGCAACGATTTTGAATTTGAATCAGATGATTTTCTAGATCCATAATTTAGTGATGTATTAGTTGAATAGTCGTCATAATTATATTGATAGGGGAAATTGGGGAAATACGGATTATAAAAAGGATTCAATGATAACAGACTTGTCAGAGAAGACTCAGAAGATATAACTGAATCATTGGGAGAGTTAATGGAATTTTTCCTAAAATCATTCAATAGTCTAACTTCTAAAAATTTCCCTAACCATTCGTACCCATTCAAGATTTCAATCATTTTAACAATATAATTATAATTGAAGAATTCAATTATAATTTGATATGATGTAAATTTCAATATTTCAAATTCAATTTTTTCTTCAAAATTAGTCTCTATTATTGATTCTATTAATTTTAGAAATTCCAGTTTTTCGATACAATTGGGTAAATTTTCAATCTTAATTAAATACGTTATTTCATTATTAAATTTGGGTGAAATCGATGCTGGATAAAATGGATTGGCATTCTTATTAAATTTTTTCTCTCCTATCGAATTATTCAAATCATCCATGGTCATATTCTTTTACTAAAATATCTTAATTTAATTAGTTTGAAAAGAAAATTTGATTTCATTTAAACGAAATCAACTTTCCTCGAATTAAGGCAATAAACTTTAAAATATACAATACTTTGAAAACAATAGTAAACCATCCTCTACACTCCTTATTCGTTTAAGCTTTAAAAAAAAATTTTTTTTTTTTGGCTACAATTTAATTGTGGATATAGATAAGATAAGCAGCTGAAAATTTATATCCATTTCTTTTTCGGTGATTCTTTTCGGTATTTCTACTAGATATTAATTTTGGGTCTGTTGAAGTGCATCGACATATGCCAGAGCAGTCACACCATTTGGCGCCCAGTCACATGTATCTGTAGTTAAAAGCAGTTGTTATGCTAACCGTGAATGAGGGAATTAGATAAACCCTGGCAGGGGGTCTCGACCCCAGGCCGGTGCACCAGGAGGACCAATTGGTGTTGCAGCATGTTTTAGTAGCGTTAGGTGGTTGTAGGTAGCAGGTGCCGGCTAACGTTTGAGGCGGTTGTACGGCACGAACCGTTGATTAGTTGAATAATTGAGTTGAACCGTTTAACTGTTGAATAGAATAGACAAGTAGTCGAACAGTTGAATAGGTAAGTATTTTAATGGTACAGTACACTGTTAAGATGGTTTTTCCGGGCTAAGTGAAGGGCACTCTGGCTGATTGCCAGAGAGAGTAGATGAGATGAATACCTGTTCTAGGGCAGTGTGACTAGCATATTGATAATACTGAAAATACTATACTTATAGAATATTGATAGATAATTCATAGAATATTGATAATACCGATAATACCGACTAAGTACAGTCAGTACACCCAGAGCTTATGGTCCCTATAATTAATTGCAATTGCAACAACAAGCGTGTGCTACTGCAATGCTTGAGACACTGTCTTGATGAATGGACACTGGTCTAGAAACGTTCTTTCTTGCTTAAGGTGTGACTTGGTCAGTTGCAAGTGATGTATTTTGCTGGTATTGATAACTTTATAATCCTTCATTAATGAATTAGCTGAAGTATTCGAAGTATGTGAATTGAAGTATGTGAAGTATTTGGTTGTAATTTTAGTGGTTGCAAAGGTTTTTGTGCAGTGCTGCGGTATAAATTTGCAACTTCACAAACAACTTATCTCGATTGATAACCATACCAAGATGGAAAAGGAAGAGTCCCGCAAGGGAGTCACTGTATACTGTGTTATTTTATCTATTAGTGGGTTCTTCTTAGGATGGGATGTTGGCACTGCTGGTTATTTAATTAACGAAAGATTTCAGCAAGTGTACCGAGCCAATACCCTAATGATGGGTCTTGTTATTCTGAGTTTTAACCTTGGTTGTTTGATTGGATGCATTGGGGTTTGTCAAGTTTGTACCTGGGCAATTGGATATAATGGGACTTTTCGAGTTGGCAGTTTAATCTATATAATCGGAAGTGTGATTCAATTGGTGATTTTCATTATTTCTGGGAATCAATATATATTTATTTTGGGAAGATTAAGTTGTGGAATATGCTGTGGGATGTTATGTTTATTGGGACCCATTTACATGAGCCATTTAATTATTGACTCCGCTAAAAAAGGGTACTATTTATCGTTTTGTCAAATTGTGGTTTGCCTATCGATATTAGCTGGGAATATCGCTAATTATACCACTTACCCAGTAATTTACGGGATTCAAATCGGCATGGCTGTTATCATCAATGGGTTATTATTTTTTGTACCTGAATCCCCCCAATATTATTTGCAACATAAAAAATATTTTGCAATTAAACAAATTTTCACCAAATTAACTAATGACGAAAATAAAGCGATGGAATTTATCAAACAGGAGAGTATGAAGAAACTAGTTGATAAATTTGAAATGGGCCGCATGTGGAAATGCTGTTTAATTATGATTTTCCAACAATTGACGGGAATCAATTATTTTTTCTATTTTGGTGGAATTATATCCCAATCTTTTCTACAAACTCCATCACGGATCCCGATGATTATCATGAGTGTGATCAACTTGATTGGATCGGTTGTGGGCACCCGGTTGATTTCCAAGTATAATCCAATCACAATTTTAAAGTTGAGTTCCATGGTGATGATTATGCTTTTAATTAGTTATCTGATTTTGGGTGAGTTTATAGAAACTCATCCAGTTATTGGAATTTCCCTATTAATAACCAGTTGTTTATACATTTTTTTATTTGCCATTAGTTGGGGTCCGTGCAGTGGAGTACTAAATAACGAAATTAGTCAAGATAATCAACGAATTATGGGATTATCCATTGGAACTAATTGGTTTACTAATTTTTTAATTGGAACTATAAGTCCAACATTAATTGAAAAATTATCTTTTAATTACGGAATAATTTTTGCAATATTTATATCAATACTGATTTTTTTCATAAGAAAAATCTCTTAAACTTACCCTTGTTAAGTTACCCAACAAGTTTGATTATAAACACCAAAAAAAAACAAAAGGACAAATAAAAAGACTAAACCCTGTTAATGCAACTTTAGTCTAGTATATATTACTAACCCAAAGAGTTTCAAGAATCAAAAGAGTCAAAAGAACCAAAATAATAGTTTAAAAAGAAAATCTCGGTGTATGGAGGCACTCTAACCCTATTGACAACTGCCCTTTGACCGTTTACACAACAGAATGATGATATTTGGCCAAATGTCTCCCATTGAAGTACAAAAATGAATAATGTTCAACAAAAGTGAAATGTACCCAGGCCAAAAAATTACCTATTTCTCAATTTACAAATTAACAATACCAAACGCAAGGAATTATCAACGTCTTTCCATTCTTTCCACTCCTTCAGAGATTTGTTTGTTTTTTGGTTTATTTTGGTTTTTCGGTTTTTTTTTGGTGATTTTTTTTTTGTCTTTTGTATTTGAATATTCGGTTTAGTTTTTGTTTATTTTTTGGTTTTTTAGTACTTTACGTAGTCTTCTTTATGTAATTGTTATGTACTTGTTATGTAGTTCAACTTGTTTTATTATGTACTTGTCTTTTTCTTTTTCTGTAAATTTTTTTTTTTTGTCTTTTTTGTTTTTTAAAACTTGTTGTTAGTGCTCTTTTCCCATTGACTAGTGCTCTTTTCCAATTTCTGTTCTTGTTTCTTTCTATATAAATAATCATTAAATTCACAAGTTATTCTAGTTTTACCTTTAGAGTGTTTGTTTTTACCCCGATATATGAGTAAATAAGAACCTTCATTCAATTACAAAGGAAACAAACGGGTATATACTCTGGTACTGTATGTGCTTCGTTTAGAAGAGTGAAATAAATTGATCAAAAGTTGATTATTAGATTGAAATACGTCAAAAGTTGATTGAATTAGTCAAATAATTAAATCAAATCAAATTGTGTTTGAGTGCATTGACTAATTGAGTAATTGCATTAAATTGTGCATTGAGTGAAGTGAGTAATTGAGTAATTGAGTAATTGACTAGTGCATTGAAGAGTCTTGAATATTGAATTGAGTGAGTGATTGAGTGATTGAGGATGGCCAAAAAAAGGTTGAATGCTTCCATTAAAAGAAGTAGAACTAGATCAGGATGTTTAACGTGTAGGGATAGACATGTTAAATGTGATGAACAACAACCAGTTTGTAAGAATTGTATTAAACTGAAAAGAAAATGTTATAGAGGAATTCGATTGAATTTCACTCAATATACTATTTATAATCCATCCCAAGAAGTTAATAATAATTTAAAGCAATATCAACAATATCAAAATTTTAAATTATTAGATCAATCAATAACAATTGCATCATTATATGAAAATGGTAAAAAATTATATGAACCATATTTATATTTACATAATAAAGAAGATTTAAAAGAATCGGATTTACAATATCAACAAGATATATGTTGTTCAATATCTAATGTTAATAAAGAAAATGAATACGAAGATATAATAACAACAATGCCATCATCAACCATTCCAACAGCACCAGCACCAGTACCAATACCAGCTAGTGCAACAAATTTAATTGATGAATGGATACCAAATAATAATTTAGGAGAAAATTTTGATAATACTTCGATATTAGAAAATTTTGATATAACTAATTATTTATTACAAGAATCGAATTTAACCATTAATAATTTAAATGCAAATCAACAACCAATAATATTGAATGAACCGATTAATAAATATAATATTGACATTAATAAATTTATTAATTTAATTCAATATCAAAAATATTATTGGTTATTAGATTTATTTAATGAATTATTTATTTGGAAATCGATTATACCTTCATATTGTCTCAAATTAACTGAAATTGATAATCAAAATGAAGAATATAAATTATTAATTAATTGTTTATTAAATTGTTCAATTAATGATATATCATTAACCACTTTAAAACCATTGTTAAATCAACAATTAAATCAATGGAATCAAATTAAAAATTATGAAATTAATCAAGCAAATTATAAAAAATTTGAAAGATTATTAATAAGTATTGTTTTTTTATTTTTAAATATACTTATTACAATACAAAAAAATAAAAATTTTGAATTGAATTATGATGGGAAAATAATTCTTAATAATCAATCAAAATTTTTCAATCAAATTATAAAAAAATATGAATTTGATTATGTTTTCAAATCAATCATAACCATAAGTTCTATTCATTCAATTATTATTTTGAAATTTTTCATAAATAAAGAAATGAAATTAAAATTTGATAAAGATATAAATGAGGATGACAACGATGATATAAATTATAATGATGAAAATCCAACATTAAATTCTTTTATTAAACTAAATGATTTTGAAATTTCAAATTTAAATTCAAATTTTATAAAATTTGAATTTGATTCAAATAATTTCCCCCAAAATGATTCTCCCAATAAACTGGAATCTTTTAAATTAAGACAATTTATTTGGTTAACCATAAAATTAGATTATATTGATAAATTCCCAATTTATTCCTCATTATTTAATATTAATCTTAATTTATTAAATGATTTTAAAAATATTATTGATTTTACCTCATTTAATAATAACGATGATAATTTTAATATCCTATTACCAAATGATCAAGGTATTTTAATTAATTTATTAAATCTATATTGTAATAAATTAATTAATTCAAATGATTCAATTCATTGTAATGATAAAATTAATAATATTTTTAAAATTATTGAAAATTCAAAAATGGAATTAGATATTAAAGATCATTGGTTAACTACTTTCAATTGGTTACTAGATTAAATAGCCTAATATATATTTTGCAACTTCTACCCCGTCCAACCTCCGTACATATAGTAAGCAAATCAAAACACCCACCCACCAAGGGGTAAAACCGTTTTATTTAACCGAAACAATAAAATTAACCGTTTGAGTTTCTTCTGTTGAAATGCGACATTTTTAGTGCATCGGTTGCGGTAACAAAGTATGGAAGGTTTTTTAGATCGTGCGTAAGTACGATTACAGTATAAGCAGTGGTGTAGTAAGGCGGGTGGTAGTGTAGAAGGTAGTAGAGTAGGGATGTAGTAGAGTAGCTAGCAGCTAGTATTGTAGTGGGGGGTGGAATTCCGGCCTTTGTCCAATATAGTCAGATCTACGATATCGGCTGCTTCATCAAGTACCGTTTCTTAATCCAGCACCTGAAATGAGCCCAACCTTAGCCTCCTAACTACAAGCCAGCTCTACCCCTTTCTCCATTAATGTTAGCAGGTCTGGTGACCTTCAACGGTTAGCCAGCGGGCTCAAGGTACTTCTTCTTTTATTGAAACGAAATCAGTGATACGTTTACGATGGCTGCACCGCAATGCCTTATTGCATTTCATAAATCGTCTACTTTGCAATTTGTCTACTTGCAATTTGTCTACTTGCAATTTATCTACTTTGTAAAATTATGTATCTGTATCTGTTTTGTAGTATGCTTTTTGGAATGGTGTAATTATTTGCTACTTTTGACAAAATATCAACAAAATCTCATCAAAAAACAAAATCAACAATACATCGAAACATCAACAATACAGCTGAACAACCGGTTGTTTCACCTGTATGATGTATGTTCCACCAGCAACAGTAACCATCACAGCCATACAATTGTAACATGTACTGCTAATTCCATAACCTAATTATCACATTAACGAGTGAGCACATTCTACTATGCCCAATACCCAAATGCCCAATAACCCAAATGCCCAATAACCCAAATGCCCAATAANACCCAAATGCCCAATAACCCAAATGCCCAATAACCCAAATGCCCAATAAACTATGTCTGATATCGCCTAAACCTAATAACGCCTAACGAACTACCTAATATCACCTAACTAAGCTATAAACTATAAGCCTACTCAAACGGTCATCACCCTGACTACTAACAAATAGCCTCATCAGAATGTCCGGCGGGCACCACTCATACACAACTTACACAACTGACACAACTGACACAACTCACAACTGACACAACTTACACTATCAAATTGACTTGGTATAAGTATATTTAATTATGTATAGCAGTCCCGGGTGTGTGCATGGCACGACTAAAGACTTCAATAAGTCGCACTTTTGTATTTATGGTTAGCGCACGCGAACTACAACTTAGTAGTTGCAATCCCAAACAGTGTAGATATATATTACTTGTTTTCATTCACTTCTCTTCTGCACTTAACGAAAGAACTTATCTTTAATATAATCTTTTATATAATCTTTTATCTTTACTATATATTGAATATTGTTAATTATTCAAAACTATAAAGTAATTAGTGAAATCACATACTTGACAAATACGAAACTGTCACTGAGTATTAAAGTCAAAAGGAACTGGCTTCTCACTAACAAATATATTCTACGCGTACTTACCAATAATAGGTGGAGGATGTACGGAGGTACACCTCGCTAGGGCTCCGGCGCGTGGGAGCATCTGTTACCCGCCCGGCGATCCGCACGACGCAATGAAAATTTTTTCTCCTTAAATACCATTACAAGTTTTGATCTCTTCGTTTAACCCTAATCAATTGAATCATTATAAAATGTCTCAAGGAACTTTATTTGCTACTGGCCACTCTCGTGGTATTTTACCAAGAGCTTTAGTTAAACACTTCAAATTGGATGTTAAAATCTCCGATCAAGAAGATCCAGTTTATAAAAAAAACTTCCCATTAGCTAAAGTTCCAGCTTTTGTTGGTCCAAAAGGTTTCAAATTAAATGAAATCATTGCTGTTACCATTTACTGTATGTATAATTGAATAACTGAATCAACATTTGAAGTGATGAGAAATTTTTTCATTATTATACAGTTATCCCTGTCTTAATAAATTATGTCGAGAAATTATAATCTGAAAATTATCTTGTTGATGAAGATTATTGTTTTAATTGATTTCATTACTAACAATTCTTTTTTAGTATTAAACTTGGCTAATGATGAAAAATTATTAGGTAAAAACGCTCAAGAATACGCTCAAATCTTGAAATGGTTATCTCTTGCTAACTCTGAACTTTTACCTTCTCTTGCTAGTGCTTTCAAACCATTGATTGGTGCTTCTCCTTACAACAAAAAACAAGTTGACGATAACACTGCTTATGCCAACAAGGTTGCCAACATTTTTGAAGAAAGATTAGCCAGCTACACTTACTTGGTTGGTGAAAGATTATCTTTAGCTGATTTACTCGCTACTACTTCTTTCCTCAGAGGTTACGACCACTTATACGGTGCTCAATGGAGAAAACAATACCCAAACATCACTAGATGGTTCAAAACTATCATTAAAACTCCAATCTTAAGTGAATTCATTGGTGATTATAAATTCAGAGAAAAACCAGTTGAATACACTCCTCCAAAGAAGGAAAAGAAACAACAACCAAAAGCTGAAAAAGCTGAAAAAGCTCCAAAACCAGCTGCTGCCGCTCCTGCTGAACCAGCTCAAGCTCCAAAACCAAAACACCCATTGAGTTTATTACCTCCAGCTAAAACTTCAATTGATGAATGGAAGAGAACTTACTCTAATGAAGAAACTAGAGAAGTTGCCATTCCTTTCTTCTGGGAAAAAATTTACAACCCTGAAGATTACTCCTTATGGAAGGTTGACTATAAATATAACGACGAATTAACCTTGACCTTTATGTCTAACAACTTGGTTGGTGGTTTCTTTGCTAGATTATCTGCCTCCACCAAATTCATGTTTGGTTCCATGGTTGTTTTCGGTGAAAACAACAACAACGGTATCACCGGTTTCTTCTTAATCAGAGGTCAAGATCATGTTCCTGCCTTTGATGTTGCTCCAGATTGGGAATCTTATGATTTCAAAAAATTGGACGCTAAGAACGATGAAGATGTTAAGTTCATCAACAACATGTTGGCCTGGGATGAACCAGTTGTCGTCAACGGTGAAAAGAAAGAAATCGCCGACGGTAAAGTCTTCAAATAATCTATATAGTTGTCTGTACTTAATTATATTCTTTATTTTATTATCAGTAGAAAAACCGTACCTTCTCCCTAAATTTTGGTGTACGGGTGTGCACGTGCCGACGATTTGGAAAACTGAAAAAAACCGAAAAAAAAGACACCTAACGTTGGCACGACAAAACAATTGAAATAGAAACTTGTGAGTTGAAACAGGTATTGACATTATTGACTAGAGTATCAGGATGGCAAATCTTTCATACACTAAGAATCAGTTGGTTCGTCAGATACGAAGAAAACCATTGACCATTCTTGGTCCGATCACTTTAATTTTGATTATTTATCTCTTTTTTTTTTCATCATCATCATCAAGTAGAATATCAAAGGGGAATTCGAAAGGTAAATCGAAATATAGTTATACCAAAAAGAATGGATGGTTTTCCAAGAATAAAGATTCATTGATTTTACAAAACTTACCAAAGAATCATATAAGTCATTATGATTTAAATAAATTAACTGTTACCCCCGATGCATTAGTAAATAAAGAAGAAGTTTTAATTTTAACACCAATGTCCAAATTTGTACCAGAATATTGGGCTAATTTGAACAAATTAAGTTATGATCATAATTTAATAACTTTAGGATTTATTTTACCAAGAACAAAAGAAGGGGATCATGCATTGAAATCATTAGAAAGTGCCATAAAGAAAACCCAATCAAATCAAGGAAAATTTAAAAAAATTACTATATTAAGACAGGATTCTAATTCATTAGAATCTCAATTAGAGAAAGATCGTCATGCTTTGAAAGTTCAGAAAGAAAGAAGATCAATGATGGCATTAGCTAGAAATTCATTAGTATTTAGTACTATGTCTCCAGCAACTTCTTGGGTATTATGGTTAGATGCCGATATTATTGAAAGTCCCCAAACTTTATTACAGGACTTAATGGCTCATGATAAACCAGTCATTAGTGCCAACGTTTATCAAAGATATGTTGATGATAAAACAAAACAAGAATCAATTAGACCTTATGATTTCAATAATTGGGTGGAATCAGAAGAAGGTTTGAAGATTGCAGCTGGTTTAAAAGACGATGAAATCGTTGTTGAAGGTTATGCTGAAATGGCTACTTATAGACCTTTAATGGCTCATTACTATGATGCTAATGGTGATGTGAGCACTGAAATGGCCTTAGATGGTGTTGGTGGTGGTGCTGTCTTAGTTAAGGCTGATGTTCACAGAGATGGTGCAATGTTCCCATCTTTCCCATTCTACCATTTAATTGAAACCGAAGGTTTTGCAAAAATGGCTAAAAGATTAGGTTACGATGTCTTCGGATTACCTAACTACTTGGTCTACCACTTTAACGAGTAAGATAGAAAAGAACCTTCGGTAACTCCCAGAGTGCCCACCCCATAAACAGTTCTCTTACATATAGTTTAAAGATTAAATTGATAATCTGAATATAATTAAATTTTTCATAGCTTATTGTAATTACTATATCGGGCGAGCCGCAAGAAGGAATTAAAAAAAAAAAAAAAAAAAAAAAAAAAAAAAAAAAAAAAAAATCGAAGGATGAGCTCCATCTCTTCACACACAAAAAAAAAAAATTATCATTAATTGATTTTGTAGGGTTTTACCTTCTTTTCTCCTTACCTTGAATACATATATATATCTGATTATATATAAGAGAGAACGTATTGTTAGTGATAATAAGAAGTTTCTGTGAAGGTCCGTTTAAGTTTCAAGTTATATATATTATATTAGACAAATTTTATCCATTTCCAAAATGCAACTTTCCTGGAAAGACATTCCAAGTGTCCCTAGTTCTAATGATATGTTGGATATCATTCTTAATAGAACTCAAAGAAAGACCCCAACTGTTATTAGACCCGGGTTTAAAATCACTCGTATTAGGGCATTTTACATGAGAAAAGTTAAATTTACTGCTGATGGATTTGCTGAAAAATTGAATGATCTTATAACCGGATTCCCAAATATTAATGACGTTCATCCATTTCATAGAGATTTAATGGATACTTTATATGAAAAAAATCATTATAAAGTTTCATTAGCTGCAGTTTCCAGAGCCAAAACATTAATTGAACAAGTTTCTAGAGATTATGTTAGATTATTAAAGTTTGGTCAATCATTATATCAATGTAAACAATTGAAAAGAGCTGCTTTAGGTAGAATGGCTACTATTACCAAGAAATTAAAGGATCCATTTACATATTTAGAACAAGTTAGACAACATTTAGGTCGTTTACCAAGTATTGATCCAAATACCAGAACTTTGTTAATTTGTGGTTATCCTAATGTTGGTAAGTCTTCATTTTTAAAATGTATTACTAAAGCAGATGTTGAAGTTCAACCATATGCTTTCACCACTAAATCTTTATACGTTGGTCATTTTGATTATAAATATTTAAGATTTCAAGCAATTGATACTCCAGGTATTTTAGATAGACCAACTGAAGAAATGAATAATATTGAAATGCAATCTATTTATGCTATTGCTCATTTAAGATCATGTGTTTTATATTTCATGGATTTATCAGAACAGTGTGGATTTTCAATTGAAGCTCAAGTTAAATTATTCCATTCAATTAAACCCTTATTTGCCAATAAAAGTGTTATGGTTGTTATGAATAAAACTGATATTGTTAAAGCTGAAGATTTATCAGAAGAACAACAAGAATTATTGAAGACTTTAACTACTGTTCCAGGAGTTGAAATCATGCATGCTTCTTGTCATGAAGAAGAAAATGTTATGCAAGTTCGTAATCAAGCTTGTGAAAAATTATTAACTGCTAGAATTGAACAAAAATTAAAGGGAACTGCTCGTGTTAATAATGTTTTGAATAAAATTCATGTTGCTAGACCTCAAGCAAGAGATGACTTAGATAGAAGTGCTTTTATTCCTGAATCAGTTAAACAAACCAAAAAATATGATCCAGAAGATCCAAACCGTAGAATTTTGGCCAGAGATATTGAAGCAGAAAATGGTGGTGCTGGTGTTTATAATATTAATTTGAAAGACAAATATTTATTAGAAGATGAAGATTGGAAAAATGATATTATGCCAGAAGTTTTGGATGGTAAGAATGTTTATGATTTCTTAGATCCAGATATTGCTGCCAAATTACAAGCTTTGGAAGAAGAAGAAGAAAAATTAGATGCTGAAGGTTTTTATGATTCTGATAGTGATATTGAAGATGATGAAACTCTTGATATTAAAGATAAAGCTCAATGGATCAGAAATAAACAAAAAATGATGATTAATGAAGGTAGACTTAGAAAACATCTTAAAAACAGAGCAGTTATGCCTAGAGATCAAGTTAAAAAAGATTTCAATGAAATGGAAAAACATATGTATAATATTGGTCATGATACAACTAAATTGAAAAATCGTCTTGGCAAAAATATAACAATCGATAATTCAAAAGAATTATCTGGTGTTGATATCTTGAAAAGAAATCAAGGTATCAAAGCTTCCAAAATTTCTAAAAAATCTGCTCCTCTTAATCAATCCGATCGTCTTAATGATGGTTTGAACGACGGTAAATTAAGATCTAAAGCCGATAGATTATTAAAAGTCCAAAGAAGAGAAAGAAATAGACAAGCCAGACAAGGTGAAGCTGATCGTCATTCTACTGCTGCATTACCAAAACATCTTTTCTCTGGTAAGCGTGGTATTGGTTCTGCTGACCGTCGTTAATCTATTCCCTTTGTTTTTCTCTCTTTGTTTCTAGCATTCAAGTTAATAGTTTTTGTTTATATACACATTTGTACTGTCTATTCCTGTAGCCCTACATCTTATCTATCTTGTGACAATACAATAAGCATTCTCCATGCTCATCCCCCATTGGTCTATCTCTAATCCACAGTTTGGCTAACAAAACAAAAAAAAAACAGACCAAAAAAAACAATAAAAAAAAAAAAAAAAATTATCAAAGGTGTGCGATTAGATAAGGATTTGAGATTTTACTCCATAGTTTGATAAGTTCCTACTGTGATTTTTGACTTGGCCTAATCGGTGGACCAATCTCCACTGGCTACTTGCCTGCCAGTGTTATCACCAGTGTGCCAGTGTTCTGTAGAGTGTATTGTAGAGTGTTTTGTATAGCGTATTGTTGAGCTATTGTAGGCTTATCTTTATGACTCTTCCTCTGCCTGTCTTTCTCTCTTTTTTTTTTTGTTTTTTTAGTTGCCTGAGTCCTTTTTTTTGCTCCATTTATAATCCCGCTCTTTTCAGCTTAAGCTTCTTTCATATTTGAATCTACAGTTGAGAATATATCTGGACATACAAAGTGTGGTATTGGTCTAAGTAAGTTTTTTATCTTTATCTTGAACTTTTCAGCTTATCTTTAAGGATGAATATAGATTCAAGTCGCGGTGAAAATCAAATTAATCAGCTTGATAGTCATTATTCATTAATGAATCCCGGAGAATTACAACTTCCTCATCAACCTCGTCATTTGATTAATAACGGGGATCAGGGGAACTATAGTAACCAAAATAAGCTTATGAATGGGTTTACCAGTGGGGGAGAAACAAATCTTCCACCCAATACTGGACCTCCAGGTACGGTTAGTGTTTCTAATGGGAGTGGGAACTCCAATAACTCCAATAAGAACTTGAGTCACGTTCCTTGTAAGTTTTACAGACAAGGAGCTTGTCAAGCTGGGACGTCATGTCCTTTCAGCCATAACTTGGAAGGAACTTTGGCCGCTGATAAACTTCCTTGTAAGTATTTTCAAAAGGGCAATTGTAAATTTGGTTTAAAATGTGCTTTGGCCCATTTTTTACCCGATGGTACTAGGGTCAATTCTAAAAATTTAATGATGAATAATAGAAATAATAATAACAATAACAATAACTTATTCAATAATCATTCTTATACCCATAATCATTCTCATGCTCCAATTTCGGCTTCTCATAGTCGTAATACAAGCCTTGGTCAAAATAATATTTTTGATCTACGTCGGTCTTCTTCTTCCAATTATGGTAATAATCAATTCTTGAATACTAAATCTTCTCAGCCAATTGATATTGGTAATGATCTGTTTTCGTATTCTAATTCGTTGAATAGTAATAATGGGAGTTTATTAAATGGTTCAAATGGTGCTTTGTCTCCAACAAATAATCATAGCGTCGCTAATAATAATCATATTGCTAACTTTATGAATATTGGTAATTCTTCATTTCAAAATCATTTATCAAATGATTTTAATAATCGGAAACCTTTTTTCTCAAATAACTCTTCCATTACTAATTCTTATACGAATTCTAATGGTCAAAGATCTAACTCAACAAATACTTCTCCAATCACTTTAACAAACTCTTCTCCTCAATCTATGAATCTCTATAATCCAAATTTAACCTCCTCTTCCTCTTATAAAAATTTCCAATCATTCTCCTCTAAGATCCCTCCCTCTTTATCTTCTCCTTCCTACTATTATTCTCACCATACAAATAATGATCTGGCAATCATTGACGACGAAGATGATATCGGTAATGATATGAATAATGAAAATGGCTTTTTCGAAGAAGACTTTGTGCCCGGTTCTTTGGGCGATTTGATTTTGACCCCACAAGAATTACAAAGAAGAGACTCGAGATCTCAATCAGGTACCCTATTAATAAGACCAAATTTGAACTCCTTTAATTCTTCAGACTCAACAGTGGCCAACAATAATTATCACAACCATACAACTAATGGTGGCAAATCAGATGGTCTGGATGATGTCGACAAGCCAAAGGATGTTACTGACCAAGCTAAACAAACCTCCCCCCATGAAGATGTATTCTTGATGGAGTAAGTTTTTTTATTTGATTTTCTCCACGATTTATGAAATGTTTTATATTAACGGTTAATTTGATGATTATCGTGCTTATTAAAGAGAAATACGAAAGTAATGAAAAAAGTTTTGTTTTTAATGGTGGTTGCAAAATTTTTCCTTGAAAAAAAAAAAAAAGACAAAAAGAAATTGATATAGATTGACTTCTACTTAAAAAAATACCCATAAACAAAATAGAAAAAACAAAAAAAAAATTTATTGAATATAAAAAACTTATAAAAAGGACTTTCTCTTATGGTTAGATTTTTTTATTATGCTATTAGCTATGGGTCAGGTTAGAAAATTATAATGGAAAAGTATAAACTGAGTTTGGTTGGTTCGTTTGATTCTCTTCTCTCTTATTTGGGACTCTTATCTTTTGTTTCTTTCAATTCTTTATTGTTTCGGTTTTTATTTGGATTTGGAGCTCTTTAGACTTCTAATGCTCTTTTATTCTAGTGTTTATTCTGGTTGGACGCTCTATTTTATTTATACTTATGTTTTGATGTTAGGATAAAAATTGTTTTGTTTTTTTAATAAAAATTTATATGAAATAAAAATGATTGTTTAAATTAATTGACTATTTACTTCAAGTAGACTATTTACAGAATTAAAAATTAGTTTCTTATTTACCTTCAATTGCAGGAGCTGATCTGTAAATATCAGCACAAGCACGTTGAAATTGAGACATAATTTTTGGATTGTTTCTATTAAGTTCAGGTTGGATTCCTTTTTCAAAACTAGATTCAAAGACGGTACCTACAAAAACTAATTCATCCGCAAATGGATCCATTGTATAAACAAGATTTTCGCTTGCAGTTGTTTCTTTCGTAGTAACTTTTTTATTAGCATCAGTTAAAGTAACTTTTTGTTTAGTAGTAACATTCATAGTGAATTGGACATAAGTAGCAAGATCGTTTGCATCTGGTAAACATATGAAAGTGACAATTTTGGGGTTAGTTTCAACTGATAATAATTCCCAATCGATTTTAGTATTGCTTGGGAAACTAGCTGCCCTTTTAATCAAATTTTGAATAACTAAATCTCCAGCAATATTATCTAATTGAGATTTAATAAATGAAGATCTTTGATTAACAGGTTTATTGCAGGCTGCTGAGAAAACTTTATTGGTTTGGACAAACTTTTCCATACCAATTTCTTTCCAGTCATTAAATTTTAAGTTCAAATCGGTTTCTCTCTTATATTTTATAATCCCATAGGTGTTAATGAAAAAGTTACCGATTCTTCTCAAGATTAATTTATGCCATATTTTCATTGATGCCTTAAACATCTTTGGAGGAACATAAAAATCTCCAAGAACGGCAATCATGTTGATTGGAATCTGGCGAATATCTGGAACTTCGCTTTCTTTATTGGACTTCGATGCATATCCCCTGAAGCTTGATGGTCTATACGAGACTACCCCGAGCTTCAATGGTGACTTGAGCAATCCAGAGTTAGCTGCAAATCTGGGTATATTTCTAATAGGTAACATATTCGAGCTATCAATCTATTTGAGTTTGAAGTTGTTTTATGTACAAAATTTTCATTTTCATTTTTCATTTTTTTTTTTTTTTTTCAATTTTCACCTCGCTTTTTGTCTCACATTTTTTTCAACTAAAGTCGATACTAATAAGTTAACTGATTGAATACACCGAAGAAATGTAGATTAGAAATGTAGATTAGAAATGTAGATTAGAAATGTAGATTAGAAATGTAGATTGGAACTTAGTGGTTGATATTGTAGAAAATATCTTAAAATCGTATCATTGTATTTTCCGACCGGTATGATTTTCTTTTCAAGAAGAAAAAAGAGCGATTGCATATACTTTAATACCTCTTATAATTACAGAGCTCTGTGAATATAAAGGTATATTAAAATAAATAACCACAAGAGACCTAGGAGGGCTTATAAAGGAATAGCTCTGGCATATCTGAATGTTTCAGCTCATCGTGCAAAGCTCCGAGATGGCAAGGAGTTATAATGAAATTCCAGACACAAGAACCTTTCTATTTTTTGCAAAGCCTTCCTAGTGCTTAATAGGGGTTAATAAATCATTATAAATTTTTTCAAGCTATTTTACGGCAGTTTCAGCGGCTTAAAAATAAAAAGGTAAATTTGACGGTAACGAAAAAAAGGCGATCTGGAAAATGTGATATTTTTCTTTGTCGATAATTATGGCAACTTGTCCGAGCGGTTAAGGAGATAGACTTGAAATCTATTGGGCTCTGCCCGCGCAGGTTCGAGTCCTGCAGTTGTCGTTATTTTTTTTTTTAATCTTTCAATCTTACTTTATTTCAACACGTCTAGTTTTTCAGGTTGATCTTTTGATTTTTTTTTTGTTCAATTCAATTATACTGTCAAATAAGGTACTTCAACATGGTGGAGTTCATAAAATATAAAGGGTTCGACCATGTCTGGCAATACTCTGGACCTTGGCTTTGGTGGCTCGTAGGGTTCTATTTATGCCTTCCCTTGACAGCATATGTCATCTTGCCATATTTCACTACCAAAGGTACATTCTCTGGATCGAGAAGGACGATTTCAATATTTGTGCTAGGTGACTTAGGACATTCACCTAGAATGAATTACCATGCCAGGTCTTTTTCGAAATTAGAATATTTTGTCAATTTATGTGGATACTTAGAAAGTCAGCCTCCAGTGGAAATTATTGATGATATTAATATTGAATTATATCCCATTGCCGCAATAAAGAACACATCAAACTTGCCATACATACTATTTGCCTTGAGGAAAATATCTGCTCAAGTTTTGCAATTGGTAAAGCTCTTACTCAAATTCAGAGGAAGTGAATACATTATGATTCAAAATCCACCTTCAATCCCAATCCTTTTTATTGCTATTGTTTTCATCAAGATATTCAGTAGAGAAACAAAACTCATAATTGACTGGCATAACTTAAATTATAGTATTTTGAATTTGAAATTTCAAAATGAAGAACATTACTTAGTTAAGTTCTTGAAAAATTATGAAAGAATATTAGGTAAATATGCCGACCTTAATATAACCGTTACTAAAAAAATGAAAGAATTTTTAATTGAAGAATTTGGAATAAAGAAGAAGAAAATAATTACTTTACATGATAGACCTGCAGAACAATTCGTACCTTTCAGTGGTAATCCAAAGGCGAAAATTGAACTTATGAACTCTTTTGATCTTTTCAACTCAATTGAAGGTATAGAAAAGTATAAGGTTTTAGTAAGCTCCACTTCGTTCACCCCTGATGAAGATTTTAACATTTTGTTGGATGCCTTAAAGAAATATGATACCTCTTTGAATTCTCTGCTTCCTCCAATACTATTGATTGTCACCGGTAAAGGTCCATTGAAAAATCAATTTACTCGAAGAGTTGAGGAATTACAATTCCTGAAAAACGTCATAATCAAATCCGCATGGTTGTCTTTCGAAGATTATCCTACAATTTTGTCTTTAGCAGACTTAGGTATTTCATTACATACTTCGTCTAGTGGTATAGATTTGCCAATGAAAATTGTTGACTTTTTTGGTGTTGGAGTACCAGTGATTTCTTTAAACTTTCCTGCAATTGATGAACTTGTAAAAGACGAAGTCAATGGATTTGTGACAAAAAACAATAAAGACTATAGCATCAAGGAAAGTGACGAGATTTATAGACTCTTGATAAAAGTATTTTCTGATTCTAATCAATTGGCAAAAATTAAAAAAGGTGCCATAGAGGAAAGCAAAAAAAGATGGGATCAGAATTGGGATGCTAAATTGGGAAGTAAATTCACTTACTATCAAGAAGTCGTTAACTAAATTAATCTATAAATCTATAAGTTTGATATGTAATTTTCAATATGATTAATATATTCAATATCGTTTTCATCTTTACGTGATTTGGCTTCTAAGTTGTATTGCGTCCAAAATTTGAATCCGTCCTCCTGGTAAAAATCTAGTTGCTCATGTTCTGGTAGCATATCCCAAGGTTCTTTTTCGTCTGAAATACCTAAGGCGGTTTTCGTCAAGTATGCCCAACATTTTGACGTCTCCGTATGATTATAACCCCCGCCTCCTACTATCATAATTGGCACATTGGATAATTCATTAAAAATTAACTTTAATACAGCGCTATAACCTTTAATAGTCATATTCCATTCCTTATGATCATCGGTTGCTAAACCATCTACTCCGGCTTGCATTACAATAACATCTGTGCCAACTTTATGCATATGTGGTATTACAATATCTCTCACTATCCGTAACATACTTGAATCACTTAATCCCTTTCTTGTTGGAATGTTAATTTTATGTTTTCCTGAACTCTCTAGACTTCCCGTACCTGGATAGAACCCAATATCGTACATATGAATGGAGCACGTAGTTACATTTTGGGAAAACTCAAAGGCAGCCTCCACTCCGTCTCCATGATGCAAGTCTAAATCCAAATAAAAGATCTTTTTGTACTTCAACCTCAATACATTTATTGCAATGACAATATCATTCACATAACAAAACCCAGCAGCTTTCAGTTTTGAAGCATGGTGTCTCCCCCCATTCCAATTGATAGCAATTGTTCTGTTTTGTTCATTTTCCAATTCAACAACCTTTTTTGCAGTATGTATACTTGATGATGCCACTAGCTTAGCGTAGTCCGACATGAATGGAAATACCGAACAATCGAACCTTAAGCCAAACATATCTAGCACATCATTTGACTCTTCAACTTTCATATCACTTACGACATCATCTACAACAGAACAAGGCCCGACTGACTCGGAATCTATGTCTGATTCTTCCGATTCAATTTCCAGATCGGATTCAGATTCAGGTTCTGGCACATCATCCCTCTGGTGTTTCTCAATGAGCTCTTCACCAAACTTAAGTGGATCAAATGGTGCCGAACCGAGATGGTATTTTCTACCTTCAGGAGCATCCTTAAAAACTCTATTCATCAAAATTTGCTTGATAAGAGTGTAATCTGGCAGCAATTGGTCAATACTTTCTCGATTTTTCAAGAGAATGTCCAAGTAATTCTTGCTATGAAACTTCTCTAGCTCTGATCTAGTAATTTTAGGAACTTTAATTATACCTTTACATCGTTTATCCAATTCATAAGCTTGTAATAATGTTGTAACCAATGTCTGTCTTCCTCTATTGGCAGGGATTAAATCACAGATTTTTGCCAAATCACGAGATGATGTGATCCAAACATCACCCGGAAACTCATCTTCCTCCATAGCACATTAAAGAATGGCCAAAGCAGTGGTAATCGAAATTTATACATTAGATACTATACACTATGATACATAAATAAACGCGAGTTCTCTTCGTTTTTTCTTTTTTTTTTTTTTTTTTTTTTTCATGATGTCTCATTTCAAATATCAATCTCAATGCTATTCTTGATACAATACTGCAAAATCACGTTCTTCAAATCATTAGCAAGGTATGCCTTCCAATCATTAATACAAGCAGTTTTGAATTCTCGTTCTTCGGGGGTGAAATGCTTGTTCATACTGATCACTCTTGAATGACAATCAAGTTCAGTTTGTAAAACGTTCATTAGATTGAGGCACCGATTCAAATTATGTTGGTATAACAATTCTGCCAAATAGTTCCTGAAAAAACCAATATCATCGGCATGAGGCCCTTGCTGATTGAATGTCATTTGTATCCAGCCTTTGATTTTTGCAACTATTTCATTATAAGAAAATTGTTGGTTGAGAAACAAGGGGGGTTGCAAAAACACAGTCTGTTGATTTACCCAAGACTGGGTAATCTTATTAGTGACTGTAAGTTCTTCATTTTTGATACTTTCGCGAGTTAGGGCTAAGTTCATTCGTTTCACTTTTCTCTTGTATTGCAAATCTTTCAAGACTTCAGCTTTAACAGAAGACGGTAATTCATTTAACACCGACTCGTCGTATGAGGTGGATAAATCTGTAACATATTTTACTGGAGATGACTCCTTTTTGATTGGCAGAGGAGACTTGGACACTTTACGTTTCTTAGTTGGTGATTTAGATGGATGCACCACTCTAGCATACTTAACAGAGCCATTGTCCTGGGTTGGAAGTAATTGTTGCAAAAATACTTTAGAGTTCGCAGCTTCTCGCTTAACTGGACTTTTCTTGATAGGAGAATTTTGCATTCCCCTACGCGACAACTCTCTTTTTAATTCTCTTTTAATATCTTCAGGAATTTCCTTAAATACTTCCCAATCAATAGTGTCGTATGTGAGACGATCTATCGAGTGTGTGGCTGGTTGTGCTTGTATTGTAGAGCTTATATGTTTCACTGCTTTGATTGGTGAAGCCTCTACTACATTGCTGATATTCATATCATTGTTCTTACCAATGTCCATATCGTCGTTCTTACCAATAGCACTGAATGGGAGTCTCATTTGTCGATCTTTTTTCAACATAGCAACATCTTTAAGCTTTGACATGGTAACTGCTATTCCTCGTAATTCTTTGACTGGAATATTTAACATTCTGTATAAGGCCTTTAATTCGTTACCAATAATGCCCCAATCATTAGTAGGAACACCTAGTCTTGAAGTTTTATTGAAATAATCACAAACACCCATTCCCAAATACTTCTCAGGTTCAACTGGGGCATTGTCCGCTCTTTTGGCTAATCTTAAAGTAAGAGATGAGCCGCAAATCCCCAAGCCAACCAATCTTGAATATAGTTCTTTCGACAAATCAATGAGAAAAGTCTCTAATTGGGTGACAGTATCGAACCTTATACCAAAATTCACATCAACCGAAACAGATTTCCTGCCCAAAACTGATTCACTATTATCTAAATCGATTTTGATACTGGTATCATCCTTACCTCGAGCATAATTAAATAGTTTTGTACCGGTCTTATCCCCAAAAATGTGCATGAGTTTTTGTTTCGAGAATGTTAATAAGTCCTGGACAAGTGGTTCACTTTTAGATGAATTTTTGAGTTCATTCATGATTTTCTCCTTGATGCTATGACCAATACCTGGCAAATTTTTAACTGGGACCAGTTTCAAAAATTCATGGACTTTATCATGTAAGTAGAACTGACCATTTGGTTTAGCCTTTCTGATAGCCAACTTGGCCAAAAGGACATTCTTAGATGCACCAATACTTACTGAGCAATTAGTTAGTTGATATATCTTTGAGCGAATTTCATTGATCAAATCGTAGACTGAATCAACAAGTGTGTGACTTTCGGTCGAATTAGAAAGACAATAAGATGTAGCATCTAATAACGCTTCGTCGATCAGAACAGGAAAAATCGAATCAAATTTTCCACTTGATATCAAATAATTATAGAACAAGTTGGAAAACTTTTCATATGAGTCAAAATCATAGTCAATGGTTATAAGATTAGGACATAATCTTTGGGCTCTTGATAGCCACATTCCATTTGAAATTCCATGGTTTCTCGCAATATAATTACAACTAGCCACATCAGAGGTACGACCTCCATGAGTAACTGCAATTGGATCTTTATTTATATCAAGGTTTGGATGGTTTAAGCATGAGGCAGTAGCGAAGAAGCAATCAAAATCGACATGCATAATAACTTTTTCATGAAGTTGTGTTTTGAGTAATGTTGATACAGACAGTTTTGAACTATCGACAATTCTTCTCAAGAACCTTGTACGTAAATCTGTTTTCCAAGTACTTAGATGGTGAAGTCTCGAGTTAGCAAAAAAATGTTGCAAGAATTTCGGATGTTTTGCATCCAAGATAATATTTGGATCTTTTACATCTCTTAGTTGGTTCAAATTTTCGAAGAATTCAATTCTAGACTGTGATTTTTGTTTCTCTTCTTCTGCTTCCGATTCTGGTTGAGTTAATGGTAAATCGTTTTCTAGTTCTTCCACATCATCCACATCATCTTCATCTTGTTGATTTTTAGTACTTTGATTTACGTCACTATTTGTGATTTGATCCGCTATCGTTTGCTCCGCTATCGTTTGCTCCGCTATCATTTGATCATCATTGTCGAGGTCAGCCTCATCAACTTTATCAAAGCCGAGTCTCTTCTGACCATAATCAACGTCATCGATTAACCTATAATCAAACCAATTTAACAATTGGTTTTTGGCAATACAATCTGTGATCCACTTTGCTTTAACAACCTTATAGTTTCTGAAAGCGATTCTTTTCCTAGGAGTTAAACGGTCACATACAATATGAGTAGCAGCACCTTTGTTATGTAAAAAGCTTAAGAATACTCCACCATGAAGAATAACCAACCGGTGGATTTCACTCATGGAAGGATTGGTATGACCATTCACAAAAATGGTACAGCCGTCAAAAATCTTCTTACGGGGAGAAGTATCATGTTGTAGTTTCCTTCTTTCATCATCCCACTTTACAAAAGCTTGATCTGACTGTTGCTGCTTACGTGATTTGTTCTGAAAGTAAGTACCATAATCCCCAAAATCATGTAACGGCCCAACATGACCAAACGACTCATCTTCAGAGCTAGACTCCGAATCCAAACCAACTGGAGCAGTATTCTTACTAGCCAAATCGGCAATCACTTCATCAAGACCATCATCAAACGGGTCTGTCGACGTGGATTTGAACGACTCAACGAACTTCTTGTTGGGCGGCAACGGAGTCGAGGTTCCCTTCACACTGCTTCTAGGCACTGCCAAGGGCGAATGTCTGTCCTGCGACAAACTATTGATATGGCTTATTAGCTGACTATCATCAAGCGACTTCAAATAGCTGGGATACTCCCCCGTATGCTCTCTGGCGGCTATCTCACATCCTGACGCCCTTCTCTGCCTATCATCCTTATCCTCATCACCTTGAGCCAGTGAAGTGTCCCTGATGGTCAGTCCATCATCCATATTTTAGTGTTATTCAATTTAACAATGAAAAGAAACACTATAACCGCTTCAAGAGCGAAAATGGTACCTGAGTCCCGTGTTTTGCGTGCAAACGGCTACACTCTCGACAATCAACCACCTTCTCTCAAGCCTTACACCCCTCCCACCTGCTCAAAAACTACTTAAACACTATACTCGTAACAACGTCTCTCGTTACAACGTCTCTCGTACCGTATCCTTGTAAACCAATCAAATTGGTTTGGCTTTAACTTGTTCTCTAAATGATTTTTTGTGTAGAGCTTTGTTTATTTGTTTTGGTGTATTTTTTTTTTTTCTGTTTTTTTCGGGTCAAATTTTTGAACAGCGCAAATTTAAAAGTTAGAAGGAAAAAAAAAAAACAGAGGAAAAACAAGATCAACAACTAGTTATAACTTCTTTTGAAGATAGTATAAACCTACGATACAATGGTACGTTGAATTCCAGTTGGAGCTTGCAGGAATGGCAGGGTTGATGCGGAGCATGCGGTATGGCTGATGGGGAGATTGGAGGAGGGTGGGAGTCTGGAGCTGGCTGATCTGGAGCTACTGCAAGTGAACAAGAATTTGAAGTAAAAGACTAACACGAATAATTTTTAGGCTGATAAATTATCTGAGCAACAAATTGCTGAATTCAAGGAAGCTTTCTCTTTATTTGATAAAGACAGTGATGGGAAAATCACCACCAAGGAATTAGGTACTGTGATGAGATCATTAGGTCAAAACCCTTCTGAAAGTGAATTGACCGATATGATCAACGAAGTCGATACCAATAGCGATGGTTCAATTGATTTCCCAGAATTCTTAACCATGATGGCCAGAAAAATGAAGGACACTGATTCTGAAGCTGAAATTGCTGAAGCTTTCAAAGTTTTCGACAGAAATGGTGATGGTAAAATCTCTGCCGCTGAATTAAGACATGTTTTAACTTCAATTGGTGAAAAATTATCTGACGCTGACGTTGATCAAATGATCAAAGAAGCTGATACTAATAATGATGGTGAAATTGATATCCAAGAATTCACCCAATTATTGGCTGCTAAATAAGTTCTTTCAGTTAAAGTCATTCGCCAACCCGCGTCGTTTTTCTTCCTGGTTGATCTTCTACCGTTATACCCTAGTTGATTATATACTCTGTTTTTTTTTTAATTCTTTTTTTTTCGTTCTTTATCTTACGAGTCTCTTTTATTTAATGTTCGATCTTACGTTGTCTTTACGTGGTTTATGAGTTCGTTCATTTTACCAATCAATGTCTAATGTATCTCTTTTGAATACTCTTTTTTTGTTTACAATTGTAGCTCTGAATATTTTGAAGAATCTTGAAATTTATTTCGGCTCCCACGGCTATTCTATAATTGAGCTTATTCAAAAGAACATTTCATTTAGCTTTAGATCAAACTACACCCCTTTAATAAAACATAATATGTATTAGAGTACTGAAACGTGAATTAAAATTAAAATTAGAATGTAAAGTCATGTAGTTATTTTTAAATTTTTTTCATTTTTATTTTTTTTTGTTTTTTAAATATTTTTTGATGTTATTTTTATCTTTTTTAATAATCATGGTCTTCTTAAACTAGAGAAACGGTTAAGTTTCATTCCACTTGATGGACTTCTTAATCCGCCATTTGGTGTAGATGATATTCTTGGACGGGGGAATGCATGACGTTCACCTGGATCATAGATTCCGCTTTGTTGCTGTTGATCTCTTTCTTTCCCACTTACTGCATTACTTCTAGGACTATTACCAGCTGATTGATGTTCTAAAATATTCCGATCTTTAATGGTTTGATCGTCTTCTCCTTCTTCATCTAATTGTTCAGTATCAAAACTTAAGTCATCAACATTTCTGTTGATTAAGTAACGCAAAGCATTATACCAAATGTTGTGACGTTGTCTGGTAGCACATGTAATCTTAAGAGTCTTACTTTGGCAATGAACAATTATACTCTTATGATATAATCCAGTAGGTAATGGATTATTATCAGGAACACTTTCAACACTGACAATAGCTGCAGCTCTTGTTTTTACCTCAGATGGGTTAGACAAAACAGGATTCGATGAAGACCAATAGAGAGTCATTGAGTATGGATGAACCCAGAAGTATCTTTCATGTCTATTTTCAGATATGGAACTCAATGGCCCTAAACGACGATAATACTTGAACAAGTATTCACCAATAACAACTTGAGTAATAGCTGGGATCATGGATTTATCAGTAAATGAAGCGTTTGTGGCCAATGACAATCCACCCATAGTATTAATCGACTCAGCAACGCTTGCACCTTTTGAATGCCCCGACAAATTAGACCTTACAGATCCTGATTGTGTGAGATAGTTATTGCCTAATTGTCTATTACTGTAAGCTGTTGAGCCAGCAGATGATTGAGGCGTTCTTAATTTAGCTGTAGCAGAGGTTGCTGATGTTGATGGAGGAGTAAATCTATGAGATTGAGCAAATTCTGGGCTTGGATATTGAGTTGGGGGTGTTCTTTCATCAATACTAGCTAATTCTTCATTGAACGTAGAACCTTCTGCAAGCATTGGAGGTCCTAATTCATCTCTATGTTTATAGCCACGCTTTTCAGCATACTTCTTAAACATTTCATCTGATATTTTTTCAACTGATAATGAATCATTTCTGGATAATTTATTATAATAAGTGGTTGGAAGAAGAGTAACTTGATTTGGATCTGGACGTCTAGATACTGTAGTTGCAATGAATGAGCTTTCAGGAACACAGATAAGTCCAAACTTGCTAGCTACTTCATTAATTTTCTTTTTATCATCAATAATTGATGCCGATTTCTTCATATTCAAGTAGTTTTCTTGATCCATAACCACTAATCCAAATTCAGTGGCTTTAGATTCTAATTCAGATCTACCTAAAATTTGTTCAGATGGGTTTCTTCCGACATTGGCAAGTGTATTCAACTTTTGATATTCTTCCTTCTCTAAAACAATTAATCCAAGTTCATTCAGTTTTTCAATTATAAGTTCTTTCGAATTCTCGCTGTCGGCGTTCTTGCTAAGACTGAAAATCTGTGAGTCTTTTTCAGCAAGCTTCTGCTTCAATTTAAGTATCTCGACTTCAGGAATAACTAATAACGATCTCTTCTCTGCTTCAGAGCTCAATTCCTTCTCACTTAATTCCTTTGGTTCGGTTAGTTTATTGTATTCGTCTCTATTCATAATTACCATACCCAATTTAGCAGCACTCTTGTCAAGTTCATCTCTATTCAAAATGAATGAGTCCTCGGCATCAGCGAATTCATCATTATTAGAAATCATTGACAATCTGGACATTCTGTTGCTTTTTGGAATATTATTATCATTATCTTCCAATTCTCTAGTTTCCGAATCTTTACTGACCATTAAGAAACCTTTCATTTCGGCTAACTCTTTCAACTCACCTTCGGATAGTTCACCAGTTTTTCTCAAGAGTTCTTCGTAATCTTCTTTTCTAATGACTTCGTAGCCCTTCATCTCGAACTGTTCTTTGATTTGGACAAGTGCTTCACCTTCAAGTGATTGAAGAAGCTCAACTCTTTCCCTTAAGGATTGATTAGCAGATACTAAACTGTTATGTTCATTGGACTCCATTACAACAAGGCCCTGGGATTTTGCTTTATCATAAACACTGATTTCTGATGATGCTTTAAGCTTATTCAATTCTTCGACAGAAATAATCATAGATCCAATAGAAGCCGCTTTTTCGATCAAGTATTGATTCGTTGGGCTTTCCAATTCCCTTAAGAGCTCTTCATATTGATCTTTTTTAACAAGAACCATGCCACCTGCAGCAGCCTTGTCAGCAATTGGTTCTTCAGCAACAATTTTCAATTTATTATAGTCTTCCATTGGAACAACAACTAATCCATTTGCAGAAGCACTGTTTTTGATATTCTCAATGGAAGGCTTGTTGGCCCTGACTAATAAATCATCGTATTCATTTGGAGTAATAAGTTTCAAGTTACTTTCGCTGACTTGATCTTCCAATGATTTATTAGCTCTAGTATTGAGGACATCGTAGCTTTGACTGGCAACAGCTATATACCCTAAAGCAGCAGCCTTTTCATTTATATGTTCTAATGATGGGTCAAATGCTTTGGTATTCAAGTCATCATAATCAACATGGGATAATACTTTCATATTTTCTTTACTGGCTTTACTTTCCAACGTCTCACCAGCTGCTGCGACTAATGTTGCCAACTCAGCGGCTGGAATAATTGAATGTTTATGGGACTCAGCATGTTCTCTTAACTTATCAACAGATGGAGAAAATAATGTATCGTATTCCGTAGCAGAAATAACCTTTTTGCCTTCATTCTCAGCTTTTCTATCTAAACTTTCTTTCATGGAGTTTTCTAATTCTTCGAACTGAGATTTATTAATTATCACGTAACCAAGATCTTTAGCTTTTCCGGTCAAATACTCAACCAGTGGCTGCTCATAGTCGGAACATAATCTTCTATATTCATCAACATTCACAAGTGAAAATCCCACTTTTTCGGCTCTGGATTCAATAGGTTCTTCTGCTTTGACCTTCATCTCATCAAAGTCATTCTCCGGAATTAAGATAAGATTATTATTAGCAGCAAATTGTTTGATTTTGGACAATGGTGGATTGGTTGCATCTTTAATTAAGTTCTCGTACTCATCATTTTCTATTATCTTCTTGTTGGACTTGAGAGCCTTTTCATCAAGTGACTCACCAGCTGATTTCTTTAAATTATCCAATTCAGATACTGGAATTGCAGCCATCGATAATGCAATTGCTTTATCATGAACACTTTCATTTGCCTTGGTTTCTAACTCAGAGAAATCATTCGCGTGTATGATAACATGCTCATGATCCTTTGCCTTTTGTTTAAGGTGATCGAGGGAAGGTCTTGTAGCTATGCCCTCCAATTCATTGAATTTCGATTTATCCACAACAATATGATCAAACACACCAGCTTTCTCATTAATGTGATCAATTTCAGGATCGTTAGCTTTCTTATATAATGCTTTATAATCACCTGTGTTTAGGATGGTCTTATTGTCTAATTTGGCTCTTTCCTCGAGTGATTGCTCGGCCACCTTTTTGAGTGAATTGTAATGGTCAGTTGGCATCACTGTATGGTTATGAGATTTCAGATGTTCGATGATCTTATCTAAGGAAGGACTATTCAACTCTTCCATTAATTCTCTGTGCTTCTTTGTTGGAACTCCAACCAAATCAGCTTCCTCTAGTTTCTTTTCAATTGGCATATTTAATGATTCGAATTCTTTCTCAGATAAAGTAACATGTTGGTGTGCCTTGGCCTTTTCAATAATAAAGTCCAATGATGGTGCTTGATTCACAAGTAAAAGTCTTTCAAATTCATCATTCTTGACGAGTACATGATTATGTTTGAAGGCTTTCGATGAAAGGAACTCTAAAGTGGGTGATTGTGTCTGGTTTACTAATTCACTATGATCAGACAACGGAATTGCAATTAACCCAGCTTCTTTGGCATGATCATGCACGGACTTCTTACTTGCTTTAATTAAGGATTCATGGTCATCAATATTAACAAGAGTGTACCCTTGTTCTTTGGATTTTTCTCTCAAATATTCCAAAGCTGGGTGGTCTAATTGATTTTTCAAACGAGAGAGCTCCTCAGGTGATATTAATTCCAAATTTGATTCTTTCGCTCTGCTTTCAATAGACCTAGTTGAATCCTCCCTGAGTTTTGCCAATTCAGTAGAGTGTATAGTATCATGACCATGATGGGCTAGTTTAGAAATTAGGACCTCAAGCGAAGGGTTACTGATCTGTTTGAGCATACTTTCATGTTCATCTAAGTCAACTCCTTTCATATGAGCTTTCTGTAATTTTTCATCTAACAGTTCATCAGCTTTCAGAACTAACTCCTTGTGCTCATCTTCATGAATAAGAACATGATCTTTTTCTTTAGCCTTTTGAGTCAATTGCTCGAAGGTAGGAGATTCAGCTGCCGCTTTCAAATCATCGTGTTCGGCAGATTCAAGAACAGAATAGCCTAAAGACTTGGAAACTTTGTTTAAGTGTTCGATGTCTGGTTTGAAAGCCAACAGCCTGAGATTCTTATATTCCACATTTGGTACCAATTTGAAACCTAACTTCTCACTATTCAGCTTAATATACGCTTCACTTGGTGACTCGATCGATCTATTTAATTCAGAATGATCGTTATCAGATAACAATATGTAACCATTTTCCTTAGCTTTCTCCTTAAGGTAAGCAACTGTTGGTGATGAGATCTTTTTCTTTAATAAATCATAGCTGCTTTTATCAATAGCAGCCAAACCTGACTTAGAAGCAAGTTCTATTATAGCGTCACGACTTGGTTCAACCAATGAATCATATTCATTCTCTGGCAAAACTATTAATTTGCTGAGAGCAGCTTTCTCCTTGATATAAGTTGGGTCAGGCTTGTCCAATTTTTCTAATAATTTTTCATGTTCAGGAATATGGAGGACAGTATGATCTTTGGAGGCGGCATGCTTTTTAAGGAACTCTATCGAAGGATCGTCACGAATTGTTTCGAATTCCGAATATTCTGCCTCTGAAATGATCTTATTTCCTAAAAGCTCAGCTTTACCTTTCAAGAATGATAAAGTAGGATTCTCAATAATTTCCTTCATTTCATTCAATTCTTTTGAATCAACTAAGCTTAATCCCTTCTTATTGGAATGATCCGTAAGGAACTCCAATGAAGGGCTTGCAAGTTTATCTTTCAACTCACTATAAGCCAGTTTCCCAACAACTACCATACCCAAGGAAGCAGCAAACTTAGAAATTTGGTCTTCTGAAGGATTAGATGACTTCTTGACAATATCTTCATATTCAACCTTTGGTAAGACCATCAAACCTGCCGATTCTGCCTTCAGCTCTATATGCTCTCTTGATGGATCTGATATTAAGCGTGTTAATTCATCATATTCACTATTCGAAACAATAGTGTGATCAGTTTTTGAAACATGTTCCCTTAAAAATTCCATAGTAGGATTCTCAAGCATTTTGCTGGACTTTTGGTGCTCCTCGGATGGAATTACAGTATGATCAAAAGTAGCAGCCTTTTCTATTAGGTAAGACAAGTCTGGTTTCTGAACCTTGTGTAGAATATCTGAAAACTCTTCTTTTGGAATGACAGTTAATCCATAATTGAAAGCTTTTTCACTAATATAGGCTTCAGTAGGAGATTCTACTGATTTTATTAAATTATTATACTCAGACTCTTCAAGTATAACATGTTTAGAATTTTTAGCTTTAGTCTTCAAATATTTCAATGAAGGATTGGCTAATTCATCTTTGAGTTTTGCTAATTCACTTTTTGGGATTAATTCGTGTTCGCTCTTACTAGCATGTTCAGCTAAATATTCCTTAGAAGGTTTCTCTATTTTAGAAGTCATCTTATCGTGCTTGTGTTTGGACAAAGCAACTAAGCCAACCAAGCCGGCCTTTTCAATAATATGCTCCTTGGATGGCTCATTGGCTTTATTCAATAGGTCAGTATGTTCTTTTTCATCCAAAGCCACCAAATTATGGGCTTTGGACTTCTCCTTAATAAAATCATATGATGGGGATTCGGCAGTGTCTTTCAATTTCTTGTAAGAATCCTCAAGAACCAAAACATGCTTTATATCTTGAGCTTTCTTTTCAAGGTCAGCTTTTGAAGGGTTTGTTAAGTTATGGTGGTCTTCCTTGTCAACAACAACCAACCCATGTCCTTCAGCCTTTGAAGATAAGTATTCAGCAGAGGGCTCTTCGATGGCTTTTTTCATTTCTTTATGTTGTGCCTTACTGATAGCAACGAGTCCAGCCTTGGTAGAAGCTTGCATAATTTGCTCAGTGGTAGGTCTGTGGGCGAGCTTGTTCAACGTATCATAATCTTCTCTTGGAAGAACTTTTAAATCAAGAGACTGTCCTTTTTCTTTGATGAAATCGGATGTTGGGTGATTAACAGTGTCTTGCAATTTCTTCAATTCATCGGATGCTATAGTTATGTATCCCAATCTGGAGGCGTGTTTTGCAATGTGATCATAATCAGGAGAGTCAGACTTTTGCTTAAGAATATTGTGATCTGATATATCTAACGCAACCAATTGCTTATCATTAGCGACTTTACGAATATGGTCTATTGAAGGATTGTGGGCCAATTCTTTCAATTTTTCGAACTCACTAGATTCAGCAACAGTATGGTTAAGCAATTTAGCCTTATTTCTGATGTGATCTATAGACGGATTAGATGAAGTTTCAAATAACTCTTTATAGGCATTATTTTCGATAGCTATCAAACCAATGGCAGCTGCAGTTTGTTTAACATGATCTGAAGGAGGGTTGTGGGCCTTCTTAGTTAACTCTTCATGGTCTTGTTTATTCAATGCAATTAAACCTAAACCTGTGGACTTCTCTTTTATGTGTTCTGTAGGTGGATTATGAGCTAGTTGATTCAAAGTTTCGTAGTCGGAGAATGACAATGGAATGTAGTTGATACTCTTAGACTTAGCAGTGATGTGTTCAAGATCTGGGTTATGGGCTAAGCGCTGGAGTTCTTCATGCTCATCATTTGACAAAGGCACAATGTCATTGGTAAGAGCCTTCTCCTTGAGGTAGTCTATGGATGGGTTTTTGATATCGTTCAATAAAGAGTTATATTCAGAAGAAGGAATGATTACCAAATCCATTTCTTTTGCTTTGTCTTCGAGATGCTCTTTTGTTGGAAGGTGAGCCAATTTCGATAATTCATCAAATTCTTCAGATGACAATGGGACAAGGTCAAGTAAGCTGCATTTTTCTTTCAAATGGTCTACGTCTGGATTTTCCGCTAATTTCTTCAAAGAAGCCAATTCAGCAGTTTTAATTGCAACGAAGTCTAGTTTAGTTGCCATCGTTTTCAATTCATCAACTGAAGGATCTTTCTTTAAGTCCTCCAAAGCTTCGTTGTCAATCACAGTCTTATTCAATTCCGAAGCCTTCAATTCTAAGTGATCAATAGACGGGTTATTGGCTAAGGTCAAGAGCTTCTCATGGTCAGTTTTAGCGAGAAGAATGTTATTGAACTTAGCAGCTCTTTCGGAAACATGCTCAATTGTTGGGTCATGAGCTAATTTATAAAGATCAGTGTATTCCTTTTGAGAATTTGTGACATAGCCCAAGTCTTTTGCTTTTGCGGAGATATGATCAATTGGAGGTGAGTTGGCCAAATTCTCAAGTCCCGAATGATCAGAGTTACTTAGAATTCTGAAACCCAAGGCTTTTGATTTCTCGGTAACATGTTCCAAATGTGGTTCATGAGCTAATTTAGTCAAATCATCAAGTTCATTCAGTTTTATCAAGGAATAGTTCAACGCTTTAGCTTTGTCCTTCAAATGATCAATAGATGGATTATGAGCTTGGCCAATGAGCTTCTCGTGTTCTTTGATAGGAAGAATCATATGATCATGCTTCTCAGCCTTCAGTTTGACATGCTCTAAGTCAGGGGAATTAGCCATTTGATCTAATGATTCATGAGTTTCATTATCAATAACGGTATGATTCAAAGTTGCTGCATTTTCTTTGATATGTTCAATAGAAGGATTATAAGCCAATACTCTTAATTTATCATGTTCATCTTCAGCCACTACCATATGAGAATGACGAGCTGCTTTCTCCGAGATGACATCTAAGCTTGGTTCATTGGCTAATTTAGTGAGTTCTTCATATTGCTCTTTGTTGACAATCAAAGAGCCCAAAAGGGCTACCTTTTCTGTCAAATGGTCTAATGAAGGCTCATTTGCCTTGTTCAAGAGGTCATTGTAATCATCGAGTGGAATGACTACTTGATCCAAATTCTTCGCAGATTTACGAAGATGTTCGATATTAGGATTATTAGCTAATGATTTCAAAGACTCAAATTCTTCTTTCTTGATGACTTTATAACCTTTGAGTTCGGCTTTTGATTTAATATATTCAGATGAAGGATCATTGGCTAACTTATAGAGGTCGGCATATTCAGCTTTAGTTAAAGTAACCAAATCAAAAGATTCAGCATGTTCTTTGACTTTTGCCAAACTTGGATTTTGTAATTCTGAGAAGTCAGATTCCTTTAAAACGATATGATCTTTAGCTTTAGATTTTACGTGGTCGATAGAAGGTTCATGAGCTAATTTATTCAATTCTGAAAATTCAGCATTTGACAAGAGCGTATGATCATTAGATAATGCTTTTGATCTGATATGATCAAGAGAAGGTTCATTTACCAATGCAAGTAATTCATTGTGATCCTTATTAGGTAATAATATATGATCTTTGGATAATGATTTAGCTGACAAATGATCAATCGAAGGGTTGTGAGCTAAAATATTTAAGTTCTCATAATCAGCCTGAGGTAAGACAATGTGATCCAAATCTTTGGCTTTGGCAGTCAATACATCAATTGAAGGGTCGACTAAAGAATTATATTCATCAGTTGACAATGTTATAATATCATGAGCCTTGGCTTTTTCTTTGATATGATCAGGAGTTGGGTTGTTAGCCATATTAACAAGGTCATCATAAAATTTAGAAGAAGAAACAATTAATCCCATGTCATTAGCCTTGGTAGTAATATAATCTTTCGAAGGTTTCTCGTGATCAACTAATAAGTTTTGATAATTTGAATATTCATCATTAGATAATGGATGATAGTTGATATCTTTACATTTGGAAAACAAATATGCTTCTGAGGGTTTTGAATAATTTTTTTGAATTTTATTCAATCTTTCTAAATCTGATGTTTCAATCATTTCGAAACCATGTTTAGATAAGTTTGAGGATAAATAATCAATTGAAGGATTTTCAAATACTGAGTTATTTTTTGCTAATTTTTCATGTTCCTCAGATGGTAAAGTTACTAGTCCTTTAGATTTCAATTTGTTTTTCATTTCTTCTTCATCGAGTAATGCATGATGTTCTTTTTCTGTTATTAATACATAGCCTTTATCGTTGGCAATTTCAATAAATCTGTCATTGTTAATGGAATTAATATCATTATCTTGAAGTTCTTCATATTTTTCAAATGGAATTAAGATCAAATTATTTTCTTGAGCATAGTTTTCAATTTCTTTCTTAGGAGAAATATTTGTATTGACCAAATCTTTTGATAAAATATTGGAAGTGTTGACATTTGGAGAAGAATCACTATCAGAATCTGAGGAATCATTTTCAACAAGGTAAGGGATATTATGATCCCCGGTCATGGCAGCAATATTAACACTTCTCAGAGAATGAGTTGAAGAAGCATCATCATAATGAACCTTGAGCTTTGAAGGAGTAGTTGTACCTATATTTGCACCGAGGAAATCTTCCCATTTACCATCATCGTTTGGGTATTTTGAATCATTGGTAAAGTTGGGAGTTGTTTCGTTGACATGATCATCTTCATCTTCATCTTCATCATCGTTTAGAATTAAGAATTTTGAATTTCTCTTGGAAGGAGAAATAAGACCAGAACTTCTCTTTGAATTAGGTTGCAAGTCTTTAGTTGATTTGAATTTTCTATTTTTCAATTTTGGAGTCTTTCTTGGATCCGAATCATCCATTGAATTTTCGAATCTTAATTTTAATACAGCTGATCTTAATTTTGCCACTAAACGATTCGAATGATTTAAGGATGCTCTCAAAGTTTCCAATTCTAAATCAGGATTTCTAGGATCACTTGAGGGTAAATCATGGATATTCGATGAATCAACCAAGATGCTATCTAAATCAAGATTTTCATCATCATCGAAGTCATTGGTATAATTTAATTTAATTGGATCATTTAATTTTGAATCTTTTTCAGCAATTGATTTAGAAGATTCTTTTGTATCTTTATCTATAGTGGAAGAAGATAATTTTAAATGTAATTGATCATTTTCGTCGTTCAATTCTTCGATTCTGGTATTTAATTCTTCTAATTCTTTGTTATAATTATTTGATAAGAAATCATAATTTTTTGAAATTGAATCATAATTTAATTGTAAATCATCATAATCTTTTTGAATAGAGTTGATTTTTAAAACTTGTTCATTGTTTAATTTTAATAATTTTTCATTTGAATTAGTTAAATTATTAATTTTTTCATTTAAATTATTTAAATTTGATTCTAATTCCCAATTTTTATCTTTTAAATCAGTTTCATTATTAATTTGAAAATTTCTTGAGCTATTTAATTTTGAAATTTGATTTTTATAATTTTCAATTTCTTCTGACTGACTTTTCATTTTTTGTTTTATTTTACCATTTTCAGCATTTAGTCTTCTACATTCACTTAATAAATTTTCACTTAAGCCAACAACAAAATTCATATCATTACCTTTAGATTCTGGTCCTAAGGAAGGAGTTGGTTGAGGAATAGAAGGAGTCAAGGCATTTCTCGAAGATTTTCTACTAATTCCATGGTTTTGATGGTGGTGATAGCCAGATCCTGATCCAGATCCTGATCCAGAAGATTTTCTAGATGATGGCCCACTTGAACTACCACCAGCTCTAGGTAAAGTTGGAGGTTGGAATACATTTTCTTGTAATAAGCTTGGAGAGGAAGGTTTTGAATGACTGCCTTTTGGTAACACGTTAAGGTTTTCCTTATTGGTGGTAGTATTAAATAATTTTCTTTGAATATCTGAAAGTTGACCCCTAATATCATCTTTCAGGACTTTAGAGTCCTGATTATGAGACATTCTTCACTTATCAATCTTGGATAAAGGGTCTTTTTCTTAAACAAAGTCAAAGAACTATAACTTAAGGAATAATTGTCTTTTGAAATATATTGAAACACTCGGGAGTCTTTAATTCTAATTCAAAGAAGGTGAATAGCTGAACTAAACGCTAGCTAGCTAGTGAAAGGGAAAAGCGAAAAGAAAAAGAAAAAAAGTGTGTAACAACCTGGATATTTCCACAATAACTATCACTTAATGATGTGCTGTGAAGTGATATTCTGTAAGTAACGATGACCAACAATAAGTAAATAAATAGTCGAAGTTGTGATATGTTTTTGTATTTATTTCAGATCATCTAATTAAAAGTCAGACTATTTTCATTAATGTGTAGTGCTCAATGAAAAAAGGTAAACAATCATTGCGCGTAGACGGTCCTGGTGTTTGGGTGTTTGGGTGTTAAAAAATTGGGTGCACGGATATATTATTAACTAAAGAGATATATGTAGCGAGAGAGAGATATATAGGTATAGTTTATGAACAAGTTGAATTAAAGATTAGGGGAAAGATTAGTTATCTTGGGCGGCTTTTGCTTGGGCGGCTTTTGCTTGGGCAGCCCTCTTACCCATTGTTTTCCCAAAGAGTATGACCGTAGGGACCAAGGCAATGGTTTCAATGACTACCCAGGCGACTAAGATCCCATAATTTCTACCTAATTGACCTTTGTAAGTATTGAAAAAGATAACTTTGGTGATTTCGTAAGAGTTATGGATTGGTAAACCATAGCCGTATCTAAAGAATTTAGGACTCAAGGCCAAGGGAGTGAAAGTAGGAGAAATATTAATGATGACCCAGAACAACATCCAAAACCCTAATAAAGGAGGATACAATAAAATAAGTAGCATGCCCATAATTTCATTCATTGCACCAACAGCCCACATGGTTAAGAAAGAAGTCATCCAATAAACCAAAAACCCAGATTTACCAAAAGCGACTTGCATGTCAACTTGCATGACTAAACTTACTAAAGAATAGAAAAAACTCAAGACAAAGAAAGAAATAATAGTGGAAGCAACACGGTAGAATAAGAAATGATGATTTTTCAAATTAAATTTAGCGACTTTTTGATGAACGTCACTAAAGAAATTGAAACTGAAAAAGGTAACGATAATCATATAAATCAACCCAACTTGAGAAGGAGCGACTAACACTGGATCACGGAAAGGTCTTGAATCTTCGTAAAGAAACGTCATTGGTGCAGTTATGAGATTTAATGAATTAGTATTGGAAAAAATCGAATCATTAGAAATTTGTCTTGCTATAGAGGAGGTTATATTATTTTGTTGAGCTAAAAACATTTTTTCGATTTTTTGTATACTTGGAGTGACATAAGTATTCATATTAAGGAAATCTCGACCAGTTTCATAAATTGAAGATATGGTGTTATTGGTAACATTATAGGATTCCCCGTTTTCAATTGCATGGTATAAATTATAAGTTGCGTTTGGTTTAACGTAAATCGAAGACCAATATTCTTGATGATGAACTTGTCTTTGAATTTCATCACCTATTCTATCTTCATTATTATGTTTTGCGGCAATTTGATTGAATTCACTTGAATTGTAAATATGCCATTGTCCATAGTATTTGGCTTGATCCGTTTCCAAGATTTGTCTCAAGGTATTACCAATTATTGGATCAACATTATCAATAGTAGAATCATCTTCAATAACAACCAACATTCTCAAATTTCGAAGACGATAATTTCTATGATACATTGACCCCCAATAAATAGAAAAAATACCTAAAAGCATAACCCCCATTAACAACCAAATTAATACAAATTTAATTAATAATCTCATTCTTTCATGTTTTAAATTTTGATTGAAAAATGAATACTTGGATTGAACCCGTTCTAAAAATGATGGGGTTCTTTGTAATTCATGATTTCTAGAATTGGTACGCAGAATGGGATTGTTCCCAAATGATTTTTCATTATTCTCTAAATCTTCTTGGGCATCCCCAAACTCTTCCTCTCCCACAAATGGTTGGGGAGTATGTTCATAATCTTCAGGATGATTATTTTCTCTGCCTACTTCATTCTGTCCCTGTTTAGCATACGACTCGGTTTCCTCCGAGGAGGATCTGTTGGCATAAGATGTCATGGTTGCAGCGACTTTCTCTATCTCAGGTTTCTCAACTTTGTTGCAAACAATCCTCTTCTTATATTTGACGTGAAGAAATTGTTTGTTTTTAGGCCCGTCTAAGCTATTAATTTAATACTTCTCTGTATGCAGGGACCGGCCCTCGGCTCTAAAGGTCCGAGTGGCCTCCGAGTGGGTACTGCCGAGCACCTCGGTGCAGCTCGGCCGAGGTAAACTCCGGGCATTTTGACAGTTGAAATACGTTTTTCAGCACTTGCTTGTTCCTCAATTAGTAAGAGTTACTTCTTTTGCTTTTGTCCGGCTTACCAGTACTCTTAATCGTCCTGTGAGATATATATAAGCTGACATATAGGGTCTCTGTATTGCCCAGACTGCTGCACTGTCCAGATTGTTGCACTGCTAGATTGTTGCACTGTCTAGAATGTTGCGCTTTAGATACTCTTTCTAATGCTGTAGGCTGAAAATTTTGAGAACACGCATACAAAAAAAAAAAAAAAAAGGTTAAGGTTAAGGACATACTGATTCTTCAGTACTTGAGCAAGATGGAAGCATTGCATGATCAGTATTCTAGTGGGAATAAGCAGTTCCTGTATGCTGACCAATCCGTTAGCCATAGAGGTTCAAAGAAGAAGCCGGTTAATGATTTGGATGAGATAATTGACCAAACGCGACAATTATCAATTAGTCAAGACGAATCAAGTCCAAGTTGCAACTTTCAAAAGGCCTTGGTTTATTATATCAATCCATTGGTGTTGACTGCGGTTTCGGCCTGGATTCGATTATACCAGTTGAGCCGTTCTAACAAGGTTGTTTGGGACGAGGCCCATTTTGGGAAGTTTGGTTCTCATTACTTAAAACACGAATTTTACTTTGATGTCCATCCTCCATTGGGTAAATTATTAGTTGGGTTATCGGGGTATCTTGCTGACTATGACGGTTCTTTTGATTTTGAGAGTGGTGAAGAGTTCCCGTCGAATGTTAATTTTGTTTTAATGAGATTTTTCAATTGTATCTTTGGTATATTATGTACTCCATTGGCTTATAAAACTGCTTTAGCGCTTGGTTACTCTCAATGGACCATTTGGCTTATTTCTCTAATGGTTGTTTTTGAAATGATATCTTTGGTATTATCTAAATTCATTCTTTTGGATTCAATGCTTTTATTTTTCACCGTTTTATGTTATTATTGTTTAATCAAAATTCATAATTTGAAATGTGAGAATAAGTTATTGAGTTTATCGGGGTTTAAATGGTTATTCGCAACTGGGGTTTCCATCGGCTGTGTTTGTTCTGTTAAGTGGGTAGGTCTTTTCATCACTGCTTTAATTGGGTTTTATACAATTTATGACTTGATGATCGGGTTTTATCAAACTACTTGTAAGAAAATCAATTGGTCTTCCTATTTGATACATTGGATAACAAGAATTTTCACTCTTATAATAACTCCCTTCATCATTTATTTGATTTGTTTCAAAATTCATTTTGCTGTCTTGAATCATTCAGGCCCCGGTGATGGATCCCTTTCTACTTTATTACAAGCTTCGCTTCATGATAATAAAATCGAATACGGTCCAAGATCAGTCGGGTTTGGTTCGTTGGTTTCTATAAGATCTCAGGGTTTATCTCCAAACTTATTACATTCTCATCCTCATAATTATCCAGATGGCTCCCATCAACAACAAATTACTACCTATGGTTTCAAAGATGAAAATAATGAATTTGTTATTGAGTTTGATTGGAATAACGCTATTAATGGTCATTTTGCCAGTTTAATTGATGAGGATTCAAATTCAATCGACGATTTAACTACTTTGGTGAAAGATGGCGATACCATTAGATTAATACATAAAGAAAGCGGTTGTCTTTTACATAGTCATGATATCCCGGCTCCAATCTCTAAAAATCATTATGAAGTTAGTTGTTATGCTGATTTAGATAATAGTGACTTGAAAGATGAGTGGGTTGTGGAAATTCAAAATCATGAAGTTTCTCCTTCTCCACAATTTCAAAATGAACCAGTCGATGAAATCCACCCAATCTCAACTAATTTTAGATTGAAGCATAAATCCCTTGGTTGTTATTTAGCAACTACCGGTTACTCTTATCCTGCTTGGGGGTTCCAACAAGGTGAAGTTATTTGTAAATACTCTTTACTCTCAAAAGATAAAAATACTTGGTGGAATATTGAAGATCACACTAATGAATTCTTACCCCAAATAAATGAAACTTATGTCCCTCCAAAACCTAGATTTTGGAAAGAATTTATTTTACTTAACTACGGTATGATGGCTTCAAATAATGCTTTAGTACCTGATGCTGATAAATTTGATAAATTATCTTCAGAATATTGGGAGTGGCCCATTTTGAACTCGGGTTTAAGAATGTGTGGTTGGGGTGCTGATGATGTTAAATATTTCATGATTGGTCATCCATTAATCACTTGGTTTAGTACCGGCTCTTTATTAATTGTTTCATTGTATTTAATTGTCGTTTTATGCATGTGGCAACGTCAATCATTAAAACTTAATATTCTTGACCCTTACTATGAATTTTTATTAAGTGGAGCCATCTTGCCATTAATCGGTTGGGTATTGCATTACTTCCCGTTTGTCATGATGGGTAGAGTAACTTACTTACATCATTATGTACCTGCATTGTATTTTGCGATTTTCGTTGCTGGTTTTATGATGGAGGCTTTGGTTGCTAGAAAAGTTAATAAACATTTAACTGGGTTTATTTACTTATGCTTCTACATTGCAATCATTGCCATCTTTTGGTACTTGAAAGATTTGGTGTTAGGTATGGAAGGACCTTCAAGAAATTTCAGACATCTAAGAGTCTTATCAAGCTGGATGGTTTAAACCTTGTATATATAATAAAAGTATTTTGCAGTATAAGTTTGTAAAAAAAAATTGTTGCGAAAAATCGGAAAAAATCCTCAAGTTGCTTCAAAACCGTGTAAACTCTTAGTGATTTTCGATTTAATTTTGCAAAAATATTGTAATTACTATGCTACAAGCTTGAGTTTGATTAAACCCCCTTCAAGCTGGAAAGCTCATATCTTCTTGCTACATGACTTGATCCCATACCCTTACTTTGAAGTTGCCAACAGTAACGGTTGTCGTTAAGGGTTCCAATTTGCAAATGAAAATGGGAAATTGCGAAAAATAAAAGATGGATTTGGAAGCCACATAATCAAGGTATGGTGTTTCTTATCGGTTTAAAAGAATAAACAATGTTCAACTGAAAAGAGTGGATATTCATATTGCAAATCAGGGGGGTATTGTGTAAGCATTGATCTTGATTTGATTTGGTCCTTTGCATGAAACTCCTTTAATTAATCATTTATAATACAAGAGGAATCCATTTCATTGAATTTGACTTACTAATTCTTAAGGAGAATGACTGATTCTAAAAGAATATATAACCAATCTATATCTTCTTATGGTAGTACCAATGAAATCCGATCGAATTCGAGTGACCAAGAATCAAACGATGATACTAAAAAACAACAGGAATCAGCATACTCCATTCAAGCCATCTGGAGTGACGAAGAATATGTGAATGATGAAGATAGAATCGACCCTTCGCCGAATCCGTTTCTTGATGATGAAGAAGTGACGAAGTACTACACGGCCTTGTATGAGCAATCGGATTATGAATGTCGCCATGTTTTTGAACCCCAGTTATTGTGGACAGTTGCGGAGGAAAAACGAATTGTTAGTAAACTCGATGGTAAAATAGCTTTATTCAGTTGTATATTATTTGCAGCTTTGGAGATTTGTCGACTGAATATCCGTCAGGCTTTAAGTGACGACTTTCTAGCTGATTTGAATCTTACCACGAATGATTATAATATGGGATGTACTATTTTTTTAGTCGGGTTTCTTCTTGGAGAGATTCCTTCTTCGGTGCTTTCCAAGGTAGTTGGAGTAGATAGATTCGTCCCATTTCAGATAATTGCATGGTCAATTGTTGGTATGAGTCAATGTTTTATCACGGGAAGGAAGACCTTTTTCCTTTGCAGAGGGTTATCTAGTATATTTATGTCAGGTTTAATACCGGAATTAGTCACTGCAATGTCTTCTTATTATAAATCCAATGAATTATCCGTTAGACTATCTTGGTTTTGGACCACACTGTCTTGCATTGAAATATTTGCATCAATAGTATCGCCATTAATTCTAAAGCTTCGAGGAACTTTTGGCTGGGAAGGTTGGAGATTTTTATTTTTGATTTTTAATTTCAGTTCTTTCATAATCGGGTTATGCTCATATTGTATGTTAGTACCTTCCCCAATTGAAACCAAGTCTCGATTTTATCCTCAAGGTTGGTTTAATAATCGAGAAGTTTCAATCATAGTCAACCGAGTCTTGAGAGATGATCCTTCCAAAGGCGATATGAACCATAGACAAAGTATCGAGGTCAAACCACTAATAAGAGCATTATTAGATTACGATTTATGGCCCATTTATATCCTTGGTTTTATAGCATTTATTCCAAAGTCAACCATCGGAAGCTATTTGAATATAATAATGAGGAACTTTGGTTGGTCATCCTCACAAATCAATTACTTTGCAATTCCCCATTTCATTCTTCATATTTACTTCTTATTAGAAACTACAAAAATAAGTGAACGCTTCAATCAAAAAGCCCTTGTGGCTTTATTAAGTCCAACGTTTCAACTTCCTTTGGTACTACTATTGAATTTTTGGAATGGAGCCATGGTCAATGCCTGGGGGACTTGGGCTATATGTACTCTTATAGTTGGAGGTCCTTACATCCATGCTATTAATGTAGCTTGGGTTTCAAGAAATTCTGGCAGTATTAAAACTAGAGCTGTTGCTAGTGCCATGTATAACATCACCGTCCAACTAGGTAGTGTGGTTTCAGCCAACATCTATAGACAAGATGACGCTCCTCTTTACCATCGAGGTAATCAACAACTTCTCTACCTATCCTTGTCAGTGGTCCCGATAATCTTACTAGTGAAAGCTTATTACATCTGGAGAAACCATACTAAAAGGGCCCACTGGCAAAGCATGACTCCAGAAGAACAGAGCTGGTACCTCAACCACACTACGGACCAGGGTAACAAAAGACTTGACTTCATGTTTGATAGTTAAATATTCATATAACTACCTTATTAAGACTGTAGCATTTAATCCCGTTTTCGCATTAATGAAGAATTGGTAACAAAAAAACGAAAAAAAAAAAAAAAAAATAACCAGGAGAAAAGAAAAGAACCAAACGAACCAAAAAAAAAGACTAAAAGTAAAAACCACGGAAGTAAATATACCGTTTAGTGGATTAGCAAGTATAGGACTAACAGTTTCGATATCCAGGTTATTCAGGAAAAGAGGTTATTCTCGTAGTACTAGAGCTCAGCCAAGTTTTGAAAAGAAGAACGTGAAGTACTAAGGTTTTCCTGATTGAAAAGATTTGCATTTAGAAATCAAATTGAAAAGTACGTAACTCGAGTTGTTTGACCAGACAGAGTACTAGGAATCAAAATTGACGCTAGTAAGTGAACATTGATAGTGATCGAATATCAAAACCCCATTATTTAAATAAAGATGGAGAGATATAATGAAAATAACTACCTCGAAGATGAGGAACTAGCCCAGTTACAGGCCCAACAACAAGATGAGATTCCACAACCGTCTGCTCCACCTATAGTTGACGAAGAGGAGCTATTAGCAGCACAGGCGGCAGCAGAGGCGGCAGCAGCTCAACAACAACAACAACCAGGTGGTGCATTTAATAATGTTGGACAAGGGTTAACCGGGAGAAATCGAGATATAATGATGCAATACTGGCAAGAGACCATCAACTCTATTGAACATGACGATCACGATTTTAAGAATCACCAATTACCATTGGCAAGAATCAAGAAGGTTATGAAGACTGATGAAGACGTAAGGATGATTAGTGCTGAAGCACCGATTTTATTTGCTAAAGGATGTGATGTTTTCATAACTGAACTAACTATGAGAGCATGGATTCATGCAGAAGAAAATAAAAGAAGAACATTACAAAAATCAGATATTGCAAATGCTTTAACGAAAAGTGATATGTTTGATTTTTTAATTGATGTTGTACCTAGAGAAGAAGAAAAACCTAAAAAGCCAACTACTTCCAGATCAAACGGGTTTAGCACTCCTCGTTCAAACCCTCAGTATCAAGATCAATATCAACAGGAGACTAATTTTGGAGGTCAAGTACCAGATCAAGAACAAGCTCAACAAATCCAGGCGTCCCCGAATCCACCTCAACTCAGCTCACAACAACAAGGTCAATCATCTCCTACACAACCACAACCACCAAGCCAAGCACCATTAGTTTCAACTCAACAACAACAACCAATATCTACCCAAAGATTACTTCAAGAACAACAACAAGATGAACAACAAGAGCAACAACAAGAACAAATTTACCAACGACAAGATCAACAATCGGAAAAAATTGCTCCACAACCTGCTTCAAATCATCAACAACCTCAACAGGCTCCTCAAGAACAATCTACAAGCCAGCCAGGCGAACCTGGTGAATACAACAATTTCCAAAACTTTAACCCGGTTTATGAAAATGGATTTTGAAATTATACAATCTTGTTTATAGTTTGTCTTGCACGAGACATTGATAGATATGTTCAATTCCTAAACGTTTCCATCTATTAAAACCCAAATTCAAATTTAATTCCTTTTAGACTTCCTTTTGATATCTTTCTTCTTTGTAATATTTTAAATCTTTTATTTGTTTGCTTTACTCTCTATGATGGGACTACAATTTGTATTTTTAACTTGTTGCCATTTACTTTCCTAGCTTCTATTTTTTAATTGTTAGTTTCTATTTACTTGTTGTACAATTTCTACTTCTTACTTATTATACAGTTTCTATTTCTTATCTACTATTTTGTTTATATAGTTATTTTCTCTATTTTTTCACGACTGCTAATTGACTTTCCTCGGTTTCTTTCTTTACTGTAGCAGAATTATCTATAAAATCACTATACCATGGAGTTTAGTAGTTCGGGCCATTTCGGGTTATTACTAAGTATTCCACTACAATAAAAAAAAAGTGAAAAAAAAAAACGGAAAAAAAAAAAAACTGAGAAAGGAGTAATAAAATCATTGCTCCTATTGTAAGATGACAATTTCTAACTACTTTACTTTTCTTTTGATATCATAGAAACTACCATCTACCGTTGGATAGATACTTTAGAATTGATCAAGAAGGTCTCATTAGCCAATTGAGTCTGGTTTGAGTGTTAGCATTGAAAAGGTATTTGGTAACCAATTAAACAGATTGGAGGATATAACTGTTGCTTCAAATATCACGTTACAAAATTGCTGCAATCCTTATTGTAAAAAAAGGTATTAATTTCACAAACGTTCCTACAAAAATTGAGATAATCCCCTCATTGGCCAATTGTTTAAATATATAAGTACCATTAGGTTCTTTTTAGAGAATGTTTAATATTTTTAGAAATTCAATTGCCAATTCAATTAAACATTCTAATAATCAATTATCATTTATAAAGAGTAATTTAAGATCTACTTGTGCATTGAAGAGTTTCAATTCAATTAATTTACAATCTAAGATGAATTTACTTACTATTTCTCAATCTCTTGACGAATCTTATAATAAACATAAAATTATTCCTGACGTGGTTGATAAATTTGATACTCAAGGATTGCTTACCATTGAATATAATGAAAATGATCAAGTTGCCTTGGGGAATACATTGAAAGTTGAAAATACTCAGCATAAACCAACAATTCAATTCACTCTTAATTCTCCTGGTCTGGAAAAAGAATTGGAAATATCAAAGGACGATCGATTCACTTTAGTTTTAACCGATCCGGATGCTCCATCAAATAAAGATCATAAATGGTCAGAATATGCTCATTGGATTGTTACTGATTTACCATTGAATGAAAATTCCGAATCTGCTTCTTCAAATGCCGAAGGTAAAGAAGATTCCTTAAGTACGATATTAGACTATACTAAAGGTAAAGAAATTTTATCTTACGTTGGTCCTGCACCACCTCCAAAAACTGGTAAACACCGTTATGTTTTCTTACTCTATAAACAAGATCCAAAAGTTTATCTGTTACCTGCTCCTCCTGACAGACCTAACTGGGGTACTGGTATTCCAAGTAGCGGTGTGAAAGATTGGATCAAAAAACATGGTGGTAAACTGCAATTATTAGGAATCAATTTCTTTTATGCCCAAAATGACGATCAAGATTGATTCTATATATATATATATATATATATAAACTGTTTTATACTTTATATCATAATGCCATACATTAACTTCGCTTTATACTATTACTATACTCTTTAGGACTAACCACCAACCCTTTACCCTTTCTTGCTCCTCTATAAATAGTTTCAATAATATCAATTAACTCTTGTTTTTCACCAACTAAAAAATTTAATTTATTATTATTCCCAGTTCCAAAATCACACATCATGTGTTTATTTCTATAGAAAAACATAACCGTACATGGATCATATAACTCATACATTTGATTAAAGTCAGGAACTTCATCAATATCACAAAGATAAATTGCAGCAAAGTTTCGAACTTTTTCTGCTATCCCATAAAGAAATTCATCCATTATCATACAATTCTTCTCATAGTCACGTCCAAACCGTATAACTACAAGTCGTTCATCTTCGGAAAGTATTGCCTGGTCAACATGCCATCCGGTATGGAGATGGGTAAGGAATATGGAACTCATTGCTGCCGATGGATTGATGAAAAAGTATTGATTATTCGAAACTTGGTGATGGAATTATTGGAAATTTTTCAATCGTTTTTTGTGCGCAATGTTTAGCGGCCTTTAAATTTGCATCCACAAATTACATCCAATGACAAATACTTCTCTGGAGTGAATGATAGAGAGCAGCAGTGGATGATATGAGTAAAATAACAGAAGTGGCTGATGTGGTGGAAGTGAATGATAAGTGTGAAATAGCAGAAAGGAATGATTTGAGAGAAATGTTAGATGTGAGGGAGACTAAAAAGGCTGATAAGGAAAATGAAAAAGCTCAGCCAGGACTTAAAAGAAAGTCCAGTAGGCTATCTCGATTCTTTCTGAGACAGCCAGACACAGCAGAGATAGACACAGCAGAGATAGACACAGCAGAGATAGACACAGCAGAGACAGATGCAAAGGCAGAAAGCAAGCCCGTTGCTTGTCCACTCAAAGAGCTTACCAACATCGAGTCCAGAAAATCGATAACCGGATTGAAAATACGAGACAACATGTCCTATTATCTTGGATTAAGTAAAAACGAAGAGCAACCAGCAAGTGAAGCTCCTCGAATCGAAAAACCCCAGATCAGCGAGACCAGCAACTCAGAAACAAGTGCAAGCGAGACCCCGAACAAGAACGAGGAATTCCTGGGAATACCCAGTAGTAGACTAGCCTTTTTCGAAGATTCCCAGCGAATGGCATTCAAGGTAAGCTTGAGGACCTTCAGAGAACGAGAAATAACTTATAATTTCTACTTCAAATGGGTATTGTGGGTTGAGAACCTCAACGCTAAAAGAGATCTCAGAATATTCCAAATGGTGGAAACTAATTACGACTTGGAAGACACTTTCCGATTTTTCAAAGCCAACCAAACAACATATAATAAGGTCCATTTCTTTCGCTTGGGGATAATGCCCAGAAGGAAATCGACCAAGTTGAAGCACGGGACTAGAATTGAATTTAAAGTACCTAGCGTACTAGCCTCGGACTTCGTGAGTGAATCATTGAAAATGGTCTTGGGAGACATCTTGTACCTGCCCAGCAACATCCAGAGTACGTATGAAAAACACCCATCTTCGCAAAGAAGCGTACTAACTAGCACAGTCCCCATTCTAGGAGTAACCTTCAAGAACTGCAACAGCGAATATTCAGTCTTAATTTTTTGGACCACTCAACCCATCCAACAAGATCCTACTTGCTTTGTGGAATTACTAGACCTAGTCAGGGACACCATACCAAGCTACCTCCACAAGATATTGCACCTGGCTGTTCTTGTCGCCAATAGCACCTTGGAGAGTTATAACATATTCAAAGAGAGCCCGTAGTTGCAAAACCACTTCATACCCACACACCCGTGCACCAAACGTCACGTGCACATCCTCAAACCCACTCAGAACCAATCAACAAAGCTCGTTTTCTGTTAGTAACAGACCGAAAAAACTAAAGAAAAAATTGAATTATATACAATTAGGTTATAGTAATAGATAGAACCAACGATGTCTACTTCGCTTATCCGTACTATCAAGAACATCTACTCTTCAGGGTTGAAGAGAGCCGCATGGCAAATCCAAACCCATAACGATACCAAAAGAGGTTGGTTAGTGGGCCAAGATGATTGGGGTAACAAGTATTACGAAACGGATGTACCAGAAGAAATTCATTTAAGAACCAGATGGGTTGAATATGCCGACTGGGGTGTTGATATTTCCAGGGTTGAACCAGGTTGGCATTATTGGTTAGGTTATGGTACTAATACTCCACCAAACAAGTTACAAGGTGACCAAATTGCTACCAGAGCTTACCCATTACTCAAACATAAAGAAAACTTAACTGCCACTAGAGGTGCTTATGTTCCTTACAACACTGCCAAACCAAAACATCAAGCATGGCAACCTGAAGTTAAAGAACGTGTTGAAGTTTAATCATTTAAAATTATTTATTAATTCTGATTGATTCTGGTGTTATCACTTTAAATATCAGTTGATTCTATCAGTTTATTTATTATATCATATATTCAAGCATAAATAAGATCCCTAGATCGTCAGATTGCTCCTTTCTTTCATTTGTTCATGTTCTCATATTCTCCTTTTATATTATTATTTTCATTCTTCATTTACGGTTAGTTTAAATAAATGACAATTTCATTGACTTGACTAAATTCCAGATATATAGATGTAAATGTACTTATAATTTATCTGATGATTTAAATCTGATGATGCGGAAAATTTGAAAGCATCGGAAACTGAAAATTTATCAGTGAAAAAAAAACCAATCTACTAGTTTTCAATCACCAACCATGTCAAGTGAAAACCAACAAGGGAAGCTTCCCAACCTTGCTTCCGAAGCAGTATTAGTCAAGTCCGAACCGGTTCCAGATAATTTCGTAGAAGTTCTGGGGATCGACTATTCAAAAGATTCCGCTTATAATATGAAAGCAGTTGATCTAATTGATTCAATGAGAACCATGGGGTTCCAAGCTTCTTCTGTGGCTTCAGCTTGTGATATCATCAACAAAATGAGAGAATGGAGAGGTAAACATATTGACGAATTGCCAGAGCATGAAAGAACAGGTGAATTTGATGATCAAGGATACCAAAAAACCACGATCTTTTTAGGTTATACTTCAAATTTAATAAGTAGCGGATTAAGAGATACTTTAAGATATTTAGTTCAACATAAATTGGTCAGTGGGATTGTTGCCAGTGCCGGTGGGATCGAAGAAGATTTAATCAAATGTTTAGCTCCAACTTACATGGGTGATTTTGCTTTACCCGGTAAAGGATTAAGAGATAAAGGTATGAATAGAATTGGTAATTTATTAGTGCCAAATGATAACTATTGTAAATTTGAAGAATGGATTGTACCAGTTTTAGATAAGGTTTTAGAAGAACAAGAAGAAAGCATGAAGAAATTAGGCTCCGAAGGTTTAAATGCCGATTCTGATGCTATTTGGACTCCTTCTAGATTAATTGATCGTTTAGGTAAAGAAATTAACGATGAGTCTTCTGTTTTATACTGGGCTCATAAAAACAACATTCCAATCTTTTGTCCTGCTTTAACTGATGGTTCAATTGGTGATATGTTATTCTTTCACACTTTTAAAGCTTCTCCACAAAGATTTAGATTAGATATTGTTTCCGATATCAGAAAAATCAATTCCATGTCAATGGAAGCAACCCGTGCTGGTATGATCATCTTGGGTGGTGGTTTAATCAAACATCACATTTGTAATGCTTGTTTAATGAGAAATGGTGCTGATTACGCAGTTTACATTAATACCGGTCAAGAATTCGACGGTTCAGACGCAGGTGCTAGACCCGATGAAGCCGTAAGTTGGGGGAAGATCAAAAGTGACGCCAAACAAGTTAAGGTCTATGCTGACGTTAGTGTAGTTTTCCCATTAATAGTGGCTGCTACTTTTGCAGCCCAAAGACCAAACTAATTATAGACTTTTCTAATATTGTTGTAAATATATAAACCTTTTATATCCAATCGTTCATTGTATATCATCCGCTATATAATCAATACAACTACCGTATATCCTCATATTATTGGCTCCACCATCAGTTCGTTGTAACTCAATGGTGGCTGGCTTCCAGTGGAGTCTCGTTTGGGGGAGTTTTTGCACGCTTTGAGATTTTTGTTTGGTGCCACACATTGATACGCACTGATAAAGCCAATTGGTTATCAAATAGTATAAAGGTGGAAATTGTCTTTTTCTTTAAGTTCTACCAGGTTCTTCTTTATCAATAATTATTTTCAAATGTCCCAAGATCCTTCAATTGAAGCTTTGCAACGTGCCTTCCAAAACATTGACTTTGCCAAACTCGTCAAGGAAAGTATGGCTTCCAATGCAGTTGCTGAGTCTAACCCCGAATCTCCAACCTTGAATGCCACTCCAAATGCTGAAGTTTTTGACGACTCGTTCTTTGCTAAGTATGCCGACGAGTATATTGAATTTACATACAAGAACCCAACCATCTATCATGTTGTTAAATACTTCAGTGATAAGTTAAAGGCTCAGGGGTTTGAATACCTTTCAGAAAAAGATTCCTGGACCGATGTCAAACCAGGAAAATACTTCACTAGCAGAAATGGGTCCTCTCTTATTGCTTTCACCATTGGGAAAAATTGGAAACCTTCCAAAGGTCTTGGTGTCATTGGGTCTCATATTGATTCTTTAACTGTGGCCTTAAAACCAAGTTCTATTAAGAATAAGGTTGATGGTTATGACTTGCTAGGAGTAGCCCCATACGCCGGGACATTATCTGATGTTTGGTGGGATCGTGACTTGGGTATTGGTGGTCGTCTTATTGTGAAAAAGGACAATAAAGTCACCAGTACATTGGTGGATAGCTCTCCTCATCCAATTGCCCATATTCCAACGTTGGCTCCACATTTCGGAGCTCCCGCAGTTGGTCCTTTCAATAAGGAAACCCAAGCCGTACCAGTTATTGGGTTCTCAAGCGAACCAGATGCCCCCGCCACTGAACAAGAGAAAAAGGCACCGTTATATGGTAAACATCCAATCAAGTTATTGAGATACATTTCTAAAATATCCAATACTCCAATTGAAGATATCTTACAATGGGATTTACAATTATTTGACGTTCAAAAGGGAGCTTTGGGTGGATTGGATAATGAGTTCATTTTTGCTCCAAGAATTGATGATCGTGTATGTTCTTTTGCTGCCATCTATTCATTACTTGAAGCCGACAAGAAAAATCTCCTTCCGGATGATAATTTTTCTATCGTTGGTTTATTCGATCACGAAGAAATTGGCTCGGGCTCAAGAACTGGTATTAGAGGTCAATTATTTGAATCTACAGTTTCCAGAGTTGTTTCTTCCGATTACTATAATCCAAATCTTTCCGATGTAAGTGATGCTTTAGCTATTGCATATGCCAATACGATCATTTTATCTGCGGATGTAAATCATTTGGTTAATCCAAACTTCACTGGCTACTACTTGGAAAATCATAAACCAGTTCCTAATAAAGGTGTCACCATTGCTTTCGATACCAATGGTCATTTCGCTACTGATTCTTTAGGTACCTCCTTATTAGAAGAATTGGCTCGCTTAAATGATGACCAACTTCAATACTTCCACATCAGAAACGACTCCCGAAGCGGGGGTAGTATTGGTCCTTTGATCTCCTTGCAAACTGGTGCCCGTACAATTGATTTGGGTATTCCTCAATTGTCAATGCATTCAATTAGAGCTACCGTTGGCTCTAAAGATATCGGTAATGGGATTAAGTTTTTCTCTGGTTTCTTCAAAAACTGGAGAAAGACTTACGACACTTACCAAGACTTGTAACTCCCATCTTCAAAAACGCTTTCCAGCTCTCAAAAGTTATAGTTTTTATACTTAAAATGTTCGATATCAGAAGTAATTGTAGAAGATCCTTTTTGCAACTCAATAAGATGGCGATATACACGACCATTTTATTATTAGACATCCTCTGCTTTTTCACCATAACAACACTGGAAGTGGCTTAAAACCCCCCAGTGCTGGCCGTTGGTATAAAAAGGCTGTCTCTGGTATCTCATATCTGGATCTTCGAACATCATTGAAGTCAAATCCATCGACTGTGAAGGAGAAAACAGTCAAGAGAACGAGCATAGTAAAAGAAAAACACAGAAAAAACAACAAAAAAAAAAAAAAAAAAAAACAAAAAATTACGTGAAAACCTTCAATCCTCATCATAATTGACAAGAAAGACTCCTCATTCTACTACAAGTCTGTTGCAATTGATCTTCCTGCTGTGTTAATCGTGCACGCATAGCCTAGAATTACTTTACTGAAGCACATTATTGTCTAGAAGTTGGTTGAAAATGGGTATGTATTGCTTGATTTAGAACTTGATTCGGCTAATAATATAGACTGCTGCAGGTTTAGCTGTTGGGCAGGATATACTAAGGTTGAGTCGACGAGGATTCCAATTCCCCAATGAATTGCATTGGCCAAGGCTTATTAGGGCCCCAGCGTGATTCTTTTTGTTAATGACTTGAGAAAAACACTGGATCATTATAGATGTGAGAATGACAAGATCAACAAATAACTTTGATTCAAAATAAATCGAATATTACTAATGCCAATTGATTGGAGATGTAAATTTAATCTTGAGTTACTAACGTTAATACCCTCTAGCTCCCCCAAAGAAAATGTCCTTACAGGAGTTTTTCTCCGATGAATGTATGTATTCTAGATTTTATATTGACAGAACAAATACTAACAAAAATATCATTTAGCATTTGGTGGTTCATGGGCAGACGATGACATTGACTTGGCATCGATTTCAGTACCCATTGAGAAGAATAGACCATATTCTTCTGATGGTGGATTCAACAATTCAGGTGGTTTCCACGGTCATGGTGCTCAGTCTGGTGATAATGGTCCTCCTTATATACTTAAATTATTGAACTTGCCTGTAACATGTGACGAACGTTTCGTGGATGATTTATTCAAAAGTAGATACACTCCTTATGTCAAGTGCAAGATTGTGGTTGATCCAATTTCTAACATTTTAGAATCTCACGTAATTAAGAAAGTTGCATTCGTCGAATTAACAACTTATGAGGATTATTCAAAAGCATTGAAGTGGTTGGACCTATTTTACAAAGGTAATAGAAGAGTCATAGTTGAACCAGCAGATTTCAACGATTTTCAACACTGTATCTCTTTCAATCAAGAACACGAAGTTGAAATACAAGAAATTATAGAAAATTTTATTGCTGGGAAAAATCAAGAACATGGTCACCAAAGACGAGGCTTGGCTGGTATGCCATTACCTGAACCGAATGAAATTGGTAAGCAATTCAGTCCTCAACGAAACAATATCCCTCTCAACAGATCAAATCATGATAATCTTCGCAACTCTCCAGTAATGAATAATTCTCAAACACATAAACCAAAATCAAATCCTTTTGGATCAGCAAGACCCGTTGATATAGTTTCAAAAGAAAAAGAGCTTGATGATAAAATCATAGCAATTAACCATACTACTTTTAGAACTATAGGCTCAGAAGATTCGGAATCCCAAGCTAATTCTAGAAGATCATCACAAACAAAATCAAGAAGATCTTCAATCACAATTTTGAAAAGACCTTCTATAACTCCAGCAACTAAACCAGAACCAGCTTCAAGCTCGTCAACTATTGATTCAGCGTCGCCCCCTACAGCTTCTCAAGATATTCACAAACCTCATAATATGAGTCTTGCTGATATTTTAAGTGCTCAAGGTGATAAGTCCCCTGTTAGTGGAAGAAGAAGCACTCCTGCAAAACAATCACCTAAGCCTACAGCCATTAAGCCAGTTATTTTGAAGAAAAAAACTCAGTTAAACCTTAGCCCGATGGCCAGTAATCAAACTGAAGCAACTCCCACGGCTAGTACTACGAGTACTCCACCACCAAATACTCAACCACCTGTATTAATCGACGAAGAATCGCAGAAGGCAAAAGAGTTAGAGATTGAAAATAAACTAAAACAAATCAACGAATCATTTTCAAAAAATAACGCTTTGGAAAATAATGCATCTGCTAATGAATCACCAGAATCAAATATATCTCTCAGTCCCAACGGTTCAAATGATGGAACTCAGAATAAATCCACTCAAGGTAAACCCCGTATTGATTTATTAGCTCATCCGTCAAGATCTACTATATCTGAACCTAATAAATCACAATTTGCCTCTGGTGATCGTCCAAATTTCAAACAACATTTTGATGAAATGACCAAAAAAGCTAGCCTTAAGTCCAATAATCAAGCTCCCCGTAATAACCGCAATAATTATCAAAATAATAGGAACCACGGCCCTGGAAGACGCCAGTTCCACCAAGGCCACTATGCCAATAATTCATCTCGGAAGAATAGTGCATCATCAGACCAAGACAATAGTGTACCTCCTTTATCACCTCCACAGTCACTACAGGAGACCTTTGGCAGAGCTAATTCACCAAGTAGTTCACCAAGAAAACGTTTCAATGCTAATAATGACCATGCAAATGGCCACAATAATCATAATCATCACAAATCTAGTTCATTTGGAGAAGAAAATGAAGTTATTGAAAATGTAAGAGCATTAGCGCTTCGTGATGAAAGTATTAGGGGTACATCTCGTGGTAGAGGTAGAGGTCGTGGTGGATTTAGAGGTAGAGCTTACCATAGAGGAAATGGTTATAATACAGGCAGGGGCGCTCACCGTGATAGCTCAAATTTCAAGCATCCATATGTTAGTAACAAGCCAGCTGAAGAATTGTACTAATTTAAAATTTTACTTCTTGTTTTATCCTTATTCAACATATATTTTTTTGGTTTGTTTTTGAAAAGACATGTCTTTTCAGTATTCTTTTTTTTTCCTTTCATTTTTTGTTTTACCATTTGTTTGCAATGAACTTAAATTTGTTTGCAATGAACTTCTCGTGTATCCTTTAGTTTGACTTTTACAGTTTGCTTTGGCTCTAATGAAGTTCTTAATATTAATTTAGTCATTTATAACTATATGACATTTACATTGGTCTAGTTCAAATGGCTCGTTTTGTTTTTTTTTATCTATAAATTTACTTTTTTTTAATTGTGTGCTTATTTTCTACTTTTACTTGTTATAATTTGCTCTTCATTTTTACTTATGTACTTGATTCAAGACCACTTTAAGAATTGTTACAGCTTGATAGTCTTTAATTTAAGTTTTTCATATACATAGTTTGATTTGTTTCTACAATCTTCCATCCTTGACTCAAAGTTTCAATTTTTATTCGCAAGCTTTGTAATATATGGAGATGCTTCTCTTTCATCTGACTCTCACACAAGGTGAATTTTGATTTATTCTGATTTAATAAAATGCATTAGGTTTTACAATTTTTTTAGTAAATTAGTCGTATATTATTAAAGATTTTTGAAGTTTTTTTTTTCAGAATGTTATAGAACAATTGAATTTAGTCATTAAAAGCTCATAAGCCCTCGGATGATATTGAAGAATTCAGATTACTGAAACTTCATTTGATTTGCTCTCCACTCCAAAATAGAATGACGTGAGCATTTAAATATCATTCAAAAGCATAAGAGCGGACCTCAATAAGATATTAGAGAACAAGAACTGATTGTCATTAAATTGTGAGAATGATCGTTTAAAGTTATGCTGGAATTCACGGCAATTCCAGGGAATGGTGATAAAAAAATAAAAAATAATTTTACAATTTTGGAAAAATGAAAGGGAATGAATTGAAGAAGGAAAAGCAAAATCACAAAAGACCACTATCTCTCAAGGAATTTTCTAAGATGGTTTCTTTGACTGCGGCAAAAACTAATTGAATGTTAGAAGTATCAGTGGCTTGGGTAACATGAGGATAAATATTCAAGCCTGATCTATTAACTTGAGTGAATCTCCATAAAATATATTTTGCAGCTTTATTTATATTATCACCACCATTATAATCTGGGAAGAAATTTTCTAGAGGAGAATAAGGTAATTTATCAGCGAAAACATCAATCTTATTCAAGAACAAAACAATTGAAGTTCTAGCAAACCATCTTGAGTTGACAACAGAATCAAATAAGGTTAAAGATTCTTCTAATCGATTTTGACTATTTTCTTCTAATAAGACTTGATCATATTCGGACAAGGCAACACAAAAGATAATTAAAGTAACGTTATCAAAGCAATGAATCCATTTTTTTCTTTCTGATCTTTGACCACCGACATCGTACATGTGGATATTCAAACCGCTACTCATTTGAAATTTGAAGTCATAGATACCCGAAGTCTTCTTACGAGTTCTTAAAATATCCTGTTGAGATGGAATATAGGATGGTTGGATAATTCTATCTAAATCACTCAAGAAATAATGAGTAGAATCGATTAAATAAAACTTACCTTGTTGAAATTTGATAAAAGTTTGAACTTCAGAAGTATTGTATATGTCTTTGATTTTATTTGCAATTTTAGGATCGAAAACGTCTTCATCACTAACCGAGAATTCATAATCCAAGATTTCATTAAAAGTAGCTAAATCAAATATATGCTTACGACCAGATTTTTCACCCTGATATTCTTGTAGACTTCCACTTTCAGAAGATTTACTGGCGTCGGCATCTTCAATTTTATCACTAACTTCATTAGTTGGAGTTTCTTCACCATCAGCATCAGTTATAGTCAGTTTTTTAATTAAATCAGGTTCTAATTCCATGATAGCATTTATAACATTTCTTATACAATCCAAGATATTTTTATAAACAAAAGGTTTGTATTCAAACAATTCTTCTTTTGAAAAACCATTTTTATGAATAATCTTCATTTGTTTAACAATTGTAGACTTACCACTCTCACCCGAACCTAATAATAAAACCTTAACTTCTTTATCAGTTTGAGAAGCAGCAGCTGCATCAACAGTTGAGTTTTGAACAGCCAGGTTCTCATTTTGAGTTTGAACAGTTGATTTTTCAGGAATTTTTTCTCCATTATTAGAAGAGTCGGTTGAGCTATTATTTTGTTGTGCAGATAGATGGGAGTCATTAGGAGAGTTATTTTTTTTCGATGCTAATGCTTGGGATTGGTCTTGACGTTTAATTTGGGTATTGCTTTTCCCGTTAGCAGGTTCAGTTGCTGGAGTACTTTTAGATGCACATATACCCATTATGAATTATGAAGTGAAGAGATATGCTAGCAGGATAAATAAATTAAGGTAGGTTGGACGGGTGATGAACCAATACTTAGAAAGGAGGAAATACTAGATTTATAACACGGACTAGCCGAAAATGAATTGGATAAGTTAGGAAACAGAAAAAAAATTAACCTGTTCAGCAAAAACTAAAAGCAAGAAGGACAGGATAGCACAACCAACTGGTACAAAGGGTATTAGTAAGAACTATTAACTAAAGTAAACAAAGAAACAACAACAAAACAAAGGGTAGCGTAACTGTAGGTGTAGTTTTGGCTTTACTTTAATTTTAAGTTTGTAATGGTTGGATCTTATTTTTTTTTTTTGTTTTTTATTGGTTTTAATTTATTTTTGGTTTTAAAACTTTCTTCCGTAGAATACGTGATCTTTATTTTTCAAACAGGAAAGCTAGTCGTGAACACGTTAATGACTTGATTAACCACCTCAAGACACTAAAATAACGGTTTAATGACTAACGCAAAACACAAAACTGTAAGCAGAAGAAGTGTTGACGACCGTCTAAAAGAAAAAAACAACCAGTCGTTCAAGAAACACAATCAAATAAAGATATGTACCGAAAGTCAATGGAAAAACTGCTAATTAAAGAGGAAACTGGGTCCCGAATGGATTCAGTTATTTGATAAAACCAGTACTTTGACAAACGAATGGAAAGAAAACAAAAACAATTCACTTCGTTGACGTAGGCGACTAATCACTGGGGACAACTTAATAAACGACTATCCAAGGCGATACCGGGAATACTGGGATCTGGCTGACCTAGAACTATAGCGTGGAGACAACCTGACGGCGGCAAAAGTACTCTGGAGAACAGAATCAGTATACTAAAGAACACTAAGAGGCAAGATTAGTAGAAAAGAAGTAGGAATTTTATCAGCTAAAATAATCCATTTGGAAAAGTGAGTGGAAAATTAAAACGAGCAAAAAAAAAAGACAGGAAAAAAAAAAAAAAAAAACCGAAATGCCGAAATTAATCCATGAAAAACTACGAGCTGTGAAATTATTATGAAATTATGATGATTTTACTATGATCTAGTTCTATGAAAGTATTTGGGAAGGTATACACGCATGAATATCTGCAGAGAAGGTGAGTGCATACTGAGAGAACAATGTTAGTGGGCAGTGATAAGAGTAGTTGGCCAGGAGTTAGTTTTCAAAGCTTGTATTGAACTGCAGTCGACTGTCATTGCAACCGGGTGGTGTAGTTGTCTTTTGGTGACGGAGTCACATGCGTGGTCAAGTTCGTTTTGCAAGTACCAGTAAGTAGGTTCTTCTTTGCCCAACTCTCCACAAACCAGATCAACTTGTTGTAGGAAGGAGCATTGGCACTTGGGGATATTGTAGTCGAAAGATTCACAGGTGTGATAGCTGGAGTTTGTCTTTTCGATTTCAAACATGCAATGGGTGAAGTTTTGTGAGAATATTTTCAAATACTCGTTGGTGAATAGGTACTTGATGTCTTTATTATCTTCAATCGAGTATATCCCGTACACTGGTAAAATGAAAAAAATAATCCAAAGCATGCGGACGTGATGATCTGATGTGTGATTTATGAGATGAGTTATGAGATGAGTTATGAGATGAGTTGTGAGTTGTATATCGTATGAATATTTTGCAAGCAAAGATGTTTGTGGAAAATGTTACAAAGAAAAAAGATAAAAAAAAACTTCTATGAATAAGCTATTTAGATTCGTTTTCTGTTTCTGGGGCTTGAGACCCTTCATCTGGTTCCGCTGATTTATCTTTTGGGCCGGTTGGTGGTAAATTGGGCAGAATTTTAGATAATTCAGTTGTTGAATTTGTATCTTGAGATTTTAATTGACGTTCTTGAAATTGAGCCTGTTTTTGAGCATCTTGTAATTTTTTACGTTCTTGTCTTCTTCTCTTTTTAGTTTCAAACTCATGCCATTCACCTTTAACATCTTTCAAAAAATATAAAGGTTCTGGTTTGGGATCTTTAGTGAAATATGCATGATTAAGTGCCTCACTGGCGGTTAATCTTTTCTTCGGATTGAGTGTTAATAATTTTTCGGCCAAATCAAAACTTTGTTCAGACATTATTGGTTTATATTCTTTTGAAAATTTAGATATTTTATTAACTTTTGGTTTCAACATTTCAAACCAGGGTAAATTTTCAATATTTGGCCAACTTTCAATTGTAGGGGTCCCCATTAAATCAAATATTTTAAATAATTGTGAGAGTTCTTCAGTTCCTTGGAAAGTTGCATTTTTAGAATATAATTCAATTAATAAACACCCAACCCCCCAAATATCAACTTCTCTACCGTAATCAGTGGCTCCTAATAATAATTCTGGTGGTCTATACCATATAGTTATAACTCGATTTGTATAATCAGGACTTTCACCAGTGTTTAATAATTTCATGGTTCTAGCTAAACCAAAATCAGCTATTTTAACGGTACCTTTATTGTCTAATAAAATATTTGATCCTTTTATATCTCGATGAATAACTCTTTTTTTATGTAAATAGTTTAAGCCTTCCATTAGTTGTTTAAATAGGTATTTACGATGACATTCTTCTAATTTCAAGTCTGGATGAGTTAATAATCCAGTTAAATCATGATCCAAATAATCTAATACCATATATATTTGATTATGTTCAATCATCATTTCTAATAATCCAACAATATTTTCATGATCAAATGATTGCAATAATTTAATTTCTCTCATTGCTGTTATTGGGAACCCCTCTCTTTCACTTTCTAATCTTAATTTTTTCAATGCCACAAATTGATTAGTTAAACTATTTTTGGCTTTATAAACTTTACCATAAGTTCCTTCACCAACTTGTTGAATTCTTTGGTATATTTCATATGGTTTAGACACTTGTATTGAGTATGCTTGACTTTTAGGTAACTTCTTAATTGGCGCATATGGTTGTTTAATTCTTGGTTTTAATCCTGGACCAGTTGGTGTTTTATTTGGTATTGGTCTTCCATTGAATGGTTTTGGACCAGCTGGTCCTTTTGGAACATTAGAATATGAGGATTTGTAAAATGGTTTTGGTTTATATGTCAGGGTGGTTTGTCTTCTTTTATCTGGTTTATAACCTCCAGGTCCCGATGGGAAATTTCTCTTACCATTTACACCACCGGCACCGCTAGGTCCACCAGGTGCAGCTGAACCGCTGGGGCCAGTTGGTCTATAAGAAGGACCAGTTGGTCTTGGTCGTTCTGTTGTACTGGAGGAAGGCGCCGAAGATGGAGAAGCATTGGAGGCGACTTGTGGTGGTTGACCTGCTTGAGCTGCTGGTCCGTGAATTTTGGGCCTATAGTTATCCCTTTCATTATATCTACTGGATGCACCAGGAGGAGGCCTTTTATACCCGCCTCTAGTTGACCTTGGCCCCGTTGGAGGTCTATATCTATCTGACATGACACTTATATATGATAAACAATTCTAGGTTAGATATCTTCTTTTATATGGTCTTGCTCTTCGTAGTCTTTGGTTGTACTTATCTGGTTTCTTATTTGATTGATAAGACTTAGTATCTCTTAACACAACTTATCAAAGACGTGAAATCTCGCTATATAGATAGATCTTTCCAATCTCTTCTAGTATTCAACTCAGTCAAAAGACTGTAGAGAGAAAAAAAAAACATAAAAAAACAGTGCGCTAGTAAGAATTAGGGTGTTTGGTTCATCAAAAGTGGAAAAAAAAAGGTTACCCGGACGTATCCTCCTGGTTCATACTAAATATTCCAATACTTAACCACTTATACTATGCAAACGGAGGACAATCAGTGACTTGAAAGCGTAAGGAGCGGCAGTTTGTTCTGTTTAATCAATGAGTCACTCATAGTAATACTAGGTAAGTACTAGCTAAAGTAGTTAATGGAGTACTCAATGATATGAATAAACGCAAACAGCAAGAAATAACCTAAATAGCGAACATCTTTCTTTGATAATTACAGGAAGTAGACAGACTCAAGGTATCCGTGAACATTTGTAGTTGAACAAATGAACTAACCTTGAAAACTAAAAATATAGAAAAAAGAAAGATTAGAGAAAAGCTTGGTTGAACCCAGCATATATATAACACAATCCATTAGCAGATGAAGAAAAAATCATTTTGTAATGGTATCTTGGACAGCCAAACTCGAATTAAAAGAACAGCAATATCGTTTATACACTCGGGCGGCTAGGATAGGGATGTCATTATTCACTTAACTAGACGGGGACCGGGGTGCCACTCACCACTCACCACTTACCGATACTCTGAGTCCTTAGGATGTCCCCTGTATGACCATACTCTTTATATCTATTAACGTAGTTTATGTATTTGTTTTATCCATTTGTTTTATGTATTTGTTTTAGCTGTTTTTCCTAACTTTTTTATTCCTTTTTCCTTTGCTGGACTTTGGCGGTGTGCGCACGACATCAAGAAATCAAAAACTGCGCGGCCCGTACACCAGAGCTTAATCGGGAAATCACTAATTTCAAATCAAAAGACTATTATTTTGATCTGATAAACAAAAGACTTTCGCCACTACTTTCTTTACAAACGAATGGCCATGGTATGTGATATATATGTTTATACAGAAACACGTACTAACTGGAAATGGGGAAGATTGGTAGAATTGCCCATATAACCGCCGATTTAGCATTAGTGTCAGCCTTTTTAGCTGGGGTTAAAAGAAACACTGGATTAACGTAAGTATTGACGCATTTGTTAATATATATTGCCTTTACTAACAATTACGTAGCCCTAATGTTGATAGTATTAAAAGTGATGATTTCAAATATTATGCCACCAAGTATTTAGATATTGGAGAATCAATTTTTGATTATAGTGCCGCTTATTTTGGCGGTAGTGAATATTTTAAACGTAAGTAATTGTAATAAAAGAGATTCAGTTAATTTACAGCTGTAGTTATAAGAAACCTATATTAATGAAGTGAATAAAGAAGAGAGAGACCAATAAATAAAAACAAGAGGCTGAACAAACAAAAAAAAAAAAGACTATATGGTGAAATGAAGATTAAAATTATTCGACGGTGACGGATTTAGCCAAGTTACGAGGGAAATCAACGTCAATACCTCTATTAACAGCCAACCAATAACTCATTAATTGTAAAGGAATAACATTTAATAAACCTTGTAAACAATCAACGGTTAAAGGAACTTGCAAAGTTGCAAAAGCTTTACCATCAGAAACAGTTTTATCACCTTCATTACAAATAATGATTGGTCTACCATCTCTAGCGGTAACTTGTTCAATTGCAGACATAACTTTAGGGAATAAAGAATCTCTAGTGGCGAAAGCAATGATTGGTAATTTATCATCGACTAAGGCTAAAACCCCATGTTTTAATTCACCAGCTAAAACCCCTTCAGAATGCATATAACTAATTTCTTTAATTTTAAGAGCACCTTCTAAAGCAGTTGCATGTTGATAACCCCTACCTAAAAGTAATAAAGATTTTTGATCATTAAGAGTAGCATCACATAAATCTTTAATTTGATTTTCCAAATTTAAAACTTTTTTAATTTGATCAGGAATTTTTTGTAAACCTTGAATAATTTCATGATGACGATTTTTCTTACTAATTGAATCATTTGATAATGAAAGGGCAAACATAACTAATGCAATATATTGTGAAGTGTAAGCTTTGGTGGAAGCAACCCCAATTTCTGGACCAGCGTTAATATGAACCCCACAATGAGTTTGTCTTGACATTGAAGAACCAACCGAGTTAACAATACCAACAGTTAAAGCACCTCTATCTAAACAGTATTGTAAAGCTAAAATGGAATCAGCGGTTTCACCGGATTGAGAAACGAAGACACAAGTATCATCTCTGAAGACTGGAGACTTACGATCTAAGAAATCGGAAGCTAATTCAACACTAACTGGTATTTCGGTTAATTCTTCAAAAATAGATCTTGTTGCCAAACAAGAGTGATAGGAAGTACCACAAGCAATCATAATGATTCTTCTACATCTTCTAATAGTTGGTAACCAAGCTTTTAATCCACCTAAAGTAACAATATCATTATTAAAGTCAATTCTACCTCTCATAGTATTAAAAGTAGAATCTGGTTGTTCAAAAATTTCCTTTTGCATGAAATGATTATAAGGACCTTTCATAATTTCATTTAATTCCATTTCTAAAGTTTGAATTTGTCTGGTTGTAGATTCACCAGCAGATTTTTTAGCTCTATGAATATGTAATTCACCATCATAAATATGAGCAATATCATCATCTTCTAAAAATAAAACTTTTTTAGTGTGTTGAATAACTGAAGCAGGATCCGAAGATAAAAAGAATTCTACTGGCATTGGAACCCCATCATCGGCCAAGAAGGCTCTTGATTGAGAAGTTCTTAAATTAGATTCATTGGAAGCCAAAGGTAATAAACCTTCTGGAATAGAACCATGGTGTTTAGCATGGTTAATGGCAGCATCTTGTTGAGCTTGTTGTTTTGGATCAGGAAATTCAACATCAACAAAATCAACTTTTAATTTTTTTTCAGTTTTAACCCCAACTAAAAGAGGAGAACCTTTTCTGGTACCACAGACTTCACCAGGATAATGAACGGATTTAACTAATAAACCATAAGAACCTTCTAATTCGTATAAAACTTGTTTAGTCAATTCATTAAGATCCAAAGAAATACCAGCTTTTAAGTTGGTATCATAAACGTGTTTGAATAATTTAGCAATACATTCAGTATCGGTTTCTGATTCAAATTCAAAACCTTTTGATAATAATAAAGTTTTCAAAGCTCTATAATTAGTAATAATACCATTATGAACAACTATAAATTCACCCGATGGATCAGATCTGTGAGGATGACAATTTTCAATCATTGGTTGACCGTGAGTAGCCCATCTGGTATGAGCAATACCAACATGATTATCAAAAATGGTGGAACGCTCAATTTTATCATCGATGATTTTTTGTTTTAAAACTTGAACTTTACCAGGGGTTTTAACAATAATATTTGATCCCTTTTGGTCTCCATCAATGGCAATACCACTTGAATCATACCCTCTATATTCTAATCTTTGTAAACCTTCAATAAGATTATCAACAATTTCTCCTCTTGTTCTATCAACCAAGAAGTTAACATAACCAAAAATACCACTAATTACCGGTTAGTATAATAATAATACATAATAAGCCTATTTGTATACATACCACATGATTCGAGTTTAAATTTAAAAATGTAAGTAAGAAAACTAAGCGATTTTTCTTCTCTTATTTATATAATCTCTTTGACTGAAGGAGGAATTTATTATTAATATATAAATTTCACTGCAAGGAACAAATTTGGTGTTGTGTTCTCTTTCTATTTCTTTTTTTCTAAAAGAGCTTCGTTGTCTTTTCTTTGTTTTTTTTTTTATTGGGATTTTTTTTGTCTCCCTTTCTTTTGTAACCAGAAAACTTATAGCTTATTGATTAACTTGATCAACGATGGGCCGGGACAAGATCCAGTTTATATAGCTTAATTATGGATTCGGGGTATTGTTAGATTCAAAGGTATATTTAGAGTGCCAGATCAACAAATAACTGTTTAATTTGGCAAACTTCGGAAAAGGTAAATAAATAAACACAAAAACCCTGTCCAAAGCGGACACGACACGCACCCGCGAGATCAGGATATTACCCTTATAATCAGCACCAGCGACACCAGGCCAGCCCACTGGCATTATCCTCTACAATATTCTTTGCTATACAATGTAGAATACAGAGTATACAATATACAATAAGTAGTTATACAATGCAATGCAATATGCAATATACAATCAATCAGCACCATTAGGATATCACCTAATGAGAATACGATCGATGAAATAAGGGTCATAGCTTCACTCGCGATTCAATTAGCTTTCTAATTTAAGCCAGTAAATAAACAGTTGGCTTGGTCATGTCGGTTTCTATATATACCTCCGTACATTTGTACGCTATTTATATCTGGGTCGTCAACGAGTAGTCAAGGGGATCTGTGACGTAGCCAGTAGACCACAGAGGTTGTACAGAATCTGTTGTACAGAATACTTGTACGAGTAGTTGTAAATGGTTGTAGAAGAAGCTGTAGAAGAAGTTTGATGGATGGGGGAGTGCATTTACCGATTGTTTTTTTTTTTTTTTTTTTTTTTTTTTCTCTCAAAATGGGAGGTACGGAGGGCCTTATTCTCATTTAAATCAGACCAGCAGCCAATAGACTAGGTTTAATCACTAAACATGTTTAGATTGACTCCGCTGATCAAAGCTTTCAAACCCAATCCAGTACTTCGTAGCTTGCCTAGAGTGGTTCCAGTAAGATGGTATGCAGGGGCAGTGGAGAAACAGGTGAAAAAGAAGAAAAAACCCACAAACTCGATTCAATCGTTGAGAAGATCGATACCAAATAATGGAGGAGATTACTCTTCAATAAAATCGTTATCAACAGATTTTAAAGAATCGGATTTGCTACCGATAACGTCAATCACCGTGGGAGAATCGATTGATTTTGATAAATTGATTGAAATATTGAAAAATTCTAAGCTTTCGTATAGTTCGTTAGTACCAGATGAAGTAATTCAATTGAATTTTCAAGAGAAAGATTTATTAATTCTAGCCAATGGTACCATTGTTGGATGGGGGTTTCATGAAGATGTCATTTTCGATGAATATATTCCTTTAATACAAGACTCAATTGTTGAAAAATATATTCCCGAATCCGAAGAAATGGATTTCATTGATTTATCAAATTATTCAAATAACCAGGGCTCGTTTATGCAAGGAGAAATAATGATCATTCAAGGTAATAACGAAATTGAAAAATTATTGGATAAAGCAGCTTTTTCCATTGGATTATCCAGGAGTACTAGATTATCTATTTTAGAAAATTCTTTAGAAAAACATATAATGTTAACTAAAAAAAATTCTCAAGATTTATCAAATGGCTTACAAATTAAAACAAATGAATCAGAAATTTTAAAATTAACCGGTAGATTGTTTCTTTTAAGAGGTAAATTAAATCTATACAATGAATTAATTGAAACCCCGGATTTATATTGGTCGGAACCAAATTTAGAAAAAATTTATATGTCAATTCTGAAAAATCTAGATATAAAACCAAGAATCGAAATCTTAAATAGAAAATTAGACTACGCCACTGAAGAACAAAGAGCTCTTTTAAGTGTCTTGAATGAAAAAAAATCAACTAGACTAGAATGGATCATTATCGTTCTAATCATGGTGGAAGTAGGATTTGAAACTTTCCATTTCTACGAACGTTACTTTGATAAAAGTGACCAGGAAAAAAATTAACCCTCTTTGTAAATAGAATATATACTCTTTTTATGCTGCGAAATTCCTCTTTAGGCCCTTAATCAACTTGATCTTGAAACCGTTCCCTTCAAATAGTCCCTTTGCCTTCCCGATTGGGTAATCGGGTCTGGTTTCATCTTTGCAGCCATTTTCTTCATTGCCTTTGATATAAAAATGTATTCTTCCTCTTTGGTTTGATTCCATTTCGTTTTGCTCATCACACCATGCTCAAGTATCTCAGTTTGTTCTTCCTCTTCAACGTCTTGTTGGCCCGTTCAACTTCAACTAAAACCATCACTATTCCTTGTCACACTTGTCAAGGTGGCTCAACTGTCACCACTCTCACTTCTGCGGTCACAACAAATAGTATCCCGGATAGTATTTTCTTTTCCAGAACTCTTGCTCCTTTTCCTTCAAGATCGCTTGCTGATACTTCAATTACTTCTATGTCTGATATCTCTCTGACTACTACTGCCCGTTCAACCTCCACTAAGGTGATTACTATCCCATGCAATCAATGCCACGGTGGTTCCACAACATCTACAATTACCCTCTCGTCTACAACGCCTGAGGTGACATCTTCAACTTCCTCTGTTCGCTCTACCTCAACCAGGACAATCACCGTTCCATGCAATCAATGCCATGGTGGAACATCTCTTTCTACCATTACTTTTGCTTCAGATGATCCTGTTCCATCTCCTACTGAGTCTTCTGACGAAACAACTTCTTCTGTGGAAACTACTTCTTCTGAAGAACTAACTCCTTCCTCTATTTCTTCTTCTTCCTCTACTTCTCCCATTTCTTCATCAATAGTATCTACTTCTTCTTCTATTCAACCTACTTCTTCTTCAATTGAATCTACTTCTTCTATTCAACCCACTTTTTCTTCTATTGAACATACTTCTTCTGCCACTTCTACTTCTGCTGTGTCCTCTATTTCTGTTGTTTCTTCTACTTCTTCATTTGAATCCTCTCCCTCTACTTCTCAAGTTACTTCCTTTTCTGAAATTACTTTCTTTTCTGAAGTTACATCCCTTGCCTCTTCTGAACCATCTTCTGCTCAGCTTCTTTCGACTCCGTCCAGCTCTTCACCCTCGCTTCGCTCTACTTCTACTAAGATCATAACCGTCCCATGTCACCTATGTGACGGTGGCTCAACCACTATAGTCTCAAGCGACAGCACATCCCCCCAAACACCTGAATTATCTACACCTGGTTCTGATATCTCTGTTATATCTTCTGATACGCCTGCCTCAGCTTCTTCAATCAGTTTATCATCAGTGACTTCCTGGGTTTTCTCCAGCTCTGCTACACCTACTATTCCAAGTACGACACTTCCTGAGGAATCTTCAGATACAACCAGTTCTTCCTCGGTGACCTCTGATATTGTTACTTCAGTGACCACTTTGAGGACTGATTTCACTTCAGAGACTGCTACTCCAGAAACGTTTTCTTCAGAAGCTTCTTCAAAAACTGCTACTTCACAAGCGTCCAGCTCACAAACGTCTACTTTGGAAACCTCGATAACTACCCCTGAATCTTTAACTGGTTCATCTAGTTTAGCTTCTTTCTCTTCAGAAGAACCCTCAAGCTGCACTTCTGATTCCACTTCCACCTCAGCAAGTATCACTACAGAAACTACCATCACAAACACTGAATCCTCTAGTTGCTCAACGTCAGAAGGCATTACCTTAACTCTGAAAACCACCTTGAAAACCAAAACGGACTCTACTACAATTACATCATGTTCTGCTTCTGCTTCTTTAACTTCTACAACTGGTTCATCTTTTGCTACTAGCACATCTGGGTCATCTTCTCTTGAAGCTAGAACTAGCAGCTCCGCTTGGTCAGAAACGTCCTCAAATACGACTGCAGGCACTTCCAAAGCCACCTCGGATACTTCAGCCACTTTGACGCACACCTCTTTCCCTGCTTCAGCTCCTGCAAGTATCACACCAAGCGGATCCATGGATCATACCTCCTTCACGTACAGTATAACTACATCTACTCTGACTGACGAAACAACAACCAAGCACTTCACTTACAGTACACTTGTTCCATGTATCGAAAGCGAAGCTAGCCAGATCGAAAGCACCAGTATTACTAGTCTACCAGAACAGAGTACACCTACACCAGAAGTGGCCTACCTGGGTCTTGCAATCAAGCCCTCTCCAAACTTTTCTCTTTTATCTATGTTTATCATATGCTTGTTTTAAATAGCTCTTTATATACATTGATGTATTCATGTATTTACGTACTAGTGTGCTCTTTTCGCAGCATACTCATCGACCCGGCATGAAACGGAGCTCGAATTGCGCACCAGACAGTATCAACCCAATAAAAATGCGTACCGAGTCAGCGATACTTTAGTTATCTAATAGGGCATTTTACCCCTAGCTACCTCTAACTGCGCTGCCCTCGTCTAGGCACAGGGGGTTTCTGGGCTTCCATCTAAGCACATACCTTGTCACGTCGAATACCCTCGCCCGTTAGCCTAGTAGTCATCGTTGAAAGAAAAAAAAATTGCGGTGTACGGGCGTGCATCCTGATGAATTGATAAGCAGCAAAAGTATGTGATTGGCCTGATAACAACGTAGAAAAATCTCGCTAACAAAACAAAAAAAAAAAGCGAAAAATAGGTTTGACAGTAGTGAAATGTTCCGCCTTTTTTTCTTTTCTTATTACTGCAAATGAATCATTAATTGCAAACGTTTTCACTCTAAATCATATGAAGGCCGACCTCTCTGGCTATGCAAATGAAGCGACGGGTGAAAACAGTAGCAGAATTGCTCATTCCTAGCGTAATGGAATGTAGTAAGGGTATACATCAGGTTATCAAGTAGTGAAATTGTACGGTTTCTCTTTAGTGATGCATTCTTTTGTTTTGTCCGGTTGCCGTTTTTTTTTTTTTTTTCTTTTTCTTTCTTTTATTATTAGGTTTTTAGTGTATTTTTATTTTGAATAACCTCCAATACTCCAGTTTTGATTAAATTATTATAAAGACCGTTGGATTTGCTCTAAGAAAATTTAACTGGAAAAAGCCTATAAAAATTTTCATTTTTCTTTTTTCATTGTACTTACTATTTAGACTTATACAGATATGATTTCTAGTATAATACAAGCATCTAACGGGATAATAAGTAAACGAAAGCTATTTGTTGAAAATAATGACTATAATCAAAGTGAAATTTTATTATTCACTGTTGCATCATCCATAATTTGGATTATGGTACCAGGTTTAGCATTTTTATATTCTGGGTTAGCAAGAAGAAAGAGTGCTCTTTCCATGATATGGATAGTTATAATGAGTTCATTTATTGGGTGTTTCCAATGGTATTTTTGGGGGTATTCATTAGCATTTTCAACAACATCTTCCAATAATTTTATTGGAGATTTACATTATTTTGGGTTTAAAGGTTTATTAGGTAAAGGATCATCGGATGATACTTATCCCGAAATTGCATTTGCTCTTTTCCAATTACAGTTTTTATTGGTTACCTTGGCTATTTTAGCAGGAGCATGTGTTGCTGAAAGAGGACGTTTTTTACCAGCATGTATTTTTTTCTTTTGTTGGTCTACAATTGTTTACTGTCCAGTTGTTTATTGGATTTGGTCAGATAATGGTTGGGCTGCTGGGTTTAAATCAGGTGTACTTGATTATGCTGGTGGTGGTCCAGTTGAAATTTTATCGGGGGTAAGTGCTTTTGTTTATAGTGCATTTTTAGGTCGTCGTAATGAAACTTTAATGATTAATTATAGACCTCATAATTTATCAACCATGTTTTTGGGTACTTGTCTTTTATACGTTGGTTGGTTGTTTTTCAATGGATTCAGTTGTGCAAATGTTTCTGTCAAAGTTCCCTATTCAATGTTGAACACTCATTTATGTGCTTCTTTTGGAGCTATTTCTTGGTGTTTATTAGATTTTAGATTAGAAGGTAAATACGTTCTTGGTGGTATGTTATCCGGGGCCATTTCTGGTTTAGTGGCTGCCACTCCTTCTTCAGGAGTTATTCCTTTATGGGCTAGTGTTATTTTGGGTATTGTCGCCGGGGTTGTTTGTAATTTTTCAACTAAATTCAAATACTTGTGTCGTGTTGATGATTCTCTTGATGTTTTAGCTGAGCACGGTATTGCTGGTATTGTTGGTTTAATTTTTAATGCTCTTTTCGGTTCTAAAACTGTGGTTGGTTATGATGGTGCCACTTCTCATGATGGTGGTTGGATTGATCATAATTATAAACAATTATACATTCAAATTGCTTACATTCTTGCCTGTATTGCTTATTCCGGAGGAGTTACCGCCATACTTTGTTTTGTTATTGATAAAATTCCTGGATTACATTTAAGATTAGATTACGATTCTGAAGAAAGAGGGGTCGATGAAGATCAAATTGGGGAATTTGCTTATGATTACGTTGAAGTTAGAAGAGATTTCTGGGATTGGGGTACTCCTCAACAGCATCAACAAATGGACCAATCAATGAGTCCTCAAACTCCCACTTTAGCAAATGAATACGTTGATAAAGAAAACACCCAAATATATAACGCTGTTGGAAGCTCAAATGTCTCAACTAATCAAAATGATGATGATCACAATCGATTAGAAAAACAAGATTGAGCATTTGACTAGATGTCTATTGGGTTTATTTTTTGTTTGTCCTTTTTAAATTATTTGATATAAGAGTTTCAAAAGTTTATTATTTAATTCCTTCATTTCTTCCTTCATTTCTAATTTAATATTTGTATTTTAGATAATCTTATGTATTTTTAGGTGATGTTATGTAGTGCACCCGTTTGTTTTTTCACAGCCATTAGTGTTGCAATACCTATTGAATAATTTGAGAGCAATATCTGTCTGCGGAGAAGATTTGACAGCTAATTAATCCGAAGACCTCAGAGTCCCTGAATCTTGCCTTCTTCCCCTGACGTGTATCCATCTTGCAGTCCTCGTCAAATAACACCTCTACCAACTTCCCGTCTAGTGTTTGGTTCAGGTCGCTTGCTTATCCTTACTCTCCCTCCGTCCTTCCTTCCAATTGCGGTCGTACTGTGCTTTTGGACTACGAGTGAATCAGGTTACTCATGTCTGCTTCTTCCATAGCTCTTCTGGCACTCGCCTCTCTCCTTGCCCTGGCTATTCTTCGAACATCATTAGTTCATCTACTTCTCTGTAGCCTGATCCAGAAAGCATCTCCGGTTCCGGTGGCTTACGTAATCCAACACCCTTTGCAACGCCGGAACCCCACACGTGATTTCAGTTCTCCGCTCACGTGACTGCTGCCTATTCCGGAAGTCGCCGAACGCAAAAAGAAAGAAAAACAGCAAAAAAAATCTCCGTTGGTGCGATGAAAAAGGCCGTTTACGCTTTTTCAAGTTTTTTTTTTTTTTTTTTTTTGTTTTGTATGGTTGTTCACCAAAACTTCACAGTAAACTCTTCTCAGGTGAGTAACTTGATGATTTCACTGACTCATTCTTACTCCATATTTTTATATTATAGTTTAAATTCAATAAAACTTGTCTTTTTTGAAAAAAGCATATTCCTCTTCACTTCTACTCTTACTTGTTTGTCAAGATAATACTTTTTCATCTATTTTTTTGTTACCTGTTGAATAGGTTGAATTTACTGGAGAAGTAATAGAGAGAAAAAAAAAATTATTTTTTTCAAAAAATTTTTCACTTATTTGATTGAATCAAGTTGATTTCCTAAAACAAGGATTTTTATAAGATGATCTCCCGTACTATAAGGGCTTCCAGTGCCAAAAGAGCACTTCTTATGGCTAGTTGTCGTGGCCAAGTTAGATATCTTACCAAATCTAACTTATCTAAGGCTACTATGACCAATAATGAAAATAATAACGGTGGTAATAATAGACCAACCCCAGCACCTTCATTTAATCAAGAAACCCAAGACGAAAGTATTGGTAAGAGTATTCACTCTCACCAACCAATCATGGATGATTCCTTTATTGGGTTAACCGGTGGGGAAATTTTCCACGAAATGATGTTAAGACATAAAGTTGATACTGTTTTCGGTTACGCTGGTGGTGCTATTTTACCAGTTTTCGATGCTATTTACAATTCTGAAAAATTCCAATTTGTCTTACCAAGACATGAACAAGGTGCTGGGCATATGGCTGAAGGTTATGCTCGTGCCAGTGGTAAACCTGGGGTTGTTTTAGTTACCTCTGGTCCTGGTGCTACTAATGTTATAACTCCAATGGCTGATGCATTAATGGATGGTGTTCCATTGGTTGTTTTCAGTGGACAAGTTCCAACTACTGCCATTGGTACTGATGCTTTCCAAGAAGCTGATGTTATCGGTATTTCAAGATCATGTACTAAATGGAACGTTATGGTTAAAAATGTTGCAGAATTACCAAAAAGAATTAATGAAGCTTTTGAAATTGCTACTTCTGGTAGACCAGGTCCTGTTTTAGTTGATTTACCAAAAGATGTTACTGCAGCTATTTTAAGAGAACCAATTCCAATCAATACTACTTTACCATCAAATGCTTTAAGTCAAATTACTAAAAAGGCAGCCACTGAATTTACTATGGAAGCAATTAAAAGAGCTTCCAGTTTATTAAATAAAGCTAAGAAACCAATTATTTATTGTGGTGCTGGTATATTAAATAATGAAGATGGTCCAAAATTATTAAAAGAATTGGCTGATAAAGCAATTATTCCCGTTACTACTACTATTCAAGCTTTAGGTGCATTTGATCAAAATGATGAAAAATCTTTAGATTTCTTAGGTATGCATGGTAACGCTGCTGCAAATGTTGCAATGCAAAATGCTGATTTAATTTTAGCTTTAGGTGCAAGATTTGATGATCGTGTTACTGGTAATGTTTCAAAATTTGCTCCTGCTGCTAAATTAGCTGCTCAAGAAGGTAGAGGTGGTATTATTCACTTTGAAATTAGTCCAAAGAATATTAATAAAGTTGTTGAAGCAACTGAAGCAGTTGAAGGTGATGTTACTTCAAATCTTTCCAAATTTTTACCGCTTATTAATCAAATTAAAGAAAGAAATGATTGGATGTCTCAAATTAAATTATGGAAAGAAAAATACCCTTATAATTATATGAAAGAAACTCCTGATTCTAAGATTAAACCACAAACTTTAATCAGAGAAATTTCTGATCAATCCCAAACTTATGGTAAAGAAGTTATTGTTACCACTGGTGTTGGTCAACATCAAATGTGGACTGCTCAACACTGGACTTGGACTAAGCCAAGAACCATGATTACCTCTGGTGGTTTAGGTACTATGGGTTATGGTTTACCAGCTGCTATTGGTGCTCAAATTGCTAAGCCTGAAGCTATCGTTATTGATATTGATGGTGACGCTTCCTTTAGTATGACTTTAACCGAATTATCTTCTGCTGTTCAAGCAAATGCTCCAGTTAAAATTTGTGTTTTAAATAATGAAGAACAAGGTATGGTTACTCAATGGCAATCATTATTTTATGAACATAGATATTCTCATACCCATCAATCAAATCCTGATTTCATGAAATTAGCTGAAGCCATGGGCTTACAAGGTATTAGAATTGAAACTCAAGATCAATTAAAATCTGGTGTTAAACAATTCTTAGACGCAAAGGGCCCTGTTTTATTAGAAGTCATTGTTGAAAAGAAGGTCCCTGTCTTACCAATGGTTCCAGGTGGTAATGCATTAGATGATTTCATCCAATTCGATGCAGAAGTCGAAAGACAAGAAAAAGAAATAAGAAGAGAAAGAACCGGTGGTTTACATTAAGTATCTCTTGAGCATTTCACAAGTTATTAAAAAGTTTGATTTTCTATTTATCTTCATTTTTCCCTCTATTTATCTTCATTTTATACTTTTCTCTTTTTATCCATGTATATTCTTAAATTATCCTTTTATTTCAAATTCTACTATTTATAAATATATTATTACGTTAATCTTCATGTACCAGCCATGGCTGCAAAACCTATAAGCCCGTATTCAACTCGGCTTTAGACCCGTACGTGATCTAAGACATGTCTTACTTAACTCCAATTACAAATCTACAAATCCATTCCCTACTCTGCCATTCTCTCCTCCGTTCGACTCTGACGTAAGTCAAGTTTAATCAAGCGAAGAAAAAAAAAAGGACGTGTACCGTGCCCGAAATAATAGAGCAATCCGTTAAGCCGAGAAATCCGATTTGTGGGCTGGTTCCTTATATCCGAGGCACTGTTTTTCGCAATTTCCTTAGTATAACATCAGTACACCTTAACAATTGGTCATAAGATGAATCAATTTTGTTAATATTCAATTAGGAAAGCAAAAATCTGGGGTTAAAGAAACTAATAAAAGAAAAAAAAAAAAAAAAAAAAAAACATTGAAGCATGAATATATACCTTTGAACTCCTTTGCTTATTCTTTATTCTTTCTGAAAACGCTATCCAGGATACACAACAGCTACTACATAATCTTGGTTCTAACTTTTATATAACAGAACTTGGAGAAGACTGAGAGAGTGACAGAATAAAACATGCCAAATAAATCAGAATCTTCACAATCACCTCCGGTGAAAACGAAGAAAGAAAAGGCGGACAAGGCAGTTTCAAACTTGAAGCTTATTAACACCACTTCGGGGGTTAGAGTGTCCCAGGCTTGTGACAGATGTCGAATTAAAAAGATCAAATGTGATGGTTTAACACCATGTAGAAATTGTGAAAAGATTGATTTTGACTGTAAAACAAGTGATAAGTTGACTAGAAGAGCATTCCCAAAAGGATATACTGAAAATTTGGAACAGAAACTTAAGGTCTTGCAGGAAGAAAACAGACAGTTGAAATTGAATGCTGGATTACCGGTGGACGAATCAAGCCAATCACCACCATTACCGCAAATGCTGCTGCAACCACCACTGCTACAGGCCCTGCTGATGCAACCAATTAAGACTGAGGATAAGGAGAAACCTAGTACTAATACTAAGAGTGTTATGTTGACGACTAACGAAAATAATTCGGTACCAATTAATAATCCAATTGATCAAATATTCAATCTTGATAGTAAAGGTATAGTTATTGGGAATGATAACTTGAATTTTGAATCGCAATTCAACCACTTACTCATAAGTTTAAACTTACCCTTTTTGAAAATCACCAACAGTCATAATTTTTTGCTAAATGATCCAAATTCTTACTTGTATCATCCATCTTATACTATGTATAATCAATTTCATAATCGAGATTTGGAAGTCATTTACAATCCTATAACGGTTAACAATTATGCTCAACATAATGATATTTTGGGTGAAATGTCTCATTTGACAAATAATGAGTTACCTAGAGACGTATATGATTTATTCATTAAACTTATTGGAAATTTCAAAAAAATGTTCAATAATAAAAGAGAACTTGATTGCCAGATCATTCATTTTTTTATTAATTATAATACTTTCATCCCATTATTTGATTATAAGCAATTTATGGAAAGTTACGATGCTTTCCATACAATGTATCCCTTTATGTTCACTTATGATGACGCTACAATCAATGGTTACAATATTCTGAATAATGATTATCAGGTTGTGAATGAATACTTGATGGTAGTTATTCAAATATACGCCATGATAATGATGAATGATCCTACAATTAACTTAAACCTTTTATTGAATCATGCAACTCCAAATTATTCATTTTCCAAAAAAATTAAAAATGATACAACCAGATCAAATGATTCAGTCATTAGATCATTGTATGATTTCTTGCCATATTTCAATGTTTTCCATGTTTCAATCAATCAATTACAAACTTATTTATTGTTTTTATATTACTCAATCTTAACTAATAATAAGGAAAAGTCTTTGGTGCTTTCTTCTTTGATTAATTCTTTTATTGGTATATTGGGTATAAATCTTAATTCAAAAAACTTGTTCTTCAATGATTTAGCATTAACTTTACTGCAAAAAAGAAATCGTGTTAAGATTTTTTGGGCTTTTAAAATTTTATTAAAATGTTTCAATTTGAAATTTGGTTTTAAACCAAGTTTAAACACCACTGTTATTAATCCCGTTACTATCGATAGATATTTTGAATTGACACCTTCCAAATTAAGTACTTTATTAGAAATTGATTCTCTTGATAGTAGTGGTGTTGATGAATTATTTAAAACTCTCTTAAAACCAAGTGTGGAGTTTTTAAATTTAGTAAATATTATTCTTCCTTCTTCGTTTTCTCCAAATTATTATCAATATTTAAAAAATGATGATCGCTCTTCTAATGTTGAAAATCAAAAGAAGAGTGGGAGTAATAAGCATTTAGACTGGATCTTAAATGATGATGATGGTGATGGGAATGATGGTAATTTAAATTATAACTTCACTCAGTTTTTAACAATTGATAAAAACTTATCAAACTGGAGATACTCTTTAAAAGAGAAGAACATAAATTTATTACCTTTAGCAAGTCAAATGAATTTACCAAGATTATCGAGTGTTACTTCCTCCAATTTATACCATAATATAACCATCAATAATAATTTAGGTAGTTCTGGAATAAGTCATGAAGGCTTGGTCAATTACTTGAATACTGGATTACCTGATATTCATACTGCATCCCAATTGATTAAAATTCAATTAAATTTCCATTATTTATTAATCAGATCGATGAATTATCTTAATTTTGTTATTGATCGTGAATTAACTCAAAATTATTATGTTAAGATATCTAATATTTCAAGGGAAGTTTTGGCGTATTTCATCTTGATATTCGAACATGTTGAACAGTCAATTGAAAGTTGGGAAGATGATTCGGGTAATCTCAACGTTAGTGATCCTCACACTGCATCAAGCACTACGAATAACAATCCTCTTATTAATCGTAGTACTGGGGCAAATCAGGTTATAATGGATAGCTTGGGATTGGACGTTGATGATGATGGATTTGTTATTAATGATTTTCTGGTTAAGAGAAGGAAACCAAACAATAACATATTTGGTGGTGGAGGATTAGAGTTGCCAAATCATACTAATCAACAAAACCAAACCAAAAGAATGAGAAAACAAATTCCCCCATCTCCTTTCAATTACATGTTAAATGGGTTATCAATGACTATAATCAACTTGAAAAAATCTATAATATTACAAATGTTATATTTATTAATTTGTTCCTTAAAAATATTCAAGAAGGGTGGATTGTTAATTAACGATTCCGTTGAAATCTTAAGCAGAAGTGTTGAGTTGTTTATTAAAATATTCATTAATTACCATATCCCACCTAGCTCAACTAAATTCAAACCCCCTACTAAATTAAAAGAGGATGAATTATTTGTTAAGCTCATGAGTGATGAATTCAAAGACGAGATATTAAAAGAGCAAAAGAAAAATGATGAGAGTGATGACGAGATGGACGAGTATTTAGTTGACGGGATTGACTGGGACGATGAGGAAATGGATGAAGACTTGAAATATTTGAAAATATTGAAATTCATTAAATATAAAATCAACGCATTAAAGGCCACCAACAAGAAAAACTCACAAAGGACTGACATTCCACAACCAAGCGAAGTCCATCATCACCACCACCACCATCATCTCGACGCTGAAAATAATACAAAATCCTCAATGTCACCACCTCCAACGTCCGCTGAACACCCCACCGCCCCCACTGTTCCAAGCACCACTGTCGGTCCACCTGCTCCTCCATCTCTCATGAATTTCTATGGCCCAATGCACCCTCCCACCAATGCATCTTCTCCCCCAGCTGTGGTGGCAGGATCTCCCAACTCGTTCCCGGGTATGCCTAAAATGCCATCAATCACTAGATTTGACTTCTTGTTGGGTGGTGAGGATAATTTCCCTAATCATACCACCAGTCCCACCACGTTCAACTACAACAATGGTGCCATGGGCTCCACGGACCACAAGGTTTCTGAGGATGAATTGGTTAAAAAGGAAAAATTGGTTGTAAACGATTTAATGAATCTAAAACACGGTCATAAAAACATTTTTGGCCACCAATGGGGCAACTTAGGTTCCTCCACCGCCACGAGCCCAACCGCCACTCACACCACACAGGCTAACATCCCACCAATAAGCACGACCAAAGACCCTGAACCCTAGTTGTATAGTAATTCATATTTATTTGTTAGTAGACTGCAAAAATAGTGTATTCACTAAACCTCCGTACATCCCTTATCGAACACTGCAAAATCTTTTCTCCACATATTGTTTGTGTTTGTGTTGGTGCACGCCTCTGTATCAGTTCCAACTGTGGAGAAGATCAATTTTCAGATGAGCTACGACGGTTTAGCTGTCAGTATTCAAAATGTATAAATATATCAGGAATTTGCAAATTGCATAAATATTTCAATAATTTGCAATCTTTTCTTTTAATTCTGTATAGCGTAAAGAAATGCCATTCCCAAAGATTTTTTCAAGAACTTCATCTATCAGTAGTCCAACTGCTTCTCAGGATGCTTCTACAAATAGTACCGGAACCATCAACGAGCTTGATCTTACTGGCAAAACAAGTAATGGACCACCTCAGGTGGATAAGGGTAATCAACATTTTGCTCATTTGAGAAGAGCATCTTTACATAAGTCATCCGATAACTTGATTGTTAACTTGTGATTGCGTTCGGTTGGTAAATACCGCGAAACCGAGGCAAGTCTAAGGCTTTGAAAGTCTTCTTTATTGATGGTTTAAGGATCACGTTTATTAGTTGGTTATATTTATTAGTTGATTAAGTTCCCAAGTGGATTCTATATAAGTTTTTTGGTTTGGGATTTTGGGTTTCTTAGGGGTTTGTTTTTTCATTTTTTATTTTTTTTTTTTTTTTTTTATGTATTCCAAACACCTTTTATATGTTTTATAAATGTTTATAAACTTTTTCTAATTGTGAAATGTAATGCTTCAAGTCTTTTGGGGTTTTATCCCAATTGATTGTATCCAATAATTCAATGGTTTTGGTATCTTTTGGATTTAATTCATTTATTATCTCAAATAAGATCTCACTAGCCATGTTTCTGACTTTTGCTAATGGGCAACAGCAAGCAATGAAAATAACTTTGTTACGACACTTCAATTGGAAGTCTTTTTCCAAAGAATTATTCACGGATAAGTACTGGAAGTTTTTCAAAACTAGACCGATTCTAGTAATATTCGAAGTATTGATTTGTAAATTGTAACACCTCACGAATAACGTATTATAGTTAAATTCAACGGGGAATTTGATGGATGACTCGAATAACTTGACAAACAAATTTAAAGTCATCATATAAACTTTCAATTGTCTTGAGTTCAATTCACTTAATTTAGTATCTGGTGGAATTTTCAATAATTTTAACAATTCATTGAAGACATAGTTTTTTTCAACTTCATTCAATTTTTCAACTAATCTGATCACTTGATTAAAAGATTCATTGATTATTGAATTAGTACCGGTAACCGAGCCCATACTGAAAACGATCCCTTTCCAAAAATTAACGGATAAGTTTTTGTAATGATCTAAGTATTTATCTTCTAGCAAAATCTTGCATAATACGTGATTATAGTAATAGTCTAATAAAACTCGATAGAATTGTACATCATCAAGATGGATTGTTGATTTCTTATTATGATCTGGATCCTCACTTTCATTACTACTAGTATAAATATTAGCGTCATTACTATTAGTTTCTTCTAAAACATGGTAAATCTGTGGGTCATTGATTGAATTGATTTTCAACAATAATTTAAATGATTCATATTTGATTTTATCGATAAGTTCACCGGATAGTCTAATCAATTTATTTTCTAATTCATTGATAATTTTAGTTTCTAAAAATTTCTTTAAATTATTTTGTATCAAATTCAAAGTAGAAATTCTGATTTTGGATCCCACATCACCTTGATTAGTTATAGTATAATCATCTAACATATTTACAAGTCTTAAAAGCAACACTTCATTTAACTCATAAACGTATAGGTTATCACTTAATCCTTTTAGAATCAATGATCTCGTATCACAATCAACAAGAGTGTTTTCAATTAATTTTAGAATTTCCAAGAAATTATCATCAGTGAATTTATAGTAAATTAAAGATTTTGCAATAATTAAATTATTATTTTTAATGTAATAGATTAATTTATTGAAATTTTCAAATGAAATTTTGATTTGATTCTGTTTCAACAACTCAAAGAATATTTTAAATTCTAAAACCAAGCTCTGATCATATTTTAATCTTGATATCGAAAACAAGTTTGACCATAATTTATCTGACTTAATTAAGATTTGATAGTTGTTACTACCTAAACAACTGTTGATCCATTTCAAGTAACATTCCCCTTTTTCTAAAGTATCATGATGGAAATCGAATTTGAAATTATCTAATTGATAAATTAATTGAGGATAAGTATCAATGATAATATTAATATCAACGTATGCTAATAACTCCGATATTGAATAAATGGCTCCAGTATTCAATATACCGGTATTGAATCTATCAACTTCATTAATCAAAGTGTCAATAATTTTAATGATTGGAATTGTATCCGGTTCTTCTTTATCATCAATCTGAAACTCTATTTCTTTACTAGTATTTTCATTATTTAATTGTAAAATGTTAATTAAATGATTTGAATTAAGCTTTTTAATTGAAAATGGAATTTCATCATTTATAATGTTATTCAATATCAAAGGCATGAAGATTTTTTGAGGAAATCCAATTTTAATTAATTTACCAATGATTAAATAAGATAAATTCAATGACCCAATTGACATATTATTGAAAAATTCAATGAATTTAATGATGAAAGAACCTAATTCATCATTATTAGAAGATTTTAATAAAGGTTTGAAAATTATTTCACCGAATCTACCAACGAATTCTTGTAAAACAGCAATTCCACAACGTCTAATAATCAAATCATGATCAAATATGATCACTTTAATTAAATCAAATAAGATATTTTCGACTAAGAATGATTGATTTAAAGATAAATTTTCAAAATCGTTTTTATTTAAATAACGACATAATGACCAAATGATAAAACAAGAAGAATCTCTGACCTGATTACCCAAATTGGCCGAGACTCTTTTTTGACTAATGAATAAAGTTTTATGAACAATGCTAAAGATAATAGGAATTAAATGCTTTGGTAATGATTTATTTAATGAGGTATAAGCCAAGTATAATAAAATAGTATGATATTTTGTAATTGAAATTTCATTTGAATTAATCCATAAATTAGGATTAAACTTGTTAAATTTAGTAGATTGATTTGAAAAGGGGCTAAAATCAAAAGTTAAGTTCGATATATTCAACTGTTTAATCATATAAATTATTAACTGTTCTTGGTAATTAATTGCTTGTAAGGATAAATTATTCGTTAAGTTACTCAAATTCTTAGCCATTGAATATCTTAAAGTAGTATCGAATTTATCTAACATTGGATTCATTATGTCATTTAATAAATTATTAATAATTTTGGAGACTTGATTATAATTTCTATTTATCAAGTAAAATTTTGATAATTTACTTAAAATCTTGATAATGTAAAGAATGTTTAAATTTGACAATTTACCAAATCTTAAATTTTCATTAATTTGAATTCTCAATTGAATTAAGTCGTTTTCGATTAGTTGATGATAGATTAAATCAATGTACTTATTAACTTCATCATTTGAAATTTTTTTCAAAATTTTATTAATTGTCATCATATGACCTAATTTGATGTTTTGATCAACCGACTGGTGTTGATTGATGATTGAATTAGTCTTGGGATTCCATTCATTTAATACGTACTGATTGAAATAATTTGATAATAAATTGTTTTTAATCGAATCATCTCTAGTTAATAATCTTGATAACAAAATCAGTGAAACTAATTGAGTTTTAGAAGCATTTGAATTATTTGTTAAATGTCTTAAACCAATTTTGAAAATGGTTTCACTTAATGAATCACTAATATTTGATAATGGGAAAGGAACCAATACTAAATTCGATAACCAGATTAAATTAAAGAAATTTTCAAAATCATTCAAATCATTTGAAGTAATTAATTTGATTAATTTCGGGATAAGATAAACATCACTCGAAAAATAGTTAGTAATGAATTTAAACCCTCTTATCTTAGCAAAATAATAGATAACTTCGGAAATTTCTGTTGCTAAAGATAATAAAGAGTAACTTGATTCTTCATTTATCAATGCTGAAGTTAATTTTGGTGAAGATCCATTTGATTTCAATTTTTCAACAAAATTCCCAATTTTATCTTCAGATCTAATGGTTGTGTCGGCATCTTCAGTTTCCGAATCACTTTCTGACTCACTATCAGTTTCTGATTCACTTTCCGATTCACTTTCAATTGGCTCTTTTGGTATTGGAGCCACGTTATCATATAGTTTCAAATAATTTTTCGATAGCGTATCGATATAATAATGCAAATTACAATCAAGTAATTTGGGACTTGGTTCAAACTCATTAATTAATGATTTCAATCTACTGAATATAGGTTTGGATTTTTCAATTCTATCAACTATTAGTAAGTTTTTCCCATTTTCAATTATAATATCGTTCAATTCATCAATCAACTCTTTTATTCTAGAGTGAAGTTGGTCATTTCTCTTCACTAATCCTTGTTCCAATAACTCATCCATTATTACTAGTTTTCTGTTGTATTGGTGATTAAATACTCAGAATTTCCTGGATTTTATATTTATTATCTATGGTACAAACGGCTAATGACACGATACTGGTAACTTCTTTAATCTGCCACGACAACATCCCAATTGTTTCCTTCTGTATCCGATTCAATGTAAATATTGATGTCTTCGCCAAACGATGATTTGAGTTTGACGAGGTGTCCTGCAGGTAGTTTCTCGGAAATGTCATCCGTACACCTCGATCCGTATACGTATATCTTCGGTCACTACAACCAACAGAATAGCTATGTTTTTGGAGTTCTTGATGTTCTTGGTGTCTTGATGTTCTTGATGTTCTTGACGACGTTTGACTACTCCTGGCTGGTACTACGTGCATCTGTAAGCTGGCCATCAGGTAGATCTGGCCGGTCTGAACAAGCTCGATCCTTGCACTTAAAATACTTAGTAGAGTATGTCCGTTGCAGCCAAATCGCTTCTGCAAAGCACTGTTTTCAATAATTCGGCGGTCTGCTTGCTTGTCTGATTGTCTGCTTTACTCAGAGAAGAGTGGCCCGTATGTAGACTAGTGCCATTTGAGGCCATCGAAAGTCCCGAATCGATTGGCTTACCCAAACTCCATCAATGACTAAATGGCTCCACTTTCAGTAGCTTGAAATCTAGACCATTCTGGCTATTTTAGCTGCCAGTACTCTTCATATGTATTTCAGCATGCGGTGCATTCCGAAGTTAACCTTTATGGGTCTTATCGAGCAAGCGGAATTGGGCCAAATTTCGTTGAAAAATACAATTCCGCTCGGTGAGCCAATATCATATAAAGAATATTTCCCTGGAAAAAGGGTTCAACTTACTTCTTTCTTTAACACTAATCATGATTGGGCTTCCATTGGATGATGCATCCAGAACGAACTTGAAATCTCAGTTTGCTAAGCGTAGAGTATCAATTTTATCTTTGATTATTTTCTTTTTCTTATTAATTATATTTTTCACTTCGGATGCTTTCCCGTTATTTAAAATTTTTTTACAACCAATTGATGATAATTCACTTTGTCCGGTTCATGACAAGATAGTGCCAAAATCTTTTGTTGAAGACAATTCGACGGTAATTGGGATTCTTAAAGATGAATCTTTTAGATTGAATTCAGTTGAAAAATTATCTGGAGCCATTCAAGTTGATACTCAAATCTTTGATAAGCCTCCGGATGTACCTGATGCTCCAGAAGTTTGGAAAAAGTTTAAAAAATTCCACAAGTATTTGGAAAAAACCTTCCCAGTTGTTTTTGAAAATACCCAAGTTGATTATGTTAATACTTACGGGTTAGTTTTCTATTTGAAGGGGTCAAATCCCGATTTGAAACCGGTTTTATTAACTGCTCATCAAGATGTAGTTCCAGTTCAACAAAGCACTTTGAAAGATTGGACACATCCTCCATTTAGCGGGTTTTACGACGGTGAAAAAATCTATGGACGTGGTGCTTCTGATTGCAAAAATGTCTTGATTGCAATTATGGAGTCTTTAGAATTATTGATTAAAAATGATTATAAGCCTGCAAGAGGTGTTGTTGCTGCTTTCGGTTTTGATGAAGAAGCCAGTGGGTTTATTGGTGCTAAAAATATCGCTAAATTTTTACAAGAGAAGTTTGGTAAATTTAGTTTCCATTCTTTATTAGATGAAGGTTATGGTTTAACTTTAGACGCTTCGACCAATCAAGTTGTTGCTGCTCCTGCTGTTGGTGAGAAGGGTTATCTTGATATTGTTGTTGATTTAACCACTCCTGGTGGACATTCTTCTATTAGTCCTGACCATACTTCAATCGGTATGATGGGTGAATTGGCCTATATTATTGAACAAGATCCATACCAGCCTTTATTGACTAATGAGAATCCAATTTTACATTATTTACAGTGTTTAGCAGTGAATTCTGAAGAATTACCTAAATTAACTCGTAAAACTATCTTGCGAGCTGGTTTTGATAAATTTGCAAATGCTAAAATTGTCAAGGTTTTATCAGATAATATTTTAACTAAATTTTTGATTAGGACTTCGCAAGCCATTGACATTATTTCTGGTGGTGAAAAGGCCAATGCCTTGCCTGAAAATGTTAAAATGGTTATCAATCATCGTGTCGCAATTGACTCTAAAGTTTCCGATATTCAAGCTCATTTCACTGATCGGGTATTGATCTTGGCCAAAAAACATGATTTACAGGTTATCAGTTTCGGCAAGGAAGTTTTCAATGTTGAGAATAAAAAGGGTACAATCGATATTGATTTCAATTCTCATTCTTTAGAGGCGGCTCCAATTTCCCCTTCTAATGATACTGTTTGGAAATACGTTGCAGCCACCACCAGACACATTTTTGAAGACCTTGTTTTCACCAATTTGACTTATCCAATTATAACTGCACCAAGTCTTATGCCTGCTAACACTGATACTAGATATTATTGGGATTTAACTAAGAATATTTATCGTTACTCTCCATTTTTCGCAGCAGATATGTTGAAGGAGAATAAAATTCATAGTGTTGATGAGCAATTAAGATTCGACTCCCATTTACAATTGATCGCTTTCTTCTATGAGTATGTTCAAAATGTCGATACTCCTGATGCTGATAACTGATTTCTATCTATATATTTTATGTACTGACAATCTACATTATTAAGCTGTAACAGTAATTTATACAACTCTTCTCCTCTACATTAATCTACAACGAGTTTAAATGAATTCAAATGACGAAATATATTAATATACACAGGAAAAATCCTTGAATTGTTTGGTTTTCTAAAACTGTTTGGTTTTCTTGAATTGTGGTCTTCATCTCATTAACACCTGCTCAACTAATCTCCTTCTTTTCCAACGGATTATAACGTAAGAACTTCTCGATCAAATCAACATGGGTTAAAACCATTCTTCTACAACAATATCTCTTCAATTTTAACTGGTCTAAGGCATCACCTTCAGTCAAGGTCTCGTCTTGCAAAAGAGTCAAATAAGCCTCCCATTTATCTCCAACAACTTTCCCACACGAAAAACAACGGATTGGAATGATCATCTTGCACTATCTAGCCTGGTTTCTAGCCTGCTTTGTCTGGATTTGTTCAGCTAAATGAATACCAAGTTGTATCTTCTCTTCGTTTTTATCTTTTTCACTGGTTTTTTTTCTTTCTCATTACAAATCTGGTGGCTACACACTCTTCACTGAAAATCTTTTTGTCTAACAAAACAAAAAAAAAAAAGTAAAGAGAGCGAAGAGGAAGCGAAGAGATGGTGAAAAAAAATTAGTATAAGCAGCAGAGCTGATTTCAAGAGCCAAACAACGGAAGGATTGGAAGAAAGTGAGTATGGTCAAGTCAGGCGAATGGTCTTTGAGTTTGGCATCGGGAGGGAAAGCTGTTAGCTTTCCTAATGCTTCTTCGTGTGCCTCGATATTCTCTCAAGATGGACGGTACAATATTGTTTTACTAAATCGTCAAATAAGGGTTTACTTTGTATCTACCCGTCAGTGTATTAAAACTATTGAAGTCGACTGTTCCGAGGTAGTTGGGGCTAAGATAGACATAATGAACGGGAACCACCTATTGTTGTTTAGCAGTCTGGGTAGGATCACCACGGTTAACTGGAGAGAAAAAGTTGATGAAGCCATTATATCCAGGGAAGAGATTAAGACAAACGTAGTGGGGGTTGTTTCCGTGAAGGAGAAGGTATTCTATTTGGTTAGTGGGAAGATGCAGAAGTACTCTCTGCGTACACTTCTTAAAGTGAACAGAAGCAATCTTGAAGTTGAACAAATTTTGAATGTTGATTCGGTTACCCATTATACGATTTCCAATGATTGTGAGAAAATCTTGTTCATAAATACTTTGCACCAGGCTATTTTATATAATTTGTCGATTTTAGATGATAGCGAAGGCCTGAATCTTTCAAATCAAGTTGAAGCAACAAAAGAAGTTATATCATTCAATGCTAAATCACAAGTTACTAGTTTAGCGGTTTCAAATAGTTCAACCATTGCAATTGGGTTTCACCTTGGTGCCATCCAGATCTTATACGGGGGATTATTAAACTCTAAACCACATCGAGTCTTTAAATGGCACATTGATCAAGTTAAAAGCTTGGAATTCACTCCAGATGGTAATTACTTATTATCGGGGGGTTTGGAAAAAGTACTTGTCTTTTGGCATTTAGAAACTGATAAAAACCAATTTTTACCAAGATTGAATGGAATTATAGAAAATATCACCATTGACGAAAATAAATCAGATTACTATACTTTAACTTTAAAATCTGATAATGAATTCTCAAATAATGATTCAAACCTCGAAATTTTAATAATATCGGCAATCGATTTGGTTTCAAGATTATCAATTAACACTATCAAACCAAAATTTAATAATCCAATCCACTCTTCATTAGCAAAGACTAGATCAATTTTTAATAAAAATCCATCAAATTTCGATTTATCAAAATTAATCTACGATTATTCATCATCATTTGAAATTCATCCAATTACTAACCATTTATATTTCCCATACGATTCTTCAATCCAATCTTATGATCCAATCAAAAATGAACAAAATTTCATGCAAGACGTTGCTCCCACATTAAATACTGGTAAAGTTAGATCAGAAACTAAATTGGCTGAACCAGTGGTATCATTGTTATCTTTCACTCAAAATGGTGAATGGATGTGTACCTTTGATAGTGTTGCTACTAGTGAAGTTGATAATTTATTATCAAAAGATGATACTCAATATGCGTTGAAGTTTTGGAAATTTATTGAAAAATCTACGGCAGAAGATAAACAAGGTCATTGGGAACTAACTACTAAAATTCTTGATCCTCATGGTAATTCATCTCCAATTGTGTCAATAATTCCTGCTCCTTCTTCTTATCATCAAGGAACTGCATTTTTAACTGCTGATAATAAAGGAGGTTTAAGAGTTTGGAGACCAAGAATTCCAAAAGAAATTTATAAAAATTCAAACTCTAAGCAACAACAAACTGCTTGGACTTTAAGAAAATCAAAACCTTCAGGTGCCATGGAAAGCGATTCAGTTGATTGTGCTTGGTCTGATGATGGGTCAATCATCATTTTAGGTCATGAATTATCAATAAGTTTAATTTCTTCCACTACTTTTGAAACTATACCATATGACCAATTTAAAATTCCATCTTTAACCGGATCCAAAATCAGATCTTTAAAATTAATCGATAATAATTTAATAATTTTATCCAAAACAAGAATTACATCTTTTAACTTATTAACTGGACAAAAAAATAGCTTGGTTGCCCAAGTAAATACAACAATTGGTGGTAGAAATTTAATTTCAATCGATAGATCAAATCAATTAATATGTTTGGGGGTAAATTATTATTCAAAAGATAACAGTGATTTGAACATTAAATCAAAGATTTTCATTTTCAAACCCGATCATTTAAAACCGGTTTCTGTGTTAGATTATAATAAAGGTATTTCATCAATTCGTTACTACAATTCATCCTTCATTTTCGTTGATTTAAATTCAACCATTGGATATATATCGTCATCTAAACTTAAATTGGATAAATTGGATGAATCATTATTGAAAATTGATGAACCTATTAAACCTCGTACTCAACCTCAATCTCAATCAGCTCCGGTCAAAATCGATGAAAGCTCCCAAGTTGTTAAAGCAATTGATGTCAATACATTCCAACCAGTGTTTGATAACATAGAAGGTATACAAATAGATACATTGTTTGATCGTATAGTTAAAATCGTTAATTAGTCAAGAGACGAATATATATATATAAAAAAAAAAAAAAAACGACAAGCTTCTATGTACAGAAAATTAAGAAAATTATTTAGTTCTTTGTATGGCCAATATACTTTCCATTTTATTTAAGGCAGTTTCTAATAAATCTTTTCTTTCTTGTAATTCGATATGTTTTTTAATTTTCGGATCTTCTTTGGCAAATAATTCAATTTCTTCATTAGTTAGGTTATTGAAAAATCTTTGATCTAACTCTCTTGGGAAGTTATAATAGAAATCACTTAATAATTCAACATTCAAGAATAAAATTGAAGTTGAAGTCAATTTTGAAGCCACTGCATCCAAAAAGATTTCAGGACATTGATATTTGTTTTCTTTGTTTTTACATTTTTTAGAATTTTTAATGAATTGATATCTCATCTTAAGTAAAGATAATCTATCTTTTAAGAAAATACCTTCTTTACCTCGATCAATTAATTCATTCAGAAATCCCAAAGCATCATTTGTATCAGTTCTATTTGATTCTAATTTATCAAGATAAGTCATAACTTGTTGTAATTTTCTTCCGCCGATTGATTTTTTCAAATTATAAAAAGTTTCATCACATTGTCTGATTTCTTCTTTTAATAAATTGACTGCATTATCTTTACTTGATAACCATTCACGATCTTCAATTTCGATTTCATATTTATAAGGTTTGATACAATTTTCAACTTGATCAGCAGTAGAGTAATATTTAGCACTTAAAACTGATTTAGCAGCTTCACTAACTGCATTACGAGCCATTGGATGATTTTTCAATTGAGTAAAGTCAACCAAATTTTCGATTTCAGTGATTAAAGAATTTGTTATTAAACTTGTTGATAATCTACCAACACCCAATTTAGTTAACAGACTAGTAGTTAAATCTAATTTTTTATGCCAATAAATGTCATCATCAATATTTGCTAATTGGGATAATTCTTTTAAATTAGGTTCAATATCATTTTTTAAATTACCCGGTTTATTCCAGTATCTTTCGGCTAATAAATTTAAAACTTTTTGATCTAATTCATTTTTAAGTAAAGATTTCAATTCTCTTCTTGAAAAATGATTACTTAATTCTTTAGTTGTTAATTTTAAGATATCAATATTGTTTGCTAAATACATTTGAGGGGTTAAAGGACGATCATTAAATTCCACCTTGAATTGATAACTAGTTTCTTCTAATTCTTGTTGAATAGCTAAATGGGTTGGTCTTAAAGCATTTGCCATTGATTTTTCCAAAACTTTCATTAATTTTTTTTTCAAATGTTTAGTACTGGTAACGGTCCCAATAAATTCTTCTTTATTTTTTTTGAAAAATTGATATTCATAATTTTGTTGAGCAACGTAAGATTGATAACTGTTAATTTTATTTCTAGTGAATAAGTTTGTTCCACTTACTTGTTGAGGAGGAGCTTTAGTGATAACACCCACGTAACCCATTCTAAGAGGATATTTTTTATTGGTCAAGATTTTATAAGCAATTGAAGGATCCACCAAGTCGACTTTAGTAATGACCCCAATGGTTCTTTCACCTTTAGGGTCCGCTACTCTAGCCGCTTTCAAAGCAGAAGAATTAGCCAAGTCAACGTCTGCCGCCGAGATGGCCAAGATGATATTTGGATTTTCCAAGTATTTATCACAAACCGATCTGATTTTCTGTTTTAATTCAATTGGTTGATCAGCGGCTTCAATTTGAATATAACCGGGTAAATCCACCAAGGATAAGTCGGGGACTTTAGGAGATTTGATGGTGATTTGGATTGGGTCGGAAGAAATGCATTCATTTATGGGCACTGCCATATTCAAATCGTATAAAGTTTTTTGGACTTGATTGAAATCGGTGATATTAAATATTTTCAAGGCGGGAAATTCAGCAGTTTCCAGAGCAGAATTGGGAGAGTTGATCAAAGTTAACTCAATTGGTCTTCTGGTCACCATATTACTACCTTTAGGTAAGAATTCCTGGCCTACAATGGATTCAAGAACTGAGGATTTCCCACTTGATTGAGAGCCAATCACCACAATAGAAGGCAACTTGAGAGAATCGCTTCTGGAGTCGACTGTCATTAGCAAGTTCCGGATTTCAATCATTTGTTTAGTCAAGTTTAGTATATCGTCATTAGTTGAATCTTCTTCATTGTCGTCATCATCATCATCATCATCAATTAGGGTTTCTTCGTCATCCGACGAAAGCCCCACTGCTGCCGCGGTGGCAACCGCGGTGGCACTGGTATCACCACCACTCCCACCACTACTACCACTCCCACCATCGCTTTGGCCTGAGCTAGATGGGTCCGATGAATTACTTGATTTCAAAAAATCACTGGTTTTATCAAACATTGAATTGGTGAAATCCTTGAATGCCGATAATCGATCGTTGGTGTAGCTAGACGCCTGTTCGACTTTATAAGCAACGTAAGAACCCCCGGCGGCCATGGTTCCACCCACGTAGGCTGGAACTCGAACAACTTTTGATAAAATTTTGATAAAGCCTATATTTCTTGATTGCACAAGCTGGGCGTTTGGCCCGAAGCGAGCATTTCTGACGAGCGGATACGACGTGCGTATTAGCCTGGAGTATGGCCTTAGACCAGCTCTGGGTATCATCTTAGGAAGGGGAATACTAGACTTCCATCAAGAGGTGGCGGCTATCCTTGATCAACAAAACAAGGTGATCAGAAAAAACAAACCACATCTCTGGTGTCCGGGTGTTTTGCTGGTTTCTGGGTAACCACACGCCCGCTCCAATACCCCACTGGTGATGCTTTTGTTTTTTTTACGTAAACACACGTATTACGTAAAGGGGTCAAACGTTGCGCATTACATATTTCTCATCTCAACCTCTCAAGATAAACTTAATATATAGATATATAACAAAACAACAGTAAAAGAAAAAGCCAAAAAAAAAAAGAAGTAAAATAACCTTGTTTAAGGTATAGCGAAGAAGAAGAGAAAAAAAAAAATAAAAAAATCAAAAAAAAAAAAATCAAAAATATTCATAAAACACCAATAGTATGAGTATACCAAGAGCATACCAAGTGGTACACCAATAGTATGAGTAATAGTAGCAATATCGTAGAAACTTCGTAATATCAAGGGATAAGAAGAAAAAGACTCACACGAGAAAAATTCAACAAAAAAATATAACAAAAAATATAACACAGACTAGTTTAAACTAGGGCACTAGATAGAAAAATAATCATCATCATGTCTAAGAAGACTTTTTATCGGAGGAACCAGACTTGCTGGAGCTGGGACCAAAGTTAGGCATGGTAACTTGAGCCATTGGTTGAGTAGCTTGGGTATTATTAGAAGAAGGCATTTTAAAATGAGCGAATTTGATTATATGGGGCAGAGAAAGCAAATGATAAAATGTGGGATTTCCCAGTTTATATAGGATTTTTGGAACAAAAGTTCGAGGCCTAAAAAGAAAAGACACACCAAAACAAAAAAAAAATCACTGAAAACAAAAAAAAATCACTGAAAACAAAAAAAAATCACTGAAAACAAAAAAAAAATCACCGAAAACAAAAAAAAAACCCACCAAAAGNAAGCAAATGATAAAATGTGGGATTTCCCAGTTTATATAGGATTTTTGGAACAAAAGTTCGAGGCCTAAAAAGAAAAGACACACCAAAACAAAAAACAAATCACTGACTACAAAAAAAAATCACTGAACCCACAAAGAAATCACAGAAATCGAAAAAAATATTACCGTATTCAAAAAAAAAACCCACCAAAAAAAAAAAAAAAAAAAAAAAAAAAAAAAAAAAAAAAAAGATCAAAAAAAAAGAACACACGCACTAATACAATATTTTTTAATCCATCTCTCTTAAAGATGGAAGTAAATCGTAATAACCAGTCATTCTTACAATACAAAGATTAAAAGAGTATCGAAAAACAAAGAATACCCCAAGGGTTTACCTCCATCAGCATAATACCCAGGGTTTTGTTTTTTTTTTTTTTGTATTGCTTGCTGTTTAACTCAGATAAAAAGGACTACCGAAACCAAAAAAAAGGGCTAGATTTCAAAACCTCAATAAGTGAAATATGAAACAATTATCCTAATTCGGGGTGCTTGCTCATGCATTTTAATTAATCTTATTCTTCAGTTATTTTTTACCTAAACCATAACTAAAACCTCTTGGGCAATTGACTCATCGTGTCTCAATGCTTATCCATTCTCCTTTCGCCAGAATACGATGTTGGGGTTGTAGACGACACCGATAAGACCCATTACATCACTCGCCGGGGGAGCACGTCAAGCGGGTCCTGCGCTCCGTACATCTGAAATTGGCGATTCTTTGTCGCTGGGGGAGTCGGTTGGTGGTGCCTGGGCCGCTAGCGCACGACCTCCTCCAGCGATCTTCACGCAGGATACTCGTTAGCACGATGTAAGTGGTGTTCTTTCCTTTTGTTCCGGTTCTTCGGCCGTTAAAGATCTAGAAATAGACTACCCCTTCCGTGATTTCCATACACACTCTGTTCAAGTCCGCCCATACCCATATGTCCCGACATCCAGAGGGTATCTATTGGTATACTGCTACATGCTGGTGTGTACTGATATATATGCTGATAGCCATGCTGGTATATATGCTGATAAACATCCTGGTATACCCATACCCACTATTGTAGTGGTCGTATAGTTGAGCAAAAAATACCCATGGCGTCATTTGGCTTACACGAGTAAAACCCTATTTCTTTAATTCTATTCTCGTCAAAAGTAAACAATGGAGAAGAAGAAAAAATTAATGCCTGCTTCCACACGGATTCGAACCATGGATCGCCTCATGACCCTGGACAACAAAGTTATACAAGTGAGGTGCCTTACCAACTTGGCCATAGAAGCTTGTTTTATGCCAAAATCGAATTCCGCTTTGTCCGGTGTGTGGGTGTTTTGGGAGTGAAATTTGGGCTATTTTTGGGCAATTTCATCAGAATGGAAAGATAGAAAGGAAATTATAGCACGGCCGTAATCCCGGTACTTGTTCCTATGGAATCCAGCTGGAAAGTTCATTGAAATGAGGTTGTTTTAATTTTTTGGTCACACCAAGGCCTGTCGATATTTCGATCTGGTCTAGGCCAGAATAATAAAATAACAGTATAAAGTATGTTCTCACAAATGCATCCTATATATTATTCTCATATAAATAGACACCCCCACGTAAGTGGAAATGAAAAGAATACTTCTTCTTTACGGTGGGCACGACTACTTCATTGGTTGAAGTATAGGCTTGGACCAAAGAGAGATTCTTCGGTAAATACACCTTATTCTACTATTTGGTTTCCACTATTTAGTATTAGTTGTAACAAGTTATTCTTCCCTTTAACAACGGCGTGAAGATTGATCTAGGTAATAAGTTAATCCACTACCAATTACATCTCAGTATCTGGCTAATGTCTTCTTGCGTGTGTCATGGCATAGGTCTGATCAACCCGATAGATGACTCAGAAGTATTATGGTTTGTTATATGACTATACTTCGTATTGACTTTCTTGGTTGTTCTGCCAAATTGAATGATCTTCGACAGACCCAACTCGAACAAGTAATATGCGTAATTGCATTATAAACCAATAGATGTAATTGCGTGTTCGTACTAATCTCGTTTAATACTGTATATTTACGAATGTAACCATTCCTATATATTGGTTAAATTACGAATGCTTCTATTTCCATCGCTCTTACGAGTTATAAACAATAATATTAAAGTTTGTTCTATTTTTAGTATGCTCTATTTTATCCCCGTGGATAGCCTTTCGTTCGGAGTATACCATGTAACCTCATTGCGCAGCCGTGTAAGCCACAGTAGCTTAAATCTTTGACTTGGTTTTGGGAATGTAACATTCATCTTCATCGGGAACTGATCTTTTACATACTTTCAGTGTATGACAGGAGATTCTTCATTCATATCTGCATTAGACTAAAAATTATCAATATCGATGCTCGCAGGGCAGGTATCTGTTATGCTCCTAGTTTCCAGTCTTGATTCGTCAGGTTTGATCTCAATTTCTTAATCATTTAAATATGTTCTCTCAATTTACAAGTTGATATACCACCATGTGGTTATTATGCAGATGAAATGTCGCTTGAGTCCTACAAGTGTCGCGGTTGTATGTCGCGTCCAGATCGGTTGCAACAGCTTTGGCCAGGCAGTTTGCCAAGCCTCAAGTTGGTTGCAAATTTTTATTCCAAAAAATTGACAGCTGGATTCCTTTAATACGGTAGAATTTTTTTGATATCACTAATATGTATTCTATATCTTATTTGAGTTTGTCTACGCAGCTTTATATACTTATAGCATCGTCCCCTGCTCTACATATACCGTGAGTCTCGGTATGACTACATATGCCACATTTGATCTTACTCCCACTCCCAATATACTCGATCCAGTATCCTCATACTGAGCAGCGAACAGGGGTAATCCCTCTAGAACTAGCTCCCCACACACATTCCAAATTCATTGATTCACTAGTGGTGTAATACCTATCTATTTCCCTAGTGGCTAACGCAGTATCAGTAAGATTCCCCGGCAACAATAATTCTAACTCCATACCAGTGCCTCTAGAATATCTGGCAACATGAGCAGGAACATCCTTGCCTCCTAGTGTTAATACTAACTGGTTTGTCAAATATGCTGAATTCCATGGTATGGAAAGCAAATCTCTATTCAACTTAAAAGTAGAACGGTTAGACACCTTGTCATCCCTTCTCGAGAATGCCCTGTTTTCTAAGTCAATATGATAATATGGAATATTATTGCTATATTCGATGGAATATGGAGGTTTAGAGGGTCTTGCTACATATGCTAGAACTTTGACACTAATAGCCATAAATGTTGTTGCCATTCCTATATCTGACGCACACTCTTTACTATATACAAAAGAGCTTTGGTTTGACAAGTCAGTTGTCCAGCAACTGGTGGAAATATTCATCATTAATGAAAGTGCATACCAAACAATAGCAGTTACTGCTATTATAAGAGCTCGAGCCCGGGTCTCCCACCATTCCTGAACAGGAGTATTGATGATCAGTATGAGGTTGGTCTCATATTGTAATTAGTTTTTTTTCGATAGAAAGTATATCTTAAAAATGTATTTCGTTTTTCGAAAGAGTAAGATGGCAATGGGATTGTTTACTAACATTTCTAGTGTTTTAGAACCCTTGACGCTGAGGGTATTCTGGTATTGCTCAGTGTGTCAAAAGTTCTCTAGTGGTAAGAGTTAATAGTACTCAGTAGTTCATTTTGAGTGGTGATGCTTTTTCAAAAATGATAGACACACCTCAAAAGTGTAAAAATAGAATGCTACGGTTTTAGTGTGGATTAACATGCGATTATTAGACCATTGGTATCAACCATGCCTTTGTCAGTAATTAAACTTACATCTACTTATATTTGAGTCAAGATTTCCTTTTTATGTTCTTGCTTAATTAGGTGCACGAATAGGCACTCGATCGTTTGACCTGTCAAAAAAAAAAGAAAAAAAAATTAAATTAGACAGCCGTTTGAGCCACACCAGTACGTAGATTTTCTGTCGACTCGATTCATATCCCAGATTCATTAAAAAGATGGTTTATCCTATACTTGAAAAAAAAAATCGGCTTTTCACTAACCAAATTCGATCTTAGGTTTATTCATTATTGTTGAAAAAAAAAATGAATGGTGGGAGAAATATGGACCTCTAAATAACGAGAAACATTGTAGTTCTTCACACCGATTAACTTAGTTAATATTACACTTGCTCAATTGTATCTCCTGATCTCAACAGAAACATAACTAGGGTTGTAACTATGGATAAATCGCCGGACAAATGCAACAACGGCTGAATTTGAAAAATCAATATGACAAAAGTCTCAACTCGATGACGTGCTAGCACCCAGTTAACTGAAATTTTGCCTTTGGATTTTTGCGGCCATATATACTATGGCATCGTAAATATATATAGATATATATCTGTAATCTTTACATCGATGTAAGTATCTTTGGCTGGGTAGAGGGAAAAGTATAAAAAATAATGACGGAAAAAAAATTATCCGAAACAGAGATAGTGAATAAAGAAGAAAAGCTTGACTACTTCGGTGAGCCTATAGAGAGAAATATAGGGTCAGACACCGAGAACTCTGCTGTTTCATCTTCTTCGTCGATCAATGAAAATTTAGATCCAGATGTGCTAGCTCTACCAAAAATCATCAGGGACGTTGTCCCATTAGACGATGATCCGACTATACCAGTTTTAACCTTTCGATATGTTTTACTTTCAATTATTTTTGTTGCACCTGGTGCTTTTATTTCAACCCTTAATTCATTTCGTACCACATCTGCTGCTTACAGTATATTTTTCGTCCAAATTTGTAGTCATTGGTTAGGTAAATGGTTGGCTAAAATCTTACCCAAAAAGACAATAACTCCATTTGGTATTGAAAAATTAAGTTTTAGTTTGAATCCTGGTCCTTGGTCAATCAAAGAAACAACTTTAGTTACAATCACTGCTTCCAGTGGTGCTACTGGTTCGCTTGCTACAAATGCCTTTGCCTTGGGTGAATTATATTTCAATACTACTGTTCACCCAGCAGCAGCAATTTTTTTCATGTATTTTATTGTTTTGGCTGGTTATAGTTATAGTATATTACTGAGAACCTTCCTTGTTTTTGATTCCCTGTTTGTTTGGCCACAATCTTTAATGCAAACTGCATTACTTCAATCATTTAAAAATTCTGATAATGATTCAAGATTGGGTCGTAAACAAGTTAAAATTTTTTTTTCAACTTTAATTGGTATTACAATCTGGCAATTTTTCCCGGAATATATTTTCCCAATGACTTCTTCTTTGGCGTTTTTATGCTGGGTGGCATCGAGTAATCCAACTGCAAATTTTATTGGCTCGGGTATTGGCGGTATGGGATTTCTTAATTTATCATTAGATTGGGCAAATATTACTTCTACTATATTTTTATCTCCCTTTTGGGTTCAAGCAGTTAAATTCATTGCTTTTGTCTTTGGTGCTTGGATTCTTATACCGGCTGCGAAATGGTCAAATTTATCTAATTATAAATATGCATTAATGTCAAACTCTTTATACACAGATGACGGTGAGCTTTATCCAACTTCTTTGTTAATAAATTCAGATTTTACCTTTAATTCTACTGCTTATGAAGAATATGGCCCTGTTCACATGGGAGCCCAACGAGCTTGGAATATGTTTTTTGATTATGCTGCCTATATTTCTGGTATAACTTGGGTTGTCCTTTTCGGTTATAAAGGCTTATATGAATCATTGAAAAAAGTTATTAAAAATGTTAAATATCAACGAGAAAATAAAGATTCTAATATTCATCACTTATATAACGATAGAATTAATAAATTGCAAGCTGCTTATAAAGAGGTTCCCTTTTGGTGGTATGTTATACTTTTCGTTACTTCATTTATTACCTTAATCATCATTTCAGCAACCAATGCAATTGCATTACCATGGTGGACGGTTATCATTGCATTTCTTATTGGTATAGTAATTGTGGTTCCCCTTTCATGGCTTTATGCTGTATCCAATTTTCAATTACCAATCGGGACATTTAATGAATTACTTTTTTCATATATGATTAAATCACAAGAGGAACGTAATCCGATGCTGGCCAATTTATATGGTGCACTTGCGGGAGATCTCTGGTATAGAGCACAATATCAACTTCAAGATATGAGTATTGGGAGTCGTATGCAATTACCACCAAGATTAGTTTTCATGTCCCAGATGTTTGGTATATTAATATCATGTCCAATAAATTATGGATGTATGAGATGGATTTTAAATACTAAAAGAGGATATTTAGAAGGTAAAGAAGCAGATCCAACGGGGCAATGGACTGGACAAACAATTGTTAATTATCATGCACAAGCAATTCAGTATATTGTTTTAGGACCCGAAAAATTATTTGCAAACTATCCAATGTTACCATATGGTTTTTTGGCAGGATTTATTTGTCCAATAATCTTGGTTATACTTCACAAGTTATTTCCAAAGTCAAAGTTCAAATTTCATTTATGGAATACAACAGTTTTTTTCTCAACGCTATCCACCTTCTATGGTAATTTATCAACTGGGTATTTATCACAGTTCATTGGTGGGTTTGTTGTGATGTTTATGATCTATAGGTACAAGCATCACTTATGGAAAACTTATAATTATATTATTGCTGCATCTTTCGATACTGGGTATAATTTAGCAGTATTATTAATTTTTCTTTTCTTTACTGTTTTCCCCGGCAAGGCCATAAGCTTTCCTCATTGGTGGGGGAATAACGCCGAGAGCGTCGAGCGTTGTTTTGCTCTTGATTCATGATTTATGTAATCCATAGTCTGATATATAATTTAATTCAACCCACGGTTCAAATGGCATGTTGAAATCAAAATATTGTAGAATTTTTGCAATTTTGCAACCATTTTGATCGCGCGAAGTTGAACATCCCACTATTTTCCAGCTTTTACGATGTCTTCGTGCATTTAGTTATACAAGACTAGAATGCTATCCAGGTAAACGAAAAAAAAAAATTAGAAGAGTGGAAAGTTGTTTAAATATATAAAAAAATGAAAGCACTGCGCAAACCCGGAATCGAACCGGGGGCCCAACGATGGCAACGTTGGATTTTACCACTAAACCATTTGCGCTTTTTCATGTCAGTTTTGACATTGTGGGTCTCTAAGCTATTAAACTTTTCTTATATCCAATCTTTTCCTTTCAATTTCAAAAGTTTGAAAAAGCACAACTTCTCCTTCCCATACTTTTGAACCCAAGATACTTACCCCTATGGTAATGCCAAAGAGCGCATTTTAAAAGATTAAAACGAGAAAAAAAGATCTGGTGAAATATCACACCCGTGCACCAACTCATATTATTTACCAAAACCCAAAAAGGTGTAAATCTCCTTTATAATCTTAACTTAAAAGCTTAAATAATGAAAGTGCTTCGTTCAAGTATACATAGATTAATAGGAATCATTCAAGAGCTAGACGATAAAGTAGACTGTGTCTAATGG